GTTGTGATCCGATTAAAGGCTTTTCATTTTTTTAAAAAAAACATCAAGCCTTGATTGAAATTTATTTTCACCTCAATTCTCGAATGATTTGAGTAAAAACAAATAATAATAATAGAGATCAAATTAAAAAATAATAGAATTACAAAAATTGTTTAATATATTTACAAAGAAAGGGTACTAAAAAATTAATTCTTTCTTAAATTTTCTAAACGTTCTTGTAAATCATCTGTATTATCTTGTTGTTCTGTTTCTTCATTTAAAATCTTATTATTTGGAGTTTTACCTAATTTACCACTCATATCTAAACCAATTTCATCTAAAACTTGATTTACTAATTCATCTTCTTCAACTTCATCATCTTCCATAACATCATCCATCATATCTCCCATCATTTCTTCTTTCATATCCATCATTTCATTTTGTTTCATAAATTCTTGCATAATCTTTTGCATTTCAGGTAAATTTAAACGTTTGTTCATTAATGTCATTGTTCTTGTCATTCCTTTCATTGCTTGTGTCATTTCATTTGTTGAATTTAAAGTTGTCAATTTTAATGAAATTGCTTGAAGTTGAGCATTCATTTTGTGCATTTTAGTTATATGATTACGTGTACGAACTAAATCTTTAGCCATAATTTTAACTGTTTCCATTTGATTTTGTCTTGCCAAACGACGCATATCATTAATTAATTTCTTTTCTTGATTTTGTAATTTTAATCTTTCTCTTTCCATTTGTCTCATTGTACGTTCAATATTTCTTTTATATTCACGAAGTAATTCTTTAGGTGTCTTTTTCTTACCAAATATTGCTTCTAACATTTTATTTTTATATATTTATATAGGTTGATGTATTTTGATTTAATGATTTAATAATAACGAGTTATATTATTGTAGGTGATGAGGCTGATCCGATATTGTATAATATGATCAAAATGTAGTCGTGTTGTTTTGATTTTTCAAAAATAAAGGCTTTTGTTGTTGATCAGATCACGTTAATGATTTGTACAGCTATTGTTATTTTCTTCTATTTTTTTAAAAGTGTTGCATTTTCATCATGGATTTATTAATAGAGTTCAACGTTTGTGTTTTTCTGTGTGGTGATGCGAACTCTTTCATCTTCTAATTGAAAATGAAATAGAAGATGAGGAAAAAAGGAATATCAGAACACACAAACAATTAACTGCTAAATATTGATATGAACATATAACATCTAATTATATGTGATTAATGATCAGATTTTAACTGACAAGGGAAAGGAGTTCATATAGAACATTTATTACTGTAAAATTATTGAATTGGATCATTTAGATAAGAATAACTTGATAAAATTACAAATTTGTATTTTTATTATAATAATTAATCAAATATTTAACATTTTTCATTAATTAATTGAATTAAATCATCATTATCTGTTAATAATTTAATTTCATTTAATAAATCAATATTTAAATTATTATTATTTTTTAATATTTGAATTAAACATTGATTAAATTCATTTAAATTTAAAATATTAAAATTATTATTAATAATTGAATATTTATAATAATTATAAATAATTTCATCAAAATTTGATTTTTTAATTAAATTTTTAAAAATAATTAAAATTTTAATTGTAACATCTTGTATTTTAACATTTTCTAATTTTGTATATTTAATTCTATTATTAATAAAATTTAAACATGAATGATATGGTTTATAAATATTTTCAAAATAATTTTCATGTAATTTAATAAAAATAGAAATTAAATTATCATTAAATTTAAATAAAATATTAAATAAATTAAATAAATTATTAAATAAAATTACTTGTTCACCTATATCAAGTAATTTTAAATTATTTTCAAAATTATTTAATAAATTTTCATTTAAAATTTCTAAAATATTTAAATTTTTTAAATATTTAAAATTAATACTATTTAAAATCATTACTAAAATTAATTTTTCATTTTTAAATAAATTAATAAAATATTGTAAAGTAGAATTTAAATATTTTTCATTAATAATTGAAAATAAATCTTTTAATTGATTAATTACATATTTAGTATATTTAAATTCATTAAAAATATAAAAATAAAAATCAATAATATTTTCAATTTCATTTTTAATTTCCAAATTTGTAATTTTTAAAGATTTTAAAATAAAATTAAAATATAAAGAATTAAATAAAATAAAATTTAAAGAAATAAATTTAATATAATAAGGAAATGCAATATTTTCAAATTCATAAAAATCATTTTTATCAATTAAATAATTTGGCATGTAAATATTTAATAATTTTAAAAAATTAATTATAATAAATTTGTTTGTATACTTTTTAGGTAATTTCCTTTTTGATAAAATATATAACATGTTATAAAAATGATTTGAATATTCTTTTTTACATTCAATTGAATAATTTTCACTAATAAAAGTAATAACTTGTAATATTTGAAATGTTGAATTAAATTCATAATTTTGTTTATAATGTTCTTCATCTTCAATTGTACTATATAAGGAAAATAATTGTGGTAATATAAATATGGAATATTCTTTTTTATATTTTACAAGTAATTTTAAATCTCTAATTGATTTTAATCTTGTCATTTCAGAATTGGAATTTAATTCATTAATTATCATTTTTTCATCAATTTTACTTTCAATATTAAAATTTGAATTAATTAAATTATTATTATTTAAATTATTATTAGATAAATTATTTAAATTATTAGAATTATTATTATTAGATAAATTATTATTATTTAATAAATTATTATTATTATTAGATAAATTATTATTAAAATGATCTAAATTTTGAATAGTTGAATTATGGTAATAAAATTTTTCAAAAATTGATAAATTTTCACCATAATCATCAAATTCATCATCTAGTAAATCATAAAAATAAGATAATTCACTTGTTTTTAATGATGGATATTGTTCATCTAATTTAAATGTATCAATTACATCTTGTGCTGTTAAATATTCTTTAATAATTGTATTGGTTAATGTTTGTTGATCTTGATCTGTTAGATTAGATTCATATTGATTATTATTTGTATGATGATGATTTGTATGATTTGTATTATTGGATGAATGAGAGGCTAATGATGAAGATGATGAAGATGATGGAGGAGGATAAAAAGTTGTTGTATTTGGTGATTTTGAATATTGTTGTTGTTGTTGTTGGTGATGATTGGAGGTGAGTGGAGCTGTTGGAAGTGGTTTAACTTTAGGCTTTGTGCTACCATTGCTACTTCCTCCGAGTGATGAAGTAGATGAAGAGGTTGAATTTTGCATTTTTTAATGATTTTTGATTTTAATTGATCATCAAATGGTGATTTTAAATAGGTTTGAAGCAATCATTGATGTATGAAACAGCAATAAGGAAGATTCTTTAGTAATGATGACTCTAAGATATTTATTGACTAGTCTGAAAACATGTTGAATTCTCTGCTTCATTATTCAACAAACAGCCAATGTAACCTTACCTATGAATGAAAGTGTTCCAATATATATTGGATACAACAACAATGAACAAAGAGAGTACTAATAACAACATATGAAAAAAGAACAAATTATTTATGATTTGAAACAAATTGACCAATACTACGACACATTGGACAAGTTTGATTTCCACTTGTAGAGAACCATCTATAAATACAAGCACCATGGAATTTGTTATGACAAATTTTACATTCAACTTTTGGTATTTGGTGATCTCTTCCAGAAACAACACTGTAACAAATTGGACATGGTTCAACTCCTTGGAAATGTTTGTCTAAATTCTCCTTCCATAAAACTAAAACATCTGAAACACCATTACTTGTTACTTGACTAAATAACATGGTTGTCATTTTCAATATCCATTTTCTATACTTATTTTCATCAACTGCTGAATGTTCATTAGATTCAATTTGAAGTGGTTTCAATGGATATAAATCTGGTATTTTGATTGTTAATTTTAACACTACTTCATCTTGTTCATATTTGGCAATAATTTGATTTCCCATTGAAATTTTAGCTCCAAGTGATTTTGAGAGTGCATCTGATTTTTTAATCTTTGAAATTTCATCTCTAATAATGGCAGGACTATATGAATCAGAAAATCTCTTTTGAATCCAATCAATTGTAACTGTATCATTACAATTATTAAACCACATTCTAACAAATAAAGGTAAAACTTTAGAAAATTTGTACATTAAATCATCTCCAAATTCTCTAAATTCCATTGAAAACATTGCATCCTCACCACTATATAAGAAACATGTTAATAAACTTAAAATTGGTGCATAAGCTTGACTTTCTTTAAGTTTGGTAAATAAATCAAAGGAATTATCATTTTGATCTTGAGAAATTGCATCTGTTTCAATTAAACAAAGAATATAATACCAAGATAATAAATATGGTAACTCATTATTATTATCATTACTATATTCAGAATATAATTGAACAAATTGTGTCATGTGCTTATTTCTAACTGCACTTTCTTGAAGAATATTATTAAATTGTTCAGGTACATGTTTCTTCATATTTTCCATAAGTTTTAAAACTTTTTCACCATCTTGATGATAATTTGTTAATAACAGTAAATCAGTTGCAACAATTTTAGCATTGGCAATTTGACTATTTTCAATAATTTCTAAAATTTCCTTAATATAATTACTTTCTAATTTAATTTCAGAATAATTTTGATATAATTGTAATGGTTTCAAATATTTTGAACTTCTACTAATAAGTCTCTCCATAACAGTTGGATATTGATTTGAGAGATTTAAAGATTCTCTATTCAAAAGTAAGAATGTATGAATGAGTTTTTCAACAATCATAATATTCTTCTTGTGTTTAGCGACACATGCTGATAAATGAATAATCTTATCAAGTAACTCGAAATTATTTTCTAAATTATTTGTTAATTCTTGCAAGTTTGAAGTAATAAATTGTTCAACAAAGGTATTATCTTCAATTTTAACTGTATCATTAGTTCCATAAACACTAATTAATAAATTAGCAACAATAATACTAATTTGATTCAATTCAGTAGAAGAATTTGATTGTTTGATTTGTTCATAAAATTCTTTAGCAAAATCAATAATAGAATCAATGGTAATTTCTTCTTCATCTTCTAAAGTATTGACAAATTGTTTACAATAGACAATTGATAAAGCTGCTTGTACTTTGATTAAATTTAAGTGATCATAGCTACTCTCTGAAAGATTATCCAATGTACTTGAAATACTAATACATCCAAGTAACCATTCAGTTACTTTTTCATTGGAAATTGTTAAACCTCTCAAATCAGTGTCATTATCAAATAATGATTGAACAAGTTCATAGAAAGTATTAGATTTGTTCTTATCAGAAATAACATCATTAACATCTTCTGTTTTGAATAATAACTTGCTACAATCTAAACCAGAAACCTTATCAGAATTCATGGAAATGTAAATCTTTAACAATTCCAATTCATGTCTATGAGCTAAATATTCACAAAATTCAAGATTTAAACCTTCAGTTGAATTAACATGAGCTAAGAATTTGTTAATTAAATTCTTGGTAAAATCATTGAATAAGAATTCAAAATAGAAGGAATGTAAAACTTCTCTAACAAGCCATTCCCATTTTTGTTCTCTAATTTCCATTTGATTCTTGTGAATTGCTTCAACATAGGACAATACAACACAAACTAAACGACTATACTTGATAACTGACTTTTCCAATTCAGAAACATTGGTATCTTTTGTACTATTCCAAATAACTTGATTACCAATAACAATTGGTTTAAGATTGGATGCACATTGATTTCTAATAAAAGACCAAACTGAATCATTTTCATAATTCAATAAAACAGAATCAGCAAGAGTATTACTACCAGATAATTCTACAAGTTTAAGGAATTGATCTAAAATAATATCATTGGTAATCTTGGAATCTTGTGTAATGATATCTTTCAAATAGATGGTAATATCATTCAACAATTCACTCTTCATTTCACTTGTAATAACATTGGTGTAAACTTCCTCTTCATCATGATCTTGTTCTTCCTCCTCATCGTCTTCTTGTTGCTTTGGTTTATCAGAAATTAATTGAGCCAAAGTACCATAATGAGCACCCTTGAATAAAGCAAACAAAACACTCTTGTCAATACTATATTCACTTGGTGTAGAAATGATAAATTCAACAGCTCTTTCTTGTAAATCATCTCCATTGGAAATGATATCAGTTAAAAGTCTTCTCAAATCTTCCTTTGATGAATAGAGTTTGTGAGTGATGAGATATTCAATACTGTCGAGATCTCTTCTAGCCAACAATGACTTTTCCAATGAAACACTAGTCTTGCTGAATGTTTCTTCCTCAGAGTAGAGTGATCTGAGGAGTGGGAAAATTGGAACTTGAGCTCTTCCTTCTTTAATTTCTTCTTCTAAAACTTTTTCAAACTTTTCAAATTGATCTTGGAATTGAGTAAAATAGAGACCAACAATTTGTTGAACATGTTCATTGAATTGACTTGTTTGCCATAAAGTTTTCAAAGTATCTTCAAATAATGTTGATTTCAATACAGTTGGATAGGAGAATGCAACTGCGGATGCAACATCAATTTGTCCAATCATCATACACTTGTCAAATAATTCATGAGCAAGTTTAAAAACATGTTCCAATTTTTCTTTAACACACCTAGAAATGAAAATTTCAATTGAAACTACATCAATCTTGTTAATATTATTCAAAGTAAAGTTTGTAATTTCACTCCAAAATTGATTCATATATTCTGCTAATTCTGGTTTTGATTGTATCTTTGTAATTGCAGCTGAAAGATATTTACCATAATTAACAGTATTTGAATTTGTTAAATAATAAATGGTAATCTTTTCTAAGGTAGATCTAGTAATTTTGAGAATTTCTGGTTTTTGTTCTTCAGTGCAATATTTTTCAGTTTGCAAAGCAATGTAAATAATACAATTACAAATAGAATCAATAATTGCATCTCTATCAGCTTTAATAGCTTGTCTATTAGTAGCAGAATTTACATTTGGATTATTTGAAGAACAATACTTTTCAAAACCAATCCACATATTTTCAAATAAATCAGAAACAAATTTGATTGACTTATCAGCTCCATAAATAGAAGTATTTAACATTGAAATGAAAGGTAATACAATTGGATAGTTAATTGATGGATTAGATGGATCTTTAAGGAATGAAAAGAATCTAGGGAATGTTTGTTTCCAAACATTAACATGAGCCCAACATTCAGGAGCAAATTTTTGTAAAAACAAAATTAAAGAATCCAAAGTTGTTCTTTCTAAAGGTTGTTGATTAAAACATCCAATAAAAATTGGAGCAACAAATGGAACAATATGTTCAACTACTTCAGGATCATCCTTTTTCAATAAATCATTCTTGAGTAAAGTAATTGTCAATCTACTCATAGCTTCTCTAATATTTGTATAAGATTTAATACCTAAAAACTTCCAAAAATTCTTAGATCCAAATATTTTCTTATAGGATTCACCTGTTGCTGGTTGACTTGTTTGTTGTTGTTGTTGGGTAGTTAAATCAATCATTTTGTTTAACATTAGAATAGAACTAGTAATAAATCTTGAATATCTTTCTTCTGCTTCTTCTTTAGTAATACTTTGTTGTTCAGTTTCGTTTAAACTTAAAGATTCTACAGTTTGATTAAAATTTTCAAATAAATTATTCATAATTTCATTATCGCAGTATAAAATAGCAGCATCTCTCTTTTCTGGAGGAAATCCTTGATGAAATGCAGCAATAGCAGCTTTAGAAACATCTCTATCATCAATTCCAACCATTTCCATTAACCAATATGGCATAATCTTTTTAATATGAAAACCTAATTTCTTTCCTACATTTTGAACAATTAATTTCCATAAAATAAATAAATTTAATCTAACTTTTCTATCAAGGTCTATCACTGCAATCTTTTTAAATACTTCTTCAAAATGTTCTAAAATGTTTTTACATGTATTAGTTTGATCTTCTGGTTGTTGTTCGGAAATGTATTGTGTAAGAGATTGTAATGCTTTACATCTTGTTGTTGGATCTCTCTTATTTAAATGTTTTAAATAGGATTGTACAGTTGGATCGAGTGATGATGATGATGAAGATGATGAAGATGAATCCAATGATGATGAGCCAAGGCTTGATTTTTTACTAAAGGCTTCCATCAATGAGCTTCCCAATAAACCACCACTAGAACTACTACCAGATTTACTAGAAAGTACATTCGCTGCTTGAGAAGCACTAATAGCACCTTTTTGTGATTTTGGTTTTCTTTGCTCTGTATTCTTACCCATCTCTCTCGACTGTTTTTTGCTATTTTTTTATTGTTGGAATTTAAAAAAAGAATTAAATTTGCAGTGCCGTGAAGAATAAATTTTGAAAATGAACCAATGATTGGTTTATGTGCATTCGATTGTTAAAAGAGAATGCGAAGGAGAGGTTGTGAGGAACATTTTGATTCAAATTCTGAAATGAATGGATGGTAGAATTGAAGTATCAAAGAAATTAGTAAATTGTGTAATTGACTATTTCAATAACTGACAAGAGGAATATGAAATTGTAATTGAAAATATAAATCAATCTTTAAAGAATCTTTGAAATTCATTGATTTTGACTTTACAACACTGATCAATGTTAACAAGGTTACAAATAAATCACAAAATCCTAAAACACCAAAAGATCAAATTCAAACAAATCAAAAAAAACAAATCAACACAATAAATGGTCAAGGTACTCGTTCTCTTTTACTCAACATATGGTCACATCTGGCAAATGGCTGGTTAGGTAAGTTATTGTTTGATAATAATATCTATTCTAAACTCTCTGTTCACAGTATTTATTCTTCAATTAATTTGATCAACCATTCAATTATTACAAACTCAAAAAACATGATCCAATTTTGATCAATACTTTCTAATTAAATAATTCTCATAGAGGCCATTGCTGAAGGTGCAAGACAAGTTGAAGGAGCTGAAGTTGTTGTAAAGAGAGTTCCAGAAACTCTGCCAGTTGAAGTTTTAGAAAAGATGAATGCTATTGATGCTCAAAAGGCTTTTGCTCACATTCCAATTGTATGTTTTCATATTTTATTTGATTGATGTTTATTTTGATATTTGAATTCATTGATGATCAAATAACTAACTTTAAAATTCGAAATCGAAATTATTGATATTATCATTTTCAAAACATGTAATAGGCAACTACTGCTGAACTTCCATCCTATGATGCAATTATTTTCGGTTCTCCAACCAGATTTGGTACCATGACAGCTCAATTAAAGTCCTTCTTGGATGCAACTGGTGGACATTGGGCAAGTGGTGCTTTGGTTGGTAAGGTTGGTTCCTTCTTTACTTCCAGTGCTACACAACATGGAGGAAATGAGGTTACGGTGCTTTCTTCGTTACCAGGTGAGTATAGCTTATACTATATTTGGTAAACAACCATTTACCGTTTTTAACTTTATTTGGTACAATTACGGTCCTCTATTTAACAATTATTTCATTTTTTTCAACAGTCCTTCTTCACCATGGTATGGTTTATGTTGGTTTACCTTATTCATGTTCAACTCAAATGGGTTTGGATGAAATTAAGGGAGGTTCACCATATGGTTGTGCTACTATTGGTAAGTTTGAGAATCATCATTTTTGATATTTATTAACGTTAATTACTTGAATAGCTGGTGGAAAAGGTGAAAGATTGCCATCTGATCAAGAAAAGGAAATGGCAAGATTCCAAGGAAAACATGTTACTACCATTGCTAAAAAGTTGTTCCAATAATTTATTATTATAATTTAATATAAATTGTTTCTTGAATTATTTTTATTTGAAATATTATTTGAAATTTTCCAATCAATTCTTATTGAAATTTATTTAAATTGTCAAATACTTTTCAGTTAAATATTCTACAAGTGAATAATTACTCGATTCCTTATAAATTAATGATAAATTATAAGCAGCTTCTCTCTTCAAATCAGAATCAGGTTGAATTTTACCAGAATCAGATAATTCAAGTACTTTCTTATAATAAGGTGTTGCTAAATGATATAAACGAAGTTGATGATATGCACGAGCCAAATTAAAGTGAGCTTCTTGATTTCCCTCTCGTAATTCAAAATATCTATACAGGAATGTGAATGCTTGCATGACATGAAGATTTCTATTAGCAGTTCTTCTATTCATAACTAAATTGAGATAACTCAATCCTAGACACAAACTAATTATTGGTTCATTTGGCATAAATCTATAAGCTCTAAAATATTCACCAATAGCTAATTTGTGACTTCCACTCATAGCACAATTATGACCAACCAGGAGCATTAATGGAACTGATTGTGGATGTTTGTCCAATAATCTTAACATGAAACCATGATTTGCTAAAATATTACCAACTCTAGTTGTAATCTTATTGAAAAGATTAAGTAATGGTATGCTGTATGGTTTGTCTGAAATAATTGGACGAATTGCATTATAGGCACGTTTGTAAAATCCACTATTATACGAAACAGCAACATATAAATATCTTAAATGTTGCCTCTTTCTTTGTTTTTCTTCATGTGATTTGAATGTAAACTTTTTTCTTGTGGATCTTGAATTTAAAAGTAAAACTGATAATATTCTTAAACATTCCTCATTCTGTTGACAATATGCCAATACTTTACACAGAGCAACAATAAAAGTATAAAGATTATAATCTCCCATAGCACTTAATGCTTCAGTCCATGTCCAACCATCTTCCTTAGATACATCAACAATCTTTTTTCTTTGTCTCTTGAGACCAATATCATAATTGAGAATGATACGTTTCTTCCTCTTTCCTAATTCTTTCATCCATTCTGGATTTTCCTGATCAAGATCAAGAATACTCAAAACTACTGGAAGAGCAGTTTTGATAAATTCCTCATGTTGTCCAGTCGAATGTAAAATCCAAGCTTTCTTAACCATAATTCTAATATCTTTAACTTTTTCAGTTCTATTTTGTTCCTCAGTTTTTTCATCTTCCATATCGTCAGGTAAATTAATGTCATCATCACTTGGTTCTATATCTTCAGGGTTAAAATCTGGATCCTTCTCTTGTTCTGTATCTTCATCAGATGAATAGTCTCCCTCTTTATCACTATCATCATCATCACTGTTGTAATCATCATCGTTACCATTACTAGACTTGTCAAATGATTTTCTGAGAGAGGCCAAATCTTTCTTTGCTCTTTCACTACCAGAATGTTCAAGAACATCAACAGCCTTTTGAATATCACCAATATCCTTATAAATTTCACTCAATAATATTCTAGCTTCAACATTGTCAGGAATTACATGGAGAACCATTTCACAATACTTGATTGATTCATCAACTTCATTCAAAGATTTGTAACATTCAGCAATTCTTAACCAAATTGATGCCTTATTATAAACTTCACTTGTTGTAAGTAGTGAGTAAACATTAAGTGCTTTCCTAAATTCATTGACAACGTAATACATTTCTGCAATACTGAAAAATAAATCACCAAATTCTGCAACAGGTGATTTTAAAATATCTTCAAAAATACTTTCAACTTTTTCATTAGAAAGCTTTCCTAAATAGGTTTGAGAAATTGCATATTTTGAAGAAATATCAGGTGGCATAATTTCAATTGGACAATTTTGTTGAACACTAATTCTTTCAATAAGTTTGACAGCCTTTTCATACCAACCTTCATTGATGAATAACTCTGCGAGCATGTTCACTAGAGTTAAATCTACACGTTGTTCATCTCTAGAAATTGCCTCTTGTAAAACATCAATAGCATCAAAAACTCTATTAAGTTCATAGTAAATCTTTGCCAATGACATTACAACTGGAACATCACCAGGAAATTGTTTCAAAAGTGATTTGTATCCATTAATGGCTCTTTGTGGTTGATTAAGTATCATGAAAAGTTCACATTGTTTGATTCTTGCGTTATAATTCTTTGGATCAATTAAGTAAATTCTTCTCAAACAATAAGCAGCAAGTTGAAGTTTGTTTGTTGAGATGCATAATTCTGAAAGTCTATTCCAAAACTCTAAATTTGTTGGTGAAAGTAAACCAGCAATTAAATAAAAATCAGTTGCCTTATCTAAAATACCCAATTCTTCATAAATAAGACCCAGTGTATGATATGGATCAGAAATATTTGGACAAACACGAATAACTTCTAATAAAATTTGAACTGCTTTTGAAAAATTTGCACCAATAAATTCAAGATTTGCTTCACCTAACATTTCTTTAACCTCTTTTGGTATTTTGTCTTCCTTCTTTTTCCTAGTTTTTTTAGATTTCATTGCTCTCTTTCTCTTTTTTCTTTTTAACATTCCTTTCAAGATATCATCCAAATAATCATAATCTCCTTCACCCTCATCTGGTCCATAAATTTCATCAAAATCATCTCCTTTATAATTTTCAGATGTTACTTGAGATGATTCTGTCATTACACTTCTATTATCATCATCATCACTTTCATTTTCTTGTTGATCTATCAAGGAACTTGTTGCTTGTTTTAACAATTCTGAATTTTGTTGATTACCAGGTTCTCTGAAAATGTTACAAATTTGCATTGCTGTTTGTACTTGATTTGTAGCTGAACCTGTTTGTTCTTCAATATATTTTCCAATATCAAGATTCTTTAATTCATCCAAACTTGGGGTTGAATCAACTCCACTACCAATTCCACCAATATGTAAATCATCCATCATAAGATCACTAATATTTAATGGAGCATTCTGATTTTCCAATGATTTTGAAATATTAGTTTCAAAAAGTGTTGTTGGATGATGTTGATTATCTTGTTCAATTGGAATGATTTCAGTCAAGTATTCTCCTCCAAATAGTGACAATAAAGAACCATCATTATTAGGTAAAGATAATCCTGGTGTTCCAGATAAGAATGATGATGATGGTGGTGGTTGAAAGGTTTCTTGATGTTCTGTTGCAATTTGTATATGTTCTCCATGATGATGTTCCTTTGATTGTTCTATTAATGATGATGATGCAAATGAAGCTAATGATGGTGGTAGTAGATCTGACAGTTTTAAAGGCTCTTCGGAAGATGATTCATTAGTTGAAGAAGACTTTTTTGAAATAAAGGCAGTTATTTTAGGTTGATTGTTTTTCTTTGGTGGCATTATTATATACAATTATAAACTTTATCTTCCTCTTTGTAGGATTATTTAGTTATTAGTTATTATTAATGTATGATAAAATTAGGCTTCTTGTTGAATGTTTTGCATTTATTTTTTTAATTAAATTCAATTAAATAATTTAAAGCCTTCAATCTTATCATCATCACAATGATGAATTATCATGTTATTATAGTGTCGTGACTAGTTCAAAATGTAATCTTTGTGGAGCTATTAGTCCTTTTTTACTCCTCTTTCTTGTTAGTTTCATATAGCCAATCATTAATAGAAGGAAAATTCTTGTTGTTGTTTTTGTTCTTGTTAGATAGAACAATTACCACTTCTTCTTCCTCGTGGTTTAATTATTCTTTGGAAAGAATGGTTGAATCTTTTGATGAATTTCCTCTTGTCTCGTATCAAAAAGAGCCTTGTTAGCATCCAAACATTGTTTAACTTTATCAAAATCTGTTTCATTCTTACTTGTTAAGAAGGAATCAAATTGATTAGCACATGGTGAATCATGAAATAATATACACATATCACAATCTCTATCAATATCAACCTTCTTATCGGGAATCCATGAAAGTTGAACTATTCTTTGCATATTCTCCATTTTTTTATATTAAATTTAATATTAATAAAATCTTTCGTTATCTTTACAAATTGATAGTCAATCTATTAGTGAAATTTAGATTCAATCAACATTATAAAACCAATGAATTCATAATATTTCATCATAAAATAATTATTTCAAAAATGTTTTGGAATTTAAATTTATAAAAAAATGTCTTTAAAGCCTTCAGCACTTTCGAGCAATGAAAAGAATTTTATTCTAACAACACTTGATGAAAACAAGCCTATTGAATCTAATACTCCAACAAGTACAAATAAATCGGATTCAAAGAAATCAACTCCAATAGTATCGTCATCATCATCATCCTCACTCCCGAGTATTTTAAGAATTGATGGACGTGATTTATATGATTATAGAAGTATTGAATTTTCTTTACCAACATCTTCACAAGAACTTGCTGTTCCTTCAGGACAAGTTCAAGTTACATTAGGAAATACAATTGCATTGGGAATTGTTTCTTGTAGTATTATGGAACCATATATGGATAGACCAAACGAAGGATTTTTAACATTTCAAATAGATTTTAGTACAGTTGGTTCAAGACCAATAGGAACAAAACAAACATCTCAACAAAGAGAATTATGTATTGAAATTGGAAGAGTTATTGATCGTTCTTTAAGAGGATCAAGATCTATTGATACAGAAGCTTTATGTATTATTGCAGGAAGAAAGGTTTGGAGTTTACGTGTTGATGTACATATTTTACAAGATGATGGAAATGTTTTTGATTGTTGTCATTTAGCTGCTGTTGCTGCACTTTTACATTTTAAGAGACCTGAAGTTACAATTGAAGGTGATAGAGTTGTTGTTCACACTGTTCAAGATAGACAACCAGTTCCATTGAGTGTTCATCACATTCCTATTTGTACATCTTTTTCATTCTTTGATCATGATTCGGCTACTTTATTCGTTGTTGATCCATGTAAAAAAGAGGAAATGATTGCAGAAGGTTTTATGACCATTGCCCTTAATGCTCACAAGGAATTGTGTGCCATTCAAAAAGGTGGTGGTTTGGCTTTGACAAAGGATCAAATTTTAGAATGTGCTCAAATTGGATCTGTTAAATCAAAGGAAATTACTGAAACACTTAAACAATTCCTTCAAGCTGAAGAATCTAAGAGAATTCAACAAGGTAAATTACAGTATGTGAAATATGAAGAAAATCCAACCAAAGTAGAAGAAGAACAAGATGAAGAAGATTCAGCCATTTCAGATATTTCAGAACCATTCTCTGATATGGAAGATGATGAATAAACGCCATTCTTTACAATAAGCTGATCATTAACTATTGAACTATGGCTCCACAAAGAGTAAAACCTATTGGCTGGAATTTAAGATTGAACTAAAATAATTTATTTATAAGAAAAAGTTACCACTATCATCTTCCTCTTCTTCGTCACCTGCAAAATCGTCATATTCATTATCACGATCAGAATGTTTAACATAATTATTGGATGGATCTAATTTTGCCTTTTCTATCGTTTCTTCTGATAATAATTTAACAATTGCAATACCATTCTTGGCTTGTGGTCTTCTTGACCATCTTCCTAAACGATGTTCTTGACCAATTGCAGCAGCTAAAAATTGACCATTTGAATTAAATTCTATAGAATTAATGAAACCAGCCATTGGAATATTATTCTTCAATTGTAAAACCTTTGTATTTGGATCACATCTCCATAATTTCATATAACCATCTGAAGAACCACTTGCAGCAATATCAGAGAAACGTAAAGCACCAACAGAAGTAATCCATTCACCACCATGAGCAGAAGGGAAATGTGAAATTGGTTTTTTCTTTGTCTTTAACCATAAAGAAAGAGAACCATCTTGTGAACCACTTAAAAAGCAATTTTCTCTTAACATTTTCATGCAATCAATACTATATTTAGTAGTAGAAGATTTGTAAATGAGTTGAGTTTCATCTTCAACTTTCCAATATCTTAAAGTTGCATCAGAACCACAACTTAGAGCGTGTGGAGTAATCATTGTATCAATACCTTGTACTTCACTTTCATGACCATATAAAGTATCAACAAATGAACATTCTTTAGCATCCCAAACTTTAACAGTTCTATCCATAGAACCTGAATATAATTGATAAGCATATGAAGAATTATTTGAAGAACCAGTAATATTTGATAAATGTCCCATTTGGAATGCTAAACTTGTAACTGGTTTAAAATGTCCATCTAAAACATCAATTTGTTTCATTGTTTTTGTATCCCATAATCGAATTTTACAATCTTTTCCTCCTGTTGCTAATATATTTCCATCAAAACTTAGTGCACAAGATAAAATTTCTAAATTATCATGTGCTTTTTTGGTAATTGATATTTTACTTCCCTTGTTAAAATCCCAATTTATAATACATCCATCTTTACCAACTGAAAATCCTTTTAATTGTTGTGAATTTGTATTATCCAATGAAATACAAGTAGGTGGTTTTTTATGTCCTTTCAAAAATGTCACTACTCCTTCATCTTTGAAATCTAATTCTTCAAGATATTTATGATAACTTGAAGGTATTTGTTTCTTTGCTTTTAACTATTAAAGTTAATAATTTTTATCAAAAAAAGGTAAATGTTAAGTAAATATCAAGTAGTTATCAAGTAAATGTTAAGTATTATAAAGTAAATGTTAAGTATTATATTAAATGTAAATATCATGTATTATTATAAAAAGTAAGTAAATAATAGAAATATTAAATCAATACTTACAGCTTCTCTTTTAAGAGCTTGAGCAATAGGATCTTGTTCATTTAACATTTGATTGTATTCATCTTGATCCTCTTTATCCTCTGTTAAATATCATGAAAATTATAAAATTTCAAAATGAAATACTTTACCTTCATATTGTTTCAAATTATCTAAAAATTGTTTAGCATTTAAAACTCTCTTTTCTGCAGCTGTCAATTTTTCTTCTTCTTCTTTTTGTTCAACAACTTCACTTGCATCTCTAATAACTTTTTCATCATCATCATCAGCTGTTTTAGCTAATTGTTCAGCACTCACTTCAAATTCTTCTTCCGATGAATGAATAATATCATCATCTTCATTATACTGTACTTGTCTCTTCTTTTCATTTGGAGTTGTTTTTCTCTTTTTAAGATTTTGAATCTTATTCTTGATATTGGCAAATTTTTTATCTCTTTTCATAATTTTCCAATGATATTGTTGTTATTGTTTTGTTAACTATGATGATAATATGGTCAAAATTGTGTGAATCCGCTTTAAAATTTGTTGATGGTTATAAATTTAATGTTCTCAGAACAACTCTGAAAATTTGTTGATGCTTTTTTTTTTCACTTTTTTTTATGAAGTAATTTTTTCATCACAAATTTTAATTGAATATTTTTCCCGCCTGATGTATGATAAATAATTAAATAAACTTTCATCACCCGATGAAGAATATCAGAAAATATTGAAATTGTAATTTTCTTGGCTATAAACATTCTTCATTCATCATTTGTATGAATTTCCATTAAAAAATAAATAAAAAGTAAATCATCATCATAATCAATTGATTATCTTTTTGCAAAGGCTTTGGAAAATTTCATCATGCAGTAAAAAAAAATGAAAGAACACACAGCTCAAACTCTTTTATTTTCTATTGGATTAGCAGTTGTGTTTATAGCGGCAGTGATTGGGATATTCATAAATGTAGTGAGACAACCCTATACTACTAAAATAAAGAATACAGATCAATGGATTATTCATTCGGATATTTCTGTTAATCATTTAATTTCTTTGAATTTAATGATTAGAAATTCAAAAAACAAAACATTAATGGCACTTGTAACAACATCAAGTGAATTACAGGATAGTGGTGATGATTTTGATGAATTAAAAATAGGAGATGAAACATTTGCAATTTCTGATATTTGGAAAATGTTTTTAAATAAGAGAAATACATTCATTTATAATAGACAAACATATAATATTAATAATACTTTATTATTAAGAGGAGACCATATGACTAATGATAAAGGACAAAGATTTTCATCTGAAGATGGTATACGTATGAGAAAATACATGTTAGGAGATTTTATACACAAAGTTTTACAAAATAGAACTGGAAAATATGATCTTAATTATGAATTTCAAGATGATTATTTAGAAAAGTCATATCAGATTATTAAATCTGCTTCTGATACTATTAACTTTCTGGTATTAGGACCAGTTACTAATTTAGCTAAAACTCTACAATATTGTAGAGAAAGGGATGAATATATATTTGATAAAATTGGTAAAATTGTTTTATATGGAGGAACAACAAATCAAACAGATTTTGATGGAGAATATAATATGGGTTTTGATGTTAAATCTAGAGATGTAATATTTTCATATGATGAATTGAGAAGTAAGATTTATCTATTTCCTGTTAATTATGTGGCAAAAACACCATTAATGGATGCCTCACTTGTTAAATTTACCAGATTATTTGCAGATGGATGTGAAAAAAAGATGGTAGCCATTTCAAAACAACCAACTCTTATTTATGATATTATTAGTTGGTGGTTAAATTCATATAGTGCTCAAAATAGTACTGCAGAATTTACAGATGATTATTTACAGCATGAAATTATTTTCAATAATGAAGTTGTTTCATCTTCCAGTTTATGGTTGGTTGATGTAATTAATACCTTTCAACAACAATTCATTGATTGGAGTAAAACAACTCCTGGATATTTTAGACTCGTAACTGGAAATTATATTACCAGAGTTAATTTGATTAGAAAGATTGATTGGTACAAATATTTCGGTTTCTTACTGCACAAATGTGTGTATGCTTAATTCATTTTTGTAAAATAACTGTGTAAATTAGAGTGTCAAATACAATTTTGTAACATTATATTTATTATTATAATCGTACTTAGAAGTATTTGTTTTCCTAGTTTAAAATTTCAACTTTTTAGAATTTGGTTCATCAATTTCAACTTCTTCAAATTCATCCTCTTCAAAATCAGATGAGGGAGGAGGGGCAATAGAACTTCCAATATTTAACATTGGTTGATTATTACTAATGATTGGTTCAATAACTTCATTATTTACAGCAGTATTTGAACCCATAAGACTAGAGAGGAAGGTTGGAGGTGCAAATTGAGGAGGAAGAGAAGAAGGTGGTGGCATTAAAGTTGAATCATTCAAAACAGATGATGAAGCAGATCTGTTGATTGAACCTCCAATAGATGTTTCCATTATGGAATTCTTTTTTTGTTTTGGAGTTATTTGAGCATTATCAATATAACCATCATCATTTGATATTGTTGATAATGTTTGAGTAGTATTAGCAATAGCACCACTTTTCATTAAATTATTTGCTTGAACTTCTGCACTGTCATCTCTTGTAATAAGTGAAATAAAAGGTTTCTTAATAGTTGTGCTCTTTTTAGGTGTTGTTAGAATATTGGTCAACCTTGTGACATTATGAGGATTTGATGAACTGTTTGTAACATTTCTTTGAACTGCCAATGAAACTCTTTGTTTTTCAATTTGTAAATATGGATTAACAATTGTTTGAATGTTATCCTCTACAGCAACCTCTTCAACAGGTTCCTCATCATCTTCTGTAATAGATTGTTGAATTGCTTGTTCTTCCTTCTTCTTTTGAGTTAATACATTTGTAGTTGGTTTCTTTTCAAGATGTAATAAAACATCATTCTTTTGGACAATTGTCTTTTTCTTGGTTTTAATTAATTGTTCCAATTGTTGTGATGCATTTTCTCCATTTACTTCATTCAATTCTAATAAATCACGAACTTGTTTCAATTCAGCTTCATGAAGTCTTGTTAAAGATTCTTCAATATGTCTTCTTTGTCTTGTCTTTTCTAATTGAATTCTATATTGATCTCTTGTTCTCTTATTCATAATAGGAGTAAATCTAAATGTATGTTTAGGTGGTAAAGCTGGTAGAAATGTTGGTTTTTGTTGTTCAATTAATTTAATTTGTCTTTCATGTTCTTCTTCCTCTTCTTCATCAATAAATAAAAGTGATTTTGCTTTGTTTTTATAGAGTAAATGGAAATGAGTTTGTGGACATGACATTAAACTTGAAAGTGGTGCTTTAGGAATATCAGGAATGTCTAAATAAAGTTAAAGGTTATTTGATTATTTTTATCAAACTTACCAAATTCAAATGTTGACAAATCAACAGAATTTTCTTCAGATTTATCTTGTAAAATGTAAAAGAAAGATAATAAATCGTTAATATCCAAGCCCATATGATGATTTAATGATTTTTCAACATCAAATACATTTGGTTCTGTTCTTCCACAATGACTACTATACATTACACTTGTTGTGGCAATTTTTTGAATAAACATTTGCACCAAATCAATTAAAAAATCACTTGTACTACTTTTAATAGCATGAAATCCATAATATCTACATGTATCCGAAATTACACGTTGTAGTACCTCTCTCGCAAAATGATCATAATGTTGATTAGGATGTTGCGATCTACTTGTATTATTATTATTGCCCATCTTTTGCTGATTCATTCCGTTCATCATCATGGATGAAGAATTACGCAGCGAGTTATTGTTTTGTGATGAAGACATTTTTTTTTAATATTTTATTTGATGATTTGATGAAGAATTTTTCAACAAGCCTCCGAAAACAATATAGATGAAGGTTGAAGAACAAGATGTATCAACTTGTGATAGTATTCACAACAAAGCAAAATAGAAAGTAGTGAGATGGATTTTAATGAATATGTATAAGACAATAAAATCAAATATGAAAATGTTCATATTCAATAAAAATTAATATCTAATTGTAAATTGAATGATTTATGCTACAGCTATCAATTTTCTTCATCGTGCATCACCCTTAATTGAATTATTTCATTAACCTCCGAATTGCTTTTTTCAAATTGCTTCCTCCTGAACGCAATCAAAAAATACAGAACTAATGATGTATAATTCGTAATTTCTCAATTTTTTTATATATTTTGGAGTTGACTTAATACACAATAATGCTTGTTGTTTTTCACACATTTGGCTGGAACATATCTAAATATCAATATTCGAATCTAATCGGAACAGAAGAGCGTGAAATTCGAAAAAAGAAATAAATTAAAAAGTGTATATCCTCTTTTTTCATTGACAGAGAAAAGATTCATTCATTTTGAATTTTGTAGGTTTCACATGAAATAAATATATATTTTCACGTTGTTGTTTGGTCTATTGTCGTCTATCTCTTCGCTGATTTTTTTCAAACTTTAAAAAATTTCTAAAGCACAAACAATTTTAAATAAGCCTCAAAGTAAGAAGTTGATAAACGTGCTGTTATTATTGGAGGAATGTTCTTCTGGAGGTGTTATGTAATAGGGAGAGAAGGTTGTAGTGATGATGATAATGGAATATTGAGGAGAGGAAGTTTAATAGGATTTTATGAAGAATATAATTGAGGGTGTATTATTGGGAGAGTATGAAATACATTATTACTGTGGAGTTTTCAATGCTGAATAGATAGAGGGTAGGTCTTTAAATGGATTCATTTCTAAATCATTGTTTGGTATTGTAAAATTGGTAATAATGTTTTTAAAATAAAAACGTACAGAACTGTATTTGTTTAAAAATGCCATTCCCAAAACCAAGTTGTTAATTGAATTAAAAATCAATAAAAGGAATTTCCAAATTTATAATAATTATAATTATAATAATGATTTCTTGTTCAAAATGGAATCTCTATCCATTTCTGTTACTAAAAAGATTATGTATAAAATAATCATTATCAAAATTTTTTTTTCCATTATTAAAAAATGTTAAGAAGCCTACTTAAAGCTGTTCCCAAACGAAACCCCAAGCTTTCTGCTCCAATTTTTTTGCAGAACTTGAATGTTAAGAGATTTAGGTCATTCAAAGTAGTGGTTGAAAGCTTGTCTGAGCAAGAACAAGAGCCATTAACCAAGAAGCCTACTGATACTTGGAAGTGGAAGAGCCTAAGCTCATGGCACTGGTGTATTGCTCTTCTGTTACTGATTGCACCGTTATTGACCCTTGATTCTTATGAATTCCAAGACAGGAAATATCTTGACATAGAATTCTCATTTAAATATCTCGTTTATGCACTTGGCGTTTTCTTTATTTACACTTTTGCAGCAATGAATCAAAGAACTAGATCTTTATTGATTGGAGGTGGTGCGATTTCAACTCTTGGAGCTTTGGTCTCAGCTCTTGACAAAAGTAAAATTGAGACAAGATTATCATCACAAGCTAATTTTGAAAGATTAGCAGGTAATGAGAAATATAACAAATTCCAAGTGTATAACTCAATGGTAATTATGGATAGGTTGAATTATGAAAGACATGCATTAGAAAGCATTAAAGAAGATGTTTACCAAGTGGTTGAGAAATATAGAGATAATCTTTTAATGTTGCCAGAAAGATTTGAATTTGAAACATTTTCGGTTGAACTCTTGTTGTCAGCAAACTATAGAGAAAGAGCAATATTTAAAGAATATTATTCCCATCTGGAACTTGCAGAAGATAAGGATCATTCCTTATCTTCTTTTTTAAACGTTTATTTCACTGGTTCCCAACGAAAGGTATTGAATGTTGGAATTAAAAATTTTATCCAAGAAAAAGACGAGAAAAAATTGTACACCAAAGATACAAAGATCACTTTATGGTATTCTCCAATCTCTGAGAGCGATCCTGTTCCTAAATGCGTTTTAAGATCTAATAGAGCTGGTCACCAAAACACTAAAAGGTACTCCAATAACGAAAATTGTCAAAAAGTATTAACCTTATTGAACAAACTTGATCCAAATGACGAAATTTTTTTGGAAAGTATTTTGTTAAACAATTCTGAAGAATTGGAAAGAGTTAATAATGGAAATTGGTTTGATTCTATTTCTTCAAATCTTGAGGGGGGAGCAGACAAATCCTTGAATGACATTCTAAAAGAAAAAGTTACTGAATATTTGTGTGGTGATGATAACTAGACTTGGCAGGCTTCGAAATTTTCACAATAAAAGACTTATTCAATAACGTTTGTTGATTTAAAAGACTCTGCGAGCAATATAATGCTTGACCCAAGATCCTACTTAAAAAAGAGAAGATTTATATGTGGCTGATAATTCTTCGAACCAATTTCACCAAATAAGAAACTTGCAGTGATTGATTTGGAAAATTCGATAGAGTTTCTTTCTTGGTACTTTTCCAATCCTTTACAACTGAACTTTTTCATTTGTCTTCGAAAGAGAAACCCTCACTTGGTAAGGGAAGAGTTTGATAAGTATATTCAGCAATATGAAACAATGTGGCCTATCAGATTCGAATAAGAAAGAGAGGAGCGCTTTTTCTTTTCTATTCAATCTCTTTGTTTCCAATCAAGTGGTGATCAAGAACAAGCACAACAAGCAGCACTCAAATCAAGAAAGTTCATTTCAAAGGGTAATGATTCTCTTTCTCTACTCAACTCGTACAGTTATCTTAATTTGGCATTGTACGAAATGGGTTGTGGTGAATTGAAAATTTCAAAGTTTCATCTCCACTCTGCCAAATTCTATTCACAAAATATCATGAAACCAATCTTATCCAGTCAGGAAACCAAATCTGTGAAAACTATTTCATTTGTTGAGAATTTCTCATTACAAGAAATTGATGTTTTACAATTCTCGTCAAGTTTGCCAATGCTCTATGAAATGGTGACTGGTGTTCGATTGCATCCTCAAATTGCTAATCTCCTACTCGAAAAAATTTCACACGAAAATAGTATGGACATGATGAAAACTGGAAGTGAAGTTATCAAATTGTTAATTGCCAATATTAGAGACAAGATTTTCAAAAATTCAAATGAGATTTGTGATGAATATTTGAATGGAATTCAATTCACACAAGATATTCTTATTGAGGGTCTGAGATTGGGTATAATGATATCTATTACAAGTAGAAAGGATTTAATAGAAGAATCAAGTTTAAGAATTACATACTTGTCTCAGAAAGAATATTTCAATAATTGTAGTATGTTTATGATTCCATTCTTTATCATGGCAACTCGTGTCAACCTTCAAGTGGTGAAAAGTATTGAAACTGGTTTGAGATGTAATAATCAGATAAGTAGAGGACCTCATGATGGGTTTGTTCCAGTTGACTATATCAATATTCTAAAGATAAATCTAAGCTCGTTGAAAAATCTCAACTCTCGTTTCAAAAGAGTATCAATAGTGCATGACAAACTGCTTGATACAATTCAGAATATTCTTCGAAAGTATCAATAAAACAACTAATGTATTTCTCATCACAAGAATCTAGCTTCTATCGAATTCCCCTAACTCTGTCGTGATTAGGAATGTATGATTTATTTCAAAAAGTTTAGAGAATCACTGCCACCAATCGAATAATCTTGAGGATTTAAAACTCCTCCACCAAATATTCTTTGTGTGGATTGCTGTTGTGAAATTGATTCTAACTGATTTTCAAATGAGGAAGGTTGTAACAGGTTATTAGAATTGAGTGAATGAAGTAATTGGGTAGCTGTATCTCTTTCTGGAAGACCTGTAAATCTATCATCCATTAGTAACATACAATATTGTTTCACACTTTCAATATATTGTTCATCTTGTTGAGCTACTTCATAATAATAATCAGCAAGGAAAAGTAAAATACCAGCTTCATCAGCAGAACTTAATTGTTGATGAAGTTGATTTGGAACATTGTCTGATTCATAGTGTCCTAAACATTTCGAATATAATTCAACTGCTCTATCATTTTGATCTAATCTTCTAAATATGTTAGCCATCTTGAGTAGTGTACTCAATTGTTCACCTCTGTTATCATATGCTCGTTGATAACATTTGAGTGCATCATCAAATTGTTCTAATGATTCATAACAATTTGCAAGAGCAGACCACATTCTTCCATCATATGGTCTTAAACTACACGATTTGCTATAATAATACAAAGCATAATCAGACATGTCTAACATTTCATAGGTTTGGCCTAAACCATACCAAGCTCTGTAATCTGTTGATTGAATTTCAACTGCACTTCTATAGGCATTAACAGCAGCTTTAGTATTCTTCATTTCAATATACTCGTGTCCCATCAATGTCCAAGCTGATAAATATTTTGGATCTAATGAAAGTGCTCTCTTAAAATACAAGACAGCTTTTTCATGATCACCTCTTAAACTGTAATAGTTGCCAATAACACAACATGTCTCAACTCTATACTTATCTATTGAGTGTAGTTCGTGTGCCAATTTACTCAATTCAGCTTTTTCTTCTCTCACATATAAAATATTAGAGTATGTATCCAAAAACTCTAATCTAAAAGGATCTTTCTTTTTGATGTGTTCGAAATATTCTTGAGCTTGTTGGAAGTCTTGTTGATGGTAGCTCAACATTGCTAGTTGAGAATATAAATAATTAGAGTTTGGAAATTGTGAACATAAATCTTGAATCAAGTTGAATGTTTGATTTTCATTGCCATCATCCAAATCTAATTGAGTAAAACTGCCTTGGCTTGAAAGAGTTTCCAATTGAAGTCTAGATTTGAAAACCTTCATCATCCAATGTTGTTTTAAAATACTTTTGAACTTTTTAAATGTGTTAGACATTAAAGTGGATTGATTGTCATTTTGAGTAGTATCTTGCATTAAATCAATAAGAATATAAACAATTTCCAACCAACTTCCCCACATAAGTGGTTCATAATTTACACTTTTGATAAAGCAATCGAGAGCTTTACTCTTCATTTCCATTTCCTTTAGTATGACTCCAAACAAATAGTAGAGATAGGAATCCATTTGATCCAATGTATGCAATGTTTTAAGATCATTCAATATAGTTCTAAGATATTTGTTTTGAGTTTGATTGTGATGTTTTTGTTGATTTCTTTGTTGATGAATCATTTGATGATGAGCATTAGCATTGGTTCCTACCCCAGTAGCTGTTGTACTTGATGAATTATTTAAACTATATTCCAATACTTCTTGTTGTTTTTGTTGCTCACCCGATAGGAAGAGAGCATAATATTCAACAAATAAACATTTCTTACTGAATGATGATAGACTAGTTTTGTTTTGATTCAACTCCATTGTCGATGGTTTAGTTTGTTTTTGTAAAATAAAAGCACATCTAGAATATTCCTTTGAATCAAATAGTGTTTTTGCGAATGTATAATGATCATATAAAGATTGTTCATTTGCTTGTATTGTATTTGTGCAAATACTTGTAGAGGTTGCAACTCTAGAAAGTATTTCATTTGGCAGTGATATTAATTGTTCTCCGAGCCATTTTGATGTATGAATAAGACCTCTTTCTGATGTTTCCGTGATGACTCTCCTGAGTTCGTCTCTCGTTGTTAGGGTTGATGTTGTTGGCGAGAATTCATTCATTTTTTTTTAATTTGTTTAAACGTGAAAATTCTTTTTAATTTTGGCGCCAAAATTCAAACCATGTTATTAGTATTTGAGAAGGGAATCCTTCTTCTCCAACTCTACTAATCTGCTTTTCAATTGATCTATTTTTTGTCGTAGTGTTTGGCAAATGTAATCATTGGTAAAGAGTTCATGATTATCATCATTAATATCAATTACTTCTTTCTTTTCTATTGATTTTTCAATGATTGGTTTTTCTGGTTCAGGTTCTGGTTCTGAACTAACCATTTGTTCAATCATTCGTTGACAATATCCCATAGTACTCATATCATTATCATTTGCAGATGATACTGATGAAACAGACTCAATGGATTTACCAAGAAGACTGTCAATACTTTCTGTCATCATTGGTGGTGTTAGCTCGCTTTTCTTTTGTCTTTGAATTAATTCTTCTTCGTCAACAAAGTCTAATTGTCTCGACTCAAACGCACTATTGTCACTCTCTAATGATTCCATTGATTGAGAAACAACTGGGCCAGACTTGTCTGATTTAATGGTTACTACAGGGAAGAAACCTTCCTCCATATCTTCATGATCTATACTAATCTCATATTTTGAAGGTGACTTTTCCTCAGACAACAAAGATTGGGAAGAGGATTTCACACTACTTAGTATTGAATGATTTGAATCTTTTTGAGTAAGTTTTGGTAATTCCTTTTCTTTCTCTAAAATAATTGAATTCTCTCGGCTTTTTTTCCCTTGAAGCAATTTTTCAACTTGCTCGCTTTCCTTCTTTAACTCATCCAGTTTATCAACTTTGACATTCTCAATTTTTGGTTTCTCGTTACTACTTAGAATATCATAACTTTCCAGATCCAAATATGACTCGTGAAGCCCAATGGATTGTAATCTCGATAATACTCCTTTTCTAAACATTTCATCTAGTTTTTCTTCGTCACTTGAATCACTAGTTTCATCCATTTTCTTTTCAGAATTTATCGAGTCCTTAGATTGATTGGTTTTTTCGTTAGACAGCTTCGACAGAATACTTTCAACATTCCCAAACATTTTGAAACTTCCATTTTCCAGAGCTAAATCTGTAATATTATTAAGTTCGTTGATATTAAAGTCTAGAGTATCCATATATGAAAAATGATCTTGTGTTGAAAGGGCCAGGGCTTCCTCTTCATCTAGGTTAAATTGAGAGTATCTTTTTGCACGCTCAATGTTGTCCTCCACATCCATTATTTCTTGCTTGATCGATTCTTTCATTTGATTAATGTTTCTTATGGAAGGATGAGAGCTATCTATGGAGCTTTGCATTGCTCTCTTCATCCATGATCGATTATCTTCTCTAGAATTAGTAACCAGAGATTCTAACTCTGGTGATTTCCTTCTCTCATTTCTTGGTACTGGTATTGGTTCTTCCTTTTCATCCTCAAATTCCAAACGTTTTCGTTCACTCCTCTGTGTAGGAGGAGCTGTTCTAAATCTTTTGATATATTCAGCAATTCTTGAAGGTCTGGGATTGTTATTTACAGGTTGCTCTTCTTCTGCCTCTTCCTCCTTTAACTTTCTTCTCACAGAAGATAAAATATGAAGAGAATTATTTGAACTGGATACACTTTGCTCTTCCCCAAAGTCCTCATTTTGCTCCTCAGTTGGTATTGAACGAGTACTACTAGAATCTCTTGAATCTCTGTAGTCCCTTTCTCTTGGAGTTTCAATTTGAACCTTCTTTTTCATTTTCAAAGGGATTGAATCGTCAGACATACCCATTTCCGACATTGTAGATCTATTAGATTTACTCGATCGACTTGATCTAATTGACTTGATACTAGAATTTTGATCCTTAGATTTGTTCGAGTCTTTTAAATATTGATATTGGTCATTGACTGACATTATTTCCATATCGTCGTCATCTTCTTCCTCAATTTTACTATTATTTGATTCTCGGGATATATCCTCACTAGGATTTCTATGATTATAATGTATATTATTCTTTCCAATATTACTAGGGCTCTTAGATGGTTGAGGTTGCGATGAAGAGGAAGTTCTCACCACCGATGATGCTGCTGATAGCCTTGTCTTTGGAGTGGATGGTGTAGTGACTACTCCTTTTACTCCCGAAGAAGCAGAAGTACCACCTTTTGATGATGCTGATGAGGGTAATACCCTATTCGTGGATGGTTTTTGTATATTCGTAGAAACCCGAGAAGCAGTGGGTTTACCACCTCGAAACATTTTTTTGTATTTGATTGGCGCCAAAATTTATACTATTACTAAACATTAAAGAATTTAAAAATATTACTTTTGGATTCTGATTGAAAGTTGGTTGTTTACAAAAATGGTCTGAAAAATATCTAATTTTCACTCTCGGTAACTTCGGTATCTCAGTTCCTTAATTTCCTTGATTTTCGGTTTCACTTCCTTATTTACCGAAATAACTTCCATGACAAAATCCACAAACAACAATCTATATAAAAACCACCAATGCAACATTTATCAACAGCAGCAACAAAATCACAAACTGAAAAAAAACAATACTATTGTAATTAATATACTATAATTTCAAAATGTCTACTACTTCAACAACTTCTGAACTATTTGACGGTGCTATTGGAATTGATTTGGGAACAACCTATTCCTGTGTTGGTGTTTACATGAATGATACTATTGAAATTGTTCCAAATGATCAAGGTAATAGAACAACTCCTTCCTATGTTGCATTCACAGATCAAGAGAGATTGATTGGTGATTCTGCAAAGAATCAAGTGGCAATGAACCCACACAATACTGTATTCGATGCTAAACGTTTAATTGGTAGAAAGTTTTCAGAGGAAACTGTTCAAGATGATATGAAACATTGGCCATTCAAAGTTGTCTCTGAAACAGGTGATGATAAACCTAAAATTCAAGTCGAATTCAAAGGTGAAATTCACACATTCACTCCAGAACAAATCTCAGCCATGGTTCTAACCAAAATGAAAGACATTGCTGAACAATATTTGGGTAAAACTGTAAAGAAGGCAGTCATCACAGTTCCTGCCTATTTCAATGACTCTCAAAGACAATCCACCAAAGATAGTGGAACCATTGCTGGTTTAGATGTTTTGAGAATTGTTAATGAACCAACAGCTGCTGCTATTGCCTATGGTTTAAATAAGAAAGGTGAAAGAACTGTTTTGATATTCGATTTGGGTGGTGGTACATTTGATGTTTCAATTCTTGACATTGATGATGGTGAATTATTTGAAGTGAAAGCAACAGCAGGTGATACCCATTTAGGAGGTGAAGATTTTGATAATTTGATGGTCGAATTCTGTTGTGAAGAATTCAAGAGAAAGTTCAAGAAGAATGTTAAGGAAAATCCAAGAGCATTAAGAAGATTGAGAACTGCATGTGAAAGAGCAAAGAGAAATTTATCTGCAGCATCGAATGCTTCCATTAACGTGGATGCCATTATGGATGGATTGGATATGGACATTGTCATGACACGTGCCAAATTTGAACAATTGAATTTGGAATTGTTCAAGAAATGTTTCGAACCTGTCAAGAAGGTAATTCAAGATTCTGGTTATGACAAGTCACAAATTGATGACATTGTTTTGGTTGGTGGTTCAACTCGTATTCCAAAAGTTCAAGATATGCTCAAAGACTTCTTCAATGGTAAAGAACTTTGCAAGTCAATCAATCCAGATGAAGCAGTTGCTTATGGAGCTGCTGTTCAAGGTGCTGTGTTGACAGGAAAGGAAAAGAAAGTTCTATTGGTTGATGTTGCTCCATTGTCATTGGGAATTGAAACTGCTGGTGGAGTAATGACTAAATTGATTGATAGAAATTCAAAGATTCCATGTAAGAAAACCATGCAATTTTCTACCTATGCTGATAATCAGACAGCTGTCACTATTCAAGTGTATGAAGGTGAAAGACCATTGACAAAGGATAATCACTTATTGGGTAAATTCAATTTGGAAGGAATTCCACCTGCTAAAAGAGGTGTTCCAGTAATTGATGTGACATTTAATGTTGACACTAATAGTATCATGACAGTTTCTGCTCAATGTTCTGGTAAGACTGAATCTTTAACTATTAACAATGAAAAAGGAAGATTATCCGATGAAGAAATCAAAGAAATGTTAAAACAAGCTCAAGAAATGGAAGCTCAAGATAAAATTGCAAAGGAAAAGATTGATGCAAAGAATTCATTGGAAAATTATGTCTTCTCCATCAAATCTACCATGGAAGATCCTAACTATTCAACAAAGATCTCACAAGATGATAAGAGTAAGGTCAACTCTGCATGTAATGAGATTCAATCATGGTTAGATAATATGAATAATGTATTGAGTTGTTCATTGGAAGAAATTGAACAAAAGAAGCAACAATTAGAAAGAATTTGTTCTCCAATTATGGCTAACATTCATTCTCCTCAATCTGCTGCTTCCTCTGATTCATTTCAATCAGAACCAACAGAAACAAAAGCTCCAACTTTTAATGATCTTGACGTTGAATAATTTGATTTCTTATCAGTTCAATATCAAAATTTTGTTAAAAAGACGAACAATATATATTTAAATTATATTATATTAATAAATAAATTGTACAATTAATTGTAAAGAAAAAATAATGTAATCAATTGATTGGTTACCACATCATGAATCTCCTCCCACGTTCCATTTCGGAAGCTTTCGTTTCTTTCAACAGTTTTTCACAAGATCTTGATTGAAAAAAAAATGTCAGGATTGCTCTCCACCTGTTGTCGAACTGTTTTCCTTTCCATCATTCTTCTCATTTCGGCTTGGTTTGGTTTTTTAGCTTTTTATCCATTTCCAAACCTTGACCAGTTGAGTAAAGATTGGCCAATCCAAACATTGGAGGAATATCATGAAAAGATGAATCCCATTATGAAAGCCAATGGTATTACTATGAATTTCCCACCTAAATTGGCTAATTTTGTCAAGATTTCACTTTCGAATGGAATTATTTTTAATGCATTGGAAGGAGGAAGAAAGGAAGGAGAAACGAATCAAAAGTTATTGATTTTTATGCATGGCTATCCAGAAACTGCCTTGTTGTGTTTCGGAAGATATCTGGATCATTTCATTCAACAAGGATATTGGGTCATTGCTCCTGATATGAGGTATGTGTTTCAATAGTTTCGAATATTTATTTGAAATATATTTCCTCCTTTTTTCGATAATAGAGGATACAATGCAAGCTCTAAACCAGTTCCAGAAGGTGTTGATTTGGAACAAGTTAGCAAAGGACTGCCAACTGACATGTCCTTTGAATCTTTAAAGAAATATCTCAAGGATCTCAATTCAATTCCATATGAATATGTTGATGTGAAATTGGCCAAAGATTATCAACTTTTAGTTACAGAATATGCCAAGAGAGAAAAGGCTATCTTCATTTCTCACGATTGGGGTGCAGCAGCATTGGGTTTCACCATGAAGTAAGTTGACTCATTGTAAACTTTAAATTCAATTTCTCAGAGAATATCCAGAAATTATTGAAAAATCAGTTCTTGGACTTGCAATGCGTGTAAATGAAGGTAAATATATCAAGGAACATACTGCAAAATTCTTCAGGCAATTGACCAAGAGTTGGTACATTTTCTTCCTTCAATTGGTTGGATTGAGTGAATTAATTTCCACAAGAAACGACTATGCCATGTTCTTCAATACAGCAGGTTTCGACCAAGAAGCTCATCAAGGAAGATTGAGTGCTGAAGAAGCTAAACTCTGGTTGGAAAATATTAAATCGAGCTACATTACAGCAACTTCATTTTACAGAGCTGCATTTCGTACTCAATCGACTAGAAGTTTTGATAAGGAGAAGGTTGATGTGCCAGTTTTGTTTTTGCATGCAGAAAATGACAGATATTTAACTGAGGAAAGTGCACACTTTGCATTGAAGGAAGCATTGACCGAAAGAGCTCAGAAGGAATCAAAGGTTTTTATTGTGAAAGAGAGTTCTCATTGGATTCAATTTTATGGAGAAAAGTTTATTAAGGAAATTGATGAATTTATTAGAAAATAAATCCTGTCCAAGAGGTATGTGACAAACCACATTCATAAATTTACCATTCATCTCCTTCTTGATAGATGTTGGTTTCAATTTCTTGGTCCTTGGGAAATTTGAGTTCTTCCATTTCTTTAGCAAAATCCTTAAATGAATAATAATGGAAATTAAGAGCTCCTTCCAAGAATTGTTGGAATTGATGATTTTCAGATCTATGAAATGAATTTCCAGAATTTGGATTTCTTGACTCTGGGATTTTTCTTCCTTCAAAGCAATCAATAAATAAATTAAATATTTCTCTAAAGTAACATCTATTCTCATTCGTAAGATATTGTCGATGAATGGCATACATGAAATATAAAGGCATTGACCCATCAAGTGTATCTTGATTCCTTTTTCCAATACTACAACGATTTATAGGCGTAGCTCCAGATTGATTACGGTGTACATGCTCCAAAACATTAGAATCGAGTATCCCACTATAAAAGAGTGAATGAATGATATTGATATCCAAGTGATGTTTCAAACACCTGACTAGAATATAGAATCTGAAATCTATTGAGCTTTCCTTAATGAAATGAGGGTACTTTCTAATAATATGCAAACCCAATCCGCCATAGTCGGATGTTAGAATCGAGTGAATTGGTGCATTATTCTCCAAGAAACCTAAAAACTTGTAAATCAAACATGAATAAAAAACTTACAATCAACAAGAATTGGAATTTTAACTCCATATTCAATTGATTCCTGCACAAAAAAGTCAATGATATTCTTATACTTCTCTGCAACATAGTAAGAAGATATGGTTGTTCTGAATTTTGAGAAAATTCTCACAATTTTAGAAAAGAAAACTGAGCTGTCTTGGAAATCAATACGATACACTTCCGTATTGAACCTCCTAAAATGTGTATTGGCCGTCCTAGATTTCTTGGTAGGAAACGCCATGGTTTCGAACATTATCTTTCTTCTTAATAGAGGTTCCATATCAAACAACTTGTTGATTTTTTCTATAAATCTATATAAATCATCTGGAACTAATTCATCTTCTTTTAGCACGGAATGTTCCAATTCTAATGTGTAATTTGTAATATCATTGATAACGTGCTGATTACAATAACCATTCCATACTGATTTCCATTTAGTAGGTCTTTTTGATTGTTTGTCAACTTGCTTTTGCAAATCTTTCAAAAAAGTGTAGCTCTTCAATTTTAATCTCTTCTAAATTGATGCCTTTCGTCTTTGCTTTTCCACATAATTTCCAACAATTTCATCATTTTCATCATCATCAAAAACTACTGGTCTATTAATCGAATAGGAATACTGAACAGCTTCATCAATTGATTCATTCAAAGATTCCTCTTTAAACCAATTAGGAAACAATACTTTTGATTTTAAAACACAAATTCTAAGTTTTTCTCTCAATTGTGAAATGGAGTACACGAATTGACTACGTGGCAATGCACTTGCTCCTTTCAACACCTTGTATGCTAACTGTGGTACCTGAGGTCTTTCTATAATGGATTGAATAACCTTCTCCAAATCACTTTTTAAATTTGCTTCACACAATAATCGGAAAAAACTCTGATCAGTTGTGTCCAATAATTGCCAAGTAATGACAGGACTCATTAGGAGGGAAATTCTTTTAATTTCTTGCAATTCTAAATATTTGAAAATATTTAACCAACATTCGGTGGGTAATTGTTCAATGGTGGATCGAATTCGTTTGTTGCATTCATCATTGTTGCACAGGGAATGTTGCGCCATTTTTTTTGTGTTGGTTTTTGAAATTCTCAAGGTTGTGAACTTCTGAAATTCACACAAGTTTATATGATGACAATCTTTCCAATGGCTTGGTCACCACATTATTGGATTCGTTCAAGCACAGATGACATAAATATCATGATGTACTACTGTTTGAGTATTTTGTTTAAAATCCAAAATCTCCTAAATTTTGTAAACTATTTTTTTATTCCTCCCTCAAGAAGGATCAAGAAGCACGTAATGTGGTGACCAATATGAATTGCAGCATGTTGTTGATTTGATGATATTTTTTTCAAACAATTGGATATGAAGTTGGTGAAATTTGTAAATTCATCAAGTTCACTATTTATTTGCCTTAAATAATATGAAAACCATAACAATTTAAAGAACTTTACAAAAATTGAAAAGTTGAAATGTCAAAGAATGTGACACTGTTGCGTAAACTTCAAAAAAGTATAAACATATATGGTTAAAAAGGCAACAAATATAGGATTATCACTCCTATTGGGTAATTTTGAATCCATGGATCAAGATATGGTTCAAAGTTTAAGTGGAATAGGTCAGCAATTTGAAGTCAACTGTCAACTTGATAATTCTGATAATGAAGAAGAAGAATTAATTTTGCACAACAGAAAATCTAAAGAAGAATGTGAATATGAATATAAAACTCTTTTTCTTGGTGGTTTAATTGAAAAGATTACCAAAAAAAGTTATGCAAAGATAAGAAATGATGATTTACAAGTTCAGGAGGGAATGGAAAATTTCTATTTTGATAATTTGATTGAAATTAAAGCTGTTTCGAATGGAAAGGTTAAAGTTGATTCGAATAATTTCAAGAAGAGAGATGAAATTGATAACTTTATTCCTCCTGAGAGAGTTAATGTGGAAAATGTTGATATGGTGAAATGGGAAGATGAAATTGTTTGGGAAGATGATAGTAGAGTTGAAATTGGTAAACAAAGTTATTCGATACTAGAAGAATTATCAGTAATTGGTTATGAACATAATTCTGGTAATTGGGGAATGATTCATGTTTCGTCTGAGGAGGAAGCAATTATTCCTTTGCCTAAATCAATAACAATTACTACTGTACCTTTATCCAATTCCATTCTAGAAGAAACTCCTTTCCTATCCGAAACCTCTCTGAAAAAGAAGAGAAAATACCGAAAGAAAAAGAAATTCGACTCTCCTCAAGAAAATGTTCAAGTTTCTCCAAACAAATTGATAGATAAATCTAATTTAAAAGAAGAAAATCTTCAATTCCTTAATACTGATCTACTCAATTGTGATTGGTTGGACGAAATTTATTGGGATGATAATCAACCGAAACCAAACGAAGAAAAACTAATTCTTGACCTGAATGATAAATCAATGATTTATGATATTGATTTAGAAATCAAAGATAATGATGAAATTTCAGTTGAATTTCTTTATCAATCTTCTTGTAATCAAGTTTCGAATAGAAATGAAATAATTCCAAAGAAGTATCATGTTCAACATTCGAAACCGGCCATAGAGTTAGATTCCAAATATTATAACCTCTTCCCTAAAGGAAAGGAAGTTAGTCAAAAGAAATTGTCACATTTCAAGAAGAACGAATCTATCCGCTTGAATTATTCGAAACCAAAAAGAAAGATTAAATCGATTCAATCAAGAATGGATTTATCTGCTGTTGATAATCAACTTGTTTTAATGGAATTTTTGGAAAGATCCCCTTCACTCATTAACAAATTTGGAATGGCAACAAATATTGTAAACTATTGTAAGAAACCAGAAACATTTCAACCAATTCCAATTAACAAAAATGGAATAACTATAATGGTTGATAATGAGGATGAGATACCATTGTTGACTAATCTAGAATCTAATGATAAAATAATTACTGCACAAAATAACATGTACTCGTCACAAATTTATGAACAAAAAGTTAAGAATTCTGATTTCCTTTTATGTCAAAGAACAACCACAGATGGTAGAAGCACATGGTTTATAAGAGAAATACCGAATGAATATCTAGTTGGACATATTCAGCCTCAAATTGAAGTTTATCCTCCAAGAACTCGTTCACTAGATTCCTACATTAATAATGCACTCTCTTACCATATATGTAAATTCTTTAAGGATAAAATTAGAAATGGAAAGAAGGCAAAAATAAGTGTAAAGGATATAACTTCAAAGTTTGATGATATTCCTCGTCAAACTATTAGAGAAAAACTCAAAGAATTTGCCACTTTGGACAGAAAAGGAAATGTTTGGGTTGCAATTAAAGAAAAATTGCCAACCGATGAAGAATTACAAAGATTAGTGACACCTGAAATGATTTGTGTGAATGAATCAATGATATTAGGAGACTACAAGTTTAATAGACAACATATTGATGACAGATCTGACATGGTTGCTTATGAGCTGTCATATGCCAAATTAGAAGACAAGTATCGTAAATTAATTAATGCAATTCAGAGAATTAAAAATAATTTACCTTGGGAACAGACAAGCAATTTCCAACTTTGCTTTAAGAGTAATAAGGAAAATGTCAAATTAGAATTATTAGAGCTAGTTCAGCAGAATGTGAAAAATGTTGAGTTGTTTGTGAGTGAAATTAACAAACAAATTGAAATGGAAGCTGAAGAAATTCTTCCATCTTTGACTGATTCACAAGCAAGAAAGATTCTAATCGATTCCAAACTATTCCAAGACGAAACTATTAGTAATATGAGCAGATCTGAAAGAAAGTTCCAAGCCAGAACGTTGTTGAAACAAAGTGAAGAATATTCGAAAGTAGATTCAGAATTAGATAAAAGATCAGCCAAAACACTTGCCAGGATTAATGTTTTCAAAGATGCCCTTCGAGATGTTTATTGGAAAGAATCAATCAAACTTTCGAATGGATTAAACTTTTATGAAACATCTGAAAAAGAAGTTCAAGAGCTAATCTTGAAAAAGAAAGGTCATCGCACTAACAATGCTATAAATGCAGATATCGCAAGTAATGATTCATTGTCAACCCATTCAAGAAGTGAAATATTGGATGAGAATCCAATAGAAGAAAATGGAAATAAGAAGAAAAGAGGACGAAAGAAGAAGATTTCACTCAATAATCAATATGTTAAAAAGACAACCACTTTAGATGACAAGACAACTCGAGTTGAATATATTCATAATCCTGTCAGAGTAAATTATTATCAACAAGTTCAGAAGAGTAAGAGAAGATCAAAACATTTGATTGGAGCTCAAGATTGTGAAATTCTCTCAGTTGGACCAAGAGAAAGAGCAAGATTACAAGCACTTTCAAAGGAATTCAAGAAGAATTTCAATTCCACTGCTGATAAGGAAGAAGCCATTGAAAGACTTTTTAGAAAATCAGAGAAAATCAACACTTCAATCAAGAATGCTTCTTCTTCTTCTTCCTCTAATTCATCAAAAAACAAGAGAAAATCACAAGATGACAACAATCATAATAGGAAACAATCAACCAGTATTCGTCAACCAAGAAAGAAAACTAAAATCCATTAACAAAAAGCTCATCACTGCAATTTTGATAAATAATTTACATCTCTACAATTTATTCCTCATCAGATTCGCTTCCTTCTTCATCTTCAGATTCATCCTTCTTCTTCTTCTTCTTTGGAGGAGCACTTGATTTCTTAGCAGCCTTGTTTTGTTCCTTTTGTTGATTAGACAAATCAACATATGGCTTCTTTTCGTCATCATCCATTTCCTTCCACATTTCACTCAAGATCTTCTTAAGTTCAGCAGGTTTCTTTCCTTCATTTTCCTTCTTGTTCTTAGTTTCCTCTAACTTGGCAGCTTGGAAAATTTGCAAAGCAGATTGGGCTCTCTTAGGCTTGTCAGATGTTGTAGTCTTTTCTTCGTCAGACTTCTTTGGTGCACCTCTCTTCTTTGATCCCTTTGTTGTTGTCTTTTCTTCTTCTTCTTCATCATCATCTCCTTCGAGTTCAGCCTTGAGCTTCTTACTCTTCTTAGTGTATTTTTCCTTTACATCATCATCAGCATCTTTAAACATTTGAGACAAGATCTTATTAATTTCATTTTGCTTCTTTCCTGCGTTATCCTTCTTTACTTTTTCCATATTATCTATATATATCAATGATGAATAATATATTAAATAAAACTTGATGATGATGATGATAAATCATACCTTCTTTGAACAAAGCAAGAGGTGTTGGTGCTCTCTTTGGCTTTTCGTCATCAGAATCAGCAGCGGCCTTCTTCTTTGGTGGCATTGTATTTTTTGTTGGTTTTTTTTATTGGAGTGAGTTCTGTTGCAGCCAAACTCTCTTGCGAAAAAATTTTGAGCGCAATTTCAAGGTAGACTTCTTTACACACAAAGCCTTCGGAAAAGCCTTGATGAACGTAACGGAAAAGTTGTTGGCGGCAAACAATTGTTATCATCACGTTCAAACAAATTCTATTGTCATGATTTTTGAGAATAGTTACTGAAATAGTAAGAAGACTGTAGATAACAATCGTAAAACTCAATACAGTAATTGATGATCATCTCCTTTTCATGATTGCTAGCCTTTGATTTATTCGAAACAATGTACGATTACCACAATATTAAGGAAGGCAACAACAATTTCAATTTATTTACAACAATTATTTGAAATATTAATCACACAAACCAGCTATTCTATTATACACTACTTGGTCAATAATCCAAACTACAGCAGATAAATAATAAACTCCAATAATAAGTAGTTTCAAAACTGAATCCCAAAACAGAAAATTAATAATTGCCTTTGTGGTTGGTAGATTTGAAATCCCAATCAATTTCCAATATGATATTTCCATCCAATACCATAGAAGGAAAGTTGAAAGAGAAACAGGAAGTATTAAGAATGCAGAAAAAAATCTTAAAAAATCAGTAGCTCCATAGACAGTAATATGGAACTTGGTAATCGTAAATTTGGTTGCAACTGTCTTAATCTTTTCAAAGTTTGATTCTGTTGTGCTGCATGTCCCATAATATGACTGATTGATAATAAATCCCTTAACACCTAAAAATATCAAGTAGATGATGAATGACACAACTAAAATAATTGATATAGCTATCAGTACTTTCTTTACAATATCAACTGTTGTGTATAAAGCAACAATTCGTGAAACTAGGTCTCTCTTTTGCCTAGAAAGGTGTGTCATTGAATCATCCAACCAAGGTTCCCAGAATTTTTTCTCATTTAACCTATTCATGGTATTCCATCGATAGTAATATATCTTATCCAAGAGGTCATCAATCAATTTTCTGGCTTCTCTCAATGTTTCAACATTGTACAATTCTTGATTTAAATCATAAATTTCTTGTTCAATGTCAAAGCTTCCAACTAATCGATCAGTTTCTTCCAAATAACTGAGTGAAAAATCTTCAATTGGAATAGATTTCATTATCTTACTCTCTAATGTGATTTTCTTAATTTGTGAATATTGCCTCACTAAAAAATCATTAATCAATCCACCACTTTCAAATAAATAGGGACCCATGATCAAAAAGATTAGTTTAAACCTTTCGAATTCAGTTTCGTTAAACTTTTCAAAGGCTTGGCTAATTCTCTCATGTTGATGGGCCAAATAACTTGTCGGATCTCTTCTCATTAATGTAGCAAGTCTTTGAATATCCTCTTCAACATTTCCATTCAACAATTTTTGATATAATGCTTTGTCTTCTTGCTGTTTGTAAACTTGTTGCAATTCTGAACATAAATCCATCATGGAAATTTTAGCCTCTAGATCATCTTTTGCTTTGGCATAACGTTCGAGGGTAGTTTGTTCTTGGTGTGTTTTCATTTTTTTTTGAGTAGAGCAAGAGAGTTTTGCTTGGCGACGAGAAAATAGGTTGTGATTAAAAATAAACAGCAAAAATATTTGTTTGTATAAACAAATCGGATTGGAAGAATCTTTTGGAAGTAGTATTAGAAAGCAAACATTAGTTTACAATGTTCGAATTGCATGCTTGTTTTTTGTAGAAATATGGTCACATGATATTTTCAATCAAGGTTAATGCAGTTTTGGAATAACGTTGAAAGGCGATTTTCAATATTTTCTGCTGAAGGTCTAATTTTTGGATCATCAGCCACCATATCCCTAATGATATCACCAAATTCAGTGTAATCCCAATCTAGAGTTTTCAACATGTTTGTTGGAATGTTCTTAATACCCTGTCTCCACAGTTGTAAAAAGACTGATTCATTTTTCAGATACAATAAAGAGGCTCCCAATGAGTAAATGTCACATTTCTCAGTGTATGGTTGGGAAGCAGCAACTTCTGGGGCTTTAAAAATACTGGTACCTAAGTTTTCGTTGATTTCAGTTCCTGAATTTTTGCAAAAGTATATTCCATTCTTTTCCACAAACTCTAAACTTAACCCAAAGTCAATTAATACAAACCACATGAAGCTTGATGGATCACTGAGTGATCTAGTCATTATATTATCGGGCTTAACATCTCTATGAATAATATTGTGGCCATGGAGATGGTTCAATGCTATGGAAATATCTATTGCCAAGGCCATTATATCTTTTTCAGACATTTTCTCTGGGAGACTGTTCAACTTTTCAAACTCTACGTCATTCTTATACACATTTAGAATTTGGGGCAAGTACATGCAGTAACATGAATTACTAATCAATTTCAGAATGATTTCTTTCTCTTCAGGTGAAACCACTTTCAGGAAAGAGTTTGATTGTAGGACATAGTTGACTCTTTCGTTCTTTTCGTCTTCGTGTTTTTTTAACACCACTTTTCCGTGTTTGGAAATTTTACTACACCTCTTTGAACTGAGAATATCAGATAGTAATTGCCCAGTTGGTATCAAAAGCTTATTTGGTGTATTGGCTGGTCTGAAAGGAGTGATGGTTGTGAAAATATTAGAAGGAACGTATTGCAAAATAAATTGCATAATATACGTAAACAATAATATCGCTCCATGCAACTTCATATCAAACCTTTGAAAGTAGAGAGAATATTCTGGGATGTTTTCATTTCCTTTCTTATTAATTTGTGCATCTAATATAAAAACGAATGTATCTAATTTGGTATAACATAACCCCAAGACTTTGCTATATTTGTTAATTTCTTCTTGGCACATAAATACTGTATTCATGTTTTGTTTCAGCTGGCTCTTCATTGAAATAATCAGTTTATAGGCATCAATGCCAAAATCTTCCCAATCCACGCGATCATCAAAAGATGTATCCTCTCTTCTACAATATACATAGTCTTTTTCAGTTTGAATAAGGCCATCATTTCTTACATTGAAGCTTTTGATTTTGTCATCTAATATCACTGTGTTTTGCTTGTCTCTACAAAATTGAATGTGATGAACAAGTAACATAACTTACTCGTTTTGTTTGTGACCTTTTAGTGTGCAGATTACATCTAACAACGAAAACATTGCACCAGAAACAACCACCTCTCCTAAATTGCGCTCGAATGAAATTCTTTCCAATCGTTCAAGTGCAGACAATAAAGAAAAGAGTGCCTTCTCTGTATTGTTATGGGGTGGAAGTGCAAATTCTTTTATCATATTCTGTTGACATTCTTTAAATAAGGAAATGGATTCAGATAACTTGTTGCTTTGAAATTGTTGATACAATGACAGAAGGCTGATCAGGAAGGGTGATTCTTCAACACATAGAGGATTTTCATTTTCTGGTTTGGGAACAATATTCAACAAGGAGCAAAACTTGGTGGTGAATTGTGTTTTTGTCCATTCTGTTTTCGTGAAATTTAATTCGGAACTTTCCTGCAATTTATCAACGTATTGCAGTACCATATCCAATTTGATATCGTCATCAGCCACTGCTTCGAAAGCCTCTTCCCATCGTTGGGTTGCCGATTTTGTTAATAGAGGACCAATTTTTCTTTTACTCATTTTTTTAAAATAATTTTTTGGCGCCTTAATTGCCTCTAAAGGATATCATGAATGAAATCTTGAAATTTGCTACCAGTGCTCAATTATCAGAAAGCATCCTTCTGCTTGAATGTGTTTGTGGAAATTACGTTATCAATTCTAAAAGAGATTAGTTAAAATCAATTCCTTTCAGAAAGATGACTCACAAAAAGAGGTTCAAGACGAATGAAACATTAACTAAACTTATTAAGGGATAATTGTTGCTTTCTAAATATTTATAAATTTGTTACAACATATGAAACTTGGTTATCTTATTTACCATTACTATTTATTTAGAAATTGAAAGTTTGTGCTTTAGGATAGATTCTGACAAAAAAGGTATTCCATTAAAAGCCATCAAGAAAATTCATAAAAAAATGGGATCACAAAATACTAAAGCTCTTGCCGAAAGTGACCTAAACAGTATTGAACACGCTGAACCTCAGAAATTTTCCAACGATGTTTGTATACTCATCTTTTCCTTCATCAATTCTGCAGAAAATACGAAATTTCTTGTCGATTCTTGTTCGAAAGTTTGTAGCCAGTGGCGTCAATTTATCAAATACGAATGTGGCCTGAAAATAGATATTCACTTTGCAAAAAACAAAGAATTGAAGAAAAAACTCCGTGATGGATGTTTGAAATATTACAATGTTTCATCATTGAAAATTCGTCTAACTTCTCTTGTTAATTTGAATGGAAAATCAATGAATTCCCTTTGTAAAGGAGCTAATTCACATTTACTGAGAGAATTGAACTTGACTGGAACAGGATGTGATGCAGAGAGTTTCAAGATTATTGTAACAACTCTAAGATTGGAATCTTTGAATTTTTCATTTAATAGTATTAGTGATGATTCATTGGTGATATTGAGCCAAAATGAGGGAATGAAAAATTTGAGAGTTTTGCATGTTTCTGGTGATTTTACAAATGATGGCATTTTGGCAATGACAAATAGTCCATACTTGAAGAAATTGGAAGAGTTTTATGCTCATTCACCTCTGAAAAAACTGTCAATTATTGCTCTTGTTGACACTTTCAAGTTGAAAGCATTGGAATTTAGAGTAACAAAAGAGAATGATGAGGTATTTGAATACTTTTCCAAAAATGAGAATTTATCTCAATTAACTTACCTCTCTGTTCAACCACAAACTTATGAGTATTTTGAAAGCAGCATTTGTTTAATAGCTAACAATCCATTTTTAACTAAATTGAGATACTTGGATATTTCTCGACTATTAATTGAAAACGAAGGATTGGTCAAACTATTCTCAAGTCATATCATGTCAACAATGAAAACATTAATAGCTGACTCCTGTGAAATTAAAAAAGAGGAAGCTATAGCACTTGCTTCCAATAGACTTATCAGAAACCTCACCTATCTCTCCTTAGCGGATAATGGAATTGGATCTGGGTTTGAAGCATTAATAACATCACCAATTATGAGGAATGTCACATCCCTGAATGTAAGCAACAGTGATCCCGGAATAGGAAATGTTGGCTGTTTAAAAATTGGCTCTAGTGAATATTTGTATAATTTGACATATCTCAATATTTCCAATAACAAAATTAATGAAGTTGGAATTATTGGACTTACATTTGGAAATATGCTCGACTTGAAAGAGCTGAATCTGTCACGAAATGTCTTCTCAGATGAAGCCCATCAATTGCTTGACGATTGTATTTTTCTGAAGCCAGTTGAGGTGGATAAATGGGGTTGTAAATATGAAACTAGAAAACCACATCCAATGAAATAGAATTAAGAAGGTCTCATTTGATTGAATCCTTTATAAATTTCTATTTGCTTCTTTGGTTCTGAATTGCTAGGTCACATTACCACCACAATGGCAAATCCGTATGAATTTCAAATTAATTTTTGGAAGGTTTACAAGTTTTGTTTAATATGCATCAATTCCACTGAAATTTCAGTAAAAGATGGTCGATTATTGAAATCATCAGCCCATGCCATCTTTAAAATGGAAAATAATCCATCGAGTGCTTTCATATAACTATCTAATGGATCATCAACTAGTCCAAGATTATTTCCCACATTCCCTTGATTGGTAAATTTGAAATCTTCCACAACAAAATATTCTCTAATCCACATTCTCATAATTTGTGAATGAGAATTGATTGGCAAGGTTGGAATTGGTAAACGTAATCCTTCAGAAATCAATTTTGGAATAAACAATAGAGAGCTTTGATTGGCAAGTGATGAAAATGTTTCAATTTCCTGTTTTGACATGATGGTAGAAATTTTTGGATTTGTTGTATAGTTTTGATGGAATAGTACTGTCTCATCAAATAACAATTGCCACATTATAATAGAAAAACTATAGACATCTGATTTTTCATTGTAATTTTTTCCTAATAGAATCTCTGGACACATGTAGAGCAATGTTCCAATATGCTGTGTTTTGGTTGTGTTTGAGCTTTGATTGGAAAGTGTTGATAAACCAAAGTCAGCAATTTTAGGTGTTAAATCATTGGATAGTAGAATATTTCCTGGTTTCAAATCTCTGATTGAATTGATTAGTTAAAAATATACGAAATCAACTCACCTGTGAATAATCATACAATTATCCTTTCCACCATGTAAATAACTCATTCCATTTGCAATTCCAATAAGAATTGAAACTTTTTCTCTCAGATTGATATGTTTCTTCTTCATTTTACAATCATAAATTAATTTTTCCAAACATCCTCCATTCATATATTCAGTTACCATGAATTTTGATTGATCTGATAAGACCACTCCATAAAGGTTAACAACATTTGGATGTCTTATAGATGAAAGCATTGAAGATTCATGTTCAAATTCACTAGAATCCATATCATCTTCCTCTAATTTAATTGTCTTCAAAGCAACTTCAACATTTTTCCAACTAAATTTCACATAATTGAATAAGATTATAGAGTCCATGAATTAAACTTACAGAGCTAGATAGACAACTCCCATTCCTCCTTCACCAATCTTTTTTATAACCTTGATATCCTCAATCTTGATTAGCCAATTCTTAATGGAATATTTGGATTCTAATTCAGATGTATATAGTGATTGTAAATCCAATAATTTTTGAGTCAACTCTTCCTCTGCTTGTTCCTTCTTATGAAGAACTTTAATTTTACTCTTCATTCCATAAAATTTGAAACAAACAATTCCAATAATAGTAAAAACTATACATCCTACAATAAGTACAGATGACACTACAAATGGAATGATAAGGTATGAGTTAAATTCACATGAGTATGCAAAACCACCATTTACAATCTTTTTCATATCCGCTTGAAGAGAGAACCAAGGTTTACATTCCATTGGGGTCACAGCAATTTCTATTTGGGATGAAAATGTTCCAGTTTTGAATAGAGATGACTTGATTGTAAATATTAAAGTTCCATTTCCTCTTAATTTTTCATTGGTAGATCTAGAATATAGAATTCCATCAATTTCATTGGTGGTCGGCTGATGAATTTCAAATGTCATGTCCTTGGAAGGTTTTGTTTCCACAGAGAGTTCCATTTCAGTGAACGAATTCACTGGAATATTATCATTTCCATATGTATTGTCAAACAAATCTAAATTGAGCACTAATTTCTCTCCAAATGATGTTTCCAACATTTTAGCATTGCTATTGCTATCATTACTCATTGATAGAAATTGTTTTACTGGAATTCTTAAACTGATAATCTCTGGGAATGCATCATGATTTGAAAGCTTTCCATTTCCATTGTAATTGTCTTTGCACCGATCTATCAAAGGTACGCCATTCTCTTGTTTCGTTCCAACAGTATAGGCACCTCCACCAGATATTCCTGCATAATTATTATTGATTGAAAATGTTTGAAATCCAAGATTCAAGACGGTTTTCAATGTGAAAATAGCTCCACCATATTTGGTGGCTTTGTTTTTCTCAAATGTTGATGAGTATATATAAACACTAGAGGAATAGGTAAAATCAATAGATGCACAAGCACCTCCATAAGATGCTGTATTGTTATAAAAATACTATTTTTGATTAATTTTTGGTCAATTAGGCCAACCTTAACGAAACTACTTACATCTACACTACTTTTGTATTTATGAGCTTGAAAATTGAGAACTGCACCTCCTGTAATTCCTTCATTGTTAATAAAAATACATGATTCTGTTGTTAATAGGGATTGATATTGTAAAATAGCTCCGCCTCCTCTTTCGTCTGCCTTAATATTTGATAAACTTTCACTCGAATCTAAAACTTGCTTGTTATTCTCAAATATTGTATTATGAGCAAATAGATTATAAATAGTTTGTAAATTAATAGCTGCTCCTCCCTTAACATTCGAATTATCTTTAAAATGTGACCATTCTACTTCTGCATTGATACCAGTTCCCTCTAAATACATTGCACCAACTGATTGACAATTGGAAAATACAGACGCTGACACTAATACGTTGCAGATTGCAGAGGAAGTAACTGAAAATGCTGCATAAATGGAATTGGGTATTAATGAAAGTACAATTGCCAATTTGTTTGGAATATTTTGAATGAGTTCACAATTTTGAATAGTAACAGAAAGTGCTTCACGTGCTTGAATGGATGACCTATAAAATTTGGAACTGGCAATATAAAATGATGGTCTAGGGACCGATTTTGGAGTGTATCCTAAACCATTAGTTAAATCTAAAAGAGAATATTCAAATGTGGAATTTTCAACTAGCAACGAACCATTCGAAAGTGTAGATCCAACATATAAATTACAGCCAATAATATGTGAATTTCTTACAATAACTTCCTTACTGCTCGTATCTATTGATCCAAGTTCAATGAAAATATTAAATATAACCTTTTTCAAATCGATATTCGAATCTTTTTCAAGCAATTGTTTCAAATTTTCTGTTCCTACTTGTATATTATCCAGAATTAAACTTCTCCGAATATCATTCACCACAAAATCAACTATTGTACAGTTGAAAATTTCCAATTGACTAACTCCAAACATTACCAAATCCAAATTCAAATTTGAAAATCTAACCAATGGTATTTTGACTTGGTTCTGATCCGCACTACATTCCAAGTTGACCAATCGATTCGTTCCCATAAAATGAATGCTATCAATAGTCACATTCTCATTATTAAACAAAATACAATCACCTATCCAATTATTCATCAATTTAATTAGAATATTATTTCCTGAATTTGTATTATTCATTAAATTATCAATAGGATATCGAATTGTTTTACATGGTAAACTTTCCATCATTCCACATGTGGGAGAATCTTGTCCAATCCTGGAGTGAATATAAAATTCCACATTATTTGCCAAACTAAATGATGAAAAGAAGATTAGAATCGACAAGACCAAATAAAAACAATGTGGCTGATGGATGGGTGTTGCATGGTTTGGATGCATTTTTTTTTGAATCTTCCTTGAAACGCGTCAATGTCCATGAATGTTACAAATTTGTTCACAAATTAAGAATTTTTACAATAATATCGGACCAAAATAATAACCGTGCTAATCATTCAAAAAATTAGATTTCAATATATTATCAAGTTGTGTCAATCCTCCCAATTTCTTAGTAGTACCGTAAATACAGTCACTGGGGAAAATAAAACGGTACTACTAAGAACTTTATTGAGATAATCAATTGGGTGTTTTTGGAATTGTAATCTGTTGGGGAAAAGAACATGCAGTTATGTCTTTTTAAATCTTGCAAATTTGTGAAATCTTTCTCTTGTTGCATTTGTTTCAATTTCTCTTTTGAGTTCAGGTAAATATTCAACAAGTGGATTGTCCATCAATAAACAAGACATGATCATATAAATTGGTGTAATCACAAATGCTTCTTGTAAGAGAAATGCTGGAGTTCTGTCATCAATCAAAATATGTCCTATAATGATTTGGAAAATTAAGGCAATTAACAAACAACCAACTGCATTGAATAAAACTGTAAATGATTGACTATTTGGATCTCCACTATTCAAGCAAACAATTGATTTAACAAATAAGGAAATAGCCAAACAAATAAATGTCAAAAAATATGGAACAATTCTATCAATTCCCATTGAAAATATCACATATAAAACACTCCACAAATAAATCAATGGCAGAGTCAATTCCAATCCAGTTGTAAATCTTGTTAAAAATCCAAACATTAACCATAATCCACTAAAAAATGGAATAATGGTCAACAAGTGTAAAAATCTATTCAATTTTGATGGGTGAAAATAATGTGTGAATGCAAGAGTTTGTTGTAAAATGTGTTCGCATTCGTTTTGTTGGTTAGTCAATTTTACAGTTTCATTTTTGAATCTGTTGTAAAGTAAAACGTAGAGAGGTGAGAGAAAAGTTCTCACTTGGTGGATGGGCTGTGTTTGCTGTTGGGACATTTTTTTCTGATTGGTTGAACTGGACTGCGCTAGCATTAATTTCATGAGATTACAACATTCTGAAAGCTGATAATAAAACTATTATTTATAATCAGAAATTAAATAAATTGACCAGTTCAATAATTAATCCCATGTTCTTGGCAATATTCAACAAGTGAAGAAACATCTGAAACATTAATCAATTTTTTCAATTCTGGTAGAATAATCATTTCAAAAAACTCAACGAATGGCTTCGAATGAACTGATATACTATTTGAATACGATAATGGATTATTGAAATTCAGATCTGAATCATTCAAGCACTTTTCACAAATTCTCCAATCTTGTGGTTGACAGTCAACTTTAATTCGTTGATCTGAATTGTGATTATCTTCCCAAAACTCCCTCATGGCAACACTATGTTTTCTTAAGCAATCATTGCATCTAACAAATTCTCCTCCAACATGAATGGCATGAAATTCAACAAGAGTTAAATTATTAACATGATGCACTTGGCATGATTTGGAAATCATAACTCCTCCAGAGCTGCCAAAAAATAGACATTCAGAGCTAGCTAGACACTCTTGATTGGAAGAGTTGTACCTGAACTCTTCGTCCTTCTCCCATTCATCATTGATGTTTCTGAAAGGATGTAAAATTTTGCCGAAACTTGCACACAAAGTTCCATAACCATTAAAGATATTGCTTTTCATAACCAATTCACTGGGTGCCCAACTAGCATAGTTTGCATAATCTTTTAATGGTGAAGTGTTTTCTTCATCACCAGGATAGGAAAGAGTAATAATTTCATCTCCTGGTTGCAATACTGTTGATGAAGGTATGAAAATCACATTATTTGGTTTGCCTGTGAATAGGACAGCAGAAAAATCAAAGAATGAAAAGTCTCCAATCTCTCCAGTAATTGCATCAATTCCTGTCCATATTTTTGTTTGTTTGAACTTGGTTTCGTAGGGAGTTAGTTTCAATAATTGTCCTGAAAAACATAATCTCTTCTTTTCTGGAAGTTGCTCTACTTGTTTAAGAGCATCATCAAAATAACCAATATTCCATGCATTACTAAATGCAAAGCAAGGATTTGTTCCAATCTTTTCATTAACATGGCAATTAGTAATCACCAAATTGGGAAGCATATAAAAACCAGATCCTGATGTTACAACCTTCTTTGGTAGAGAGGATTCGCGTTGTTTGTCCAATGCACACAACCTAACTACAGCCATTGAACCCTCTTTGGCACTAGATAATTCCTTCAAAGTATCAAAATATTCACTAATATACCTGCATATTGGGGCAGCCCAAGATTTCTGATTAAACCAAAAAACATTGAAACAAGTGTTGGGAGGAAAATGATCCTTACACAGTTTCAATTCGTCAAAGCTTTCAATTGTGGAGGTAATTTCATGAGCAGAAGGAATGTAACAAGTAATCACCTCAAGGTGTTCCTTAACGAATCTCATTTTTGTGTTTTTTTTGTTTGCTTTCTGCGGATGGCGGTTAGAAACATTAAGGAATGCCTTAAAGCCTTCGAAAAATAACTTGTTGTTTCATAGGTTTGTACAAATAATTGTATGCAAATTGCAATCTAAAAGAGTTTTTGATTAATTTTGAGAACAGAACTTGGTTATTATTTATTGTGTAATGGTGCAATGTCTAATTCTGCTTCAAAAATTAATATCGGAAAGTTTAATCACTCTTTTGGGGAGCAAGTTTGTAAATTCTGATTTGAGCCAAAATATTCTTGGCAACGTTAGTGTGCAAGTAAACATCACCCTTGAAGGCCTTAGTGGCATCCTTACCAAGATAAGCTTTCAAGATAGTTTCACCACCTGGATGTTCACCAATAAAGTTAGTGACATCATGGACAACATTATCAATAATGATTAAAGATTTGGTCTTGCAATCCTTTTGGAATTCTTCATATGATTTGGTTGGCAACTTTTCAAGAGGAGTACCCCAATCATAAAGTTTCTTTTCTTCATCAATCTTCTTTTGTTCTTCATCGATTCTCTTTTGCATCATGATAAGTTTACCCTTTTCGTAGTGAATTGGATCACAACGTTTCAAATCATAGGTCATGCCAAAGAGAGAGAACATATAGAGAAGCCATTTGCCTGGGTCATAGTGATACCAACGAACACCATTTCTGTAATCGTAGGCGAATGTGTGATGGAAATTGTGATAACCTTCACCAAAAGTGAACAAACTGACCATATATGAATCACAAGCTGTGTGATCGTCATTGAAAGTGGAAACACCCCAAGAGTGAGCCAAACTGTTAATAAAGAAAGTACAATGTTGGAGGAAAGTCTTTGACAAGACACCTGCGATGAAGAAGCCACCATAATAATCGCCCCAACATAAACCAGCAATCAGCATTGGACACAAATATCCCAAAAAGACAGCCAAATATGGATAATATTCATGATGGAATTTGATAACAGGATCAGAAAGTAAATCCTTAGCATTTGTAGTATCAACTTCTCTCTTCCACATCAACCATCCCATGTGAGCATAGAAGAAAGAGTTCTTAATATTGTATGGATCTCTTTCAGTATCAACATATTGATGGTGTCTACGGTGATCAGCTGACCAAGAAACAACACTTCCTTGGAAAGCACTTGTACCGAGTAACATTAAGAAAACTCTAACTGGCCATGTTGCCTTACAGGAACGATGAGCAAAAACTCTGTGATAACCAGCAGTAATACCAATACCAGCAATGTAATATCCAACAAAGCTCAAAACATAAGTCTTCCAGTTGAAAGCACAAGTCATAACACCATAAATAGTACCAACAACGGATCCAATCAAGTAAATGGTGATGAACCAGTCAATATTTCTCAAATCAACTTCATTTTCAAAAGTCTTTCCCAAATCAGAGAAGAAAGTAGTACCACCAATACCTTCCAAATTCTTACCAAACTTTTCACAGAGAGCATTCTTAGCCTTATTCCAGTTATAGTTTGGAACAACCTTGATCAACTTTTCCTTCAAGTTTTGAGTAATTGTTTCATTGTTATTATTGGCCTTCTTGTTCCACTTCAACTTGATTCTATAAGAATGGTTGGCATAGTTAGTCAAGAATTCAATAATAGATGGGAAATGAGTAATGGTATTCTTCTTAGCATCAGCATCATTGACCTTCATAAAAGTAGAGTTGATCAAATGGTAGGCAATAAGTGGAGCAACATAGAACTTGACCAATCCCCACAAACCAACAAAGTAAACCATCAAAGAGAAGAATGCAGCAGCAAATACATAGAGAACAACTGCATTGATAACAATACTCTTCTTAGTTTCAAAATAAATGTTAGCTCTGAACCAATCAAAGATTGAACTCAAAAACCACAATGGACTCTTCAAAACAAAAGCCAAAGCTTTCATAACAAAACCTTCATCTTCTTGATTGACATTTTGTGATTTTTCTTCTTCTGACTTGTTTGCCAAGGTCTTAAAAGCTTCAAATGGATAAAGCAATGGCAACATGCAAATCATACCAACCAAATCATTGACCCAACTTGGCATTGTCTTTTGATTGAAAAATCTATTTTCACTACAAGCATAAGCAACACCCATCAAACCACTGGCACACAAGCCAACAAAGAACCAACTGATTGGAAGTAAATACCATGGAAACATGGCAGCAGCAACAATACCAAGAGTAAGGAAGGCAATTGTCATTAAAACTTGAGACCAAGCTTTGGTACTTGACAATTGGAAAGCATCCGAATCTTGCAATAAACGTTTGATTTCATCCCAAGAGAGATTATTCTGATCTTGCTGTTGAAGCAGCAATTGTGTATCCTCACCACGACTGACAGTCATTTTCTCTCTGTGTAGTAACGAGAAGCGCAACAAAGAGCAGGTGTGGTAGTTTTTTTTTAATAGCAAATTAAAGATTCAAGCCAGGGGATTTAAGCGACGGTACATGTCCGAACCAATCGGTTGTTGATGGCGTGAAGTGAGAGCGTGCACTAGGCAATGGGCTAAAATTGAGCGTTGCTTTTTGTTGAAATTTCCTGAAAGAACAAGCAAGGTGCAGGCATAAGCGTACAATATTCATAGGCCACAACATTAGGAGTTTTTGAATTGTTTAATATTAAATCAGCTTATTGATCCGTATACATAGAGGGAGCTGAAGTGGATCATTTATCAGTTGATCTCAATATTGTTGTGATGGTAATATTCAACCAAATCATTGAGAAAGGAACAGTTTCACAGATGAGTAAGCTATTTATTGGAAGGTTGAGGAAGAAGAGACTTCACAGGTTTCATAATTGATGTTGAGTTTGCTAAATTTCGAAATTTTCCGAAGCTTCAAATATGAATATTCACCCTTATCGCTTTAAAAGAAACATTACACATCTGGGTTATCACATTTGTTGAAATTCTCGAAATGGTTCATTCTTGCGGTTGACCAGTTAATACATTAATAATTTGATTGAATATTTAATAATAATTAAATTATCTTTAATTTATTTTGAAATTATTAAAAAAAAAATGTCCAGCAGTTTTTCAAAGGGAGTTTTACACCTTTTTAAAAATAATAAATCTGTTGTTATTTTCTCTGCCATCACAGTTGCAGGTTTTATTGGATCAATTAAAGTATTAAAAGATGATTCCGATACCAAGTGGAGAAGACATGAAGGAATTTTCAAAGATAGAGATAGATTAAATCAGAGAAGAATTGCCAATGGAATGCAACCAATGGCTGATGAATTTTCGGATCCGAAATTAGTTGAAGAATGGCTTGAATGGAAAAAGAAGAATGGTGTCAAATACTAAGATTGGGTGTATTATTTTGTTAGTACATAGACGAACAAACTTTCTTCATCATCATGTGTAATGCTGATTTTTGAACAATTGTGGGTGTCGAATGAAATCAAGTCATCTTTGGATTCTTCCTCAGTTTCTGGTTCTAATGAGTAATCGTATTGGCTAAATACAACCCATTTACGTTTTGGTTTTAAAATTCTTATGACTTGGTGTTGAACTGTTCTCACATTTTCAATTCCTTTATCAACAATTCCTTCTTCGTAGGATTCTGCATCTTCTTCCATGTATAAAGAGTCTAATGTTGCCTTATCAATCACAATATCAAATGAGTTTTCAGCAAATGTACTTTCCATATTTCTCATATCTTGTAAAATATATTGAATTGAATTCTCTCCTAAAACTTCAATGGAATATTCTTTCATCATTTCACACAAACTTTGAGAAATGTCTGTGCATACAATATTTTTGTAACCCATTTTGTAAATATCAACAGGAAGTGTTGAAAGTCCAGCTCCCAAAATCAAAATTGTAGAATCCTTTTTCAAATTCTTCATTATTGGTTTCAAATGCTTCTTTACCACTGAAAATTCACCGTACCAATCCCTTTCCAAATATTTCTCATTTTCAAAATATTGAGAAAGTGTTAATTCATTATTCAATTTCTTTTTTTCCTCATAATCCAATTTGATTTTTGAATACATTCTTTTTGGATGAGTTATTAAATCCACAACAATGCTTACCTATCCCAAAAATCAATTGAATGTAATTCCAATTTTTCAGATCCACCAAATGACATTTTTCTCAAATTTTCAATATAAGATACAGCCCTTTCTTTTGCCTCTTCCAATAATATTTCTTGTTCTTCAAAAGATGAACATTCCTTTCTATATCTGTGAATATAATCTCTAAATATTTCTCTCATCATTCTATTTGTTTCTGCCAATTGTGAAGGAGGAAATGTTTCCCTGTGCAATTTAAAAATCATTCTATAAATCGGAAACCACACTGGCATTTTCTTTTCAGTTTTTGGTGCTCCGAATAGAGTGACATAATTTCTTCCTAATGATGACATTATCGATAAATTATTTAAAGTAGTAACTTGTTTCATGGTACGAAGAGAAAATAACAGTGTGTTGTGTTTTTGATAGCCTTGTTTGAACATTTTTTTTTTAAATTTTAAATAAATTTAATTGTTTTTCAACAGTTTTATTAGTGGACCCAAAACTGTTGGTATTTTCCTTTTGCCACGATTCGTATCTTCTTCTTTGAAGTTGATGTATTGGTGGTTTTCGCTTCTTTGACATTTTTATTTTCAAACTTTCTCTATTTGTGGTTATGTTAACATGATAGGATGATTGGGTTCAAGTTATTTTAACAATCTTTTTTTAGATATTGTAAGCTAACAAGTGAATCGATTGAATCCATTACAACAAAACAATTTGAAAAAAATGGTAAAACACGCCTTTGCAAAATTTGCAACCGATCTTGAAAGGATTTCTGGAGGTGTTTTTAAATTTGTAAGTAATGGCAATAACCAGTCTCCATCCTTACAAGTGGCTGACAATACTACTTTTAACACCTCAACCACATCAAATAAAAGAAAAAGACATGAAGAAGATAATTCCGAAAGTTCTATCAACAGTGACCCAAAACCAATGCAACCTAAAAAACAACATATGAATCAACCATTGGATAAGTGTTTAGGGAAAAATGATGATTTTCTATTGAGTGAGTTAGGTTTGGACCCTGAAGAGATGAACAAAGAGGAGGATGTTGGTGAAACAAATGTCACTTCAATTAATGGTAATAACGATAAAAAAGAAGATAATTTGGTGAATCGTCTTTCGAGTCAAAATATTGAACTTCAGAAGAAATTAGATGATGCCATTCAATTACAAAGTTATCTTGCTTTAGAATTGGCCAAGACAAGCAAGGAATAAGAAAATTCAAATGCTAAACTCAAATTCAAAACCATTGAATCAAAACAAAAATCCAAATACATCAGTCATATATTTACCAGTATTGCTACTTTGTCCAAATATGTATCACCAGAGTTTGTTATTAAAGATCCTTGCAAATTGATGGAAAATACTCCAATTAAAGAAGAATATCTTTCTACAATTGATACTCAAGAAAATGGCCAATAAATAAATCCAAAAAATTGAGATTATTTTGAATTATTGCAAATTGCAATTAATTGTTTAAATGAAAAACACAAGGAGGGAAGTTGCCGCCAATGGAGGTTTTTGGGAATATGGTCATTTAACAAGTACAAGCCAATTCAGTAATCTCTTGTTAAAAAGTCATCCATTACAGGTGCTGTGAATTAAGAATGGATTTGTTTAAAATTGTAATTAAATTCTTTATTTTCCAACAACTAATTTCTTTTGGAAATCCTTAATTTCATTATCATAATCAGTCCATTCAGGAATAATTCTCTTGGCACTTGCCAATTTGTGTTCCTTAGTTTGTGGATTGTTACAAAGATCAATTGTCTTGGCTTTAGCCTTGCTTTCATCTGAACACCAACTTTCACACCACAACCATTCTTGAGGAAGTGAACGAATTGGAACATTGTGTTGAGCATAGTTTGGAAGATCTTGATCGAGATTGGATAAACTATTTGGATCTCTGGCAAGATTATCATAAACCATTCTAAATTGATCACCATGATAATTTCTTCTAAACATATCAATATCAACTACATAGAGAGCAGAAATGTGGTATGGTCTTCCACCGAGATGGTTGGCCCAATAACCAGTCTTCCAGAATCTGTAACCATCCATCTCCTTTCTAGATTCACAGAAAGGAGTGTAGGCCAAAGCTTTACCTTGCATATCCAAATCAAAGAATAATTCTGACATGTCAGTTCTACAAACTTGATCAGCATCCACAAAGATAATCTTGTTAACTTCTTGAAGTGGGAATAATACGTCAAGGAAGAGAACCTTATAGGCCCAAATTAATCTTTGCTTGGTTTGTTGCTTATGAAGCCAGTGAGGCCATTGGTAGCTGATTAAACCGTATTCAAAGTTGTAAGCTTTGGCATATTCTGGTAAGAATTGCTTCAAAGAAGGAGATAAGAATTGCTTCAAGAACCAGAATTTGACTTTGACATCACTTCTCTTCAAATGCTTTCTTACTGACAAGATCATAATCTTTAACAATCTTTCATACATCAAACCTGATGCCAAAGAGAAAATGTGAATGGTCTTCTTTTCTTGGTTGCTGTTAGAAGAGAGCCATGAACTCCAGCCACCAGAAGATGGAGTAGGTGCTAAAAGATCTTCCTTTTCCATTCCACTATTTCTCTTAACAACAACTCTTGCAAATGGTGCATCAAATGAATGAACTGAAATAAGGAATTTCTTTGTATCAGCACTTCCATATCCATCAGAATGTTGCAATTCACTTTGAGAGTAGAAATCTACTTGCTTAGTGGATTGAACAGAATAAATATCAGAGTGTCTACCCTTTGGAAGGTTAACAGAATAAATATTTGGTGAAGAAGCTCTAAGTTGGAAATAACCATAGTTTGCCATAACCAATGTAGTATCGTCAACATTTGTAGCATTGACACCATAGTTGTGGACCAGTTGTAATTGTAATCCTCTAACTGGTCTTCCATTATCATCAATACATGTACCTGAAGCAACAAAGTATTCCAATTGGAAGCGAGCATAACACTTTTGAGAGGCACATTCATCGAGCTTCAAGTTATCCAAATCTTCTTTAGCGTAAGTACTATCAACCAACCAAGATTCTGGAACATCCATCCACATGGTGAAAATACGTCCTTTAACATCTGAGAATCTAGTATTGAATTCTGCAACACTTGACCCAGATAAAACATATGTGTAATAACTTTGAAGAGGTAAATTTGAAGTTTCAAGATCTGGATTAAGATGAACAACCACGTTTACAGATTTTCCAAGCTTTTCCTTAACAAATCTAATAAGTGGAGAAATTTTTTGAGCAAATTTGGAGAGTGGATTGAGGATGGCAATCAACTTGATTTCTGCAGATGGATTTGACTCAGTTTCAAGAGTAGCAACACTGCTTGATTGAACATGGTTCAAATCTTGTCTCTTATACTGATTGAAGACCTTCAATACAGATGAAACACCAAAGAGAACATCGCTCAAGTAATCACTTGTTACAATATCAGGGTCAACAGTTGAGTAGGAATTTGATTCAATTGTAGAAATAATGGCAGAGTTAACATCCTCGAAGGCATCAAGAATAGTAATATCTTTGCTTGTAAATAAATTAGTAAGCGGGATGATTCTACCATTCATAGAAATAATACCAGATTCTTTGGCATTAAAGTGTTTGGAACAGAAATTCTTACCAGATAATTGATTAGATCCATTAGGTTTGTAGAGAACATGGTATTTAGCAAGAGATGAAAAACTAGAATCAGCAACATTCAAGAAACCAATTCTTGTCTTCTGATTTTTGGAGATGAATGAAATAGCTTCCTTAACTAATAATGATGCGTCTTGGTTATCACCTACACAGACAATGTGTGTCTTTTTAACAACTCCTCCACTTTCAGGATGTTGAACAAAATTAATTTGATCAATATCACCCAAGGATACAATACCATATTGTTTCTTACTGAAGATTTCAGAGTTGAACTTATCAAACCCACCATAGTGGTTAATTATCTTTTCCAATAGGTTCTTGTCATTATCTACAACTACATTATTTTCAATTAAATTCTTAACAGCATCGTATTGTTCTCTAACTCCCTTCATTACAAGTTGGTCACCAGAGTCTTGCTCCTCGCCTTGAATTACAGCACCGTTTACCATTACAATTGGAGATGACTTAACATCAAATCCCATATTTGTAAAACTTCTGTATCTACTAATAAGTTCTTGTTGCGACATTAATCTTACAGAGCCAAAGAATCTTTTTTGAAGATCATCAACAAATTGACTATCAAAGGATTCTCTATCCATAAATTCCCTAAGAATTGGGAAAACAGCTCTGTTTTCCTTAGCCATACGTTCCAATAAAGAAACAGCGTGCAAAGACAATTCATCAACAGTTTCAGGGGAGGCAGAGGATGATCCAGTAAGGTCAACGTCAACAAAACCGGAAGAAACTTTTGGAATAAACAAGGCACCAATTCTAATTGGATAACCTCTGTTCATAATGTTACCAAGGATGTAAAGTAATTGGGCTACTTGTTTTTGTGTACTTGCAGGATCCAAAATGAAAACAACATTGAACAAATTTCTTCTTACAAATCTCATTTGTCCATACATGGTTGGATGGAGCATTGACTTGAGATCTCTTGGGAAGTTATTGTAACTATCACTTTCAATATTATTGAACCAAATAACTTGCTTTTCTAATTCAGAGGAGAACTTGAATCTCAAGTCCTTGCTAGCAGTAGAAGGAGTAAACAAGACTGATTCAACAGAATTGGAACTAAGATGATAATCTGATGAAAGGGACTTGACAAGCTTCAATTCCTTATCCATAGTTTCAAACAAAGAGAAGACAGACAACTTTGTAAGATCCAACTCTAAACCATTCAAAAACAAAGCATTTCTTCTAATAACTTCTTGTGGATTGTTTGGATTTCTAGACTTGAATTCTCCATCATATCTGGACAAATGTGATTGGATTTGGTCTTTAAAACTGTTTTCAAATGCTGTATTCTTCAATTCTTTCATGTAACTTGGGAAGTTTTGTGAAATATCTTGTAACATTTTGATTTTTTCATCAAATGAAGGTTGGTCGCTAATCTTTTTCATTGCTTGTACACCAAAATATTTCATTTCCCAAACCTTAAGCTTCTCCGATTTGGAATCACTTTGTTGAATGTGAAGCTTGAGGGTATCCAAGTCATTTGACAAGTGAGGATAATTCTTCTTCAACTTGTTAAAGTTAACACCCTTATAGAAGGTGTCATTTCCACTAACAACATCATCGTCGGCAGTTTGTTTGTATTCCATATTTTTGATTTGTAATTCCACACCATAACCACGAATAGAGAGTAAATCACTTGAGGCTTCTTCCATGTATTTTTCCTTTATCATTTCTTCCTTGTCAATTGAACCTGTTGAATCAAGTCTTACCAATCGTAAAACGATTGGTTTAATTGAATCAATATTTTCCTTTACAAATTTACATCCCTCTTGTGTTGTGATGTCTGAATAAATAAAATTAATTTGTGTTTCGGAATTAATGTTAAAAGTATGATCCAAAACTTCAATATCCTCAACATTCTTAGGAACAATGGTATTTAAATTCGATTTAACAATGTTCGTATTCTTGGTGTATTGAACTTTAACTCTTGGAGAATAATGTCTAGTATCGAGTGCAAAATCGAGAAGTGAAACTTCAGCAACAGTAGCTTTGCTTTGTTGAGCAAGAGTCAAAATAGCATTTCTATCATTCTTGATCTGATCAACTTTTTCACAAGGGATTGACTTTAAAAAAGATGTCTTGCGATCTGGCAATTTATCAGAAAAATATTCACTAAATAATAAATTCCGATAAACAAATTCCGAAAATTTAAAACTTACAAAGCTTCCATCAACAATGATGTTTCCTTCCATGTTGCTTTTAATTCAATATCAAGCTTGCTCCTAACTTGATCAGTGCTGCTATTATTAGCAGAAATTACATAAATTAAAGAGAAAATTGTCATCATCAAAATGATTACACATTTCAACCCATCAAAACCACGTCGCTGATGTAGTTGTTTATTTTGTCCACCATCAAACAACTTCATTTTTTTGTTTTACTACTTTGCACAATTTGGCGCTCAAAGTCACTACAAACACACCAAATAAAAAATCGCAAAAATGAAGCTGAAGAAATTTATGCTCAGATATTATCCACCTGGCATTATACTTGAATATGAACGATCTAATGGCAGAGAGGGTACAAAGACTATTGATTTATTAGATTTAACTGAGTTGTATGTATTAATGATTTCATCTTGTTTTAATTTGTGTTGTATTATTTGTTTTTGTATTTTACAGTTCTGATGTAAATACAGTGGCCGAAGATATTGTTGCCAGCGAACCTTTAATTCCGAGCGGAAAGACTGAACAAATTAAACAACTCGTTGAAAGTAAGTACTTAAAATTAAAGGCTTTGAAAACTAATTCATATTAAAGAGTTGGTAAACAAGTTGTCATCCCTTAAATGCAAGAAATTCAAAGAAGAGAAATCACTCCAGGCTCACTTGTTACCTCTTACCAATTGTGCTTTCAACAAATCAGGAGATAGATTTATCACTGGAAGCTATGACAGAACTTGTAAAATATGGGATACAGAAACAGGATTGGAATTAAAGAGTTTAGAAGGGCACAAAAACGTAGTATATGCTATTGCATTCAATAATCCATTCGGTGATAAGATTGTTACAGGATCTTTTGATAAAACATGTAAATTGTGGGATGCAGAAACTGGTGAATGTCAATATACTCTTAGAGGGCATGAATTGGAAATTGTTTGCGTCTCTTTCAATCCAGATAGCAGCTTGATTGCAACTGCCTCAATTGATACAACAGCAAAGGTTTGGGATGTGGAAACTGGAAAGGAAGTATATTCTTTATTAGGACACAATAAGGAAATTATCAGTATGAGTTTCAATAATGCTGGTAACTTTATTGTCACTGGATCATTCGACAATACAGTACGTGTTTGGGATGTTAGATCAGCAGAATGTGTTTATAATTTCCATGGCCACGAATGCGAAGTTTCAGCAACTCAATTCAACTTTTCAGGTGATATGGTTGTTTCAAGTTCTATCGATAAGACTTGTAAATTATGGAGTATGCATACAGGAACATGTGTAAGAACATTAACTGGACATAATGATGAAGTAATAGATGTGTCTTTCAATGGAACTGGAACAAGAGTAGCAACAGCCTCCCAAGATTGTTCTGCCAGAATTTATGATACAATGACAGGAGAGTGTCTTGCTGTCTGTTATGGACATCATGCTGAAATCTCCAAGGTTTCATTCAATCCTCAAGGTAATATGATTATTACTGCTTCTAATGATAAGACTTGTAGATTGTGGGATGCCAAGACTGGAAATTGTTTGCAAGTTCTTAGAGGACACAAAGATGAAGTTTTCAGTTGCGCCTTCAATTATGAAGGTGACACAATTATTACAGGTTCAAAAGATAATACTTGCAAGATTTATAAGGCAACAGGAGAGGAATATTAATTACATTATTTATGTTAACAAAATTCGATTAAAAATTTTGATTTAAAACTTGTTATTGATTTTCTTTTGTGTCAGTGTCTTTTTCGTTTAACAATATAGAAATAAGTTGTGATTTTTCTTCCAAAAATTGTTCGTCATCTTTTTCTCTTTCAGTTTGGAAGTCTCTTAAATAATTAATAAGTTTCTCTCTATTAAGACGAATAATATCTCTAACTTGTGCAGACTTGTGTGGATTGGCAATAAATACTTTAAACACATGGAATGCTTCAAATTGAATGTTTTTTCTCTTATCCAATAGCAAGTTCATCATTAACTTCAAATTACTCCTGTCATTAATATATTTACTCATTACATTGAAATTTGATCTATCCAGTATTATTTCTCCGAGAATCTAAAAAAGGTTAAACTAATTATTAATTCATTCAACTAACCTTTAAGGATTGTCTTTTTGTTACATAGTTCTTTGAATTTAACAAATTGTTATATTCAGTAAAGAATTTGTCAAAGTTGGTTTCAAGAAATTCTGCCACAATTGCTTTGTGTCTTGAAGTTAAAAGTTCTTTAAAAGTCACAAAAGCATCACTTTGCATTTCAAAGTTGCTATTGTCAACATAAATAAATAATTTGTAAACATCCTCACAACTAAATAACATTTTCTTGGTCAATATTTCATGTTTGAAGCATTCACGCAACATACTTCCACAAAGAAGAGAAACCTCACTTTTTTCATACCTATTTAAATTATTGTAAACTACTAAACTGATCTACTTATTATACATACCCAGACAGTAAAAGTGACAACATTTGTGGGTGTTCACAAATATAATCAACTGTTGTAAATCTTCCGTTCAGTTGATATTTTACTAAAAAGTTGAAAATGATCATTCCATCTTTTCTTGACTATTAATATGATGAGCATTACAAGATGATGAATCACTTACTTCAAAATCTAAATGTTCTAAATATTGTACAAGTAATAACAGAAAATCTGTATCATTAGCTTCTTTGGCAATATCATTAATATCCGATTTTTTAGGTTCTTCCTTTTCTGTTGTTGCAGCATTACCAAGAAGTAATTGTTTGATTCCGGATAATAATTTTCCACAATCCTCAGATGCCTATCGTATAATCATCATCAGCATCATTAATAGTAATCCAATATTTACAAATTAATTTAAATTTAATATTTACTTTTTGTTGTTTCGAATCTTTGACTGGTGTTTGTTCAGGATCCTTTGCGATCACTTTCAAACACTCAACAGCATCTCTTACTAATTCTTTTGGTGGCTTCTTTCCGGTAAGAAGTCCCAAACCTTTCATAATAATAGACATTTTTTTCAGAGTGTATTTTTGGTTTGATGCCTTCAAGCCAAGAAGAGAAGAAAATTACGTAGTGGACGAAGAACTTTCAATGAAAACGATAAGAGAGAGAATATTCTCCAGAGTACTGTACACGAGTGTGAGAGAGTGAATTGTTTTTTTGAATCATTCTAGCGGTAAAATTGCACTGGTCAATCAGGTTGGATACTATCACCACAACAAGATTCTCTATGTGATGAGAGGAGTGTGGTGATTACTCGTCAATGTAAAAGACAAATTGTTACTAAAAATGTTCTAATTTATGAAAATATCAGCATTCTTCCTTTTTGGTGGAAAATAGTAAGAGTGGATATATTCATTATTTCATTGTAAAACACAAGAGATCCTTATTTTTAAATTGATATATTTACATTAGTTTACAGCTGCTTTAGGTTAATAATTAATTGAGGAAGTATTCGACTTTCGTTTAGCCATCAAATAAGGATGCCATCTCTGAATATCGCCAAACATTTTGGCGCATCTATTGGATGCATCGTCAATAGCCAATTGTTTTGCTTGTAAAACAGCCTTTGGACGACTGTCACCCTTTGAAATTCCATACCCTAATTGCTCATGAGAATTGTACTTATCATAGACTAGCTTGACGATCACACTCACTCCAGCTGTATATTCCAGTTTTGCTGTTTGTTCACTTGTTTTGACTTCAACTTGATCAACAAAATCAAGATTTATATCTTTGATTGTCATTTCTAGTCGGTTTCTTTCAAATATTTGATAGAGAGCTGATTGAGTTTTGGAAGGAATAGGCTGCTGCGATAGGGTATCCGTGAAAGTAGGTTGGGAATCTGTGGTTGTGTGTGGAGGCATTTTTTTGGTTGATTTTATTTTTATCATTTCCAATTTTTAGTAGAAAATTCATTTATGTGCAACAAATACATGCAAATAAAATTGAAACGCAAATTACAAAATTAAAATTTATTCGCCTCAAATAAATATTTAAAGTACCTTACTATATGAATCAGAAACGTCTCTAGAAAGTGGATGAATTTCCAAAAGCAATTCCAAAGCTGAGAGCTTGCAAAATTGTTCAGCAAATTGCAAATCATGTTCACCCATAACTAATCCGAAAGTATTTGTTTGTTCTCTGACTGGTAATTGAGTTGCCAATGCAGCTTGTCTAGCATTAATTCTTCCAGCATATAAAGCAGATGCGATAACTACAGATCCTGTAACTTCAACCATTGCATTCAATAAAACCAAACCAGATGGTGACATTCTGTCAAACAAATATTTTACACTTTCTGTCTTTTTAAATAATCTTATACCTTCGGAGGTGGTATAACGTTCAATAAACTTGATACGAGCATCTTCTTGTGCTGGATCATCAGCAAAACTACTATCTTCTCCAAGAACTACAAGTTCTGTGTTAAATTCCTTATTGAACCATTGAACAAGAGGATCCCAATGTTCCTTGATTGAATTTGTGAATTTTTCATCTCCCATTCCTTGACGTAAGCAAACAAATTCTCCATCGAAAAATCCATGAATGGTTTTCTTCATATTGTAGCTAACTGAGAAATCAATTTCACGTTTAACATCCTCAATTCTGCAAAGTAATTCTGTGAAAGGAAGGGTGGCAGGTCTTACATATTCTTCTTGCAATTCCCATTCTCCAGCAGCAACAGCAGCAATTTCTTTTGATGGAACTGTTACTACCTTGTTGGTGGTTGTTCGTAAAAGTTGTTCTTGACCAATACGAACTCTGAATTCTGGAGTATTTTCCTTTGTTTGTGTTTCTTCAATATATACCTTTCTATAAAATTTCTTATTCAATTCATCATATGAAATAATTGGTAATTGTCCATTTGTGAGTTGGTCTTCATCCATTTCCAAAAGAGATCTTGTTGCTCTTCTTTTATGTTCCTCAATTTGTTCCTCAGTTGGGTCAAGTTCTGGATTGTTTAACAATTCTTCAAGTAAATCAAACATTCTTTTATCCTTTTCCAAGTCTCTACCTTGGAGTTCGTCTTCATTTTCTCTTGGTTTTTTATTTCTCAAGGCTTCAAGAAATTCATCAGGAGAAAGATTGCTATAATCAAAGTCAGGATCAGGTAAAAAGTCTCCTTTAGAACCTTTTTTCACGCGATTATCCTTCTCTGGTTCTGGTGCATCCATACTTTGTCTCAATTCCTTCAAAACTTGTAATTCCTCCGGAGAGAAGGTAACATCCATAACTCTGAAGGAAGAAGAAAAATTACGTCCTGTATTCCTATTCATATTCCACTTGTTACTAGCAAATTTTAAGAGTGGTGATGATCGACTCAAAGAAGCCGACAACAGGCAATGATGTTGGTGATGATTGCCACAGAGAATGAGTCTGTTCATTTTTAATTCGGATTCTTTTTATTTTTTAAAAATTTTACAAAAAATTGGAGAGTTGCATCTTCACAAAATATTGAATAATTAATTATTTACTTGTTCTAATAGTACTACACTATTTACACAATTAATTGGTGAATTAGCTTGAAAATGAGTGATGATAAATTAATTTGTGTTGGAGTAAATTCTGGAACATCAGTTGATGCCATTGATGTTGTTATTTGTGAAATTAGTGACGATACTACTACAAGAAGTACATTTATTGAACATCATGAATTGCCCATTCCGATCATGAAAGTAGTAGCATTTGAATCAATTCCTTGGGAATCGAATATGAGAGATAGAATTTTCAAGTTGATGCGATCAAATCAATTGAGTGCAAAGGAATTTTGTGAAATGAATACCTTGATTGGAAAGCATTTTGCATTAGCTATTGAAAATACTTGTTTAAAGAATAATATTGCTTTGCAGAGTATTGATGTGATAGGATCCCATGGTCAAACTATTTATCATCAAGTGGAAAGTAACAAATTCAGAGAAGGTGAATCATTGGACGAATCTATAGTTCGTTCAACATTACAAATTGGAGAACCTGGCGAAATTTCTGCATATTTAAGATTACCAGTTATTTCAAATTTCAGAACTAGTGATGTAGCTCTGGGTGGACAAGGTGCTCCATTGACTTCCATATGTACGTATTATAATTCAAAAAGAATTGTCATATGAATTTTACTAGTTGACTTTTTAATGTTAAGGCATCCAACCAAGTGGAGGGCAATCCAAAATATTGGTGGAATTGGAAATGTTACCTTTGTTCCTCCTCTAAATATTCAGGTGGAAGATGCTTCTTCGTTGACAGTTTCTTTTGATACTGGTCCAGGAAATGCCTTAATTGATGACTGCGTTAGAGTTATTTCTGGTGGAGAACTTCAAATGGATGAGAATGGTGATATGGCTAGGAGTACATTTGCTGCCGATACATCATTATTTGACAAACTATTGAAAATTTATGGAAATTATTTAGAAATGCCATTCCCAAAAACTACAGGAAGAGAACTTTTTGGCAGAGATCAAGTTGAGAAATTATTGGAACCTTTGGAATTAAGAACATCTAACAAATCTGATCCACTATTTTGTATCGTCGCTAGAACATTTACAGACTTTACTGCCTATAGCATTGTAAAGGCTTATGAAATGGTTTGCAACAAGTTGAATATCGATGATTTTGATGTTATTGTTGCAGGTGGAGGCCAAAAGAACTCTTTCTTAATGGAAACACTTTCTCACCTCTTGAATTCTACCTTTAAAAGACCTATTTCAATCTATTCTCATGAAAAGCTTGAGGACGGACAAGCATTAGATTCTAATGCTAAAGAGGGAATGTTATTTGCCCTCCTTGCCTATCTCTATGAAAAGAAGAGGGTTTCCAATATCCCAAGTGTAACAGGAGCTAAACGAGCAGTAATTTTAGGTTCTAAAACTCAATCCCTCTGAGAGAGCTGAATCTTTCTTACTACAATTTGTAAAACTAGACATTATTGAATGTCAGAAAAATCTGCAAATTAAATTCGACATTGGAACAGTTCAGACAAATCACATCATGGCAGAGATACAATTCATTTCGAGAATATTCTCTATTACAACACTAACACTTTGAGCATCAAACCAAATCAAATTAATTATGATGATGAATGGACTTGTTCCAACTCCTTAGAAAAATTTCGTAGCAAAGTAAATTCCGTAACCAACAACCCTTAAAAAAATGACAGAGGAATTTGGAGGAAGTAATATTCAGGTCGTTTGTCGTTTTAGACCCTTGAATACGCTTGAAAAGCAGATGGGTGGCGGAGAGGTAGTTGATTTTGATGGAAAAACATGTAAATTAAATGTAATTATCATCTTTGTATTTTGAGAAGAAAATATTCATCATCATTTGATTTAATAGAACAAAAACGGAAAGCATGACTTTACGTTCGATCATATTTTCAAGAGTGGTTCCAAACAGGGTGACCTTTTTAATGTAGTAGGAAAACCTGTTGTTGAGGGTATGTATTCTTCTTCATCATCATTATAAATCCATTCTAGATATTTTTAAGGGATATAACGTAGGTTGATGTTGTTTTATAAAACAATACTAAACGCTTAATAGGGAACTGTATTTGTATACGGTCAAACTGGTAGTGGTATGTTGACTTTGGTTCTTTCATGAAAATGCTAATAATTGCTTATAGGTAAATCATATACCATGATGGGACCAAATGAAGATCATAAGGGATATTGCACTGATTCAAATTTGAAAGGATTAATTCCAAGAATGATTGAGGAAATATTTGATAGAGTGGAAAATTCAGATCCTGATATTGAGTTTACAATCCAAATATCTTATATTGAAATTTATTTGGAAAAAATAAGAGATTTACTGGATCGTATGTTGAGTAATTATAATAGTATTGTATTAACAACTTTGAATAGCACATCACCAAGATTTAAAGATTAAGGAAGACAGAGAAAGTGGAAGAGGTGTATATATTAAAGGAGCAACTGAGGAATATGTCACAAGTGTGGAAGAAGTGTATAATTTATTGAAAGTTGGAGCTGGAAATCGTGTTGTTTCCTCTACAAGTAAGTTTAAAAGATATTAATTATCTTACTCGATCAAAGGAATGAACGATGAAAGCTCACGATCTCACAGCATCTTTATTATCACTATTGGACAAAAGCACTTGGTTAATTTAGATTCAAAAACTGGTAAATTATTTTTGGTAGATTTGGCTGGTTCAGAAAAGGTCAAGAAAACCGGAGCATCAGGCCAAACACTTGAAGAAGCAAAGAATATTAACAAATCCTTGTCAGCACTGGGTATGGTTATTAATGCCTTAACAGATGGTGTGGTAAGTTTAAGACTTCAAAATAATATTAATGTTGTGAAAATAGTCCAAATTTGTGCCATACAGAGATTCAAAACTCACAAGATTATTACAAGACTCTTTGGGAGGTAACTCTAGAACAACATTGATTATAAACTGTTCTATGAGTTCCTATAACGAGGATGAAACACTTTCCACCCTTAGATTCGGTTTTAGAGCTAAGAATATTAAGAACAAGCCTAAGGTAAATAGAGAACTTTCTGCCAAGGAGCTTCAGAAATTATTGGACAAAGCTAAGGAGGAAATCAGAGAGTTGAAGGAATATACAAATGGTATAGAAGAAGAACTGAAAATTTACAAGAAAGGAGGAATCAAAACCGAAATCAAAATTCAAGATCCAACTGAAACTACATCCAAAGAATCTGACGCAAAGGAAGCAGATCTAAAGCGTCAAGAACTTGAAGAAAAGCTTAACGAACTTTTACCTACCCTTTCCAAATACAGGGAGAAGTGTGTACTTTTGGAGAAGGAATTGGTAGAAGAAAAACAATTCAGAAATAGGATTATGGATGAAAACATTCAATTGAAGGATGAAATTAATCAAGCTAAAGAAGAGGGTGCGCAATCATTGGAAGACATTCACATCTTAAAAGAACAGCTCAAAGAGAAATCTGACTACTTGGCAACAGCTGAAAGTTATAGAAATGATTTAGAGAAAATTATTCAACTAAAAACCAATGAATGCCAGGAAGTGAAAGACTCTATGAAAGAAGAGCGCAGAAAGTTGGAGTATGTGGTCAAAGAAAAAGATTCTGAAGTTGAAGAACACAAGAAGCAAATGGAACATTACTGTAGGCAACTCAATGAATCAAAAATCCAACTCTTAACACTTCAATCCAAACAAGACGATCCAGACCTTGAGCTTGTAATGAACTTTATTGATAAAAAGTTCAAAAAGATAACAAAGACCGCTAAAAAGGAATCAGACAGAGACAGATTGAGAAAGAGAAGAGAGTCTTTCTTAACTTTGAGAAAAATTAAAACTGATTTAAAGAATATCCAAGAAGAAATGGACGAATCTGACGACGATTCTGATGATGATGGTGATGAAACTGGTGACACTGATTTCAATGAAGCAGAGTTCATGCTGCCATCTCCTCCACAAGAAGTAGTACTTCAAATTCCACCAACACCAACTGCTATTGATGACTCGGATTACTTTACAGAACCTGTTGTAACCAATGAAGAAGCACCTTCATCAGTTTTTACTCAAGTTCCAGAAAGTGAAAGGCTTAGTGAAGCTTTAGAAAGAATAAGAGAACTGGAAGTTACCAACAAGAATCTGAAATCTGAAAGAGATAACCTTCTCGAAGATTTATCAAACAGAGTTGATAAAGTTATTGAACTAGAAGTACAACTAGATGAAATTACAGACAAGTACAATACTTTATCTAATCAAAATATTATCAAGAAATATTCAAGAAAAATTGAATGGTTAGAAAGAAACTTGGAACAAGTAACTGTTAACCTTTCACAAGTTCATAATGAAAACTCTGAGATTATAATGAAATTATCACTGGCTGAGAAGAAGATCAGAATGAAGGAAGAAAGACTTACAGAGCTTAACAATATAATTGTTGAACAAACAAGAAAAGCCAAAAAAGAGGCAGACATGTTCGTCGAAGAAAGGTCCAAATTGAATGATACTATCAACACGCTCAAAAGAGAACTTGATATTTTGAAGCATACCAAAATTGTAACAGTACCACCACCACAAATCGAAATTGAAAATACTTCTTCTAAGGTAAGAAGACCATTAAGAGGAGGCGGATCAAAACCAAAGAAGACTGAGGAAGACGAATATTTCTCATCACCAGGTTCGACAGCAGAATTAGATGTAGAGTTGGACAGCTCAGGTTCCTCTGCCTCAAAATATGCAACAATACGGAAACCATCCACTGCCTCAACTCACAGGAGGTCAACATTCAGTTTAAAAGAATTATTCTTTGGAAAATCGAAATCTGAAAACATTAATCTAGATGCTCAAAATGTGGACTTGGATGACAAATAAAATCCTCTCTTGTTGAAAACACTAACAAACTTTATTTATTTTTTTGAGTACAAAGCAAGTAAATCGTCATCGTCATCACCCAATAAAAGTTCAACCTTATGTTCTCTCTTTACTGCTGGAGTTTCGTCTACCTTTGCCTTCTTTGCTGCGGACTCACCATTCTCTGTAGTTCCATCTGTCGAAGTTGTGGCTGTTGCAGTAGCTTCCGTTTCTTCACTTGGTTTGTTCTTTTCGTCGTCTTGTTCTGCCTTTCTCTTTTGTGCCTTATTCTTTTTCATGAGTTCCTTCTTTTTCTTCTTTGAAATAACAAATTCTGGAATTGCATTTCTCTTGATTGGTTGAATCTTTGGTTTTTCCATATTTTCATTCTTATCTGGCCAAGTAAGTAATTCCTCAAATTCAGCGATACAAGATGCAAGATTTACTACTGATCCTTCTCCTGGTTTGGTTTGTTTATATTCTAATCCTATATAAAAATATGAAGAAAAAGCTCCTCCTTGGTTATTGTGGAAATAGTCTGGATAAATATGGATCGTTAATCCAGGAACTGCTTCTAACTTTGGAATAAGAAATCTTACTTTAGATTGAATGAAACCAATCCATTTAAGGTGGTCAACCTCGTTTGATGTATTAATTTCAACTTGTAAGTAATTACTATATCTTACAAAGAAGTCTGTTGCTTCAAATAAAGTTTCCCAATTTTCAAGTCCATTCTCTGCCTTTTGTGTAATAGATGCTCCTCTTTCAAATTCATTCTTCATATCCTTTAAAGTTGTTTTTGAAACGTTAAATGTGGAATTCATACATGGATATGATGGTGTAATGATTGGCATTAAGTGTTGTTTATCTCTTGGATTAAGCTTTGGATTCCAAACTTTAAAATTAAGAGTTCCTTCCTCGATTGGTCTTAATAATACAGGTACCTTTCCCCAGTTCCATTGTTGGTAGACGGTAAAGAATTTTGTTAACAGTGTTGAAGGGGCAGCATTTGGATACATTTGACAAATCTTTGCTGTTAAAATGGCATAAGCAACACCTCCCAAATATCCTACAATGTTACCATAAATTGCTCTTCTGGTTGCCCACAATTTAATACATCTCAAGGTAGTTCTGAAATTTTCTTGATTTGGAACTAGTTTCAAAATTTGATCAGCAACACGAGGACCGTTCAAACTACGTTGAGTTTCATCATCTGCATCTTTCAAATTTGATTCATCCAAAATATCCAAATCAGCAGGAATAACAGTTCTAGATAATCTAGCAAACAACAAGTCAATTTCTACACCATCAAAAACCATGGTAATCAAAGGTACATATGCATCTGGAACTGGTTTAAGTTCTGCAATTTCAGGTCTTAGTTTTAAAATATCATGCAAATCTGTAAAACAGTGGTGTTTTTCAACCATGTTAGGAACAATGCACAATCTAAATTATGAAATGTCACTACTGTTGCTATTCAAATTAAACTTACGTATCAATATCCGCACCAGGACCATGTACTCCCAAACGGAAGGAACCAAAAGTTACCAACTTGGATCCAGCTGATGATACAAATTCCTCAGACAAACCCTATTATTATTATTAAATAATTTAGTTTTATATTCACTTTATAGCAACATACCTGTTTCAGGCACACTTGTTTAACCCATCCTTTAATAATGCCATCCAATTTTGCAAGAACTTCTTCTCTTTTCTTATTTTCTTCATCTGATGGGAATCTATTTTCCTTCTTTAAAATTTCCATGATGGCTTCAGAGTTAGTCAAATCCTTTTGAGTAGGAAGTGCTGCAGAAATAACAGTACTATCTGACATCTTTTTTAATCTATATTTTGTATGATACAAAAATCAATCGGAATATTAAATCAATTTACTCCTAGGTACTCTATATCACTACAATACGATGATCAGAGAGTATGATGTATTATTATTTAACAATTTGTACAAGCTACAATGTGATTTTCAAGGCTAAAAATAGTAACAACAACAAAACGGAACAATGTGTGGTTGAATATTTTTTTTTGAATCTAATTTTATTTTTATTGTTATTGCAAAATCAAGCCTTTTGTTTGATTCATCAAAATTTGGCTGCTTCATCTTCTTCATCAAAAACATTAAATTATTCTTCAGCAACATAATTTCTCCATCAATAGATCAATCGGAACATCAGTCTACAGTTAGGATAGTTTCTTATCATCAATGATGAGGTTCTAATACAACATTAGATTCAAAGATAAAAAATGAAATCAGAGCACGCTCTCTTCTCATCCTCTCTGAATCAGGCTGTTGGAGGAGCTTCTTCTGGTAGTTGGCTAGGGGATGTAACGAATAGTATTGTTGGAGGAGGAGCTTCGTTGAGTAATACTGCTGGTGGAGAAATGACTAGTACTACTTCTGCAAGTTGGTGGTTCATATTTTCATCAACATCGGATGTTATTTATCCTAATGTTTTCAGTCCAGAAATGTATAATTTATTTATAATGATGATTTATGTATTCTTGTTGTATTGGTTTTTTAGATTATTGAAAACTACATTTTCAAATTCTTATTTGTATTATGTTATCCGATCAGGAGCATTTAATATTGTGAATGTATGTTATATTATCTAATAATAATCATAGGAACAAATAATCATTAATTGGAAAAGATTGCAAATTTTGATAATATTGAAAGTATGTGGGGAGAAGGAAATATTCGTTCGTATGTCCAAGCACTTTTTAGAGGAAGTATTACTTCACCTGTTTTAACTGTAAATAGAGTTAATGGCACTGTTCATTTGAAGAAGAATACTTTTTCATGCATTACTGCTCAAGATGATCAAAGAAAATTGAATGGTGTAAAGTTTAATTTTGACACTCTTGTCAAATCAAGTGTTCAATTATTTTGGGGTGTTTCAGAATTATCTTTCAAGAGAAAAATTTTACAACCTTTTAAGGATAACTTTGAAAAAATTGTAAATGAAGCAAAGGAGAAAGGAAAGGAAAATTATCAACAAGATCAACATTTGGAGGATGACGAAAATATGGAAAGAGGTTTATTGGATGTGAATGAAAATCAAGTGGATGATATTACAGCATCAGTTTATGAAACTCCTCTTTCTCAAATAGATATGAATAGACTTTTGACATATGAGGAATATGTAGAAAAGAGTGATCTTATTTATTTTGATAAGGGATTAAACCAATCATTTGAAATGCCTGTGGACGAAATGATTGATCAAAACGTAGTTGATAATTATTTTACATCACTAATTGTGAGAGAAACTCCTCAAACAAATAATAATACCAATAACGAGGAAGCTGAAAATGCTGAAGGCCAAGTAGAAACAACAGCACCTGAAATTCAGAATACAGAGGAAGAAAGATTGGGTAATCAACTTACTCGTGATTTACTTGCTGACGAAGATGAAACAATCCAATCCGATTCTAAACTTCCACTTGTTATTGTATTGAAACCAACTAATTCATCAGATACCTTAAAAAGATATGAGGGAGAAGATAGCTCACTTGATTACGATAGAGAACTCCAATCACTTTACGTGATTTGTAATTTTAAGAGATATGAAAACTCGGAAGAAGGTGTATATTATAGAGGAAATGTTGTTAAAATATTTGCTCAAACTGAGTCAGAATTATTTGAATTGGAAGAAGTATACGGTGCCGATGAGAATGATGAAAACGAAGTTGAGGAATGTATTGTTTGTTTCTCTGAACCAAGAGATATTACTATTTTACCATGCAAACATAAGTGTGTTTGTCATGAATGTTTTTCAAGAATTGATAAGTGCCCAATCTGCAGAACAAATGTTAGAAGCTTCTTAACTGATGGCGGTAATACAACTACTGAGTCAGATCCAAACACTCAAAACAATGAATCTGTTTAAATTATTTATTGCTAATAAATTTGTAAATGAAATTGTAAAGATTATTTGGCATTTCATACTCTAGTGGTATTTCACTTTCAGGCATATAGATATCATCAAAAGCAATTACAAAATCATAGAAACTGTATAAATCTTGCTTAATCTCCTCTTCTATCATGGCAACTCTGTTTGAACAATAATCGAAACTCATTTCTTCGTTTGAAAGCTTTGTTATACTTGTTGAATACTTGGCTGTGGTGACAGGTTTGACATAAACTGTGGCAGTATTGATATTTTGTTCTTTGAAAATCATTTGTAATTGTTGAACTCCTTTCAAGTTAGCAAACACAAGGCAAACCTTGTCTTTTTCCAGTATAGAATCAATTTCACTCTTTGCATTTCCATAATAATCATTTCCTATCTGTACAATTTCATAAAACATGTGATCTTTCATCATTTCTTTCATTGTTTCATTGGAAGGCACAAAGAAGTGATGAACTCCTTCCACTTCGTCTGACCTAGGTTTTCTTGTTGTATAGCTCACAGCTCTTTCAATGTCATGAGGGAAAGTTGATTGCACCTTGAATGCAAAATTGCTTGACGATACAACAGCTCCAGAAACTATAAGAACCTTCTTGTTTGACTTGATTTTTCTTGAAACTGCAGACAGCTTTTCGAAATATTCTGAGGCAAACGAAAAGACATCATCCGGCTGATAAATCAAAGTAGTATTCAAGAAATCAAACAATATTTGATGCAATAAAGGGTGATCCCTAATATATCTCTTATGTTCCGTCAAATGTTTTTCTCTCTTTACATCCATAATACATTTTTCTTGAAAATCCAATGAGGAATTAATTCTAGGTGATGCTGTTTTAGGACTTGAATCAGCATCGGAAGGTGGTGATAGAATATCCTTCAGTATCGAAATAAATTCTTCCCTAGTTGCACTCCTATCCATTCCGATCTTCATCTTGTATGCCTCAGTAAAATCCACAATCGAAATATTCAGGTTTGATAATTGTATGACTTCTCTTATTTCCTCCAACGTGATTGTTTCCTTCTGCTCTTGCATTGATTTGTAGGTATCAAACATACTTCCCAACTGCTCCCTGTAGAGAGTGTTTGGAGAGAGTGGTTCATCATACTCATCACTAGACATTTTTTCTAACTTTGAAACTGTAGATTTTGCCGCCATTTTTAAATTTATTATTAATAAATTTGCTTAATAGTGAGTTGATTCCTTGTCAAAACTCATGGATAATGTAAAAATGTGAGCTGTATGAGATCTGAGTTGATTAAGGGTTGTCTCGAATACTTGGGTGAATTTTAAAATGGCTCGTCTATAATTGTCATCTTGGACTGTGTTTTTAGCCAGTTCAGATGCTTGTTCTATTCTTTCACGTCTTCTTTCGAATTTATCTGTTAGTTCATCTGATTCCTGAACATCTTCATTCAAATTATTACTAATTACAGTGGAGAATTGATTCATGTATTTTGAAAAACTGTTGCAACAAGATACAAGCTTGGTCAAGCACTTGAAGGCATCAGTGGAAGAAACTAAACAGCCATTCAGTGAAGAATCCAAAAATTGATCGTGACTCTTGATAACTTCATCTATACTTGTTGCTGTTTTGATTTTCTTTTCCATTTCTACCCAATTCTTTTCAACAACTTCTATGAGAGCATATGATAAAAAGTGTTGAATGAAATGTATCATCTTGTGCCTTAATGCATAAAATGTTGAGAAGGATGTCCCCAATTTCAGCTCCTTTGAAAATTTGTGATTAATCCAAGTATTACAGAGGCATCTTTCTGCATACTTAAAGCAGAATAAGTGTCTGAATAAAATTTGATATTTGGTAATATTCTTCCTATTGATGATGAGAGACATTGGCCACTCTGCCTTATATTCTAAACAGAATGCTTCATAGCCCTCAATTGGAGATTCTTGTAATTGTTGCTGTTCTAGCACTGCTGCATCCAGTCTGTTGGATGAGGAAAGCTGTTTGATAATACTTAAAAAGTTGGCCAAATTCATAGGTTTCAAACTACAGGTGAGATTATCCTTATATTCGTCGTTGGGTATCGAGCAAGTTTTGGCAGCAAATTCTATCGAGGATTGAAGTTTCGATAACGAAACATCCGTACTCTTCTTGGCAAGTTCATTCTCTTGTTCTGCTGTGTCCATAAAGTGCACGAAAAAGTCACCATGATCGAATAAAAAATAATACTTAATGGACTTTAAACGATCCATTACTTTGACATCTCCAAAGAAGTAATCCAAAACTTGCTTGGCAGCATGATTGTGAGCTTCTTCAATTATTGATATTGCTTTCCCATCAGCAAAATTAATTCTATCTACAATACGTTTATCCACTCGCTGGCCACATTCTTTGAGTAAACTCAAATATTTACCACAAGTTAAAACCTTATCACTAAGCTTTGTTAAGAAGAATGGCACCTCTCGTGTTATGGAGTATTTGGAATCCCAATATAATGAGTTAAAATCTTCAAGTAGCTGTTCCTTTCTTACATTCTTATTTTCTTCTACGAAAAATTCTTCGTATAAATCCTCAATTTCACCCTTAAAAATCCACGACTCTATCATTTCAAAATAGGGAGCACACGATTTGGTAAAAATAAAATTGAATAACTTTTGAGTTTTCTCATCTGAACTAATTACTCTGGAAACATTTTGAAGCACATTCAATAAAGAACCTCCTTTTGCATTATCCTTCAATATTTCTCCAACCAATCTATCCAAAATTTCAATTGTTTTCCAAGCACCTGTTTGAAGGTGATAGTATAATTTTTGTAGAGATATTTGATCTTGTTTGAAGAGTAAATCCAATTGATTAATAAACATAAGGTATTCCTTTTCCAAAGCTCTCAGTGCCGAGCAAAATGCCTGACAAACAAGACCATTACCATAACCCGATCTTTTTTCCAAAAAACTAGACACTCTTGTATGTTTTTCACAAAGTGGTAATATTCTATTTACCATATCATGGAGTGAAGAGTCGATTTCACAAAGAAGAGAATATTTGTAAGTTTCCAATAATGTGATATCAGTGATCGGAAGACCTTCTTCAGTGGTCATATACGAATCTTGATCGGTTTCAATTTGTGAAACACATCTAATATATTTTCCTTCAAATCCCATCAAACAATTTAATAATTCTTCAATAATAATATATTCCTGTACTTTTGATGGGAGTGATTCAAGAGAAAAACCCTGAGCAACATTCAATTCACCTGTTTGCTTTTTTAAAAAATCATGCGTTAAAAACTGTCTTGTTTTCAACCATTCGGGCTCCTCCGGAAATTGTGATACACTACTCTGTGTATCATTTTGTGTTGGTGAAGGTGGGTCGATCATGGCAGGTGATGAAACCATTTTTTTTACTTGTGTTTTTTTGAATAATACAATTTTGGCGCGAAAATTTTATTCATGACTTTAAAAGAACAACAAAGATTTTGAGAGTTAACATTTAGAGTCAAATAACTCAAACTTTATGGTTACCAGTTGTAACAAAGGCATTCAATACAGTTAATTCATCAGTTAATTTGTAATCACCATTCAATTTCTTAAAATCAAGAATACTCTGAGGAGTGTAAGATAAAAGATCAGCTGGTTCATCACTCACATTAATTAATCTCAATTGTTTGAGCATTAGTAATACAAATACACATGAGAAAACTCCTGAAATATCAAATCTAATTCTTGGAATATAACTGTTAGCATCAATATTATCAAAAACTTCACGAATCTTCTTATTGAGTGGACATTCCAATGTTTGTTGGAATTCTAGAGCTACATGAACACGTTTTTCTTGCATTCTGACAGAAACATTGGTTCCTTCATTTTCTAATTTTCTCACAGTTACTTTAGTGAATGGAGTTGAGTGAATATAGGAGTGTAATGATTGAATTCTTCCTTCTAAAATCTTTGTTTGAGGTATTTTGGCTTCCTCCTGACTCACATAATATGGAGCTATGTCATAAACAAAGTGTTGACCTTGAATTCTAATGATAACACCCACTCTAGAGAATACTGAACCATTCCAAGCTCTTCTTATTGCCTTTCCAACAGATGATTCCTCCTGAGTAAAAATCAAATCACCAGATCTCAATGTACCAAGAATTGACTCATTAAATGTCATTCTCTCTCTCACAATTTTATCAACAATTGGAAAATCAGTTACAGGAAGCGGAAGAGGTTTGTTTTCCACTTTCACCTGATCAGCAAATACTTCATAATCCAAATAAATGTACATTGGACTTTCCAAACCCATTACAAATGACTTGTTGAAAGGTAATTTGTAAGTGGAATCTTCAGAAAAATGGAATGGTGTGAATTTTGTAATGAGTGATTTGTTTTCCATATCAAAAATTCCCAATCTCTGATAAATAAAAGCGGTGAAATAAGCACTCACAATAATTTGACGATCCTCAACTGGAGAAGCATAAATTAAACCATTCTCAAACAATGAATCTCTAAAAAAGTTTTGGAAATAATGTGGATGAATTGTAAATGAAATACCATTCTCAAGAATATTCGAAATCTTTCCCTCTTCAGTTGCTGAATTATTAGAATCTCTAGTAAATAATAAATCCATTAATTCTTCTTGAATTTTATCAGCACCTTTCTTTCCATGTAAATATTTCAACTTTCTAACCGAAACTAAATCATAATATCCACTATATAATTTTGAGCTCAATCTTTGTAAACTTGCCCAAGTTTTAACTTTAAAATTGATTGCAGCTTGTTGACTTGTAGAGGTTGAATCGGAAGCAGCTGATTTTGCAATTTCTAATAATCCATCATAATCAACTTGTGCTTCTAATACATAGACATGTTCTGCTGTTGGTGGTTGTTTCATTCCTGTTGTGTTTAATATATTACTATTCTCAGAGTTTCCATAATTTGATTTGTCAGATTTTGGCAGTTTAACAATTATTCCTACGTGACAATATTTAGATTCTGTGCAATGTCTGAATGTTCTTCCGGGTATGGATCTTGTTGAAAATAAAACAATGTCTCCCGTACTTAAATTTTCTTCGATTTCGTAAAGCATAAACCATGGTTTTAAACCAAGATCTGATCTAGAAACTTTAGTTTAGTTTAGTTTCGATAGTGGATGATGAAACTTACCACTTCCACCCATTTCTTGATGAATGTTGTGAATAGCTATTTTTTTTTAAAAGTTCTACTTGTCACCGCAGTGTAACGTCATTTGTCTAAATTTTTCAAAAAGGAAAGACTGGTGTTGCCTTATTTCCATAACAGCAGTTCTTTTGTTTTTATTTAAATCTCATTATTAAAGATTGAGAATTGAATTGTCACGCAGTAAATTGAATGTTTTAAAAAATTGCTCCTGGCAAAGCAACCATCAAGCCAGGAAGCAAAGCTGCCACTCAACTTTAAAATATTATATTAGCAAGGTTGTAGTACTATATTCTTTAAAGTTGTAGAATAATAACTTGGTATGTACTGGTTTATTAATATACCATATCAGATACCTCAATAGTGCCACCTTTAAGATTGGAAACATTAACCATATAAACATTAGCACCCATATAGTTTGTTTTTCCAGATCGTTTACAAGTTGTGTCGCTGAAAGGAATGGAAAGAGTAAATGAAGAATAATACATCATTATTTTACCTGGAGCAGATGGACAGAAATTGAATTCTTCATAACTTGCAGTGGTTGCTCTTATTGCACTTTCCAATGGTTCCAAATTAATGGAACTATTTCTTTCAAATAACAGGAGTTTTACCACTAACAACATAACCAAATAGTTGGACTTCCTGGATAGTTCCCAATTGAACTATTCGAGATCCATTATTGAGAAGAATGAGGTTTTTGTGTGCAACTTGGAGAGGAATAGTATTGACAAATCCATTGGAACCAGAGCTGAGGAGAATTCATCACCTCCAACTTTCATGGAAAGAGATCCAATATTCTTAGATGGATTGACAACAGTAAGGAGAGCAGGAACAGTAATTTGATCTAAAAACATTATACATTCACAACTCTTCAAATTAATCCGTTCACCCTTAAAAAGAGAGCAAGCAGCAGGTGGACATTCTATACAATTAGAAATAAAATCATCAGAATATATATATTGAATTTACGTACCGACTGCAGTAACAGTATTGACATTGAACATCTTCAACAAGCAATACTCGTTACACCTAACAATCGATTCAACAACATGATAATTAAGCCTCACCCTCAAGATCCGCATTGAAATAAATAATACTCACCAATTGAACTCAGTTACAGTTTAGATATTTCTAACAATTAGCGAAACGCATACATCTAGATGGGTTGATACAGTGTTTAAGGATGAACAATTCATTACTTCCAATAGATTAATTGTTTTTCAACCATCTATGATTCCTACTCAACTAAGGAGTCCTTGATGATGATTACAATTCTCACATTGGTGCAATTCTGATTTGATCCGAAATGCATACCCGAAATTGATCCCATTACTTCATAAACTGGACTATTACAATACATTTTCACAAATAAAAAAAAATGCCGTGTGATGGAGAGGGAGGATGGTATGATTTCAACGATGACAGAGAAGGAACATTTTTAAATGCCACATCACTCATCGATCAATGGTTATTCAATCACAAAATTCCTACTAAATTATCAACAACATGTGATTCTTATGTGAGTCCTCTAGATAATTTTCTCTTTCTTTCGGTTGGAGGAGAAACAAGTGAAGACATTGAAATAGATGATGAACAATCACCCTATATGAGAGATTCGAAAATTGTTGATGGAGAGAGATTTGCAACATTTGACAGTGTCGAAGAAATGAAAATGACATTCACTTCGATTGAATTACACAACTCTGCTGACAATTCTTATAAAGCAATTGTGCCACGAATGGATAATGATATTCTCTCAATAGATATTGATTTGGAAGCTATTTATGACCGTTATCTTGATCCTTTGCAAATTATTGATATAATCTGGAAGGGTGCTGCATACAGTAGTCAGAAGAAATCAATTGCAGGTGAAAATGACAAGAAGTTTAAATTGACAATCGAAGATCATGTGTTGGCTTTGATATTTGAGTTTATTGATACCAAATTTCTCATTGAAAAATGTTCATTTGTTAGTTCAAAGTGGCATAAGATAATTTTATACGATTCTAATACTGTCAATCAGATATTTATGAGTAGAACATTGAGTTATTTCAAAGATGAGAGTGATTCCTTAAGAAAGTTAAATCAGTGGTATGACCTTGATTGGTTGCAGACATATTTTGTTTGTGGAATGTTCCAATTTGAGTTATTTGGAGAAAGAATTATTGAAGAGTTTAACCGGCTTGCATCTGCTGAGGACAAGACTTTCTTTTTCATGATTTTGAACTTTGACCCATTGCAAAATTTGAGATTTCTTCCAGAACAACACATTCTCATGCAAAGATTAGCCAAAATTCAAACAAAGAAGATTCTAGTTTCCGTGAATTGTTTACCACATACAATTGATACCTATATTCCACATGCTGATCATTGTTTAGAGTTTAAAAGAGACTCTAGTCTATTGAAACTCTTTGAGAAGTGCCTATTTTGTGTGAAAAAGCCAATTTTAAAGAATGAACTTTCAGTTGATTTTGAAAATACCATTCCTCTCTATATTGAATTTTTAAAATCAGTTGCCAATAGAGTTTCTCCTCAAATAAGCAAACAGTTGGACCCCCAAGAACTCGAATGGATTCACAAATGCATGTTGAAAATGATAGAAAAGGCAAACTATTTCATGGAAAATATCTTGCCACAACTTCCTTGCAATGAATTATTGGTCGAAGATGATATATTAATTGGCCTACATTTGATACTCCTTGATAATTATTATATTGAACAGGAAAATCTATTCAAACTTTCGGATATTGACATGAGGAAATTACTAAATAATAGAAAGCAACACTCAGATAAGGTCAGAACAAGTCATTTACTTCCCCCAGATTTAAAAATGGATTTTTTGGAACTAATTGCAACACCAATTAAGAATGAGGATTTCAATTTTAGTATTGTCAAATCAGACTTGATGAATTCCTTTGAAAAACCATGCAATTCAATTGCATTCCTCAAGGAACATGTTGTAGAGCTGAGCGAATGCATGCCCTCTTTAGAGGAAACCAATGATTGGATCCAGGATCAAGTAGAAAAGTATCTGACCTTCATCACAACTTGTTTCGATCCATCAGAAATGCCAGACAAGGGTACTGACCTTATTTTCCACTTACACATGCTTCATCCAATTAATTTCGTACAAGATAGCATTCGACTGACCGATAGAATCAAAGCTCACAACTTTAACTTTCAAACTGAAGACCAATGATTCGGTCTGTTTGTCCACCTGTTCACACCAAGATGATATTCAATCACTGTTAAGTACTTGGTTGAACCAAACACATTAAAATAGTAATCATTATGTTGTGTTGCATTCAACTCCTAGGAAACCAAGAGTTCTCTAACATTTAACATATATCTCTGTGGTGACCATGTTACATTTCCAGATATTTCTTGCTTTAACTTGTAGTTCTCCAATGGACATGAGAAACATCCATTTCGAAAAGGGAATCATTTTGGAGTTTACAAAGCGAGTCACGGGTAATTGTTCCACGATTGGTAGCATGGAAGAGTCAATAGTTGTGAATTTGGATGCTCTTTTGTTGGTATTGTTGTTTCTTAAAAAAAAAATTCACACCTTCACTGAAATTGTTTTTATTCGAAAGGTCATAGAATGAAAGGTATTGGACGCTTGATGTGTCTTGTGTTAGTTACTTTAGCCATGCTACTCACCACATTCAAGGCACTACATGCACAACAATATGTTTCACCTTCTTACTCAATTGAAACCATCGCTGGTGGTGGCAGCATGGACACAAACAACTCAACTCTTGCAACCCAAATCATGTTACATGATCCTAAAGAATTAGCCATTCATGAACAAACAGGAGATATCTATCTATTGGATGAATTTAATATTCGAAAGATTAACAAATCCACTGGACACATGCAAAAACTTTTTGGTACATCCACATTTGGTTATCCATCTCCTGGAGTTTTAATGAGTGAGGCCACGTTGGGAAATTTAACTAGCATTGTTATGGATGGAGATGCTATTTATTTTGGCAGTTTCTATTCGACAACAAGTTTCGTATTTAAGATTTTTGAGAACTCAACTACGTTACCTTCTGCCAAAGTTCACACATCGAATGAAGTGTTTAGAATTCAAGTAGGACTTGCTGATTCTTCAATTTATTATTTGGATTCGAAACAAAAAAAAGTTTGGAAGAAAATTGTGACCGAAAGTGCTATTACCACAGGAGCTTTGAGCCAACCAGTTGATATTCACATTTCTGGTTCACTTTGTTATATTTCAGATATTGGAATTAACATGATTAATGTTGTTAACATATCTTCTCAAACAATTCATTTTCAACCAATTGACCAACCAACAAGTTCATTTATGGATGAGCAAGGTCAACTCTTTGTTTCTTCTGGTAAATTCATTAAGAGAATTCAACCAGATGGAAACATTTCCATCATTGCAGGTTCACAAATTGACGTTTCCACTGCTGATAATTTGGATGCAACTCTTTCATCATTGAAATTTCCAATTTCAGTTAAAGTTTGGAAAGGAGAAATTTATTTCATTGATAGGGATGAAAAGAGGGTAAGAAAACTTACACCCAGATGCAATTCAGGATATTCTTTGACTCAAAATTTGACAAGATGTTATCAAAACAGTCCTAATGTAGATGTCATTACTTGTTTTGGAAAATTGTCAAATGATTCAAATGTTTGTTCAGGTAATGGAACATGCATTTTACAAAACTATTGTGTATGTAATGCTGGTTTTAGTGGAACTGATTGTTCTGCAATGTCTAGTATTAATTCTACTCAACCAGATCCTGTTGTAAAGACATTTAATATTTGGTTGAGCAAATATGAAGAAACCATTGATGATTCTCAATCAACCCAAGTGGTTATTCTTAGTTCATTAACTGAATTACTTACGTATGAATGGAAATGTCTTAATTGTTCCAATATGGTCAATTACTCAACAAATGCTCAATCTCCAATTTTAGTAATCAACTCTGGAAGTTTTACTGGAACCTATTTATTCCAAGCAAAAGCATTGAAAGGCACAGAAATGAACTCCACACTGCAATATTTCACCCTGACAATTGTTTCTAGTAACACACATCCCACAAATATTTCAAATAATTTGTTTACAGTTTTGGGAATGCCACAAGTTTTGATTTCCAATAAGAATAATACTATTGATTATACATTTATTGTTTCAAAACTTGAAATGAAGGATGAAATAAGTAGTTTATGGATGAAGGATTGTAAATTGAGTGAATCAAAATGTGAAACCAAGTATTCATTGTCAATTTATTACATGATTAATTCACAAGTTTATCTGAAAAAGACCGAAAGTTCAATGGTGACAATGGCACAAGAAACCTTATTACAAAAAGTTAGTTTGAAATCACCTCTTCTCGTTCAATTCAATGGCAATTCAGTTGACCAATATGGAACTTTGATATTTTCTTTGAATTTCACAAATTTGGCGGGAAGTGAAATTGTCTATTCTTCAGAAATTCCAGTTTATCAATATATGAAACCAGTCGATTCTAATAACTTGTTCGCCAATAATACTCCATTGGAAGGTGTTGCTATTAGAGATGTATTCAATTTGACAATCAATAGTTGGAACAGCTCTGTATCTTTACAATATGCAATTGGGGTGCATTATATGGGACAATTAATGAGAATTACTGATTTTTCATATAATAGAACACAAAATGTTAGATTTCCATTTTTAAAACAGTCTAATTATTATCTTTCCATAATTGGTAAAGATGAATATGGAAATGTTGAGACAATTACAAGTTCATTTTCTATCAAAATATCAAAATTTGATGGAAATTATCTTGAATTAATGAATAGAGTTATCAATAGCAATTCTAACTTTAACATTCTTGCTAGCATTGCCTTAGATATGACACTTGACAGATCAAAAGAACTTAATAATCAACTAGTTAAACAACTTCTATTGAATAATCAATTTTCCAACATGTTTCTATTGAAATTCCTTACCAACACATATGCCCTTTTAGATCAGGATGTAATTTTCGATTTGGAATCTAAATTTGGTGATTTGTTAAGTGTGACTAAAGTTGCTTATCAATATTCGAATCAGCTATTTGGATTTGTCAGAAACAAGATCCCAAAGCAAGATATTGAACAACTAGTTGGTATACTGTCTAATTTAATTTCTGATTTTGATAATATTAGAAAGTTGACTAATTCACTTTCTGAAATACTAATCATTAGCGAATTGTCAGTGAACTCAACGCTATCACAATTACCAAAGATTGAATTCAATAGCACGAATATTAATTTAATAATATCATCATTCAAGATTTACAAATCAGGAAACAGTCAAAAATCAATTAATCAAGGAAGCAATAAGGTTCTATTCGATTCTAATGCAATTCTATCAAGATACGATGCCTTTGATAAAGAATGTGCTATTTCATTGATCAATTATGGTGAAAATCATTACAATGATTCCAGAAATGCTTCTTCCTCAGCTATGGACTTTAAATTTTACAAAGAAAATCAAATTGTAAAACTTTCAAATTTGGAACAACCTATTTTATTGACGTTTGAGTCTAAATCCATCAACAAATCAGAAGAATATAGTTGTGATTATTGGGATGAACAAGCTAGATTGTGGAGCAGTGAAGGTTGTTTGGTCAACCAAGTTCAAGATGGTTTTATTGAATGTGCTTGTAATCACACCACATTGTTTACAACATTTATTGGTCAGAAGAGAGTAGCAACAAGCATTTCTGTGATGAATCAATTATCTGATACATACTTTGCTCAAATTAGTTTTGGTATTTTCTATTTAATAATTTCCTTAATGGTTTTGATAACTTTATTCATATTTAGAAAGAGTCAACCAATAGCTTCTAGATTAGCAACTCCCTATATTGGAATGATTGCATTGATTGTTGAATGCGTGTTAATTTATATTGTTCAGAGAAGTGTTCTGGTTGACCAATTAATTCGTCAAACAAACATTTTAAGTGAAGAGAGTAAGAACGCCGATTCGGCAGCAACTCTAATTGCCAACATTGTCATGATCTTTGCCAATTCTCTCAATTTGACAGCAATTTTGTCCTATCTGATTCAAGTTATTAGATTCGAATTATTGAAATATTTCTACGATCTCATTTCCATTAAAGAAGACAAATCAAAGAATGCAACATTGAAAGTATTGAAAATTCTAACCTCAAATAAGGTTTTCATTGGAACATTGATCGTTTTCTGTGTTGCAAATTTGTGTTATTGGACTTTGTGGGTAATATTACTTGGTGTGAAGGCAATTTCATTAGAAACATTCGGATATATAGTTGTAATCTCATATGCAGTGATGATTCTTACCATGGGTACATTGATTACTTGTGTATTCCTTTTTGATTTCATTTTTGGTTGTGTCAAATCAAAGAACAGATCTTTCAAAGATTTGATTTTCACACAAGATTCACCTCTATTCTTTAGATGGGAAATGATTTTGTTTATTGTGAGCTTCTTCTTTCTTATTTTGAATATTTCACTTGGTTTGAGCACTTTAGAATCGAGATACAAGTCAGAGGAAGGCTATGTGAGAATACTGCCTAATGATAACGCTTCGTTTGCTTTCGAATTAGTTTATATTTTGTTCTACATTTTAGTATTTGGTGGATTCAGCTCATTGATGACAATTCTTTACAAAATCAAAACTTTTAACAGAAAAGGGGCCGAAAAACTTCAAGATGAAGAAGATAATAAGGAATTATTTACCTTACTTGGAAATAGCCATGGTTCTTCATTGTTGGAACAATTCTGTAAGAAGGAATTTTCAACTGAGAATTTATATCTCTACCACTATATCAAACAACAGAATGGAAATTTCAATTGTGAAATAATTTCCCATATTTATGAAAATTATGTCAAGGCAGGTTCAATAATGGAAGTGAATATTCCTTCGAATTGTAGTAAGTCATTTGCAAAAATGTATAAGGAATATTGTGAAGAAAGTCAAGAGATTGACACTAGCTCAATCTCTCAATGTATTGAAACATTGATGGAAAATGTTATCCTAAATCTTTCAGATACCTTCTCAAGATTTGTATTTACCGATGATTATATTTCTTTTTCCAAAGATTCTGAAATGATTGAAAAATCAATGTCCAAATTCAACCTTGTGAATAGTAAATAAATCATTGCTGTAGAAAATGAATCTTCATAATCTTCATCATCAATTCTGTGACAAAAAATCCAAAATCCTAACCAACTATATATGAATCTAACTATAAATTATTCCCCGACAGCAATATATCTGTAATATATGATTGAGACGTCAACTATGATTCCAAGTCTATCAAATATTTCAATAATGGCATCTCTATCCTGATTTGTAATATAATTTCTATGGATATCTACTAGTTCCAATAGAGGAAATGAGCTTCTTGTTTTTTTCTCTAACATTTTAGAGAAGTCAAGAAATGTAGGTCCTGTTGTGGACATGCCACATAGAGACAAGTCAAGAATTCTCAATCTTTTCAAGAGGTTAGAGTTAGCTATTGGTGTTAAAAACTGATCTACATTTTGGGAGTTACGGATTCCAAAGTATTCCAATAACGGGTATCTTCCATTTTCTTCAGGAGAAAGCAATTCTTCCAAATCATTTGCATGAATAGAATTTCCATAATCATACGATCCAAACCATAACTCTAAATGTTTAAGCTGTGGGAATTCACAATTTAAAATACCATTCAATGTTGAAGCATCCATGCCACCTGTTGTTAAGATTAGCACAACCAAGTTAATGCTTTTGATATGGCTGATGTTTCCAAAGTGACCTCTACTCACAAATGCTTTCAAATTTGGGAAAGTTGTGAATATTGGTTCAATATCATATGTTGAGATTGTCGAAATCATTTTTTGTCTGTCGGGTATGTCATCTTGATATTGTTAATGATTTTAATTCTAATAAAACTTACTCGCTAAAAACGAAACTATTCCTTCGCTATCTGCATATGAATAATTTTTAAAACAACGTATAAATTCATCTGTAGGATTATAAACACTATTGAGGTTTCCAATAACTATTTCCTCGAGCTCAAACATTTCATATGGGCCTTCTCCATTAACTAGATGCTCTACCTGATCTTTCAATGGAAGTTGATTAGCAGATCTATTTCTTGCTTCCTCATAACCCAACCTCTCATGTTTGACGAAATGGGAATAGTGAAGATGACATATTTTCACTGATTTCAAATCCTTATTAAAGAACTTTCTCATAAATAATCTATCCTTGATAATTCTCTTGATGAGATTTAGTAAAGCTTGGTTTTCTTCCTTTTTAGATGTGGTTCGTTTCATATTCTTACTCTTTTTATAGACAGAAATAGCATTATTCCACCTTTCTCTAATTAATCTCAATTTTGCATCAGTCATTCTACTGTTATTGACATAATGCTTTTTTAGAAGCTTGTGCATTTCATTAAATTCAGATTGATTTGGCCACTCATAATCGTAATCTCTACAAAAATGATAATGTTCATTAGGTATTCCAAACCCTGCATATTGAGCAATATCTTCCACATGACAGTTTTTGTGTTTAAATGTACTATTAAATGTCAAGCTATCAATTTCTTCCTGTTTCATCACAAACAATTCATTAAATAAATTAATAAATAATAGTCTATTATTTGCAATTCTTCTGAAAAACTCCTTGCTCACAGACAAGCAACTTGAAAAGACAGTCTTCCAATCCAGATAAGTCAAAATAATATAACACAATACATCTGTTGAAACATCATGAAAATTTGCTTTTCTTTTTGGTTCTTCTATTCCCATTGAATTAAAATCATCAACAGCATCATCATTAAAATAAATTGAATCATCAATATACTTGGAAATGAATTCACTCGGAGATAATTCAATAATATCATTATAATATTCTTCATCTGCATCATCATGTTCAATGGAATTTAATGATTTACTAATTTTTTGTTGATCCGAGCCATTTCTTGAAATCATTTTTTAAGAGAATATCATATGTTAGTAATTTAGATTTTTATGCTATTTGATTTTGATATTTTGATTAATTAATTACTAATTAAATTCGTGATGAGGAACAATTCAGAGTTCTGATCTGCACATACTGTAAATAATAATTCGCAACCAGTAAAATTTCATTTGCAAAAAAAACCTCAACCTCAATGCTGGTCATTAGAATATGAAGAACACTCAGTAGGAAAACATACATTTACATAATCATATTAAAATCAAAGTAAAATGTCTCTCTTTTACCTTGGAAAATCACCAATTGAAGATATTCCAACATCGGGGCATGTAAGGCATAATCAGGCAAAGTCATCGCTTGAAATACCAAAGCAACGAACAGCACTCATAGAGAAGAAACATAAATCGGAAAAAGTACCTCAGAGAAAATTAGCTTCAAAGAATTGGAGGTTTTATAATATGGATGAAGAACAAATAGATCAAGAAGAAAGTTATATGGACACCTCCTTGGATCAATCTGGTTCGATTTCTGCAAGAGAAAAGAAAGGTATTTTGCAATTAAAGAATGAAAGAATTTTGAAACAACAGGTTTTATTTCAAGAAATTGAACATAACATTAGAGAAAAAAGAGAAGAGGATGAGACTTATCATCCTGTTTCACCTATTGTGAAAGATAGATTTGCAATATCTGAAACAATGTCAAATGTTCTAGCAAAACATAGAGAAAAATTTGGACACAAACAGAATGAAGTTGAGGAAATACTTAGAGAGCGAGATATTAAAATGTACAATAATATAGGAATTGAAAAGGGTCAAGAACAATCATTTGAGAGGAAAATTTCTTTACCAAGATTAATGAGGAGGCAAGGCTCTGGAGGAAACCTGTCTGCAATGGGTTCAGGAAATAAAAGGCCTTCTCCAATTGATAATGAGGATGAAAATGGATCAAGAGGATCTTCAGATGAAGGTGGAGATGATTTAGTTCCATCCTATTGTTCGCTACACCCTTTGGAACAAGAGATGAAAGAAACCATTGATTTTCCTGCTGATTTAGTTGAGGATGAAGAGCTGTATGTTGAAGACAGTGATTATCTGGATTATAAGAGAAGATTGGATGATGGTAGAGACTCATCAGATGAAGAAGAGGAAACGAAAATAACGTCTATTACGAGGACAAATCATGAACAGGAATTCTTGGTTCAAAAAAGAAAGAAAGCCCAAAATTTTGGACAGAGATGGTTCTTACATCCATCTCAGTGGAGCATAGATATGGATAACAAGAATAAGATAAAGAGGGAGAAACATGACCATTCTGAAAAGGTGATTAGGGAAAAACTCAAAAATCTTTCTAGCTCTAAACTATTCAAAATGCATCTTATCAAAACCAATAATGCTGTACCAGATTGGTTAGCAGACTGCAACATTAAGAATCAACATCCACTGCTCAGTATAGATTACGACAAGTCGTCACAATCGCTCATTCCACCAATCATTAAAAGTATGCACAATGATAATTTATTTTAATAAATAATTATTGGATGTACTGTTTAAAAGTGTTGAAAATTTCAAACAATCTGAAATGAATGCACAATTGTTCTATCTTTCAAATGAATAATTCTCCTCCAGTAGACCAAAAGGAGTAAATTTTGTAAACAACAAAAAAAAATGAAAATTAATATTGGCTCCACCTCCTTGCCAAAGGACGTTATTGTTCATGATGTCCCTCACCACACTCCAGTCTCTGTCTTTGCTGGAGAAGTTGCTAAATCATCATCTGTTTCATCTGTTTCTGGTTCCCGTCTTCCAGTCTATGCTTTGCAAGGAAAGTCATTGTACCCAAAGCACTATTTTGGATTTTTGAAGAACGCTACAGCTGTCTGGACTCCTAGAGCTAAGTCTGGTGCTTTCTGGGGTGTTTCATTAGGTTTCTGGGCTTGGTACGCTTTGCTCCCACACTCCAACATGGTCTTGAGAAGAGTCTTCCTCGGAGAAGTTGCTGAAGATTAAATTGGATTTTTCATCATAAACACAATAATAACAACATTTTAACGTACAAGATGAACAAACTTTTGACGATATTACATTGGGTGTAAAACAATCTCACAAGTAAAATTAAAATACAAATTTATTTTGCTTTATTCGTGCTGACTTTCGTGGCTTGATGATTTCTTTTTCATCCATCTGAGCTTTACCTTTTCAAATGGATGTTCAAGTTTCTTTACACGAATGACAGAAAATGGCACAGTCAAAGCCATTGTTGCACAGGAATCCTTTGGTTCAGCATCCTATATTTTCAGGTATTCATAAGTTTGATATCAAACGACGGAATAAATATTAATATTATTAATATATTTGAAAAGCAGCAACAATTTGATCTTACCTTTGCGTGCACAACAATTGCCTTCTTTTCGGAATCATATTGTGCTTTCTTTACTACAACACTATATCCACCAGTTGGTTTATTTCCTGATGAAACATAAACCAACACGTGTGTATCAAAATTAGTGTGTGTTTCTACTTCCTTTTTGATTGCTACACTTGGACAATCCTTTGCTCTATTCCATGATGATGATAAATATTTTCAACACACAACAACTTCCACATAACAACACTTACGATTGCAAAATGAGAGCATCTCTGAAATCCTTCTTACCATAAATACCATTTTGAACAACCTCAAATTCTAACTCTATTTTTGATCCGCTTTCACTATTTGACATTTTTATTGTTGATTTATTGTATGAGGATGCAAATGTTGATGAGGAAACACCAATTTTAAAAAAAAGCAAAACGTAAATTTTCTCTAAAGAGATCGAAATTTGGCGATCCTTAAATATTCGAGAGGAGTAAGCGAAGAGGATTTTATTATCATTTAAAAGATGATCCTATCTTTAAAGATGACCCATTTGTCTTGGCACAATTTTGTAATGAGTTCCAACCCCAACACCAAGCGCAACATTTGTAGTTCATCGCATACACAAGCACTAACATTTGGGCCTACAAAAGGAGAATGAACTTACTTGCGAAGATGTTGATCATAACAACAAAAAAAATGTCTCAACAAATCCCTCTTAAGAAGATTACTCTCTATAACAATGGACTTGCATCCTTTGAACGTGTTAGCAAGGAAGTGCAAGGAGATACGGAATTAGTTCTCTTCTTTAAGAATTCAACATATGATGATGTGACAAAATCAATTTCTTTTGGTACTGTACCTTGTTCTGAGAATGGATCTTGTGATGTCAAGAGCATTTCTTACCAAAATACAAAGGGAGAAACTGATAAACTCACTATTGATATTCCTCAATCAACTCCATTGACTGGTTTGCTTGAGAATTTAAAGGGTACATCAATCAGTTTGTCATTCCATGGCAGTAGTGAAGTAATTTCTGGTATTCTTCTTGGTATCGAGGAAATAATGGACAGTGCTAACAAAGTTAGTGTTCCTTCCTTGACTGTCTACACAAACAAGTCAAGTCTTCAAACATTTGTCATGTCTAATATTTCCGGAATCAAATTTAATGATCAAAATATTCAAGGTTTCATTCAACACAGTTTGGAATCTTACATCAGTCAAAGAAATAAGGATTTATTCAAGCTTTCAGTTTTTACTCAAGGTAATTCTCCATATTTGGTCAAGGCAAACTATAACTTAATGAGCAAATCTTGGAAACCATCATACCGATTCAAATTCTTGAATACTGAGCACACTAAAGGTACTATTGAATGCCTTGCTTTGATTGAGAATGATCAAGAAGAAGATTATGAAAATGTCCTCTTGACACTTGTCACTGGTTCTCCATCTATTGTTGATAATGTTGAATCTGAAGGATCTATCACAATTAATTTCAGATCTGTTGGTGGAGGATCTTTCAGTCTTAGATTTAGTCCAGTTACATTGATTGATCAAGTTAAAAGAAAAGTTTCTCAATATCAAGGTACTTCTTACTCAAGCATTAAATTGGTATTTTCTGGTAAAGTTTTGGATGAAGGAAGAACCTTAGCTGATTACAATATTGAAAATGGAAGTAGTGTTAATGTTGCTAATAATGATAGAGCATCTGGGTCAGATTCTTCATCAACAAATAAGGCTTTTAGAATTGCTACAGCTCATAACTTGTCATTCTTCCCAATAGAGTGTCCTATCAATGTTAAAAGAAACCAAAGGGCTATGATCACCTTTTTGAAAAAGGAATTGGATGTCAAGCCAGTGCTTCTCTTTAACGAAAACATCAAGAAGGGAAATCCTCTTAGTGCCATTGTTTTCCAAAATAGTACAGGATATGTTTTAGAAGAAGGCTCAATTGTTTTCAGAGATGAAAGGGATTTAGCTGTTGGTGAAGCAACCATTAACCAAATGTGGAATCAAGATGAAAATCTTATCCCAATTTCTGTTCAACTGGGCATCGAAGTTTTGAAAGATTTCAACACTAGTCAAACAGAATTCCATCATGTATTAGTTAAGAATGGAACAATATCTCTTTATAGATACAAGAAGCAAACTATTGAATACTCATTTGACAACAAGTCCAACGAATCATTCCCTGAGGTGTTTGTTGATCACATGTTTATTGATGGTTGGGATTTGGAATCAGTTTCAGGATTTGACTGTAACGAGCCTGTCGATATTACAGATAGATATTACAGACTTAGGGGAAGTCTTGGTCCAAAGGAAAAGAAAAAGTTCAAAGTTACTGAGAAGGCTATCCAGATTCAAACTATTGAAATCAATGGGCTTAGTCAAGATACCTTGGAGGCAAATCAAAAATATATCAACAGTTCAGAAACTATCGTTGCTTTAGGAGAGTCTATTAGAATGGCAAGTGAATCTTCAGAAATTATGAAACGTATTTATAAAATTGATACAGAAATTAGAGAATGCCAAGAAAACCAATCCAGATTGAGAAGTAACATTGATGTATTGAAGAGTAATGTGCAACAACAAGCCAAGTATGTTACAGAACTCTCTAAGACTGATGATGTACTTGTTGAACTTTATGCCTCAAAGAAACAACTTGAAGAAGAAAAGAGTCTTATCAATAGAAAACACTCTACATTCATGACAAACATTTACTTTGATGGAGATGTCGTATTAAAATAAATCTTGTACAATATCAATATGTAAAAAAGGAATATTTAAAATTTATTGAGAAAGGAATAAAAAACTTGCAAAATACATTGACTGCCCTCAAGTTGACAATAAACCAGACATCTTGTGGGGATCTTACAGGGTTTTGAAAAGCAAATTTGGTGACCTTGGCAGAGCATTGATTCTTAAGAATGTTACACTCGTTGGAAAGATAATTTGCATACTACTTTAACACAGATTACAATGAGTGCTATATCATGTAGAAAACTATGAAATTGTGAATTTCTTTCCTGCACAAAATGAAGCTTTCTATTGTTTCTTAAAAAGAGATACGAAGCACCGTCATAAACTTTATTATTTAAATGTGAAGCAAAATAAAAAGTAACTGCATTAGCCGGGAGTCGAACCCGGGTCACCAGCTTGGAAGGCTGGTATGATACCGTTACACTACTAATGCTTACATTAAGATTATTAAATCTTTATCAAATGTTATTTCTCTATCCTCTTGAGGTACCTTTTGTGTAATGTATATGCAGAAATCAACATCAAAAAATGGACAGCAATTCTCCCTTCTCGCTTGATCTTGATTCCATACACAAGTGGATGGATTTTATTCATGATCGTGTGGGTGATGAAAAACTCTATCAACCCTCATCAAGAGGTAATTTTTGATCTTTATTATTATTGTAATTGATGATCATTTGAAAATTAAATAGTACCTAAAAGTGTAGCTAATCGACAAGAATATGATAGTTATGTGGATGATAGTTACAATTTAGGCTTTGCAAAGTTTCCTAAAGTTTCCGAGAAGGTAAATATTCAAAATAATTTAATTCATGATGATCATTATCAGTCTGCTGATTCGTATCGATCAACGTATGATTTTCATGCTGAGGAGGGTGGAAAATTGACACCTTTGGCTAGAATTTGGATTAATCAAGATCAAAGAAAAAGACGAGAAACAGTTGAAAAGAAAAGAGTGGATGAAACAGAAGATGCATTTTCATGCATATTCGAATTAGTCACAAAGTTACCATTTGATATCAAGTTTAGGATCATTTCAATGATACCTTCAACATCAAGAATTGTTAAAGAGTATGATCTCAAATTGTGGTCTGAATTATTTCCTGATGATTTAGCAATAGATTGCCAGGTAAAAGATTCAGCATTTGTTACATATCACAAATACAGAATTATTTCCAAAGAATTTAACAATAGAATGCAAAAAAAGTTGATGGAATTAGATTCACTCAACTTGGCAAAAATATTTGGAATTAGCCCAACTCCAAACGTATTACAGAACTTGGTAAAAGTGGCTTACTTACTTTCATTTATCAATACCAAACGAAAGTTTGTTTCTGGAAAGATTAATAATATTGAGAATATTGATATCTATCAGTATTTTCCAAAGATTTATTCATGTTTACAATCATGTTATGTTGAGGTGAATAATATTACAACTTATTCTACAAGGGCTGGTTTATTGTATTTTAATTCAAGCATTGCTTTCTATTCCAGTTTTAGAAATCTCTCTGTTCAAGAAGAGTTGGAAGGTTTTGAAGAAGAGAAAAAAGAACCAATTTATCAAAATCACGATACTGAGGAGTTTGGCAATCTTTTTGTGGAACCAGAATATATTCCAAAACCAGCTATTGCTGAAAGCGAGGAAGATTATATTCAAGATATAGACGCTGATGTTGTTGGCACAATTAGGTTCAGTATTGAAAGTTTAGTTCTGAGAGAGGATTTAGAAGAAAAGATGAAAGAATACAAAATAAGAGCATATCAAAACAAATCTTTTGAATTCAAAGGTAAGGGGTACTTTAACGTGTGATATATTGTAAAATTATTTAAAGAAATTCCAATGGATGACATCACTTTGGAGCTTGATAACAATTCATTTGAAAAAACCAAGTTTAAGGAGTTAGAAACTTTATTCCCCAATGCAAAACTACCTTTCATAGTTCCATTGCCAAGTACCAATTACTTTAAAGAGAATTATTTTAACATTTTAATGCGACGAAAATTAAGAAGAGAATTACCAGAATTATTTAGCTCAATTTATGATGACAACATTACAATATTCAAATCGTTAATATTGTCTTCCAATGGAAATCCATACAATCATCTTATTTTACATTTAGTACTTGAGAATGGAAAAGAAATCCCCCAAGATTTAAACAAAGAATTGTTACTCTCAAAGAAATTCACAAAGAATGAACTTACAGAAATTACATTTGTAGACTTTAATTTGAACCTCTTCCATTCTATATTGAGGAATGTTAACGTTAGCAGACGAAGAAGAGATAACAATTTTGGCTACCTATCACTTTTTTCAAAGGAGAATGCTAATTTTGATGAGAGCGTAAAGAGTGCAGCTAGTCCTTCATTTGGAAATAGTGTTGAAAAGGTCAACTTATTGTTTTATGGAAGATATGTTTACACTGTAAAAGATGAGACAGAATTACTTTGTTCACATTTCCCCAATATGAAAGATCTTAGAATAGCTATTAGGATGGCACGTAATCAACATCAAACTGTTGCAACAGCTATCCTACAAAATACATCAATTAATTATCATGATGTCAGCAAGACCCTTTCATATGAATTGAAAAAAATTCAAGTTAAGGCACTTAATGGGAATACCAAAATAATAACAAGTGAAGATACTGTTGAAGGAGAACCTTTGAACAGCAGCCCTTTATTTGAAAATACTAAACCTGAAGATAACTGCTTAAACATAGTTATTGCTTCCATTAACGAGCTCGATCAACATGAAATTGAAAAATTAGAAAGAGAGATAGATATTGACTTGGTGAGGTATCCTGAACTGGTTACAGATATTGTTAAAAACTTGAGTTTGGATAAATCGAAAGAAATGGCAGATTACTTTTTGGAAAGGGGATTCTTGGAATCATACTTTATTTATTCTTTCCAAAACTATTCAGAAGATGTAAGAGTACAAAAGGAATACTTTAGCTATAGAAGAAAATTGTCAAACACACCAATTGTAAAACCATCAAACAGCTTAAATTATAACGAAGGATTCATCCTTGACCTTTATTGCGGGCTTGATTTAATATCAAATCCTAACGACTTTGAAAAGACAGCCCTTTTCCAATTATTGGAAAGGAACGAAACAGGACTTACTATTGTTTCAAAGCATATCTTGCTTTTTATCAAGTTGTTTCTTGCCAAACTGTATTATGAAAATGCGGAGCTCGATTTGTTCATTGGATTTTTGGAACACCATTTGAATTTATTCACTGATAAGGAAACAATTGAGTCAGTAGAAAGAAGTATACCACTATCGAATGAGGACAGTTTTGAACTATCCACCAATAGAAATTACAAAACCATTCAACTATTTTTCTATTATTTATGCAAGCCAAAAGGGCATCCACAACACAAACAACGAAAACTGGCATTCACATTGGACAAGCTTTTCTCATATTTAGTATTATTCATCAAGACTAAACATTCTGAATATGTGGAGGCCTTACTAACACTAGGACAACATGTTTTCCCAAATTTCAATGAGGTATTCGTAATGTCCTATCCCACACAATCATTCAAAACATATTCAATCACACTTATGAATACTGCTACTGAGTTAGTCGAAGAATCTCCTGGTAAAATGTTTGAATATGAGACCAAATTCGAAAGAAGAAAAGAATTGATGAGAATGATGTATCGTGAAGGTATCACAGATCTAGAAACAAAAGTTAACCCAACAATTCTTGATGAAGCAATAACAAAATCTAGATTAGTACCTCAAACAGCAACTATTCTACACCATTTACATGCACTTCCTTCCATTTTCATGTTGTATGCCATTGAAGTAATGACACCTTCTCAACTTTTACATCAAGATAGTTGGGGAAATACTTGTTTACACATTCTCGCTGAAAAATCAACTGAAGAGCCAATAGATTCAAAAATAGAAGTTTTTGAGAAAATTGTTCAAAAACAACCAAACATTATCAATATTTTGAATCATGATCTCAATAGTGTATTGCATATACTTGCTGAGTTTCCATTCCCATTATTATTCAGTGTTGGAAAACTACTCTTTGAAAAATATGGAGCCAATAAGGATTTGGTAAATTCATTCGGTCTCACAGCATATGAAATTGCAATGCTATCCATGAACGAGAGTAGGTCACTAAACTCTGACAAATTCTGTGATGTCTCCTGGTTATTGCCAACACCGGGAAAAACTAAGAAGGAATTATTCATCCAATCTATTCTCCACGAACATGAGAGGAAATAATGATGAACATGAAAACGTGCCATTGTAAAAATCAACTTCTACAAAGTGGTGGATTTTCAAAATAAAAAAATGTCTCTCACAACCTTGCCCAACGAGCTTTTCCTGACGATAGCAGACTTTTGCTCTTTGGAAGATACCCTCTTGAATTTCTCCCTCACATCACAATATTGTTACAAGGAAATTTACATGAAACATAACGATTTGTTCGCCACAAGAATCAAGAGAATGATCTTTCATGAATTACAAAAGAAAGATTTACTCTCAGGATCAAAATACAAGAGAGGTAAATAGATTGTAATATATCGTTCTAACAATATTATAATTAATGAAAATCAGTTCGATCGGATAATGATCATGCAAAAGATCATAAAAACAAGTCATTAAAGAAAAAGAAAATTCACATCGATGAGGATGAAGAAGAAAAGAAGCAAACACCTGAAGAAAAAACACGTATTCAATTTGAAGATGTTGCCAATTATGTGAAGGGGAAGAAGGAATTTTTGGATGCTCAACAGACTGTCAAAAATCAACTATTCAAAAAGTGGGATATGTTTTTGGATAAATACAATGATACAAAGACTAAACCAGCAATTCAAGATGAGATATTTTCCAAGTTTACTCTTCACAGTAGTGAAGTGGTTGTGGTAGGAGATTTTAGAAAGAATTTTTATTTGGAAGGAAAGATTGGAAAAACAAAATTTAATTTTGAAGGATATGACGAAGGGGATTCAGATAGCACTCAATGGTCAATGAGTTTGAATCATGGATGCTTGGCCTCCTTTGGTGTAGATGAATCTTTTATTTATGGGGAAGAAGCAACTGAATTTATTAAGCAGAATAAGACACTCAAACTAACTCCTATTAAGCTTGTAGAAATATTGCTCCAACTACAACCATGGTTTTTCGACAGTAAAACCTTTAACAAGTTCCAACAAAATGCTGAAATTGAGTAAATCATATTCTACAGTAGCAATTAATTAAAGAACCAGATTTGATTTTCAATTCATCCAACGTTGTCGTCAAACTATTGTCCAACATCTGATTATTCACTCGCAAACTAATTGATTCTTTGGGCATTCCAGCTTTGATTGATATCCAACTGGTAACTAAATGAATAGAATCTGAACTTTTGAATTTCCCTTCCAAACTCAATCCACTCATAAATTTAAACTTTAACATAATATAGTCATGATCATTCGTCGTTTGTTCTATTATTATTTCTGGAGCATGATCATTTTCCAATCTTTCCTCAAGACATTCAGCGTCCGAGTCTTCCATTTCATCATCCGAATCACTCTCAATATAATCTTCATCTGATTCTTCATCATCCGAAGCAAATACAATTTCACTAATCGTCAAGTCCCTGAGCAAAATATGAGAAATATCCCAATTCCTCTCCTCGACCTTCTTTAAACCACAATTCAACATGTGTTTGGTATAATTTGTGATCAAATCTTGTGCCTGTTTCCTTGAAATACTATAAACCGGGCTAGCAAAAACTGTAGAACAAAAAGAACAAATTAAAGTTGGGAGAAAGGGAAGAATTTCATTGTCATCAGGGGAACAGAAGGTGCTTCGGAAATCGAAGAGGATGCAGCAGTGGCAGGGATTGCTGTCCGATGTTGTTCCATTTTTTTCTAGTAATTTATTGTTATTGTAATCATCATGAACTTACTATTAAATCTTTTTGGCGCCAAGAAAACTTTAAAAAAAATGTCCATAATCGGATCATACCCACAGAGTGATTTAATTGAACAACATCCTCTCATTCGATTAGTGAAGAGATTAGCAGGCATTGGCATGGAAAGTGCACTTGTAAAATTACCATCAACAGCCATGTTTAATGCTAGGTGTATTCTACAAACCTCAGCAGCACTCCCAAAGTTACATGGGTATAGCTTACATAAGTCTGCAGATATTTGGAGTAAAATTGTTGAAGATCAGGGAATATTATCTGTTTGGAGAGGTTATCCATTGGATGTGATGAAGAGTATTATTCAATTCTTTTTAAATCCATTTGCTTTTGCTATTCAAAGAAGGATTGTTCCGAGATTTAATCCGAATCAGGATTTTGTAAAATTCTATTTGAGTAGTATTGGAGGAGGATATTTAACGAGTGCGTTTATACAAACATGTCTTAGACCTTTGGAATATTGTAGAGTTAAATTAGCTTTGGATACTATTGGAAAAAGAGAATATACTGGAGCTTTGGATGTTATTAAGAAAACTGTTAAGGGACCTAATGGAATTGCTGGTATTTATTCTGGATTTTCTGTGGCTCTTGTAAAAACTCTGGTTTACAGAATTTCATACTTTGCTCTATATGATTTATTGAGAGTTATTAATCCATATTCATATGATCGTGATGCACTTGGATTGTTTACTAGATTGTTTACCGGTCAATTTGTTGCATTGGCTAGTTTGACTTTGTGTTTCCCATTTGAAGTTGTTGAAAGAAAGATGCAAGCTCAAGCAGACAAAGAGGAAAGTGAACGCTGCTACAAAGATGCTATTGATTGTTTCAAGAAAACTTACAAGGAGGAAGGAGTTGCAGGCTTCTTCCGTGGTCTTCAAAATAATCTTGCCACAACCATTGGTACTACAGTTGCCTTGTTTGTATCAGATATGTTGTTCAGGTAATTCATTTTTCAATGGTTGAAATTAATTTGGTGGATTGGTATTAAATTGTCACGAAATAAGATTGTAAAGTTGAATGCTTTGCGATCCTGAATCTCAAAAAGTAATAAATTATTTTTTATTAGTTAGCACTGAAGAGAACCTTTGTTTCCACAAGAGCACTGACAATCATATAGCTCAAATAGAGACCACCCAAAAAGATACCAAAAATCTTAGGTGATTTCCACTTGCAAAGAGGAACAACAATTAAGGAAGACAGTAAGGATGCAAGCAAAAAGAAGAATGAAACATAAACAGTAACGTTTTGTTCAAATTCGAATGGTTTTGGATTCATAATGTTTGATGCAGTTGTTGCAATACCCAAACCAATCAATAAATTCAAAAGTGGTCCACCATCTTAAATAAAAACATTGAAATTAAAATATTTAAATAAGGTTAATACTTACAAACACCGCCAAGAGCCATTTCCACAAATCCTTGTCTTGCAATTATCACATCAGCAACAATATCACTCAGTGAATTACCCCATGAAAGTACGGTAATTGAAAGAATAGCATCAGAAACTTGAGCAATAACACCTAGAGATGTCAACAAGTCAACCATTTCATTTGCAATAATATAAATCCACAAAATTGACATAATAAATGCCAAAACTACAAAGAACTGATTTCTTAAATATCATATTGTTAAATAAAAACATACCAAATGGTAAACTGGTGGCTTGGATCTCTTTGTGGTGAAAAAGACAATCGTAGCCAAAATAATACCAACAATTAATAACAAGATAGCAACTGGGAAATTAGAATTAGGTATCATCAATGTAATGCCTATTAAAGAAGAATAGTGTTAAGAATCAGGCAAATATTTCACAACTTACTTCCAACACTGAATAAAACAAATGGTGGAATGAAAACCATTGAAACACAGGCAAGAAACTTGCTCCAGTCGTTTGGATCAGCTTTTGGAATAGTCAAGTTTCTAATAAATACTGTAAATCCTTCAAATACAATATAGAAAATCTTGGAAAATATTGACTTCTCGTCCCATTCAATCCATTCCTTAAATCCTTCAAAACCTTCACTGAGAGTGGTTTTAGCTTTTTCAATAAAGTTCTTTTCATCTTCTGTGTGCATTAATGATGTATCCTCGGTTGGTAATGAGAAATGTTCAGAAATAATTAAAGAACCCGAACTAGCAAAAGTGGATTTCTTTTCTACTCCTGAAGCATGTGAAATCAAAGCACTATTCGATGGAAGTTCTCCTTGATCTCTATTAATAATAGGGAGGGTTTCATCATGTTTAATACTCTTTACAATAAGAGCACTATTAGAAGGTAATTCATCTCGACCAAAAATAGGAGGTTGCTCTCTAACTGATGTTGGTTGCTCTGTAGTTTTGTGACGATGGTAAATACCAACCTTTGGGAAGAAGACTGTTCCAAAAACATTATGTTTTTGTTCCTCAATAATCTCCTTCTTTAATTCATCTGTCAAATCAGAAATCTTATTAATTTGAGTTTCAAAGAGTGGTGCTTTTCCACTTCTCCATCCACCTCCAACATCTTCTTCATCTGATACTTCATCTTCCTCATTGATACTCATAGCATGATTTCTATCTCTTCTTCTCTTCTTGAATTTTTCATACTGAGTAATCACAGTTCTTGAGAGAATGACAAACAACACATATAAAGCATAAATAACAAGACACATAATACTTTGCCATAAATTAATTGAACCATTTCCCATAACAATAACCATAACATAAATTACACTTATCAAATAAGCAATAACATCTCTCAAGAATGGGAATGGAATGACTTTGGCATCAGAAAATAAACTCACAGCTGACATGACCATGCTAGTGACCTTCAAATGTTATTGAAAATATCTGACAAACAACTTACAAATGTACCTGCACCAATTGGTTCACCAATACCAAAACCCGTCGAACCAGAGAAAACACCAGCAACAATACTACTAATATCAGCTACATTAGAAACATTCGAATAAATTAATAACTAAAATTTAAGAGAAACTTACGAGCTCCATTTCCCAAAGCCAAAAATGTCACACCAGCAACATCCGGTGACAATCTCAAAATTCTTGAAATTTCAGTAAGAGCAGGACAAAAGTTTTCTTCAGCTGTATTTGACAACATGTAAAATAATATTAACACCCAAACAACTGACAGCACAAAGAAAAGCCAAGGAGCTTGTTGCAATCCACAATATCTAAACCATAAATAATTAATCATACCACCTCCCATTGGATTTGGACAATTTTCTGTAACAAATTTACATTGGTCTAATTTATAATCGGATACTTTGTGACAAATTTTCGAATTACCATCAGAATCTCCTCCAGAACCTCCAGCAGAAATATTATTATTATCCTGTTGATCATCATCATTCTTTGCAAATAAATTAATTGATGTTTTTGGTGTTGTTATTGTTGATGATGTGGTGGTCAATAAATGTCTACTCGTTGACCTCGATTTTGATGATGATGAAGATAATTTTGATGATGTTCGAAAGTGATGATCATCCGAAACGAGGGGTCCAAAACGACCAAACCACCCAATCATCACCATCAGGATCATAAAGATTGTGCCGTATTTCAACACATACCATAGCGGGGTTTTTTTGGCTTGTGGAAAGAGACGCATTTTTTTTCAGTCTTTGGAATTTTTGAAAATATCAGCACTAGATTTTGATATTTAATAAAAACATTCAGAAGCTCACCTCAGATGAGAATAGACAGGATGGATTGAGGATTGATTTTTTTTTATTTGAGGGAAATGAATTGGACTTGAATATCAATTTCTCCTTTTTTTACACCTTTTAATTTGAGGGTTTTCTTGATGGGTTGAGTTGGATCTTTATCTTCGAATAGTTCTTCAAGAGTTAATGAATGATATCCTGAAAGAATTGTTAGTATTTGTTGAAAAATTGTTATAGTATACATACCCATGAAATCATCTTCACTGACACGATCCCAGTCAATTACCTCCAAGTGAAAGACATCAGTCTTGATATTGGAAATGCAAGTTGTTAATGTTTCATTCCAGACTGGATTCAAAGTTTTCATTTTGGTTGTTGTTTTTACAAGTTGTCCTGGCCAAATATTGGTTCTATCCTCCAAACTAGGTCCACAGGCTAAAATTACATATGGATCACCTAGAGATATACTAGTTACAGAACTATTAATATTATTGAAATACGTACTATATCCATTATTATCACATACAATTAAATTTCTTGCCTCCAAAATTGTCACAGTAAGCATTCCAATAAATTCAACCATTCCCTTATTACTGGAAGAACTTGAAGTCTTTTTCAAGGATTTATAGAGAGAATTCTTTTTCTTTGGCTTTGGATGATCCTCATCGTCAGTTACAATTTCTGTAGGTAAATTTACAGGTTTGACATTTCGACTTTCTTCCTTAGAATCAGATGTGAATAATTTAGTTTCATATTTAGCTCTAATATATTCCTCTCTATAAAGTGGATTTGTATTTTCTGTTGGTTTTGGGAATGCATCCAAAGGTTTAGCTTCATAGTATTGATTAATTTTGGCATTTCCTCCAATTTTCTTCATATTTTCAATAATTTCATTTGTCCAGTTGTCCAAAGTAAGACTTCTAACTTGAGACAGATGAGTGCCTATAATTGTAATCATCATGATTATTTAATTATTAATTACATTAAAACATACCTAATTTTCTATGAACACCAGAGCAAGTAATACAAATTACACAACCAATATTGATACTGGCCCATTTTGGAACTAAATTATCATGATACGAATGGTATCACAAACATTTTCTTCAATTATTTAATAAATACATACCATCACATTCACAATCACAACATTGTTCATTCCCGGCCAAATCATTCAAGCATGCAGCACTAACAGACATTTTCTATTGTTTATTCAAGTATGCGATAACACAGAGAATCCCTAAAGTGTTGAATTGCTAATTTTTTTGATGAGTAGGGTCCGATTTGATGTTCGACGTCCAAGACAATTCTTCTGTTTTAAATTGTTGTGCCCAAACACTGAAATATAGCTGAAGGAGTGACAAGCTTTAAGAGTGAAGGACAAGTTCATTGAAAGGAAAAGGAATTAATATTATCGTTGTTGCATGATGATTCAGTTGTACAGTTAGATTAATATGATCACATTAACATGCCTTACTAATAATTCATTTGTCAATAAAAGAAGCAACAGTAGAAAACAACTAATATAATGAATATTGTGCTAGGTGAAAGAGCTGGCAGTGAGGAGAAGAGCAAGCGATGGATTATTTGATAATTAATAATTTCTGATGCCTCCTTTATGAAAGTCTGAATATTCTCTTCAATCTAGATGAGAATAAGATCATTTAATAGATATTTAATTATATTAATTTCTATAGCAAATGCAGTTTTTAGAATAAACTTCATTCCATCATCAGTAGGAAGAATTAATTCAACGACTGTACCCAAAAGGAATCTTTCATCAACTCAATCAAGGAAGGAACAGACCTAAGCGATGAAACAACAAGTTCCTATCCCATCCACAGTGAAACAGCAAGTACACAAACACTAAAATTTTTACAACTCACTATGCTGATTGGCTGACCAATCATTAATGTTGAAAATTTTTGTAATTGCCCATACAACCAATGAAATGAAACACGCCCGAATAAAATAACACGCTCAACTCTCAGAAATCTTCTCTCTCAACAGAAAAGCCAAAAGAAGATTGTAGCCTCTTTCCAATAACTATTTATCAAATCATTCCAAAATAATTTCCACTGTGTGCATTTAGTTGGCTTGATTCCTCTTTGTGTGTCGATCAATTGTTTCCAATCATCCGAATATTTTCTTCACATCAACAGTGGAAAAAAAAACGGTTGAATTGATTCCAATACAACACCAACACCTTTACTGAAACTCATTCCTCAATAATATTATTTAAAGATTATTGAAATTCAATATTGATTTCAAAAAGCTTTAACCCAAGAAGAAAGCGACATACAGAAGAATAATCTTTGTGGCGCGTAAGAAAAACAAAATCCCCTAAAAAACAAATTTAAAAAAATGAAGAGAACATCATCACAAGGTCCTGGAGCAGATGATGCCAACCCAAAAACTAAAGTACCAAAGGTGCAAACACCAACAAGTTCTTCTGCAACAACACCTCCTCCTCCTAATAATAATCAACAAGCGTAAGTATTGGAATGGATTTGGAAGCTTAAATGTCAACAGTCTTCGAGTATCAGATGCCCTCGCATATCTAGATCTCGTAAAGAGAACATATTTAAATGAACCACACGTATATGCTAGATTCTTAGAGATTATGAAGGAGTTCAAAAACCATATGTAAGTAATCAAGTTTTGAGTTGTGATTAATTTTGCTGTTCCATCAATACAATGAAAATTAATTTTAAATTTAATAATATTATTATTAACAGAATTGATACACCTGGCGTCATTCAAAAGGTCTCTGAATTGTTCAAAACTCATACTCATCTTATTCTAGGTTTTAACTCATTCCTTCCACCTGGTTACAAGATTGAGTTGGATACAAACAATGAAGTTGAAGTTAAGAAGAAGGCAAGCACTCCAACACCTCCACCTCGCGTTCCTATACCTACGATTCCAACTCCTAAAACTGATTCTACTCCACCTGCCACAACAAGAAGTGAAAGAAGTATTGATTTCGAACAAGCTATCTCATACGTAACTAAAATTAAGAAGAGGTTTGCTGATAGTCCTGCAACATACAAATCATTTTTAGATATACTTCATAATTACCAAAAACAGCAAACAACAATTAAGAAAGTTTACGAACAAGTATCCGAGTTATTCAGAGACCACAATGATCTTTTACATGAATTTGCTCAATTCTTACCAATGCCGGTTGAAAAGAAACCAACAAGAAAGGTCAAGAAGGTTTGTATTTTTAATTCATAACATTGAATTGATCAATAATAACAATAATAGCAAAGTCAATCAACACCATCAGGAGATGACAAGAAGAGAAGAACATCAAGAATTACAGCAAAATCAAAACAATTGGAAGACTTTGATTACTATGAAGGTAAACATCAACATTATTCTCACACATTTTACACACACACACATAACACTAATTCTTTTTTATATGATAATATAGAATCTCCACAATTCTTTAACGATCTAAAAGAAAGATTGGGTATTCATGAATATAATCAAATACTTAAGGCCATCAATTTGTATACTACGGATATCATTGATAGAAGTGAATTAATAGATATGATTAGTGAAAATGAAGCTCTTAGAAAGAATTCAGATTTATTTAAGAAGTTGAAAAGATTAATTTCTACAAATACAATAGGTCAGATCATCCAATCACATCATAACACAATTGACACCATCCTTGTGAATATTTCTCAACGTAAATTCACACTTTTTTAATTTTTACATAATTACTAACTAATTTTGTTTTTATATATGACATTTAATATAAACAGATGAGAATTTGCAAAAGAGAGGAGAAAGACCACAACCACCTAGTGAATCATCTAAATCATATACCTACGGTCCTAGCTATAGACTTCAAAGTAAGAATGTATGTAACATAATGTTTTACATGTTGTATTAATCTCTTGTTAAAAGTACTCTGAACCAATTTGTTCGGAGAGAACAGAATTGTGCCATCAAGTCTTGAATGATGAATTTGTTTCCGTTCCAGCTGGTAGTGAAGAAAGTAGAGATATTCAAAAGAAGAGCCAATATGATGAAATTATTTATCAATGTGAGGATGATAGAACAGAATTAGATATTGTTGTTGAACAAAATGTCTCAACAATTAAATTCTTTACTTCATTCATGGAAAAGATTAATAATGATGAACCAATTACATTTGGAATTGATATGCTTAAAGATATCCACAAGGCTACAATTAATAGAATTTATGCCGATAAGGGTAATGATATTCTTGAAGGGTTAAGAAAGAATCCAACTGTTGCAATTCCTGTTGTCTATAAGAGACTTAAACAAAAAGATGAAGAATGGCGAAAGGCCAGAAAGGAATTGAACAGATTTTGGCATGATATCTATGAAAAGAATTTCCAAAAAGCAATGGAAAGTCAATATAATACTTTCAAGACTATTGAAAAGAAACGTCTCCACTTTAAGAATATTTTCAAAGATATCAAACAAAGACACGAATATTCAAGACCTTTGGTATTTGATTTCCCAGATAAGAGCATTCACAATGATATTTATTACATGTTAATTAATTTAACTAATGAATTAACTGAAGAAGAAATTTCCAGTATCAACCAACTTTGGTCTGACTTTTTGATTCCTTTCCTTGATTTATCTGCTTCTGAATACCAAAAAGTTGAACGTTATGATGAATCAATCAAGGAAGTACCAGAAGGTGAATCACCTAATTCTAATCCAATTGTCTACTTTACAGATTTATTTGCTCAAACTTCAACAACTGAACCTTCCACTAATGAATTCCCTCCAATTGTAGAACAACAACTTACCAAGGATAACAAACTAAGAAATAACCTGTTCTATGCGAACTCACACTTTCTCCTTTTCTTCCGTTATTACTGCTCTCTCTATGAAAAACTCTCCAAGGCTAAAGAAGCCTGTAAGAGAGCAAGTAAATCTAAGAAGAGAGACCAAGATACTGCTAGTGTGTTGAAAGATCACGATACCCTCTTGGAGAAGAGTGCTTTCAACAATGAAAGAAAAGAGAAGGAAAGAGAAAAGGCAATTGAAGAAATGACAACTGTAACAGATAATATGGAAATTGATACAAATCCAGAGACACCAGATGAATTATATTCACAATTTATAATACTAATGATCAGATTCTTAAACGGTTTGGGAACAGCAACATCATATGAAGAGGACTGTAAGAAACTTCTTGGATATGATTCATATATTGTTTACACTTTTGATAGAGTGTTTGTTGAATTCCAAAAGCATGTTTACACAATGATTAGTGATTACAAACAAATGTGTGTCGATTATTTGGAACCATTTAAATATGAACTTCAAAGAGTTAACAAGTTTTTGGACAATTCTTACAGACTGAATGTTCAGAAGCTCATCGGAGATGAAGTTTGTTATATTCTTGAATTTAACAAGAGAGCACAAAAAGCTCGTATTGATGAAATTGATCCACCAGAAATGGACTTGGAAAAGTTGGAAGCTGAAAACAAGGCTCTGCGCTACGTTCAAGAATTTTTATTAACACCACCTCCTGCTGATTTGTTAAAACAATCAAGTGTTTACCTTGCAAGAAACAAGAAACAAGTTTTACTCAAGAAGTCCCAACACGATTTACTCATTCGTAACAAACTAGAGTGTAAAATATGTATAGCCACCCTTAAGCTTTACTTTGTAGAAGACACCGAGGACCTAATGTTCAGACAAAGCAAGCCAATTTCCAAATCTGCCAAAGAAAAACGATCAAGCAGATGGAACAAATTTGTTGAAGAAAAATTGGCCTCACAACCATCAGAAACAACTAATTAAATTTTAAAATCTTTTTAATCTAAATATTTAATTGTTTGATGATATGGCTGTTTACATTGTATTCTTTCAGTATTTGTTGGTGATTTGTGATAACCCGCCAAAAACCGTTAAATTAATAATTTCAAAAATATTAAATAACAGAAACTGTCAATAATCACATCAAAAAAAATAACTAATTAAAAACAAGATGAAATTTACACCAACTAAAGACCAACAAGAGAATAGAAAGTCTTCTGCCAGATCACCACTTTCACCAATTGTAATTTCTCCAAATTGTTCAATCAGAGGTAGTACTACCACTGCCTCTCCTTCTTCAAGATTTAGTAAAACCTTCTCCACACCACAACCTGCCAAAATTACCAAGTTTTCACCAAAGTCTGCCAACAAGGCTTCCACACAAAAGAAGAAGAGATTGAATTTTAACAGCCCTTCCGTTAAGAAGCTTTTAGATAAGATTGCTAAAAAATCAGTTGAAGGTGGTGAAACATCAAATTTGAAACGTCTCAAAAGATTAATCTTTAGAAAGAAAGCAGTACAAGAAAACAAGGAAAACTTTGAAAATACTGAATATACATTCACGGAATGTTCAGACGATGGCAGTTTTTATTTTGGTACTGAAAAGAGTTCAGAGGGAGAAATGTCAGAAGAAGAATTGGATTTTGCTTTTGGTTTGGATCATCAAGATTTTGGAATGATGTCTCCAAAGAGACCTTCTGTTCTTTCCTCAGCTTCTAGATCCTCTATTAATCCAGCAGAAAAGAGAGGTTTTTCACTTCAACACTTATTCAAGAAGAGAGAAGAAATCAAAAAAGCAGAAGAAATCATTGAAAAGTTTGACATTTCCAAACAATTAGAGGACCTAAGTGTTGCTGATACTATTCTTGGTCAATGGGCTAACCTCAACAAGTAGATCTGACAGAATCCACAATGTGTAAATTTCCAATCTTTTTGTGGTGAAATTGTACTTCATCACATAAAACCTAAATTATTCCTAAGTAAATTCCTCAATAAATCAAACTACTCATCTGTAATTTCCTTCTTGTTTTTAGTTTCGATATTTTCGGGAATCATTGATGGATGTTTTTCCAAACACTTTTCCAATCCTCTGGCAAATCTTTCCACCAATTTGTTTGTATAATTTAATTCATTCTTCAACATGGAAATATTTGTATCCAATGATTCAATCCGTAATACTCTAGATCCCATCTCCTTATCAATATGTTCTTTCATTTCAGAAAATCTTTTTGAAAACCGTTCAACAAGAGGCTTTTCATTATTTAATTCTTTGGCCATTCTTTCTAATTGCATTAACCTTGCATTAATTTCATCATCAAATGTATTTACATTGGTTTTAGGAGGTTGTAGATTTTTCATATTCTCTGCAAGGGTTGTTATTGCCTTGGCTGATAGAATTTGAGATTGATTGTTCCGAGATGATGTTCTTCTCCTCGGATCCATAGAATACGTATTATTGTTTCCTCTCCCATTTGTTGTGGAGGAATTTTGTCTAACAATATCTGATCGATTCAAACTCTTCTTCATTCTTGTCCTTATTGTTTTTCTAGTGTGGGGCTGCCTTACTATTTCTCCCTTATTGTCGCTTTGGGTATTTTTTACAGATCGAAATTCATTTTTAAAAAAAAATCATTAACATTGTTACTCGAGAAAGCTGGTAAAAGAGTTTCTGCAAGCGTTTTTGCTCATTTAAGCCTATGGATTGGATATGGTACTTTTTGGTGGAGGCAAATCCAAGTATTTCAATGATGTAGAAGGATTTATTTTCCAAGTGCCTTATGCAATAATTCCAAAGTGTGTTTCCAAATATATTGTCTGTACATTTCATTATGATCCTTGGTAACTGAGGTTGGTTCACCATATTGATTTAAAACATGGAAGCCCTTCTTGGTTAACTCATCTGTCAAACCCTTAAACAAATATTCTGCACATTGTTCTGTAGATCTTGCAAATTTCTGAACTGCACGAATAATCCATCTGACAGCTGTTGGCAATTCACGACCCCATTGAGTGGCTATAAATCCTGGAGCTTGATGAATGAATGAAATATTTTCATTTCCTTCCTCTCTGGACAATTGATCCATGGCCAAGTCATTGTAAAAACCAGCAGCATCAGCAGCATTCTTCAATGAGAAATCTTCTTTCAAATCCAGATCATTCAAATTGGTATAGGTTCCATGAATTCCAGCCGATAAAACAGTTAACACTCTCACATCTGAAGAAATAGTTAGAGTTGATCTCAATAAATCTTGTAATTCTCTAACAAACATGACTCTTCCATAATAATGGAGAGCTAGTTTGACATCAATTCCTTCTTTTGTCTCTGTTCTTCCAGCCATGCTGGAAATTCCCTGCGAGAGAACTAGATAATCCAATCGATTGTGATTCTTCTTATATTCCTCACAAACTCTCTTAATGTCCTTCATTGAAGATGCATCAACTGGAATCATTTCAAATTTGCCCTGTGGGAAAATTCTCTTCATTTCCTCAATAATTTCCTTTCCAGCTTGTGCATTTCGTCCCATGATTGAAACATCCATATTTTGAGAGGCCAATTTCAAGGCAATTCCTTTTCCAATTCCTGAAGTAGCTCCAACACAAAGTGATTGTTTGGTAGATCCACTTCTAGAGGTATTACTTGTCTTGTAATAATTTGTAGTTGTCATTGCTGATTGATCGGAATAATTCACCCAAACAATCCAACTCAACACGAGCACGCTTTAATCATCAATTTATTTCGGAATCGATCAATAAATTAAACAAACCTTATAGGTATCACAATACTTGCTTTGAAACATGAACCTTTCGAAGGGACCTTTTTTTCCTCTGGCAGGGTTGCTTTCATTGCTTTGCTATTTTTTTTGAAATAATTTGATTGTAAAAATAGTACGCACGAGGCGATTAACAATTTGTTGTAAACAAGGTTAAGCTGAGTATTTCTTCCACTGTCTGGTGGGTATCTAAGGAAAGCAAGTATCCTCCTTATTTTCCTTAACTCTTTGGTTCTAAAGCTGACCTTTTAAGATTGAGAACAGACTGATGCCATGCTTGTTGTTCTGAACTCAATAAAACTGTAAATTATTGTAACATAATGTGATTGTACACATGGATTGAATTGTAAAGGAATCTAGAAATGTGCATTTGTTTTAAAAAGTCTAGATGCCAATTTTGCTAATTCAATCATTCCAATTCGCCAAAAAGACAAAATCTTCACCTATTAGATTGAGAATAAATTACTGATTTCAGATAATTGACATTTACATAACTGCCCAAGTTGAGATTTTCTAAAAACAACTTTCTTTCTTTGTAAATTATCCAAATAAAGTAATTCTTGAAAATCTCATAAATACTGAACATCATATTCACAATTTCATGCAAAAAAAAACAAATATCAAAATGCAACCTCAAAAAACAAGCACAACCGGCAGTGGAACCATCCACAATATTAAGGAAAAAGTCTTACATCCATTCACTCATGACACTGACAGCAATATCACTTACGAAAGCAGACAACAAAAGAAGTTGGCAGAAACTGATCCAAACTTGGCAAGTCAATTTGGAGTTAAAGATGTTGGAATTCCACACAAGCCAGCAACAACAACAGGAGTAAATGTTCCTCAATCAACTACTACAAGTGGTGGAATGTTAAATCAACCAACTCAAACCAATATTGCAAGAGAGGAATACATGGAAAAAAAGTTGTAAATAAATTCTAATCTTATAGTTTAACATTTCCACCTACCTGTTTTAAAGTCAATTAAGCCATGATTACTTTCAAATGGCAAAATATTACACAGATGCTTAATTTTGGTCACCATTTCACTTTATAAAATTGATTGAATTTCATGCAAATTATGAATGGCACTTTACTTTATTATTGACCTTATTTTAATGTAGGGATAATAATTGTGCTTTTCCGACAAAAGCAACAACTGCAATTCCATCAATTCATAATTTAATGATTAATGATAATTAAATTAATAAATAATAATAAATCAAAATCTTTAAATAATAATAAAAATAAAAATGAATCGATTGGTATCATCGGCGGCATCATCTACTACTACTGCTGCTGCTTCTATTATAGCCAAATCACCGGTTCCTTCCTCCTATTATACATCATTGTTTTATTCGAGAATTTATCATCGATTTACATTTAAATCAAAGAGTTGGATTTGGAAACATGGTGGAGTGGCAAATGCAACAAATGAAGTAATTTCATCATTCTATCCACATTTACAAGAATTATCTAAAAAGGTTGGTAGAGATTTAACCCTTCCGTGGTACATGTCCATTGCACAATCAATATCGTTGGGAGGATTTTCCGAGAATAATAGAGTAAAGGAAATTTATTTCAATGGTGCTGATTATTTCAAAGCCTTATGGAATGGTATTGATAAAGCAAAGAAGAGAGTATTTATTGATTGTTATACAATTTCAACAGATCAAATTGGAGATAAAACTTTGGTGAAATTAATTCAAGCTGCTCATAGAGGAGTGGAAGTTATTCTTTCAGTGGATGCTTTCGGAAGTTATCATATTGATTTTGAAAAGGAGGATTTAATTCAAGAATTGAAAGAAGCTGGTGGGAAAATATTGAAATTTAATGATAAGGATTTGAAATTATATAATTTCTTTTTTAGACATCCTAGTAGAGCTCCAACATTGAGAAATCACAAGAAAGTTTGCGTTGTTGATGATAAAATTGGCTTGATTGGAGGAATGAATATTGAAAATAGATATTCAAATCCATTTGATAGAGCACTGTATACAGAAGAACAATTGGAAAAGGAGATTTTCACTGATGAAGGTGACCAAGGCGTATTGGATGTTCCTTTGGATGAAAATTTACTTGATGAGTTGGATGAATATATTGAAAAGGGAAGATCTAATACTACTGATTATAATGTACTGCTATCAGGAATAGGTCACATGCGTGATTTGCATTGCATGGTTGATGGACCAAGTGTATCCTATTTGACATTATCCCTACTTTTCAGTTTGGAACAATCCAAATCAAAACTAGGAGAGAATATAGTTAGGGAATTTAACAGAGAGGATTTATTGACTGACATTGATAAAGATCCAAATAACTCTTGGAATATGACAGACAATATTGAAGAAGAAGCAGTACCAACAAATAATGAAGAAAGACGTTATTCACAAGTATTATTTTCAGATCCTAAAAAACACAAAACAGCTCTCTACAAGAATATTTGTAATGTAATTAATAATTCGAGAAGTCACTGCTACATTTCAACACCATATTTCTACCCACCTGAAAGGTTAAAGCAAGCTCTTATTGCTGCAAAGAAGAATGGATGTGATGTGAGACTGTTAACTTGTGGAAGAAGTGACGTTCCTGGCATGAGATATATCAGTACATATATTTATGGAGAATATTTAAAGCAAGGTATCAAAGTATACGAATATTTTGGAAAGACCCTTCATGCTAAATACATGACAATAGATGGATTTTTCACATCGATGGGTTCTTACAATTTGGATAGAATGAGTTTAGAAACTAATTTAGAGATTGGAATTCAACACTATGATTTGAAATTGGCATCTGAGCTTGAGAAAGACTTTAAACGTGAGCTTGAAGTTTCCAAAGAAATAACTTATGAGGATTGGGTAAATAGACCATTCAAAATGAAGATGATGGGTTTCTTCTACTATTGGGTTTATGAACTGTTTGGACCTGAAGGTAGATTGACTTTAAAGCTGAGGTTCTCGAAAGAAAAATAATTTATTATTTACAATAAAACACTTAAGAAGAAAGATCCATAAGATTTGGTGATTGACGATCCTTTTCAATAGCTTCCAAATTTTCAGCTTCATCATATCCAAAAGAAATTCTGAAAACATCTGAATAATAATCAGCAAAGTGAACTTCTAATCCCTTCTTGATATTTTCATCCAATTCATCCCAATCTCTTCTGTTTCCAGCAGGCAGAATTACAGTTGTAATTCCAGATCTTCTGGCAGCAATAACCTTTTCCTTAACACCACCAATAGCAAGAACCTTACCAGTTATGGTTAATTCTCCTGTCATTGCCAAGTTATGTCTTACAGGCTTATTGAGAGCAAGAGAAAGAAGTGAAGTCACCATTGTAACACCTGCAGAAGGTCCATCCTTATTTACACCACCTTCTGGAATGTGCATGTGAATATTTGTCTTTCTGAAAAAGTCATTCTTTGGATCAACATTGAACAGATGATTCTTAGCATAGGAGTAAGCAATTGATGATGATTCCTTCATTACATCTCCCATAGAACCTGTACACTTGAGTGAGCCATTCATAGGAACAGATGCAGTTGTAGTGGCATTGTCAGTAGTTGCAACTGGGATATCGGCTTGACCTAGTTTTTCTGAAATAGTTTCAATATACAATGTGGAACCTCCCATTGATGTCCAAGCAAGACCCATAGTAACACCTACAGGAGTGGTGAGGTAGTATCTATCTGATGTGAATACTGGCTTTCCTACCAATTCTTCCAAATCATTTTCAGTGAGATGGATTGGAGCTGGTTTCTTATTAGATTTGGCAATTTTATAGGCAACCTTACGACAGATCAGTTCAATGTGCTTTTCCAAGTTTCTTACACCAGCTTCTCTACAATGTTCTCTAATTAGTTTTTCAATGAGACCATTTGTAACAGTAAGCAAAGGTTTCTTCTCCTTAGCCTTTTGAACATAAAGTCCAGTCTCTTCAATCTTTTTTGGAAGGAGGTAGTTTCTGGTGATATGAACCTTTTCTTCAAGAATATAGCCACTGAGTCTCAAAACTTCCATTCTGTCAAGAAGTGGTCCAGGAATACTGTCGAGAACGTTAGCTGTACAAACAAACAAGACATCACTCAAATCATATGGTACATCCAAATAGTGGTCAACAAAGGCATTATTTTGTTCTGGATCCAATACTTCAAGGAGAGCACTGGCTGGATCACCTTGATGACTTCTTCCCAATTTATCAATTTCATCAATCATAATTACAGGATTATTAGTCTTGCAATGTTTCATGATATTAATTAATTTACCAGGAATAGATCCAATGTAAGTTCTTCTGTGTCCCTTAATTTCACTGACATCAGTCAAACCACCAACACTGAATCTGTGGAATTCTCTTCCCAAAGAGGAGGCAATAGATTTACCAATAGAGGTCTTACCAACACCAGGAGGGCCCATCAATAGAATAATTTTACCCTTTGTGGTATTCTTCAATTTACCAACTGCAATAAATTCCAAAATTCTCTCCTTTACCTTCTTGAGTCCATAGTGATCATGATCGAGAATGTTGGAAGCTTTGATCAAATCAAAGTTTTCAATACCACGTAATCCCCAAGGAAGAGATGTCATCCAATCCAAATAATTTCTTACATTGGTATATTCACTTGAATGAGGATCCAAAGTGGAGAATTTGTTCAATTCATCTTGCAATGTAGTCTTGACAAGCTCAGGAACATTATCTCTAGACTTGATTTGTTCAGCAGCACCTGAGAATTTTTTCATTAATTCTTCCTTGGCATCCTTTTCAAGACCAAGTTCCTTCTTGATAATTTTAAGTTGTTCAGTGAGGTACATCTTTCTTTGTTGATTATTGAGTTTTTCCTCAAGATTTCTTTGAATCTTTTCTTGAATCTTTTTAGTTTCAACTTCAGACTTTAAGAGCTCAAGAGATTTGACTAATCTGAGTCTAATGTCTGTAGTTTGTAAAATTTCTTGAAGTGTTTCAGGATCATGAGAGCAAAGAATGGCAGCAATGTCAGACAACTCAGCAGGATCAGTATGATCCAATTGTTCCAATACCATATTCAATTGTTCTCTTTGAACAGGATCAATGTGTGATAAAAATTCCTTAATTTGTTGGAAAATTTCCATTACGTGAGCCTTGATTGATAGATCATTCTTGTCAACCTTATTTGCAGTCACTTCTTCAATATTTGCAGTAAGTCTCTTACTATTATTTACAGTTCCAGTTACCTTAATTCTTCTGATTGCAGCAAATACTACTGAAGCACCACCTTTAGATGGTACAACCCTAGTAACCTTTGCAAGAGTACCTACTGTTTCAATTTCATTGAGAGATGCAACATTCTTCATTTGATCACGTTTTTCCAAATCCTTTACAAGGAAAAGACCAACCAATTTATCATGATAACCACTCTCCAACATGGATTGAATGAATTTAGTATCAGTAATGAAAATAGGAACAATAGTTCCAGGGAATGCTGGTTTTTTGTACAATGGGACAATTTCAACAAAAGGTGGAGTTGGAGTGGCAAAGAAGCTTGTAATTGATTGTTCAGTTTGCTTAACAGGAGAAAGCAATTTACTTGCTTTATCCGAAACATCTTCAGCATTTACCTTATCTGATAATAATTCTTCAATTCTTTCAGCACTATCCTCTACAATATCATTAATTTCATCACTCTTTCTGGATGATTCAAAGTCATCGAACATTTTGTTAATTTCTTGTGTTTTGTCCTTTTCAGAAACATCCTTCTGTTCTTCTTCTTCTTCCTTCTTTTTCTTTTCATCATTATCATTATTATCTTCATCATCCTTCTTCTCGTTTCTATGAATTGTTGATGTAGAGAAGAATCTACTCTTCAAATCACCTTGCAAACTTCCGATAATCATCCTTGATGAATTCAACTGTTCTTGTTGATAACTATTGGCTCCCTTCCCAAACACAACATCAGTCTTTCGGAAAAGCCCTGATGATGATGTTCTCGAGGTTGCAAGCAAGGATCGGAATGCCTTTGATGCAGGTGTTGAGAGTTGCTTCATCGTTGTTTGATGTTTTTATTTTAAAAATAAAAAAATACATCCTTGTCTCGGAATTGGCTATCAACAAGCCGATAACATTATTGTTTGTTTATTTGCAAAGAGAGGAAAACCCAATCAATTTAAATGGAAGGATGATAAAGATGATGGATCGTATGGGGTGAAGATGATACAGTGCTGCTAACACTTGTAAACCAGATGGAAGGCTTATGAAAAGTTGAGATAAGGATAATTAAGCTTAATTATCATCATGATGATTTATTTCCTCTCGAATCTGGAGAGGGCTTCAAGAACTGTTGATGTTCTTCCCTTTAAGGCTTGCTTTCGTTCTTCTGCTAGTGCATTGGAGGGTGGAGGAGTGTTGGGTGTTGCAGGTTTGAGGAATCTGGATCTCAAATCACTAAATGAATTGTTACCTGATGGATCAGAAGCTGTTGTGGAATTTGTTGATGGAGCAGATGAATCAATTGGTGATGATGAATTAGAATTTGTTGGTTGAGTATTGTTTGGAGGTGAGGAATCGGTTGTGGTTGACTTGGCACTTGTTGGAGTAAAAACAGTTTTACGACTCGTTGGTGATGCTGTTCTTAATGTTGATGGTTCAGGAGGTGTAGTGCTAGAAGAAATCTTTCTTGGAAGATTTGCTGTTGGAGAAAGAGTTTCACCACTTGGTTTTGGTGTGGTAGATATGGTTGGTGTGTTTGCACTTGAGGAGTTGTTATTGGATGATGGTACAGGTGGAGTAGGGAATTTCTTGAGAGAAGTGAAGGTACTTGGAGCTGTTGATTCAACACTTCCAGTTGTGGGCATTTCCTTAAGTCTCAAAAACTTGTCGTGCAAATACTTTTCATATTGTAACAAATATTGAGCTTGCTGATCAAACATTTGTTTGATTTGCTTCAATGATTCCATATTAACAGACTCGACTTGAATTTGTTTAAATGCCATATCATATTCTCTCTTCATATCGAGAACTTGTTTTGGATACAAGTTATTCTTTTGTTGATCTAAGTTGGTTGATTCCAAATCAATAGAATTAACAGACATTCCTGTCATGAGACCCTTGGAAATATTTTCCAATATGCTAACTTCAGTCTCTCTAGCTTTCCTCTCCATTTCAACCTCAATCAATCTGAGGTAGGACTCTTCTATCAGTTCACAAGTATTTTTGATAGGGTCATACATTTCCAAATATTCGAATGGTTTTTTGAATACATTAATGTTTTCATTGTTGAGAGTATCATTTGGATCCTTTTTGCTCAATTCTTCCATATACTGTCCAATAACTTTCTTTCTTTGTGCAGAGGTTTCTTCTTGTTTCTCAACAAGAAGTGCCTGAATAGGACCTGATTTGGTTTTGACTTGTCTATTATATTCTGTCAATCCTTGAAGTGCCTTCTCCACAATATTTCTATCTGAAAGTAAGAGTTGAATGTCATCTGTTGGTACGTCTCTTGGCAATGCAAAGGATGTCTTTTTAACTCGATCAGATCCTTGAACATCCTCCAGTAAATCCTTCACTTGAGGAGTCATGAAAATATTTCTATTTGAATAATCAATAGCACCAGCAATGACTAGTTCAATTTCCTCAGCTAAAGGTGATTTGATAACCATTGTAGATTCTAGAATTGGTTCTGGTTGTTTGATGACAATTCTCAAAATGTCTTTGGTAGCAGAATAAGTCACAATACTTGTAAATGGAGTACTCGAAGTAATGCATCTGTCCGTAGAGTGTATAGTACATAAACCTTGATCATCAATACCAAATAGAATTTCAGTAAAATCACTAAGATTGGTACTCTCTGCACTTGATTCTTGCTTAAATTCAACCTTGTACAAGTTGAGTTTAAAGAATGGGTGTTGTGAACACAATTTCACATATTCACATTGAGCATCGACAATGTTAAGGGTCTTGTTTCTTTGTAAATTCTTGATGAACTTTTTTCTCATTTTGGTTTTCATCTTTTGAGTTTCTTGAATTTCAGCATAAAAGTGAGGAGGTACGAGTGATTCGAATTTAGAAACATCATCCACTCTCTTGTAGTACTTTCTGTCAAGTCCCTCTGCTAAAATAGACAATGCAACCAATCTAGCAATGATATTTCTTTCAGTTCTATCTTGAATATTGTAATTGAGTTTTCCATTCATGAATCTCTCCTTTGTTTCACTATATGTTAATGATAAACTAACTGCATTTAGTTTAATATCATTTTCCAATAGTTGGTCATATGTGAAATTATATTTTTTAGATAATTGAAGTTTTGATTTGTCATTCACTTGTTGTCCTTGTTCTCGGAGTGTTAATTGTGGAATTAACCATTGTTGCAAATTATCCTTCAAAGAAAAATCAGCCATAAACTCCTTCTTTATCATGAATGATTTTGCAATTTCAGATGAAATTTCCTCCACTGTTTTTAATTCATTAATTTCTGTTGGTTTTGCAAATTGTTGGTCAACTCCGAATTGAACTTGTATCTTCTTCTTTTGAAGTACACATTCTATTGTACACTAATGTTTTCAAATTTAATAAAAAGTTTTCAATGATCACTTACAACTCCTTTCACATTTAAATCTGCAAATGACATTCCATAATTAAAAATCCAATCACCTCCAACACCTTTATCACCAAACTCTCTCACAACAAACAATGCATACTTTTCACAAAATGATCGATAGGAATCTGTTGTAGAGTTTGAATTATTTGGTAGAAAATTTAACAACTTCTCCTTGATAAAACTTTCTATCAAATCACCAGGAAAGCAAGTAACGTTTTGTTCATTAATTGTTATGTGTTGTGAAATGGTTTCAATTTCAATTTTTAATTGTACATTGATTGTGGATTTATGTTTAATTCGAATAGAAGAAATTCGTTGTGGTGATGATTGGTCTGATGGTTCGGGAGAAGAACTATTACTTCCTCCTTTTTGAAGATGTCTTCTCAAGAAATCCAGTGGTGGCATTATTGATTAATTTTTTTTGACAGTTTTTACACCTGTCTAACAGAAGATTCGTGATGTCTCTCCGGCAAAATGTGTGGTGAAGAAATGTCGAATCAACGATCGCCCATCAGCAGGTTAATTGCTGTAGCTGGTCTGAATATTATTCCTTCAGCTCATCTGTAGTAAGAAGCATATTGTAAAAATGTTGTAGCTGGTCTACTTCTGCAGCTTGCCTATTGAGTGTGAAATGTCTTCTGCTGTAAAAAAATTTCACTTTAAACGTCAAACATCATTACTTTTAAAAATGGACAACGCATATTTGTTTGGTGATATTTTTCCATTTCAATATTTTTTACAACCGTTCAATACTCATATTAAATATTGTTAATACTCTGTCAAAAGCTTGGATTAAAGTTTCAAACCATTTCAGGTAAATAGTTGAGTTAGTGAAATAGAATAAAAATTAGAAAATTTTAACACTACATGTACACACATGATATCCTCCAGTTACTACCATCCGATGAGACAAGAAAAAAAGAGGAAGACCACAAAGAAGGTCAAGCTACTAGCAATGTATTCATTAACCAGTGCAATTCATTCTTTGTGGTTTCCCCCTTTTTCCTTGTCTCTAATCCAAATCCTAATCCTCTTTAAATCCAAATATTCAATCACTTCTCGAAATTATGTTTCGTCTTTGTACGAATACAAATGATACGAAAAATAGTTTCAATGGTGCTTGAATGGTTTTGGATTTTTTTCACAATTTGTTTGTCGCTTCCTCCAGTTATTTGGTGAATCAAGCTAGCTTGTGTGATGGGCTCTTGGGACTGATTGTATAAGTTTGTGCGTTGGTTACATGACCTTAAGAATCCGATGAAAGCTAAGGCACACCACCTACAGGTAAAGTCAAATGTAGAAAACTACAGAATTGTTGAGTCATTTTGCATGTCTCTCCTGTAGAGCTCTCTTGTTAACTTTTGGCATTAGAAAACTCGGTTTTGCATGAGGTTTCCAAAGTTGACTTTCCCAGATTAAACCAGAGGTTGATGTTTTAGATCAGTGATATTCCGTTTTTGTATTACAAAGATAAAACGTGTTGGAAAGTTGTTGAATTGATGCCTCTTCTGCATGCACTTTGGAATGATATCTGACGGCAATCAAGATGATGATTGTGCACCTTGAGAATGTAACGTGTTGATGATCTTGTTTTTTTGACGTAATATTATTTGGTTGTTCAAGTGTGGTTTAAGGTTCAAACCATAGAGGACAAACCTCATGCAGCCATTGCTTGCCAGAACACAACCCATGTTACTTTTTAGCATTATACTATGATTGTAATAGATAACCCAAATGGGATTTAATAAGAGAAGAAATACCTCCTATCTAAATAGAATTTCCTTCTTCGCACGAACCTCTATTACTCAAATGTTCTCCACAATTGATTTGATTAACCGTTGGTCTTTCAATTCTGCTATTGAGACCTACATGCTCTGAGCCATTTAAATGTCCTGTTGTTGTTGCTTTCGTAACTAACCAACGATTGTGTTCCCGTAGATGATGTCGTGGCTTTTTTTCTAAGATGTTATTTTGCTTAGATGGACGCTCTTTTGTTAAAATTGTCACAACGTTCTACTTGTTGTATTTTTAGACAGAAAAAAACTTCATATGATGGGTGGTCGGCACAATGAGATAAGGAAACAGTTACTGACATGAATGACAAGTTTTTGGATTGTGTTGATATGTGTACATTGTTGGGGATAACCATGATTAAATGGGTCTGTTTGGATGTTGTAAAATTAAAACCATGAAGAACCTTTGTTGATGTATTTCCAGTTGAGCTCTCAAAGTTACAGCAATACTTGCCACTTTTATTTCTAGGAATTAAGGACTATATTTGTAACGAATGACTGTTTAAACTGGATGGAGAGAGTACTCTATCAAGAGAATAAATCCTTAGTGTCAGTTTACAATATTTACTCAGTTACCAAAGAGGTAATGGACAATTTCTTGATGTTGATGGTTTTTCATAGCTCTCTTGGAAAGGAAGAGATAGATGTTTATTATAATTTCAATTAAGTGAACTACCAATTGAGTGGTTTTGGCAAGAACTTCTTTAGTATTTAATATTATGATATTTTTGTAGCTCGCTGTGTTGTGAGGGTAACAAACCTTCATTCACGTATTATACTTGATAATACATTGTTAATTGTCCTCAGCCAGGGTTAATACTTTTTAAATGATAAATAACTATTGTAATGCATTCAATCACAGGTTACAAAGTGATCTGTTTGGCATGTCAATATCATCATTCCTCCAATCAGAATCTCATTGCTGATGAAAAAATAATTCAATACTTCATCTTGATTGTTAATGCTTGATTATTTCAATTCGGCAATTCTAACAACAACCAAAAGGAAAACAATAGAAAATTGCTTCCAATTTCCTCATCCTATTACCTTCTCAACTACACTATGAATCAGAAATTTCCATTCAAATTCAAATAAATGGTTCAGTACTATTCCTCTCTCTTCCGACTTTACTCTTGTTCCTTTTCTTGCAGCAAATCAACTCCAATTACTTTCAAACTTGTGGATAGACTCAAAATGCTCGCACGATTTTTATCTTTTATAATTTTTCAATTAGAAAAAATATTTTTAAACTCCCACTACGAGTACAAACAACAAACGACGACACTCGTTGGCGATCAATATTAGAGAATCTCCTTCATCAAAAATTGTTCAATACAATTTAAATTATAATAACGGAGAGAAAATAATCAATTCAAAATGATGCAATCAGAACAAACTTTTTCAAATCCTCCACCAATGATGGCCCAACAAGTACCTCCACAACAGCAGCCACCAATAATGGCCTCACTGAATGGAGTTCCTGAAGTTAAAGAAGATAAGAAGAGATTAATTGTGGATAGAGCTTCAAAGAGAATAACAGCACTCGAAGATAGTGTTATTCAAAAGTATGATGTTTTACAAGGACACAAACATCCAAAGCTTTTTGTTAGACTTTCACTTATAATGGCTTTCCTTTCTATTATTTGTTTTTGCATATGGATTTTAACAACACCAACTGGATATCCTTGGTTTATACATATTTTGTGGGTTTCATCGTTAGTTATTGGTGGTTTGATGATTCAAGGATCACCTACTTATTCCGATAGACTCTTCTCCTTCCACACCCTCTTCTTCGCATCAACAAGTTTCCAACTCATTGCCATGAATGAACATACACCATCAAGCTTCCCTTGGAGTGTTTATCCAGTTGCTGTTTTATTACTTGCCTACTGTCTTCATGGTATGGTTGTCAAGGTTAGACAATTCTTCAATCACTTTTATATCCACGCCTTGTTCTACAGTGTTATTAACTTTATTGTTTTTGTCACTTACTGTTACACTGTTCACGATTTCCCATGGTTTTTGATTGTTTTAGGAGGTTGGACTGTCTTTTTATTGGCTCACTTTGCTATTTGGAAGGCTTTGACTTTCAGATTCAATAAGCAAGCTGAAAAGGCTAATCAAGCAGCTCAACAAAATAATCAATCAGGTCAACAAGCTGTTATTCAACAACCAACTCAACCAATTCAACAACCTATTCAACCTTCATTTGCTGCTCAAACTGTTCCAAACACAGTTTATGTCACACCTTCACAAGATCTTGGATACAACAACAATGCTCCAATGGTTCGTGAATCTGGTTTCACTGGTGAAATTGAGGATACTTTTGATGAAAATCAATTCTTTGATGAAGAAGATGAACCTCAAGAATTTGGAAAGAAGAAGGGAAATTACGAACAAGTTTAAAATTGTAAATAAACAAAATATTGACTCAAAATGTTTTTACTCATTACTGAGACAGACAATCATGAAAGATTAAGAATTAACACTGTTTATTCCTCTTGTTCAACCAAATAAAGCTCTTCCCTTAGAGAGCTGTTAAATTTTTCCAATTCCTCATATTCCTTCAAGAGTTTTAATATTTCAGAGGAGTTTTCATTGGTCAATTGATCATTAATCCAACCTTCCAGGTAAGGAATGTTATTATTTTCTATAAATACATGATTCATACACTCATCTACTCCAGAAGAATTATTAGATTCTGAAATGGATGGAAAATGATTTCCAAATTGTGATGATTGACCAGCAATTACAGTTAAATTAATATCTTGTCTATATGTTATTTTACATTCAAAGTTTTCTGATTGATCCAACAAGGCATTTGCACATATTGTATCAATATATTCATTTTTCAAATATGGTGAGAATACTTTGGTATAATATGCTAATAATTGAACAAAAACTTCACTATCTCCTCCATAAACTTGATTCTGTACAAACGACTTGATATTCAATCCAATATACTTTTCCAAAATATTCTTATGTTTACCTCCGGAATATCTTTGTAAAATACAGTGCTTTAATACCATATAGTGGAATTTTTGAAACTGTTTCTTTATCTTTCCCTGTAAATCATAATCAAAATTGTCAAAATTCATAGAAAATCCCAACAATTGTAAATTTCCATCCTTGTGCTTGGAAATGTAATCAATTAATATATTTTCATCATAAATAATTTTAAAAGATTCAATATAAATATTTTGATTTTGATATGTGTGTTTTCTTGTTCCGAATAAAAGAATGTTAAAATCCTCCTGTTGAATGTGAGTACTTGATTCCAGACTAGTATAAAAGTGATGAAGCCTAACCAATAAATCCTTATCAATGATAACATTAGTGTTGGAACTAGAAATTATTTTAAAGGATTCTTCTATTGTTGTTGTATTCTCATTATTATCCATTGCTGCAGTCTGTTGATGATTATTTTGTTGTTGCACATCATTTCTACTTTGTGCCTCCGCACAAGAAGTTTGATTCAAATCAATGCGTTCCATTTTTTTTAGGCTTGAAAAATTACGCGCCAAAATATCAAGCAATCCACAGAATTTGAACATAACTTTACAACACACCACAACATCCTTATTATCCTTAACTCTTTTCCAATGATATAATTAAGCAAATAAGATCAAAATAATGTTTTCATAAAGTATTACAAAGCAGGAACAAAGTTCATCGTTCCTCCCGAACACAAATTTACCAATCAACAACAAACATCAAATCAAGAACATGCAAAAAGAAAGAAAAAAAATGCCTCACCACCATCAAACGCTATTCTCATCACTTCCCTATGAAATTTTCCAACATATTTTATCATTCGGAGTTGATAAAGAATTGAATAATCCTGCGAGTAGAAAATCTGACATTAGAATGGCAGCAATTTTTCAATCAATCAGCAAGAGAATTTCGAGTATGAATGAAATGCAGAACTATTTCAATACATTTTGGTGGACAGTATTGGAAAAGAATTTTGTAATGCCTGCATTTGAAAAGGAGTTGGAACAACTCAAATCACAAATGATTAAAAAAGGGGATATGAAGAGGAAAATTCTATTGGCAAGTTTCATCAAGTTTAAAGTGTGGAAAAGACCAAAATATGATCCGAGTAAGGGATCAGAAGAAGTTAAAGTGGTTGTGCTTGGGCAAGGAGGAGTGGGTTAGTATTTCATTATTTGAATTTAAAACTAAGCTATTTTAGGAAAATCTGCATTGACAATTCACTACGTTCAAAATGTCTTTATATCAGAGTACGATCCAACAATTGAGGATTCTTATAGAAAACATGTTGAGGTTGATGGAGAGCCTGTATTATTGGATATTCTAGATACTGGTATGTTTTTGAGTTTTTAATAGAATATTTGAATAATGTTTTGAAAATAGCTGGTCCAGAGGAGTTCTCTGCAATGAGAGATCAATACCTGAGAGTTGGTCAAAGTTTTGTAATTGTTTGTGCAGTGAATGATGAAAGTTCTTTGAGAGATGTTCGTTATCAAGTTGACCTGTTGATTCGTTGTAAAGATTATGTAGTTAATGACATGCCAATTGTGTTTGTAATGAACAAGATGGATTTATTGAAAGAAAATAGAGCAGAAACTGTTGAGAAGTATAAATCTGAATTCAATTCAATTATTTCAGAATATTCATTGTTGAACTATTCAATAGTGATGAGCAGTGCTAAACTTGGAGAGAATGTCACTCTTATTTTCGAAGAACTTATTAGAAAACAGAGACTTGGCGGAGTTGACAATGTAGCTCTGTTGCAAGGTTGTGTGGAATACGATGTAGCATTCATTGACGAATGTAAAAAGAGAGTCCAAAAGCAACCTAAAAAGTGTAATGTCATGTAAATATATTCATAATTTCTATTATTTTTAAAGATATTAGCAGTTTATTGAGTGCTGCTACCACTATTATTATTAGCAATATGCTTATTTAAAAAAGCTCCCATGCTCAATTGACCACTCAATTGACTTGGAGTTCTTGTATGAGCTGGAGGTGAGGTTGTATCCATATCTAAATCGACACTATTCAATTTAGTATTTCTTCTCTTTCTCAAAAGTTCAGCATTCTTCAATAAGAGTGCACCCTTCTTATCAAAACCACCTCTTTCATCACTAGGAGAGACAGCTCCTGGAGATTGTGGAGTTTTCGTGGATGGAGATCTTGTTCCTCTATTGATACCTGAAGTGTTGATACCAATTCCTCCAGCTTTGGTTGGAGTTGGTAATTGTTTCTTCTTTTTCTTTTCTTCGGCTTCTCTTTCCTTTCTCAACTTTTCCTTAGTATCGTTGAAACTCTTGACAAATCCATCAATGAGTTGGAAGAATTTGTCAGGTTCCTTTTGCATGTCAGATTCAGCTTCATTGTAAAGGAGGGCAACATTCTTCAATTCTGTCATCATAGCGGCATAATTGTCTTCAACTGTTTTGATTTTTGTTGAAACCTTCTCCAAGAAGGAACCCATAACAGATGGGAATTTATCCCCTTCCAATGGATCCTTAGCACACTGTTCATACAGAGTCTTGAGCTTATTGATGGAAGTATTAGTTTGTTGAATATCATCCTTAATTGAACCGATAGCAACACGTGTGGCACCACTGACGGAAGTCAACCCTTCATAGAAGGTTTCCAATTCTGGATACTTTTCTTGAATAAATTTAACCAAGTAGGTCAATAAACTGGATTTACCATTAGCTGCCTTGGTATCGCTCAACTTGGCAAGTGATGCCATCTTGAAAGCATAAGCTACCTTCTTGCTACTACTATTTAAAAAGTTACCTAGAGTTAAAATAACACCCAAAATTTTGTGGAATTGATCACAACTTTCCAATTCAGCACATGCCTTTCTAATATTGCCAATTACTGGTTCAATACCAGCAATAACTTCATCAAATTTCATCTTGAATTCCCAAGCTTCACATCTATCAACCATCTTTGGAATTCCGTGCATTTCAATAAAGAACAAATCAGCAACTTGAAGTTCATCACGATCACCTTCATAATCTACACAAAGTTGTGATTCTTCTTCTGTTGGAACAATTTGCTTGATAGTTGAAATATTATTAGGTGTCACTACAGATTCGTCCAACTCGAGAATGGCTTGTTTTAATTTTGGATAAGGAATACCACGCAATGAACCTAATTGTAAACTGATATTGTGAGATCTCTTTCCATCAATGAGAGTAATCTTTTCCTTCTTTGGTTCAGCAGTTGTACCTGTACCAGGAGTTGCACTTGCCTTAATTCCAAAAGTTTCCTCAAATTCTGCAGTGTCCAAATCACGTAAAATTGTATGAGTTTGATCAATAATTTTGAATTTGGCAAAGATAGTTTCTGGAACACTCTTATTTTGAATATTACCAAAGTGGAAGGCACGAAGTTTGGCATTTGATTTGAAATCTGGAAGTTTAGGAAGAGCTGGCATGGCATTTGGAGGTTTCATAAATCCTGGTGGAGGAGGTAAGAAGCTACCTGGCGGAGGAGGTGTACTACCTGGAGGAAGAGGAACACCACCACCTGGTGGAGGAGGAACACCAGTCATTCCAGGAGGAGGAGGAACACCAACACCTGGAGGAAGAGGTATACCACTTCCAGGAGGAGGAGGAACACCAGTCATGCCTGGTGGAGGAGGAACACCTCCAGTTAAACCACCTGGAGGTGGTGGAACAAACCCAGTTGATCCAGGAGGGAGAGGTACAGAATCTGAGACACCACCAGGTGGAGGAGGAACAAATCCTGTTGAGCCAGGTGGAGGAGGAACACCAGTCATATCACCTGGAGGTGGTGGGACGAATCCTGTAGAACCTGGAGGTGGTGGAACAGCAGTCACAACAGTAGTGGATACAGATTCAGCAGCTTTCTTTCTTTCTTCAATTTCTTTCTTTTTTTCTGCAATTTCCTTCTTACTTTCCTCTATTTTCTTCTTACTTTCTTCAAGTTGCTTCTTCAAATTTTCATTATCAGTAGTGAGTTTAGTGATGGTTAGTTCTAATTGTTGAGCTTTGTCTTTCAGTTTGAAAAATTCTTGACTATTTCCAATTGGGGATTCGTTAGGTTTAGATTTAAGTGATTTGACCTTTTCTTTAAGCTTTTCCTTGGTATCCTCAAGAACGGAAATCATCTTTTGATAGGTTTGGTTCTCTGATTCAATAGTATTGATTTTATCTTGAAGTCTTTCAATCTCCTTTTCATGCTTTTCCTTTTCAACTTGACCAGTAACACTTTCTCCAGCTTGTTTAAGTAATTCCAATTCTTCCTTCTTTTCCTTTAATTCGGCTTGTAATTGTTGAATGGTTTCATCTTGAGCGAGTAATCTTTTATGGAGAGCTTCTTCAGCTACAGATGTAGCTTCTACCGATGTTTCATCTATGGACTCACCATCAGTAGTTGTATTGTCCTTGAATGATTTACCATGTCTCATCTTCTTCAATAATGGACTGAGAAGGAGAGGTTGAGTAGCAGAGGATGGAGTTTCACATGTTGGTGTTTGAGGAATATTATCAACAAGAAATTGTCTTTCACGAATTAATCTTTCAACGGACAATTCCACTTGTTTCCACAATTCAATAGTTTCTTCAAGAGTAAACTTTGCTGCATAAACATCGGTAAATACGAGCAAATGTCTCAAAATTCTCATAAAACTATCCATAGATTGAGTACCTTGAATTTTCATTCTCAAATGATCGGTAATTTGGTGTGGATCGTTAGTATCAATTTGGACAACATTCTTTTTGAGAGCTTGTTCCATTTCTTCGACGAACATTTGGAATTGAACTTGGAAACCTTCATCGTCAATTTGTTTCCCTTGAATTTGTTCTCTGATTACTTCAACTACCTTCAAACTGTTCAATTGATTGGCGAGTGTAATAGTATCAGTTGGATCAGCATTTGTTAACAGTGAATTGAATAAGAAAATAACGTGTGTCATATAGGTGACATCTAATTGATTTTCTAAACTTGTCACTAAAAATTCAAACATTTGCTTTTCACGTCTAATAAATTTGAAATGCTCCAATGATGAGAGAATAATTTTGTAACCATCTCCAACACTGTCCTCAGAGCAAAAATTAGCAAAAATAAATAAACATTGAATTCTAATTTCAATATTTTCAGAATCCAACAATAGAGCCATATTGAAAAAGATTGTCTTGTCATGTGCAATTGCAGCTAAACCCTTTTCAGTATTTAAAACAGCACGTAAACAGTTCAAACATAACCATTGTAGAGTATCATCGTCCTTATTCTTTGTCTTTTTCAATAAATTTGTAGAGGAGAGAATTTCATTTACACTCTTCACACCACCACAATCAATAAAAGAATCAACCCAGGCAACTGTAGAATTACGTAATTTAACCAAAACATCTTGCATTGTCTCACGATCCTTTCTTGTATTCATTCTGTCAATCAATTTTTCAATGGAAGGAATAATGTTATCATCATTGGACTGTTCATACCATGTTTTCCATAAAATATATTTCATTGCAGGTTGATTGGCACGAACTGCTTCTCTCACATCTTCCTTAGCTCCAATAGAATTTAACATCTTTTCAATATTTTCATTTAGTTCAGTTTCGGAAAGACCTCCCAAAGGATCACCATTTACATCACCAATTGAAACATTTAATTCAGAAGTTGGTGTTGAAGGGGCACCATCAAAACTTGAATTTGATGAAGCATTTAGTTTCTTGTTGAGTTTTTTAAGTTCCTTTTCCTTTTTCTTTTGGTCTTCTTTTTGTTTCTTTTCTTCCTTTTTTAAACGACGTTCTTCTTCCTTTCGTTTTCTTTCTTCTTCCTTCTCTTCTTCTTTACGTCTTTTCTCTTCTTCCCTTCGTTTTCTTTCTTCTTCCTTGATTCTTTCCTTCTCTTTCTTTTCGTCTTCTTTCGTCATTTTTCTATACGATTTTGAAATAATCCGCAAAACAATATAAACAATGTTAGATAGTATTAATCGATAGATATTATCAAATATAGATATAAAAAGAAATACAAGTGTCAAATTTTTGTTATTAAAAATGATCGGAAGGTAAATTTGTTGTTTAAAAATCACACACATACAAATTATTTACAAAATCCTTTCAACGATTCGATGGATCACCTAGATAATGTTTTGTTGTTGTTCTGAGATCAAAACTGTGTGATGATCGACACGTTGAAGGTGTAACAGTTTTTTTTAATTTTACGATTACTGACAAGTGACAGTGAGAATTGTAACTGGGTTCCAAGTTAAAGAGGATAGGATCGATTGTCCATCCTTGACTAAAAGGCAGACAATTTTAACGAATGCATTACGTTCAATCCTTCCAAGAATAATTATTGAACTTATTGGCGAGAGCAGCATCCATATTAAATTGCTGCAAGATTTTGAAAGATTGTGTATATGTTTAGGATAATAAATTTGAAGTATTATTCGTTATCTATCAAATGTTATCACTTCACTAAAAAATCATTTAAATTCATTACAATTTTCACCACTTTACAATTTCAAAATTGAATTCCTTGAAAAATCTTCATAAAAAGTTGCAAAATTGAAAAAGAAAAAATGTAATATTTCACTATTTCAAAATACATCAAAATTCAATGAGTTAGTTGTATGTTGGTGAAATAAAACAATTTAAAATCCTTCAACTGTCAAGTGATATTAAAAAAAATGCCATGGTATCTTGCCATCAATTCGACATGTTCTGGTTTCACCATCATTGACGAAGAAACGGGTGCAGAAACATTTCACTATGACATTATCAAACCACTTCCATCAATTTCCTCAACACGTTCCCTCCAACATGAAGTTGATTACATTTCCACCTATTATGGTGATCAATATTGTTGTCAATACTTGGCCAAACAAAATCAATCTCTCCAATATAATTCACCATCATCTTCTTCATCATCCAATCATACGAGTTATGATTCAATGTCCTCTCCCACGACACCAATTTCACTCACTTCATTCTTTCCAACTTTTGGCTCAAATTCGGAGACTTCACAACAACAAGCTCTTGGAGGAGGTGCTGGTGGTGGTGCTGGTGGATTTGATTCTCCAAATTATGGAACAAATTCTTCACCTCTATCATCATTTGGTGGAAATAGTTCAAATTCTTCATCATTTCTTCTAAATAGTGTTGGTGGAAAGAGAGCAATTGTTGAATCGAGTGCAGTTCTGGTGAAGGATAGAACTTCCAATGAATTGTTGGTTATTAAACCTGTCTATTTGAAGGAGGATGAGGGTGAGGATTTTGAAACTAAATTTCAACAGGTAAATTTTTAAAACATTTTTAAAGTGAAATAATTTACATGTATTCGAAATGATTACCATTTAATTATTATTATGTATATGATTGTGGATTGAATATATTGTGATGCATGATATCATGGAAATGTTTTGATTGGATAAAACAGTTTGAAAAGTTAAAGGCAATTTCATTATCTTCATATAATGTTGTTAGATTGAATAGATTATTCAAATTTCAATCCAATTCTTCAATGACCACAGATGAAGATACCATTCTCTCACAACCAATGACATCAGAATTTGTTTCTGCCAGTTCATTCTTAGCTAGAAAGAAAAAATCGAATAATTTAACATTTGTTTCGATGGAATATTGTGGAGATGGAGATTTATTTCAATTGGTTTCCAAATATCAGAAACTCAATAAGAAATTTTCCTTACTTTCAATTTACAACTTGCTCATTCAAGTTGCTTCTACTTTGAGTGGAATGAAAGTGAAACAGAGTTTATCTGCCCTTTCCAAATCAGATTCAACTATTTCAGAAAGAATTTCAATTGCTTCGAGTAGTGAAATTGATGATTATGTTCAGGAAGTATTATCTAGACATGGACATTTGACACTTCACAATATTCTTGTTGAATTTGAGCAAACAGGTCATTACAAGTACTTTTTAACAAATTTCCCATGTATGCAAAAGAATCTAATCAAGAAGAATGTTGTCATTTCAGATGACAATAAGGAAAATGAGAAGCTATTGCAACATTCTCATTTCGATTACATTTTAACACCTGTCCCACCAGAAAATATCAATTATCCTGAAGAGTTTTATGGAACAACAGAGTTTGATGATCGATGGGGTCTGGGTATTTTACTCTATCAATTATTGACATGCAAACCTGTTTGTTTTGAAGAGGATGATCAGAAGGAAATGATGAAACTCAAGGAACGTCGTTCATTGGATTTGCATGTTGTGAAACAACAGTTGGAAACTTACCTCTCTCAGGGCGATTTTGCAGTTGAACACGAGCCAAGCAATTTAGGTGTTTCCCAAGTGACAAAAAAGAGAAAGAAGCAATTGGAGGAAGAACTCTTACAGGATGCCAAAGCATTGGTAGACATTACATTATCTCTATTGTCAAGTTCTGATTTTGATAGACCAAATCCATGTGATATTTTACAAAATGAATCTGTTCTCAAATATGCTAAAATGATTAACGAAGATATTGAAACCAAAGGAAAGGAATATACTCAACAAATTGAAAATGATTTATTAATTGTCGATGAACAAAAGCAAAACTCTCAAAATACTACTCTCTTCCCAGAAATTACCCAAAAGGATTACCTTTCTCTTCAGTTCTTCTTGGCCTACCACAAGGAAAAAGGAATTGATGATAGGTGGGATGCCAACTTTTTCAGACAGGAGAGAATTGGTCAGGAGAGTATCCTTCCGATTACTGAGTTGGCTTGCAGTTCTTCTTTGAAATCATTTGTGCTTTCCCTGATAAGAAGTTTACGATTGAACATCTTGTTTGATTTTAGAAAGGAGGTCAATCTTCCAACAGATTACAAAATGTTGAAAACCACAGTATTGAACATTCTTTCATTCCAAAATAAGAAGAAAACCAACGTATCATTCAAACATGTGAAATCATTCATGGGTCAATCACTTCCTCTCGTTCAAGAACTGATTGTTATCATTGTTCTGTTAGAGAGTATAGAATTCTTATTGGAATCAGATTTTGAATACTATTCAACATGTCCTTTAGAATATTCCAGTAAGGTTCAACTTTTTGGTCAAATTCAAAAGATTGAAGGAGAAATCAAATCACTCATTTCCAAAAATGAAATTGAAAGCTCTCAATTCAGAATTGCAACTCGTCTCACAAAGAAGGAAAATGAAGTGAGATACTTTATCGATAGATATACTGCACCATTGGCAACTAAGCTCATTAACGGCCTCACCAAAGCAGATCCACCAGTGAAAGGAAATATTGTCCTCTCACTAGTGAGATATATTGTTAGTAATTGTTTCCAAAAGGAACATCGTTGGGTCATTGTTGGAAATGAAGGTAAAATGGAAGGCAAAATGTTTGGTTTTGATGATATTTACCTGAATAAGAAGAAGAGAAGTCGTTGTTCATTGAACTTCTCCTATCTTCGTGATTATATCAATGCTGAAGGAAATCTTCAACTTCAAATGACATTTTCAAAGAATGGTGATAGGGAAGTTTTGTTTGCTGACAAACTAGATAAGATTAATGATAAGTGTAAGATTCAGAGAAGAATATTCCTTGTTAGTGATTTGGCTGTTTACAATATTGATCCTTCCAATTTTAAGGTGAAGAGACGAGTTGATATTTCAGATATTGAAAGTATCTATGTTAGTACATACACTGATGGATACTTTGTCCTCAAGGTTCCAAACTCGTACGACTTTTTGTACTCTTCTTGGAGAAGAACTGAGATTGTTGCTGCCATTCAAAAAGTTAAGAATATTCCAATTCATGTTTCGAATAGATTCCCATTCAACCCATCAAAGGGTGATAACAGACATGTAGTGTTTGTGGAAGATATGAAAGCACAAAAATCCAATGTAAAGCTCAGTAAGAAGGAATACATTGTGACTGTCAGACCTCCAGAAGCTGATCCAATCAATATTGAATCAGTTTGTGCCTTAGTGACCTATGCCAAATCAACAGAGCAGAAAGAAATCCTATTGGATCCATACGATATAACAACCATCAAACTTCCACTTAGTGCATCCTATCGTGTGAAATTTGTCTTTTATGCCAACACTGGTTTGAACTGTTTCTTGGATGAATTTATCAAGAGTGATAACGAAACAGTGTTCCAATTATTATTAGGTCAATTCGAAAAGAATGAAGATAAGGTAGTGTTAATCACTGATCTGAGAAATGTTGGTGATTACTTTGCATTGAAAGCAAAGAAAACTGTCTGCACCATGAAAATTATGGACACTGAAAAACAAGCAATTCATACCCAACAATTCATCATTGAATATGATATGCAATAAAGTCTTGGATGAATATATTCTCCTTATCTCTGAACTATTAACTGCTGTAAATCAGCAGTAACAACAACAGTAGTAGTTAAATGTAGTTGATTCTTACAATTCTTAGATATTTTGATGAATTGGCAACGTTGCAAGGATCACTCCCTCACAGAACAGCTCCTCACATAATTATCTTAAGTGGAGCTTTTTTACCTTTTTGATTCTTTCACTTCATACTTGACGAGTTTGTTCCTCCTCTTATCAACCGTTACGCCGTTGTCAAGACAAGTTTATGCTCTGTTACAGAAATGAATGAAATTCTCTTCATCACGAAAAAAAAGTTTTTTTTAACTTTCGGGGATTTCATAGCCTAACACAGAGTTTGAGCAGCAATACCGTGGAGTGTTAGTCCAATAGATTGAATATAGCACTGGGAGAGTGTGGTGTTCGTAGTAGTAGCCAACACCACCAATTTTTATTATAATAATAATAATTAGAACATTAATTGTTATTAATTGAGAGAGAAAGTGTGGATGAAATATTGCTAATATTATTATTATAATAATTATATTTATTAATTGTAGCTAATTAAAGAGAGTAGTAGAAATTATAGAATTATCATCATCATGTCCGTCGATTCGATACAACAAGAAAAACACACTAATTATATTCCTCCTCCACCAACTTCATCTGTTGCTGTTCTTTCTCGAACCTTTTCTGTAAAATCTCTTCAATCCTTTTTAAAGAAGGAAGGTAAAGCAATTGAAGATGAAACTAGCAAGGATGTTGATAAATTAACGGAATTGAAGAAGAATTTAGTTTTGGAGGCCAAACAAAATTGGGTTATTGAACAACAAGTAGAAATTCTCGGAAACAAGATTAGATTACTCATCAAGAACCATGTTCAAGCAGAAGATATGAAAAAGCTTTTGGATTCATCATTTGAGAAAGTCAAAATGAAAACTAGAGATGATGCTCAGGGTTTCAGAGATGAAGCTATAGCAATTTATCAAAAGATATTCTACATCTTTAGAAAGGATCCTAAATACCTTGCCATATTGACAAGATTAATTCGTGGTAAAGAAGTTGATACGTTTTTACAAACTGTAGTATTTACATTATTTGGAGATCAATTTGATGAGAGAGAAGAACATTTACTCTTAATGCTTTTTGAAAGAGTTTTAGCTAAGGAGTATCAAACATGTTCATATATTGGTGAATTCATGAGATCTAATACAGCATTTACTAAGATGTTGGGAACTATGCTTCGTCGTACAATGTATCATAAATTCCTATTGAAAGTTCTTAAGGAGCCAATAGAACAAGTAATTAACGACAAGACCTTAAATATGGAAATTAATTCTCACAAAATTTATCAACAACTAGTTCAAAAGGCCTTACAAGAGGGAAAGAGTTGGGATGGCCCAATGAATGCAACAGAAGAGGAAGCAGAAAATGATGAAAGGGTTATTGAAATTATCAAACCTCGCGTACAAAAAATCATTGAATCTGTTGAACAATTTTTGGTAAGAATTTTCCAATCAGTAGATGAAACACCATACGGTGTTAGATTTATGTGTAAGAGAATTCTTCAATACGGTAAAGAAACCTATAATAATGCTACAGAAACGGAAATTTATTCACTTTGTGGTGGCTTAATATTTTTGAGATGGGTGAATCCAGCCATTACCACTTGTGATAGTGATCAATCGAATATCATTCAAGAGAAATTAACTACCAATCAAAGAAAGAGTCTTACCATGATTTGTAAAGTAATTCAAAATTTGAGTAATGGTATTCCATTTGGTGCTAAAGAAAAATATATGATTCCTCTCAATGTAATTATAGAAAAGTACACAAAACAAATGCACGAATACATGAAGAGAATGTGCGATATTGATGAAATTGCTGAAAAGTTAGAGTTGGCAGAAATTTTCGAACTTTCTGGAGATGTGGGAGCAGTTAACATTTCATATAACGAAGTTGCCCTCATTCACAGACTTTGCTTTGAAAATATTGATACTATAACTTCGCCAATGTATAATAGTGAAAAGAAAGAAATAACTACACCAGCAAACACTGGTGGTGCTCGATTGACTATTGAATCTTCATCTGAATCAGCTCAACCATCTAAAACAGAATTTGATGAATTGTTGTACAAGTTTATTCAACAATTGAACAAGTTTGGGCCTCCCCCAGAAGCTCTCTCGCCCAAGAATAACTATTATTTCAATTTAAAGTTGAAAAATCCAACTCAAATTATAGAGTTAAATGACAGTCTAGCAAATAATTCAACTCTGAAAAAGAATGTCAAAGATCTTATTAGTACTGTTTTAAGAGACTTGCCTTCTCTTCCAAAGGATGACATTACCTATAGTATTTCAGATGTTTTATTAGCAGGTGAAACATTATGTAATGAAAGACAAAACTCAGAATTTGCTAAGAGAATTGGAGTAGCTATCGATCAACTCAAACTTTTACAAGACCAAATAACTGAAGAAGAACAGAAAGAATTTGATACCATGTTAGTCAAGGAAATATTTGAAGAATTGGAAACAAAAAAGCTCATGAGAAAAACACTTAAAAAGAAGATTGAAGTCCTTACATCAGTATTAAGTGATATCAACGAAAAGAGGGAGTATCTCAAAACCCAACTAGACATGTATAATACCTATTTTACTAATACACTTTCCAAGACATTCAAACCAACCGATTCATCCGATAAAGGATCAGTTGGACCTTTTACTTTCAAATTCAGTGACTTGGAAAAGAAGGGTGTTATTGCTAACACCACACTATCAAGTACCCTTAAAAAGATGGTAAAAATTCAGATTTCATCAACTAAACCTGGTATATTTGTAGTTGTAGTGAATGCAACAGGAATTGTTGCAATCAAATCAGAATTGGATTTGAATGAACTCTTGGAAAAACAAGCTAACGAAGAAAATAATCTTGATTTTGATAGTGTAACATTAAGCGTTCCAATGTTAATCCACTTATTGAACAAGTTGTTTGTATTGGGAGATCATACGAAAAAAGGATCTAAATCTATGAAGAGAAGAACAGAATCCGTCGCTACTTCAACTACCTCTCTTAATTAAAAAAAATGTAGATATTATTTGAATTATTTCAAATGTTAAAATAAAAAACCATTCCAATAGAATGATTCATTTCTTTGATTTAAGATTGAAATAGTTGAGGGTGCAATTAGGCTTTTAAGTGAGAGGAAAAAATAGGGTCACGCTTCAACGAAACACAATAGTTTATTCGATTTGTTCTGTAGATTTGTCATCAACCTCATCCACTATTTCCTCTACTTTCTTTTGTTTTTTAAATCTAAAGGCAATCAAGAGTATGGCATAACAAACTGAAGCAATGCAACAAGCAATGAAAATCAAGTAAAAGATGGAAACTGGACTAATGTGTTCAAAAGCCAATGTCATTCCTAAAGGAATCAAAAGCTCTCCAATACAACCTCCTAAAATCATAATTGAGGTCATCCAACCAGAAACTTCAAATCTCATATAACTTGCTGGGAGACTGATAGTCAAAGGATACTGAGAAGCAAAGGCTGCTCCTAATATAATTGAAGAAATCCACAAAACTGTTGGACTAGATGGGAAAATCAATAATGGAATCATACCAGCAAAACATCCAATAGCATCCAAAACCAGTAAGGTAGCATCAGAAAATATTGAGGTTAAGATAATACATCCAAATCTTGCAATTGTAAAACTCAACCAAAAGGCAGAATTAATTAAAAATCCTTCATCCTCAGTTGTGACCTTAGTCTTGTCAATATATGTAACAATGAGTGAACCAAAACCAATTTCAGCTCCAACATAGTTCAATAATGCAAAAGCTGTCAAACCAGACACTACAAGTTTCTTCCAAAGAGGTGCTTGTATCAATTTATCACCCTCTTCTTCTTCTTCATCTTGTTCCTCTTGTTCCTCTTCTGGCTCTTCATTTTTCACTTCGATAGAGTCCTGAGACTTTTCTTCTAATTCCATATCATGCATAATATCACCAATATTTCTGAAATCCTTCTCCTCAACATCCTCAAAACTCTTTGAAATTTGTTCAATTTGTTTTGTTGGTTCTGTAGCCTTCTTATCAGCTGGACGTTTATAAGCAAGGAAACAAAATATAGCAATTGGAATGACACCACTAATAGCAATACCAGCACCAATGAAATATGATAAAGCCAATGCATTCTTAATTGGATGTTCCTCTTGTCCCTCAATTGTTGGATATGCATCATTGATAATTCTCACAATAATTGGACACATAAATGAACCAATACCAAAGCATGCATGTAAAAATTGCAAGAAAGCAGAAACAAGCTTATTATTTCCCCAAACCCAAATTACTAAAACATTAGATGTCAAATCGATAAATCCCAAACCAAGTCCACAAAAGAAATATGTCATGGCCACGAATAAAAACCTATTCAAGAAAGGAATAGTTATAAAAGCTCCACTCAAAAGAACAAGTCCTAAAAGTAATAATACCTGATTCAAAATTGTCTGTACAACTATCGATTTAACCTTTCCTTTCAATAAATCCAAAACCCATCCACCAATCATTGATGAAAGAATGTATCCAATACCTCCTAATCAATCATTAGAAACATGTGAAATTTCATTAGAATATAACATACTCATTGTGAATAATATACCCATCTCTCCCTCTGCCACTCCAAGTTTCTTAGAGAGTATTGGCATTGTTGGTCCTAGCATTGCTAATCCAACTCCAAGTGGAATGAAAAGATAACAAATTAATAAAGTTTCATATAATTTTCTAGATTTCAATAAATTAACAAATCCTCGCCATCTCAATTTCCAAGCTTCCTTTCCAAAGTAATTTACTACTTGTGCCTTCTTTCTATTCTTCATTTCCTTCAAATCAATACTAGAAAATGATGTAGATAATGCTCTTCTAAACGAAGCCGTCGATGATAAAGGATTATTGCTATATTGTGATTTAAGTGGCGTCCGAATTTCTGTGGCAATCGGATGATCCACAAATGCATCATTGATACCAACTGGTGTTGTTGCTATTATTCGTGTCGTAGGTGAAAATGTTGATGATGTATTATTTGTGTGATGCTGAAACACATCCTCCTCCTCTTCCGAGGCTTCATTATTTAGTGATGGAGTCGAAGGTAATGAGGGCATTCAAGTTACAACTTTTTTTTGAAAGATATTCTTCAACCTCAGTTGTTTACAATCAAGTATTTTACTCAACCTGGAGAGGAGTTGTAGGAGTAATAATATGAAAAACACGTGTGTGAGATGATTCGAATTTGTACGAAGGAGAATCTTTGAATCTTGGAGATGATTGGATTGCCTTTTTCTGAATTCAATATGTTAAAAGTATTTTTGAACTAATTCGCGCTATGTTGTGCAATGTGAAGAAGAATTCATTCTTTTTCAGCTATTACTAAGTTTCATCTATTCTGTTAAATGTAATTTCCAATTACAACAGTTGGTCGAATTGATTGCTTATAAAGCATTCTGTAGTGTCGAGAATGCACTTTTCAATTGGAATGAAATCTCCATATCCAAAATATTGTTGGAATTTCGAGTTGGAAAAGTTCAACATTTTGTACAGGCCCTCCTCTTCTCCCATTTCATCCTTGATAATGTGGGGAATGGTTGTGATTTGAGGAAATTGTTTAGAGATGGCTCTGCTCATAGAAATCCATTGATATTTTTCACTCACTAGGACGAATCGTTCACCACTAACATTGGGGCAAGTGAGAGCCAGTACATGAGCTTTTGCCACATCTCTAACATCGACAATACTGAAACCGTCTGCCTTTGTTGTTTTACCATCATCTCCTGGAATTATCTTTGATTTCATCATGTGATTGAAAATTAACTTGTTACTGAAATTGAGCTCTCCAATTCCACCAATTTTCACTCTATCCACTTGAAGAATAGGTCCAATAATTAGAACAGGATTCAAGCTCACTACCTCCACAGGTATATTTCCATTTCTTTCATTCGAATATTTATCAATCATTTCCTGATACCATTTCCATGCTTCCTTCTCAGCCATAGTTTTGCTATATGCAAATGGATTACTAATCAGAGATGATTTCTCATTCCAATCCGTCTCATAATAAACCTTTCCAAATACTCTATCAGCAAATCCAATTAAAGCCCCAGTACTACTCGTAACAATCACCCTCTTCACTCTATCTCTATATTTCTCCACAGAGTTTAACACATTTCTCGTTCCCTTCACTGCAGGATCCAATAACTTAATTTCAGCATTGTGCGTATCATTCACAGTGGGAGTCAAATAGAAAGGACATGCTGTATGAATCACATAATTACATTTCGAAATGATACTATCGAATGATCCTTCCTCCATCACATCAGCTCTAAATAATTCCAGATTTTCCTTTGCATTTGGAAAATTCATCAGATGAATGAATTTACATTGTATCAGTGGATCGGAGCTGTGCGGATCGTATCGGATGGTTCCACAAACTTTGTATTGTCCCATTGCCAATAATTCCCTGACAATGTGTGATCCTACAAATCCATTAGCTCCTGTAACACAAACAGTCTCCATTGTTATTTCTTATGAGAAAATGAAAGGAAATTGTTTGAATTTTTTTAAAATTTAAAACAGATGAAATTGGCGGGAAATTACAAAATGTTAAAACAACAACAAGAAAGAATTACAAGGATTGGATATTGGTCATTCCAATGAAAAACAAGAAGAATAAATAATGATAGAAAAATCATTTATAAATTTATTTTAAATTATATTTAAAATTTAATTAAAAAAAATACAACAACGAAAATGGAGGGAGTGGAACATACTGCTAATGGTGGAACGGAACAAGTCTTGTCTGATGAGCAAGCTAAAATCTATGATCGTCAAATTCGTTTGTGGGGAGTGGAATCACAAGGAAGATTGTTGAGAACTAGAGTTTTGGTTTACGGAATGACTGGATTGTGTACGGAAATTTGCAAGAATATTGTCTTGTCTGGTGTTGGACATGTACATATTATGGACGATCAAAAAGTAAATCACTTGGATCTTGGATGTAATTTCCTGGTGAGAGAATCGGATGTTGGTGAAAATAGAGCCAAGGCTTGTTTCCCTAATTTACAAGAATTGAATCCTTTGATGAAAGTCACCTTTGAAGAAGGTTCTCTTTCGGAAAAGCCAAGTGAATTTTATGATGCATTTGATTTTGTTATTCTTAATAATGTACCATTGGATCTTCAAGTATGTGTGTGGAAATTTAATTTAATTATTTAACACTTGTCATCTTTAGATTAATGTTAATAATATTTGTAGACAAAAGAACATTTTATTTATTTCAACAACTAGTTTTGGATTATTTGTTCTTTCATTCCAAGACTATCTTGACAATTTCAATTACAAGATGTAAGTGTTTATTAATGAGATGATTTATTAATTGTGTTAGAAAAACCCCACAAATTGTGGAAAAGACTGAATCATTTGTTTCATTGGAAAAATCCCTTCAACATGATTTATCAAAGCAAAGACATTTATCAAAAGTATGGTTGAGTGTCATGCTTTTACTTATTTATCAATCAGTCAATAAGTGCCTTCCTTCGATAAATGATGGTGAAAAGTTAATAGAATTCAAGAATAGTGGAGCAGTTCAAAAAGTTATTCCTCATGTTACATTAAAGCAATTGGACCTCATAGATAGTGAATTTGCTACATTCTTGTGTAAGTTTGCTAATACTGAAATTAATTCAGTATGTGCTATTGCTGGAGGTGAAATTGGTCAAGAAATCATCTCAATTATCACTAGAGATAGAAAGCCACTCAATAATTATTTCATCTATGATGCCTTCCAAACATTTTCTGGTATTATTGAAACATTCCACTAAATTTTGATACAACCTAGTTTCTACGTTTATTCTTCTTTGTTGCCTTTCCCTTCTTGTTTGAGAAGGCTGTTTCTTTTCTCCTCTTTTCTGCTTCAAATGCTGCCTCTTCTTCTTCACCCCATTTTTGCATTTCTTCCAAGTCTGCTTCGTCAAGCTCAATATCCACAGATTCCAAGTTTTTAGACATTTGGTTAATATTAACTGATTTTCCTTCGATTTTTTCTGGCTTTCTCTTTGGAAGGTCATATTCTTCATCTACACCCAAAATTTCTTCTGTAATGACAGTTTCTTTTTCAAACTCTTCGTCATCTTGTTTGGCAAATTCAAGTGATGAAATATTGGAAGAGGTTGCAAACTGCTTCAATTCCTCATCTCTTCTCAATTGAGCCTTATCCTTTTCAACTCTCAATCTTCCAACAACTTCATTCTTTGAGCTCATTAATTTTTCTAACAAGTCATTGTCGAGTTTTACCCAGGTTTTTTCCTTATTTTCAACTTGTCCTTCCTCGTTAACTATTGGTTGTTCAAGATTTAAATCATCCAAAGTCAAACCTCCCAACCCAATTCTCTTAACATCCACAAGTTGATGTCTAATTGAGGACATCATTTCTTGAATTTTATCAGGTTTGTAATCATAAATTGTAATTTCAGCAATATTATTTCTCTCATCAATTACATTAAATTCAGGTGGATTAATAATCCTCTTCAAAGAATCCTTAATATCAGATCTGAAATGCAACAAGGCCTCGTCCTCTAAACCAGTAAATTTATCTCTTGTTTGAATTCTATATACTCTCTTACATGGAGCTCTTACTGATCTAAAAGCTTTCACAAGAGTGTACAATTGTGTAACAACAGTCAATCCACCAATGGAATCTGGAAGTGGTAATATCGAATCAAAACCTGGTTTTCTCAATGGATATTCCTTTGGTAATAAATCAAGAACAGAATAACTTTGTGAAACTTCTTCCAATTGTTCTGAATCATATTCCTCATCATATTCCTCTTCTTCCATATTTTCATTTTCCTCATTCAAAATTTCAATAGGTGTTTCACTTCCCAATTGTATTCCCTTCTTCAATTTCTGATGATATTGAAAATGTTGATAATCATATAAAGAACCTAATCCATCAGACAACCAATCAACAGGTTTATCAAAAGCAATAATTAAAGGATCCGATGTATGAACAGGTTGTCCATTAATTAATAAATTATTTGTACCAATGACTTGTCGGAGTTGTTTCTTACTTCCTGTAAACTTTTCATAGGTTACTTTTTTACTTCCTGGTTGTTGTTTCATAATGGTTAATTCATTATTACGAAGAAAATGCTAAATATTATTAAATATATGATATTTAAATAGTTTGCAATAATAATACTTACCCTGATTCCGACTTTGGAACAATAACCCAAGTCAAATAAAAGCTTATCAACACGTTTGAACATTTTTTTAAATTAATTTTTCATCAAATTGATTGAATTTGGAAAAGTGAATATTCTTTATTAACTATTTTTGTAATATTGTAATATTGAAATGAATATCAGAATATTCTCCTCATTCAAGCCAGGTCAATGAACTTTGAATGCATCTCAGTTGACACATTTGAAAAAAAAAACCAGATTCAAAATATCAATTATTGAGGTCAACTTTCCTCTCCAAGATTAAGTGAACCAATTTGTTATCTGCGTTCCCATCTCCCAGTAAATTTACTTGGATGCAATCCTTCTCCAGATATCATTCAAGTGACAATAAAGAACAATAGGCAGTGATGGGTTCTCTCGTCAATTTTAGTTGTGATCCATCATCTCCTTTCCAAGCAGCAACAATCCAAATTTTATTTTCTTAAAAATTTAAAAAAAGTTGAAAGCCTTCTTTGATTTACAGTTGTTTTGATACATTTAAACTTTTGGGAAATTATGATTCCTCTGCAAGCACAGCAACAACAAATGTCAGGTGGTGGTAGTAGTGGTTCTTCTTCATCACCAGTTCCACATTATCATCAATTGATCAAATTTAATGTGGGAGGTAAAATTCTCTATACAACTCGTGAGACTATTCTCAATTCATATCATCATAGTGCAATTTATAAGAATAATGCTAATCAGTCGAATATTAATGAGTTGGTTTTTCCAGGCAATTGCTTGCCCTTCTCTCAAAAGATTCGTTCTCCAACAGCCTACCAATTGGCCATGAAGAATTACTTGAATCATCAGGAGACAACTCATCAAAAACAACCACTTTCTAATACAACCACAACAAATAATAACTCTCCTCAAGGTTCTACACCAACAACAACAACAACAGCAGGTAATAGTGGTACTGGAAGTAGTGGTGATTTGACCAATTCTAATAATTTGGCTTATAATTCACTTTCAACTTTTGTTGATTTGCACAATCGTAAGAGTAGAATGAGCTTTTCTGAAGGAACTACTTCTTCATCAAATCAAAACAATAATAGACTAAGTAATGTTTCGTCCACTTCAACAACAGTCTTTGAAAACTATTTTACCAGATTGTTGGACGAAAATCAGCATTTGGGTTTTATCAAGGATGAAAATGGATGCTACTTTATTGATAGAAATCCAAAGTACTTTGCTCTCATCTTGGAATATTTGAAGAGTGGAGAGTTGAATTTATTTGACTCTGCAGAGTACAGAAGTTCTGAATTAGATGCTCCTGAATATGGATTCCATGACTTGCAATTGTTTGCACAAAAGATAATCAAGGAATCTGATTACTTTATGCTTGATGTTTCTGATCAATTGTATAATATTGTTGGAGATCAATTATATGTTTCAGATTGCTTCCAAGATCGTACCAATCGTTCTAATCAACGTTGTTTGATATTCTTTGATAAGGATCCACTCAGAAGACCATGCTCATTGTATATGAGTGGTGTTTGGTTTGATCGTCACATTGTTGATAAGGAATGCTTTGTCAGAAATGGTGTTATTGAAATTTATATGGATGATAACAATACCACAAATAATGAATATATTGGAAAGAAGAAGAAACCATATCAATATGTTCCCTCTCAACAATCTAGTGGAGTTTCTGGACAAGGATCAAGTTCTGCTGATGATGCTGATAGTGAACCATTGACCAAGAGAAAGAGTTATGATTCCAATACTTTCTTTAGTTCACTTTCGAATATGGTTTCTAATATGAATACTCAAAGCAATAGACCACAACAAAAAACTGGCCCACTTCGTCTCCAATTTGTCATTCATCCACAAGTTGATGTCAAAAATAATGAAAAAGCAAACATGATGAATTTCATTGGAGTTGATCCATCACTTTTAGATATTTCAAATGCTGAGGAGAAACCAAAATTAAATCCAAATGATGTCTCTTCATTGTTCTCAACATATGGAATGTTGGGTGCTTCTAGAAGATTATCAATGGAATTCCCTCAATTGGTTGAAAATGTCCTCGTTGTAAAGGATATCAGCTCTTTCAAGAAGGAATTCAGACTTATTGAAACTGCAGAACCAGCTGTAACCAGAATTCAATTCAACAAGAAGTATTTCAACTTGTCAGATTACAATCACTCTATTAAGATTATGAGAGATGAAAAGGATCCAGAACATGTTACCATTGTTGAACATTTCACTCAAGTTCCAGAAAAGTTTGGTCCAAACAATATTGAAAATAATCCAAACATTCCTGCCAATTCACCAGGTGGAGGATTATCCAATGCTCACAGAAGAGTTACTAGCGAAGTTCCTGTAAGAAATAATGGAACCAATGTTGGAGATAGTACCTCAACCCTCACTACTGAAAATAAGGGTCTTTTGGATGATTTCTATGTTGAAGTTGTTAGTAGTGACGATGATGAATTCTCTGTTCCACAACCAATTTCATCAAAGAGAAAGAGTTTGAATCCAAATACTGTTAAATCTAAACCTGCCTCAATTCTTGGAACTAAAGCCATTGAACAAACCAAGGAAACTCGTATGAGAGTGATAGCCAACAATTTCTTAGCCAAATCAAAGAAGGAATTCCTCTACATTGAAAGTAAGAATAGAATCTACTGGGTATCCTATGCTAGAGGTTTAATCACATTAGAATTGAGTAACAAGAACTTGTAATTTTTATCATGTAAATTAAATAATGTAAAATAATAATTAATTGTATTTTTGTAAGATATTTAAAATTCAATAATTAAAAAAATGAAAAGATTGATAATTCAATTCTTCACTCGTTCCGACTCGAGGTGTTCCCTTTGTGAACGTGCAATGGTCAGATTAAAAACCTTGCAAAAACAATACCCATTCGAAATTGAAAAGGTTGATATTGTGGCAAAGGGAAATGAATCCTTCTATGAAATGTATCAATTTGACATTCCTGTTATGGTTGCCAAAGAGAATGGAAAGGAATTATGTAGACACTACGTACACGAGACAAATATTAAAAAGTACTTTGAGGAAAATGATGTCAAGCCAATTCATCTTGAAACTTTGAAATCGGAAGAAAAATCAGAAAATTAATTTTCGGAATCTTTAGGAATGATTAAACCATCAAATAATTGTAAATAATAATTTATAAAACTTCATAGAGGTGAATTTCAGTGTGCATTTCCTCGTCATTGTCATCGAGTGGATAAGCAAGTGGAATTTCCTTGAGCCATCCATCAATGGAAAGAATATCGGATAATCCAGCATCTAATAAGGATTGTTGAATGGAAGGACAAGTAACAATACGAAGACCCTTACGAATGAGAAATTGAGATTTCAAAATTTTCCAAATTGCTTGATTTTCCTTATGTGAAAAGAACCACTCAAACACATTGTGCATAATTAAAAGATCACATGTTTGAATCAAGTCCATTTCTTTCATAATATCTGAATTTACAATACTAATTCTATCATCCATTTTGTACTGTTTGACCATTTCCTTTTGCAAATTGGCAAAGAACTCATTAATTTCCACACCAATTAATTGTTTGACTGAAAGAGGTTCAACAAACAAGTAACAATAGTAGAGAATAGATCCCAATCTACTTCCGATATCCATCATAACGATACCATTTTCTCTCATGTTCTTCTTTGATAATAATTTGTGATCTTGTTTGTCTTTGATAGCTGGATTCATTCCTAATGAAACCTTAATCTTTTCCAATAATCTTGATCTAATCCAAGCGTTTCTATTTACACACTGACGAGAGAAAATAAATGACAATTCATCAAGTGAAAAACTATGTGAAATGATATTCATAGGTTTGACATGATTACTTGAGCAACACTTTTCACAATAAAATTCAGGAATCAATCCACCTCTAAACATTTCATTCATTTCTTCATTGTCATACAAGAAACCATCAACATTAATTGTGTTGTACTTGCTATATCCTTCAAATTGTCTATTTGGATTGGTTTCCTCTGCAACTTCACCTGGGAAGTAAAATCTTTCATTTGGAGCATAACCATCATTATTCGGTATTCTATCACGAAGGGATTGTTTAATCTTTTGCAATACTTTCAAATTTGATTTGATAATTTCTTGAGTAGTTTGTTTTGGTTTTCCATTCTCATCCTCTTCACTACTAGTTGATTCACTATCATTAGAGGCACCTTCCTCCGAAACTTTCTCATCTTCAATTTGTTCAAATTCTGTATCAAGTTGTTTGGCTTCTCCTTCCTTTTCTTGAATCAATTTATCCAAGTAATCATTGCAAAATGTTTGAAAGATTGACAAATCTTCAACAGTTTTTAATTTGGAGCACCACCTTTGAAATTCTTCAATGGTAGGAGCTAACAACTCCGATCCTTCCTCATCAATATTACTCTCTCCCAATCGTTTTCTTCTTCCGATATCTGTTGATGATGTGCTTGTTGGTGTATTTGACATTTTTTTGTTGAATGTTTTAAAATAATTAAATTATTATATAACCCAATCAACATTTCAATAAAGTTTACTGAGAACAATGGGATTATTATAATATATTATTAAATTGGTAGCTTTTGACACAATATTTAAATATGATTCATCATAATAAAAGTTTCACTTATTGAAAATTCAAAAAAAGCGGGAAGAAAAAAACAACGAACGAATAAAAAAATGAAAATTTCCGTCGTTGATGCAAGAACCGGCAAGAAGCAATTGGCCGAGTTGGATTTGCAAGCACCAAGCTTGACTGATTTGAAGAAGGCCTATCATCAACAAAAGAGAGTTGATCCAAGTAGACAAGCTTTTTACTATGTGGATGCTACTACTGGTCAAAGAGGAAAGATGATCGTTGCTGCTGAAAATAATGGACCTGTTGCTGATTTGAAGGACGGATCTGTTGTCATGTTCAAGGATTTGGGTCCTCAAATTGCTTGGAGAACCGTCTTTTTGACTGAATATTTTGGTCCAATCTTGACTTTCCCACTTGCCTACTTTTTGGCTCCTTACATTCACGGAGAACCTGTTCAATTGAACAATACTCAAATGTATGTTTTTATATTTGATCCGATGATGATATTGAATTAATGGTGATTTTTAATGATGACATCATGATTGTGTTAAATAATTTTGATTTTGTTAATAATTATGTGAAATTTATTGATAATAACTGATCATCATCACCATCACACAATAATAATAGGATCGCCACTGTTCTCTTCATGGCTCACTTTATCAAGAGAGAATTTGAAACTCTCTTTGTTCACGTTTTCGGTACTGATACCATGCCAATTTTCAACATTTTCAAGAATAGTATTTATTATTGGGGTTATGCTTATCTTGTTGCTCACTTTACTATCCATCCAAAGTATCAATCACCATCTGATCTCCAAGTTTACATTGGTGCTGCTGGTGTTGTTTTGTCCATGCTTGGTAACTTTGTTTGTCACATTATCTTGAAGAATTTGAGAAAGCCAGGTGAAAAGGGTAGAAAGATCCCAAGAGGATTCCTCTTTGAATACGTCACTTGTCCAAATTATACTTTTGAAATTTTGGAATGGATTTTCTTCTCAATCATGATTCAATCTCTCCCATGTTTCTTGTACACTCTCAGTGGTGCTGGTCAAATGCTTCCATGGGCTATTAAGAAGCACGTTGCTTTGAAGAAGTTGTTCGACGGTAAGGACGGTAGAGAACTCTATCCAAAGAACAGAAAGGTCCTCGTTCCATTCATTTTCTAAACTCTGTTATTTCAATAAAATTATTCTCAAATTTTGTAATTTGAAATTGGCTTTTTTTGAAGAAAGAAAAATGAAAGAAAATCAACAAATTGTTGCCACGATCAATAATCTTCCCGAAGAATTATTGTTGGAGATTTATCATTTCTTTTCAATTCCAGAACAATATTTCACTATTGGAAGAGTTTGTGAATCCTGGAGAGAATTATCGTTTCGGGAGATTTACAAACAATTTACAGAATTTTTATCTAATATTAACTATTCTTCGTTAGATATTCAAAGTTGTAATGAACACAAATTATTCACCCATTTTCTAAAATTAAAGCTAAGGGAACATATTTATGGATTATGTGTGGAATTTCTTGAAGGAAGTGAATTTAAAAAAAGGGAAAGACAAAGATTTGAATGGGAAAAATTCGAACCAAAGAGAACCAATTGGTTTCTTGATGAAATGAAATTGGTGGAATATTATTTTGACATACTTTCAAAAAAAATTGAACAACCAAAAGATGAACCAAAAAAGGAATCTCCCAATAGTTTATTCAATTTATTTTCTTATTTTTCGTCGAGATTATTATCATCCAGCACTAGTTCTGTATCCACCTCAAACAACCTAGAGTTCAATAAGAAAATTTTCAAATGTATCATGACGGGTGACCATCATGTAGGAAAAACGAGCTTTGTGAAAAGCTCTCTTGACAGTTTATCAATTGGAGATTACACTCCTGGAGTAGTGTCATCAGCACACACATTCAAAATTTACAAACTTTGGGATGGTATCCTTAGAGATTTGCAATTATGGGATCAACCTGCTTATTTTTATACATCTTTATACAAGAGGAATGCAAATACTGCTTTGATAATGTTTGATTTGAATCGTTTAGAATCATTGGATAGAGCCGAGAATGATATTAATGATATCAAAGGAACTGAAAAGGTGGAAAGTATACTAATTGGAAACAAAACGGATCTAGTTCCAGATTATGAACGAATTATTCAAAGAAAGAGAGCTCAATTAATTGCTTTTAAAAGTAATGGAAGTTTGTATTTGGAAATTAATTGTGTGGATGTTAAACATGCTCATAATATTCTTTTGTTTGTTGCAGTCATGATGTATCTGAGGAATGGTGACGGCAGCAATGAGAAGGGAATTAAGGATTTTTAGAATGCTTGGGAAACCTTGATTCTCATTAATTAACAGTGAATCTTTGAGATTTCTTTCGCTAATAAGAAGATTATAATTTTTAAGGATCCACCATGAATTACAACGTTTCTCATACTGACTTGCCCAAGACTGTCCGATACTAAACAATAACAACGACTCAATTTTCACAATAACACCACCACTTCAACACTCGGATAACATGTTCTAATGATTTGTTCTCTTATTCACAAACAACCAATGGCCTTGTTTGAGTTCATGGAGATATTTTTCATTACCTTTCAACAAAACCATTCACCCGTCTGATTCTTCTTGATACAACGAAAATAAACATTTTAAAAAAATGCCTCTCAATCCATTCAAATCAAAAGGGCCTATCAATCATAACCTAACCGAAGAGGAAGATCGTATGTTTTTATATATTTGTTTGATGAAATATTAAAATGATGACGGGGGTGATAAATCTACTTTTTTTGATGAAACTTTTTAGATGATACTATTCATGAGGATGGATTAAAATTGTTGAACGACACCGATGAATTACAAATTAATTATCAGTGGTGTTCAATTGTAAATTATGGATTTCCTGAACCTCAATCAAATGATGATCCTGAAGTTTATCAAGCCTATACACAATGGATTAAATCAAAAAGAGAAAAAGTCTATGAAGAAAGTTCAAAAGCGTGGAAACATTATATTGATGAATGTGGTGGAATTCAAGGAAAATTGTTAAAATCGGACTCTGCAAGGAAAACAGTCAAGGCACTGGTAAGAAAACATTCAATTCCATCTTGGTATAGAAGACATGTTTGGATTCAAATAACGGGAGTGGATAAGAAAATGAAGGAAAACAGAGGATATTACAAGAAGATTCTCGAAGGTAAATATTTAAAGTTCTTTTTAATTTAAATCAAACAGTTCACAAGGGTCAAACATGTCCGAATGAAGCTCAGATAGACTTGGATTTGTGTAGAACTTTCCCTTCACATCCATTTTTCTGTAATAGTCACTCAATAGGAAGATCACAAATGAAGAATGTATTGACAGCATTCAGTTGGAGAAACCCTTACGTAAGCTATTGCCAGAGTTTGAACTATATTGTCGGAAGTTTATTATTGCACTGTGGAGAGGAAGAAGCTTTTTGGCTCTTAGTAACCTTACTCGAAGACATTTTACCAGCAAATTATTATAATCCAGAACTTACTGGTATGAGAGTGGATTCTTATGTTTTGGACGAACTAATCAAGGAAAGATTACCAAAACTTCATGCTCATTTACATAAATTTGGAGTAGAGACAACGGCATTTGCCAGTGGATGGTTCATGAGATTATTTATTGAGGTTTTCCCTATTGAGACATCGATGAGAGTTTTAGATTTAGTTTTCAGTGAAGGAACAAAAATACTTTTCAGAGTAGCAATGTCATATCTCAAATTGCATGACACTGCACTTGAACAAAGATTACACATGGGAGAAGTATTGCACTATTTGAATCACAGTACTAGAAGACTGTACGATCACTCCATACTATTCAAGCAATGTTTCTCATTTTATAATTTAAAGATTAAGCAAATTACAGAGTATCGAGAAAAGTTTACAGACATTGTCGATGCCGAATCAAAAGAAATGGAGAGGAGAAGACGTGAATTAAGGAAAAGAGAAGAAGCCAAAAGAAAACAAATTGAAGAGCAGAATTTGGAAGAGAGAAAACAAAGTCTCTCTAACGGCACTGAACAGGATGGTGAAGAATCTGCTGCAAGTGAGGAAGTGGTCGATCCTGAAGGTGAATAAACAGCAGCTGGCAATTATTAATACTGTGCTTCCATTTATAAAAAATGTCTAAGGAGCGACAACAACAACTCAAGGGGGCAAAATATAACGACTCTGATGAAGAAGAATTGAGTCTCGACTTGGACTCTGATGAATTGGGAGGGCAAGATGACACCCTCGATGATTTGTCTGATAACGATTCTGAGTATCATCTTGGAACAGGTACTAAAATTACCTTCAACTTGCAGAATAATAAGGAACATGGTGAAGTTGAACAATTGGATCAAATCGAAGAGTTGGAAAAGCAAATAGCCATGATGAAAATGGATCAAAAGGATGAAGATAAAAGTAATCAAACTCTACAAAGAATCCTTACCGAACCAATTTTTACAGATGAATTAAGTTTAGGAAAAGAGTTGGATGATTTTCTTGAGGAATTAGATATCCATTCATCAGCAAATGAAACGAGTACCGTTTCCAAATCAATAGTAAGTTTTCAACTCTCCGAATTCCATCAAAATATACTTGAAATAGGATGATAAAAGTAAGAAGGACATAACAAAGAGTATTCTTAAAAACGAGAAATTAAAGGCGATGAGCACAGAAATATACAAACCTTCGGTTAACGCTAAGGTAGGAAAAGTGGTATCGATAAGAGTTTCAAAGAAGTACACAGCCTTTGGAACAGATCGTGGCTTAATTTTAATATTCAGCTCTGACGACCAAGAGTTGAAATGTATTCTCGGAAACACAACAGGAGTGGAAAATGTATCGACAGGAAAGGTTTCATCACTAAGCTTTTCATTCCAAGAGGATTGGTTAGTAGCCGGTTACGAAAAGGGTGTTATTATTGTTTGGGATGTTCTTAAGGCAAGCGTTATCAAGAGAATAGACGATGCTTTTACTTCACCTGTTGTAAATGTTGCTTTCCTTACTGATATGTATTCAATTATTGCCTCCGAGTTGTTTTCTGTATGTATTAGTGTTAATGATTATTTCTTACATTGTTAATAGAGTACTCTTAAATGTTTTGCTCTTTCTAAGGTTCTTTTCAGATATAGTTACAGTTTAATGTTTCAAATGTCTGTTGGTGATGACCCAATCATTACGTTTGCAGTCATTCCAAAGGATTCTTCCAAATCTTATCTTGCAGTAGGTACAAGAAGTGGAAAGTTGTTACTCTATTCGATGGGAAAAACTCTTGTACCTGATGGAGATCCTGTCTCGTTTGGATATCCTCTCTATGGAAAAGGGTTATTGCCTTATCTTGCTTTGGCAAATTCCAGTTCAAACTCAAAGACTGGTATTGTGGCATTTGCATATGGGAAAGATGTGCACATAATAGATATATCTAAAGATGGAAAAAAGGATATTATTTTCAATTCTGAATTAACATCTGATGTTTGTGGTTTGGGATGGTTTGATGAAAAAAGTCTTGTTGTCATGACTGCTGACCAAGAAGTTTTATTATTTGATGTAAGGGTTGATGATACATCAGTAATTGAAACGGAAGATATCACATTTACAAACCCATTGGACCATTATGCTATGCAAGGATCCAAACACTCCAGTTATGATATCAATTCAAGAGGATTTGTTGTTCTCGGAGAACATGGTTTGGTAAAGATTTCTATCAAACCTTGGGAGGAGAGAATTTATCAATTATCAGATGCTGGACTGTGGAAAGAAGCTCTGGAACTCACTCACGAATTTTATACTGGAAAAGGAAAATGTGTGTTTGGACTTCCTGCCGATGCAGCATTGGATATTTTAGCCGCAAAAACAGTTGGACTTGTAACTGAGTATTTACGATTGAGCCTTACAGGTTCAGAATATAAGGATGACTATATTTATAAGCTTGTTGGATCAACATGTATTGACAATTGTATGAAAGTTGGAAGAGAAGATGTAGTTTTTAGTGCAGTCCATACTACATTTGAAGAATGTGGAAAGACACAGATTTTCTTGGAATTGTTAGAACCATTTATTCTGTCTGGAGCATTAAAGAGTATTCCATGGCCAATTTTCCAAGGCTTCATTTCAAATTTCAAGACTCAACAAGAAAGACTTGATACATTGATTATGAGATTGGATCTTCAACAATATAATATGTATGATAAGATTATTCAATTTTGCAGAGAATGTTCACTTCTGAAAACTTATGTACATGTTACTAATATTTACCAAAGAGAATATGTAGAACCTCTTGAAAGAATACTTGAAGAATATGGAGAAAGCCGTGAAAGAGAAGTTGCAGAAGTAATTCTCTACTTCTTTGAGAGATACCTAGTTGGTAATGTTCCAGAACATGAGGATTTGGTTACTGATATCAAGAAGGATGTTGTCGATTTTATATTTGATGAGGAAGAGGATGGTGACAGAGATCCAACATCAGCCTTCCACTCCATTGTCAGGCACTATCCTGAAAAGCTATTTGATGTTCTTGAAATAGCAATGAATGATGATTCAGCCACTAATCCATGGGATGAAGACTTTACCCAAGAAAACCTTATTGAATACATTTTGAGACTCCAACTGCCCCATCAATTTATGAAACATCCAAGTTTCTATGATGGAAGAATTGCTTTCTTCTCTTTCTATGCTAAGTTTTTAGCAAAGGGTATACTTAAAGCTGAAGACTATAATATCCTTCTTGTAATCTTTACCTTCCTTTCAGAAGATATTTTGAGAAGACTTAGGAATTGCACTGACGATAAAGAAAAACAAAGAATTTTGTCCCTCAGAGAGGATAGAGAAGAAAGATTTATTGAAATCCTTGAAAAGAGAAAAACCTATTATGATAAGACCAAATTCATGGAACTTGCAAAAAGATTTGATCTTTACAAACTTGCCAAGTTTTTCATGTCTAGCACCCAAAAATATCAGTGGTATCTTGAAGTCAATTTAAAGAGATTGTTCGAGATTACTTGGTCTCAAATTCCAGAGCTTGCCGAAACTTTGGTTGTTGACTTGTCGTTTTCTAATGCTTGCCATCAACACGTAGTCATGACAATACAAAAATTACTTGACGAAGAAAGGGATCCAGAACGATATAGAACTCTAAGATTTTTCTTCTATTGTTATATTACTTCCTTATTATTGGATCCAACTTCTGAGAATGGTTCTTTGAATATGAATGAAGTTGCTAAAAGGGGTATCTCTGTGGAAGAGTTAACCTACACATACTTGCAAATGGTTTGCGACTTTGAAGACAATAAGAAAGTTAAGGAGTATTTACAACAACAAGGATCCGGCCTTGATGTTGATAAATGTATGAAAATATGTAAGGATGTTCCAGAAGCAAAATCTTTCCTTCTCGAAAGAACTGGAGAAGTCAAACATGCATTGAATGAAATTTTGAGAGAATTAGAACACACTGTTGACCTTCTGAAATTAAAGTTAATTGATGAAGTTTCCAGAAAAAGAAATGCTGCTTTTGAGAAGAACTTTGATGAGATTAGTAAGGATTTCAACTTGATCACAGATGACCCACCTGTTTATTGTCCAAATGAACCAATTATCGAACAAATGAAGGTTTTACAACAAAAACCAAAAATCAAACTCCCTAAAGTAACTTTGAAGGAAGGTTATGATGCTGGAGAAAAAGCAGAACTTACTGATGTGCTAACTTGTCATGAATCCAGAAATCTGGTAAAAGAACTCAAGACTGCTATTAACTTGTGCTGCGAAAACAGTGAAAGAAAAACTCTGGATGATAGTGAAGTTAGACAATTATGGTTCAGATTGTTGAATACCTTTGTTTTACTTCAAAGAAAGTTGAGATATGGATTTTTAGAAGGAAAACCTCTGAGTGTTAGTAAGAGAGAGGAATCTTCAGTTTTTCAAAAGAAAATTGTTGACAGTGAAGGTTTTGATGAGTTCGATTTGGAGGATACCCAACTTGATGAATTTGATATCATCAAGGAAGAAATTGTCGATACAAACACTGAAATTATCAAGATTGAGAAAGACTTGAATGCTGAGAGAGAGTTGCATGACCCAGATGAGGAAAGAATCGAAAGACTCCAAATTAAATTAAAAAAGAAAAAGGATCACATTCATAATCTCCAAATGCAATTGAAGAGTTTGGAAGAAAAGGAAAAATTAGAAAAACAACTCGAAGAAGAACGAAATAATGATCCAACAGCTCCTCACAACATTCAAAAATTGGCTAATCTTTGGTTACAAAGATGTAATTCATTGTATATTAGAATAATACTTAGTGAGATGATGAGATATGTGGATATTCCATCAATCTTGAATGATATTGTTACTGAGCACGATAGTGATGCATTCGGTAATGTTAAGGTAACAATTATGAGATTATTAGATAATTATAGCTACGAAAGTGGATTGTTAAAGCAATCCAATGAACTAATTTCTTATGACATTTTCAATATTGGAAATCAACTACACAGAGATTTGAATAGTGCCCTAAAGCCTAACAGTTTATACTGCTTCCTTTGTGGAAACCCACTAGGTAAGAAAACCATGGAAGAATCAAGTATGTGTAGAATATTCCCTTGCGGTCATGCATTCCATGTAAATTGCATCGGTATTAAACAAGTGGCATGTGTGCATTGTGAAAATAAGGATGAGAAAGAATTGATACAAATCGCCAAGACCAGTCGCACCTACATTATGGAAGGCAGAAAGGTTAATGAAGAGGAAGTACGTGGAAAGTTCTTTGATTTCCATCAAGTAAAGTCTACTGTAGATAAAGCCCTGGATAAGAGACCACCAATAGACTTGCTAGATGATTTATCATTGAAGAAGAAGGGTGGTAATGCCAAGAAGAAGAATGCAGCTGATATTGCTTTGGAACAATTGAGTGCTCCTTCATCATCTTCAGTTACCAGGTTAACTGGTGTAAAGATTCTACAGTTAGCTCCTGAAAATCTTGGAAATGGAAGATCCAACAACAGGTCTAATGCTAATAAGGTAACACTTGTAGCTATTGATGAGCACGCAGAAGATGAAATTTTAACTCGAGACAGAACAAGTACATTAACCCAACAAAAAACAAAAAGAAGAATTGGACCTGTTCAAAAAATCACAATTGTTGATTTTGAAGAAATTGTTAAAGAAATTGAAGAAATGTATGATTAATAAATTAATCATAGCTATGTGTGACATTTCCGATGACAGTTTTTTAATTTTTTGTAAATATTTTTTATTCGAGGTTAACCAACTTGCGATGATCCAATCATGAATTGATATTTTTCCATCGGTGAAAGTTGAAACATTACAAAAGAAAAAAAGTACAACCCATTTAACAAAAAAATGTCTCACGACTATAGTGGAGCTATTCTCGGAGCAACAACATCTTCACCACAACTTCCTGGTAATTCTCTGATGACGACCGTTGTTCAGCCACTTGATAATTCAAGTCCGAGCTATCATAACATTAATTCAATGATGAACCATAGTAATCATAGTAATAATATTGACCATAATAATATAACTCCTGTTGGAGGTGTCGGGGTGATGAATCAAACTTTTACCAATACAAACCATCATCATCATCACCATATTATAAACCAATCACAACAACTCTACGGAATCAGTTCTGTATCGGAGTCTAATCAACAACAATATTCAGTAGTTAATAATGGTAATAATACAAGAAGCAGCGCTACAATTCCAACTCTAATTAATGGAGGATCTTTAAAAAACAATAACTCTAATTCTTCAAATAATAGTAGCGCGTTGTCTGTATCTAATCACCAACAATTGAACAATAGTAATGTTTATCATTGCTTGAATCCTTCATCGGGATTGAATGGTTCAACAAGTCAACAACAACAAATTGTTTCCTCCTCCTCTCCACAGCAAGCTGCACCAATATCCTCTCCTCACCATTTTGCTCATACTGATCAGCAACAATCATTAAATACTTCAGATCCGATGAACTCTGTGATCAATAGATCATTATCCTCCTATTCTACTACACAAACACTGTCAATCAATTCTTCACCTGCCACAAGTAATATGGCCGCTGCTGAACAACAAGGATTTTCAAAGAATGAAGCTCCAAACCCTAGTTATAATTACAATCAATCATCCTGGCCAACTTCACAACCTTTTTATAACTCATCCGTTGTCCAATCCCATATTGGAAGTAACACTAATAGTGGTAATAATTCAGTTAACAATAATCATTTACACAATAGCAGTAATTTGGTTAGCTCAAATACCAATAGTCAGACCACAAACTTTAATCTGTATCATCACCAAATTCATCCAACCTTGTCACTCAAACCATCTGTAACAAGTAACGAAAGTTTGATGGCTAATGATCACCACTACAATAATAATACTGGTTTAACTTCCCATCATTTGAATCAAAATAATGCCATGACAAGTGCTGCTAATTGTACATCAAACAATAATGGATCAGTGCTTTCCTCTAATTATACTATTCCGATTAATCAATCATGTTCGCCCAATCAAATAATGACCAATTCCGAATATAATCAACAACAAACCATTGCTCCTTCAACCAATAACCACCATATCCCTAATCCAAAGGTTGATTCTAATGATCCTTCAAATATTTCATTACATTCCTCCCCTACTTTTTCCTATAATACTTTTAATACCACCAATTCAGTTACTCACAAAGATAGCCCTAGTACATCAACAGTTGATCTAAATGATGAAAAAACAAACCCAGAAAAAGAGAATCCTTATCAATGGAAAATTTCAGAGTAAGTACTTGCAAGAGTGTTGACCACAATAACAACAAAATAATAGGTTCAAGAGAAGTGTATTTTACGAACTTGTTCATGATTATGAAATGAAGAGAGCAAGAATTTATTTATTACAACATTTCCCATACTATGATCCTGCATTAATGACAAATAATCACTTTGACATCATGGAAGATGAAGAAATGAAGATGAAAAATGGTGATTTGAAAGAAATACTTGTACACTTTGATGAAATCCAATTCTTATTATATTTATTTGTGTAAGTATAGCACACAATATTAGGTGGAATAACAATTTGATTCAGTGGAAGAAGAGTTGATGCTTATGGTGTTTTAACCTCAATGATTAATAACGGGTTAATTCTCAATGATAACAAGTATTCCACAATGTTATTTGACTACTCATTGGTAGAATCATTTTCTCCAGAAGACTCCATAACACTTTTAAAGAATAAGATTGAAATCTTCTTGAATAAGTACGGTGTTGAAGAAGAACAAGATTATAGCCCTCTAGGTATCAAAATGCAATCTCTAGAACAAAAACTAGAACTAGAAGAACAAAGTGATGACGAAGATAGCGAGAGTGATTTTGTTTTTCTACTCTCTGAAGAAGAAGATGAATATGAACCACATTTGAAATATTACAATAACTGTTATCAAAACTACATACCAGAAGTGTACTATAGACCTACCTCAGAATCACCAAATTCCAACAGTAATTCCAATGATAACCCATACGATTTATCAGGATCTCTTTCAAACACAGATTCTTCATCCTTCTCTCCATCGCTTGTGAAAAAATCAAAGAAAAAACAATCTTCCCGAGATAGTGATAGAAGCAGTAGTGATTCACAGGAAGATGATGATTACATGCCTCCTGTAGGTGGTGGAATTTCCAAGAAAGGAAAACTGAAAAAGAAACGCAGAAGCAATGCTAAAAGAGCTTGCCATCATTGTAGAAGATCACATTTGCGGTGTACAAATGTGAGACCATGTTGTAGATGTCAGGCACGCGGACTTGATTGTTATGACATTGAATAAACAACATTTTATTGGTCAATTAGATCAATAACATTTTACAAATACCTTTTATTCGTAACAGTACACATTGGAAAAGTTTACAATTTTAAACAAAATACCTTAATAGAAAACATGGATTTATTCAAACGATTACATACGAAAATCGAGAACACAAACATTAAATTCCTCCGTTATAGAGTTCGAGAAACAAGCAGCAACCTTATCACCAGTTGCATTCCAACAAACTTCAAAAATACTACCACTTCCATGATATGTCCTTACTAATTTACCATCATGAACTGACCAAATGTGCAAATAACGATCAAAGGACCCACTTGCTAAATATTTACCATCAGGGCTGAAAGCTACAGAATATACAGGATCAGTATGTTTTGTGAGTGAATGTAAACATTTTCCGGCAATAGGATCCCACAACTTGATAGAAGCATCAAATGAAGCACTTGCCAAAACTGTATTCTTATTAGGATAATCAGTTCCAGGACCTGTTGGACTCCATTTGATTGTGTAAATTTCCTTTGTGTGTTCCTTAAAGTCCCAGACACATTTTTGACTATCATAGGACCAAATCTTGGCTGTAAAGTCATCAGAACATGAAGCCAAAAGTTTACCATTTGGACTCCATCGAATAGCATTGACTTCATCTTCGTGTCCAGAAAATGTTCTGGTTGGGTTACTTGTACCCAATTCATAAACATAAATCATTCTATCAGTTGAGCATGTAGCAAAAGAGGTGTTAGTTCTCCAATCAACATCCAATGTTGGTGCAGAGTGATGAGCAAATTGTTGTTTAACTTGATTATTTTCAACATCCCATACAATTGAAGTATTGTCAACTGAACCAGATAAAAGATAATTTCCTGCCTTATTCCATTTAAGTGAAAAGATTGGACCCTTGTGTTGATCCAAAATACATCTGAGTCTACCATCTTCAGACCAAATCCTAGCTTTACCATCATATGAACCAGTTGCAAGCCTTTTACCATCTCCACTCCAATCAAGAGTTGTGACATCCTTAGTTGAAGCTTGAAGCTCTCCTGTAGCTGTATTATCTCCGTGATTTAAAACAAGTGGATGAAGAGGAGCTGCCCTAGGACCAACTTCATCTTTAACCAATTCCCAAATCCTAGCAGTGGAATCACCAGATCCTGATGCCAAAACATTGCTACGAGCAGGATTCCAAGCACAAATAAAAACTTCATGAGTGTGTCCTTTCAGTTTAGTAACAAGACTATCAGGTATTATTGTACTAGTATTGGCTTCAGAATGATACAAATGTCCTTCATCAATAACCATAACGGCAGCACTCTCTTCATCATGAGTTGCCAAACTATTGTGTGAACCATTACTGGCCAATGATGTTCCACTAGTAGTAACAGCAGTACTACTTGTAGTTGCAGGTGTTGTAGTATTTTGTTTTTGTTTCTTTGATGGACGTCCAGAAGAATTGGTTCCGCTATTACCATTAGCATTAGAACTTGTTCTAACATTGGCTTTTTCGCTGGATGAATTCTTTCGTCGTTGTGTGGTATTAGTAGTAGAAGTAGTAGAAGCTGTAGTGGTTGTGTTATTAGGATTTGTTGGATTGGAAGAATTTGATGAAGAATTGGTTTCCTTTAAGCTTCCGCTTGTTGTTTTAGAGGTAGAAGCTTGTTGAGTAGTAGTAGAGGATTGTATAGTAGTGGATCTAGAATTATTTGTGGATGATGAAGGATGATCTGAAATAGTACCTGCCATAGCAATTGATGTAGTTACACCTGGTGGTGTACCTCTGGTAAAGAGTAACTTTTCTTTAGGTACATCTGGTAAAAGCATTTCAAATACAGTATCAAATTGTACTTGTTGATCACTCTTGTTTCGTAGTTTAGTTTCAACTTCAAGGTATTGTATACCTTTTTGAAGGAAGGAAATCAAGGCTCCTGGTGGAACTTCTGCTCCTCTAATACCACACGATTGTACATTACTTTCACTAGCAAAAGAAAAGGCGCTGTGTTTAAAGCCAGATTCCTGAAGATATCTATAAATCATGAAATTAACTTCGTCACTTGAAAGATTACGAAATGTCATTTCTATGCTGTTATTATTATTATTATAAATATATTAGATGATGATGATAATATTTCGTTATTGCAAATTTACAAATTTCCTTCTCGTAATAATATTTATCTTAAAAAACGGTTCTCTAATAACTCGATAAATTAATCGTCAATCGAGTTGTAACAACAAATAGCACAATTTATCAAGAAATTAAATGATTGGCAATTATTCTTGTTGTTGTTGTATAGAAATATGATCGAAGGAAGTTGTTTCGATTTTTTTTAATTTTGAAATAATTAAAATTTTAAAACAATTTTAAAAAATGCGATTCCATCAATCTAACGAATAAGTGATTCTCTCTTTTTCTTCACCTTCTCGTCGAGCGAACAGGAATAATCGATGTAAATCTCAAAAAAACAATCGGTACCAATAGGATCATGATTAACAAACACCATAACCAATAAGAAAATATCTAAAAGGATTCTAAAGTGGCTATTTGATGGGTGCAATATTTGTGATTAGAACCAATAAACAGACATTTCCCGAACCTCACAATTTTCTTTTCAAAAAATGCCTATCTCTCTTTTCTCTTCCGTACTGGTGATGAACGGGAAGAATTGTCATCATGCACAACCACAACAACAAACAAGGCTTGTTTTATTGTTGTGTTCATTGATAATAACATCAATTATATTACTTGGAACTTTTGGAGAATGTTCAACAACAAAAACAATGATTTTGTCTCAAGTTAATTGGAATAATATTACAGCAAGTGAATTACAGGCTTTGGATCCTTCTGTTTTTACTAGTGTTTCGGCATTAGATATTGCTTCTATTCCTTCATCTGCTTGTGTTGGGTTTAGATCAGAACAAATTACGAGATTGACAGAAGATGGATGTGTTGGTTTCACACCACTTTGTTTTGCAAATATTCCTGCTTTGGCCTTTTCAGGATTTACCTCTCCTTGTATTTTGAATATTAGAACTGATGCTATGGGAATGCTTTCTTATAATCAATTACAGAATATTCAACCTGATTCTTTTACTGGGTTGACAGCAAGTCAATTGAGCTCTATTAGTCCTGCAACTTGTGCTGCCTTCTCTAAACTTCAACTTTCTAGACTCACTTCAACTGTTATGTTTGATACTTGCATTGGTTTCTCAAAGGCTTGTTTCTTCAACATTTCATTGGATAGTTTATCTGGATTTGAATATCCTTGTTTTGCAAAGATACCAGCTAGCATTCTTGTTTTTATGGATTCTAAAAGATTTTCTAAATTATCAGATGGACTTGTTTCATATATTGGACCTCAAATTTTCCAATTATTTGATGGAGAAGTATGTGCCGGATTTAGTGCTAACAAGTTATCCCTGCTACCATACGAAAGTTGTATGTTTACAGAGTCGTGTATTTCCAATATTCCTCCAAGTGCCATGCGTGGCATGTCTGCTCTCTGTATGGAGAGTATTCCAAATCCTGGCCTTAGAGGTTTAACAGCTGACCTTATTAGTAATATTCCTCCAGCAGCATTCTCTCTTATTTCTTCATCTCAATTAGCTCAAATTTACAAGTAAGTATTGTAACTTTATTGGAATATCATTATAAAAATACAGATACAAGAGAAAGGAATTATTTGAAGGATTATCATTGGACCAAGCTCAAAGAATTGATTTTTTGATTGTTTCTCAAATGAAGCTCATGTTCTCCACCTATCAATTACAATCAGCAAACAATTTACCAAGCGATATTCGTCAATTAAATTGGTTGCAATTGGCTTCATCATCTGCTGTTTACACTTCAAAGCTAACAAGTTATGATATTCCAAAGATTTCAACTTACACATTCTCTGGATTTTTGGAAATTCAAGTTAGTCAAATGAGCTCAAACATTTTTACTAATGCCACTGATGGACAAGTGTCAGCTTTGGATTGTGCTTCAATCTCAGGTTTAAGAGCTGATCAAATTTCTCAAATGACCTCTCACCTCATCTGTGCTTTGCAAAATCCATCCTATTTGTACAATTGTATTCAACCTTCAACCTTTAGTGGACTCACTATTCCTCAACTTCAGGATGGTATTGATTGTGGAAGAGTTTTTTTGATGGATTGTGCTCAATTCCGTTCATTGACTAGAGAACAATACAAATTCCTCTCCTCCTACAATCAAACTCAAGACATTAGTAGAAGTTGTGGACCTATTTATGTTTCTCCAGCTCCATATCACAGCAATCCAAGCCATTCAGGATCTTCCTCAACAATCCTTAACAATTTACTCAATCTTATCTTGTTTGTTATCTTTGCTTTCATTGCCATCTGTTATTAAAGTAATAAAAATCAATTTTATACAAAATTTTTCCTTAGTGTCGCTAGCAATTTACCAATTCAATTTCAAAGTTGAGAATCAGAGAAGGAGTATATTCAATTCCAGAATTCAATATAAACAAAACAGAAAAAAATGGAACAAGAAGATTGTACTGAATATTTTGACTCTGCCGAGGAGATTGAAGAAAAGATCAAATGGGTCATTGACTATGTGAAGGATTCTAAACATTTGGTTATTTATACGGGGGCTGGTATTTCTACGGAGAGTGGTATAATTGATTATAGAGGTCCGAAGGGAATTTGGACCATGTTGAAGCAAGGGAAGGAACCAGTCAAATCTGTTCCTTTCATCAAGTTTCCAACAAAATGTCACATGGCAATATCAGAATTGTACAAACAAAAAAAGTTGAAATATCTCACTTCACAAAATGTTGATGGACTTCATTTGGAATCTGGAATTTCAAGAGATTGTATGAGTGAAATTCATGGAAATACAAATATTGAAATTTGTAAAGAATGTGAAATTGAATATGTTAGAGATTATTCAGTTAGAAATAATAAGGAAGTGCATGAGCATACAACTGGAAGATTTTGCAATAAGTGTGGAAAGGAATTGTTTGATACTATTGTCAATTTTAACGATCCACTGGATCAGAAGTGGTTCGAAAGGGCTTTGGAACATTCGAAATTGGCAGATGTGGCAATTGTTCTTGGAACTAGCTTGAAGGTATTGCCAATTTGCGATTTGCCACAATTGTGTAAATTCAACACTTACGGACATAAGGGAAAATTAATAATTGTAAATTTACAAACCACACCAAAGGATATTTATGCAGATGTGAAAATCAATATGAAAACAGATGAATTTATGGAGAGGTTAATGAATGGATTAGGATATCAGATACCGACCTATGTTGCCTCAAAATCTTATCTGCTCTCTATTCAAAAACAACAAGAAGAGCTTTCGTTTGATTGCCAATTCAGATCAGAAAAGAATGGAAATAGAATTTCATCATGGTTTAAGAATGTTTCATTCAAATTCCTTGATTCAAACAATCAGGAAATATCTCAAACATCCATAGATAAGGGAGAATGCAAAGTGAATAATATTCCGCTCAACACTTCATCTATTATTGTGTCTGGCATCCTAAAATTAAAATCAAAACCATCTGAAGAAGATAATGATGAGTCATATAATGTGGAATGTCAATTCACATTTCCAGATATCAAACTTGAAGGTCAACCTATTATTTCTCCTAGTGAAAATCTCATAGATCTTAGACATGCGTTCCTTGCCTATCGACCAGATAATTTCACCCTAAAAACAAAGACAATAATTGCTGCCAAATCTACCACTCGGAATTTCATCAAGGGGAATTAAGAGAAATTCATTAGATTTAGAAAATTTTAATTAAATTGTTGGCACTAAATTTGGAAAATTCAAAATAAATTGTTTAATTTATTATGATTTAAAATTCAATCTTTAGAGTAACAAATTGACTGCTGGTAGATTCTGAGCATAGGTATTGGTAAAGTTTTTCATTAGAAGTGAGAGAGTCACCTTTTGAGGTTTTAATGACTCGATTATTCATTAAAAGTGTTGGATTTTCAGATGGAAACTTTTTCTCTACAATATCACTAACTTCCTTGAGAATGATTGTTTTTAAACGATCAAGCTTGATACAACGTTTGACAGTGAAAACTCGTTTCTGATCCATTGGCAGAATCCACAACTTGATAATGATCGTAGTCAAGTCAGCGTCCATTGATGTGGAGATTTGTGATTTTGGAAGAATAGAATCAGAAACTTTTCTTGGACGTTCAAGAGATGAAATCTTGTTGGATTTTTGTTGCTTTTTCTGATAGGCAATTATTGCTTCATTGACTTCTCTTTGAAGCTTTTTCTTGTGTCCAAGTTTAACCATCTTTATCTTCTTGTAGAGTGCATCGACCTTCTTTTGAAGATCAGAAGTATCAATCTTATCTGCTGCTTGATCTGGAGTATCTTCCTTTTTCAATAAGCTAAGATCAATTCCTTTGATTTCATTCTTTTTCAAAGCATCAGTATATTCTGGTAGATCCAACTTGAATTTGAAAAAGTTGATCACTTGTTGATTACTCCACTTTCTGATCTGAAGATTTTCCACAAAGGTGATATCATTAGGATTCTGAGGATTGTAAATATATTCTGATTCACCACTTCCAACTGACGTTTCATCATCTGTAATTGATTCATCAGATTTTGGTTCTTGAACAGCAGTGCTTGTTGTAGATTTCTTCTTGAAAATCTTGGAGAAGAAATTACTGGACTGTGGAGAACCAATAGAAGAGTTAGACTTGTCTGATCTAGAAGAGCTTACAGTCTCAGATTGATGAGGAGAGTTGTGTGGGGATTGATCATTCACAGGGTTATTATTCTGACTCTGTTCAATCACTTTTGTCAATAAAAAGTGTTCAAACTCGTCACTTGCTTTAAATTCCTTGAAAGACTCATTCTGTAACTGGAGTCTAACCTCCAACTCGATCTCTTTCAATATGGTACTCGTTGTTATAGGTTGTTGTGGAATTATTTCTCCACTCATTGTGAATGTGGAGCTACACTCTGAATGATCTCTTGGTGATGAGTTGTGAAGCAACGATAATGAGGAAAAGGAAGAGGATATTAAACTTGGAGAATCGTATGAGTTGTCCACAGAATTGGCTGTTGTTGAATAAGTTAGAGTCGAAACAGTAGATGGCGAAGAGGATTGGATAAGAGAATCAACAGGAGAACTGGCAAAATTGAGTGAAGAATGACTTGATGGCATTGATTGTTGTAAACAGCGATCAATCCTGTCAATCGAGAGTGATTTGACATGTTTGCTAACATTCAGTTCGTACTGGCGCCGTTAGTTAGAAAATCAGAACGAATTCTTTGCAAAATTTCAATAGCATATCCATGACTTAGTGTTGGAATCTTTTTAAGAGCAGAAACTTGAAGAATAAACTCCAAGTTTTCTTCATTTCGTTTCCTTCTCAAAAATTCAAGAAAAACCTCACATGCCTCCTCGTCCATAATTAGTTGAGCAAATTTAAAATACTTGTCAAGATTAACAACTCTTGGTGTTGCTGGTTCAGCACCATGTTGATGGTGGTGATTATGTAAATTTTCCAATGATGACTCAGAGGTAGATTTTTCCAATCGATGAAGGGAAAGAGGAGGTAGTTTGGTTGAGGAGTTTGTTGTTAGTGAGGAAGTACTTATTGCAAGCCCCCTAATATGTTGACCATTGCTGCTATTTGTTCTCATTGTGTTAACACCAAGATTCAATGGAAGGACATCACTTCCATTACTTGTACTCCTGACTTGTCTATTAATATTATTGATATTTTGTGCGGTGGAGTTTGTCACTGTATTTGAAATAGTGTTTGGTTGTTGATGGTGCACACAGCTTTGAATATTACTGTGTTTGGAGGTGCCTGCCTTGTTAGCCAGTGGTGGACTGTTACTGGTTGACTGAATATTGTAATCGGTGCTATAAAGAGTTTTTGGATTGATTTGGGAATAATTAGTGTTGTTGGGTATTGTTTTAAATGTTTCTGTTTGATGAATAACATTATGTGCGAGTTTGTCGCCAAAATTTGTAGAGTTGATCTGCAGAACGGGCTTTGAATTGATAATCTTTGTATTGTTGCTGTTGTTGTTGATATTATTGGAGGATGAATAAGAAGTTAGAGTGGAGGATTGTCTCGTAATATGTTTGCTATTATTATTTGTGGTGTTAGCCATTGAAATTGGTGCCGATTGTTGTTGTTTTAGATTCGTATAGGAGGCAGAATATGAAGTTGAAGTAGTATTAATGAATACAGGTTGACTCGCCACTGCAGATTTGTTAGAAATCGTCATGTTATTATTATTACTCGAAGAGGATGATGAATTTAAAAGTTTACTGTGTGGATGAACCGAAGATGGAGACGACGAATTGACCAACATATTGATAAGCAATCTGATTAACAATATAGTGTTTTCTTTATATGATGGTTCTTTGATGTTATTGATGGTGGTAGGTTTTAAAGTCTAATATCAAAATTGGAAACAATTAGGAAATGATGTGTTGTGGTTTTTGCACAAAACAGCCCCGGCGGTATTTGTTGACACTTTTTTTACGACAATTTTCTGAGCAAGCTTGATAGAATCTATGAGAATGGATGAATAATTTGCAAAGATTTTGAATGACTTGTTTTTTACCCAATTTATCCAATTGACCAACGGAATTGCGGCCATTTAAATTTTCGACTTTTTGGAAAAACTACTGCAAATAAAGTCAACTCTAGAAAACTGTGCGAATTTTTAAGATCTAAAAAGATAGTTGCCAATGTGAAATTAGAAATTTCACAATCAGATTTATTGTAATGGATAATGAAAATCATGATCAAATATTTTTTGGACTTTATTCAAAAATGAGTGTTTTAAACATTTTGAAATGTTCAGTATCAAAAACAGTTACAGTTTTTATAAAGAAAAACACTTTATTAACAACTTTCAATCTCTCATCAATTAGATGTGACATAAACATTGATTCCATCATGCATCTCAAGAATAAATGCAGTGTCAAAGAGAGAGAATTGTTTTTGAGATTGTAACTGTGATTTCTCAGTATCAATCTCTATGATATTTTGATGGTAGTAGTTAGTGTGTTGTTGAATTAGTGGAGAATCTCCATTTTCTCCAAATCTGGTGGAAATGGAGAAAATATGGATTGGCGCTACGTTTTGGTTCACCCTTATTGCGAAATTGCAAATGGCACTACAGTCTATAAATGAGGAGTAGTAATCTAAAAGTATCATATCGAAGCGGGTATTATTCTTCTGCAAAACAAACAATCTCGATGCAACCAACTTCTCCAAACACATTAATCGTAAGGATGCTTGTGATTTACCACTTCCTAACCAGAATTTTTTAAAGAAGTCTATCAGAAACTCGGGAGAAAGGTCTTTCTGATCTAGTTTCATAATCTCAACAGAATGGAGAGGAATTGCTTCTGTCACTGTTGATGAGGAGAGAGATCTTGGTCTTTTTCTCAAACATGTTTCATTGTTCTCGAGCAACTCTTCCAATCCATCCATGGTGTTGGAATGATGGCATTGACGATCGAAATACTTTTCGAATTGTGATATCATTTCTCTGTAAAAGTGATCACGAGTGACTAGAATAAAGTCACAATCCATCCTGTCAAGTTTAGAATCTACTCTGCCCATCAAAAAGGTTATACAATTATCAGCAGCATCCCTCTCCCTTGTTTCAGAGTAAATGATGGAAAGCCACTCTTCATGTTCATATCCCATCATGGAGTCATTGATAATGTCCTTAGTGAGGAAGAGACAGACATGAAACTGTACTTTAAATGACAATTCTTTCAATTTCTTGAATGTTAACAAGTTGGAAAGATTGTCTCCATCAAGGAAGAGAACAAATTTCTTTTCATTTGCTAGTGAGGGTCCTTTAAAAGATCTTTCAATTCTATCCAATACATCTCGCATATTACTAACAAGATTATTCTCTCTCAAGTACCCAATATAATTAGTGGCCTTAATATGGGGATTGAATAAATGTTTGCAGAGAATAAATCTTGCATGAGCATACTTGGTATCAGGAGTGGAGATGAATTCATCGAATAGTTCCTTCCCAAGACCATACGATTTCCGTACACTCTCCAGAAATGCAGTGAAGGCTTTTTCTGAGCCCATTTCATTACGGATTTTGTCTAGCAATTGGTGCTTTTCCAGGAATTCAAGATGGTTCTTGTTGTCCATTTCTTTTGTAATTCTTCTTTAACGTAAATTTGTGTTAGGTTGTTTAAAAAACTACTTTGCCACAGCACGTTTTGTCAGTTATTAATACAAATAAAACACGTTGTAAAATTAGAGTGGTGCCATTAGAATTCGCTTTTAGATAATTGTTCTTCAACCCATTTAGTGAGTTTATTCACGTTATTCTGTGTCTAATTAATTTGGAAATCCATGACAGAATGGGTTGTAGAAATATGTTCAGACCAAGGGAGTGACTCTAACTCTGTCTCCAACTCTGCAAGAGAATATGTATTTGCGAGGAAGGTATTCTTGAGTGTAACTCGCAATTTGAAATCTTTTTGTGGATTTTGCTTGAACTCAATCCAAAACTTGAAAGATTTTTGATTTTGGTTCATTAAAGAGCTATCTCTATTGTATCCAAATAATGCCCAAAAGTTATATTCAAACTCATATTGAGAATCAGTATTTGTTTGAACAACTCTTCCGAATGATGTATTGGTATCGAATGATGACTCTACAATCTCATGATCTGAATAGAGGAATATTCCACTATGATAAATCTTTTCATGGAAGAGGATACTAAACTCAATTCTTCCTTTTTCATGGACCTTGTTTGTAATGAAAATTTTAGGGGTAATATAACGTGGTAAACTATCTGTAGTTTCGGTAATAAGATATGGCTTCTTGTGAGTTCTTGGATTAATTACACTTCTGACAACTTGTGGTTCTAAAGTGTCATGACTTCTTTCAAAATTAAATCTCTTGCCCAACACATCAGTTATTTCCTCCTCCTTAGATGAATCTGCTCCTGCAATCATAATATATTGAGAGAGCTGCTCCCAATCATTCAAATTATTACTTGCCATTAAGAAGGTATGTTGTATAGAAGTTCTCTTTGGATGTGCCTCGGTAAATGCTTTGCCATTATTACCCAAAATAAGATATGCATAGGTGATGATAGTTCCCAAAATTAATAGTAAAACAGTTTTTCCAGAGATTTGTCTAACAAGAACTGGTAACAATGTTGTCAATATTAAGAATACAGCAATGCTACACAACATAAGGGCAATATAATCAACTTGAACGGCCTTTCCAAGTCTTCCAGTAATTGGAATAAACATGTCAATAACTTGGTTCAAAATAGGACTCAAAAATGCCAATCCTATCAAGGAAAAATCAAGGTAAACCTTGTTGAAATAAGTGCCCAATAATAAGAATATTGTGACAGCCAAGAAAAGATATCCAGAAGCAATGTTGAAAATTGTGAAAAGTGTCAAAATACAAGTGTAGAGAATTAGAATTGATTCTGCCATGATTTCAGTGGATAAGGCAATGATAAACTTGTTGGTTGTCCAAAAACCAAGAGTGAAGGTTGTCACTACTACTGATCCATAAAGAACCAAAGAGAACATTGGGTGATAGGCAAAATAGAGCATATCGTATCCCAATCTCATTAATCCAATTGTTAAAGTAATATTAATTCCAATAGCAAATAGTAAAAAGAGGAATATTAAAAATAAGGCCAACACTCTATGGTACAAGGCTACGGCACCTCCTTTGATCAATGGAATAATTAACAGAGTAATAGATATTACAATGACTGAAACGTTAATCAGTCTGAGAGTATTGATGTCAAAAACATTCATATTGAATCCAAAAAGATCAAAATAGACAAAGTTTGTCTTTGGATCAGAGTCATTTTCAGTGATATTTGAGAAGTGGGTTACAAATGATTGGACATTATCACCCATATGCTGAATAGATCCCTTTTCATAAGAAGATGAAGAATCCTTTGATGTATGATAAACATAACCATTCTTGTAGAATGAAACATCAATTCCTTGCATTCCAAATGAAGAATATACATGATAATCAGTTGCTGATGGAATAATATTTGATTGGAAAATATCTTGAGCTATGACATTTCCACTAGCCCTCACTGTTGACTTGGCGAAATGTCTAGCCAAGAATTCTGTAGCTATTTGGAAAGCAACCTCTTTTCCACCAGATCCTGCAGCCTCTAAATTTAAAAAGTATTTTACATCCCTAGAATATGGATGATACATGAATGATTCAGCTCCCAATAGTCCAGTTTCTTCAGCACCATTAAACAAGAAAATAACACTTCTTTTCAATTCTAACTTTCCATCTCTAATCATTTTCACAATATTTCTAAATGATTCAATCATACAAACAACAGGAATACCATCATCATAGAATCCAGGTGAAGACACACCACTGTCAAAGTGGCTTGACACCAATAAACCATGATTATCCGATCTATCTTGATTTGGATCAATTCTAACAATTAAATTAGTCAAATTTTGGTAGGAAGTAAACAGTTTTCTCTTCAAAATATCAATGTATCCATCACCTGATCAATTAATTATAATTGACCACAAACCAAATAAATACACATACCAGAAATAAATTGTTGATCAAGGGTAATCTTATGATTATTCCCAACAAGTTGACATCTCTTGATTTTCATACTATTAATATTTCCCTCCTTTCTAATAAACCTCTTTAATCCAAACTCTTCATCCTGACCATTAACATTCACATTCATCTCATCACAATTTTCCAATTTCATTTTCCATTCACTATGTACAATCGTACTCAATTCATCTCTAACAAATTCAAAAGCTTGTTTCTCTTGCAGAGTACCAACAACTTTTGGTCCGATAGTAGTGGAGAGAATGCCGAGAGTTTTCAATGCTCGATCCTCTCTAAATAAATAATCAACAGGTGCACCAATACTGTTTGGCACTGGTAAATTTGATGGCAAACGAGATTGATTGTAGTAGGTGAGAAAGATGATCAGAACAGCAAACAGCAAGGTGCTGCCAAATTGTAGAGACATTTTTTCAATCTTGGTTTCTTGAAGAGTTTGGAATTGTTACAATTTTTGAGAGGAAAGGTTTAATCCAATGTTATCAATTACACAATTTTGTAATGTCTAATAGAAATTAATTCAATTCTTCTAGAAAATAATTAATATCAAAGGAAACACTTATTTTCTTTACCCATAATTGGAAGACTAATTTAAGGAAGAGCTGAATTGTAATTGGTGAATAAAAATTCTACTGCTTTACGAATAGCAAGCAATCAATAGAACATTGCTCGTTCCCATTTGACACTTGTTAGGGTCTAGTATGAACATTCAACAAATTCAATCATGGGAAGATATTAATTAGATTTTCATGAAAAGGAAGGCATGATAAAGTACTCAATATCATCCTTTCAGATCGGAAATCCACATCAATTTTAAACCAACAAAATTATTACTCCCTTCACCTTTGTATTTGTTCTGTTTTTAATAATTTTTTAAAATATTTTTTTAAAATCAAATATATTGTTAACGGTTAGGAACCAATAAAAATGAGCGAAAAAGAAGAACAGCCAAGCAAAAATCCACAACAACAAGAGGATGAGGCTGATGATGCATCATCATATGATGAAGGTAGTGAATCGGATGATGAGGAAACCAAAAAACAAGCTCTCGAATATGAAAGATTGAGACAAGAAAAAATTAATAGAAATCAACAATTGTTGGAAACTCTAGGCTTAAAGCAAACCATTGTAAGTATACACCAACAACAACAACAATGAACATGAATCCACAATGTTATAATATTATATGATGCCACCTCTATTAATAATCAATTCATCATCATCATCACCATATACAATTTAATAATTTTGTAGGCTTTATCATTAACACCAACAAAACCATCAAATAGTAGCCAAGTATTTGATGAAGGAACCCCATCACGTACAAGGAAAAGAAAAGAACCACCAGAATCACTCAGAACCTCATCACGTATTTCTACCAACAAGAGAAAATCCAACTATAAGGAACAAGAAGAAATTGGAGGAAAACAATTGGAAGAAGAGATTTTGGCTCTTGTTGTGAAGAGGTCCCAAGGAAAGATTCAAAAACCAAAATTCTTGGCTCAACTTCATGACAGATTTCCGAAGGAAATTATGATTGAAAAACTATTCAACCTTACCAAACCACAATCCGAAGAAACTGTTGAATACATCAATGAATTCCTCATACCAATCATGTACCATGTAACTTATGAAGATGAAGAATACCTGTCACACTTGTGTGATGCCTCTGAAAAGGTCATTAAGAACTTACTGACAGCCTATAACTCTGCTGTAGCAAACAATTATACTATGAATTATGCTCTTATTATTTCAGTTTTTACAAATATTACAAGTAGAAGCAAAAAGAGTATTGTTATTCAAAATATTGACCTCATGTCTGCTATTGAAAATGAACAAGTTTCACTCCCTGATTTCCTTTACCTTTTGAGAAATATTATTCTCTCCGATACAGGAAAGAAAATCAATGAATGGTTCAATAAGAAGAAGAATAGACAAACCATGTCTACTTTAATTGCTTCTCTTTTTGATAGAGTTGCAAAAGAGACGGAAAGGCAAGGTGAATGCTATTCTGTACTGATTGAAGCTTGTGCCATTCTCTCTAGAGATCCTACTTCTTTACCAATTGTTTCAGAAACAGTGACACCAGCCTCTATTTTATCATATATTGAAACTAAAATTGATGATCTAGTTCTAGTTTCAAACTCTGTACTATCAGCCTTATACATGCTTTCTTATATTGAGCTAGAAAATGAAAAGGAAGAGAAAATTCTTCTACAAATGGTCTTGGATAATTACGCCACTTTTGATACTTGTATTGAACATGGTTTACCTTGGTTTGATTTCATTTTTATTGAAAAATTATTGTCCTCAGAAAAATCCAATGTTGTCATAATGGGAATTTTGGCATTTGAGGGATGTTACAAATTTTTGGATAATACGTTCCACATTTTGAAGGAATTACTCTCCTCTGAAAAAGTTAAAGAAATCGTTTCTCAGTCCACTGAACCAAAGATAAAGAAGGTCTTTGGTGACTTGGTTGATAAAGCATCTACAGAGGAAAGTGATGATGAAGAGTCTAGCTAGATAAAAAGAGTTTTTACTTTTTTTTACATTAATCTGTGTTGTCGGAGCAAATCTTTGGTTTGTTGATCAATTTCAAGTCCTTGTTGTTTCATATATTTGGCAAGTTTGACTGCTTGACCCTTATCTTCTCCAAGAAGTGCATATCTAATAAGAATATTATAGGTAACTACATTGGCTCCAAGTTGCATTTGTTGCATATCTTTCAGAATGATAAGGGTATTTGTTTTATCCTTAGTATCTGCAAAGTAACGTAACAAGTAGTTCATAACATTTTGATTAAAAGCAAAGAAACAATCGTTTTCTAAAAATGGTGTAATTTCGTTGGCAGAACATCTTTCAAATTCCATAGCATATCTTTTCATCATTGAATAAATTTCTAAGCCAATAGTTGGTAAAGTCATTGCATAATTACTTTGATTTTCAATAGATTCAGGTTTAGTTCCATATTTATGCAAAACATCCAATACTCTCTCAATCAATTTGTCCAATTTACTTCTCTTTTCTTCTTTTGGTGCATATTCATCAGCTCCTGAAAATGGATCATCAAAAGGAGAAACAAATTCAACCTCTTCATCAGAGCTGAAAGTCTTTGTTCCTTGCAACCATGTCAACTTTTCAATTCCTTTAGCAACATTTTCCAAGAGACTAAAAAGTGTTTCAAAGTATAAATCTCTTTCTTCCACACTTTCAAAAGTTAATTTTTGTTCGAGAGTATTAATGTGATTATGAATATTTGCAAAAGTTTCAAGCACATTAGATTCTTCCTTTTCAACAAGGGATTGTCTACTGGCATCTCTCATCATTCCGCATGTCCTATAAGAGCATTGTTGATTCTTGTTATTTAAAATTGTTACTTTTTCATATTCCGAACAATTTATCCAATGAATAATGTGTCTATTATAATTTTTAGCACAATTTTTCACCCGAAGCGAAAACATTCTGTAGGAACAAGTCCTCATCAGAGTTTGATGAATTTGTTGAGGTGCATGGGTATTTGTTGCCCGTGAAATGTGCATCATCATTTTTTTTCAATCAAAATTTCAAAATTAAACGAATTATTTGAATCAAAGACTTTTTACTTTAACATGTTGTGTGAAAATATTATGTAGACATTTATTTGTCTACTATTATAATAATACAGTTAATCTTCAAATACTGAAATGCCCCAGGATCCGATTGGATCAACAGCTCTCTTTCTCTTCTTTCCTAATTCTGAAATCTTATTCATATCTTCTTCGTTCAATTCAAAGTCAAAGACATTGATATTTTCCTTAATTCTTTCTGGTGTGACGGATTTTGGAACGATAATGCTTCCTCTTTGGAGAGCCCATCTAATGACAACTTGAGCAGGTGATTTGGAATACTTTTGAGCAATTTCAATGACAACTGGATCAGAAATTGGAGCATTTTCACCACCTCTACCTAGTGGACAATAAGCAACAGTGTTGATTTCCTTGAATTGAGATGATTTCATTGTTTGCATCAATCTAGTGTTTGTGAAATATGGGTGAGCTTCAATTTGGTTGACAGCTGGTTTGATTTTGATATTTTCAGCATACAAGTTACAAGTATCAGTGACACTAAAGTTACTGATTCCGATTGATTTGATTTTTCCTTCTTCAACTAATTTTTCCAATTCACCCCATGTTTCTTTGAATGGAACAAAGTCAACCTTGGCAATTTTTCCACTTTCTTCTCTTGGTACAATACAAGCATAATCCTTCAATTCAATTCCAGCAAATTCGAAAGCAATAGGCCAGTGAATAAGATATTGATCCAAATATTCACTATTGTTATTATTTAAATATAAATTAAATAAATAATAATCAAATAATAATTAAAATAATTATGAATAATAATTCATAAACATACAGTTTCAAATCGGAAAGAGTCTTTTCAAAAGCAGCTCTAACATTAGCAGCTCTCTTGTGAGTATTCCAAATTTTACTGGTGATCCACAATTCTTCTCTCTTAACAACTCCTCTCTTGATGACTTCTTCGAGGGCTTCTCCAATTTCCTTTTCGTTGCCATACAAAGCAGCACAATCAATGTGTCTATAACCAGATTCAATAGCAACAATGACAGCTTCCTTCACTTTTTGTGGTTCGGATCTCCATGTTCCCAATCCAATACTAAATACAATTATTATTGATCATCATGAAAATTTAATATTAATCAAGAGATGGAAATCATGAATATTCATATAGCATCACAAAATAACTTACATTGGCATTTGGGTACCATCATTGAGTGTAATTCTAGAGTTAATGTTAAGCTTTGACATTTTTTGTTTGTGATGATTGTTATTATTAGAACATCAAGTTGTAAAGTTGAGATGTTCACTTTTGTAACAATACCATTTGTCTTAAAAACCATTTGAATCCAAAAGAGAATTGGTTTGTGATTGAGTTCTAATAGTGGTAATTCATCAACGACAGTCGGATGGTAAATGATTTTTACAATGTCCAACTCTTGATACATTGTATTGGCAATTTGAAGGAATTCTCATTGCTCACAATATATCCATCATATTGTCAAACAGAGAATAAATTGCTTAGTACTATCCATCACACAGCCAATTTTAATCATTTTTTCATCGTGTTGAATTATTACGCCTTACGATCATCATCAAATAACAACTCAAAAAAAGCCTTAAAAATGAGAAAGACGAAAAAGGAAGGAATGCTTATTTGCTTCACAACCTCTAGCAATGATTCATCAACAAGAGGAGATGAAATGGACGAAAGTAATGATGAGGAGTACAGAATACTTATTCCAATGATTGGATATGCTTCAGGAAACATCTTGTTGGTAGGAGAAACAAGAGTTTCAGATTCACAACTAAACGATTTTGAGACCAATATCGACTTTTCGTCATACATTGGTCCTTGTATTAAGTGTAATCCTAAAGGGAATGCCTTCTTCCTCACAAACAGATTTGCAATATCGTGTAAAAGCCTCTTTGATGATAAAAAGGGTTGGTCCTGGAGATACTCTCCTCTTCTCTTGCTGAATGGAACCATTCCCAAGACTGGGAGTGTCAGCTTTTATAATGATAAGCTTTCTGTAGATGAGCTATTGCATTGTGGTGAAGACTTGATTCTCCTTGAAACTCCTTTCTTTCATCACAAGAGTGTTGTCGTTCCTCAAGTTCCTCCTCAAATATTTGGGGCACACCAATGGAAATATAACTGTGCTGTAATATCAAAGGTTTCCAATGAAGATGAATCGCTTAATTATACAGCATTGAATTATAAGAATCAATTAATTAAGGACTTTAGGGGACCTAATCATGAGGTGAACGATGACATAAAATATGAGATTATTGATGAGTTGGAACACCAATTGAACAAAGCCTACTCTAATCATGGAGATGTTTTGGTATCCTTTGGAGCTACATGTACCGAGTGGAAAGAGCAATACACAGAAAGACAAGAATATTTATGCTCAACAGCTCCATGTTGCAAAGGATCAGTTGTTAGATTCTTCTCCAACAGTGAATATGTAGATTTTGAGAAGGAAACACGTGTTACACAAGTTCATTCACAAGATAATGTATCCTATGTCCATGGTATTCATGTTGGATTGTCTCAAAATGCTAACAGTAACACTTGCATTTTGACATCATCACAAAAATTCATATATTTATACTGCATTGCAATACTAAAAGAGAATACCTATTTTAAAGAGGATGGGCTATTACCATTTCCAACCATCCAACATGCTGAGCTAGCTTTAATATTTCTAGAGCAAGTATTGCGTATTGATTCAATCAAGCACAAGGTACAGAATAAGCTAGTACAATTGGTTGGTCTAACCGTTCAGATAATTAGAATTTGGTTATCCAAATATCCTGTATCTGATGCACCAACTTTCTAATCTTGTCTCTTTCGCTTCCTCTTCAATGCCACAGCTCTACATGATGTAATTTCCCTATGCCTTCCATACCAATGGAATTCTGGTTCACTGGTTTGAGGAGCGAACCATGTGCATGATTCGCCATTATTGTAATGGTACACAATAAAAGGTTTTATGGACGCTCTGCCGTGTCCCAAATTACCAAAAGTTGAATGCTTACTCACAACAAATCCATGACTATGACTGAAGAGCCAGGAATCAATGAGGGCTCCAACAACACTTTCACCATCTCGAGAGAAGGTTAGTTTTTGTTCTTCATAATGAAGTATTCTATTTTGTCCGAATTCATTTTTAGCATGTTCAACAACTGTAACATTATCTGAAATGACCATAATCTTATAATCCATATTTGGGAATCTTTTGTTGTGTTTTGAAATTAGCTCATCTCTACAAGCTTTCCAAAAGAATTTCTCGTGTTTTTCTCTAAACCAGTCTATTTGCTTTTCATTTTCGTTTCTTCTAATTTGAATTCCGTACATGACAGTGTTACCTTGTTTCTTGTTTCCTAGCAAGGTGTTGGATATGTAAATATTGTGGTCTGTAAGGTATTTATCAACTCTGTGTTGAATAGAAGGAAGAGGATGATATAAAAATCTGGAGAGTGGACCAAACATGTCAGCATCAGGAAACATGGTATTTAACAATGTATGATAGAATGGATTATATTGAATGAGTAGAGGTAAATAGTATTGATTACTTGTCACTTCAATTATTGGTCCCATATTATCAAACTCCTCAGTAATATTTAAACATTTTAAAAGTTCAAACATGTAATCTGATTCTCTTCCTCTGTGTGTTAATTCTATATTTCCATAATAGTTTTTCAAGCTATCATCATAAATACCTGGAATTTTCAATTTAGGATAATTGACTGAACATTGGTTGACATTATCAGGATTCATAAAGTCTTCATACCACCAATCAAATTTATCATGTGGTTTGGTGAATAGTGATTTGGCATGAATGTTGCAATAATAGTGGCCATACCAATTAATAAAGAACAACCTTCCCGAAAGTATGGAAAGTAAAAAACTTGAAGTAAGACCAATCATAACATTGGCCAATCCACTGCTTTGCCATGGTCTAAATACTAATACTCCAACAGAAGGAAAATCCTTTTTTTGATCCGATGATGAACAATAGGTATTCCTATGCTTTTGATGAAACTCGGCATAATCCTCCAATAAATCATCAATTTTTAAAGTTTTTAAATATCTATCAAAATAATAGGGAAGAGTATGTTCCTTTCTGTATTCTTTTAAAATTGCCTTCACAGAAGCTGGATTATTCATATCAATATTTGTAGCAATTCTGTTCGTTCCGATTCCCTTTCCACCATCCGAAATTGAAGGAGGTTTTAACAATAATAATGGCATAAATATTGAGAAGAGGATGGTAAATCCTCCAATAATCATTATAAATCTCAACAAGTCTCGTATCATCATTTTTTGTGTGTTTGTTATTCTAATTGGAACTTTAACTGTACAGATCGGCTTTCAAACTAAATTCTATTTGATGATAAGATTGCAAACTGAGTTCTCTATGCATTGTTTGTGTTGGTTGCCTTAACAACATTCTCAAAGAAAAAAGACCTCAATCTCCATCATTTCCAATAAACCCGCGCCTAAAAGTACACTGTACTGAAGCAAACAAATATCATTATACAATTAATAACATAAAAAATGGATAAATTGAGGATTGAAAAGTGCAGTGCACAAGGGTACTACCATCCAATGAGGATCTTTTGTTTGGTTGTTGTAGTGATGAGTGTTTTTTTAATGATGAATCATCCTATCGGGAGTGTGCAAGCTTCATCCTTGTTCAATATTAATAAGAAGGAACAAATCAGCAAGGAATTGACTAGATACTTCACCCCTGCTTTCCAATCCTACAAGCAAAGTTATAGACCATCAAGCTTGACTATTGCCTCTATTATTTTGAGAGGAATCAAGGATTCAAAGATTGCTGGAGGAACTCAAGCTTCATCCCATGAATTTCCCTTCCTCGTCTCAATTCAATCATCTTCAAGGCAACACTATTGTGGAGGTTCTTTGATTGCTCCAAATTTTGTCCTGAGTGCAGCTCACTGTTTTGTTAGTGGAACAACTGTTGATAATCCAACGACTGTCTACATCTTGCCAGGATCCAATGACAGAACATGTAGTACTTGTACCAGATATAGAGGAAAGGCTATCACAGTTCATCCAAATTATGATGAGCAAACTACAAGAAATGATATTGCTATTCTCGAATTACAATCATCTATTCCAGTAGATGGAACATTGGTCAAGTTGGCTAAGGTTGAAGGAGGTACTTATCCAATTGATGGTTCTAAATCATTGACAGTATCTGGTTGGGGATATACAACTGGTACAAGTCTTCCTACAATGTTGATGAAGACAAACGTTGTTGTCAACCCAGTCAGTGTTTGTCTTTTGCTTGATATGATTACTCCAAATCAAATTTGTGCAGGAGGAAACGGTCATGACTCTTGTAAGTTATTTCTATTTCTTATAATTACTGACCTTTATAGGTGCTGGAGATAGTGGTGGCCCATTATTCAGAGTGGATTCCTCAAATGATTTTATTGTCTTGGGAATTGTAAGGTAAGTAAGACTGATTCATTAAGCTTAATATTCGTCAAGCTATGGAGATGATGGATGTGGAGAGGCTCAAACCTATAATAATAAGGGTGTCTATACAAACACCACTCATTACCTATCATTCATCAAGTCTGTTGTACCTTCTGTTGGAGTAAAATCTTACTCTGTTGTTACACCTAGCTCACTATCCACACCAACAGTGAATAACACGACAAATACAACCACCATTTCCAACAATACTAACACACCAACAGTGAATAACACCACTAATACAACCAGCAGTAATAATGGTGCAAGTAATTCGACCACCAATAGCAATTCAAGTATTTCTGTAAACAACTCAACAAGCAATTGTACTGCTTCGAATTGTACTTTAACAAATAGTAACACGACTATTAACTCAAACAGTTCAATACCTCTTCCCATCCCAACACCAATACCAAGTCCATCAACACCAAGTCTCAGTAATTCAACATCAAATAGCTCACACTGGTTCAATAGTACCAGTAGTAATTCTACGAAAAATTCAACTACAACCTTTCTGGGTCCAAACGGATCAAACATTGCCTCACCTTATTTCCATTACATTATTTCAACATTAATCATGTTATTTATTAGTACATGTTTCAATAATTTTGCAACTATTTAATCCTCGTCCTCATCTGAAAACGAGGTGTCTTGGGCATATAATTCCACATATTTCTAAATTATTATCAGCAAAAGATAATGTGACATTATTAACTTACAACAGCATTCTTGTCATGTTGCTTTCTATTTTCCAAGTATTCCTTAGCAATTTTTGCTTCCAAAGGATCGGAAGGATTAGGTTCTTTTACAATATTTATCATTAATCAAACCTATATTAACAACTTACCCGATAGAAGGCTAAGAATACTCAACAGTACTTTTGAGATTGTTAATGAGGGATTCCAAGTATCCTTCAGAGTATCCAAACAAATGTTTCCTCTCTTTGAAATGTTGCAATGATAAATCTTGGTTAGAAATTTAATGGTTGGTGCTATTTAGAATAAAAGTGAGTTTAGGCTTTTGCAATCAACGTACCTTTGAATGGGTAATCGTCGGGAAAGTCAATCGAAAGATGGAAGAAACCACCTTGATAGGGAGTTCCTTCAGGCCCTTCAATGATTGCCAACCACTTCTTCAAATTACTTTCAGACTGAGGCTTTGCTTTACATTGAGGTGGAGGATCCGAATTGAAAATGTAAAGTTCCTTTTGTATTCTCTTTGAGAGAAAGTCAGAAATGCTTGACTTTGATTTCATGTTGTTTTTTTTGATTCAGTTAATACAAGAATGTGTAAAGGCTTTAAAATTTATTATTAAAACTCTGCACGTTTAAATTCTTTAATAAGTGTTTTGAAGGCTTTTCTGAATTTCGCTGGTACCTGATTGAAAAAATCTGAGCAATAACATTCATCTAAAGTGTAGACATTTGGCATATTTGGATTCAATGGCTTCCACATTGCATGTCTATCATTCGTATTCACTAGGGCAGCAAAACCTATTGCTTCCATTCGTCTACCCATACTAAATTTTCCACTCAACTGGAAGATTGGAGCAAGCATATGTCTCAAATCGACATACTTATCTAAGCATCTTGAATGAGAAATTTCATCATCTGGATCATCATTAAAACCACCATGAAAACCACCATACCATTCGCCCTCAGTAAAACAGCCCAATTCTCCAAACAATTTTGTTACATCTTCACGAATAAACTTGGCATGAATCAATTGTGAAACAAAATCATCGACACCAAACTCATCCATAAAATCTCTATTACGTGGAGTGATTAGAGAAGCTAAGGAAATAGATTTACTCCAACCCATTTCAGATCTCTTCGGAACACATAAAGCTTCATAGAAATTAACAGCTGATGCCAACTCTTGTCCGTTTGTTCTCTTCAACTCACTCAAATCACCATCATAATGCAATAAAAGTCCATCATCTGATTTTCCTGTGCTCATGTCTTTAAAGAAGTACAAGATACCAGATTGTGGGAACAGGTGTTTGAATGGAGAATTTTCCAATGAAAGTATTCCAATACCCTTTGATCTCAAATCGGTAATATTCAATTGTAACAATAAAGGAGTTGTGGCATATTTAGTGTTGTAAAGACATGGCGGCAGATCAGCACTTCCAAACATTTTAGTTGCACCAACACTGATTTCAGAGTCTTCTATGCCATACCTGTCCATGTACAGAGCCGTTGTTACAGTATTATTGAATACATCGAGTTTGAAAATATCTGGCTCTTCCTTACATACAGAATTGATATAGTTTGTGACCAATTTGTAATCAATTAAAATTGGGTTAATGATATTTCTGAATATGTAATAGTGAGGAAGCTTGGTTCTCGTCAGATTTTCCTCTTTTGTAAATGGTTTCAGGAATGGATAATTGGAAGCATAGGCAAGACAAATATCCTTCCACAAGTAGTCTGCAAAGCTCATTTTCCTTGCTTTTTTACAGGTAATCGAAAAATTATTCATGATATCATTGACTGGTAAAAATTTTAGGATTACAAAGAATACTTCATTAGGAAGGATGGTAGATATTCTTTCAGATGGAGAAATTGTTGGAAATTGTTGGAATTGATCTTCAGGTATCATTTTTCTACTGTGGGTTCTGTAGTATAATACTAAACTCTTAATTGGTATGTTTTTCAATAGCAAAGGTCTGTACTTTTCTACGAAAGGAGAGTGTGGAATATTGGTCAAACTATTGACTGCATGAACAACAGAGGAGTATGAGTAGAATTCATTAAAAGAACTCGTAATACCAATGCTAATTGCTTCATAATTCAATGTTTCTGCATTATGAGCTATAATGTCAGGTATAGCATCACTATACACTACACAGAAAGAATTATAGTCTAGTATAATTTCTGGTCCCATCACATTATCAATTACATGTGGTGCACCGTTTTGAAGTAAAAATTTACGTATTTCTTCTTTCTTTTCAGCAGATTCTGCCATAATGGCATAGTGTTTTGTAAGAGGAATAGGGTTGGTAAGCTTAAACATTCTAGGAATCATCAATGACCTTGGATTATTCAAATAGGCCTCAAGTCCCTTCTCAGCGAAGATATTTGCATGAGGTAGGTCACTAAAATCAGTAAACGAATTTACCATAGTAAACAGTGGAGTGGCCGCTCTTGCCTCATCTTCAGTGCAAATCAAGTATATAGTTGCGTTCAACATCTGAAATTTTGAAGGTGACATTGGGGATTTTGAATCTGTTTTGAACAGTTGAAGCTCATCTGTAGTGCATAAACTCTTCCATTCTTCTTCAGTTTTTTGCTCTCCCAAACTCATAAGATATTTGTACTTTTCATATTGTTCACAATATCGTCTACTCATACTTGACAGCAATATTACTCTAAAGAATGCTTCTGCATTATTTACAACTCTTCCATTTCTACTATCAATCTGTTGTTTGAGTTCTTCTAAGTTTCCTTTATAACTTTTTAAAAATCCATCAGTAAACAAGAAGAAATCACGCATTTGAAATTCTCTCATTGATGCAAATGGACCAAATGGAAGATTTGAGGATAGTTTGAGCCAATTGTACCACCAGTAAAGATTGGTAACCCTAATCCAGCTGGTAAACCCATTGGTAAACCCAATTGTGCCAAAAAATCGTCTGATGGATCGGAATCATTGCCAGAACCATCAGAATCATATTCTACATCATCAAATTCATCATCAGTCAACGGATCATCATAATAATCTTCATAATCCTCCTCCGAAGTTTGATAATCTTCTTCATCAGAAGACAATAATAATTCCAACTGTTGTTCATTTGGTTGTTCTACAAAAACATATTTTGTAGGAGGGGCCTTCTGCATCGGATAATGCTGATGATGAGGAAGCTGATGAATCCGACAAAGAACGTTGTCTTTTCATTTTTTAATGATTGGTTTATGAAATTAATAAGAAACTCATATAATTGTTCAACTACCAAACAAAGATAATATTCAATGCATCTATTTTATGAATATCTTTGGAAAGTATAAGATATTATTAAGGAAATTTTCATTATTTGTATAATTGAACTAATTAAGGGAGTTTTTTTATTTACAATTCATCATCGCCACCATTCTTAAGTCTTCTCTTACTTGGAGCTTTTGCAAGTCCTCTTGGTGTTGTTATTTGTTCATCTTGAGCTTTTGGTGAGGCCAGTGATTGAGGGGTTGTTGTTGAATTTTCTTCGTTAGATGGAGAGCCTAGCTTTTTGGTTTCCAATTCTTGGATAAGGTTGACTGCATTTAATTGAGCTGCCTTCTTCTTCTTGTTGGCAGAAACTCCTTTTCTGAAACCAGAACCATCCATGAGTGAATCGAGTGTCTTATCGAGGACACCCTTTTCTTCTGGTTGTCCATCCTCTTCGTTTGGTGTTTGGGCAGAGATTGATTCTCTTTCGATCTTTTTGGTTTCTTCTTTCTTCTTTCTCGAGTCCATAACCTTTTGTTGTCTTTCCTTGTCTTTTTGTTCCTTTTCGAGTTTCTTCTTTTCGATATCTCTCTTTCTCAAAATTTCAGCATGAGCCAATTTAAAGTCGGTAATGAAAGTATTGATACCAGCAAAGAAAGATTCTGGTGTGAATTTCTTAGAATCTTCAGCAAACAAGATTTGAATCTTTTCAATTTGAGTTTGCATTTCCTTAATTTGATTTTCGAATGTTTCAACCTTTTCAGAGGCAAAATCTAAAAAGTCAACCATGACTTCTCTAAACTTGTCGAATTCTGTGTCTAAATCTGACTTTTCAATTTCTCTACCAACAAAATTGACACCATTCTTCATTTCATTCAATTCAGAAGTGATACCTTGAATTGAAACTCTTTCAGCACCCTTAAGAGCAGAAAGGTCATCACCAAAATTGAGAGTTTCTGGATGATTCTTCTCCAAAAATTGAACAATATAATCGAGCATATTAATCTTAGCACCTGTTGCCTTTGTGTCCTTCAACTTTGGAAGGGCATTGATTTGGAAACCGTGAACTGCCTTCTTGTTACCATTGATAAAGTTACCAATAGCCAAAATGACTTGCAAAACTTTGTGGAATTTTTTACCTTGTTGTAATTGTTTGCAACAAGAAATGATAGTTTCAATATCTGGTTCAATTGAGGAAACACTGGCAGGGAATTTGAGTTTGATCAACCAACTTTCTAATCTTTCTTCGAGTCTTGGAATATCCATGACCTTACTCAAGAATTGTTCAGTTGTTCCCAACATGTTGAAATCACCATTATAATCACTGAGAGCTTGTCTTTCATCGGCTGTAGGAACCATGTCCTTGAGGGCCTTGATATTTTCTGGAGCCAAAACACCTTCATCCATTCTCAACATGGATAATTTAATATCATCGTGGTCCAATCTCATAGAACCGAGAACGATGGCAGAGTTTTGGGCCTTCTTTGGATCAATGAGGGTAACCTTTTCTGGTTTCTTTGTGTTAGTTTCCAATACAATAGATTCCTTCTTAGCAAAGAGCTTTTCCAATTCTGTTGTTTCCAATTCAATACCTTCCAATCCAGTGACAATATCCTTCTTAATCCAGATAGAGTCCTTCAATTGTTGAACTGGTACCTTACTCCAAAAGACACCCTTCATTACAGCAGTACTCTTATAGGTTGGTAATTTTGGTGGAACGTATCCTTGTGGAATACCTGGAATACCAGGAATACCCATACCAGGTGGCATAGGAACTCCAGGTGGCATTGGAATTCCTCCCATGCCAGGTGGTGGTGGAACGCCAGGTGGCAATGGAATACCTGATCCTGGTGGTGGTGGAATACCGCCCATACCAGGTGGTGGTGGAATTCCCATACCAGGTGGTGGAGGAACTCCCATACCAGGTGGCAATGGAATGCCTTCAGTTGCAACTGGAATTGTTGGTATGGATGGAACAGATGAATCACCTCCTGTTGAACCACCTTCACCTGAAGGGCACCTCAGATCCTGAATCACCAGAGCTTGCTTCTCCTGAACCTACTGAGCCGCCTCCACCTGATCCTCCACCAGAACCACCTCCACCTTTTCCTCCACCTCCAGATTGTAATTGTTTCTCTAATTGTTTGGCCTTATAAGTCATAAATTTGAGCTCAGTTTCGAGTTTCTTCAAGTGTTTCTTTAAATCTTCTGGAGCATTTGAAGTATCCAAATCAAATCCACCTTTTGACTTAACCTTTACAAGTAATTCTTCGGCATCTTTGAGGAATTCTTCTTGTAACTCACTAGGATCCATACTTTCAACTGATTTGTTAAAGCTTTCTCTTGTGTCCTTAGATGTCAAACTAATGAATTTTTCAATAACCTTATCATCAATTTTACCAGTCTTTAACATTTCTGCCAATTTCAAGAATCTAGTTTCGAGTTGTGTAATCTTACGTTGTTGAGTTTCAACACGATCAGCTAATTGCAATTCCTTAACACTGACTTCTTCAACTCCACCATCTTCCTTGAAAGCAACAGCCTTCTTGATCATTGTCAAGAGAATATTCATATTCTTTGATTTTTCCTTTTCATTTGATTTACCGGAAATGATTAAAAAGTATTGAAGGATTTTAACGAAATATTCGAAAGCTTGAGAACCACCCAATTGAACTCTAATAAGTTTGAGAATTTCCATAGGATCTTCCAATGCGTCGAGATCTAGCTCTTCTTCCTCCTCTTCAGCATCTTCAATATCTTGAACTTCCTCTTCGAAGAATGAAAGTTGCATTGTTAAAGTATCGTCAAGATCCAAAGCTTTCAATTGTTCACTGATTTCAATCATTTTAAGATCAACAAATTCCTTTCTCAATTGTTTCTTCAATGAAGCATCTTGTGGAGAATTAATTAAAGAGTTAATGAAAACAATAATTGAAGTTTTGAGTAAAATAGTTTCATCACTCACTTCAACCTTCTTCTTCAATAAACGAACAATGGTTTGGAATCTAGCACGTTCCTTTCTATTCAACTTGTACTTGTTCATAGCATCGATAGCAATCCAAAAACCTTGTTCGAATCTACAAATAGTTGCCAACAAGAAGAAAACTTGAGTTTTGGTTTTGATATTTCTGGAATCCAAAATCTTGGTGACAGTTAACACTGACTTGTCCTTACTTTGCAAAAAGGCATTAAGACCAAGAGTGGTATTCATCAATGCACGAAGTGCTCTGACACATTCAGCTTGAAGAGCATCGTATGGATCTTCACGCTTTGATTTAGTTTCAATTCTTGGTGGAAGCATAGGTGGAGGTGGTTTACTCTTTGGATCCAAAGACTTGGTTTCCACTTGTTCGGAACCAGTTTCTTCCTTCTTTTCCTCATCTTCGAGTCCATCTTCTTCCTCTTCATTTTCTTCTTCCTCAGGTTGTGCTTCATCATCAGAAAATTCTTCGTGAATATTACCACCTCTGTGTTAAAAATCATTGGAGGACATTACAAATATTGAAAAAGTTACAAAAATGTCCAAAAAAGGATTATAATCAATTGAATAATGTTACATTCAATAAATTATTGAAAATGTTAACAAAAACATACTGTTCTCTAATTTGTTGATCACAACTTTCTACCAGTATTTGAAATAAACACTCCAAACCTTGTAAATCCAAGAATTTACGAATCCAATCCTCTGATTTAGCTCCCTTTAAGAGACTGATCAATTCAGTAACTGAACCAAGTGTTGGTTCATCTTTCAAACGATGTACAATATATTCAGGAGTGTCCTTGATGGTATGCAATTTATCAGCTTCCTTCTTTGTATTTTGCATAATTTTAACCAATTTCCACTTTTCTTCCAAAGGTTTCATAATCATCAATTTGTATCGTTTTTCAGTTGGTGTAATACCTTGATATTTCAACAACTTTTCAAATTGAGCAACAATTTCCTCTGGTGGTGGCATCTTTTCCTTGTTGTTATCTCCCTTCTTACTGTTTTTGTTTGAGAGTTGAGTCATGGCATTCACTGATGCTCCTTCCTCATAATAGGCTAGAGAACCACTACTGGCAGTATTACTTGATGGAATTGAGAGTGAACCCGACTTGTCATGAGCACTGATTTCACTTTGGGTCGAGGTCAAATCCTGAGGTTGTAGTGTTTTACGATTGGCGTTACGTTGTTGTTCAAATTTATTCTCTGCATTGCTGTTATTCTTTTTGAAACGATTGAATAGGGAGGACATTTTTATGTGATTTAGTCCGTAGTTATTGTTATCTAGTAGTTAATTATTGTTTTACAGTTGTTTTGTTGTTGTGGTGTTGTTTTTATGATTATCGTTGTGATGTGTTTTAACTGGATAACACAGTTGTGATGATAATTTTTTTTAATGATAGTGACAAGGCCTGACAAGTGACAAAGACACTCTTCTGTGTGTTTCAGTGCGCCTGTCAATAATGTAGCCACATAATTTTAAGGACACGTTACCGGCTGTTTTCCAAGAGATTTTTGAGCATTCCTTACTTTCTCTCTGCCTTTAATTTTGCTAAAATCTTTTCTGCCTCATCTGTTACAATAGATGGTACACCAGCCAATTTAGCAACTTGAATGGCATAGGACGAATGAGTTGATGCAGCACTTTGTCCATCAATAATCTCATCTGGAACTATCTTGTATGTGAACGTGATATTATTGGATTTGTTAACTCGTACTTCCAACTTGTAGGGTTTCATAAATTTCAATTCCTTTGCCTTCTCAATGAGCTCGTGGAAATGAGTGGCGAATAGAGCTCTGCATTGAATCTTATTGTGTAAATGTTGAATAACAGCTGTGGCAATACTCAAACCCTCTAGAACTGATGTTCCTCTTCCTAATTCATCCATAATTACGAAACTCTTATTGGTTGCTTGATTGAGAATATTAGCAGTCTCAACCATTTCAACCATAAATGTCGATTGATCATTGGCAAGATTATCAGAGGCACCAACACGACTGAAAATCTTGTCAACCACCATAAATTCTGCCTTTTGAGCTGGAACAAAACATCCCATCTGAGCTAAAATAATAATGAGGGCATTCTGTCTGAGGTATGTACTTTTTCCTGCCATGTTTGCACCTGTTAAAAGCATGAGTCTATTCTCATTATTAAACATTGTACAATCATTGGATACAAAGGTCAATCCTACATTCTTACCCAACTTTGACTTGTCAATGGTGGCTCCTCCGACTTGTTGTGCATATTCAACAATTGGATGTCTACCTTTTTGAATATTGAGGATTGGAACTTTCTTTTTCGATTTTTCCAACTCTTCAGACTCAATGAATGGTGTTACATTAGGTCTCGTATAGCTTCTCTCTCTTGCCAGCAAAGCCAAAGATGAATACAAGTCAATTGAGGCAATAGATTGAGCAGAGGAGAGTAGTGTTTTGGCAATTATTAGTAATTTCTTTTGAAGCTGGAAGAAGATTTTCAGCTCCATATCGATGGCTTCTTGTTGTGCCTTTCCAAGTTTTTCTTGCAATTCTTCTAGCTTGTCAGTCTTGAAACGAACTACATTAGTCATGGTTTGCTTGTGTGAAAACTCCTTAAATGGAAGAATTCTATCACGTTGTGAGCTTGGAATTTCTACAAAGTAACCCATCACATTGTTATTCTTAATTTTCAATGTACTAATTCCAGTCTTGTCCTTATATTCCTTTTGGAGATCTTGAATAAGGGTTTCACTGTGTTGACTCAATTTGAGCCATTCGTCAAGCTCTGTTGAATATCCAACCCTAATGAAGCCTCCCTCACTTACAGAAGTAGGTAGGTCCTCGTACTCTTTCATGGCGGATAAAATCTCGTTCATCGCCTCGAGTTGGACATCCGAATTCAATTCTTCCACTACTTTGGCCAACACTGTTGGTAATTTGGTATGTCTCCTCGCCTCATTTTCCAAAATAATTTCCTTCAGTTGTTGACATTGTGAAACCGTTGCTGCAACTGTGAAAAGATCCTTTGGTGAACCTCTGCTCATGCTCAATCTTTGAATGGCTCTTTCAATGTCGTAGCAATTCTTCAGATAGTCTCTGATTTGATCAATGAGAACTTTATCTTCAGTGAGATATTCTACACAATCCAATCTATCCTCAATCTCGGAAGGAACAGCCAATGGTGAGGCCAATCGATTCGACAATAATCTAGCACCTGGTGCTGTTACACATTTATCAATAATTGAAAGTAAGCTTCCCTTCCTAGATCCTGATAGGGTCCGTGTGAGTTCCAAACTTTTTCTGGTTGCCAAGTCAATAGACATATTTCTTTCCATTTTGAATTTTTCAGGTGTACTAAGTGTTGGCATTTGACCTTTTTGAGTTTCTTTAACATAGTCCAAAATCATTCCACATGTAGTTATGTCCAACTATTTGATAATGAGAAATTAATATTATTAAATAACTTACACCACTATAACTTGAAAGCTTGTCCAATTTGAAATGATTTTGAATGAAATTTGCATAGTGTTGATATGAAGCTGGTTTTCTGAGAGTGACATGGTATTCCTCCAGTCTTACCTTGAATACGTATTCAAAGTTGGAAGGAATCAAAATTTCACTTGGACTCAATCTCAATAACTCCGATTGTAAATTACCAACTTGAAATATTAAAATAATAATTAAGGTTGTTACATACAGGAACAATTCAAATAATTAAATTCACCAGTCGATAATTCAACCCATGAAAGAGTAACCTGTTGCTCCTTATGATTTTCGTCATTGGTTGAGAATTTTTCTGGCAATCCAATAGCAGCTAAATAATTGTGTTCACTTGCTTCCAAAAATCTATCCTCTGTCAATGTTCCTGGTGTTACTCTATATTAGTTGAGTAATGAATTCCAATTCAAATTAATACTTACAATCTAGTAATTTGTCTCTCGACTATTTTCTTATTCTTCTTGGCTTCGGCTGGATCCTCTACTTGATCACAAATAGCAACTACAACACCATTCTTAATTAATTTTTGTAAATAGGCATCTAATGCATGGTGTGGAATTCCACACATTGGAATATCTTGTCCCAAATGCTTTCCTCTTTTAGTCAACTAATTTAAATAAATTCAATACTTTCATAATCTAATATTAAACATACTGTAATATGTAAAACTTGTGAAGCTTTAACAGCATCTTCAAAGAAAATTTCATAAAAATCTCCCATTCTAAATAATAATAAATAATCCGAATGTTTTTCTTTAATTTTGAAATATTGATTCATCATTGGAGTAAATTTCTGATTTTTTAAATCAACACTTTCGGTAGTGATTGATTTTAGTTCTACAACATCCTCTTCCTCATCATTTGTAGCGTCCTTCTTCTTTCCATTTAATTTTTGTGTAAGAGTGTAATTTCTCTGATTGTTGTTTTTAATAACACAGTTTATCAATTCCGATGTGTTATAATTATTCACCCCAAGAATAACTTTAAAATTGGATTTTCCACAAGCTTTCGACACTCTGTGTGATAGAGACAATGTGTGAGAGCCAACCCTATTACATTGAGTTAAAATCGATGATGATAGTGTTCTGTTCAGTGAAAGCATTTTTTTGATTTTGGTTTAGCTTACAACCTAATCAACAGCTCTATTTCCCGCCATAAACCAATCACTTTAATACTACAGAAAATATATTTGATTGATTGGTCTTTTTGATTCTCTTAATAGATGTGAAGAGAGCAGACATAATTAGAGAATGATTCCATTGAATTTTGTAATCCACAAAGAAATGTTCAAAATAATTACACATCATTTCAACAATCAATATCTCGAAGTCGAACTGGAAAACTATTCCTTACCTTCGGTTTGTAATCATTTATATCAAAGTCATTCTTTGTCGATATTTTCAAAATATTCTTTTCAAAACCTGTCACAACAAATATTCCCTCCTAAAAAAAATTAAACGTTGCAAATCAGTAATTTTATTTTAAAAAATTATTGTTTTAAAATTTATTAAAAAAAATACCAGAACAATACCTAGCAATCCTACCTTGCTGTTTATTGGATTTACGTAACGGTTTCATCATCCGAATTATTCCATTGTTCAGGTACCTAGATTTCCAAAATGTCTAATCCAAAGTCTGCTTTTATAATAACCTCCTCTCCTAACAAACCAACTCAAAAAAGTAACTATCTATTTTACTGTATTTATGCTAACTCTATTCAACAACAAACCATCTGCTGATAACATATGAACAACTCTATACAATCAATAATAACGTCCAAACTTTTGTTCCTCCATAACAGAACGAAAAGGAAACGAAAATGACGCCGATCAGACAGAACAAAAATCATCAACTCCAAAATCTTCCTCTCCATTAGCTCTTCGTAAACTTTCTTACTCTGACTCTACATCAACCATCTCCAATGAAGATGAACTCTTCTCACCCCGAAGATTCTCTCTGAGTGACTCTGACACAGATATTACTCTTGGTGTAAATTATGATGAAAAAGTCATGCAAAAGGAAGAAGACTATGAAGAAGATATTTATGATTTTTCATACTCTCAATTATTAGATATTGAGTATGAAGATGATGATGAATTCAATCCGTAAGTTTTATTTTCATATGAAAACATTTGTTGTTCTAACGTTTTCATAGATTTGACTTTATTGCCCACCTTCCACCAAAACCTAAGATCTCCCCTCATCAATATTGTCTTCCACCTAAAGAATTATCACAACCAGATATAACCCTAGTTTTGGATCTTGATGAAACTCTTGTCCATTGTAGCACTGAACCAATTCCTGATCCTGACTTTACCTTTACTGTACTCTTCCATGGAGTTGAATATACAGTTTACGTGCGGAAGAGACCTTACTTTGTTGAGTTTTTGGAAGCTGTATCAAAAATCTTCGAAGTTGTTGTTTTCACTGCATCACAAAGTGTGTATGCTGATAAATTGCTTTCAATCCTTGATCCTGAAAGAAAGTACATCAAGTACAGAGTTTTTAGAAATTCTTGTATTGATGTTGAGAGAAACTATTTGAAGGATTTAGAAGTACTTGGACGTGATCTTTCCAAGACTTGCATTGTTGATAACTCACCACAAGCATACGGTTATCAAATCGATAACGGAATACCAATTTTGAGTTGGTTTGATGATAAGGAAGATCGTGAATTGATGAAACTCATTCCATTTTTGAAACAATTATACAAACACTCTGATGTGAGGACAATAATTCGTAAAAAGTTCCATCTCAGAGAAATTCTCGATAATTATAAGAAGCACTAATGCTTTTTATATGTAAATGAAAATCTACACCATGATTGTGTTTAAATAAAATTAAATTTAATATTATTTAATATTTAATATTCATTTAAAATATTAAAAAGTGTTTTTATTTTGTTTGGCGTGATGGGACAGGTGATTATCATAACGATATATTATTAAAAGATTTAATATTTATAATTAAAAAATGAAAAGATCCAACACAAGAGGACATTTACGATCACACAGTGATTACACAGCCTCATCAGCATCACAACAGGATAGTCACGGACACACCTCTGCAATCTATGGTCAACGTTTAAACAAGAGTAGATGTATGGCTGCGGTAAAAGGTGATACTCAAAATAATAGATTTCTTGTAGGAACTTGTGCTCTGAATGCCAACAATGAAGTCCATCTTATTGAATTTAACGAGGAAGAAAATGATGTTTTTTGTCAAGCTGCTTTTTCACATCAACACGAAGTTTGGTCGATTAGTCCACATCCATCAAAACCAAAATATTTCTTCACAACATATAATACCATTAAAAATGGTTTTGAAGCAGCACTATACGGAATGTCAACATATTCGGAACAAGCAGGACAATCAGATGTTGGAGAAGAATTGGAAAGTAATAATACCAATAATTTGGAAACTCTGTCAAAATTAGATGCCAAACAATTTGATAATGAAAGAGTACACGAAATATTATGGGATCAAAATGGAACTAGTGATCGTGTAATTTCAATCGATGAAAAATGTTTGAGAGAATTTAGATTTGAAAAAACATGTAAATTTGTTAACAAGTATGATTTGGGTGGAAGAAGATTAAGAACTGGTGCTTGGGATCCTCATCATTCAGAAATTATTGCTGTTGCTGCCCAAGGAAAGGTCATCCAAGTTGACTTGAGAGAAAAGAATAATAAGAAGAATGTTGAATTTATTGCTCATGACCAAATGGTTAGGGATGTCCAATACAATCCATATCATATGTACAGATTGGCAACTTGTGGTGATGACTGCTTTGTAAAGTTTTGGGATATTCGTTCGACGAAGGAACCATTGTTGGTTTTAGGAGGTCATTCACACTGGATTTCCAAAGTCAGATTTAATCCACAATATGATCAATTGATTTTGACAGGAAGTACTGACAGTAAGGTAAATTTATGGTCTATTGCCTCAATTTCATCAAAGGCAAAAGAGCAAGAATTAGACGAAGAATTACAAGCATCTGAAGAAGAAAAATCCAAACCAAAGAAGGAGGAATTGTTTGATAACCTTGTTCACACATATGATGAACATGAAGAAAGTGTCTACTCTCTTTGTTGGAGTAATACTAACAGCTGGACCTTTGGTACTGTATCTTATGATGGTCGTGTCTTGATCCACACTGTTCCAAAAGCTGAAAAACTTCGTGTACTCAATATTTAAATCCAAATAATTGTAAAAAAATCTTAAATTATTAAAAGAATTTGCTTTTTGATTTAGCTCCTGTCAATTCCAGAATATCCTTTTCCTTTGGTTCCAAATAGACAAGTAGCTGGTACCGCCAAGATACCAGACTTTGTTTAAACTTTTTGAAAGGTGGAGAGTTTAACTCAATATCTTCCTTTAATTCTACATCTTCCTCTTCAGATGATGAAGAATCGTCATCCTCAATAATAACAGTTGGTTTCTTTTTCTTTCTTGGTGGGGTTTGTTTCACATTTTCCTCATCACTCAAATCCAAATTGTGAATTGATTTTTGCTTCTTGTTTGGTGTTTCCTCGTCACTTAAATCCAAATTGTGTTTGACTGGACCTTGTGGATCATCCTCAATAAGAATAGGCACAGATGGCTTTCTTGTAAGTTGTGCTTTCAATAATTCTCTTTCATACTCCTCTTGTGTATCCTTTCTCCTCAACATGAAAAAATTAGAATATGTCTTTTTCCACTCATAGGTAAATTGAATGGTTTTACATTTAATTACTTGAATCGTCTTTTCTGGAGGTAATTCTATTTTCAATTCAATCCTACCTGGTTCTGTTGGAATAAACTTGATTTCCTGATAAATTTGTTTCTTCAAAAAGTATTTCAAATAAGTGTAGAACTCATCCAGGTGCTCCTTTTTAAACCAAGTCGAAGCCAATGAAGACTTTAATGTAGATTTATCCCTCAACTTGTCAAATAATGTAATCTGTAGCACTACATTCCTATGAATTGATACCATTGTCCTAATCGGAAAGTGCAATGTACTACTTCCCGATAATGATGGAGCCACCTCCACAATATCATCATCATCTGCTTCATCATTTTGACTATTTTGTATACAACTTGTGGAAGAATTTATTGTTGAAGATTGCGAAGATTGTGATGCTGAAGCTGATGCAGACGATGAAGATGATTGTGATTGCTTGCGTTTGATGGTGAGTTTTGCATTCATTTTTTTTCTCTTGATTTGCGGAAATTGCAAACAAGTTATTTTACAATGAAAATCTGACAATAGAAACAGTTCAAGTGGTTGACAAATGAACCAATTCCTGTACAAGTGCATTTCTAATCATTTTTGTTCTTTGTTTATACCAATTTGTAAATCAATGAAGGAAATAGGTTGAATGTTAACTTCTGTTGTTGAAAAACATAAGGTTCTCTTCAATGGAAAAATGTCATCAGGTATACCACAAAACGACTTCAAACACTAGAGTAATTTTCTGGTTTAAGGTTGGCATTCGTACTTTTTTTATTGGAAGTCTATGGTAAAGCTCTAATCATTCAGGATGAATGCTTTCTTTTTTTGTTTGAATGACAGCATCAGTAAAATTGTGTTTCTTTTGTGTCAAACTTGAAGAAAATGAGCTGTTCTTTCTAAGCTAAATGAATTGTAGTCAGCTCCATTACATGTCCAGTCAAAACTCTTCGATTTCAATCGATCTACTTGTGTTGGACATTGCACTTCTGACCGATCTATAGCTATTCAAGAAATGTTCCAATGATAGACGCTGCTCAGAGCTATACACAGAGAATACCAACTCAATAAATTGTTTTGCTTCCTTTAGCTTTTCTCTCTTGGTATCGTTAACAGCTATCCAAGTATAGAAAGTGGAAAAGAAATGGTTATACTCTTCTTCTGCAAAACTAACTTCTAAAGAATTACAATTCACCATTCCTACTTCAGCACTTCTTCCTCTCAAATAGCAAAAGAATAGAAATGCAAATGTTATATCCATATCTGAGCATTGATCTTCTTCCTTTCTTGTGATTGATTTTTTGAGAAGCTCCACAGCGTGAATGAATTCGTAAGCACTCACAAAGGAGTCAGCCTCAAAATTACTAATACAATAAATTATGTTTGAAAATGATGTCAAGAATTGGCTATGAGTCTTGAGATAGTCATTTGTAGCGGAAGCAGTGCCCTTCTTTGCATTGATTTTAAGGGTTTCATCCCATACAATAAGCATGAGTGGCTTGAATTTTTGAGCTGTAATAAATCCATTTGTTGAAGCACTTTCCCAATGTTCCAATCTTTCATTTGATTCAAGTAAAACAATTCGTTAAAATATACTTACATTTTTCTTCCAATAGTTTCAGACACTGCTGGGGTGTTGTGCTCTAAAAAGTTACTAATATCTGAATCGTTTTGAAAATTGAAAATGCAAAAATTGAGATCCTTCTCTGGTAAGTCAAGTTTCTTTGCAAGATCTCTCTTGGTTAAAAGGATAGTTTCCTCAATTCTTCTTTCGAATAGTTCATCAACTTGTCCTTCATCCAATCTTCCAAAAAGTTGTGGAATAAAGATTGAAATAACAATAGCCATATTTGACATAATGTCCATACCATCACTTTCAGCACCAGAATAAGTAAAAGACAAGAAAATAATCATTGCAATCAAAATTACTACTAAATAATTACTCAGATTTCCTGTTGCTATCTTGACTCTACCCACTAAATTGTGATGGATTCTTCTGATGTCTGTATTCAACAATGGAGTATAAAGCCTCTCTCCTCTCTTAAAGATTACTCTCAATTTTTCATTTTTCTTCTCTTGCGTTGAAAGGAAGATGCCTCTAACGAGTAAGGCAATTTCTTTCTTGAAGAGAACATGCATGTACTTTGGCCTATCATTGATCTCCGTATATCTTGTTTTTAGCTCCTCTTCGTTTTTGTCTTCATTTTTTTCGAATTTGATGTTAACAGGGTTGTGAATTTTTTCAATAGTTGTTGCTGCTAGCTTAGCTTCACCGTTTTCAGATTTTCCAACAGACTGACTTCTTTTTCTTGTAATGTCCTTAAGTTCTTCCAAGTTGTCATTTAATGAGAGAATATCCTTGTATGTATAATCCACCATCTCATTACTTTCTACCAGTTTAGAGTAGGTATTAATAATGCCACCATATTTTGCAGCGACATTATCAAGGATGAATTGTGTGCTGGTCTTTGTTAGAGAGGGAAAAACGAATGTATCTGACCTTTCCACAATCTTTTTCCTGGTAACTCTGGATGGCTGTAGTAAGTCTTGAAGTAAACTTGTTGCAGAATTAATTACAATACCAAAAATACCAATCAAGGAAAGCTTGCTGTTGTTTGCAACAAAGGAAAGAATCAAGCTCCAAACTAGCCCAAATATAGTTTCGGCCACCATGAATATCTGAATAAAAAATGGTATGATCACTAGAAGTTCCTTAAAATATGCAAACATCAAGAAGGCAACAACCATCTTATAATTTCCATCATGAATAGCGTGAATAACCTTCTCTGTTGGAATTAAAATTTGTTGACTCCCATAGAAAATAGATGCTATTGTAATAACCACCATAAGAACTCCCTTAATGGTAAATGTCCAGAACGGTAGTAAAATGATTATCACATTAATCAAGACTATGAAAATAATTTTGAAGATTGCATCAGTGAAAACCAAAATGTTGGTGTCTGGCAAAGAGTTTGTGCTCCAATACATCATCTTTTCTTTTGAACTAGAAGTAACTATTAACAAAATTATTCCCAATATCATCAAAGTGAGGGATATTAACCAAAAACCCAAACTGATAGGTACAAAATCAGCCCCTCCTATCCAATAACTTGTGAAGGTTTCGTCATTCCCAAGGTCAAAATTAATAGGTATTTGAATAAAATTTGGGAAATATAGTACAGAAGGAACAAATAACTGCACCATTGATAAGCAACTAATAACTATAAAGAGGAAAAAGTCGAAGAATAATTGGTATTTCAGCAGTGTTGAAGAGCCAAATTTCTTATACTTCCTAATATGTTCCTGGTCCACTTTGTTTTGAATTGATCTGAATATCAGTTTATAAAGCTTGTCAAACTGATTGGAAAAATGTTTAAAGAATGGAAATATTGGTCTAAGAGTTACTGAAAGATCCGAAAAAGTTGAAGAGTTCCAATCAGTATCGTTTCCAAAGTAATAATTGGTAAAGGGATATCTCTTTGTATCAATAATTCTCCTTTTAAATGATCCTTGTACCCACAGAAGGGCTATAAATATTATGGTTATAACACATAATGAGGTAGCAAAATCTTCAATAAATCCCTTAGAAACATCCTTGGTTATTACATCCCCATCCGAATTTAGTTTTAAACATCTGAATCCTTCACTTGTTGTTGAGAAGAAAACTCTATTCTCTGATGTGAGTGTTGTTTTGAAAAAACAAATATAATAATTTGGAATAAAGGTGTTGTTCTGATATAATTGAGAAAGAGTAGAAGAGCATAATGATGTAAGCCTATCAACAACTTTGTATGGTCTTGTTGAATTGTTAAATACATTAGCCAAGGAGGTGAATTTGATTTCACTTGCATTCAATTGAACAATAGTATTTCCGATAAACCCTGCAGAGTAAAATATTGTTCTTGGTGTGATGGACAAGGATGACAATGTCTTGGTGAGTATAAGCATTTGACTCGTCTCCTTAAATGCCAATAAAGCTAGCTGAGAATTTTCCAAATCAGGTTTTGATTTTTTCAAATATAAATCCAACTGCCTCACTTCCTCAGCATCCACTTCCACAACATTTCCACATCTCACAACTCCTCCACTATTCATTAACAATATCAGCAGTATCATCATTATATACAACCAGGTGGTCGGCTTGATTACTTTCTGAGTGTCAAACATGATGTTCTTCCCATCATTTCTCTGCAGAGATGATAGCGAAAGTGGCGGCAACCATATGTTTTTACTCATTTTTTTTTGTAGTTATTTTTGGCGGGAACTTTTCACTTGCAAGTTCCCTTTAATTTCTTTCATCTCTCTTTGAATGTTCATTGGATTCGAATAATAATATTGACGGGTGATGGTTATAAGATATTTAGTGTGTTAAATTTTTTTTGACAAATTTACCCATTTTGATTGTGTCAGTGTTCTTGTGGGTGACATCTTTGAAGAAAGCTTAAAAAAAATAATGACAAGATTCAATCCACTAGTTTTGGCATGTTTCGTCTTGTTGGCAGCCCTTCTCACATCTTCATCTTTTGTCAATGCATCATCTCCAGCGGAACCAGCATTCAAAAGTCAATTACGTTCATGTTTTGAAGCAAATAGAAATACCGAATGTTTAGCCACACAATCATCTTGGTCTTCATGTGGAGGTTCAGTTTATTCTTCATATCAACTTGCACTCTCCATTTCAATGAATTGTATGAGAAGTGTTTGTGGAAGTCAAAATAGTTTATGTTGCAATACTTATTGTACAATGTATGGTTTATCTGGATATGATCATTCAGTTTGTTTCAATAAGTGTTTCAATGGATATACTGGTTCAGTTGTTTCTGCTGCTGCAACTTTGATGAAACCAATTTCTACTTCTATTGCTTATGCTTCCATCCCATTCGATGATAACTCTGACTTTGTTCCAAAAAGTGCCACCACTGATGATAAAGCCATTGTCAAATGTTCTGTTTCATGTGATGCTACTTATGCTTTTTATTTTGCCAATGAACAACCAACAAGAAAGGAAAGAAATTTCTTGAGAACTCTCCTTTCTCAAATTAATGGTTCAAATAGTACTACTGGAACAGCAAGTGGAAATGGTGGAGTTTCAGTATTGGGCAAAAAGAAGAAACTTTTCATTTCGTCTTTTGTGAAAAAAACTAAACTCACAACTATTAAGAATGGAAAGGTCACTAAATCAACCTCTAAATCATCAGGAAAAACTGATAAAAAGATGATTTCCAATGTTATTCAAGTAACTCGTGACAGACTTCAAGTTTTTGACATTTCACTTGATAAGGTTGTCCCTTTGAATCCCGTTTTGAAAAGCAGCCAAGTTGGTAAAAATCAAATCTGTGCCAATACTGGAAAGACAGTTGAAGTTACCTATTATAAGAGATCTAGAGTAAATTGTAACAAGATTCAACGTTGGATGAAGGAAGTTTCAGAAATTTCACCAAATAATTTGCTTACTGTTTACAAATTCATGATGATTGTTCATAATAAGTGTAGATCTCTCATTCCAAAGAAGTCTAAACAATGTGTTGTTCCAATGTTTAGAAGAATTAATTTGAATACTGACACTCTTTAAAATAATTTTATTTTGGAAATTTATGATTTGGGTGCTTTCTAATAAAAATTAGTTATTAATTGATAGATCCACAATTTATTTAGTGTTAGTGAGCTTGATGGATCCAACATTTGGCATGACACATTTACTATTTGGCAAAGCAGAACACTTTTGATGCAAAACCAACATGAAATTATAAACATTTTCCAAATTTTCAGGAGCAATTGTCTTATCATTCTTAATCCATTGCAACAATTTAGAACATTCAATTTTGGTATTCTTCAAAATTGAAACCTTTACAACATCTTTCATTGAATTGGAACAAATTTGATTGGATGCCACTTGAGAATTGTAAAATTGAGCCGAGTCCAAGTTTGTTGGAACAGCTTCTTCAATAGAGGTACGTAAGACTTGATTATGTTCACTTCCCTTCAGGACAACTTTTGGTTTAAGTGCTGTGAAATAGGTTGCAGAACTAGGGCTGCTGGTTGACAAAGTCTTGGCAGAGGTGATTGTGTAGCCAGGATTTGATTTTTTGATTGGTTTGCCAGATTGTAAATTCTTGACCAAAGTTTTGAATGTCTTGACTTCTGCTGGTTTTTTGGCCACACTTTCGGCTACTTTATTTTCATAGAAGGAGAAAGCAGCAGCGCATGGAATAGAACAAGATACAGAACCAGTTAAAGCATCACTAGCTGCAGGAATATTTCCACCAAAAGATGAACCACCATTTGTCGATGGCCTGTATGAATTATAACATGAGGAGAAACAATTCGAATGATCACTTCCAGATAAACCAAACATTGAACAATAAGTATTACAACATAAACCATTTTGACTACCACAAACACTTCTCATACAATTCATTGAAATGGAAACAGCTAATTGATAGGAAGAATAAACTGAACGACCACAAGAATTCCAGCTTCCTTGATTGACTATGCATTCTGTGTTTCTGTTTCCTTCAAAACATGAACGTAATTGACTTTTGAATGCTGGTTCGCTGGCAGAAGAAGCCAATGTGTAAGAAACACAGAATCCAACAATAATTAACACAACGACAATTTGTTTGGATGACAATGTCATTTTTTTTTACTGGTGTGACAGTTGGATGTTTTGAGTCACATACACATTTGGTGAAAAGTACACTGTTTAATTTGCATATAGTTTGAGCGAGTATTTTAAAAATGCTATTCCTATCCATTAAAAGATTTTGTAACAGACCTGTAATTGTAATAAGTATTTTTCAATATTATTAATATTATATTTGTAAAAAGTTATTGAATTACAAAAATTTAATCAGTTGTTTTGATTGCTTCAACAAATGGAACAACACAAGTAGCTTTAGCTTTCTTACATTGATTATAAACAAGGAAGAGGAACTTGTTGACTTGATAAATATTCTTTGGATTAATCTTTGAAGCTCCACTAATCCATGACTTGATCTTTTTACAAGTGATACGAGATCTACGATAATATTCCACTTTGGCAATAGCTGTACCAGTACAGATTTGATTATGTTTAACACTGGAATTGAAAAAGGATTTCTTTGAAAGTGAAGATGGAGTCAATGAATTGAATGGAATTGGGAAAATGGTACTTCTCTGCTTAACCAATGCTGGATTACCCAATTGAACTGTGGCTTTCACATTCAATACTTTACCATCATAGATTGCAAATGCTTTTTGTGGATAGACTTGTTTTCTAGCAGCTTGAATGAATTTGTAACCTCTTGTAAGGTAGGTTCTGGTTTTCTTATCACGAATACCTCTCAAGATGTATCCAAGACTTGGAATGCTTGAAACAAATTTAACAAGTCTCTTATAGACCAGATCACTATTAATTTGTTTAACTGGTTTGAAGCCAAGGTATTTTGAGATGCTCTTTGAAATGGCCTTGTTGTAACCACTATTACTTCTTCCAATGATGCTTTTAATGCTGCTGATGCTCTTACGTGAGGAGGAGGATGAGGATGATGGCTTAGAGGAACCAACCTTGGTTGACCAAGAAGAAATGAGCTTTTTCTTAGCAGCCAAAGTATTAGTCTTGGTATTAGAAGCCAACAATGCCTTCAAACCACCATTTAAAATACTTGGTTGTTTACCAGTTGTGGAATAGAAAGCAAATTCTGAATTACATGGAATATCACAATAGACTTTGGTTTCATCGTCCTTCTTTTGAGCTGTGGCAGGAGGAACATAATCAACATTGGTATCCAAACTACTCTTGATTGTTTTCATCAAAGTTGCAGCACCAACAACTGAACCAGTATATCCATTGAAACACTTATTGAAACAAACTGAATGATCATATCCAGATAAACCATACATTGTACAATAGGTATTGCAACATAAACTATTTTGACTTCCACAGACACTTCTCATACAATTCATTGAGATGGAGAGTGCAAGTTGATATGAAGAATAAACTGAACCTCCACATGAAGACCAAGATGATTGTGTGGCCAAACATTCGGTATTTCTATTTGCTTCAAAACATGAACGTAATTGACTTTTGAATGCTGGCTCCGCAGGTGATGATGCGTTAATGCCAGAAGCAGTAGCGAAGAATAACAACAAAAGCACAACAAGAGTTTCGGTTACTTTAGTTGCCATTTTTTTTAAAGATGATGACTGACCCAACATAATTGAGAACTTGTGGAAAGTGCTACTTGTGGAGGAAGCGAAAATTGATGTGGTCTATGAATTTCGGTTTTTGTTACTATTTGAAATATTTGATATGAGTCAAGATGACTTGATTTTGGAATATTTGTGCGTAGTACTAATTTAACTTACTAGTACTAGTAGTTGCAAAATGATTTGAAAAAAGACTTTATTTATATTATTGCAGTATTGATAATGCAAAAGCAGCATGAGAATGAAAAACGAAGGCCAGCAAAAATGAATCCTCCCGTGCCGGGAATTGAACCCGGATCTCCTGGGTGAGAGCCAGGTATCTTAGCCATTGGACCACACGGGATTCTTGTTTATTATTCAAAAACTATTTATGTCAAATAACATTGCTACCTAATTAACTTTACTATAGAAAAATGCTATTTTTGACCCAGCCAGCGTACAGATTTCTAACTCTGGTTTATTTTTGACACTAGCATGCTATGCCTTTCTAAAACATTGACATTTCATATTTGATTTTCAATTTTAATTTTGAAATTAAAAAAAATGAAAAACTTGACAAAAAGTTTATCCACAAAATTGACCCTTTCGGAAAACTTTTGGCACCATTTATTTGAAATTGATGAATTATTCAATAGTATTTTGAGTTATCTACCACTACCATCCATTTTAATTCAATCAAGTCTTGTCTGTCATAAATGGTATGATAAAATCAATAGGGATGATATTCACTCTCTGTGGCCCTATCTATCTGATAATATTTGGAATTATATTTCGGAATTAGTGCCCACCAATCAGGTGTTTATCTATAACAAATCAATTAATTATCGTGAGCAAAATGAAAGATTTCATGATGATCCGAATTATTCCCTCTCATTGGAGGATATTAAATTGAGGGAGGAATTTAAATTAAATTTACAAAGACAATTGGAAATTTATTTGAAAAGTCAAACAAAACTGAGAACGAGGAGACAGGCCACTCTCATGATTTCAAATTACCTATTTTCAATTAATAAGTGTTCCTTGTTGGTGGATAAAAAGTCTTTTTTTACGGAACCTAATTGGATAAGAGGATTGAAAAGAACCCAATTTTCAGCCCCAATTCCTCAATTTTTACAAATTGATTTTAGAAGTGCACTAAAGAAGGGAGTTTGTTGTGATTGGAGTGAAATTACCATGTCAAATTGGTTCTTTTCAATGAATGATGTCGAACTGAAAATGGATTCAATACTATTGTCAAAGCGAAAGGATAATTGTTGGACGATTATCCATTCAGAAACTTTTCAAAAAGGAAGAAAAACACTAAATTTTCCCAATAGTACTGATTCTTCTCCAGTTGACCAAAGAAAAGATTGGAATTTTTTATCAAATGCCAAAAAGAAGACAATTGATACAAATAGACAAGATAGCGAAGATGAAGAAGAATCAAGTGGAAGTAATGGCAGTAGTGGCAATGAGGAAGAAATCATAACAGATATTTGGAAAAAGATTAGAATGAAACGAGCAACCAAGTCTTTAATATCAACATTTGAAGGCAGATTCAAACCAATGTGGATTCAACCCAAATTTATCAAACAATCGAATACAAACTATTTTGAAATCCCTCAACCTCTCGAGCCAACTCCAAAGAAAAACTTTAAAGTATTGAATCATATCGTTTCGAGGTGGATTTATGAATTGGACAAGTATAATCTATTGAGCATTGATTTCATATTGATTCACACCATGAGAGTACTGTACTATTTATACAATGGATGTGTGTCATCTAGTTCCCACTCCCTCATGGTGGGATCTCCTCTCCTCATTGAGAATACCATTGAGAGACATGTATTAAAGAAGGTCAGGTTGTGGAAGAAATCAAACGAGAGGAAAAATTTCAAGAATTATTACACATCCATCTTTTTCAACAGTGCTAAGGATAAATTGAAGAGTATTTGTTGTCTTTCAGTATGTTACGAATCATTACTTGACAATGATGAAATTGGCTCAATGATTGTTGAAAAGGAGCCATTCAGTTTTGAATTTTCCGAATATCAACTCTGATTATAATAATAGTAACATGTAATTATGGTTATTATAGTTGATTATAGTTACGTTGGTAATTCAACATTCACTTTGCAATAATGAGAGGTTACTATCTCGAATTTTCCTAACAGTACGTTCTAGTGATGATAATCAATCTATTTTAGGTTTTTTTAACATGTGTAATTTACAGTTTTTAACCAACCTCACATTGTTAAAACCTCTAGTAAGGTGTAATATTGAGTAATATTATTAATGTAATAGTGGAATATTTAGTTGGAATAACTATGTTTCAATAATTACGTAAAAAGAGGATACTAGATTATCATCAGCTCAACAAACACAATGATCAAATTGTTGAATGAAGTGAGTACTAAGTGAGTAAGGGTGTGTGTGCTCGTTGAGTAATCCTCACAACCACTTATCTGCAATGAGGTACCACCCTTGAGCCCTTGAAATTGCATTGTATTAATTGTATTAACGATATCAGTCTGCATTTAGAAAGATTTCAGATAGGACTGTAGTGATTTTACTCAATATGAACCTTAGATTGTTTGTTCACAAATCATTGATACAACCGTATGGTTGTTGGAATTTACGGACCATCCTCAATAGATTTGATTACTGGACCATTATCCAGAAAGAGCCAATTCTCACTGGTCTGTTAGATACAGTGACGTTGGGAATGGGCTGTTGATATTTACAAGATAGCCAAGATAATAATTCACTGTAGTCAAGGGCAAGATTCAACAATCCACTTACCGATTAGGAAGGAATTCGCGATTTTTGCTGTTTTCAACCCAGAATCAACGGTAAAAACAACAATAAGGATTAAGCTTTGTGTACCAACCCAAAATAGAGCTATCTATCGAAAATTGTAATACCATGCTTTTCAGTGGGTTGGTGTTGTGTGAAACACTGTAATTTCACAACTCCTTAAAGACACTGATGGTGTGACTTGATTTTGGGAACCTCTATTTCACATTGACATTGATCTTCTTATACAGTACAGAAATAGTGATAGATTTTATTCAAGAAGAGGATGTATCAATGCAACATGATGCATTCCATTTGCTGATATTAGATCTTTGAGTGACATGGTAGTGTCACCACAGCAAATGGAAACTATGGATAATTAAACATGCTTATTAGTGACCAATTCAATCACATTCTCAAGTATGTTTTGGTTGCGATGCTAGTTCCTCTCATCATCTGTCTCTTTTCTGATTGGCCAGAAAAACTCCAAAATACTCGCGTTTTCATTTCACTCATGGCCAACCAAGAGCTATCACAATTCTCTTCCAAGCAAAAAGTGAAAAATGCAAAAATCGACAGCAATTTTGCGTTGCGTCAAAAGAACAACAAAAGAACAACGCACCAAAATCGCCAAACAGCTAACCACACACAAGATTACTAAGCATTTAAATCTTCAGCAACACAACAAAAAAAACAACACACACAACTAGGTTCGATATTCGATCTATTTTGTTACTCTGACACAATAGCAGCAGCAATATCATTATTTCAAAGATAATACCGAACATACGAATTAAATCATCATGATGGCAGATAACATGACAAGAATGAATACTATGACCACCAATCCACTCATGAGTGCAAGCCAACAACAACAACAATACATTCAGCCAATGAATCATTTGACAAAAGACAGTGGCAGCAGTACTAATAGTTCTGCCACTATTCAATTACCTTCCATTTCTTCACTCTTTTCAGATATATATCCTGCAACCACAACAACACCAAACTATCCTAATTTGTTAACCAGACCAACACATGCCTTCTCTAATACCATTTCCTGTACAGCCATTCCTACTACCAGTCAATCCTCATCATGTAATAATAATTATTCTTCAACACAACCACCACAGATGATGCAACATCATCCACAACAACTCCCATCCCTTTCTCACTCCACCACCACAAGCCAATCAATAATGCCTGTTGTTGCATCATCGTCTACGAGTCATCATGTCGTTGTTGGCAATCGTTACTCCTCGTTATTCTCCGTTTATCCAACCCATCAAGCACCTCAACAACTATATCGAGAAAACTCCATTTGGGAAGGTACTGTAAACAAGCCAAATTATTTTACAACCAACTCTAAAGTAGTGGATCATGTGAATAGTCCACCACCAACTTTAACACCACTTTAACACCCACTTTTGAATACCTCCCCAACTACTGGAAGAATTGTTGCTTTTAATCATGCCACAAGTCAGCAGATAGTGACATGTGCAGTGCCAATTGCCTGTAAAACAATTACAGCCACTACAACTACAGCACCACCTGTATTGAGCCCAGTTAGAAACGTTCCAAATAGTAATGTATTGATGGATGAATCTGGATTTTCCCATTCTTCCAATGTCTCAATTATTGGCACAGATGTGAAAAGTAGTAATTCATCATCCCCTAGTCAATTCAACGATCATCATTCGAGTGGTGTTTCTAGTAGTGAAACCACAATGACAAGTAGTAGTAAGGAAGAGCTCCAGAAGAAGAATCCAACCATAACGACAACAACTGCCAGTGTCTCATCAACAACATGTCCAAATGTTGAAGTGCTCAAGAAGGTTGCTTCTGCATGTATTAAGAGAGGAAACAAACAAAATACCACGACACCAAGTGAAGAATCTGAAGGTGACGATGAAGAAGTTGACATTGCTAACAATTACTCGAAACAAAAGATTGGTAAGCTGAGACTCAAGTCGAGTGTGAAGGGTGATTTGTCTGCCAAGAATAAGAATGGTAGTCATAAGGGATGGTGGACAGAGGAAGAACATCAACGTTTCCTCGAAGGTCTTGAGGCATGTGGTAACAATTGGAAACTCATTGCTGAAAAGTATGTCAAGACACGATCAAGAACACAAGTAGCTTCTCACGGTCAAAAGTGGAAGCAAAGTCAAGGGCTTATTGCTTGAATAAAAAACAATTTTGTCACAATTTCATATAACAACACATTAACAATGTGAAATAACCAAAGATGATCTTTTCGTAATTGTCCATAAAGGAGTCCATCCTTATTCCTTATTCTCTCATTTCTGATGCCCTTATTGAGCAAAGATCTACTGCAGATCTAAAGGAGGTTATCTACACACTGAAAATGAACCTCTAAGCTGGCCGACAATTAAGGAATTACTGGAGTGGAGTACTTGATAAGAGTAATGAATCAACTTGTTAAGAAGTGCTTGGACATTTTTGTAAAGATTTTTAAACATGATGTTTTTAATACCATTTTGTTACCCTAGAACCAGCTCCCGTGCTATTGGAAGATGCACTGTTAACCTTTCGTTTAAGAGCACTCTCAGCAGCTCTTCTGTTTGCAAAGCCAGCTTTCATTTTTACAGGGTCAATTTGTTCAGTCTCTTCTGGGTCATTTAATTCATCAATTAACAATTCATAATTACCCAATTTAGGTTGCTTCTTGTCGTATTTGTAGTCTTTGTATAACTTTTTATCTGGGAATCCTTCATGCACAACAATGTTGAAAGTGTCATTCAACAAGCTCATCTTTAAAATTCTGTCTGATGCTGTTGTGGTTGTCAATGAGGGTGAAGCATTCACTTCCAATAGCCATGGTTTCAGATCACTATCCAATAATAGATCGTAACCATACATTTCAAAGCAGTGCTTGTCATTGATAATGATATTCTTGCATGCCTTCAGAGATTCCTTGAAAATGTAATAAATTTCCTCAAACATTTTATCAGTCTTTTCTTTTCCTGCAGTTGACTCTAGGTAGAGTCTCAACATTTTTATGTTCCACTTCCCACCATGTTTGTCATTGTAATCGTCACCATGCTTTTGAATGGCAACATTAGTCAAGTGAATAAACATATTGTCCACATCCTCAATATCATTGGTATATTTAGCTGTACAAAATCTCGCAAATCCTTCCTTATATACATAAGCCTTCAAAGGTCTATATGATGTCACTAAGACATACATTCTCAAGTCAAATTTCTTTCCTCCTACCAGTAATGGTGCATTAATATACTTGCTGATAACATATTGTTCCTTCACGGCCATGTAGGCCCATTTATCTTTGGCCCATCTTTTAACCTGTGACAGTTTTGTAATGATGAAAATACCTTTGCCTTGAGCCTTACTTGATGGTTTCATGATCCACATTTGGTTTGGATTCTTTTTAAATTCTTCCACAAATAGAGAATAATCTGCAGGTAATGTGTACGTAATTGGCACATAGTCCATTATATTTCTTCTTGGAGGTGCAACATAGTTTGGATTACTGAGTTGATTCGAAAGATGTATCAATTCCTCAGTTTTCTCGGTCTCTTTTTTATATCTTTTAAGGTTTTTTACCATTGAATCTTTTCTTGTGAGCTCGTAATGGTTCGGAAAGTGATTAATAATTCTTTAATTTCCAATGTCAAAATTGATTATTAAATTAAATCAAAATACATACTGATGCTCTCCCAATCTCATTCCATTCTCTGGATTAAATATTTGTTTAACAGTTTGAACACTAGCCCAAAATATATGCCAATCAGTTTCTTTAAAATTCCAAACATTCACCTCTTAAAGATCATTGATTACATACCATCATTAGTTCGTATCCAACCTCTATTCTCAAAATTATTAATCACAACACTCTTCTCAAAATCAGTCTTGTATTTTAAAACTTGTTGATTTCCCGATGATGATAAAGACGATCCTCCATTATTAAAATTTGATCCCGAATTTCCACCACTATTGGATGGTGTGGCTACGTTGGAGGATCCACTACTTGTTGGTGTGCTCATTTTTTTCTTCTTAATTTTTTTTAAAAAACTGTAATACAACCTCAAACACTTTTGGCGCCAAAAATTTAACAAATACAATAAATGTTTAATAAATTTTAAAATAATTTACAAAATATTTAAAAATTGAAAAAAGGAATCCCATTTAGCAATTTTTGTTATACATATCAAGAATACTGTGAATGAATCTGGCAGTGTGCAACTTGATAATATCATCACAATCTTTAAATTTGAAATAGGTTTCTTTTGTAAGTGAAAAGAATTGTAAATCATTCTGATCACCAACACAACGAATATCATTCAAAACTTCTTCAAATTTTCCATTATTGAACTTTAACACTGTTGTTTTCTTATCATCCTTTTCCATAGATTGGTCAATTTTGGTAGAAACAGAGAAGGCCCTCTTTTGTAATTGTTTCGTCAGGACGTTCAATAATGGATCGTTGGCATTTCCAGATTCAACTGATGCTTGGTTTGAACAAACAAGTGCTAACATTGGTTTTGGAATGTTTTCATCTGGATTAGTTGAATTGAGAGTATGCCTTCTTTCTTCGAAAACACAAGAGTTGGCTCTCACTTGACCATCCATTATTTTCTTGAATGTTTCCTTCATGTCTCCATACCAAGGTTGACCCTTGTAACTCTTTTCAATTCCTGGAGAGTCAATCAATTCTAATACAATAGTTTTGTTATTGATCTTCTTCTCCAATCTGGCAACTTGAAATTTTGTTGTGACATGATCATCAGTTCCTGCTGTAACAAATGCCTCCTTTGGTGATCTGTGTTCAGAAACTTTAAGTTCATATCCCATTTCAATGAAGAACATAATAAAGCAAACAATCATCATACTCTTTCCACAACCTTTTCCTCCAGTGAATAAAATAGAGAAATATTGCAATTTTTCCATTTTGGCATCAATCTTTTCAAGTAAACTATCAGAAACACCAAGTCTATCTCTAGTATTGACATAGACCGAATTGGTAATATATGAATATATGGAATGTCAGATTTACCATACACTTTGAAAAAGAGAGAGCCCTTAAAATTGTCCACTATTCTAATCTCCTTGGTTTCATTTGCAATATACAAGGTTACTTGTGTTTCTCTGTCCACAATCTCCAGCTTTCTTGGAGTTAAACCAGCAAGCCTCAACACACAAACATTTGGATTTTTGTCTTGCTTATTCAAGGACCATGTAAAAAAGTGTTTGTAAGAAAGGGATGCAGCTGCGACAATGGAGCCAATAGAAAGTGTTCCGATTGCATAGGTAAACAAAGAACGAATATCAGTAATATTATTTGGAATATTGAACATTTTGTTGTTTTTTTTGTTGAATATTACTGAATTATCAAATCATTCTGATTCTTTAAATAGCTGTTTACAATACGTGATTTCACGTTTTCAGTTTACAATGACAATACCCTACAATGGGCTCCAAGGCAGTTGTAGCAGTTTACAATTTAATCAAAATGTAAAAATTCTCGAACCGTGATGTCACGTTTTATTAAACTCTACAATTAATAAATCTTAAACGTGATGTAATATATCTGTATTCACATAATTAAAAAATGAATCAACGGCTTGTTGGTATACTGCTTACTTCTACAGTGGGTGCATTTCTCGGCTCTTTCTTCTCCAACAACAAAAGTAAACCTCAACTAAACTCAAGTACAGTTTCAATCCCTGATGAACAACTTGAGACATTAATGGAAAAACTTGACAATGTGGAGAAGTCAACCAATAGCTTGAAAACTGTTGTTGCCAACTTGGGAGAAAGAATTCAGAAAATTCTAAACGCAAAACCGGAAATAGTCCAATCAAATCCTGAAATTTCAGTAATTTCAGAAATACCAATGAAACCAACATCTGACAATTTGACACAATTTTCGCCAGTTGGTCTCCTTTCAATTCTCAAGACTCATTTCACTCTTGGAAAGAGTGTGCTCTTGTGTACTGCTGCTGTTGGATGTTTCTTTATTTGGAGATTTGTAACAAGAAGAAGAATCAAATTCTTCATTGGAGATGATTTCAAAGATGAAATGAAATCAGCCATCATTCAGCAACTGACAAGAAATACCTACCTGAAGGCAAGATTTGAATTAGTTCAAAATTCACAGGCAGATATCTTTGTTGTGAATGGAGATTTGAGTTTGAGGAATGATAATATTGTTCCAAAAGATAAGAATGTCTACTTGTCAATTTGTAAACAATCTGAATGCTCACTCGCACCCAATGAAGTTAGAATCAGAAGATCCAATTCAATTATTTATCTTGATTCTGGATCCATACAGAAAATATTCGACTTATTGAGATGAAATCTTTCTTTAGCAATTATATTAAAATCATTATTTTCAAAAATTCAAGAATAAGTTATATTATTATTTGGCTTGTCTTGGTTCACATTCTAAACTCATTTTGTACAACTCTGAATCTTCTTTTAGTTGGAAATTAAATGCAATGAAAACAAAAAGTTCCAACACTTGTTGATCAGCTTGTAGTTCATAATGCATGTGTGAAGTATCATCATCTCCTTCAAAAAATGATTTGATTGAATGCTTAACTCCCTTCTTGTCAATAATTTTAATAGTTTTCTTATCGAATAAATTCCTCTCATAGTTACCAAGTTTAGATGGTATCCTCAATGATCTTCCAAATTGTGCTATAAATCTGTAACTCAAAAAGAGAATAGTAATTTGATTTGAGTTTCCTTCAATAACAAACGTTAAATTTGTCAATGGAAGATGGCTATCAATATACCATAATGAGTTGAATCGAATTAACCAGAAATTACAAACTTACATTGGAATATTGGCTTCTTTGGCATATTTTTCAACAGTTTGGTATAATTTTCTATAATTTCCGTCTGAAGAAATTGTTTTCTGGCTCTCCTCGAACAGATTTTTGAAATTACTTGATCTATCCACGTGTTCACGAGTTTTACGTAATCTATAAACACAAGCATTATTCAATAGAGTCGAGAAAAAGAAAGCAGTTCTGAAATCCCTCAGCTCAGTTGCATAAATAAATGCCTGTTCAATCTTTTCCAAAAATTTTGCTCTCTTTTCCATGTCTCTCTGGTTGACAATGCAAAAAACGAAATATCCATTCAATCTATTCTCTGCATCTAGTAGCTTTTTTCTTTTGTTAATTGTTGTTCTAAACATTTCTCCTATTGAAAATTTTCTATGAAGAAATTTTAAAAAGCAAGATGTGTTAGTATAGAGATTTCTATATTCGATTTCTTCGAGTGGATGTGCATTATTTTGGTTGACCATTTCAATAAGTTTGTTATTCTTGAACTGATCCAATATGCTGGTGGAGATGTAGTCATCTTCAATGATTGGAGTGAGTACCACTTCTTCAATCAATACAACTCTATTAATTTCATTAATAAGAGAATCAGACAATTTCACTATCTCTTCAGATTGGCTTTGTGTGAATTTACAATAACTTGCAAAGGAGTATAGAAAGTTCAAATCAGATAGATGGTAACCCCACTTGAGAATATTGAGTAACATTTTCAAGGCAATCTCCATTTCAATTTGAAACATTTTTCTAATAGTTTCTCCATTACATTTTTCTAGTTTCTGTTTCAATAATTTGCATTTTCGAATACAGGGAAATACATTGGACCAATCGTTATCTAAATCCAAAGAAAACACCCTCTCAAATATTTTGTAAATGAATACCTCATCACTAACATTTTTCAAAGAGGAGTCCAAATAACACAAATCCATAAAATAGAACTTTTCCTTCAGATCACTTAAACCGCTACCATTTTCAACCACTCTTTCTTGAAAGTTTTTAGCAAATTCTTCATTCTCTACATAGAGACATGACTTGATTGAGTTACTATCTGAAACAATTCTCTTAACAAGCTCCTTATCATAATGAACTCCATAGAGGAATTGCATTGATTTGATCATTTCACCAATACCATCCTTTTTAACAAGTGGATTACCAGCATGCAAGCCATGCACCATCTTTCCTTCAATACATGAAAAGATCAATTGTGTATGTTGATCATCCCACATGGCCCTTGAAATTTCCTCATCAGAAGCATCGCTCTCCAAATCACTCATCATTCGATTAATTTCTTTAAATTGCTTTCCACTTCTGAATGACGAAACCAAATAAATTGACCACGACTGATGATAACCATTATCACTATTGTCTCCTCCACCAACATTGTTTCTTCTTCGTACTTTGTTATATTCATTAGGTACGTTGGCAATTTCTAGCCATTCCTTGCTAACAAATTGGAGATTATAATAGATTTCTCTCAGAGAGAAAAAACTAAACAGATGGGGAAGTACATCTGCTGGGAATTGTTTGAACATTTTTTTTTGTCAAAATTTCCTTCCAACAAAGACGTGGTGACAAGTGCTACGCAATAGGACGAGTTAGTTTTGATTAGTATTGTTCTAATGGAAGAGATTTGTAAATAAGCAATTATTTGATTGGTTGAACAAGTTATGCAACAGTTGTAATTGGGAGATGAGAGGATTTGGCAATTATTTGACAAACCTCGATACAGACCTGTGTGCATCCCAATAAAGTGTTTGCTGGGAAGTAACACACATGTATTCGATGGTCCAAATTGCTTAAATAAAAGGCCCAATCTTAACTAGACGTGACCTGATTAAAATCCATTAAATTGGTAGAGTTGATAGACTTCTCAACTGAGTACATTCAAAAAGTGAAACATAATTGAATTTTGTGAGAGTTATCTGGAACAATGGACCACTTCAACTCATAGGTCAAATTGGTATTCAGTCAACTACATTGTTTTCTTGTCTCCAGAAAAGTCTGAGCAAAAAGGTACAAGAGAACGATCTTTGATACAGACCTTTGAAAAGTGTTTTTTCAAAGCTATAGTTGTACCTTAGTAAATCAATTTCTCAGGACCAAAGCTAAAATCTATCTCGAAATCCACTTGTAAATCAAAATTTTGTGAGACATCTTTTTGGAGTAAATAAAACCCAATTAGTTTTTAAATTAAATATTGCATTTAGAAATCAGAGTTGAGCGAAAGACATCTACATTGCAAAATGTAACAATAAATCTCGCTAGATATGATTGTTTGTAACACTTCCATATAAAAATGTTATCCGTTTGGTGCAAGGTTTCATTTAATGGTTCTGGAATGTTTTATCCAATCAAAAAAGTGTTTTCCAGAGCGGAGAGTGGAGTTGAATTATCAAATTTGGTGAGCGACTTAAAAGACGCAATATAATATGAGATAAATTACCAGTCACAATAGAGAGAAAGAAAATAAAAAGAAACAACTCATAATGGCACACGATCATCACACTCCCTATTATGATATCCATGGTCAATCGAATAATAAAGCTCCAACAAGTGGATGGGAAAGTTTCAAACAAAAGTGGAAGAAGTTTAATCAGTGGACTTTCGGTAATAGAAGACTCAAGATGTACATTTACTCAGTCTTGAAGGTATGTAGCAAAGTTACTTCACGATTAGTAACCTGCTATATTTTATTCGAAATCAAACTAACGAAATAGATGTTTGCAATTACCTATGTACAAGCAAACTCTCTGATCGGTACCAATTCTAGTGCAAGAAAACAATTTGAAATTGATTTACAAAAGGCACTCCAAATTATTTCATATTTTTACATGGCTGTGTTAATTCTCATGTTCACAATCAGATATATCAGAGAATTAATTGCTATCAAGAGAAAGAAACCACTCACAACATGGGTCAACTGGCTTGAAGCTTTTGTCTTTTTAACCTATTTCATCTATAGTTGTTTTACTGCCATTCTTCATATTGTTTATATTGGAAAGAAGTATGCTTCAGAGGTTGTTGAGAGAGAGGAGAAACCAGAAGAATTTGCACATGCTCAAGTTACTTTGGAACAGGAATTGGTTGTGGAAATTTTGGAAGTTGTTATTCACATGTATATCATAGCAGACAAAGGTTCGCATTTCCTTCATAGTGGTCACAGTGTTTCATTGTATTTGGCTAAGGCACAACATATTCCAAAGAATGCTCATCCAGGGCATGCTCATGGACATGATGATCATTCTGCAGAAGTTGTTCATCATGACTATACCAAACAAGAGAAGGATGATGAAGATTATGATGATTATGTTGGAAAGACAACTACTCACAATTCCTCCGATGTAGTAACAAGTAGTAATGATACTATCAAGAGGAGAAATACTGCCAACTTTGGTCAAGAGAGACTCATTGATTCCAATGAAGATTTGTAATAAACATAATGATGATTCCTCAGAAATTAACTTCATACTAAGTGTTATCAATCACATTAGCTTCCAACAGTAGTGAAGTTATTTTTTATGATTTTAAAACATTTCCGATACTTGTAAGCTTAGCGAAATATTAAACAATAAATATTTAAGAATTTTGTATGTTTATATAAGTTAATTTGTACAGTTGCCTAGGGTTGTTTTTGTGTGTATTGATGGATTTTACCAATAGCAATTTACTTGCTTTCAGTAGCCTTTTCAGACTTTTCCTTCTTTTCCTTCTTCTCTCTCTTCTTTGGAGCAGTCTTTCCTGATGAAGTTTGATACTTGGTAACAGCCTTGGTACCTTCAGAAACAGCGTGCTTAGCCAATTCACCTGGAAGGATCAATCTGACAGCAGTTTGGATTTCACGAGAAGACAAAGTCTTAGTACCATTGACTCTACACAATTGAGCAGCTTCATTGGCAATTCTTTCAAAGATATCTTGGATGAAAGAGTTCATGATAGACATAGCCTTGGTGGAAATACCAATATCAGAGTGGACTTGTCTCAAGACCTTGTAGATATATGAAGAGTAGGATTCATGTCTAGACTTCTTCTTCTTGTCGTCCTTTTCACCTTCTTCACCATCACCGGAAGCCTTTGTAGTCTTCTTGGTAACCTTGTCCTTCTTGGTTTCCTTGGTCTTATCCTTGCTTTCAGTGGATTTCTTAGTCTTAGCTGGCATTTTGATGTTGTTGTTTTTTTCTTTGTTGATTTGGTTGTTGCTGACTGTGACGAAGGTTGAATTTATTTTTTCTGAGTAAAATGAATAACAGTTTTTTGTAAACTTGGAAGAGGATCGAAATTTTGGCGCGTCGGTTTGAAAATAGATACAAGATGTAAATGGAACCACAAGGATTGAGCACAAATATTAGGTTTCAATCACATCAAGAAGTTGTGTACTGAGCAGAATTCGTAATTAGATGAAGGTGATGGTAAAGAAGAACATATTATATAGGTGTTGATATTATTCTTCAATCATTATGATATCAAACAAACTAGCCGTTACATTTTAAATGTAGACGTGGTATTGTCTGGATGGAACCACCAAAATAAAAACTTTGGTACACTCAACCTCTATCTTCTCAGCAAAGAATCTTGAATATTTGGCTCACCTTGATTTAACATGCAAGAGGAATCAATCCTAAATGAGGAGTAATTAGAGCATTTAATTCCCAAGCTGATGACATGGAACTACACCAAGCTAGCCTTGATTTTGCAATAAACCCAATTCATTCGTTCAACTTCTTCCCGCCAAAAATTCAAAACACAAACCGTTGAAGAAAATAAGAACCAAAAAAATGTCAACACAGTGCATTGCAAAGAGTCCTCGTGGTTGCTCGGCAAATTTTATGGTACACAACGATTCGCCATCATTAAGTTTATCAATATCCAACAACAGCACCACCACTACTAGTAATAATAACACATCAACAACAGGTGGAAGAAAGGTAAGAGTTGCCTCTCGTATCCGACCTCTTCTGCCCAGTGAAGTTGAAAAATCAGGCTTTCAAACATGTCGTGTTGGCAAATCAGAACAACAACAACAACAATCATTGAACAATATAGTGTACATGAAGGATCCAAGAAATCCTGGCGATGAAATTCGTTTTGAATTCGATGCCACCTATGATGAATCCTCCACACAAGATGAAATCTTCCAAAACGAAATAATACCAATAGTGGACACTCTCTTTGATGGTTTTAATACAACAGTGTTTTGCTATGGTATGACTGGAAGTGGTAAAACTCACACCATGCAGGGTGGTGAAACTTTGGAAAATATGGGCCTTATTCCTCGAACAGTACAACAATTATTATTTGAAGTGGAAAGGAGAAAGGGCCCAGATAGTTCTGCTCCACTCTGTAAATTATCTGTTTCCTACTTGGAGATTTATAACGAGAAGGTCTTTGACTTGTTGGTTTCTTCGAAAGATTCAACCACATCTCTTGGAAAGGATTTACCTCTCCATGAAGATAAGAGTAAGAATATTATTGTTAAGGGACTAACTATCAAATCAATAACGTCCTATGATGGATTTTGTGAGGAATTTTATCAAGTGGGTATGAAGAATAGGAAGGTTGCCTCAACGAAACTCAACGTGCAATCTTCTCGATCTCATGCTATTTTAACACTTACTGTGAAAAATAAGGATCCTAGATCAGGTCAATGGCTCACTGGTAAGATTAATTTAATAGATTTGGCTGGTTCTGAAGATAATAGAAAGACTGGTAATACTGGTGCTAGGTTGGCAGAATCGAGTAGTATCAATACATCCTTATTCAGCTTGAGAAAGGTTGTAGATCAATTAAATTCCAAGAATCAAAAGGTTTCGTATCGTGACAGCAAACTTACACGATTGTTACAAGATTCTCTCGGTGGATCTTCTCAAGCAATCATGGTTGTCAATGTTTCTCCATTTACTGAACACTATGTAGATACTCACAAATCCCTGAGATTTGGTATGAAATCACAATCCATTGTAAATAAGCCTGTGATAAATGCCAGCTACTTTGAAAATGAGGAAGAAAGAAAAGCCTTGGAAAATATGGCAAACATAGGATATGGAGCTGATAAGGATACACAATTGAAACTTTTGCAATTGGAAAAGGAAAAATTAATGTCGCAAAAGAAGATTGGAGTCACCTCCACATCTAAATCTCTGTCTGGAGCTGATTATATTAACCAAATGATGCTTTTAGCTCCAAACAATTTTGCAACAAAAGAAGACTTGGAGAAGGCACAAGAAGATTTGAAACAAGGCATTTTGAATCCAATTTTGAAGAGGAGTATTTCGTTGCAAGATGAGATTTTGGATAGATTGGCCAAGTTGGAACATTTGGCACTTACAGGAGCTTCGAATACTTCATCTAATACAATGGTCAGTTCTGATGGTTCAGATTTTATGGACATGAAGAGAAAATTGAGTGCCATGTTAAATGATTTAGACGAGATTACTCCATCCAAATCAACTAGCTCAACTCCTAGCTCTGCTAAGAGTGTTGGTTCAACTCCACTCACTTCCACAAAGAAGAGCTCCTCTACCCCAATGAGTGTCAAGACAATGAATTCGCTCCCAACTCCACCTCTCTTCCAAAAGCAATCAACAACTACTCCTAAACCAACAACCTCTTCATTCCAAGCTCCAAAGTCCTCAAACAAGAAGGACTCAAGAACACCAGAGATTGTAATGAGCAAAGTGATATCTGTATCTACTACCACTACACCTTTGGCTAAGACTTTCAAAGCAACATCGTCCAACAGAGCTCCACTCTCTACTCTTAATACCAACACTATGAATTCGACACCATCATTTGCCAACAAGCAATTAGGAAAGGAAAATCAAGTTCCTTCCACACCTAGCAACAATACACCATCACTAGCTGCATCTAAGACAACCTCACTCTCTAAGATAAACACCAAGTCAACCTTAAACCTGAGTGCACAAAGAAAAGTACCATCACCTCAAACATTGTCAGATCAAAAACCAAAAACTAATTTATCTAATCAAAAACCTAATCATGTAAATAACAAAACTCCAACAAGAAATCAAAGGTTAAAGAGCTTGCAATCAAGAGGTATTACTAAGCCAGGTTCGTCAACTAAGTCAACCCTTCCAGAGTTGGATCTTTCAGCAATTTCCCCAATCAAGGAGAAGGATATTACACTCTTCCCTGTTGATGATTTCCACACTATATTGGGAGGTTTGGAGAATGTTACAACAGATGATTTATTCGAAAAGAAGAATAACGAATTGTCGACATCAACTGCAGTTCAACCAATCATTATTACTCCTTCACCATTACTTGAAAAGATCACAACAGAGACTACACTTCCTAAACCTGTTAAAATACAACCAGTACAACCATTGGAAGGAATTATCTTTGATCCTAAAATCGAAGAATCCATCATTTACACCAAGACCAATGTACCTTCTCCTGTAAAGGAAAAGCCAAAGACAAGACAAGCTACCAAGAAGAATACTGCTCCAAAAAGAAAGAGATCTTCAGCAGAAGATTCTGATTCTGAAAATGAACAAGAAGAGCAAGTGGAAGAAGAGGAGAAAAAGAATAGTTTTGTGCCAAAGGCCGTCAGAAGAGGAAAGAAACCAAAGCAGGAAGCTGGTGCAGTATTCTTCGATAATGCAGCTCTTCTGGAGATTAGCACTTTTGCCATTAACAAGTCCATGGATTTGACATTGGATTCTGGAAGAATGTTGACGAAAGAGGACAAACTGGCTCTTGCAAGAAATCACATTAAGGAAGCAGCCATTTTAAAGAAGGAAGGTAATGAGAGAGGTTCTTTGGAACTCTTGGAAAAGGCTCTTGCTCTTCTCCCAACAAATGAAAAACTCCAACGAAAGGTTGAAAAGTTGAAGAGAAGAATCAAGAATGAAGAAAGAACCAAGGCACTTTACAAAGATGAAGAAGAGGAGAAACAAGTTAACAACGACAAGATGGTCGATGAAGATGAAGAAGAGGAGAAACCAAAGAAAAAGACAGCAACAAAATCCAAACCAGCATCTTTAAAGAGTAGCTCAACTGCTGAAAAGATATTGGAATATATCAATGATGAATCAAATGAAGTTAAAGAATTGAAGAGGCTTGTCACTATTGGTGATAAAAAGGCTGAAAAGATTATCGAACACAGACCATTCAAATCCATTAACGAGCTCACCAAAATTGGTATTGGTGAAAAGAGCATTCCAGGATTTGTTGAAAAGAATGAAAAAGTAATTGATGATTTGGTCGAGTGAGGAACTAGCCAAAATAAATTTACTTTTCAAATCCATTATTAGTCAATGCAAGATGAATGTTTTGTTCCAAAATTATGGCTCTTTGCTTTTTATCTTCAATCATGTCGTCCAAAATTTTGATTTGATTATTTACAAAGTTGATAGCATCTGCTAGCTTGAATTCCGATAAGAAGTCTAATCCAATATTTAAATAAACAATTTCCGTACTTGGTCTGTTTATCCAATCCATAAATTAACCAATTTAAAGCGTTCAACAATCATTTATCCCCAAAATTATATAAATCAACTTAATTTCATCATCTTTACACTTACACATGTCCTTGAACATAGAAATTACTTCCGACATCCACCAGAGTATTAAATTCCTTCTTACTACTAATTGTTTGTAATTGCACAGCTAATTCCTGACTATTGATCATGAATTAAATTCCTACACAATACATATTTAAACAAGCACATACAACTTTAAAAACTTTTCCGAAAGGGTATCTCTTTCTTCTATTAATTGTCTCAACCTATCTTCATAAACTTCCGTTATCAGTTTTTGATAGATTGGTCGTGTGGTGAATTGTTCTTGCATTTTTTATTTGAATTTTTATTAATAAATATTCTTAAGAGTTTTGTAACAGGGTTGATGATTCATATTGAAATACTTACCCTTGACAGTAAGCACCTATGATATTGTGAAAGTTGGAGGTACTTTTAAAAAATAATAAATATTTGAACCTTTATTCTTGCTTTTTGGATTGTTGAGCCTTTTTCAAAGTTTCACGAGCATCCTTTAAGAAGGCTTCTCTTTGTTCTCTTTCTTGAGAATCGAGTAATTGCTTTTCGTATTTGATTTCCAAACTTTCAGTCAAGTACATGATCAAAGTTAATCCAGGCTGAATGAAATAGGTAATCTTGAACATGTAAGACAAAATCATTGGAGGGATAAAGTAAGAGTTCAATACAACCCAAAGGAGAAGCATGATTAAGAATTTAACTCCTCTCTTGAAAAATCCAATTCTCGAAGCAAAGTCAAAGATTAAAAATACTACTTGACAGAAAATTGAGAATGAAAAGAAGAGAGTCTCAAATGTCTTGTCATTCTTCCAGAAGGAGTCAGTAACCAAAGAGTAGAGACCTCCAAAGTCTTGAAGTTGTTCTGAAATTACAGAAAAAACTGTTCCACTCTCAACAAGATCATAATGTCTATCAATCAACACGTTGGCACTCTGTAAAATGAAGAATAAACGTGGAGAGATGGCACACCCCATCACCTTAAGACTCAAATCAAGATAGCTGTTCTTGTCCTTTCCAAAAACTAATCCAGACTTGTCAAAAAGATCCACAATAACTTGTCTATCAGTGACAGCCAAATAGAGGAGAGTAAGTCTAGGAGAGTATGCCATACCTAATAGAATATTAAAGGCCTTGATTGAGCTGTTGCCAGAGAATAATTCCTGAGTTTCTTTTGGAGTAATTACATCTGTTGGTGCAATCTTCATGATAAATGCTTGAAAAATAAATAAGGATAGCACTGAGACAATGAAAACAAAGACAATAAAGTTGTAGGCAATTGCTGACTTGTTTGTTTGTTTCTTTTCCTCAGTCTCTTTAAATGTGCTGAATGCTTTTTTGAGAACTTCTCTTTTGAGGGCTTTTAATTCTTCGGAATCATTGTCTTCAGTAGCAGCAGGATCCATCATTCTTGAAGCCTTTCTCTCCCTCTTTTCTTGTCTCTTTGAAATCTTTGGTTTTTCTTCTTCAATTGTGACTTCTTCTTCATCATCACTAATTTCCTCAATGAGAGGTGCATTCTTTGGTTTCAAACGGGTCGATTCACCTTTTGTAGACATTTTTTTCTTTTATTGTTGTATGATGAGGCTTTGAGGTGAAAAAGATGATGTAGGAATTGTACATGGTTTTGGCGCCAACGTGATCATCATACAAATGTTAACAAAAACAATTTTTAATATTCATCCTTAACAGGTATCCTATTGATAAATTCATTAATTATATGAATACGATGGATTGGGAGTTTTACAACATTGTTTAAAATATTATTTATTAATATTAAACAATTTATTTTTAAATAGAAAAAAATGGTTCATCAACTAGGATCAGCTGTTGATGAACCTAATGGTGTGGAGACTCCAAATCTTGATGATTCCGATTTGAATATTAGTCAAAATTATGGTGATCAAATTTTTGGATTAGTCGGAACTGATTTACAAGATACTAGTACATTGAGTACGGATTTTGAACAATTATATCAGATGGAACATTTCAGAGATGTTTTCTTTCTTGTTGGATCTGAACATCATGATCAGGAATTAATATCAGCACACAAATGTGTCCTAGCTGCTCGTTGTCCATATTTTCGTAACATGTTCACTCTCGGATTTCGTGAGAGTAACAGTTCTGAAGAAAATCCAATCAAGAAGCCAAATGTTCTTCCAAATGGTGGGTTTTATGGTTTTTAATCTTTAAAATTAATTTGGAAATAGTGTTCAAGGAAGTTTTGAGATTTATTTATTGTGGAAAAGTACAAATTTCAGCTGCAAATGTTGTACCTCTGATTGATGCAGCAGGAGAGCTTGAATTACCTCTTTTAAAGAAATTATGTTTGAGATTTATTGAAGGTAATTTTATTATATTTAGTAATAATTATTTACAGTGTGGCATTAGATCATGTGGATGAATGTTTTGAAAATGATACTTTCCTCACTCTACTTTCTGAGGATTCATTAATTGAAGTTCTTCAATCGGATTATTTAAATTTAAAGGAAGAATATTTATTTGGTAAGTTCTTTATAATCATTAATTGTTAACAATTTGAAATAGAAAAGGTAGTTTCTTGGGGTATGATCAGGATTGACCGAAAAGATTCTACATTATCTGTGAGAGATATCATTAAGAATGTAGTCGACTTTATCAGATTCCCACTCATTAAACCTGAATATTTATTGAATTCTGTGGAACCTTTGGATATTGTTCCTCACGAATTACTTTTTGAGGCTTACAAATATTATAGTACCAATGAAACAAGTTTTGTCAAGAATAGGAGAGCAGTATTGAGAGGAGATGAAGGAAGAATTAATCCAAATAGAAAGGGAATTTATGTAGTTCAAGTATTCAAACAAAATGCTCATGCCCACTATCGTTGGAGAATTCCAAACTATTCTAAAATTAGTAAGAAACATGTTAGCTCTCCATTAATTCAAATTGGTGGACATACATGGAAAGTAGTTCTCTATCCTTTGGGAGATTCATTCAATACTCATATAAGTGTATTTTTGAGTCTGGTCATTGAGAATAATAATCAATCGAGTGCCTATTGTGACTTTACCCTCAGAGTGGTCAACCAGAAAGACATGCAAAATCTATCAGTAGAACACGAATGTTTCAATGAACACTTTCAAAAAGATAGTGCCAGTTTAGGTAGGCAACAATTACTCGCTCTAGAAAGATTAAATGACCCCCAGAGTGGATTCCTTGTAGATAACACATTGTATATTGATGTAATTATAAAAATGTTGTAAAATACCACATTGTACAAATAAAGACCATTTTCATTGAAAGCTTCATTACTTCTGTGCGGCTAGAGTTGTCACTAAAAAGACAAATCCCCAAATCAATCAAGCCTTGTTTTAAAAAAATAATAGCAAACACTGATGAACAAGGCTTTTTATCAGTGACAACCCATCAACCCATTATTAATTTCTACCCCTTTTTTAATTTATTAAATTATTAAATATAAATTGATTTTACAGAATCTGTTTAAAGAAGAATGGAGCAGATTTCCGATATGAACAAGCAAGTGCAGCCTGAGGAACAGCCTGTTTTATTTGTTGAAAAGAAGAATGAAAAGAGTTCAGAGAAAGGGGCAATTGACGACTCAAAATTTGCCATGAGATGTCCTCACTGTATATTTACCCACCATTCGAGTGGTGAGTGCAAATATGTCAAACTATTCAAATTCCTTTCGGGATTGCCAGCCCCCTTTCTTCTAGAGAATAATTCATTTATTTCTAATTTGTGGCGTTCTATATCTAATAAGATCGAGGATAATGCAGATGTGATAAAGGCTAGAAGAGAAATTACTACAATTATTAAAAAAAGCCTTCAATCAGTTAGTGGTTCTGAAGAGGAGAAGGAAGCATTTAAAAAGGATTATTTGAAGAAAATTGAAGAATTCTATGCCAAATTGACACCACAAGTTGTGGAGGTTGCCAAAGCAATAGCCAAACAACATAGTTTTGATTTCTCACAAGAGTCAACCAGTGATATTGGGAAGGTGAAGGCTAAACGAGGAAGAAAACCAAAGGTAGTATTGAATGAATCTTCAGAGAGTGAGTCAGATTCATCATCGTCTTCTTCATTATACTCTAATTCTGAATCTGATAGTGAATACAATGATGAGTCAAATTCCTCACATCCAAATTCAAATACTAGGAGAACAAGAAGTAGTGCACCAATTAAATTGACAAGGTCAGCTACCTCCAACGATCCACGGTTGGCTGGACAGATTGTTGGCCCTTTGAAAAAGCACAGAAAAAAGAGGAAACAAGAAACCTCCTCTCCAAAAAAGACACCCATTTCAAAAGAAAAAATTAATAAGGAACTGCCAAATAATCAAAGACTGTTCAAAAACCGTACTGCTTCAGAGATTCATAAAATAGAAGAAGAGAAAAATGCTAAAACACCACTGTCGAATGAAACTGATATTAAGCGTAATGCACCAGTTGATGTTTCTACGATCAAACCAATCTTTTATGAACGTCATGAAACTATTGTCACCACCTTAGAGAATGAAGTTCAGAATGCAAACACTTCGTATTTCACACCCTCAACAGCTCTTCCAATCCCATCTAGGACTTTAAAAGATTATGAAGAGATATTTCTTTCTACAAGCACGCCGACAATGGAACAGTTAAATATTCAGACAAGAATCGCAAGTAGTGGTAGTAATCAATCTATTGATAGAAGGGTTGTGGTTTATGCCACTTTCCAAGACGAAACAGTTCTCATTTCTAACACTCTACAAGAATCTAACTTCTCAACAATAATCTCAAAAATTCGCTCCAAATTTCCACAACTTCCTCACTACCAATTTTGTACATTTCACTACTGGGATGATTTAATTTTTAAACTGGTTAGATTCGACAATGATGCGCTCTTGCATATCCTCAACACCCAAACATTCCCTATCATCAAACTCACCATCAAGACAATATAGATACGTATTCATTTTTTGTAAAGTTCGTATTTGGACCAATCAGAGAAGGTGCATGCGTATTATTCTAGTTGGTTGAAAGCAACTTAAAAAATGTCTCGACATACAGAACCAATCTTGCTCAACTCTGAAAGCAACACGACACCACTTTACGACATGTTTGCCAAACATATTGAACCACTGATTGCCTCTTTCCAAATCAGTACCGATTTTCGAAATTAGGAAACATGTTCTCCTTTCAATTGGTGCTAATTGGATTTTTGGTGATCTTATCTTGTTTTTCCAGATTTTCTCCTCCCCTTAACTATAGTTTTTCACTCATACGTATTTTGCTTTTGTTGGCAGTTTTATGTGGGTTTTATTCAATGGCAACAAGAGATCCTCTAGGCATGTTAATATACACTTTACTGAACTTTATTGCTTTGATTTATTGTAGTTTCAATAATTTATATGCAATCATATCTATGAGTTGTATTTTGCTGCTCTTGAATCAGATAAGATCTATTGGTTATTTGATTGAATTTGGAAAAGAAAAACTTGCAAAGAGTAAAGATATAATTGAGAGCCTCTCCTCAATCTATCAATCCAACAAGTGATCATTAATGCATGTCAATAAAAGATATCCTTTCTCTCTTCTTCAGAATTTCTAGACTCTAGTTCAACTTTGAGATTATTTTTAACTATTTCTTTTGTGAAAATCCATTTCTGTTAAATATCAAACAGTCCCCTTTTCAATATCACTAACAATGTCTTCAACGTTTTGCCCTTTGCCTCAATACAATTTACCATCATCACATACTGAACCAATCTTTACAAAATATCTTTTCACACATCCATTGCCAAACCGCTCCTTCTCAACTTTCAAAAAACCCTTTGAAAAAAAGATTCTTCACATCACTCACCAACATCCTCATCCAAATATTTTCATCGGAGGAATTCAATATATTCAATATATTCAAACATTTAATAATTAATAGTACTACATACACTTGTTGTGAAAAAGAGAAGAATTAATGCCAAGTAAATTTACACCACTCGTCAAGGCACCCTCCGATCTATCATCACTCTCCAATAATCATCATCCTCATCCTCATCATCACAATAATTCTGCATCATCATTTCTTCTTCAACATCATCATCAACAACAACAGAACAGAAGAACAAGAAATGATACAAAGAGGAGATGGAGGTGATGAATATGATCATCATGCTCGTTTTCAATCAATAGATCATCATGATCAATCATTTGTTGATAATGAAGAATCAAAACAATTAATGATGAATGATGATGATGCAGAACATGATGATGCTAAGAATGGAATGAATAGAATGGGTCATAGTAGTAGAACACAGATACTGTTTCATGTTGTGAAAAGTTCAATTGGATGGTTATCGTTTAGTATTGTTTTTAATGTGTTGAACACAATTGTCTATTCAGCTCTGTATCCAAAGATTTTACATAATGTTGCTTCTGGTAGTGGAGCTGAGTATTCTACTGCATTTTCAATTATTAATACAGTGACAACATTGGCAAGTGCATTGACATTGCCAATTTTGGGATCTTTGGTTGATAATTTGAAATTAATTAGGAGTTCAATGATGGTGACAATGTATTTGGGTATTTTGGCAACAATTGGATTGTTTTTCACTGATAAATTACCACATGAATCACCACAGGATTATACTTCTCATTTGGCTATTTGTGAAATTGTGTATATATTGGCCATGTTCTTTTTGAGATTTTCAGTAATGAATAATAATGCTCTCTTACCTTGTTTTGATAAGAAGAATATGATGATTTTGAGTTTGTTGGGTAATTTCATTGGATTTGGTGTCAATCTTGTTGGATTATTGGTATTGGCCTTTGTACCTTCGAGTGTTTTTTCGGGAGGAGTTTGGGATATTTCGAGAGAAAATTGGTGGGTTCTCGTTTTCACAAGTCTCACCATTCTGGTCTCTCTGTTTGTCATTCTGAGTCCAAATGGTGTAGATAAGGTCACTCTGAATCCAGAGCCAATTTCTGCCAAAACAGCACAAACTTTGCAAATTCCTGAATGTTTCTCCAAATTACCAAAATATTTGAGAGGATTGGGAAAGGTCTATGCAGTGGTTGCCAAATCTTTAAAATCACTTGCTGAGACCTTCATCCATTGGAGAAGGAATGAGCAATACTATCACTGTTGGATTTTCCTCTTTTCCTATTTATTCTTCTCCACAGCTGGTACTGTTGTGACAATTTATTTGGGACCTCTTTTTATTGATATTTATAATTTTGGACTTGAACAGGAGGTGTTATTGAACTTGTATTTCAAGATTGCCATGGTTGGTGGTGTGATTGGAGGTGTAATTTTTGAGAAATTATTCAAGGTTCATGACATTTATGTTTTGGCAGGTCAAAATTCACTTTTTGGAGTTTTAACACTTTCGAGTAAGTTTTCAAATCAAATTGAATGAGAATTTTCTAATTCTTCTTCAATTCAGTATTTATTACAATTTCAATGAAAGTGGAAAAGTACATTGTTTTGGCTCAATTTCTGGTTGTTGGATTTTTATATGCATGGAATGCTAGTGTAGCTCGTGGATTAATGAGCAAATTAATTCCATTGGAAAAGAAGTGTGAATTTATGGGTTTCTTTTCAACATTTACCTATTTGGGAATTTCTGTGACCAGTGGTGTTTATAGTATCTTGTCCAAACTCAAACTTCCTCAAACCTTACTTTTAGTTTTATTTATTTGGTTAATTCCAGCTTTCTTATTCTTGGCAATTCTTAAGAAATCGCTCAATAAGAAGGAATTGAGAGAGAAACACGAGGAAGAAATTAAAAATATGAAAGCAATTGCTGACGAATAAAAGATTATCCAGAACTATATTTCTTTAACCATAATAGTAAAGAATATTTTCTAAAATTTCACATTAATGGATTCTCAAACTGATTATGAGGTTTTCAACGTTCCATAGAGCTCTCATAAAGGAATGAGTTTGCTTTTCCTAATACGAGAGTGAACTATTCAGAGAATTCCTCCAATAAATGGAACGAAAAGTAATTTCACTGATTTTCAAGGAACCAAGATGAATTCAAGAATCAAAACTCAATCTTGGGATAGAGAAAAGTACAAATTTTTCCAAAACTCCCAAACTATTCCTTTTCCTCAATATAAATATTGTGAGCTACTTTCCATCTCTTAAAACCTGGTTGTTGTTTCAATCTCAAATAGGCATCACTCAAATTTCCCATCAATTCTTCATCGAGAATGAATTTCAAATCTTTAAGGCGAACTTCTTCATTTGGATTTGCAGCTGTTGCTACGAGATTGTGAAACGATTGCTTAGTTTGGCCTCCAATATTCAATTCGTATAGAACATTTTCTTTAAAGTACTTGTCCCTTATTCGAATCATTTCTTCGTGACTGATTTTGGGATTCTTGTCAGATTGACTCATTCTTTCTATTTGTTTCAATTCTTCGTAAAATTTCAAGTTCTCAAGTGAAGTTTCCTTTGCAACAAATTCCTTCATTAAATTGAAGAATTCTGGATTTTCCAAATGAAGAACCAATTCGTCCACTTTCTCCTTCTCAGTCATATTCAGTTGTTTTCTAAAATAAATCGTTTTAAACCATTCAATAATCAAAACTAAACCTCCTCTATACAACATTCCAATATTGTGAGATAGGAGTGGTGCAAAAATACTGTAAACATAATTCTGATTCGCCTCTGTGAATAAATAAACTGTAATGACTATAGTATTGAGTGAGAAGAATAAAATATCAAACTTGATTTGAAATGGATCATCAAAGAATAGAATATATAATAGACCTCTTCTCCAAATTATTGGAATCTTGAAGAGGAAATGAATGACAAGTGCTAGTAATGATAATGTTGCAATGGCTACAGTGATTCCAAAGGTGATGAAAGCACATTGTATGGCAGCACGATTTCCAAAGAATTCCTATTTTCAAAGAAGATGTTTAGTTTGGGATTCGAATAACAACTTACATCATAAAATCCAACAAGGGGAACGAGGGAAACTAAACATCCAATCAACACACCCATCAGAAAGGATCCAATACTTGCAACTCTCTTACTCACTAACCATTTTAAAATCTTGATATGTCTCTCATTAAGATACAGAACTAGCGTATAAATATTTCTCAACAAGACGAATCGAATACAAATCAAAAAATAAATGATAATCGACCAACAGGATAGAAAATTAACAGCAATCTGATAGAGCAAATAACACGGCTTGATAAGTTGAAAAATCTGAATCAACATGATGAAAACTGGACTCAGAACCGAAACGTATGGAACAATGAGACGAATCTTGACCGATTCTCTGTTTCTGAATAGAATTAAAGAAGGAAAATAGAAAAATAATGCAATGAATAGAGAGATACCACCTCCAATACTGACACCATCTGCATTTGAAGCTACTGGACTAGCTCTGTCTTCCCACATACAAGATGACGTTAGACAGGAGTAACATTTTGTGGGAAAGAATGATCTTTTCATAGAATTGAGCTTATCAACACTATATCCAGTTCTATTTAACACCATTTCAAATGCCAAATTAGTAAATGTTTGATTTAGTGTCCAATTATCCAACGCATGATATTCCACAATAAATAAAAAATCATCCGCTGAAATATTTGTGAAAAATTGTTCAATTCTCAACACTGAATAATCATGTTCCTTGTATGAACTTGTCGTTGATTCACAAACTTGTTGTGAAATTTGTAAATTTTTGAACATGTCGTTCATTATTTCATATTGATAGGTGACAAGATCATTAAATGATGCTTTTGAGTTTGCTATTACTATTTCAAAGGGAGAAAATGAAACTAAACTCAAATCTTGATAATCTAATGTTCTAAACACTGGGGTTGTGACATAACAATCTCGATTTTGTCTTATGAGAATTGGAAGAAACAAATCACTTGAAATTACAACATCGAAATATTCGAAAACATTTCCCATCCAACAATCAGAAGATGTTCTGTCCATTCTCTCAGTCTTGTAGAAGTGTTTCGTCGAGTTTAGTTGAAGTTTCGTCTCCACAAACCTAATGTCTATTCCAATAATAGTGTGTACACCAATTTTAATTAGTTTACGTGATGCGAGTAGAAGAACATCATCAATGGTTGTTAAATTCTGTAAACTAACAATTACTAGTGATTGAGTTGATGCGATTACCTGCCAATTGTCATTTGCTAAATTTTGAAGGAAATTTGTGTTAGAAATATTGATTCTCTTTATATTTTCGTCAATTGATAATAATTTCCTTTCAATAACACTCTGATTACTCCTGGAACTGTCAAATGCCAAATCTTCGCTTGACAGAATTGTCAACTCACTTTCTACCACTACCAACAAAATCAACAACAAACAAAACACATGTGTAGTAGAGAACCACTTCATTGTGTTTATTTTTTTGTGTCTTCTAATAAGCTAAAAGTTTAATTTGAGCGCTATGAAGATTAGTTTGGTTTTTTCTTTACAGTTCTGGCAATAGAAACTGTTTATGGAAAGTTGCAACGTTTTTTTCCAAGATCTGAAATTTAAACTTGCAAAACTTTCAAGATGTTTGTTTGGTGTATAGAGCTGGCCAAATTTTGATGTTTGGCAGTTGCTTACTCTACCTTCTTCATCATGTAATATGAAGATAGAATTGGATAGAAACTTGACACGAGTTATGGAAATGTCAACTGTTATATTTCATTACGGAAAGTTTCTGTTAAAAATAATCAATTTTTCACTGTATTTAAAGGATTATTAAGGGTAGATGCACAATATTAATAGATCTGAATAGAATAATTGATTGGAATGTGCTGGTTGGAATAAAGTCTTTCGAATAATAAATGGTGAAATAAATTGAGAAAATTCAGAAGTGGCACTTTCAATCACTTTTGAGATTTCGTCCAATGAATTGGTTCTTGCTATGTGATAGTTGAAAGGTTTCTGTGCATCATTGCATTCTGCCAGTAGTTCAGTTTCGTATTTTGAAATTATTGAGCTAACTATTCGATCGAATCCGTATTTAGTTTCCATATCCAATAACTCTGCTCTTGTATCTTTCACCTGATGTTTATATTTCACTCCTTTTGCCAGAATTTTCCACAACAGATCTGGTTTTGTAAAAACAAATTCGAATTTCTTATTCGAAACGTGTCCAAGCACCTTTCCAATCTCATCAAAATTGTGAAAATTATACTCTGTTTCATCCAACCATCCAATCAATGAAATGAAAACCAAAACGACAGAATTTTCTCTTTCTTTCATCCATGAAAATGTTTCTGAATCAAGTGATAATTTCGATCTTGGAATTGCACATAATTCAACTAATTGATTAGTTTGTGTTCCAATTGACCAATTTTCCAGGAAATAAGCAAATGGATGAATTAATAGTTGAGCTTGTTCAATAATTTGAATTTCTGAATTGGTCAATTCAGTACTAAATTCGTCCTTTACAATTTTTTCAAGAATTTCCAAAAGTTTTTCAATTGAAATTTCAAAATAATTTAAATTTCTTTTAAAATTTTCAGCGTTGAATTTTAAAGAATTTTCCTTTTTGGAATTCCAAGTTTTTTTTAACTTTTTTGCAATGCTTTTGTAATGTTTTTCGTCAATCTTGGAAATTTGATGAGCTTCATAACCAAGAATGCATCGCGAAAGTTCAATAATTAAATGTCGGGTTCGTCTGTTTAATTCGAAACTGTGGTTATATGAAAGAATAGTTTGCGTCTTTCCACTTGATTTATCTCCGATAAGAAACAATATCGGAATGGAAACTGGTGTTGTTAATTGATTTTTTGTGAAATTTCTACTTGGTTGACTATTTCCCATTTTTTATTTTAAATATTCTAATAAATCAGATTTTGAATATTTACATTCTGGTTCATTATTTTCATCTGTTGATTCATAGACAATATTTTGGAGTGGAGAAATTACCTTTCGTTTGTTTGATTTCACAACTGGAGAATCAGACATCACCTTCTCATCATCATCATCACTATCACATGAATTACCATCATGAGCTTCTTCCTTATCAATATCCACAACTTCCATCGTTCCATTCAAAAACATGTGAATTGTCTTCTTTTGATCTTCAATTGTTTTAAGTAAATTTTCAATGGTCTGATAAAGTTGTTCTGCAGTAGTTGAAGATTTTCTCTGTATGATTTTGTCCTTTTTTTTCAATTCATCTCGCAGAGTTTGAATTGTAAGAGTCTTTGAGGATGACTGTTTTTGATATTCGTCTAGTTGCTCTTTCAAATTTTGGAAAGCTGAATCATGTTCCTTATCTCGTTGTCTAATGATTTCACATTGATTTTCAATTGCTTCCAAAAGAATTGAATTTTCACTCTTCAATGTTGAATTGTCCTTCTCCAAGAGCTCGCTTTCTTTTCTGGCTTTTGACAATTCTTCAAAGAGATTTGAAATAATTTCTTCTTTTTCTGAGCAAATTTCTTTCAGAGAATCGTCTCTGATTTGCATCTCTTCTATAATGGTATTCGATTGTTTGAGAATTTCATTAGCTTCCTGTTGTTTAGTTTCTAATAATGCAATTTTCTGTGAGAGTTCTTCAATATGTTTGGTCTTGCTATCTCTTTCCTCATCCAATTTACCCTTAGTTTCTTCCAACTCTTTCTTTAACTTTTCAATTTCCTCTTCAAACAATCCTCCTGATTTCTTCTTCAACATTGAACTCAACTTGCTAGTCATCTTTTTAATCTTTCTTGCCGTTTGTGCATAATTCAAAGTTGATATCGATTCACTTGCAGTTCCAATATTTCCAATAAAGAAAGTTTTTGAATTTCCTTCCAAAGTTGAATGCAACAATAAGGCAAGATTATCTTCCCTGTATGGAACTAGTGTCTTCTTATCAGTATTGGATTGATTATTATAGACTGCTTCAATGCATCTTTTCAAAACTGTCAATGAAGTATTAATGTAATTTGCTTCATCTAGTAACATTTTATCAGCGTGAATGTTGGCAGTTTTTTGACGTTCAGATCCAGCCAAGTCAACCATGTTTAGGCATCTTTCAGTATTGTCTGCAGTTGTGATAAACAATCTAAAGATGCAGTGTGATCTTGATGAGGATAGATTTTGTCCAGTTGCACTTTGATGTCTCCTTTTTAAACCAGACGAAATGGAAGAAAGATCAGACAGTGAATGAATAAGCTTCTTTTTAGCATTGGTCACAACATCCACACCGTTTGAATACTTGACCTTACACTTTTTGCTGGCCTCTCCAAATAAATCATAAACTCCTCCATTATAAATTTCAAATAAGGAGCAGCTTAATTGTTCGTCCACTTTCTTCCTGTTTAGCAACCTTTCAACAATTCGTGGCAATAAACCACAAGCAGCAGGCAAATTGCCACTCTCAAAGGAATCTGCAATCTCATGAAGATTAGTTCCCATTGTAAATGTTTTACCAGATCCTGTATGTCCATAACCTAAAATGGAAGCATTGAACCCCTGAAGAAGTTCTTCAACAACTGGAACACCAATCAAATCAAAAACTTGTTGCTGAGAAACATTTTCATCCAAAACCTGATCAAATAGGAATACTTTTGGTGTATCTGCCTTTTCTTGATTTTTACACGTGACTTGAATTGAAGAATTGTTGAGAAATTCAATTTGTAATTGGTCATGATCATCGTTCGGACGAATTCTAATGTACACTTTAATACATTGGTCTTGTAGCTGTTCTTGTTCTTGTAGCTTAGTGCCATTGGTCGATGAGGAAGTTGAAGAAGAAGGAGTGGCCCTGATTGGTTTTCTAATTTTGGTTGATAATGGGGTTTCGGGTGGTAGAAAAGCAGATCGCATTGCCTTTCCTCTTGGTGTTGATGATGAAGATGTTGAAGGAGGAGGTGGAGGCATACCTTGTTGTTATTTTTTTGGAGTATTTTAATAATGGTAACGGTCAGAAAATTGGCGCGAAAATGTGTTTGAAAAACCAGCACACGGCTAATAACAAAAAATCTTGTTCCCCACAAAGGGGGCATTTCTCTTAAATTCTTAATAACCTTGAATATTAGCACCTAGCACCTATTAGTAATCACTATTAATCAATAATAAACTATTTACTTTAATACTTTAAAACAAAAGTCTCATGATTAATTGTTCAATTTGTCCAATGTTGAATTGAGACATTTCATCTGGGAGAGATTGGAGGAAGGATTTAACTTCTGGATCCGTTACTGGTTCCTTGGTGAGAATATCAATGAGTTGATCATAATATTTAAAAGTTGGTCGAATACCAAGCTTGATCATGATTTTGTGAATTTGTAAAATGGCAGAATACTCTTTTGAAATACCCAAAGCTCCAACAAGAGTTTCATACGTGAAAATATCACCCTTCATTGGATAATCCAAATAGAGAGTGATGGCATCACCAACACATGAGTGATTAACATATGTACATAACATTTCATTGTAAATATCCAGCATGTTTGTATCTTTGAAAAGATTGAAAACTCTTTCAGCTTCTTCCAATTCTTCCAAAAGTCCATAAGTTCCAATAAATGAAGAACAACTTTCCTCAGTGAGATAATTCTCAGTTTCTGCTCTCTTGAGAATGTCCATTACTTGTTTCTTACTTCTCGTTAAAGCTAAACTCTTTAGGGATACTTTGAGAATTTCTGGAGTCAACGAAACCCCCTCAACCTGTAAGAGTTGGAAATATTTGGACACTGCCTTGTGATTGCCTTGTTGTGAAAAGTAGTTGAGAACAGAGTAGTAAGTTTTAGAGGATCTAGGTACTTTCTTTTGAATCATGTCATCAATTAACACAATAGCTGCCTCGTCATCACTCTCCAAGAACATGGAAATCATAATTTCATAAGCAGTGGTCTTTTCATTTGTTGGAAGTGACTTTTTCAAGTGTTCAAACAATGAAAGAGCTTCTGGAATACATTTCGAGTTGGCAAGTGTGGTGAGGATGGCTAAATTATTGGCATTTGTGACTTTAACTTTGAGGAGGTGTTTCTTATAGGTACTGTAAAGCTTTTTCACTTTGGCTTTGGAGTGTATGGTATTCAGTCTGGCAAGGAATGTCGAGACGAAATAATTGTCTGGTGAAATTTTATCCTTGCTTATCATACTCTCTATTAAATCTACAATTGAATTTACATCTGGATCTTTAGGATCCACGAAAAGAGCTTCAATAAATTTAAATCTGAGAAAATAGGCATAGGTTCTCACATCTCTCTTGATCTTGTACAAGTCAAATAAATCAAAATAATAATTCACTCTGCCCTTTACAAAATTAAATGATTCTTCACTTGTGTTTTCAGATTGGCCTTCAATGAGAGATTTATCACTCTTGGTCAAAGTTCTAATCCAACCATCAATCATTGAATTTAAAACTTCAGTATTCACATGTTGAATATTTTCAAAATAAGTTTCAGCTTGTTTCATGTTACCTCTAATTGAGAATGCTTCAATTACAACACTGTGTGTATATGATACACTGTCTTTTTTCTTTTTCAAGGCATCCTCTACCTCTTTAAGCTCAGAAATACTTCTCTTATGAGCTACATTGATATTTGAAGGCATTGTTTTCATTAAATTCTTTGCCACCTTTGGTGTGATTGATTCTGGATTTGTTTTTGTTTTCAATCTAGAACCAGCCAAAGCCAACAATTTAACAAGTTGCTTTTTTGATTCCTCATTTGGATTCTTGATGTGTCTATATAATTCCTTAACTTTTGGAGCATTTCCCTTCTTGGCATAGAATTGCATCATTGTAAATATTGTTGATGGATCTAACTTTTCAATAATCTTTTGATTTAATATTGATGTCAATCTCTCTTCAGTAATGTCACTCTGATTACAAAGAATTGATAAATTATCATTTACACTTTTTCTCGAACTTTCGAAAGTAATCAAGGCTTCGACCAATGAATGATCAACAATATTCCCATTTTCCTGTTTACTTTGTGTCCAATAATTTGTTTTAAATTCTCTCCTATTATTATTATTATTAACAGATACTGATGATGATGACAATATATTCAAATGTCCTCCTCGGTTATTATTATTAATTAATGTTGTTTTTGTTGTTGTCAATCCACTATTATTATTCATTAAACTCCTCATCATTGTTCTCCTTATTGTACTTGTAGTGCCATGATGATGACTATTCATCAGCAAATAATTGATAAAGCAATTAGAAGATGATCGTCTATTCATTGTTGTTACTTGTCCTCTATTGATTTCCGAGCACTCGATTAAAACAAGAAGAGTTGTGGGGTTCTTCTGGATACTGTTGTTGTTCTATTGTTTTTTCTGCTCTTATTGTGTGTGCGGTTTCGGTGATTAGGAGATTGAGAAGATTTGAATCAAATCAAAATAGTGGAAAGTGTTTCATTCAAGTTGATCTATGATCATAAATGTATTGGTCATCATTGGTTAAACTTTCAATGTTGTTATTAGTCGATAATTATCACTTGTTTTCATCAAGATTGTCACAATTCCATCCATCTCAAAACTTTCCATTCAATCAAAATGAATTTTTCCCTTGTAACAAACACAACAACATTCAATATTTCAATCCGTGACCAATGGACTGACTTTTTCAAAAAACAATGGACCAAGGAAAAGTTTGGAAGTCCGTATGTGCTTGCATTCTATGCTCAAGTAAGCAAATGCTTGTGTAGATGATTTGCTAAAGAGTATGGAGCGCAATGAAGATATGAGCCAGAGTTTGCAATAAAAAACACAAACAAAAAAATGCTTAAAAATTCAACCAAGAAAATTTCTAGCATTCTTCTCAACCAACAACAACGTTCTGGTTTGGTTGGTGGTTCTTTGGCCAAACAATTAGCTGCTGGATCTTCATCAAATAATAATAGATTTTATCATAGTATTACAAGTGCTGAAAATACTCATAATATTCTTGAAAATAATATTCATCATGATGCCGAATACAAGGCAAATTATACTCACAATATTCAAGGAGTTAATGATTTGAAGAATTTGGTTGAAAAGATCAAGTTGGGAGGTGGAGAAAAGTATAGAAAGATGCACACTTCAAGAAACAAGCTCTTGGTTAGAGATCGTATTAATAGAATGTTGGATGATGGATCTCCTTTCCTCGAATTCAGTCAATTGGCTGGTTATGAATTGTACGGAAAGGATGAAGTACCTGCTGGTGGTATTATTACAGGTATTGGTAAAATTCACGATCAATTGTGTGTAATTGTTGCTAACGATGCAACTGTTAAAGGAGGTACATATTATCCAATCACTGTAAAGAAACATTTGAGAGCCCAAGAAATTGCTGAACAAAATAACTTGCCATGTATTTACATTGCTGACAGTGGTGGTGCCAACTTGGAACATCAAGCTGATGTTTTCCCTGACAAACTTCACTTTGGTAGAATTTTCTACAATCAAGCCAATATGAGTGCTCAAGGTATTCCACAAATTGCTGTAGTTATGGGTAAATGTACTGCAGGTGGTGCCTATGTTCCTGCAATGGCTGATGAAAGTATTATTGTAAAGGGTAATGGTACTATTTATTTGGGTGGTCCACCATTAGTTAAGGCTGCTACTGGTGAAGAAGTTACTGATGAAGAATTGGGTGGTGCTGATGTTCACTGTAGACAAAGTGGTGTCACTGATTACTATGCCAATGATGAAACTGAAGCTATTTATTTGACAAGAAGAATTATTTCAAATCTCAATATGAAAAAGACTGACTTTTTGGGAAAGAATAATAGTAATAGAAATGAAGTTCCAACATCTTTTGAAGAACCAAAATATAATCCAGATGAAATTTTAGGTATCATTCCACGTGATGGTAGAAAACCATTCGATGTCAGAGATATTATTGCTCGTATTGTCGATGGAAGTAGATTTGATGAATTCAAACAATTATACGGAACTACATTGGTGACAGGTTTTGCCAAGATTTATGGTAAGCCAGTTGGTATTATTGCTAACAATGGTATCTTGTTCTCATCATCTGCTCAAAAGGGAGCTCACTTTGTTGAATTGTGTTCTCAAAGAGGTATTCCACTCTTGTTCCTTCAAAATATTACTGGTTTCATGGTTGGTAAACAATACGAAACCAATGGTATTGCTAAGGATGGTGCCAAGATGGTCATGGCTGTTGCTTGTGCTAAGGTTCCAAAGATTACTGTCCTCCTCGGTGGTAGTTTCGGTGCTGGTAACTATGGTATGTGTGGTAGAGCTTACAATCCAAGATTCTTGTACATGTGGCCAAATTCTAGAATCTCTGTCATGGGTGGTGAACAAGCTGCTGGCGTCCTTTCCCAAGTTAAGGTTGAAGGTATGAAGAGATTAGGTAAGGAAGTTCCAGAACAAGAAATGGAAGAATTCAAGAATGGTATTAGAGCCAAGTATGAACATGAAGGTCACCCATACTTCTCATCTGCCAGATTGTGGGATGATGGTGTCATTGATCCACGTGACACAAGAAGAATTCTTGGTTTGAGTTTGAGTGCTTGTGAAAATGGAAAGATTGAAAGTCCAACTCAATTCGGTGTCTTTAGAATGTAAAAAACTTAACAACAAATAATAACAATAACAATTTTGCTCATCTCTCTATAGATATTTACAGTGTTTCTTTGAATAATTTGAATAAGTATTTGAGTTTGGGAGTGCACGTAACGGTTACAAAAAAGAAAACTTTTTCAATTTTAAATTTTTAAAAATAAATTATTGAAAAAAATGAGCCAACAACAAGAAGCGTTGTCGGGCGTGAATAACACTGCTTCATCGTCATCAGCATCGAATAATTTGGTCACCGATCACACAACAAATCTAAGCCAACAACAATCAACAAATGGAAGTGATAACATGATGATTGATACGGATTCTCTGATAACGTCATCTGAAAAACAACTCGTTAAACGTTTAAGACAATATGGTAGGTATTATTGGATACAAGTATGGATGATATTTACGTGCATTATTGAATAGAAACAACTGCATACAGTAGTGTGGTTAGTGCATTCCGTGCACAAGGTGAAATTACTTGGGAAAAGTTAAAAGTTCTTACCCAACTTCAACAAATGTTACACATTTCCACGAGTAGACATTCAACAGAATTACTTCGTTCTGAAGTGGATGTTAAAATTCAACAAGTTGCACAATCTGGAGTTTATAATATGTATGTCTTTTTATCTGATTAGACTTTTTGTTAACATCATCTTTTTCAATAGAATTGAAAGAGAAATTGAGGATAAAAATAATCAATTTGACTTTTCTCTTGCAAGTGAAACTGAAAGTGAAAATGATAATTATGTACATCATCGTGTTAAACATGCAGTACACTCATCATCATCAAATGTGGAACATATTTCAACTCAACAAACTAAAGAATCAAAGAGAGGCAGTTCTGGAAGAGGAAGAGGACGAGGAAAGAAGAGGTCATCATCCACAATGGTTGCTGATTCTATTGCTCACTCACCTAAAGCAACAACTGTTTCATCTGATTCGGTAATTATTGAAACTCCACCAAATACTCCAAGTAAATCCACAACTACTAGCACTGTTGCCACTAGTTCACAATCACAAAATGGTACTCCTGCCAAGAAGAAGAGAGGTGTAAGTATCAAATTCCCATTTTCATGATTTAATAACAATCTCAACAACAGAGAAAATCAAAGAAGCAACCAGAACCTACTCCTATCACTACTCAACCAACAGCTACAAGTGTTGTTGAATCATCAGTACCTGCTGTTCAACCAATTGCAGCAGTTGTTGAACCAGTTCAACAAATTTCTGAAGAACTTCGCAAACATCTTGCTTCAACAAGTTTCCTCACAGATGACGATATTAATCGTGCCAGTATGGAAGAAATTGAATCAATAGCGGACAGAGAATCAAATGAAATTGAAGAATTGGAAAAGAAACTTGCTGATGCTTTGGATCCAAATGACACAACTGCCATTGTAAAAGCAATCACAAAGAAGAAGGAAACTCTGGAAAAGTTGATTCAAAAACTCGAAACTGCTGAAGAATAATGATCAATAGTATTCTTTAACAATCCTAGGTTTCATTCGTTCTCACAACTCGAATTTTAGCTAAATTTCTCAATAATATATTTGTACAAAATTTATTCCTCATCATTCTCTGCTAGTGTCTCATCTTTTGGACAAAGATTTCTAAATTCATCATGTAAGGCAAGTCTAATCTTGTTGAATTGTTGAGATAATTCTCTAAAGGAATTGTACTTTTCTGGATGTTTGAATATTGCATCATAATACTTGTCACATTCATGCCAATCCACAATCTTTCCAAACTTGGCAATTTGAATTCCATAGTGATAAACTCTGAGAGTGTGAATAAGTGTCTTTTTGCCTTTGAATACTTCTACTTCTGGAGGATCTAAATCCAATCTGTGTTCCATCATGGATCTACAACATTTCCACACCATAGACGCTGATTGACTAAGCGAAGCTCTCAATTTACTCAACTGAATTCCAACTCCACTCTTTTCAAACTCTTCAGAAAAGTCAACTGTCTTTTTCAATATAAAACTGTGATAATCTTCATCGCTTCTCTCCAAAAACAAACCCAACAATTCAGAAAATTGATGTTTCTTCAATTGATTCAAAAATTGCTCTCTTGTATAAATGCACATATCCACTCCAAATTGTTTCTGTTTGAAATTGTAAATAATTTCACCATTCTCAAGTGTTTGCCTCTCCATGTGTGGTGTGAATTTCTCAATCTCGTTGAGATTTTCTGATGCATTATTCGAATTTTCCACACTATTTTCAATTAAACTCTCTCTTCTCTTCATCCACAGAGGAATTTCCAATTGGAAAAACTCTGAATTTCTATTCTCCTTCTGATTCGAAAGGAAAGTCAACTTTTGTGGTGCCTGAAAATTATCAAAATCATAAACAAGCATGATATCAAAATCCGAATCTTGATTGATAGTATAATAATCATTATCGGCCGATTTACCATACAATCTACTTCCATACACGTAGACATTTAAAATTCTCTCAGGTTGCAATAAACCTTCAAATTCTTCACAGATCAATTCGGGAGTGAGTTTACAATTTTTCATCATGGATAACATTCGGGATGAATTGTTGTGATTTTCCAGAGATGATGTAACAGGTGGTATTTCTTCATGTAACATTTTTTTCTTTATTTAATTTCGTTTTTGCATGCTTTGATGCAATTGCACTTTGAGTTTACAATAAAGTTATAAGAAAATAAGTGAAAGGAAAGAGATTAAGAATTATTTAATGGGATTCTTCTTCACCACTTGGTTTGACATTGTGATAGTGGGCAATTTCACGAGTTACCAAAATGAGATTCCACACTGATACTCCAAATGCGGCAATATTGAAAATTAAATGGACAATGGCCACAACAAAAGCAAAAGGATTATCAAATTCCAAACTATCAACTCCCCAATCGAATTCTCTATCATCCAAATTATCCACAAGCATGACAATAAAGACAGTTCCTAAATAGGAAAGAATGAGGCCAAGTATCATGTGAGCAATGGCACATCCACAGCCAATCATGGCAAATCGTTTCGTTCTGAGATTTTGTTGAGTAATGTGATTCTGTAATCCTTCCTGAATGGCCATGAAGGTTCCTTTCCATGAAGCCAAAGCTGTGCCCACATTCTTTGCCATGGACATGAGCGTTAAAATGATTAAACATATACCCAAGACTACTAATTGTTCTGTATTGGTCTGATTGGTTCTGTGATTGGCAACAATCATGAACGGAATTAAGCAAATTAAGGTCAAGTTGAAGAACAAACTCAGAATTACCTGAAGGAAGGCAACAATTCTATAGATGAGAGGTTCATATTCCGTAGTTTTGGTTTTTGGTGATGGTGTTGGCATGATTAAGCTACTATATTAAATTATTTAATTATTTGTATTAATAATAATAATGGAAAATCCAAGTTATTGAACAAAACACAGAGTATATTGGTAGTGTTCGGAGGATGGAAGATGATGAGTGTTTTGTTTTTTCAAACAAGTAAAATAGTAGGAGAGGCGTTTATTGAGGTCTTAATGTTTTTGGCGCCTAATTATGAATGGGCGTTCCCAAACCAATTCGAGGAGCAAGTTGAAACATCAAAGGTCAATCTTGGAATCCATTATAATTGAAAAGATGATAAATCTATTGTGTGAGATTTATAAAGTAGTGGTAATAATTATTCATCTTGATTATATGAATAGGAATTGGATTGTTGGGCAAGACCTGCACGTTCTTCTCTGTTTTGGGTGGCTGATGATGATGGATTGGTCTTTCTCTTGCAAAGGTAAGCTGATAAAACAGAGGCAGCAATGACAATGAATAAAACTCCAACGAATACAAAGGCAACGATTAGCAAGACAGTCACAACTGAATTGGATTCATAGGCAAGAACAATGGCTCTGGTTTGATCAATGTCCTCAGTGAAAACTCCATCAACACCAAGTTCCAAAGCACTCTTAATAAAATCAGAGAAGGTGGTATATGGGGTTTGTTTCAAAAAGTATTCCTCAGGTCTGTAAGTATATGGGTGAATGATTAAATTTCTCTTGTGAACTGATTCAACCCATGGTTTAGTAACCATCTTCCAAGCTGGTCCGAAACCAGTGATACCAGCACTCTTTGCTGTATCAATACCTTCCTCAGTCAGGTACTCATCAAAATTTCTTCCATTATCAATTTGAGAACCATTAGCCACTAAAAGCATCACATATCCCAATGGTTGAATATTCTTGTTGGACAAAATTGTACGAATACTAGTCATACTTGAAATTTCAAATGATTGGAACATGGTATATTCAAGATAATGGTACTTCTCCAAAACATTAACAAGCAATTGGTTAACATCGACATTCAAAGCAGATGCAAAATATGTTGGATGCTTTGTTTCGATATAGAGCTTGATTTTAGAAGAATTATTTGGAGTAATAGCAATTATATAGTCAAGTGCTGTTTCAAGAGTTGGCATGACAAAGATGTCATCAAACTTGGTAGTTCTAGCTTGTGGATATCTTTCTCTCAATCTCAATTCCTGTAATTCAGAAGCAGTAAAATCCTCAATAAACCATCCAGAATATGATTTCTTATCGACAACTTTAGTTTTCTTTCTATCCGAAAATTTGCTCACAGAGGCAACATTACTAATTTCTATAGAAGAAACAGTTAGCACACTCAAAGATTTTCAATCAGGTACCTACCAGTTAATTCAAAACTATGAGTCACCATAAGGACTCCATCTTTAGATGGCATTACATCAAATTCAATATAATCAGCATCTTGTTGAAAAGCCAATAAATAGGATTCATACGTATGTTCAGGTCTCAAATTTGGAGCTCCTCTATGTCCAATCAATTCAAATTTTGCTTCCGTCATTATTAGGAAATTATTCATCGCTACTATCAGCATCATCACATTGATAATTAATAATACAAGAGCAGAAGTAGAACCATTCCCTACTAGTCCGCTCGATTTTATCCCCCGACTATTCATTGTTGTTATTGTTGTATTTGTTATTGTTGTATTTGTTATTGTTGTTGTGTTGTATTTTGTTTTTCCTTGTTATTGGCTGAACTTTGAAAAATCTATTTGTGATTGCGACTCTTGAACATACAAAGATGACGCTGCTGAACAAGGATAATGAAATTTCTATTTTTTTTTAATTTTTTTTAGATTTTGAAAAATTTACTGGAATTTACGGCGCCTATTTAATTACAACTCAATAAATGATCTAGTTAACTTATTTGTACAATTTAAACTGGTGGAAAGTAGAAGAAAGTGGAATATGAAAAGATGATGAAAATTAACATTTATAGTTTTGAAGGAAGTGAAGTGGAATTGAAGGAAAGGAAGGGAGAAAGATGAAACCACAGGGAATTGCCATCACCAGGAAGTGAAATTAAAACTCGTTTCGAATAATGGTTAGGTTTTGAATAAGGAGGTGAAAATTTCCAAAATTCTCTGATGAAATCATTTTCTCCTTCTTGTTTGAGTTCAGTCTTTGGCATGACAATTGCAATTCCAATAATATTAATCGATTGTCCATGTGGTAGTTTCGACAAGAGGTTTAAACTAAACTGATTGAGAAACGATTCAATTGTAAAGTCATGAATTGAAGTTTGACTTGAAGGATGCAATAATATTCCAACATTGATTTGAGAACATTCACAATTAGTTGGCTGTTGATCACGAGCTCTGCATTGACAGTTGGAATTATTCGAAACGTCTTGAATTCTCTGTTGATTGAGCAAGAGATTGGTAAATTGATTTCTTTCAAGCGGAATGAATTTCATTTCTTTTTATAATTTCTTAATTATATAAACATAACAGATCAATATTTAAATAGTAATTTATTTATCAAAATCACTTCCATAAATAGAACATGAAAAATAACCCAATTATGGACTTTATTGTCATGACAATATGATGAAGAAATATTAAATAACAATTTAATAATTTTAATAAAATAAAAATCCTTAAAAAAAATAAGCTGATTGAAATTCTTCATGCCTCACTATGTAACAGTACAAGATGATGCTATCGATCTACGATTGCAATTTATTAACGAATTTCAAAGGAGAATCAGGAAACATTGTGGAAAGATTATTAAAACTATCGGAGAGCCTTTAGAGTTGGAGAAGAAAATTAATGATGGAGGGAATAATACATCAAGTATGGAACGGATTGAAATATTGGCCAAGAGATTGGAGAATCTTTATAGAGAAAAAATCATTTACGAGAGGAAAAAACAAGAAAATTGTCCAGCCTTTGAAATTATTGCAAATATTCATCATGATGGAAATGATGATAATAATAATTATAGAAAACAAGCTATCAAGTTATTTAAAACAGAATATAAAAAGAGAGTACTAGCGGAAAGAGAGGAGAATGAAAGAATTCGAAGGAAGGAGACTTTGATTGAAAAGTTAAAGAAGGTTGAATATTATGAGAGGAAGAATCAACAAATGAAATGGTCTTCACTCTATTCAGGAGTGGAAGGTGATGAGGAAAAGCAAAATGGATTCTTGGATTTGGAAAATGTTGAAAAGGAAATTAGTGCTCTAGTTAACAAGTACAATGATATTTATCATAACAAGAAAACAAAGAAGACTAGAACTAAATTTTATTGGAATGAGCCAGTGATGGTAAATCAAACAATTCAACCAGAATTCTCTATTGAGCCGGAAGATGTTCAAACAGATACTTTTGAAAAGACATTACCTTCTCTGTTCAAGGTTGGAGAAAATCAATTCACTGCCCCAACTGTTGTGAGTTCTTCCAATTTTTTGGAAGATAGTGAAATGCAGATAGATACTATCATGCTTCACTCTTGTCTAGAATTGAAATATTTGAAAAAACTAAGACAAGTTAATACAGACAGCAAGAAGGAAGTCGCAGATGATACATTCGTTTACGGTTCAAGCTTTATTCGCTTTCCTCTTGATTCAGATAATACAAAAGAGGAACCAAAAGCCATCAAGTTCAGTACCAAGGTGCAAAAAATCAGGGAGGCCATTATGAGCAATAAAAACTGAACTGTTTTCTTAATCCAGTAATCTCAGTCTTGCTAATAAAACTATGGCTCATCCTTAAACATGTGAGTAACATAATATTTGCATTCAGAATATTCTTTGCAAAGAACTTCCACTCCAAAAATGTATGTCTGGTCCACAATCTCTTTTTTATAATACTCTATTAATCTATTCATATTCTTAAAGTAATGGGTTTGACTTTTTAATTTGAAAAGTTGTTCGCAATGCTCATCTATTACATCCAAAAAAGTTGGATTATAACAGTCAGGATGCGAAAATTCATTATTCCAAATTGGTACTAACATTTCCAGTCTTCTATCTCCATTTACTCCCTTTGCAGGTTGTTAAATTAATATCATATTCCAATTTGTATTGTATTGAATTGAAACTTACCTCTGTTTCTAGGCTTAAAATTGTATAGGCAGTGTCAATTTCGTCTTCATAGGAATTTTCTTCACTTCTGGTCGAGCTGGCATCGCTGGACTTTTTCATCTTACTCTCATCCTCTTGAGATCTCTTTCTTTTAAGGTTATTTTCAATGGTTATGTCCTTCACCACTGCCTTGACAATTACATTAGTACTTTGAAAACGTTGAAGAGTAGTAGGAATCTCAAATAATTCCTTGTAATAAATCCAAGGAATGTTGACATATCTTGCTTTGAATGATTCAAAATCTTGAAAGTCTGGAATAGGATATTGCCTCGAAGGTCCAAATGTTGTTGGCACAGAAAGGCAAGTATTGAAAAAGTCCTTATTATTTTCTCTCCATTCATTCAAATCCTCAAAGTATCCAGTAATTTCCTTGATATTAGAGGCAAAATTTAGAGTAGATAATTGCGATTCTGTAAATACATGAGTAATGAATGAGCTTTCTAAATTACTAGTTGTAGTTTGAGCCTTGTCCATACAGGTTAGGAATGTATGTGCAGAAACATCAGTCAAAAGCACAACTTGACCAATTTGAACAGTATCCAAAATGTGCTTTCTTGAATTAGTATATAATTTTACAGACATCGCAGAAATGCTAGAAGGATCCATTAATGTGACATATCTATACTGAGAGAATTGATGTTGGCTCTTTTCTCTTCTGTAAGGGCCAATATTTGCTACAATGCCCATGATATTCAGTACTGTTCCATCGAGTTTAGATTGAATAATAGTGTTAATATTTGTGAGTGGAAATTCTATTGGAGCAAAGCTAGCAATTCTATCGTCCAACTTTTGAATTGGAATTACTCGTGATTTTGTTGGGTTGATAGAAATTTCAGTTTTGAATTTGGTTGAGAAAACTCCAGAATCGTGGAAATTTTTCACTCTATATTCCTCTGCTGAAATAATATCGCCAACACTTAAATCTCCATAAGTTTTCAATGCTAATTCATTCCAAATGGTGACTGGTACACCTTTTGGTGTCGATTTGTCTGTAATTAATAATACGTAGAACATTGGATATTGTTTCTCCTCATTTGTTTTTCCAAAGTATCTTATCTTTGACTTTTTCCAAATTCTAGCAATGAATGGTTTCTTTACGCCACTTCCAATAATATCTGCCAATTGTGACACATTCTCGAATGGCTCTACCAGAGTCTTTCATGTGTTAAAATAAAGTATTCAATTATTCTACTTACTACCTCTGGTACAGTACCACTGTATACCTCAAAATCAAAATTATCCTCATCCTCTAGTGGCATGTAAAATCCTCTTCCTGACAGTAGTGGGCAAATATTTCCTCTTGCTTCATCGAGAACTTGTGAAAAATCTTCAATTGAAACTCGTGGTTTTTTGTTTTGTGAAATAATTTCCAAAGATTGAATGAAAACAACTCCCTTCTGCTTTCCTTTCACCTTCTCATCGATTAGCACTTTATATTTAGTTATCATTATTTTAGTGTTTTCTCTAATTTTTGATTGAGTTATTAATTCATTCAATAAAGGTGATAGAATGACAACTATAACAGTTTCACGATCGGTAATTGTTATTTCATATCCATCTTTTGGTTGCACCAATTGAGCAGCAGAAATATGATTGTCACTCACAAAACCCTGACTATTGACAGTTGGTGTAATCAAAACATCGGAAACATTAAGAAAATGTGAATCAATATGAACTATTATTCTTGTTAGCATCAATTTGATAATTTCCTAAACTCACATCTTTTGATCCGAAGAACATAACATGTAATCTTTATATTTCTATCCAAATTATTAACACCAGATCGTATCAAGGTAGATAATTGTACCTGCTGTTCGCTATGATCATCATCAGTATCTTGTGTTTCTAACTTTTCCAACACGTCTTCATTTGCAATAACGGGAGAGTTATTTATTTCATCCATTTTTTTTGAATTTGTTTTGGCGCCAAATGTTTTAATTCGAGTGATGAGTCGAACACCAGCTGAATGTAAGCTATTTTCATCAATTGGAGTTTTGGCCAACTAGTTTTTCAATGGAACTTTCACTCAAAACAAAATTCAATTACAGCAAAACTGTTTCTATGTCCACTGTCCGCACAATGGACTTTCAAAAGTAAGGAATACCGTCCCACTCCTGTTACTACTCGATAATCGCAAAAGAACAACATGCTCATCATCGTTGCAGTTTACATTCCACAGTCCGTATCATTACTTCTTTCCATTTCATGAATATTATCTTCATCAACAAACAATTAATGTTTGTCATTACCATTTTGCATTGTTTATTGTTTGTGATGAAAATCTGAGCCAAAACTTACAAAAAAAATGCTCCTTCGTAACAGCTTGAAGCAATCAAAATCGATCCGTAAAAATGTTGGTGCTGCTTTATCAACCAGTGTAGTTGCAGCCAATTCTATTGCCGCCAATAAGTCATCTTCATTCTCTAATAAGAGACAAAATATGATCGTTTCATCATCATCATTATGCGGAAAGAAATATTTTCATACAATTATGAATCAACAACTCACATCACAATCATCATCAGCAGCAGACTTTGCAATGAACAAAACAAGAAACCACTCTTTGATAAAATCTTGATTGCCAACAGAGGTGAAATTGCCTGTAGAGTTATGAAAACAGCAAGAAAGCTTGGTATTAAAACTGTTGCTGTTTATAGTGAAGCCGATGCCAATTCTATGCACGTAGCTATGGCTGATGAAGCCTACTTGTTAGGTCCACCAGAATCAAGCAAATCATACTTGTGTGGTGATAAAATTCTTGAAATTGCCAAACAATGTGGAGCTCAAGCTATTCACCCTGGTTATGGTTTCTTGTCAGAAAATGCTAAATTTGCCAGTCTCTGTGCCAAGAATGGTGTTGTTTTTATTGGACCACCAGAAGGAGCTATTATTTCAATGGGATCAAAGAGTGAAAGTAAAAAGATTATGGAACATGCCAAAGTACCTGTTGTGCCAGGTTATCACGGAGATGAACAAGGTGAAGACAAATTATTGGAAGAAGCAAAGAAAATTGGTTTCCCAATTTTGATTAAAGCTGTCTTGGGAGGTGGTGGTAAAGGTATGAAGCTTGCCCACAGTGAAAAGGAATTCAAAGAAGCTCTCTCTTCTGCTAAACGTGAAGCTAAAGCTTCATTTGGTGATGACAGAGTTTTAATTGAAAAATATATTCAAACACCACGTCACATTGAAATTCAAGTTTTTGCTGATACTCACGGAAATTGTGTTTACTTGTTTGAAAGAGATTGTTCAGTTCAAAGAAGACATCAAAAGATTATTGAAGAAGCTCCTGCACCAGGTTTGGCAGATGAAGTCAGAAGAGCTATGGGTGAAAGTGCTGTAGATGCTGCCAGAGCTGTTGGATATGTTGGTGCTGGTACTGTCGAATTTATTATGGACAATGCTGATAATAGTTATTACTTTATGGAAATGAATACTAGACTTCAAGTTGAACATCCAGTTACTGAAATGATTACTGGTCAAGATTTGGTTGAATGGCAACTTCAAGTTGCTTCTGGAAATAGATTACCACTTCTCCAAAACGAATTGAAGAGAACTGGTCATGCTTTCGAAGCTCGTATCTATGCTGAAAATCCAGAAAATAACTTCTTGCCAGGTACTGGTACATTGCGTTATTTGAGTCCTCCAGAAGAAATTCCAGGAGAAGTCAGAGTTGAAACTGGTGTCAGACAAGGTGATGAAGTTTCCATTTACTATGATCCAATGATTGCTAAACTTGTTGTTTGGGGCGAAAACAGAGAATTGGCTCTCCGTAAATTGGTTTCTTGTCTCCACAGATATCACATTTCTGGTTTGAATACAAATATTGAATTCCTTATCAGATTGGCCACCAATGAAAGATTTAAGAATGTCACTGAATTGGAAACTCACTTTATTCAAAAGTATTATAGTGAACTCTTCCCTGAAAAGAAGATTGATGATTCTGTCTTCTTGTTGTCCACTCTCTCATTGATTGTCAAGAATGATAGACAAACTAAGCGTTCAAGCGATCCATTCGATCAACTCAAAGGTCTCAGATTCAATCACAATCACGATGAAAACTTTGAATTCCACCATCCACACCACAAAGATCAAATTGTTTCTGTCAATGTTGAACATGTGTGGGATCCACAAACAACTAGCAAATTTGTCATGAAGATTGGTAAGAATAGCCATGTTGTTAGTGGTTCTTATGATGCTACTACTAAGGAAATTGTTGCTTCTGTTGATGGCAGAAAATTCCACTCAACCCTTGCTTTTAGTCACGACCAAAAGACAATTTACCTCTTCACAAGAGATGGTCAAAGATATGAAATTGTTCCAGTTTTGGCTGCTTTCGAACAAAAGGGTGGTCCAGCTATGGGATCATTGAAGAGTCCAATGCCAGGTAAAATTACAGCTGTCATGGTTAAGGAAGGAGATAAGGTTTCAAAGGGTGATACTATCCTTGCAATGGAAGCCATGAAGATGGAACACAAGATTTTGGCCACTAAGGATGGTGTTATCAAGAGTTTACCATATGCTATTGGTGACCTCGTTCAAGGTGAAGCTGTTTTGGCAGTCTTAGAGTAAATAACACAAACAATTCGAATCAATTTTACAAAACAAATATATTTATTAAAAAAGAGAAATTTAAATTTTTGAAAAATAGTTTATTTTCTTTTCCAATACATTTACGTACCTTTGTCAATTTCAAAACAATAACAACAAGATAAATACCTACCTTAATAAAATGTTTTTTAATTACCTATCATCGTAATCACGTCCTCTCTTGTAAGATCTTCTGTCATCATAACTATCTCTGTAACCTCCTCGGTCTCTATCACCTCGATCACCACCTCTTCTGTCTCCTCCTCTTCTATCACCACCTCCACCAAATCTTCCACCTCCTCTTCTGTCTCCTCCACCGAAGGATTTACGGAAACCACCACCTCCTCCTCCACTTTGTGGAGGTCTAAATTCTTCAACCTTCTCTTCAACAATTGGAGGTGGAGGATCACGAGAATTACCCAGTCCTCCTCCTAATCTTCTTGGTTTCCAATCCTTTACAGTACGACCTCTTTCAACATCTACAAGTACACGCCACTGATCAATTTCCATACCATCACCTAGTTTGTATGCTTCTTTCATGTCTTCATGTTTTTCAAATTCTACAAAGGCATAGCCTCTCGATTTGTTTGTTGATGCATCTCGTACAACACGAACAGTCTTGATCGGTCCAAATTTACCAAATGCATTCCTAAGAGTATCCTCCGTTGTTTCATAATTCATCTTTGAAATAAATAATGTATTGAATGGTTCTGTTGTTGCCTTTGTATCATTATTTGGATCCCAGTCTTGTAATCCTTTTCTTACAACATTTTCCACTTTAATTGCTTTATCTTTTTGTCTACTTTCCTTTCTTTTTCTTCTCGATTCAGGCATTGAATACTTTTTCGTCCGAATAGCTTGACCTTCGGCATCATATTCAACTTGTTCCTGTTCAAATTTATCTACAAATTCTGAAATTCCGTTCAGATCTCTATGTTTTGTTTTCTTTCTTCTTTTAGCATCGAGTGGAGGAAGAAAAGAGACTGGAGGGCCTGGTGTAAACAAGGCCTGAATCTGTGGTGGTAATATGCTCGGCACGTTCTTGTACTTTTTGCTCGACATTTTTTTAATAATTTAAAAAATTAAAAATATTCATGATTTAGAAAATATTATTTGATTGATTGCACAGCATGTTCAATGAATTCGTAGTCATGAAGTGAAATGTTGGCAAAATACAACACCATTTGAAATAATATTTATTGGGAATTTAAAGTAATTTAATCAGCAGTATATTAGTCTCCAAATATTAAATACACAGGAAATTCTCCATATTCTGTACTACTAGTGGTATTATAAATGTGGATATATCGTAGAAAATAATCGATTGATATCAATAGATTAATAACCAACTAATAACTGGAAAGAGCAAACTTTGGTAGGGAAAATTTCAACCATCAACTCGGATTTTAGAACAGAAAAAAAAGTCCCAATTCAAGCTTACCACAAAGTAAGAGTTTAAGAAGGCAAATTTTCGATCGTTTCTAATCGGAAGTGTCGTAAAAACAAGAGCAACAATCTAAACACACAACAAGGAAAATTCTTAAAACACCTAGAAAATGACCAAACAAAAGAAAAAGAAGAATCAAACAACTCCTTCCTCAGCAAGTAAGAGAAAGAGTCAGACTTTGAGTTTGGATGAATTCTTGTCGCCTTCTGGAATGAATTTAATGCAAGAAATTGATAGTGCCACTCATCATCATCACCATCACGAGGATGTTGCAGAAAATTCTTCTACTACTATTGCAATGAATGGAAATAATCACAAGAAGGAAGAAGAACCAAGTCAATCAAGAAATGAAGAAACCATTGTCGAATCTGCTCAATCGATTGAAATTGTGATCAATGGAGGAGAGGAAAGTAAAATAACTAATGATGAAGAGCATTCTATGATCGATAATCAGACCACAATTACTCAAGAACCTATTTCAGAACAATCCAATTTTGAACAAAACCCCAACAAGGAAGAAAGCTCAAACTTGAATGAAAAACCAATTGAAGAAAATGTGATCAAAGAAGAATTAGTAATTACTACCACACAAGAAATAACCAATAATAGCACAGAAGAGGCAACTCTTGCAGAGGAAACAAATCCTGAAAAAGAAAATCTATTAATTTCTTCTTCAATTGAGATGGATTCTGTTAGTACAGCTGTAGTAACTGCCACCCTTGTTAATCATCATCAAGAATCACCATCCCAAGTAGAATTCAAGGAACCAATCAAACAAAGAAAGGAGGAAACCAAATATATTGAAGAAAGAAATGCAGTAGCAAAAAGGGTTTTGGAAAAGCTGAGTATTAACACTGAAATTAGAAAGACGTCTTTCAAAGATTTGTCACATGTAACCAAAATGACATTAATCACCCAAGAACCAACAAATTCCAACATTTGTTGTGCCTTTGTAACATTGGAGAGTCCTATTTCACATGAAGATTTGAGAAGTCGATTGGATAAGAGGGTTGTGCAACAATATGCAAGATTCAGGTCTACTGTTAGCAATGATTACAATACTTTTTGTGATCAAGGATCTATTGACATTGAACAACATATTAGATACATGAGAGTACTAAAGAGTGGCAATCGCGAATATTCTGAAACAGAAGAACACGAGCTTGTTAGAGAGCTGCTAGGTAAATTGGTTTGTGAACCCTTTGATTTTTCCAAGCCATTGTGGGAGTGTATTGTGATTGATAATTGTCCTGCCATGGGATATCTGTTATTATTTAGAATTCATCATGCTATTGGAGATGGATCATCTTTAGTAATGTTCTTTTCTCAATTCTGTGACCAGGGAGAAGAGCATTTCAAGGAAGAACTTCATGAAAGAAAGGGGAAACTCATATCCAAGACTATTCGTTCATTGGAACACGTTCCTGTTATTGGCTATATCATTAGAATGATAGCATTTATGTGGCTGTTATGGGGCTTACTTATGGTTGCACTCAAGTGGATTTCTATGATTATTCGAGGAGGTGATAAGAGTCTTTTCAAAACAAAAGTTTCAACAGAAAAGCAAGTTTCGTGGACAAGGGCTTTTGATATTGCAGATGTCAAACTGGTGGCTAAGAAGATCTGTAACAACTCTACAGTGAATGATATTGTTTTGAATTCCCTTTCTGGAGCCTTATTGAGATTTACTGAGAGAAGATCCAATAATGAAAGCAATATGAAGGTTACCTTATCTGTTCCTGTAAATATTAGACTTGAGGAAGAAGAGTTTAACAACTTATCCAACAAGTTTGGATTTATGCTTGTGCCGCTTAATTTGAAGAATCTCTCTAGAAATCCCGAGTCTAGACTCCTACAAATCAAGAAGGTTATGGATAAGAGCAAGAGACTTCCAGAACCATTTTTTACATATCAATCTTGTAGACTAGTTAATATTTTACAAAAGAGCACAGTTTCTACAATTTACAAGTTTGTTTCCAATTGGGTTTCTGCAGTTTTCACAAATATTGTTGGATCCTCAACTCAATTAACAGTGGAGAATGTCAAGGTATCCAATTTAGTTGTGTTTGCACCTTCCCCTGCTTCTGTTGGATTATCTTTTGCTGTGTCGAGCCATAATGGAAAGCTTGTTCTTGGTGTTTGTGCTGATACCTTAACTGCCAATCCTCAAGAACTTGTGAAGGATTTCGAAAATGATTTGGATCAAATAATTTCAATGGCTAAAAGTTTAGATTTACATTAAATCAATTTTATTGGTATTTTTTTAATAACCTGTTCGCAATATTGAATCATTTACCACTAAATTGAAGTTGGTTGAATATTTTGTGCTGTCACATTTTCGATACCATCCATAGCACCTAAATGGATTTGATTTGGAACTGACCAATGCTGACCAGCATTTACAGTTCCCAATTCAAAATCAGCATTTACAGAATAGGCAACCAATAAATCAGGAGTAGAGGTATTGATGGTGCTACTTGAGGGTTGTGTAGTGTACTGAATCGATGGTTGTGAATTGGCAGGGAATTGGGCAGGTGGCATTTGTTTCTTCTTTCTAAAATACAAAAAGACTGAAATTCCAACACCCAATAGAACTATTCCAACAATAAAAAGAATAACGAATATGAGTGCAACAGATACACCAGCTGCTACCTTTGCATCTTGGTCTGCTCTATAGGCAGAATCATCTTCCAAATACTCAGCTGTTACACCAATCATTGAAAATTGAGATTGCTTTGATAAATAATTCAAATCGCATGAACATGTTACAACAGTTGTTGAATCAGATTGAAATTCAGATAAATATTGTTTGGAATTGCTGGCGTATTTACAATACGTTTCAACTTGGAAATCCTTCATGTCGTATACAGTAATACATCTGAAAGTTTGTTTGATTAGAGGACTAATTGGTGAAGCATACGATGGGAGAGGAATATTGAATGAAGCAGTTCCTTCCAAAATGTTTTTTGAAGAAATACTCAATTGGGAAATGAAATCTCTTTTAGGTGTTGTAATGGATCGCTTTGATGATGGATATTTGAAAACTGAGTGTGAAACTATGATTTCTTCATTGGCTTGAGCTGTTGTCTTGTGTTTGGACAATTGGAATGAGACTAGTGGGACTTTGGATTCGGATGTAATCGAAAGTGAGTTCATGGAGACGTAACTGGACTTTACTGCATTCACAATAATCAAATTGGAAGGTTTCTTATCTGGGAAAAAGTTTGTGGTTGTGAATGTGAATTGTGAACTTTTGGAAATAGTAGAAAACGCAATTTTAGAAATCATGGACATTGTAGTGGTTTCAGATATCTTTGGAGCAATGTTTGTTACAATATTAGAAAGCGAAGCAGAAATCCCATCATCCCAGTTTGTCAATCTTTGAGTATATGAAACAAATTCGTTTACAATTTGAGTAGTTTTCTCAACATTTGAATCAGTTAAATATTCAGGATTGGACAAGTCCTTTATCTGGTTGACCATGGTTGAGAACGAGCCTAGAGATGGACTTGACTCTTTCATGTCTTTCGAAATTGCCGTAATTGACATATCCAAAGCTTTTGGAGTCAATGAAGCGATTTCCTTTTGCACAATCTCTGTAGCTATTCCAATATTATTAATCATTGAAACAATATAATTATTATTACTGGAAATGTCTTTAAAACTGGCACTATTCGATTGTGAAATGATTGCCATTTGACTTGCAATTTTTGATACGAAACTACTTGTAAGTAATGATTTAGTACTGAACGTAATGGCTTTTGACAAGAGTATATCTTCACTAGCTTTACCACCAGTAAGTGTGTCATAAATTACAACCTTAAAAGATTGTCCTGACCTTGATGTTACAAAGTCAATTGGGAAACTGGCAGATTTACCAACCAAGAGTCCATCATGATAGAGCTCAATCTTTGTCGATGTGGTAACAAGGTCAGATGTACATGAAAGTGTTGCTTTGGTTATTCCAATTTCAATGGTGGATGGAGAAATTGAACACATGTCAATTATTGTAAAAAATTTGCCTTGAAGTTCAATACTTTGACCTTGTACAGAGAGATCATTAGCGGCATATAAAGACATTGTTGTAGAACTCTTTGCCATTGTAAACTTTGAGAGAGTGCTCTGTTTGAATACTACTGGTACAGTGCTGATGGTATTGGAAAGTGTAGTTGATAATAATTCAACAGAATTATAGCTGATTGGATTGGATAAGATAACTCTTAACTTGCAATCATTACTTGAAGATACCACTTCAAGATTATAGGTTTGATCATTTTCTGAATAAGGTATTGTACTTCTTCCATTTGGAGTCTTCAATGAAACTGCAAGAATTTTACAATATCCTGGTGAGGTGTACTACTTGCAGGTTGTTCTTTAATAAATGTCACATATTTTGAAATGGAAGTATCTCCAAGCCTATTTGGCCCACTACAAGTCAATTCGAAAAGAGCACTCGATACTGCAGAGTCTGGATTAGCAGCACTCAGTACTCTAACTGGAACAGTTGCAGAGGAAGCGTATCCATTCGCTATTTTGGAAGAATCCTCTAACAACGAATATCTGATGCTGCTGTAAAAATATGAATCTCCATAAGGACTCCTACAAGCAATGGTAATGCTTGGCTGTATAAAGTTATAATAAACAATCGATTCGACTATTTTTGGAATAGGTGGAAGGTAACGAACATCTAACCGGATTCTTGCTGAATTGCCAAACCATATGGGCAGTATTTCCTCATTTGTAAACGTTAAAGATTTAACAATAATTAAATCTGAGGTAAGAATAACCGAATGTGAACTAGTACGATCCATAGTAAAATAATCATCATAGTAACCGCGATACAGGGAAAAGGATGGAACGATTCCTTGATCTAAACATTCAGGATTTTCATAGAATTCTCGAAGAGGAATAGTCTCATCTTCTGAACTAAGGAAGGTAACTGTTCTAGTAGGAATGGTAGAACTTGGTTTAGGATAAGGTTTACTTAATTTAAGTGGGAATGATTTTACGGCTTGTTGACCAAAAGCAGATACAAAAGTCACTGTTACAATTAGAGTTTCATTAGTGAGCATTTCTGGTACGAATGGAATAGTCAAGTCAAGACTGTTTTTGGCAGTTTCTACAGCTTGCACAATTTTAGGAACAGTTTGGAGATTATTTGAATTTGTAATGTTCCATTTAATGGATGTGAAAGTGTATCGGTGTTCTGGTTGCGAGTAATGTAAACGTAATTGTGTGTCATAACATCTGTTTACACCCTATATTGCTCAGCATACAAATCTAAACCAATCGAATTCTTTGTATAAAACTCTTTTACACTAATGTTAAGGGTGGTATAGGATGGTTTTTTTTGTGGATTTGCCCAAAAGATGTTGAAATGTATTGGTTTACTTGGACTCATTGTACCTTGAAAAGTTTTAACAGTAATTAAATAAGCTCTATTGACAGTATTAGAAGGAGAAACTGTGCCATTCCTAACAGTACATTCCAAACCTATACCAATTTCATTCTCTAGATTAGTAAACAACTTGCTACAAGCATAATCGGTAGAATTCACAATACCTGTTGACATTACTATAAATTGAAGAAATTCTAACCTATTATCATCAGTAAAAGCATAGTATTCTGGATCGGTGACAGCATAATTTAAACATTCTTCATCTCCTTCGAGGTGTCCAGAACATTCAGAACAGAGAGCACCAGTAAACAATCCAACACATGATTCACAACTGGAACCATAAGATCTTGAAGAACATTGACAATTATCATATGCAATACAACTTCCTCTGTGGTTACAAACATTTGTGGCTGTGTTTTCAATACCATTACATGTCCAATTACCGCACTTAAGTCCAAAATAACCTGTAACACATTGTTCACAAAATGAACCAGTGGCAGTTGAAGTACATTTACATTGATTTGGAGCGACACATTGTCCTCTACCACCACATACATCAGGCGACGTGTTCTCAATACCATTACAATTCCATTTTTCACATTTGCTTCCATAATACCCTTCCTTACATGATTCACAATTGTCTCCATAAGAATTAGGGGCTAAACATTTACAATTATTTGAAGAAGAACAAATTCCTCTTCCTGTGCAGGTAAGATTAGACTTGGCATTGATACCCCCACACTCGAATTCGTTACAAGTACTACCAAAATAACCAACTAAGCATGTGCAATTATTTAAACTTGAACAAACTCCATGTGTTGAACAAGCTTTCGAATCAGAATTTAAAATTCCTGAACACGAATATGTGCTACATGACGGACCAGAATATCCCTCTTGGCAGGAACATGTATCTTCCTTAATACATGATCCATGACCTGAACACACCTTGCTATCCGATTGAATTATTCCATTACATGTTGCGTATTGACATTGGTTTCCAGTATATCTACCATTACACCGACAAGTATTCGGCCCATAACAATTTCCATTTCCAGAACAAACTGTTTTTGAATCAAAGTCAATACCAAAACATGTAGTTTTCTGTTCACAATTAGACCCAAAATATCCAAAATAACATGAGCAAGTATTAGGCCCAACGCAATTACCCTTACCACTACATTTCAGTGCGGACTTGGAAGAAATACCATAGCATACATTGGTGTCACACTTGTCCCCTTCTGTGCCAGTCATGCAAATATATGGGCTACGATAGTAAAACTTGATTGAATCCAGATATATACCTATGTTGACTGTGAAACCAACAAGTTCTTTACCTTTTGGAACGCTTTCAGTTTGAAGGGAACTACGACATTTACCATTTGAAAAAGACTTCTTGTTTGTGTTGAATTTGATATATTCTACTGTGGTATATGAATTACCACCAACACAATAGTCAATCGAGGTGAAATATTCATCACTGTCAATGGCATATCTAATTCCTAACCCGCCTTGGAAAGCAGGTACAGATTTGAATTCAAATCCAATATCCCTAACATAATCTGAAGTGGTTCCAAAAAGAATTGCAGTAACTTTGTCACTTGTTGTGTGTGTTGTTGATCCTCCAGATCCTCCTATTCTAGCAGATGATGATTCAGTTGTATCGTAACGAGCAGTGTATGATTCAATCCAGGCTGTTCTTCTTGTGCCATCTCTGAGATATGTGAACATGGTTGGAATAATTTCATCAACAGTGGCCTTCTTATTAACCATTATGCTGGAAGGACTTACGTGGTAGTAATCCAGAGTTGGATCGTCAGCTATTTTTCGTAACCATAAAATCTTTCCATCTGAGTATCTGAATTTACAAAGAACTCCAATATCAAGAAAATTTGATACTCTGCCATCGGTGTCATCAATTATTGAAAATGATGTCAATCCATTAATAATTGCATAGATAGATAGATCTCTGTCTAATGCAAGGCTTTGAAGCTTAATTTTGGATAATATAAGGGAAATGAATCTGTTTAATTTTTCAACAGCTCCATTGTAATATCTCAACAAGAAGACACCTGGATTTGCAATGGAACCGCTTATGTAGCAATTAGCCTCACATGCAATCAGTAGGTGTAATTTTCCTAAACGATCCAAAACTGTCTTTGGTGCTCCCATGTTAACTGAGGTACTGTGGAACACCATATCAATAGAAGAGAACAAACCATCATCTGAGCTAAATGTCGCTATGTAGATTCCAGATTTGTGTGAAACAAAATTGAAACCTTGAGCAGCGAATTGGAAATTAGTTCCATCACTTTCATAAAGTGTGACCAAAATTTTCCCAAATGGTGAATAACTCAAACCTGCAGCCTGACATTTACTTGGATCTGCACAAGAGGATATTACATTGTTCCACATTAATCTACCGTCATTGTAACATGCAATCAATAATCTTGAATCCATTCTGATGATAAGATAGAGTTTGTTCGAGTCGGAATGGTCTAAATCAACATGTGAAATTGATGCATCAGGGAAGTCATTTTCTAAGGAAATTACAGAAATCACATAGCCAGTTGATGATACGAAGGCAATGAATGGAACTTTTCTATTGTTTTGAGAGGTTTTTGAGGATAGTTTTGTACCCCTAAAACATGCTCTTTCCTTTGTAATAATCCAACCAGATAACACAATAGTACCATCCGAAGCAAAGGAAAGAGTTTGACTAACTACTGATGCACTTGTGCTGCAATCACTTTGAATGTCTAATGTCCAAATCTCTGCACCATTCTTGCTTACCCTCTTAAGTTTTGAAATGTATTTATCAACCAAAGTAGGAGCATTCACCAAGTGATACAAATCTTCATTTTGGTCATTGATAAAGCCAACCAATTGTGTTGTAACATTCATTCCTACTTCACTATATCCACCTGGCAACTCTATATCAACAGCATGTCCTAGATTTTGTTGATTCGAGCAAAGAGGTGGAATATTTGTCATTGTATCGCAATACTCTAGCACAGTACCCTTCGTGTGAAAGGAAAAGAGCGCTAACACAAAGGCTGTTAACAGTAAGCAATTAAGCCAATTAAGGTTGCTCCTCATGTTGAGTTTGTTGTTAATTTTTTTCTTCAAGAAAAGTGTGTGCAAACCGCAAGGCCGTTCAACATTGGACAATGAAGAGAATGTTTGTTGGGAATTGTGAATCGTACTGTTTGAATGTTTGAGGATTACAGTAAGACCTTAACAAGGAATTTAAGGAGCATATTACAATAATAAAACATGGAATTTCCAATGTTTCAAAAGTTTTCAAATTACGGTCAACTTAAGGTTTTCCAATTTCTAAAAATGGCAAATAAAATTCTTGGAATAAATCGGCCCTTTTCAAAGTATTCGTTAACTTTTTCCTGAAGGAAATGTTAATACAAATATTAAATTAAAGAAAACTAACCAATTCTATTTACATTAAGTATTTTATCAATTAGTTTATTTCTTCTTCTTACCAGATTCAGCCTTAGCTTCACCTCCGTTTCCACTTTCCTTACTCTTTTCGTCAATAATCTTTTGTTGAATATCTGGAGTAACAACACGGTGAGTGAAATATTCCATTGAACATTCACCTTTACCTTGTGTTAAACTTCTCAAAGTTGTTGTATAACCGAACATTTCAGCCAAAGGAACTTCAGCCCAAATTGTCCAACTGGCATCGATGGCACTTCTTTCAGAATTTGTAACTTGACCACGTCTTTGATTGATACTGCCCAAAACTTCACCTTGGAATTCTTCTGGAACAACAATTTCAACCTTCATAATTGGTTCAAGAATTGCAGGTCTTGATTTTTCAAAAGCTTGTCTGAAACCTTGTTCACAAGCAAATCTAAAGGCCATTTCACTCGAATCGACAGGGTGAGTAGCACCATCGCTCAAAATTGCCTTAACACCCCAAACAGGACAACCAATCAATGGTCCCTTAACAACAGATTCACGGAAACCTCTTTCACAACCAGTAATATATGATGGTGTAATAGCGTTACCAATAATACGATTTTCAAACATGAATTTGTCTGGATGTTCAGCCATTTCTTCTTCAGTCATTGATTCAATGTGACCAATAACCTTAGCATATTGACCAGCACCACCAGATTGTTTCTTGTGAGTGTAATTGTATTCACCACGTCCTTGAATAGTTTCACGATAAGCAACATATGGCTTACCAACAATAACTTCACAATCAAATTCACGTTTCATTCTTTCAACATAGATATCCAAGTGCAATTCACCCATACCACTGATAATGGTTTGATTACCTTCTGGATCGAATGTAACCTTAAATGTTGGATCTTCACGTTGGAATTTGTTCAAACACTTGGCAAAAATGTTTTCCTTAGCACGATCCTTAAGTTGAACAGACTTGGAAACGACTGGTTCAGGAATAAACATAGTTTCCAAAGTGAACTTATTCTTTGCAGATGAAATAAATGTATCACCAGAAGCACAATCAACACCAAAAACGGCACAAATTTCACCTGGTCCAATTTCTGTAATATCTTCCATTTCGTTAGCGTGCATTCTGACCAATCTTGGTACCTTCAACTTGTCACCAGTTCTGGCATTAGTAATTGAAGTACCCTTCTTCAATGTACCTTGATAAACTCTCATATATGTCAATTGACCGTATTTACCTTCTTCCAATTTGAAAGCCAAACCAATGAATGGTTTAGTATTGTCGGCATGAATTTCAACCTTTCTTTCAGCTTCTGGTAAACCTGCCTTTTCTTCAGAACAATCAATAGCTGTGTTTTTAACTTGAGCAGGATTTGGTAAATAACGAAGGACACCATTCAACAAAGCTTGGATACCAGTATTCTTCTTGGCACTACCCATGAAAACAGGAGCGAATTTGTTAGCAATAGTAACTCTACGAATTGTGGTGTGAATGAGTGATTCAGTAATTTCACCATCTTCCAAATAAACTTCAGCAAATTCATCATCAACTTCAGCCAATCTTTCAAATAATTCAGCTCTCTTTGTTTGAGCTTCTTCCAAATATCTTTCTGGAATTTCCTTCTTTGTAATCTTTTCACCATTGTCACCTTCAAAATAGAGGGCCTTCATTTCAATAACGTCAACAACACCTTGCAAGTTATCTTCCAAACCCATTGGAATTTGAACAGCAGCAGCGTTCAACTTTAACTTGTCTCTGACTTGTGCAATGACACGATCTGGATTAGCTCCCAAACGATCCAATTTGTTGATGAAACACAAACGTGGAACACCATATCTCTTCATTTGACGATCGACAGTTAAAGATTGTGATTGAACACCAGAAACTGAACATAAAATCAAAATAGCACCATCCAAAACTCTCAAAGCTCTTTCAACTTCAATTGTAAAGTCAACGTGACCTGGAGTATCAATAATATTAATGTGATGCTTGTCCCATTCACAGTGAGTAGCAGCAGATTGAATAGTGATACCCTTTTCTCTTTCCAAATCCATAGAATCCATAGTGGCACCAACACCATCAGTACCTTTAACTTCGTGAATTTCCTTGATACGACCGGTATAGAAAAGAATACGTTCGGTCAATGTTGTTTTACCACTGTCAATGTGAGCAGAAATACCAATATTTCTGAGTTTGGCAAGGTGAGCAAGTTGTTCCTTGGAAATGTGTTCCAACACTACTTTATCCTCAGTATCAATAAATTCCAGTCTCTTGAAAGTATTTTTAGAAAAGTTTCTCTTCATCACCATCACACTGGAAGTAGCAGTGGAGGTAGTTGAAGCAGTCTTCAATCCTGATTTAGAGTAGAGGGAGAGTGTCTTTTTCATTTTTTTTTCAACAAACAATTTTTTAAATTTTTTAATTTTATTTTAAAAATTTTGATTGAATCTAATTTAACAGCTATCCACCAACCAAATTTATTGCAGTCCATATGGTGAATTAATGGAGTTTTTTCAAAGTGAGTGGATAACACCTACAACATTTTCTTCAACAAACAACATTGGAATGATGATGAGGATTGAAGGTATCTTAAAAGCAGCCTTCGGAATGTGTCTATTAACCAATGTCACACAAGTACCAGGTATCATTGTTAAAAAGGTGAAATTGTACAATAATTCATTCCTATTGAACATGTTCCTCCAAGAATTGAATAACCTTATCATAATGTCTTTGGTGTTTGGCATCTGGTTCAGCCCAAAGGAAATCAGTGTGACCATACTCTGGATCGAATAGAATCTTGCAACGAACATTGTTGGACACTGGACAACTTCCTGGACATGTTGAAATATTCTTGGGTGGATGTTCACCTGTTTCATCAGTCACCAACACAGAGTCACAACAGCCAAAATGTTTGATACTCTCTTCATAGTCAATTACATTATCCTTTCCTCCCAAAAAGACAAAGAGAGGTGGCACATATTCTTGTTGCTTCTTATCTTGTTGCTGATGACTCAAATTGGAGTGGTAGACCTCTCTCCATCTATCTAACATTTCATCAATTGGATACTTTTCAATTCCATTGAATTTTCTCAAACATCCTCCAATGTTTAACATCCTTAACCAGTGAACCACATTATTTACAGAGGTACATCCCAGTGGAATGTTCTTAAACCATTCACCTTTCAGGGGATGGTTTGGGAGTGGTTTTTGTTGAATATTCAATAGTTTGAGAGCATATTCACCTCCCTTGGCAAGGAATGAGGCAGGTAATAACAGTTGTCCAATAAGAATAATAAGCATGAATTCTCTCCTTCCGAAAATGAATGAGGGAGTCTTAATTAAGAGTCTAAGAAAGGTAGATTCTGGATTCTTCTTCAAGAAACATGCTGGCGACAGTCCAACAATAGCAGAAAGATAATTCTTATAGTGGGCATACTCAGTTTGTGAGAGGGCAGCAAAGAGTTGACCAGCTCCTTGGGACATTCCAACCCAACAAATCTTTGATTGGCAAGTTGCGTTTCTAACAAAATCTATTATTGCTGGCATATCATATTTGGCAATTTCATCAATAGAGAATTTCCAAAATTCGACTTCATCATGAATTCTGGAAACCAGATGTTGTTGACCAAACAGTGAGGTTCTATTATTGACCAACCAAACATCAAAACCCTTCTTGGCCAATTGGAATGCGATGGAATCTTCATGTAGCACAAAGACAGTCATGGCCTCTAACAATCCATGTTGCAACACCACAACTGGTTTCTTTGAAAGTTGTTCACTCTCTCTTAACAATTCCTCAACTTGTTGTGCCGATGGACAATATCTAATGGTTGATTGAGGACTCAATGAAACATTATTCGAATGATCAGCATCATTTCCCTTATAAATAATTCTAAAGAGTTGTAATTTACAACCGTCCTTAGTTTTACACGAGTAGACTTTGCACTCAAAACCCCTCGTTTGATTAATTAAATGTTCTGTGAATGATTTTCCCATCTCGTACACTTTACTATCAACCATTGAGTAGATATATTTACGAATCACATTTGAAAAGACAATCCATCCAATATAACATCCCAACAGTATGATCATTATATTCTGAAAGTATTGACTAAACGACTCAATCATTTGTTGCTCTATCATGTTCTATATTTTCTCTCCGAAAGTTATTATTTCTTTCTTTATAATTGAAATCAAATTCTCAATAATATGATCTACTACCACGAATTCTACTATTAACACTGTGGGCGTTGTTATTATTGTTGTGTGTGATGAGGACTATTGAGAAAAGATATCAAAAAAACAAACAATTGGAAATTCTCTCGGAAGGTATTAAATTCAAATTGTTTGTTGGGGATAAAGCTCAAAAAAGGTAACCACAAACTAGTACAACTTCTTTTCTGTTAAATCAATAAACGGTTATTATTGAGTGGTGGTGGTTTGTGTTGAGGCAATTTTTTCGATTGTAAAATTGAATAACGTTGGATTATTGGCGGTAAACGAATTGTTGTTACTTGAATTTTCCTGCTGTTGATTCATTGTTGTTTGGGTAACAACTGAAAGACAAACATGTGTTGTTGCTGTTATGGAGAATGAGAAAAACAATATCTATTCGAAACCCAACAGCTTTTGATGAGCGCATCTAGGAAAATTGGGAAGAATATTCGAAGAGTCGTTCATGTTGAATGTTATCCACAAATCCAGCGTCTCTGTGTATGTGATACAACGATTGAAAATTCATGTCTCCTATTAAACAATTGAAATATTCCATAGATGCCTAGTTCAATAAAAATCTGCCTTGTATTAGTAAATTTACCAGTTGTTGGGGTAGATAATAGATTATCTGTTACTGAGGAAAAAGGCCTTATGGCTTATTAAAATATTTCAAATCGGTCCATTCACTAAATCCATATCCAGTCACGTTGGCTGCCACTTTCCATTCATTCGAAACTTTCTCATAGAGTTGAACTGAAAAGTGTGAAATTTGCTCATAAACGAAAAGTCCCAATCCTCTATCTCCTGGATTTCTATCACTTACTTGAGCACGATATTCCATTTCAAGTTTCCAATCCTTGTTGTGAGTTTTCACTTGTGCACGAACACAATACATCTTTCCATTGAAATTCTTCCACTCGAGAGGAATGAGCTCAAATGAATTTGCACACAAGGTTCCAATTTTAATTCTCTTCCCTCTGAATCGAATGAATGCATATCCAACAGATTCTGAAGTGAGAGGCAATTTGTAAGAGCCAGTCACAATAGCCAAATCACTCTCTGCATGATTAAATTGTGACCAAATCCAATCAAAGAGTGAGGCTGGCCAACTACCATAATTATGATCGTGATAACCAATTGTATCAATGGAAATATTTCTACCATCAATCTGAATGATTCCCTTAACTTTTGCAGCAGGCATATATGATATCCAATCCAACTGAATCACTTCAGGAACTTGAATAACCTCTCGACAGGCATAGCAAGTTTGTGTGAATTGAAGCCACCACTTGACATTATGTGAAGAGCCAACAATTACATAATTTTCACTATCCAATACTTGAATGTAATTGTTTGGAGTAATTTGCATACTGGCGTTATGTTCATTGGCTTTAAAATCATCGAGAGTAAAGTAATCCTCCACATCAATGACCTTCTGCTGTTTCTGGACAGATGGCCATATCATTCCAGCCATTGATGATCTTTCCTTGTTGAATGTTCTGAGCGGATCTTGTACATTGTATCCCATACAGAAGCCAACATCTGCCTTGGGATCATAGGTGGCAAAAAACCACCACTCTCTATAGTAGGAACTCAGCAAACGATTCTCTGACTTTCTCCATTGGAAAGCATCGGATTGCATATCGAGTGTTTCATTATCGGAGCAGAGAAAATTATTGGAGAGTGATGCTGGTTTCTTGATCCCATCGTTCAGTGATATTCTACTGTGTGATAATTGGACAGTTGATTGGAATAAAAGAAAAGCTGTGATTATCAACAAGAATTTTGGTGTTGACATTTTTTTCAGGTTGACCTGTGTTATCTTGTAAAGTATGGTCTGGTCGGACAGAATAGTGGTGGTTGGTTTTATTTGAGTGAAGCAACCAAATCCTGTAATTGTTTTTCTGATGGTGATAGTGAAAGTCCTTTGTTTGCCACCGATAGTGCCTCACTGTTTCGGTTGAGCATTTTCAAACAGATTGCCTTTCTGTGAATGGCTTTGATGTAGGATGGATCAATTTCCAAAGCCAAATCAGCATATTTCATACTCTGTTCATAGTCATGAATCATAAAGTAGCTCTGTGCAATGTTCAAATTGAGAATGTGTTTCATATCTTTTGCATCTTCTTGCAAGAGAGCACGACCATAGTAATTGATAGCTCTCTTAAAGTCATTCTCTTTGTAGGCGTTATTTCCCTTAGTTTTCAACTTGTCTGCAGAGTAGACTTTTTGTAGCGCTGTTGCTATTGTTTGTTTCGATTCTTCCTGTATCTTTTTACATTTTTCCTTATGATTTTTCCAATCCTTTTTCTGACATTCTATTTCCACAAATGTATTGAAAAGTATTGTTAATGAATCGAAGATTAAATACAATAAAAATAACATACCAACACTGCAATATCTTACAGAATTACAGGCAGAGCAACGCTTTAAGGATGATTCTGAACTAGAGCCTTTTCCACAAGTGTTGCACTTGCCAATTTCCTTGATTTGAGGAGCTAATAGAGGATATTTGGCCTTGATGAGTTGTTTTGCATCCTCTCCAATTCGACTTTCAAACATATCATACAACAGACCTAGGAGTACATTTGTTTCAATTTCATTCTCCGGAGCGATGAGTCGTGTTGTTGTTTCGTTTTTGAATTCAGAGTTGACAAATTTCAAAATCTTGTCAACCTCCATTTTTTCAGCTGCCTTTGGTTCCTTCAATAATATCATTATGCATTTACAGGAAGAGTTCTTTACATCAGTAGTTAATCGCCTAGCTTTGATACTTATTGTATCCATGAGTAATTCCACAATCTGAGTATTGGTTGCAAGGTATGAACGGAAATCTTCTTCTATCATTAAACTAGACAAGAGGAAATAGGATCTTCCCCAAACAAGTAAATCACTTTGAGTTAGTGTTTCTGAATTTTTCACTCTCTGTACAAAATAATTAATCCAATAAAAACATAAGTCTTCCAGCTTAGTAGATCCATTAACAGATGATCTGTTCTTTTCATTTGCGCTCATGAATTTCCTAGTCTCACGGTCCCACAACAAACGATTCACAAGAGACAACCCATTAAGGAAGGAAGAGCCAGAAACATTAGGGAAGTGAAGCTTTCTATTCTGATTTTTAGATTTGCTCTTGAAAACCTCATTAAGTGAGAATATTACTTTGGATAGTAAAATTGTGAAAATTTCATAATTGTTTTCATAAAAGCATTTTCTCATTGGTGGATATCTCGAATAATAAGACATGATAGTAACGAGTTCTGCAATCCAGTGGTATCGTGGATCTCTGTCATCGTTCATGGCTGAGACAGCAAATCCTGTTAGCATTCCTTGTTTTTCTTTGAGAAATGAAGCCAATTTGGAAAAAATTCCACAACCAAGCATTGGTGCTAGTAATCTTCTCTGACCCTTTAAAAGGGATCCATTGACCTTAGATGCAGTTGGTTTGGCAATGTCATACAGTGTTCTAATAATTACAGTCATGGTTGTGGTTAAATCAACCTTTTCATCACTTGTTGTTTCAGGCAGGAGGATGGCATAGTTAAACATTTGGGTGATTTGGGCCAGCAGGTACTTTTTATAGATGAGACATATACCTACTTCCTGTCTACATTCTGCAGCATATGCAAAACAAGGTTCAATGGTCTTGAGCATAATTTCCTCTTCCCTAAATTCATACAAGCAATAAATTAAGTATTCAAAGAATTTAGAAGTTTCCAAAATGTGAGAAACTCTGCTAATTTCTCTATTATTCTTCATTGAATTAAATAGTTCAGAAGCCAGTCGTATTGCTTCACAAATGTATTGTAATCTGACAATACGATCATCTTCATGTTCTCTTGGTGGACCTTTCAGATGTTTCAAAATAATCTCCTCAATTCTTTGAAAGATACCACTATCAATAAGATAAGTATAAATTGGTTTGATGCACCATGAATTGTGTGAAAACTTTTCCACAACCATTCCTCTATATTCACAACAAACACCAAGAATGTACATGGCATCATATCCGAGTGACATTTTCTCTCTATTTAGATATTCCATTATTGGTGCAAGATCTTGAACTAGATAATTAAAATAGTCAGATGATTGGTTTCTTTTGAAAGTCTGGGTTGAGAAATCCTTCAAATCACTTGTATCAATATTGTCGTACATCATCTTATTGGAAAGAAGTGCCATCTTTCTAGTGCCATAATTTCTGAACTGTTAGTTTCAAATTAACTGTGTTATTAAAAAGTAAAAAATTAGACATGAACATACTCGAATAATAGCTTTGGCCAAATATTGAAATTCCTTTTCCTCCTCAACTTCTTGGTGGTGTATAGTACCATAGTGCTTCTTGATGAATTGGGAGTGGATATAGGGAGTTGCATTTTTGAGAATGGTAGCATCCAAATGCTTTTTCATTTCATCAATAGAATAAATAGATGGATCTACATCAATGTCTTGAATAAAATCCTCAACATCAGTACCAGTTCCAATAGCCTTTTCTCCTAGCTCCTTCTTTTCATCAATCTTTGATTCCAAATATTTCTCTGTATTCGTTATTTGGCAATATTCAGCAAGGGTACCAGCCACTTTAGTTGAAATTGACTTTGTTTCAAAAGCTTTTTTTACAGCGCCGAACGATTCTTTTGATTTGGCTTTCATTTCTTTCAGAGCCACAACAGCTCTAGTGCAAAGTTTTTTAGAAACTTGTTGATTGCCCAATCTTAATAAATAAACGAGGATTGATTGAAGTGTGGAATCAATACTCTCACTTGGATATTTCACTCGCAACACTAGAATTAATTCCAAACATTTCATTTCTATTGCAAAATCATAATTATTACGTTTAAAATCTTTGAACCTTCTGAGCTCATCATGAAGAATTGAACAAAGTACATTGATAGAAATGCTGTAATACATCTCCAAAAATTGTTGGAGAGCTAATTGAATATTATCTAGGGTTGTTTCGCAAGTCAAGACAAAATAACAAATCCTCATTATGTGTCTTCTCTTCAATAAATTATTCAAAATTTTGTTGGATTTAAATAAAACCAATGTATAAATTAATTCCGAAGGTGTTGGATCCTTCCACTCATCAATCATAAAGTCAATAAACTGATCCACAAATTTATCATCAACAAATGCAGATTGCACTACCGTACTCACTGCATTTTCCTTTACCAATAACCCATTTTCCAACAATACCAGCTCTACATTTTCACAACTCCAATCAGGGTTTTTTAAATCCTCATCCGAAATTGTTGGTAAACCAGAAATATGTTTGACTAATTGCAAACACGATGCATATTTCTTTTTCCTAGCTTGTTCCGCTTTTTCATATTCCATAGCCTTTTTAAATATCAAGTTAATTGATGAATCCAACAATCTGCACCTACCTCAGCACCATTCCATGAGAAGAGTTCCAAATCCAAGATCGGACTCTTCAACAAATCCATTCTTGCTCGTAAAGACTGCAATGGATCTCTACTACCAGAAGAACCTCCACTAGTAATTCCCCACGGATAGGCAGTTACTTTTCTCTTCGACTCGAAATAGACAATCTTGTGAGGAGGAAGCGAACCACTGTACATTTTTTTTGAATCGAAAAGTATATGTTATTTGAACGGAAAGTTAATAGGCCCTAATTAAAAGAATATTAAATTCTTATTTATTATTATTCTGAAAAGATCTTTGAAAATAATAATATTTGTGGTTGGACGTGCTGACAAGGCAAAAAACAAAGGTTCTAATTAGACTTCTATTATTATTATTTAAAAATTAATTTTTATTAAAAAATGTCTCAAGCTTTTATGCAGGAGGATGATCCATTCTCATCATCAGGAGGACATCAAAACGAATTGGATATTCAACATAACCCACTTTTAGGCTCTGAGGATCAAACACAACAACCAACAAATACAACAACAACAAATGGTAATCGATTTTTTGATGATTATGAAGATACATCGGATACAATTGATGAACCTGTTATAAAAACGATCATGAGAGATTTGACCAATATCGGAAGAAAGATCGCTCTTGTTTTAGTTCCTGTTAACGATGAGCAAAGAATTCATAGAGAATTGAAAAATTGGGATTTGTGGGGTCCTTTACTTTTGTGTATTCTTCTTGCTTTTACTTTAGGATTTAGTGCCAAAGAATCACAAAAAGGAGCTGCCTTTGGAGGTGTTTTTGTAATTATTTGGCTTGGAAGTGGTATTCTTACATTGAATGGACAATTATTAGGAGGAACAATTAGCTTTTTCCAAAGTGTGTGTGTTTTGGGATATTGTGTATTCCCATTAGTGTTATGTAGTATTGCATTCATTTTCCTCCAATCATTCACTATTCGATTCTTTATTGTCTTGTGTTGTGTGGTGTGGTGTTGCATAACCTCAACATTGGTCTTGACACACAGCGTTAAGAAGAATAGAAAACTTCTCAGCATGTACCCTGTCATTCTGTACTATATCTTCTTAGGATGGTTGGTATTTGTTCAATAAATTCTCATCCACTCTCTCTTCATTATCCTCCCACAATACACTTTCAGAATCTCTCCCTTTAAGAAAGCTAGAGTATTTGGATTTACCACTCACTCCACATGTTCCTTAGTATTCTCCCTTAAAAAAATGGTCCAAGCACAATCACCATTGACGGGAAATCATCCCGATAAAAAGAGTGATAATAATTGCTCCTCGGCAACAGTGTCGAGGAGTGGAAATGCTCATCAGCAACAAGGAAGAAATTCACATGAACATCTAACAGAAATTGATGAGGAAGTGAGGGTTTCTGGACAAGCTTTGGAAGAGTTTGAATCGTTGGTCTCTCTGAAAATTAAAGCTGAACAGCAACTATTAAGTCAGAAGGGAGGAAGTAAGAAGAAATTATCGGAAGTTGATGAGGAACGGAGAAGTATATTACTCTTACTTTTTGAAAAGTATTTACGTGAGAAGGGTTTAAGTAAGAGTGCTGAAATTCTTCGTATGGAAAAACACAGAGAACAACTCGAATTGGAGGGATTTACGCCAGTTAAAAACCAATTTTCTGTATCTAAGGAACTTGAATCGAATGTGGATCAAGAATTAGTAACACAATATATTGGTAAAACCGAAAAGGAATTGGAACAATTATCAATCACTGAATTTCCTTACCATAGAACAATGTTTACTTCTCATTTCGAGAAGGTTAAAAATCCATCAACAAATCTAGAGTTGAAAGTCTTGAGAAGTAACTTTGATTTGGAGAATGTACTATTATCAGCTGCAATCAAAACAAATTCTGCAATCATCAATGAAAAACTTGGATTAATCAATGAAGATACACTGGATTTGTCAAATCTTGATTCATTAGAATTGGAATTATCCAAGCCTATTCATACTGAAACTGTATTGAGATATATTAATGCTGCAACATCTGACAATTTAAAACCAATTGATAAGATTTGCTTAATGTATCAAAATATGGGAATATCATCAGGTCAGTTTTTCACCTGCCTTTCTTCTTGGCTGTCCTCATCAGATGATAAAGTAACAGAAACAAAAGCCAATGCCTATCGAGCACTTAAACATTGGCTTCAGAAGTACTACCTCTACTATACGAAATTTGATCTAGAGGGAGTTCAAGCCTACACTAAACTTACATGTACATTAAGAACATTCATTAGAAGTAACGAAGGGAAATTGAAACGTATTTCCCAAACCCTAGGCGATAATTTCGATCTTGAAAAGTTTGTTTCCCGAACAAACTCAACCTTCTCATATTCACAAATGTTGACAGCAGTGGAAAGAACAATCCAACAGAAAATGAGTCGTTCAAGCAAACTGATTGAATGTATCACTCAGATAGAAACCAAATCATTTGTTTCGCATCTCTCCTACTTGTTTGGAAGATTGTTTTTGAGGATTGAGCCTCAAGAATTATTTGGAGCCAATTGGACAAAGAGTAGGAAAAAGTATCAATGTCCAAATATTATTGACAATATTGATTTTTTCAACACATACTCACTATGGTTTGCCAGTTTGATTGTACAGGAAGAACAACTGGAAAGAAGAGTAGCTGTTTTGGAATATTTAATTAACTTGGCAATGTGCTGTGCTAATGTGGGAAATTATGGAGCTCTCTATGCTATAGCTTCTGCCATTAGAAATGGATCAGTATTTAGAATGAAGCAAACATTTGATTCAATTAGTGAAAGCTCCAAAAAAGAATACGAAAAATTGCAACAAATCATTAGTACTGATATGAACTCGGCTAATTATACAAAACAATTGAGGGAAACTTATGAAAAAGCCCTATCAGATTTTTCAATCTGTTGCATTCCTAATCTAGGTAAACATTTTGGTGAATTGACGCTTACGGAAGAAGGTGTACAAGATAAGGAACAAAAGACCCAATTAACATATGATCTGATTACAACCAAGTTTTTGGATCTTCAAAAGCTATTACTCAAATCCATGTCCAGATTGGTTCTGGATAAAAATGTTCTATTCTTTGTGTTAGAGAAGGGTAAAAGTGTAAAGAACCAAGATGAATTGGCAGTACTAAGCAAGAAGGTTGAACCAGCTGTGACTCAACCAAGAATTAACAATCTTGCTGCTTCCAAAAAACGAAGTCAAACGGCTAATAATCTGTTAAACTATTGAATTAAAATTTTACAATAATTTACTTATTAAGACGACAAATTGGATTCTTTTGAACACCACCAAGATCAACCTTGTGGCCAACCAAATCTCTGATGTTATCAACAGAATATTTGATCATGGTTGGTCTTTCCAGTGAGAGACCCCAAGCCAAAACAGTAACATCTTCTGGAAGTCCCATTGGTCGGAGCATTTCAGGTCTGAACATACCAGAGTTACCAACTTCAACCCATTTCTTGAGCATTGGGTGATAACCAAAGATTTCCATGGATGGTTCTGTATATGGGTTAAAAGCAGGTTTGAATTTCAAATCAGTAATACCAATCTTGGCAAAGAAAACACGGAAAAGTCCAATCATGTCACCAAGAGTTAAACCCTTATCGATGACCATACCTTCAATTTGGTGGAATTCACACAAGTGAGTAGCATCAGGAGCTTCATTACGGAAAACACGATCAATTGAGAAATATTTTCTTGGCTTGAATTCGGCACCATTGCTTAATTCTTCTCCGAGTTTTCTCAAATAACGAGTACTGACAGCAGTTGTGTGAGTACGGAGAAGATTCTTCTTTGATTCTTCAACCTTCCAGTCATATCTGTAACCAATAGATCCAAAACCTCCTTCTTCGTGAATTTTCTTAACATCTTCAAGATATCCATCAGTTGGCAATGAAATACATTGTTTTGGATTTTCCAAGAAGAAAGTGTCGTGAGCATCACGAGCAGGGTGTTGTTGAGGTTGGAACAAGGCGTCAAAGTTCCAGAAAGAGCTTTCAACAAAATTATTAGTGGCCATTTCTTCAAAGCCAAGTTCAAGGAAAACCTTACGGAATTCAGTTCTGACCTTCAACAAAGTGTGAAGATAACCATTTTCATTTCTCTTACCAGTAGCCTTGAAATTGTATTCCTTGAAAGAAGCATTCTGCCATTCATTAGACAAGATCATTTGAGTTGTCAAATCAGTTTCTTGTTTCTTTCTTTCAAGAGCAAATTCAGTACCCTTTGAAACATAGAAGAACTTGATAGTTTCAACTTTAACAAGTTTTCTTGATTTCAATTCAGTGAAATCATTAGAATTGATACATTTTCCTTGTTCAATACAGGCCTTCTTCAATTCAGTATATCTTGGATCTTTATCATCTTGGACTTTCAAGTTAGCAAATTCGATAGTCTTTAAATCTTCAAGACTCTTTCCCTTTTGCTTTTCTAATTCGAGGAAAACAAATCCGGAAGCAGAAATAATTTTCAATTGATCAACAACAACATCCTTTGGTAATTCGCTAACAGTGGCAGACTTTTTCAAAATATCAGAACCTTTTTCTTGTGAAATCCACTTGTTCTTCATACAAGCCTTGAAGGCTGGAAGATAATTATCACCTAATTGTTGTTGTAAAACATTCTTATCAACACCATCAGGAGAATTGATGAGAGCAGCAAGTAATTTAATTTCAGCTGATTGTCCTTGATTTAAAATTTGCAAACCTTCGGTGCTTGGTAAAGCAGATGTACATTCTCTCTTTTCAAGAACCAAAATATTAGCAAGCGATAAACTGTTGATTTGACCATAGAATTGTTGGTGGTCAATATTGTGTGATTGGGCGAACTCAACAGAATTTTCGATGGCTCCGTGAGTATGAACGTATGACAACAATGCTGATTCTTCCATTTTTTTGTTCAATTTTAAATTTTTTAATATTTAAAAAAAAAAAGCATGCTGAATAAATAGATTTTCATTATCTGTGTGATGATTTTGGCTTTTCTCTCCCTCTGCACTGTGCTAATAATAATGGTACTGCACTACATTCTTCTAATTTCAACTTCAAATAATCATCCACAATCGATTTAGTGCATGATTGATATGTAAACTTTTAGTGGATATTTGGAATTGATATTTTATTATTGTTTGGAGCAGAGAGCTGCAACACCTCTCAAAGTCCACTTGCTTGGATCATCAGGAGTCTTGATATGCAAATCAAAGATGTAATTTCTTTGTGTTCTGTCTGGATTCTTGTAGACGGGACAGACATATTCTTTAGGTCCCATAGTTTCACTTCCTTGCATTGGAGAGTTGGCAGAGAGGTGAATGACAGGTAAATCATGTACAAGACCCAATTCACTTGCTGGAACATCTGCCAATTGTCTTGTTTTCTTATCCCAGATAGCTCCTTCGAGATAGAGGCCATAAACGAATACTCCTTCTGCATCATCAGGTACATTGATAGAATCCTTGAGAGCATCCTTTGTTGTGATTTCAGTCTTGAGAGTTACTGCTTCAAGAGACCAACCAGCATGCTTTCTTGTTGATTCTTGTTTGACTGCAGTCAAGAAACCAGCAACATTGAAGAAACCAGAAATCCAGAATAACTTTGGTTGACCTTTTTGAAGCCAGTTCATAAATTGTTCATGTCTCTTTTGTAATTGTTCAATCCAAACACCCAACTTTTGAGATTCCCACGAAACCTTTTGCCATTGTGATGGAACTTTGGCATCATAGAGTGAATCAAAAATGTTTTGTAGTTCTGCACTCATGACAATGGTACCAGCAATGGCAAGACTCAAATCTTGCAAGTTTCTTCTCACCAATCTCAAAACTATCCTCATTCTGTCAATTTCTTGTTTGAGGAAGATAATCATTGGATTGTTTGCACCTCCACTGTCCTTCTTGAGAGTTTCTAATTTCTTGTAAAACTTTTTCAATTCCTTAGTATCATACTCTTCTGGAATCTTTTCAAGATAATTCTTTACATCTTTTAGTACAGCTTCTTCTCTTGTTTCTCCTGAGCCTGCAGTGGATTCTTTAGGTTGAATTCCTTGAATAGTATTGAGAACAAAGTTGGCTTTTTGTTCATTGTGAACAATTTCTGCATTTTGATGCAAGCCAAAGACTTCTGGAGGATCAAACAATGGCAAGTTTTCATAAATATATTTACGATAGTCATCAATCTTTGGTCTGTCTGGAATTTCATAAGTCTTTTCCTTATCACTGTACAATACAAAGTCCTTAGAGAAGATATGAGGACCATAGAATTTGTTTCCATACTTGGAAAGCAATACAGAATCAAAAGCATCTGTAACTCTACCACCATATTGTACATCACAAATCATGTATCTTATGGTATTCCATTGAATCTTTTTGATATCGTTTTCATTCAAATAATTAATCAAAAAGTGGATTGAACATTCTAAATCTGATTGATTGAATTCATAAGGAACACACCAACCAAGAGGACCAAATTTCTTTCTCTCAATTAGAACTGAGTGAAGGAAGCAGGTACTATAGATTAACTTTCTATTTTCAGGAACTTCTCCAAGAGATTCTTGAGTCAGCCAATTATAAGCCTTAGTCAAACCAGCTCTGATACCAGTTGGAGGTTCATCAGTAACCTTGATTGACATTTGAAGTAAATTGATTGGGAAAAGTGGTGTTGGTTCAGTGGTAATCCAAACTCTAAATGTCTTTTCAGAGCAATCTTCTTTGGAGAGATCAATTAAGGTCTTTTCCAATACTTCCAAATAGTCGATGCCCAAGTGACAATTTTGTAATAAAACCCAGCCACCATTGGCAATAGCATTCTTAACTAATTCTTGAGCCTTTTCCTTTTGGCCTTGACCCATAGAAACTCTATCAATATTAATCTTCATATGGAGTGCTAATTTTTCAATAGAATTAGTAAGGTCAGAACCTTGAGACAGCAAGCATACAACTGGTGTTATTGCAGAAGTTTCTTTCCAAGTCTCTTCCAAATTCAAAGAGATTGAGTCAACGAAACTTTGTCCAAGAGTATCAATAATATATGTAGAGCAAGCATTCATAGTTCTGTCCATACGTAAACATCTAATTAGTAATAACTTGTGGAAAGTACTAAGAGATGAATAATCTGGAACTGGATCACTTTCAGGTGTAGCAGAATAGTAAAATCTCTTCCAATCATCTTCGTTATTTTCAATGATAAGGTGAATGGATTTGAATTCAGGAATATCAGCCTTGCTCAAACTGAAAATATTCAACCAAATCTTGTCTTCAATCCAAGAGAATGGAATTCTTGGAGCGTCACTCTTTTGGAGGGCATTACCAGCTCTGATGAGACAGTTGAATTCCTTTGCTGTGATACCTCTACCCTTTGATTTTGGTTTTTTCAAATCAATCTTAAGGGCCAACAATAATGCAAATATAATTCTGTGCTTTTCATAGAGGCCTCTTTGAACATACTTGTAGATGAAGTATGTTGCAAAGGTGATAATATTCTCAATTCTGACCTTTGTATTTCTATCTTGTTCAGATTCATCAATGGCTTGAATGAAAAGTTTGATGAATTGACTCAAGCTTACTTGATACATGCAATTAATGAGACTCAATTCGGTAATGACAAAGTACATAATACTTCCTCGTGTTGCAACAGGTCTAAATTCTTCTCTAGCTTCTTGGATACTCTTGTTTGTTTCCTCACTAACCATGAGCTTTTCCTTGATGATTCTGTTCTTTTCTTTTGTTTTGGTAAGAATATCAATCAAATCAGTATCATCAACCAAACTCTTCTCACGATTTTCACTAAGTTTTTCCAAGAGTTCCTTCTCACATTGCTCCATAATTTCGTTACATTCCTGAATGTCATTCAGTAAGGTCTTACGCTTTTCTTCTAATTCAATCATTTCCTTATTGATAACAATAGCCAATAGCTGATCTTCTAAACCAATAGCAGTGACCGTAAAGTCAATGACTGATACTTTGGCAAACATTTCTGGAGTATATCTTGGGTTAGGAAGTTTGGTTGTAATGTAGAGTTTGAAGTCTTCATTAAATGGGACTTCATTTTCTCCAATTTTGATTTTTGGACGTTTTCCTTTCTTGATGATTTGCATATCCAAAACACTATCCAATATTGGATCAAGCTCTTCACCGACATCTTCAATTAACAAAGGTTTACCGGTAGCTACACACTTCTCCAAGTCTTCTTTGAGGTTATCAGATCTCAAGGTGGTAATTACTAACTCTGTAGATTCCTTATTCTTGATCCACTCCTTACCTTGTCCTTGAGGATCTATTAAAAGAGGATACCTGGAACCAGTGGTAACAATGATAGCATTTTGAGTTGAATAGTCATCATTAGGAAGTCCTTGAAGTCTCCATTCACCAATTACTGTTGGATGGGTAGTAAAGTCAATAATATTCACCTTTTCAGAGAATGGAATACCTCTATTTCTAAATTCATTAAAGCAAAGGTCTTCAATCAATACATTTCTGAACTCTTGATTGAATGGACCAGAGTAAGTCAAAAAGGCAGATGCAAGCGCAATATCACCAATCAAGTTATGAATATCTAATTGGAATTGCTTTTGATCCTTTCTCCATCTTTCCTCTTCAGAAGATAAACCATTGATGAGGGCTTCTGCGGCCTCCATACGTTTTCTGGTTTGATAGGCATCATCTTCCAATTGTTTCTTGTGTTTGAGGGCTTCATCCAATTGGAATTGAAGTTCTCTCAACTCTTTTTGCTTTTCCTCATATTCGTCTTCCATTTCCTTGAGCTGTGCTTGGGCAATTTGAAGTTTAGTTTCTGCTTCTTCCACCATTCTTCGTTTTGGTTCAACAACTTTGGCAATATTGTGGAAGTTAACCATGGATTGTACCCATTCCCATAAACTAGCAGCAGCTTCAGATGAATTATTGACATTGTCAACTGTAAGTGTTGGATCATCCATGTATGGTGCTACTAATTCTACCTGCTCATCAGAGATTGAATCCTTATCAAACTTCAGTAAGCTTTGCATAAAGTTAATATTGTTCATCATTTCCTTTGCATACTTCCATGAAGGTTTCAAAATCTTTCTTGGATTCTTTGGATCTAATGATCTTTCCTCTATTTCAGTCTTTTCAATATTCAAACCTCTCAAAACAAGAATAGTATCCATGACTCTCATGATTGGCTCAGGTGGAGTTTGATACTTCTTGATTTTACTCAACGAAGCACTTGTAATGTTATTAAGAGCTCTTTCGGCAGCAAGAAGATGCGGCTCTGCATTCTTCAAGTCTTTGGTAACTTCATCTCTTTCCTTTTGTACCACTTTGACTTCTTTTTCTTGCTTTTCTTTTCTCTTTTGAATTTCTCTTCCTTGTTCTTCGGCTGCTTTGGTTTCTTTTTGAACTTTATCAACCAGTACTTGTGCAGATGCTTGTGCAATTAGAAGATCTCTTTCCTTTTGTTCGAGTTCTTTACCCTTCTCTCTGACATCTTCTTTAGCTTGTTGCAACTTTTCAAGACCCTTTGCAATATTGTTGCTCTTCCTTTCAATTTGTTGCAACTTGTCTTGATATAATTTTCTATAGCTATTCAAGAAGGAAAGGTATGTCTTTGGAGTAACATAGGTATGTCTTCTGTATTTGTTCAAGTATTCCTCTGTAATTTCATTGACACGATAGTGCAAATCCTTCATGAATAATACAAGATCACTTTTGATGGTCTCAGAGGTTGCCAATGAATATCCACCAATAAACTTGTCAGCAGTTGCTTTAAGAGCTTCCTTTGGCCATGGATCAAACCAATCGATTGTACATCCACTAATAATACCAGGGAATTTTCTTGCTCTATTTCTGAATTGATCACCAATAGGAGAGAAGCACAAAACAAGATGCAAATTATCTCTCGCTCTATCAATGAAAAAATTGAAAAGATTTTCAGGAGTTGCCAAGAATGCAGGATCACTCTTAACAGCAATTGGACGCAACTCTCCAATCATCATTTCTCTTTCTTCTTTTGTGAATAAACCTGGAATATCACCAGATGTAAGCATCATGTTAATGTATTCCAAAAATTGTTCATCCTTGATATCATTGTCAGTGAAAATAAAAGTAACAGGTGATTCAAGCACAGCAATCTTGTACAATTTCTTAAGGTCATCCAATAGAGCTTGAATGTGGTAATTCTTTGTAACTTGAATTTTGAATGTCTTGTATCCTGCAATGAAGGAAGCAAGCTTAGTCAATGATTGTTTACCACTACCTCCAACACCGACCAAGAGTGCGTTACCTCTCTCACTTCTAATAATTCTGGAAATTCTTGTAATATGAAGAATAGCAAAGTCAAAGAGAACAATATCAAGTGGCTCCTTCTTGTGTTTTTCATTGTAGTGAAGTAATAGCTCGTCCAATCTATTGAACAAAATTCCAAAGTCTTCAACTGGTTCATAAACCTTTGGATCATCATTCATTGGCTTGGCTTCATAGTCCAACTCTTCACCTCCAACATTTTCATCTTCGTATTCAGCCTTTCTCAAAAAGTCAACAAACAACTTGGATTTAATTGCTCTGGATACATCATCACTATAATGTTCCTTGAGCAAACCTTTGGAAGTGGTTTGGAACCATTCTCTATCAGCTTCATCAATAAATTTGTCTTGAAGAACTCTTTCAGTTTCGTGCTTCCACAAGTGAAGCAAATCGAGATGGTCCTTGATAATTTCATTGGTACCCAATAATAAACCTTGGAAAATTCTACTCAAATCTCTCAAGTTGAAAACATAGTGGAACTTGCTTGGAGTTGGAAGCATCTTTTCCTTTGTTGAGATCCACAATTTTCTAGTGAGCTCTGGTAGAGTAGAAGCACATTGAACAACTTCATCCAAGAAATTTCTAGCTTTGCAATAATGACCTTCAACAATTGTAGTAAAGATATGATCGATGGACTTGGTTGAAGGGACAGTCAAATTGAAAATGGCAAAGTGTCTCTTGAGTCTGTCAGGAATATCATTTTTACCAAAACCAGGTTGATTCATTGCTGCAAGGAATTGTACGTCAACAATCTTCAACCATTGATTATTTGAATCAAGAGAGTAGAATCCACCATCTTCAATAACTTGTCTAACAATTTCGTTTGTAATTTGATCACCCCATTCGTTGATTTCTGGCATGTTAATATCATCAATGAAAATATACATTTTTCTTCCGAGTGGAGGACCAAATACCTTATTGCTCAATCTCTTTTCCAGAGAAGTGAAGATTGAATTTTGAACAATACCAGTGGTAGTAGCACTAGAGAAGGAAATAAATTTGTTTTTAAACTTATTCTTATCCAGATCGTTAAGATACTTTTTGATGGTAACAGTCTTGGCTGTACCACTAGAACCAATAAGTAATACAGAGTGCTCTTGTTTGGCCATAAGATTAATTAAAAATTCTGTTCTTACATTATCCACAGTTGGAATCAAGATGGAATTGAAAAGTGGAACAAAATCTGTTGGATATGTCCATTCAGGCACATTGAATTTCCAATTTCTCCAATCACCATTTTCATCTATGGTATACTCATAAATTGTATCGTTTGAGTCCATAGAAGGAATATTCATCTTACATTCCTTTTCCAAGAAGGTATGTAATTTAATTCTATCAGCAGTTTCTAAAGTACCTCCTACACCCCAAATGACAGAGAAGATAAAGAACCTTTCAATCATAGTATCAGGGAAAGTTTTTCTGTTAAAGTTTGTGAACAAACCATCCAATATCTTCAAAGTAGTTGAAATAACGTTTGCATTACCATTTGACATTGATGGTGCACATTCATTTTCAATGAATAGGAAAATATCATTTACATATTTGTTGAAAAGGAACTTCAACTTTTCAATCTCAGAAGAAGGTCTTTTGCCGATTTTCTTTATCCAAGATTGGAAAAGAGGCTCCCATCCAAGAATAGAAGAACCAATGTAAACCATACCCATTCTTGAGACAGTAGCAGGAGAAGCATTGTCCAAGCTACCAACTTCAAATACCAACTTTAAAGTTTTTGGCATGTTCAATCTGTCACCGTTAGCTAATGTTAAAGATTTAGTATCGTCAAGAACAGTGTTCAAATTTTCAATCCAGATAGTATCAACTGGACCATCCAATAATACCCATGAATATTCCTTCTTCTTTTCCATTGTTTCTCTCCATAAGGAAGTAAAAACGCCATCAGCCCAATCATTAGTTCCCTTATCGAGAGTACCGAACATTTGTTCTGAGGTAATAGACTTTGGATTCATCTTTTTAATCTTTGTTTGAATTCCAATTTTACCAAGAGCCTCACAAAGAATGTTAATAGCTGCTGATTTTCCACTTCCACTTGGTCCCATACAACACAAGCCATGTCTTACCTTGTATTGTTCATACAATTGTAAAATTTTAAGCTTCCAAGGTTGGTGATTAATCAGGCCATTCTTGTCAATGATAGAATCAATGGCTGCATTCATATTTGCGTCAGGAGATTCATCTGTAGACTCATTTGGGAATAAATCTTTCAATAATTCTTTGAATAGAGTAGAGTCTTCATCTACTAGTTTTGAATTATTCATATCTTGTAAGACTCTCATTAAGACTTTGGTTTCTTCTCTTGGTGATCTATTGTCAATACCAGTTTTCTCAGTTTCAGCTCTAAGAGAAACGCCACAAGTTCTCAGAACGGATAAGATATTTCTCAAACCAAAATCATAATGGTTTTGATTGGATAATTGTTGTTCACACAATTTGTATAACATGTCGAACTTCTTGGATAAACCTTGATTGTCAGAAAATCCAGAGGCAGCTAATCTAACTTTCATAATAATTCTTCTGTCAGGTTGAACTACAGCAATAGTTCGGAAGAGTGCCTTCATATTTTCTGGTAACTCCGTACGACCAGCATAACCTGGGTTGAATGTAATAAAGCAAGCACATGTTGGATCTAAAATTAAATCTGAGCCGTCAGTGAAAGTAAATCTTGTTGCTCTGTTTCTCATAGCATCAAAAATACAAGCAATTTGAGCAGCAACAACACTCAAAACTTCCAACTTAACTCTGTTGATTTCATCAAAACCACACCAAGCACCACTTTGAGCAATGCCCTTAAATGTAGTTCCCATAGAGTGTACAGAACCTTGATCAGAACAATTGATAGTAATGAAATACTTTCCCATTGTTCTACCCATATCCTTGGTTGTTTCTGTTTTTCCTGTACCTGCAGGTCCAGCAGGAGCACCACCAAGAAACATTCCCATAGCTTGAGCACAAGAAATGTAAATTCTGTCTGTAAGTTGAGTAATGACCAATCTTTCAGTGCAACCCAAATATTCGTTACAATATTCAAAGTCTACATCTGTGATTGATATTACACACTTATCTTGCTCTGGCTTCCAATAGAATCTTGTTCTCTTTGTCCATTCAAAATCGTTGACATTTTTAATCTTTTTCCTGACAAGTTCTTGGAAGATTTCAACTTGATGAATATGGATTGTAATGAGTGTTTCAAGTCTAGTTCTTTGGAGAGGTGTTAACTTTGGATTGGTTGTTAAAGTAACCAAGTGATTGAAAATTGTAGTAAATTTCTTATTGGCATTGGCAAGAGAATTTCTCTCTCTTGAATTTCTAATAGCCATTTCACTGTCCCATGTCCACAACAATTGAATACCAAGTAATGCAAGTTGGGAACAAGGAATGTCACCAATAAATTTGGTGAGTTTATCTCTACCGAGAGAGTTATTCTCAACAACAGACAAATCTGATAACAGAGTTCCACTCATATTTCTAGCTAGTTCATGAATAGTTTCTTGCATTGCTGCTACTAATCTATTCAACCACACTTCAATGTTATCCTCACAAATAACAGGTTCTACAAGTGGTACATATTCTCCTTCTGGAGATCTGAGAGCAATAATTTGGTTCTTGTGCTTGGCATCAAACTCAACCTCTGAAACTGAAGAGAAAATACTGAGCAAGTGCTTTTGAATGGATGAAGGATCACTTCCTTGTCCTAAAATTTCTAGAATTTGCTTATCAGAAAGGAAGAAAAATCTTGGGAATAACATTCTCTTCTTTTCTAAATAACCTGAAAGATCTCTTTGACATTTTTCCAATAGTGTCTTCAAGTGAGGAAGTAAATCTCTTAACATTTCATCATTGTAGCAAAGTTTGATAACATTTGGTTCTGATTCTGCTGTAGACATAATTTTGACCCATGACCTATCAACATTTTGGAATCTTTTAAATACGTGTGGTAACTCTCTACCAATATCACCTCCTGTGAAAACATAGAACATATAAATCCAGAGTGATTGAATTTGAAGCCAATCATCAACAACGCTTTGAGTGACTGAAAGCTTTACCATCCATTGCTGAATTTCTGGTTTGAATGGTTCATTATAAAGATCACCCAATAATGTTGAAAGGGCCAATTGAGTATCTTCAATACTCTGCATCAAATCTTGCGTATCCTTAAGAACAAGCTTTCCTCTATTTTTAAAGTCTCCCAAAGTAAACTTTTTAAGTTTCCATTCTTCCTTGATTTCTTCGAGCTTTTTCTCTACGTTTAATTCTCTGTTGGCTGCATTCACAATTTCCTCGATATCATCCTTGTGTTCTACCAACTTGGCTTCGACAATATCTCTGATTTTAAATTCAGGATTCTTGTAGTCCAAGGTCTTCTTGCACAACTCAGAAATTTGCTTCCAATGTCTTTGAGTTACACATGTTTGATTCAACTTTTCTAATAATGGAAGAGTATTGAGGAAGTTTTCAATAGTATCTTTAAGTTCAATATAGGCGTCCCATTTTCTGAGAGCTGGGTGCATATTTTTACATTTGATATTGAAACTATTAAGAGTATTAGTCATTTCCTCTGTATCCAATTCATTCCATGTTATGTCTTCAAATCCATTTACGGTAACAATAACTTCTGTATAAAGATCGTAGAGACCAGAAAGCCAGTCTAATTCTTTGCTAATTTTTACCAACTCTGGATATTCAGTTTCTTTCATTCTAAAAAGACGTTCACCCATGGTGTATGTTTTCCATTTTCTTTGCTTTTCGTCAAAGGCACTCTTAAAAGATGTCAATCTGGCCTTTGCAACTCTAGGATTAATTCCCTTTTCCATTGGTCCTTGTTCCTCGTAAAGTTTTTTAAAATCTGATACTTCATTCTTGAATTGCTTAACCTTTTGTTCAAGGTCTCTTCTGAAACCAGGACCAATCTTTTGGAATTTTGACATCACTTCTCTTGAAAGTGCAATTAAAGCTTTCCATTTAAATTCAATACCATTATCTTCAACTTGTTCAAGTTCTTCTTTAGAAATTTTAATGTTATATAACTTTAAAATTTCATAAGATTCGTTAATTGGCTTGATTTCCAAATCGAAGGTGCTTTCTCTTTCTCTTAACTGATTGAGAACAATCATAACACCATTAATTCCTTCTATATCAGAAACATCTCTCTTCAAATTATTTGTAGTTTCTTCAATATAGCTAAGTAAATCCTCCATTTCAGCTTTTGCCTTTGTGTTAAGTGCTTGACCGTATGCAAACTTCCATTGGGAAGCTTCAACTTTAAGAGCACTTTTGATTGGTTTTAAATCTACCAAAAGGGATCCTTCTTGGTGATATTGTTCTAGGTCATCAATTTCCTTTTCCAACAATGAAAAGTGTTTGATCTTACTTTCAAAGTCGTCCAATGATGGTGGTATCTTCTTATCATCCAATGTTGTTTGTCCATCAATGAAGGAAGTTATTACTTCATTTCTATCTTGCTTCCAGAGGAAGTCGTATTGTTGGAATTTAGTAATGAATATGTTAAGTTTGCTTGATAAACCTGCAATAGCACCTGTCAATTGCAAGAAACCCTTAATTGTAGTCTTATCTTCACCAATTTGAGAGAAAATACTCTTCTTTTCCTTGGCTTTTTCTTGGTTCCATCTATAGATGTGTTGAGTGGATTCAAGCATAATTCTGGCACACTTGTTAACACATTTTTGAATTTCTTCTAAGCTTGGTTGCAATACAATATTAGGTATCGACAAGGCTAATTGAACATTGAAAACAGGTTTGGCATTGTATCTCTTGTCTTGACTGATTCTATCTTTCAAATGTTTAACTGATGCTCTAAGGCAAGTAGATACCGAGTCAAGCATTCTCTCTTCGAAATGATTCTTGAATACTTTACACTCTCTAGCTACTCCCATCTTTTCTTCCTCAGAATATTTGTGTGTAATTATAGCAATAAGGTCTGAGGCTGCTGATTCTATTTCTTGATTCTTAATATCAATTTCAATAGCCATTTGTTTGGCAAACTTTTCATTGTCTGATAAAAATTGTTGAATAGACCTCACATCCGAGGAGAAGGAAATTAGGAAGGTTTTCATAATAGAATCACAATTTGCCTTCAATCTATACGAAAGAATATCGTTCACTTTTTCAAGTGTATCTTCCAATGAATAGATAGCCTTCATGACTTCATCAATAAATCTATCAATTCTTACAGATAACCAAGTAATTGCAGATTTCCCAGCACTGATTTTCTCATCCAACGATAAAATAAGAGGTTTCAAAATTGGTTTGTACAGATCGTCTTGAAGAGAAATAACTCGATAATATTCCTTGACCATGAATCTAAGTCTTTCAGCAAGAGTCAACAATCTCTCATGTTGGTTGAAAATAGAAATTGCTGTTTCAGGAATTTCAATATCCATAAGCTGAAGATATTTAACTTCTGTCATTAACATTTTAAGATCTCCATCAAAATTAACATATAGTTGATTGTTTTGTTCTACTAAAACTGTAGCCAAGAGACCTTCTCTAGCAGTTTCAAGTGCATCATTGAATTTTTCCATCCATAATGCTTCAAACCTCAGTAATGCTTTTCCAATCTTGTTGTAAAGCTTGATAGTTTTCTTCGAATCCTTATATTCCAAAATTGCAGGAGTTTGTTTAAATAAGTCCATAGGCTCTTCTAACCTCCTCATGAGCTGTCTGGACCACGCAATATTACCAGCAACAGGAGGAGCGTTTCTTGGAATATTTGGTTTTCTGCTGGTTTCCTCATAAACATTTTTAATATGTTCCACATCCCTAGAATAGTTGCTGAATATCGATCGGAATTTATCCTCCAAAATCCTTTGTAAGTTGTCTTGTTTTAGCACTTTTCTGAATTGTTCAAGAAGTTCCAAACAGTGTTTAGTTGTCCTAGCTTCAGCAAAACTATTATTAATAAAGGTCACCAACTCCAATTCCAATTTAGTCATATCATTATTGAATTCAATATAATCAGTATCAAATACCTAGTATTATTTAAATATATTTCTAATTAAATTGCTATTATTAATTACTTACAGATTTTCTATAATCCAAAAAGTCATATTTCTTTCTCTTTAGCACTGTTATTATTTTGATGAATTGTTTAATTATTGGATCCAGACCTTCAATAGTGCATTTCTGAAGATATGAAAATTGATTAAATGTAGTAAATAAATCAATTAATTTTTGAATTCTCCAACAAAATTGGTCAAACTTTCCGAAAATTGCACTTTCACTAAAATCAAATTGTTTTCCAAACGGATTCATTTGTAATTCGCTTTTAGTTTTTCTATAAAAGTGTTGGTAGGCTTCATTCAAATCAATGCATGATTTAAATTTTTCTATTAATTTTTCTGTGTCTTGTTCCCACAAACGACCATCCTTCACAATGTACTTTTTACAACAAATAATCATTTGATTTGTTATTTTAACAAAAAGTGCTGTCATTCGTTCGGAAGTGTTGTAATACCTTGCGATACTGTTGAAGGTAAATTGTGTTGCGACATTTTTTAGAAATTTGTTATTAGAAAAGATTAATATTTGAATTCCAAGAAAGCTAACTTACCTTTGCATCATTTTGATAGCATTAATGAGTGCTGGAAGAGTGTTAATCATTTGAACTGGATCACTCTTGTAGAGAGGTTCACTGAATTTTTCCAATATATACAAGTATTTTACATTGTCTTTTGCTTCGTTAGCAGCATCTGTAATTCTTATATCAATGTTTTTCCACCCAGCTAACACTGCCGATTTCTTAGCTTTTAAAACACTTAGAACTGTTTTGCAGACCTTATTTCTTAATTGGTCTGTAATACTGTTGAATTTGGCCATTCTCGATTTCCAATATTCTAACTCTGCAGCAGGACCACTTTCATCGTCTTCTTCTCTGACTGCAGTAACTTCATTCAATAAGGCATCAATGTCTCCCATCCACGTTGTGACTGCCTCTTCAAATGAAGATATTATATCAACCCTGTTCAAAGCTTGTTTGAGGAAAGATTTTGGTTTTGAATCAAAATTTGAGAACTTCTTTGGAGCTTCCAATCTAATACTGGATTCCAAAGCAATTTTTGCTTCACTGACATTCTGCACAAACTTGTCAACATTTTCCAAAAATTCCATAATTTCCTCTTTAGAATCTAAATTGCTTGAATTACTTAGTTCTCCCCAATCCGATTGTTTTAAAAGTTGAGGAATGTATAATGTTTCTAATCTATCTTTTAATTCTTTCATCAATCCCTTATTACCCGATATTACTCCCATTGCAATATCTTCTATATTATTCATTGAAAGTTGTGTTGCTTCATCCTCCTTTACAAAGTAAATACAAATAGCATTACTAATAAGAGGGTTTGCATTAAAATCTGTTGATACTAAGAAGGCTGGTCCGTCACTTCCTCTAGGTGATTTTTGTGAAGCTACGGAATCGGACTCTCCTGATGTTGCGAACGATAAAACTGTTTGTGATTTAGAGTAGGTGTTTAAAGAACTTGATGTGAGGGTTTCATCAAAATCAGAAAAATCATTCACTCCCTGACTGAAGAAGAACCAAAGGAGACACTTTGCTCCTTTTCCATCAAGGAATGATTGTATTAGTCCTATATTTTCTTTTGATCTTCCCACTGAAGCTATTGTTTCCTTATCCATATGGAAGGCATCCGCTATTTTTTCATAGAGCCAATCCAATCGTTTATCGGTGGTAATAAACTCTGGCATTTTTTTTGATTAATTTTGTACAACCATTGGGCGGGAAAATTTTCTTTTCATACAACACAATGTTAAAATTCAATGAACCAGTTTAAAATAGAATCAGTTTAGTCAACCAAGTTGTTAATTGGTTGGTAAAAATCTAGTTGGAACAATCATTATCTTTTTTGTATTTTCACTTTTTGACAATTTAAAGTCAGTTCAATTTCTTGTTCACAGTTAAAGATACTAGGCAATAATAATAAGGAAAGCATCTCTTCCTTAATCAATTCAAACAAGAGTCCTTCAAACCTAGCAATCTCTGTTATCTTCATCATCTCTGAAATCAAGCTTTTTACACTTCTCATCTCTATTCATTAAAATTATCACAACAAACAAAAATGCTAAAGAGGATTACCATCAAACAAGCCACACCAAATAATCAAAACAAAAAATTTGGATTGATGAAACAATTAGGAATCTCTTCTGTTCATCAACAACAATATAGAAATTTTCACTATAACAACATACAAGATGAAACCAATTCTTCGGAGGAATCATCAACAACAAAATTGAATAGAATCCTCACTTCATCATTTGATCCATCTCGTGTCGAACAGGATTGGTATTCATGGTGGGAAGAAAAAGGATTATTCAAAGGAGAGGATTCAACAACAAAACCACAATATACAATTTTACTTCCACCTCCTAATGTGACAGGAAGTCTTCACATTGGACATGCTCTCACTGCCTCTATTCAAGACTCACTTTGTAGATATAAAAAGATGAATGGATACAATGTATTGTGGGTTCCTGGTGTTGACCATGCTGGTATTTCAACACAAGTTGCTGTGGAAAAGAAAATTGCTAAAGAGGAAGGAAAGACCAGACACGATTTAGGAAGAGAGGAATTTTTAAAGAGAGTTTGGTCATGGAAGGAAGAGTATGGCAATAGAATTGATAATCAAATGAAGGCTATGGGTTCCATGACTGATTGGAGTAGAAAAGTCTTTACTATGGATGCTCAATTTTCAAGTGCTGTTCTTGAATGTTTTGTAAGATTAGCAAGGGATGGTCTCATTTACAGAGATGCCAAACTTGTCAATTGGTGTCCTCAATTAAATACAGCAATTTCGGATATTGAAGTGGAATATATTTCACTCAAGAAAAAGACTAAAGTAATGGTTCCAAGTTGTGAAGAAAAATCATTTGACTTTGGTGTAATGCACACCTTTAAATACCCAGTTATTTCATCTCCTGGTAGTACAGAAATTATTGGATACATTAATGTCAGTACAACAAGATTGGAAACCATGCTTGGAGATACTGCTGTTGCCATTCATCCAGAAGATGAAAGATACAAAAACTTCCATAACAAGTTCATTTTGCATCCATTCGATTCAAAGAGAGCTGTACCAATTATTTGTGATGAAAAATTGGTAAATATGGAAATTGGTACAGGTGCTGTTAAGATTACCCCAGCTCATTCATTTGAAGATTTTGAATGTGGAAAACGTCATGGTTTGGAATTTATTACCATTCTCAATAAGGATGGTTCTTTGAATGATCAAGTACCAGTAGAATTTTCTGGTAAGAATAGATTTATTGTTAGAAAATTGTTAGTAGACAAACTTAAAGATATGGAACTTTTCATTTCTGAACAAGATCACGAAATGGAACTCCCTATCTGTTCAAGATCCAAGGACATTCTCGAACCAATGTTACTCAATCAGTGGTTTGTTAAATGTGACAGTTTGGCAAAGAAAGCCCTCGACCTTGTCAACAATAATGAAATTTTAATCCATCCATCCTATCACAAGACCACATGGAATAACTGGCTCGAAAATATTCATGATTGGTGTATTTCAAGACAATTGTGGTGGGGTCACAGAATTCCTGCCTTTAAATTGGTTGGAGACCTTTCCAAATTGGAACCTTTAATGGAGGAACTCAGAAAGGAAAAATCGTTCATTATGGAATATTCCAATAAGAATTCTTCAAACATTGAAAATATTTGGATTGTAGCCCATAAGGAGGAAGAAGCCATTTCTATCCTTCAAAAGAACGTTCCAAATTTCTCTAACTTTGTATTGGAACAAGATGAAGACGTTTTGGATACTTGGTTCTCATCTGGACTTTATCCATTGGCAGCCTTTGGATGGCCTTCAAGAAGTGAAAATGTACTCAAGGACTTGGATTACAGATATCCTAGTTCTGTCATGGAAACAGGAAGTGACATTCTCTTCTTTTGGGTTGCAAGAATGGTCATGCTTTGCACTTACTTGTCCGATAATAAGGAAAAACCCTTCAATGAAATTTACCTCCACTCTATGGTTAGAGACAAACAAGGCAGAAAGATGTCTAAAAGTCTTGGTAACGTAATTGACCCTATTGATATGATAAAAGGAACCACCTTTGAAGATTTAAAGAGAGGCATTGAAAAGAATACAAACATTACCAAACAAGAAATGAAGAAAGCCTTACAAGGTGTTCAACAAGAATTCCCTAATGGTATTCCTCAATGTGGAACTGATGCACTCAGATTTACTCTCATTCAATACACTCAACAAGGAAGACAAATTAATTTGGATGTTATGCGTGCTCAATCCAATAGACATTTGTGTAATAAGATTTGGCAATCTGCAAGATTTTGCTTATCCCACTTTGAGAGATTCAACTATAGCGTACCAGGAAATGATGAAAACTTGTCTGAATTATTGTTGAAATCCTTTGCAAGTCTTGAAAAATCGCAACAAGTACTTCAAAATCAATGGATTTTACTCAATCTCAGTGAAACAATTGATGTTACCAGAAATTCCATTGATAACTTTATGTTTAGTGATGGTTGTACCTCTATTTATCAATTCTTCATCTATCAATTCTGTGATAATTACCTAGAAATTGTCAAGCCAATTCTCCACAGTTCTAACACAATGACTCCACTTATCGAAAATACTCTCCACACCCTAAATTATTGTTTAGTTACTGTTTTAAAACTCTTACATCCTTACATGCCATTCATAACTGAAGAGTTGTATCATTGTTGCCCTTTGAATGGAGAAAACAATGCTCTCTATGCCAAGTTGTCTAATAAGAACTCTAGCTACATTCCAACCAGTAGTATTTTGGAATGTTCCTATCCAACCTCATTCACTGCTGATGAAATTGGTTCAATTCTTGAAATTGGATCATCCAAACAACTAATTACAGAAAAGATGGACAAGATTCTCCAAATTGTACAACAATTAAGATCTATGAAACAAAATCTTCAATTACCATCCAAATCCGAGTTGACTGCCTATATTTTCTATCAAGGATCTTCCACAACTGCTTTCAATCTTTCAGAGAATGACATTAAGATTATTCAAACCCTCACCAAATTCACCTCAATCAAATTTATAACTGAAGAAGAATCTAAGAAACACAAACATACACTCTATCTTACAGCAACTGCATTCTCCACTCCTCAAGGAACAGTAATGACTCAACTTGTTTTACCAGATGAGTTCCAATTAGAAAAGGAGATTGAAAAGTGGCAAAAGAAGATTGAACAACTTGCCTCTGTAAAAGCCAAATATCTCAAACAAGTGCATCCAAATCTTCCACCAGAAGTTAAGCAACAAATTGAAGACAAACTTTCTCAAAATCAAATTGAAACCCAAAAAGCGCAGGAAACATGTTCCCAACTAGAACATTTGCTTGACAATAAAAATCAATAATTCCTTTTTGCTTTACATGGCTACTGTCCATTCGTATACGAGGACTATCAGTTTGTTGTTTATGTAATATCAAACGCTGTTCCTTTTACCTTTGGTTCTAATTTGATTCAAAACCAATACGACTTCATTCTAATGAACATTTTAAATCATCAAAAGAAAATACCAACAGTCCACCCAAAACAACAATGGTCAGATTTCCACCTCCTAATACCAATGGTGGATCTAATAATCGACCTCCAGTTCCTTCTTTAAATAGAGGAACAAATAATAGTAATAATAATACTACAACATCAACATCAACAACATCTGATGAACCAACCGAAAGAGAAATTATGAAGAACGCATCCAAAGCTTGGCAAACATACCAACGTCCTACCTTTCAAGGAATTGGTGAAGAAGGAAAATCCAATATTCAAGCCACAATCACTGAATTTAGAGCATATGAATTTTTGTTAAGACAAGAGGAAGGTTAGTAGTGAAAATTTTATGATTATTTAACTAATGATCAATTGGTGACTTGTCATGTTGATTGCTTTTGTTACTAATCATGTTATTATTAATTATTAATATTACAACAGCAAAGAGGTGGATTGAAGACATGTTAGATGAACAAATCTTCTTCGATGATATGGATGATGAGGATGTTTCGGAAGACTTGAAACAAGGCTATAATTATTCAACTTCATCATCAAACGCTGAAAAAGCAGAGGCTAGAAATGTAGACTTTTTCGATCAATTACGTAATGGTATTGTATTGTGTAGACTTTCAGAAGTATTCACAGAGAAGAATACCATGAAAAAGTATCACAAGAATGTTAATTTGGAAAGTAAATTAGCTTTCATGATGTCAACAGATAATATCAACAATTTCCAAGATTGTTGTGAGAAGATTAACTTCCCTTCCATTTATCAATTTTCTACACCAGGTTAGTATTTTGTTATTAACTTTTCAATAACAATAAGAACAGATTTATGGGAAAGGAAGAATATTACCAAGGTGGTCCACTGCATTCATGCTTTGGCTCACTTTTTGTGGAAATCAGGAAGAATTGATGCTTCTAAGAGAATACAAGACTTGTCAAAATCTGGATTAAAGTTTTCAAAATCTAAACTTGATAGGGTAGAACAAGAATTTAAAAAGTTGGAACAAAGAAACGTGGATATAAAGCTAAACTTTAATTTTAAACAACCAGAGGATGAAGAACAACAAGTAACACCAAAACAACAAAAACCTGTTAACAAGGCTTCATCGCTATTGGACAGATTCAACAAATTAAAAGTTGGTGCCAAATTAGACATCAAACCTATAAAGCAAGACAATATAACAATTGAAGGCGATCTGGAAATGATAGACCCAGAACAATGTATAATAAGAGGCAGAGGTTGTCAAACTGCTATTGTAGGAAAGGTCAACACATTTGAAATAGTTGCCAAAGACCAAAATGGTGATGATATTACAACTGGTGGAGAGGTTTTCACTGTAACACTAACAAGAATTAAGGAAAATGACAATGATCCAGAAGAAACTATCCAGGGAACAGTAACAGATCTTGGAAATGGAATTTATAAGGTTGATTTTGTGCCAGAAATTATTGGTAAATATAATATTGATATCAAGTTGGATGGTAAATTGAAACTTACACATCCTAGCATTAAACCTGTTAGGGTTGTGCCTGGTGAAGCATATGGTAAGAATTGTGAAGTGGTAGACGAGTACGAACAAATGCAAGGTCCATTCTTTGAAGGTCAAAGAATCAAATTCAAAATCTATGCTAGAGATCAATTTGGAAATTATTGTACTCGTGGTGGAGATAAATTCTATCCAGAATTTTCCTTCATTTCTGAGGAAGGAGTTGTTATTAACAATTTAAAGAATCAGGTCGTTATTAATGACTTCCAAAATGGAGAATATGAAGTTGAGGTTCATTTCCCACTCCCTGGAAAATATAATCTCAAAATGACAGTCAACCAAACTGATGATTTGATACCATATCTTGATCCATTCACATTTGAAGTTTTCAAACGACCTGATCCTGGATTGGCTATCAAGTATGAACAATTTTTCCCATATAGTAGTGTTATTCAATATGCACTCACTGCATTTGATCCTCACAATGCCAATAATATTGACTTCCAAAATCCTCCAAAAATTGACAGTAGATGGGTATCTGTTGTTAGCAATACTCCAATACCAGAAATTACTGATTTTGTAGCATCTGAAATTGAAGATAACATTAGAATTAAATTTAATGAATGGCTCAACAGGGGAAGAAGAGTAATATTGGATCGTTTGATTAATGATGAATCAGAAATTGATGTTTCTGAATTTGAAGATGGAACAAATAATAATAACTTTTATTGGCATCTCGTTGAAACCTATTTAAGCAATGAAGAAAAATGTAATGACTACAAGGAAAAGCTTAATGAGAGAATTAAATTAAGCAATGTAGATTTTGTAAACTATGTAACAATAACAGAAGATCCACAAGATTGGACCCAATATGAACTCTATCTCCAACAACAAATTGAAGAAGAGGAAAGAAAGAGAAGACTTCAAGAAGAAGAGGAAGAGAGAAAGAGAAGAGAATTAGAAATGTTGGAAGAGGAAAGAAAGAAGAACATTCCTCCTCCACTCAATCCAAACCAATTCTCAGTTAGACCAAGAAGAATGGCCCTTAATTTCTGGGTTATTGTATCAAAACTCTTGTACGAGGCCACACAAACAACAAAGCCATTCCAACTTGACAAGTCACAAAAGATTCTTGGTTATGAGACAAATGAGTTGAGTTTTAATAGATTTATTGATGAAGATGTCTTTTTGAGTACTCAAAGATATCATCTTCAAGCTTATGGTGATCTTTTACTATCTGTTGCTCAACGTTACATTTTGGAATTAATTCAAGAAGTTAAAATTACATTCCCAGATATCAAATATAGAGTAATCGAAGCTGAATGCAGTAATATTGGTAAGAATGCCTTCAATAGATTTTCCCAAGCCCACAAGATTTTCACCTACTTCTGTTCTGAGCTTTATGTGAGTCCTTTCGATGAAATTGATTTTAATGATAAGAAAAAGTTTGAACATTTGATTTTATCCTTCAAGAGACAAATTGTACGATTGTTGCTTGAATCTAATATGGAAATGTCTAATTTATTGAAAACCAAGATGAAAATGTCTGATAAGGATGTTTCAAATCTTCAATCAATGGCATCATTCTTCAAATCATCTATGAATGATGTTTTTGATGCTTTTAGATTGGCATTTGGCTTTACTATGAGCTCCAAACCAAGAAAAATCATGGTACAAGAATTGTACTTTGTCAAAAATAGAGCAGTTGATATCTCTCTCGATAAGAATGATATTACAGTTAACAAACAAGAAGCCTCCCTTTCATATTCTGTTCAAATTCCAATTAACAAATTGTTTGACTCTTATTCGTTCACTAATGAGGGCTTGAAGACATCTCGCGACAGACACAGAGAAGGTCTAATTAATCCTTACAAGAGTGTCTACCTTAAGGGAGGAAGAGTTATTTTAGAAATGATGAGATCAGGTTCTTTCCCAGCCTACAAGTTACAAGATAAGAAGCAAAGACAAGCTATTGCCATTGAAAATGCCAAGACAATGCTCAAGGCCATGGCAGTAAATCATGTAAAGAGATTTACCAGAGAAGAATTAGAAGGACTCAAACAAAGACAAGAACCACTCAAGATTCCATTCACTACAATCAGTCTCTTGACTCCTTCATTTGTTCAAAACAGAGAAGACAGACAAGTTATGGAACATCAAGGTGCTATTTATCATGTACTTCAAAATAACTTGTTACCATCTGTACTTGTAGATTTATACGATAGACAACCACCTATTGACATGCCTATTATTTTCCATGAACCTTGTCTTTTGAACTTTGGTGTCAATGTTATTATCAAGACATTCAAGTGTGGTGTTGGTATTCAAAGATCAGTTAATTGTAGACAATTTGGTATTAGACAATTTGAAAAGAAGGTTCAAAGATTTATGCTTGCTCTCGGTGAATATAAGAATACTATCAGAGGTGCAATCATGAATTATATTACTGGTATTTTCACAAACTCTAGAGATGGTAACATGTATGTTCAAGCATTGGTCAACAAGTTGACAAGAATTAATAATGTCTATGCTGTAATGAGAGAAAAACATGCAGCTGCTATCAGAGAATTGACTCCTTTAGAATTTGATTTGCAAAAGAAACAAAAAGAATTGGAAAAGAGAATTAACGAAAAATGGTTGCCAAAGTTTGATGACATTACCTCTGTTGAATTTACCTACTTGAAAGATATTATGTTCTTGGTTAACGATATGGACTCTATGATTGATAAGATTCACAATATTGACCTTAAATGGGAGAATAGTTATGACGAATTGATAGAATTGGAGCAACATTTTTTGAAGAGTTTGTATACAAGCGTATCCAATGCAAGAGCTTCACAACCTCAACTTCCTCCTATTCCTCACTGGCAAGAATATTACGAATTTTGTAATTTGGAAAGAGACATGTATGAACTGTTTGGTTCTCTCAAGAATTTGTACCACTCCAAGCAACATGAAAAATTCAATCAAGGTATTATGGAATCTGATGAAGTTAAAGTCGGAGATCCATATGCTATTCCAGTTAGAGTTGTTCTCTTGTCCTTTATTATTGGTGAACAAATTCACTACAATTGCAAGAGTGGTAAGGATAGAACTGGAGCTCTCATGGATGAATGTGAAGAGTTTGCTGAACTCAGAGAACATTTGTCATACTATCCAAAACCTTTCACTAAGGATGCCAAGCTTGGTGAATACAGACAAAAGATTAGAACCAACATTAGTATGAATGGTGGTTGTTTGGAAATTTGTAAACAAAATATTGGACTCAGAGGTGCCAAATTGGACAAGACTTTGGCCAGTAAGTTCTGGACTAAAAAGTTGTATGATGAAAAGGAACGTGTTGTTGGTGAAATTCCATACTATAGATCCTTCAAGGGTGCTGGTTATTTAGATGATGAAACTTATGCATCCAAAGATGAAGATTGGTATGCTTATGAAAACTCATTCATTAAGAACCTTCAATAAAGATCACAAACACTGGACGCTTATTTCTATTTACCATTCATACAACAGCGTAATTTCTATTTCACATTTTAAACGGTCATATCCTTTTGTCTCACGTAAAATGGAAGTCTTCCAACTGTAGTTGTCACATAAACCTTGACATTTTAGTACACCTTTACAAAGCAGGACTATTTTTCAAATTTAGCTTAAAGCCATTATGTATCAATGTCTTGCCTTCTCTGCACAAAAAATACATCAACCTCAAATCCTTCTTCCAACATTGAAATTGATTCAGAAAATCATCAACATGATACTTCCTTTCTTCCATTGATCAAAAGGAACACCAAATATTAATCATTTGATTCCAATATCCTTCGTCAACCAAGCAACATTCCAAAATCCGTTTACAACGCCAAATGAAAACGTCGGTATTTGAAAATTAAACATGACAAATTCCTCGCTCCTCAAATATGCGCTCACTTCTCTCATGCTCGACCGCACTAAATATTAAGCGACCACTTGAAAATCAAAACTTCCTTGCACCGGCGCATTTGAGAGCTTCAAGGAAAGAACGACACTGAAGAGGACAATGAAGGAAACTTACGTCCCAAGACAATAGTCTCTCTTTTGTTATTGTCCATAAATAATCCACAACACAGGGTAGTTGGATGAAGGAAATCAATTTGAAAAAAAACCAAACATTCAGGTGACTTTTGAAGTAAGACAGCACAAATACTTCTCACTAACTGCTGATAGATTGGTTATCATCATTCACAACTCACTTCATATTCAAACAGCTTACATTTCAAATACTAATAAGAAATTTCAATGAGAGCCTCATCAACCTCATCAACACCTTCAACGCCTGCCATAGAAAAGGTTCCATCGCAGGATGCTTACTCAACCATTGAACCAGACCTTCTCAATAGAAATGATTTTGTCTGGACAAACAAGGAAGAACCTCATCTTAGAAGAAAGTATGAAATGCTAAAGAAGTATCCACAAATTGAAAAACTGTTCGGCTATGATCCAGAAACAAAGTGGCAATGCATCTTTTTCGTCCTTCTCCACTTTTTAATTTGCTACTTGGTTAAGGATAGAAGTTGGTGGTTGCTGATTCCGACTGCTTGGCTTATTGGTGGTGCCTTTGTTCAATCAATGACAGTTGCTATTCATGAAATTACACATGGGTAAGTTTATTGGATAATTGGTTTGTTTTAATCGTGTGATGATGGTCATTTTCATGAATATGCATACTACTACTCTGCAATGATGATGATGATTTTCCAACGACTCATTTCTACTAATTAGGATGTGTTTTGAAAAGTTAGAACACAATTATTACTTTGCAATCTTTTGCAATTTATCAATGGGCATTCCTTCTGCAATGACCTTCAAGAGGTAAGTTATTCATTCTCAATTCAATTTGATTATTAATTATCTTTTCAATTGCTTTATACTTTTGACTTGCAAAAATCTGTGATTGGCGGTGATGAAAAACAACACCTGCGCTTAAATACCGGTTCATTTGTCCAAACGCTTATTACGAAAATTGCGGACAACAACTAATCAATTACGCTTATTGATTTCATTTGCACTTGAAAACATATTAACGATTTAATCCGCACTTTCGTTATTATTGGCGGCTTTCTCTGTTTTTGAAATCATCATCAAAATACAATGTGATGATTCATTTCGAATAGATATCATAGTGAACATCATTTGTATTTGGGTGTGCCTGGTTTGGATGCTGATATCACAACCAAGTATGAAGGCAGATATGTGAGAGGTCCAATCATGAAAATTCTTCACATTATCTTTTTGGGTTTGATTTATGGTATCAAACCATTACTTGTCTCTCCAAAGGTTCCAAACAAGTGGGAAATTTTGAATATTGTTGTAACTTTGACTTTTGATTCAGTTCTGGTCATGATGTGGGGTTATAGAGCTCTTGTTTATTGTTTGATTGCTACTCTCTTTGGTTTGGGTCTTCATCCATTGTCTGGTCACTTTATTTCTGAACATTGGTTGACTAAGACTGGACAAGAAACATACTCATACTATGGACCTGCTAACTGGTTCATGTTCAATGTTGGTTATCATAATGAACATCACGATTTCCCAAGAATTCCATGTACCAAATTGCCACTCTTGAGACACATTGCTCCTGAATATTATGGTTTCGAGGATGTTATTGGTATGAAGAGAGAGGGTGACAACTCAAATGATAAGTACTCATCAGAAGTACAGGAAATGTATCACTTGGACTCTTGGTCTGGAGTTTTATGGAACTATATTACTACAGATGGATATAATCCATTTGTTAGAAAGGTCAGAACTGTGGAAGATCACAAGAAGGCAAGAAAGGATTGGTATTCTCGCGGTTATACTGAACATGCATGTTCTAACGAAGAAAACCAAAGTTAAAATTCTCTTCTCTGTATTATATAAACACCAATTATTTATTCTAAATGTAATTTGTATTTTAGATTAATTGTTCCTCAAAAATTACAGAGCTAGTGAATTAATAATATTTATTTTACCACTCATCATCACCATAGCTATCGTGATGATCGTAGTGATTGTCATCAAAGTTATCATCATTGAAATTGTGTTCCTCGCTTCTATCATCGTCATCAAAGTTAATTGGTTCGTGTTGATCTTCTTGCATTTCAAATGAATCACCAGTTCCATAATAATCATGCTCGTCATGGTCAACCATTCCTCCAAACTCATCATATGTTGCACCACCATGGTGGTCTTCTTCAAATGACGGTTCTTCTTGATAGGACTCTTCCAAAACAGTTACAGGTTGGTGTTGCTCTTCTTCATAATTCGTTGATTCTTCTGGTTGTGCTTGAAGTTCTTGTTCTTGTCTTAATTGCTCTCGATCTGATATTATTCTCTGCCTTCTTCTTCTTCCCAAGAACCTTCTGGCACATCTCTGAATCTTTGTTGCTGCCGCATCGTAAATTGACTCTTCTTGATCTTCTGTCTCATCCTCAAAACTGTAATTTCCTCCAATGTCATCGTCTTGTTGTTGTTCCTCTTCTTCTTCAACCTCTTGTACATTGTTTGGAGTATCATTTGATGGTTCCACTTGCGGGACTGATGAATGTTGTTCAGGTTGTTGTAGTCCTTCCTCTTCCTCAATTGGTTCTGGAGGGCAATAGTTAATTTCTGGTGATTCAACGAGATCAACAGGATCAATAACATCTTCATAGGCTGGTTGTTCGTGAGCACTGCTATGCACAGGTTGGATTGGCACTGGTGGAGGAGTGTTCATGGCTGAATTGGCAAGCTTGTTTTGTAAATTTGCCACTTCATCCAACAATTTGAGATTCATTGTTTTCATGTCTTTGAATTTGGTCATGAGGGTATTATTTTGCTCTTCAACACCTTCCATCTTGCTTCTTAGTGTTAGAATTTCTTGATTCTTGGCACTTAACAAATCGGTCTTTTCCTTAAGTGTGGCAGTAAGGAATTGACATTCCTTCTCCTTCTCTGTCACTCTCTGTTCTACAGTCACCACACTCGATCTGAGATGTGAATATGATTCCTGCTGTTTGCCCAGCTCTGTAATAGCATTATCTTTTTCTGCGAGTTTTCTTTCGTAATTTTGTTTTTGTTCTTCGATTGCTTTTTTCATGTCATTGTTCTCTTTCCTCAGAGAGTTGTTATCAAATTGAATTCCATCACTAATGCTTTGCAGTTCTGCATTTGCTTTCTTTGTATCTGTCAATTGTTGATCATACTCTGACAACCTTTCATTGAGTTCATGTATCGTTCTGGACATGTCATCAATTTGATGTTCTTGCGCTGATAACCTAGATGAAGCACCATTATTGTCTCTCACATATCTCAACTCTTCAGAAATGGACTCGTTTTGTTCCTTATAATAATCTTGAACTTGTTTCATTTTTACAATTAGTTCTCTTAGTTTCACGTTTTGGCGACTTAATTTTTCATTTTCCTCATCAATCACTTCAAGTTCCTGCTTTTCCAATTCCAAATCTTCCACAACCTTTTGAAGTCTTCTTGATTCAGTATAGTATGCCTTTAATTCAGTTTCCAATTCTCTCACTCTGGTGTATCTACTGTCCAATTTAATTCTTTGGAACTCATTTTCCTTTTCACTTAGGTTCTTTTCAAGTTCTCTTATTCTTGATTTCAAGCTCTTCACAAGCTATAATTTTCGAGTTAAATTCGAGTCTCTAATATTGTACTTACATTGACTTCCTTGAAAAGATTCTCATATCTTGTTCCCTTAGTTTCGACAAGGGCATGAGCTCTCAGTAGCTCCTCCACTTGCTTTTGTTTTCTAGTACTGTCAGCTTCTGATTTTTGAGCAGCTGTCCTTAGTGATTGATTATCTCTTCTTAGTATAGCGACCTCTTGTCTTAATTCTTGCAAATCCATATACATTCCTTCTGGATCTTTGAAAAAGTTGGTAGGAATTGTTCTCTTTTTCATACTCTTGTTTGCAGTAGATAAATAATTTTGTACAACTTGTTTTTTAGAGAGTGTATTCTTCTCTAAAACACTATTGGTGCTTCTTGAAGAGGCAATTGGAAATTGCTTAGGTGTTGGGATGTGTGAGAGCTTGTATTGAGAGGGATTAACTTTTGACCTAGTAGAGCCTGCACTTGAAGGACGCGTAGAGGCAGATGAAGGTCTCCCAGCACTTCTTGGGCGATTTGTAAAGTAATCTGTTGATGTGTTGTTGACATCATTGTGGTGATGATTCATCACCTCAAATAATTCATCCGATGATTCCTTTCTCTTGAGAGATCTATCAGAGTGAATGGATGGAGGGGCATGTGGTTCATAAGGGTAGGGAACAGATTGAGGTTGATTTGTGGAAGGGGTGTGGGCAGAAGTTGGGTAAGGAAGAGGATTATAAGTAAATGGCTTGTAAGTAGAACGATCACTCCTAGCCGATGTTGCTTCATAAGAATTGTTAATATTCTCCTTGTTAGTAACATTGCTATTTCTTAGATCGATATTGGTTTGATAATTAGTTGGTGTTGTTGATGCTGGTGTTGCTCCATTGACTGGTGGCAATTTGGTGTGAGAACTCGTAAATAACGAACCATTCATTGTTGAAGATGAGGCATTAAACGATGTTGAACTCTGATTAGGGATACTATTATAACTAGCACTTGGAGAGTAGACACTTCTTGCATTATTTTGTGATGATGATGAAGGGGATTGCTTTGAATGACTAGTATCCTCAAATGAAGTATCATCATATGGATTTCCAAAACCTCCTTCCTCTTCTTCTTCTTCGTCGGCTTCCTCCTCTTCCACGTCTCCAATTCTATCTTCCTCCTCTTCTTGGTAGGTTTGGTTGTAGCGCCCAAAAGACATTTTTTTAAATTGTTTTAAAAATGAATGGAAATGTAAATTATTGGCGCCAAACTTTTCCCGCCAACCTACATGAACGTATCTGCTTATTGTTTGTTATTTAATAGTCACAAAGAAAATCAAAAAATTACGACAATTCTGATCCGAGGATAATGAGGAAGAAGAAAAAAATTGTCTGACATTGAAGACTCAAACCGATATTTACAATTATCAAAGTTGCTATTGGTGATTTTTTTGGAAAGTGGGAGTCAGAGAAAAGTATTTATGAATATTCTCATTTTGGAAAGCCAAGATTTGCATCAGTTTGATTTTGTTTATTTCTGATAGTCTACAACCAAGATTTTACTCAATTAGATAATAATAATAATTGTTTAATAATTACATTACACTAGTGGTATGGTATCTTTGCATTATATTAGGAATTTTTGCTCGTCTTGTTTTTTAGATTTCTAATAGTTTGAATGAATAAAGTAACCTTACTCTTAATCAAACTAGTCCAAATGCTAACATAAGAACCAGGTACAGATTGCCACAACACAACAGCTGCCAAAATATGGAAAAAGAAAGCAAACGAAACCATGAACATCATATTCACATCAATCATTTCCATAATGTAACCTTTCGACTCAACACTCTTGCCGTAGGATGAATAATTTTTCAACTCATTCAAGTATAATATCTCATTTGCATATCTCAAAAAGGAAAAGTGTGGAAGCCAGGAATAAGGAAAATAGAAACTACTTATTTCAGGAATAGTTGGAGTTACACCGGAGAATAAATACACAACGAACACAACTAAGCCAGAAGCGATCTGAGAGATCTCAGTCCTCATCGCTATGGAAATGATATATCCAATCGGATAAGTTGTGGCAGTTATCAGAAAGTTCAGTTTAAAATAGTCAACCAGCGATCCTTTTGGACTAGCCAAATAATAACTAGAAATTGTGAAAAAGAATGAAGCCAAACTAATTGGAATAAATGCCATCACATCCTTCACCAAAAAGTAAACCAATGAATTGAGTCCACTTTGAGATTCTCTACGAAACACAACCTTATCCCTTCCAAAAATACTCAAAGAGCTCAGTATTGAAGATAAACTAATCGAAAGAACCAAAATACTAATAAATGCAGAAATATCATCCTCTTGTGCCTGGGAACATGTCGAGTAGAGATAAGTTGGGCATTTCTTTGCAATTTCTTCAGTACTCTGACCATTATAATTTAAACTTCCAACAAAAATGGCGCCAATGAAAATTCCACTAATTGTGTTAATGAGGAGATCAGTGGCAAATGATGAGAATTCATGGAAGATTTGGAGTACTCCTCTGAATAAGAATGCCAATCCTTGAATGTAGAATGGCACATTTGGAACAGGAATGAAATTTGACATTTCATTTTGATATCCACCCTTATCAAGTTTAAACTTACTGAGGGAGGGTTGAATCCTAATCAGTTCCTGTTGCTGTTCTGCTGTCATTATATCCATGGCAGCAATCACACAATCTCCAGGATTATTATACTCCTCACTCTCCTTTCCCTCACTTTCGTCTTGCTTTTCAAAATTATCTGAAATTTGCAAAATATCCTTCGCACATTTACTTGCAATCTGCTTGGCATCTCCATGAGCAATCATCTCACCATTCCTAAACAATATCAAATCATCAAACATTTCATAAATCTCAGCAGATGGCTGATGAATCACGCAAATAACATTCAACCCTTCATTCTTTGTTTTCTGGGCCAGAATTTTACACAACAAAAGAGCTTGCTTACTGTCCAGGCCACTTGTTGGTTCGTCGAGGAGGAGGACCTGACATTCGTTGATTATTTCAATGCCTACATTGAGACGTTTCTTTTCTCCACCACTGAGGACTTTCTTGTTGACATCACCAATGGTACTGAAGAGTTTGTGGCGAATGTTTAACATTTCGGCAGTTTCTTTGACCTTTCGAAACAGGGGAAAGAATAATGATGTCATGGATCGGTAGATGGAACTGAACATAAGAGTTTCCCAGATTTGTAAACTTGAGATCATAATGTCATCTTGAGGGACAAAACCAATGGCCTTCTTTAAACTTTCTGTAAGAATTCGTCCATTTAGTTTAATTTCTCCTTCTTGAACTCCATAGTGAGCTCTCTTACTCAGCACAGTTAAGAAACTTGATTTACCACTCCCTGTTGAACCCATCACGGCTGTCAACTTTCCTGATTCAATTCTTCCTGAAATATTATTCAAAATTCGTTTTCCCTCAAAACTGTGAAAACTCAAATTCTTAAATTCTATTGTAACATCTTTCTTTGATGAAATTTCACTTTCTGATTCTTTCTTACACGAGAAAAATGTAAAAGGAGATGTCCACTCACTAATGAAAAGTTGCTTATTGGTTGGATCGTAAGAAATCATTGACAAGTAAATTTGATTCGAAACTATCAAACACACTAAAATTTCCAAAATTAAAATCCACACAAAAACTAAAAAGTTTGAAGCATTTGAATAGTTTTCATCCTCAACAATCAAGTGGAATATTGCTTCATAAGCAGATGATGAATTCTCCACCTGAATTAACAAATGAAATGTTTGTTGTGAGCTTGAATCTGAATTTCCATTCCACAATTTCCATGAATTCAAAATAACACCCTGTTTCGTCTTGTTAATCTCCTTTACATCAGAAGAGTAGTAATTAATAGAGTTGGATGTATCAAACTCATCATATAAGCTTTGATTCTTGAAGAGGAGAATGCGGAGTGTTGAATTGGCAGAGTACAACCCATAGAGAGCTTTGGATTGTTGAGATGAAGTCAATTGGATAAGAGTTTCAGTGTATGTCTTGGTGGATCCGTAAGATTCAGTCATGGTTCTTGTGTTTGTCCATTCAGGATGTGAATTGTCTAAATTAAATGTTTGAATATTTTGTGTTAAATAGTCAACTTGGTAAATTGAAATTGCTGTTACAATACAGATGCAAATTAAGGAGAGAATTAATAAAATTGTGATTAGAATGATAAGAGGAGTGTAGAGAGACCAAAAATTAGGTGAACTAACTGGTGTAGTATTGATGGTCTTGAGATTTTTCATTGAAGAATTCATCACAGAGGAAGACGAAAGGTTTCTACTAATTTCAACCTGAATTGGTTGATTAATTGATGAGGTGGTACTTGGTTTTTCTTCAGTCTTTTTCAAAATATTCAATCCGATAGATCCCAATTGTTCAAAAGTATTAGGTTCTTGCTCTTCTCTTCCCAAACTAATCATTTCACTTTCGAATACAAACGAATTAGCACTAACATTTCTCATATCACCTTTATCACTATTCAAATTACCAACAGTCGCCTTTCTATTCAATTCCTTTCTCTTCTTTTGTTGTTTTGGAAATTGAATCATATTTCTAAAGCCAAAAACTAATGAACTCGTCAACATGACGAAACATAAAATCAAGATTGAAATTGGCACCACACAGAAGGCATTCCACTGAGTGGATAATTCTGTGGAAGAAGGCCAAGACGAAAGAGTGTTTGAGAGTTGTTGTTTGACATTTTTTTGTTGAAAGTTTCTTTGAAAGTTACTTTGTGTTGGGAAAACTTATTCGAAACTTTGATGATGAACTATTTACCGTTCAACGTATGACAAGAAGATTGTGTGATAAGCAGTTGCTTACCAAGAACTCGAATATTCAGTGAAAATTGTTGGCGCCAAAACAGCAAATGTTCCAAACTTGGTAGTACGATCCATTTTTGTGATCCAAGTTCATATTTCAAAAAGCTGAAAATGTTCCGTCACGCAACAAACAAGTTTTTGAATGTGTTCTGATGGAAGATTCTACCACAACGGTATGTAGAAAATTCACTGATTAAAACATTGCATTAGAACTTTCAATGTTGTTTCTTGACTGTTGGGTTAAAAGAATGATATACGAAACTGATGCAATTAGTTTACAAATCAAAAAAAACATGTCCACTCTTGGAACAGCAAGTCAACAACAGGTCTCAGTAGAATATGAAATTTCTATTGAAGAGGTGCAAGATGATGAAAATGGATCGGAGAAACCAATGGAAACTCCAAGAGAATCAAATAAGAAGGTGAAGAGTTCAACAATAACACATGTGAGTGCAAATTCTGATAGTCAGTCGTCATTTGATGAAGCTATTCAACTGGATATTGTATCTGAATATGATGATATTCAATCTACGACTCATCAACCAAATACGAAACCTCACTCAACAAATGCTTCGAAAGAAAGGAAATCCATTTTGAAGAATGGTATCACTTGCATGTTAATTTCACTCTTCATTTTCATTTACATGTTGATATTGAGTGGAACCATCTATTATTCTTACTACAGTATCGGAAGAGTTTCGTCAGAATTCGTCTATTTCAATGAAGAATTTTCGAGTACATGCAACACTGACAATGGTTTCGTTTACAAGCACCCAACTCTCAACTCAACTCTCGTCAAGACATGTTTCTCCCAAAAGATCATTTCCATTAACTCTACAAGTGAAACTTTTGAAAATTTGGACAAGTTGACTTTATTTTACTATTCTCCAACAACATTCAACATTTACTACTTTAAAGAGTTATCTTCCTTTGAGAGCTACAACTCTTCTTATTATTTAGATCCATATTCGGTCAATTATTGGATTACTTCTAATACTAAATATGGTTTTAAACAATTTGCGTTATCTGTTGTTGATAATTCAACAGAAATTGAAGAAAAGGGAAATTATGGTGTGAGAATTTTATTTCAAGTCAACTTTTACTCAGTTGAAACACTTTCGAATAGTTCTAATTATGTAGGATATGATTACTTGACAACAATATCCGAATCCTCATTAGAAGATTATATAGAAAGTAATTCTACAAGTTTCCCATTCACTATCAGTGGTTCCTACTATGTAGAAAGTTCCATGAGTGAAGTTACTTGGCTCATGATTGGTTTCGTCTTGATTTTGATTTTCTGCTTGATTGCCACTTTGTCAATTTCCATGAGAATTCAAAGAGTTTTATATTCTGGTGAAATCTCCACATTTCTTCCATTATTTATTCGAAAGATTACCATTAATTTGTTAAAGAAACCTTCAAAGAAACTAGAAGAATCCGTATCTGAAACCAAAACTTCTCAAACAGGAGCCAAAATCACTTACGAAAAGTTGAATTTCAAAGATTTCTCAGGTAACACTCATCTATACGAAAGCAGTGGCGAATTCCATCCATTCACCTTCACTGCAATTCTAGGAGAATCTGGAAGTGGCAAAACAACTTTCATCAACACTCTGAGTAGAAGAGCACGTGGTAAAATGGGCGGGAAAGTTTATATTGGCAAGAAGCAATTAAAATCCGATTCCCAAAAGAGATTAATTGGATTTGTGCCACAACAGGATATAATGATTCATACTCTGACTCCAAGAGAGACACTCATGTTTAATTCTTTTGTTAGGAATGATTATTTGGATATGGATGGACATAGAAAGGTTGTGGATAAGGTTTTGAGAGATTTGAAGCTTATTAAGGAAGGTTATGATGCTTCGAATACAATTATTGGAAATGAAGAGCATAGAGGAATTTCAGGTGGTGAAAAGAAGAGAGTGAATGTAGGAATTGAATTGGTTACTCAACCAGCAGTTCTTATTTTGGACGAACCTACAACTGTATGTTTTTTTTTGATTTTCCTAATTATATTAATCAATTTTCTATTTTTGGTAAATTCATCAATATCAATCGTTTTATATTCGTAGGGTCTTGATTATTTGACAGCAAACAAAACTTGTAAAATCCTCAAGGAAATTGCAGATGGAGGAAAAACAGTCATTTGTGTTATCCATCAACCTGCCTATGAAACTTTCTGTCTCTTTACAGATGTCATGGTTTTCAAGACTAAACAAGTTGTTTTGAGAGGTAAGCGTGAGGTGATATGTAGGGAAGTTGGAAAGATTCTCAAAATCAAGAGAGGTGCCAATGCAGATGAAATTTTAGATTTTGTTTCTGGAGCTACTCATGAAGAATTGAATCAATTACAATTAAGAATTGATTCAATTGCTGAGGAGTTGTCATCAACCCCTTCCCTTATTCCATCTCAGCAAACTGAAAGGGAAAATAATAAGGAAGGAGGAAAATCTCGTCACTCCAAAGATGTCTCTCCATTTTACAAACAATTCATTGCATTAATGATTAGATCCATTATCCAAATGGCCAGAAGTTGGATGAGTATTATCTTTGATGCTGTTTTGAGTATACTTGCTGGTTTTCTATTGGGATTGTTATTCCTGAATCAGTCTGGTGATTTGTATCAAGGACCTGTAGATAAGAGTATAGTCTATCAATGTCCAACTGATAAGATTGCAATTTGTGCACTTCCTCAAAAGGATTACGTGATAGCCCTAGCAAGTTTATTAATATTTGGATGTAGTTTGACAGCTGCCATGTCTTCATTGAGAGTCTTTGGTAACGAAAAGGCAAATTATATCAGAGAAACTTTGAATGGTATCAATTCTATCATGTACTTTCTGGTCAAGGATCTGTTAGCCAACTTGCAAGTTCTCATTGTTTCCTTCTTCTTTTCCTTGACTTTTTACTTTATCATTTCACCTAGAGCAAGTTTTGGTTTCTATTTTGGAAGCATGTTCTTATTGAGCTATGTTACCTTTCCAATAGCTTACTGTGTTTCAATTACAGTGAGTCCACAACTGAGACAAATTACATGTGCAACCATAATCTTTCTGTCTTACATGTTTTGTGGAGGAACTCCAACATTGACCGATTTGAATGAAATGCCACAACCACTTCCAATGTTTCCACTTCTTTCTCATGCTCGTTATGTCAGAGAATTGCTCTACATTGGTGAAATTATCAACTATGAAGAGGATTACAATATTGTAAAGAGTCTATCTCTATACAGTTACCAAAGTGATCACATTCTCTATCTAGTCCTGGTCGCTCTCAGTTTTGGATTAGTTTTCAGAATATTTGCTTACGGTCTCTTGTGGCAATCTAGTCCAACTTCAACCATGATCATGATCTCCAGCAAATCCAAGTCAATTGTATCCAAAATCTTTTCTCCATTATCCAAAATGAAGGAATATTTCACTAACCAACTCCAAAACAAATTATCTTCCTTCCTTCAATAAATTCACAAATTCAATTTCAAATATCCAATTATCTTCCAGCTCACAAATCTCTTCGGAGAAGAACTGGTAACCTCCAGCACGTTAGCTTAGTGGAAGATTGCCCAACCGTAACTTGGTGCAACATAAAAAAATTCCAACACCACAGCCGTTAGTTAGCGAGAGGATGAACCAAGGATAACTGTTGATTCTCAAGGTGAGAGAGGGAGCAATAATTTTTTTTAAAATAAAACCGTTACAAATATTTGGTGCTGATTTGATGCGAGGTGTTTGAAGGCGTTATCATCATCATTACGAATAACAAGATTGTGTTGGATATTATTTGGAGTATACGCTTTTCGTTAATATTGTATTGAATTTGATGGAAATGAGTGAGAGAAAGAATGTGTTTCTGAGGGAAGATTTTGATCCACTGATAGCACTGTTTGGATCTGTTGATAAGAATAATAATAATAACAGTGTTACTGATGCTGATGATGATGTGATGATCCCACCAATATCTAATATCAAGCCATACAAGACATTTGATGCAATTAATTTAGATCAATTATTGTTGAAGAACAAGCCAAAACAGCAAAAGCAGAAACAACAGATCAACAAGGAAGAGAAGAAGGAATCTTGTGTTGTGGTGGATCGTGATGATCAAATTGTTGCAGCCGGCAGTTCATCTTCATCATCTTTGTCATCATCAGAACAGAAGCAATCGAGTGATGAGTCCATTGTTAAATCTAACCTTCCAGATGTGAAGGATTTGCCAACATTGGCCCATAAGGATACATACAGAGGTTTTCTAGAACACAAGTATGGCCAAGCATCTGTATCCTCTTCCCAACATTCATTCGGTTTGTTATATCAGGCAGTGATGGAGAAGAAGAGAGTTGGTGTCATGGTTAAAACTAGACATGGACACAGCAAGTTAGAAGGAGTATTATCTGGTTTTGATAAGTTTTTCAATATGGTAAGTTATCTTTAAATTATATTTAATTATTAATATTAAATTATTAACACTTGTTATCATCATCACAGATACTATTAGATGTGAAGGAAAATTACAAGGAATTGGAAATTAGATTTAAAAAACAAAAGACATTGGATAGGGAAAGAGGAATAATGATTCCATCCACCACCACCACCACCACTACCACAAAGAAGAAGAATAGTCGTAACAGAAAGAGAAGAGTGAGATGTCTTGTTGAGAAGGAGAGGGAATTTCCCTTGCTATTCGTTAAGGGTTGCCAAGTAATTTCAGTGATGAGCATACCAGGGAAATGATAAAGAGAGAGTGCTCATCTGTTTGTTGATGACCACCCGAATAGCATACTGGATGGGAGGAAATTTTTTTAAAAACAAAATTGAAGACTAGGATAGTGCAGAGGTTAGCATGTCGGGTTCCCATCCCGAAGACATGGGTTCAAATCCCGTTCCTGGTAAAGTCATTTTGCTTAGTATATTGAGAACAATTTTTAAGGATTTCATAATATTAGGATGGACAATTTTGCATTCTCATTATAACAAATTATTTTCAATATTGAAAATCATTAATGGATTGGAAATTCTCTCCATTTTATCATACAGTAAACAACATAATTCTTGTTCATTAATTTTCAAACAAAAACAAAGCAATTCACAAAGAATAAGAGAGTGATAGATATCTGAAAATTAATCTTTGCATTTGTTTAATTGAACTACAGCTAATAAAACAACACTTAAGGGCAGGCTATTAATAAGTTCAAACTCAAAAAAAACAGATTAATATTATTATGGGCACAATCAAATTGGTTGGATCGACGAGATTTTCGTTAAGTGCTGGTAAAGTGAAATACAATACACCTAACGTTGAGTCAAGTAATAAAAAGTCCTATCCGAAACAAGGCAGATGCAAGTTTCGAATGAAATCTTCGACGAATTGTCAATTTAATAATGGATCTTTTAGAATGTTTCCTTTCAGAAATGGGAATGTTGCTGAAACTGTTTCAAATTCCTATCACAAGTTCAATACAGAGAGGGGATATGAAAGAACCGAATATTTTGCTGATTTGAAACAGAACAAAATCCGAAATCAAACAACGAAGAAAATCAAATCTAATCATAAAAAGTGGCACAGAAATCAATGAATTTTATCAGAAAAGAGACGAATTCCAATTTGAATAGTTTACATAAACAATCAACATTAAATTAATAAAATATTATTAAAAAAAATGAAAAGAAGTCAACTGACTGCTGACATTTATGATGACGATACAACGGAACAAGCCTTTAAATATCAAAAAACAAGTCAATTCTACGAAGACTTGTTATTTGTCAATCAATCCATTGCATCACACTGTATTAAAGGTGAAAATAATATTAAAATTATGGAACACTTTCTACACTTGTTAAAATTGAATAATGAACAACAGGTTACAGATCAATTTGCAGAGGGTTGTGTGAATTTAGTGATTGGCTACTTTAATAAGTATTTAAATGGTAAGCCTGAAAAAATTGGATCGAATAATGATGAAATTGATGATTATGAAAAGGTGTGGCATGCTGAAAGGATTGGAAATGGAGGATTTGGAACTGTTTTAAAGGTAACTAAGAGAAATCAAAAAACTAAACAAGTGGAAACTATTAGAGCAATGAAGATTATTCCCAATTCAACAATGGGATTGAGTGAAGCTTTTAATGCTATCAATTTGAAACATCCTAATGTTATTAAAATATTTAACATCATGCTTATTAGAAATATTTGCTGCATTGAAATGGAATATTTACCATTTGGAAGTTTACAATATTTATTAGATAACAAGACAGTTAAATTCAATCATCAACAAATGGTATTAATACTATATCAATGTTGTGAAGTATTGGCCTTAATGAGACAGAATGGAATGGTACATTCTGATATAAAGCCAGCAAATATTCTGATTAAGAAATTAAATGATACCTATTTGGCAGAAGTAGCTATATGTGATTTTGGATTATCTATACATAATGAAACATTGGCCAATCAAATGGGAATTGTATCATTGGGTGGAACAACTAAATACTGTGCACCTGAATTATTGATATTTGAGGATGGTCAAAATAGATTCAAGAATGGTCCGGATTTTAAACCAACATTCCACTCTGATATTTATTCATTGGGAAAAACCTTCCAAAAACTGCTCGATAATAATCAGAACAATGATGTTTCGAATTCAGTATTTGAAAATTTTGACTTGACTCAAATGCTTGATCGATTTACATCGAGTAATCCTCAAGAGAGGGAAGATGGATTCTATTATTTTATATTTAATTATATTTTGTTTAGGAATCGTAAATATGATATTTGGAAAAATGATATAATAGCTGCGGAATTTTGTGAATTAACTTTTCATCTTGATAAAGCGCTCACCATACCAAGTAGTAGCAGGGCTTTTATTATAGAACATGGTCTGTTGGCATTTGCAGATGAATCACTTAGAAAAGATAGACAGGTTGTAATAGAGACAGTTAAACGAAAGGGATTGAAACTTGAATTTGCAGATGAATCATTAAGAAAAGATAAAGAAATAGTAATGGAAGCTGTTAAGCAAAATGGATGGGCGCTTCAATATGTAGACGAATCACTAAGAAAAGATAGAGAAATTGTATTTGAAGCAATTAAAATCCATGGACAAGCATTTAAATTTGCAGACGAATCATTAAGAAAAGATAGAGACTTTATTCTAAAAGTAGCACAAAATGATCATGCATTTGAATTTGCAGATGAATCCCTCAGAAAAGACAGAAAACTTGTAATGGAATTAATTAAGATTCAATGGCAAATACTTAAACATGCAGATATATCATTAAGAAAAGACAGAGAAGTGATTTTGGAGGCAGTTCAACAAAATGGATGGGCACTCGAGTTTGCAGATACACTACTGAAAAAAGATAGAGGAATTGTAATGGCAGCGATTAAATCACATGGTTTGGCTCTTGAATTTGCTGATGAATCATTGAAACAAGACAAAGAATTTGTTTTAGAGGCAGTTGTAATACAGGGACGAGCACTTGAATTTGCCGATGAATCATTTAGAAATGATAGAGAAATTGTACTGCGAGCAGTTCAACATGATGTATGGGCATTTGAATTTGCAGGTGAAGCACTGAGGAAAGATAGAGAGCTTGTAATGATAGCAATTAACATGCATGGTCGAGCACTTAAATATGCAGATAATGAATTGAAAAAAGATAGACAAGTTGTAATGGAAGCAGTTCAGCAACATGGATGGGCACTTGAATTTGCAGATGAATCATTAAGAAAAGACAGAGAAGTTGTTATGGAGGCAGTTAAAACATATGGACTACAAGCACTTGAATATGCCGATGAATCATTAAGAAACGACGTAGAGTTTATGAAGGAAGCAGAAATAATTTCATTAAACAGTCGAAAGTAATAAAGACCATTAAAAACCAAATAAAAGAACCACAACATGGTTTAAAATATAAAAAGACTACAGCACCACAGGTTCCCAAGTTGTCTCCAACCTCAGTACTGATGTGGCTCGACGATGCTTAACTTCTCAAATCGGACGGGATGAGGTGCATTCATCGTGATATGGCCGTAGCCATTCATAACCTTAATCCAAGGAATATAACATAATTTGTCAAACAAAATCAGACCTACGGTACTTGTTTACTAAAACGAAACAACACTATCTCTTGGTTTACATAGAAATCGTAAATGAAATATCTGAAAAAGCGATCATGATTTGAGATGATTCGAATGGTGGAGTATAAAATTTGATAATTGGTGTAATAAACTGTTTGAAATGGTTACCTGTTGCACTAGCAAGTACTCTCTCCATTTCATTTAACAAATTAGCCCGAGCAATATGAAATTGGAATGGTTTTTGATAGTTGGTAAAGTGGAGAAACTTTTCTTCGCATTCTGCAATTATTGAGCTAATGATTTTCAGAGTTTTGGCAAATGATGGAATTGAACGAAACTCATTTCTTGTTGAATGAAGTATTCGTCTAGGATATTCAACACCTTTTGATAGTACCATTTCTAATAAATCTGGTTTTGTAAATACAAATTCAAATCTCTTATCAGGAAACTGTACAACATTTTCAATCAGACTTTCTATGGTCCTATCCAATTCATTCGAATATCTAATATGATTTCTAATGTCTGTATTATCTAAAAATCCAGTCAATGAAACATAAATTAAAACAGTTTCGAATATTTTCAAAGCTTTCAAATTTGTAATAGCTTGAGGTAGTTTAAAAATGTTAGTCGAAACCAGTACTAATCCGACATTCTGCTCGTTAACAACTCTAAAGGGAAAATTACACGTCTCGAATATGTAAAAGGTCTTGAGAATTATTTTACATTTTTCAAGAATGTCAAAATCTGATTTGGTCAACCGTTTGAAAATTTGTTTATCCATAAGTGGACTCAAATGTTTATCCTTTCCAATGGATTTTCCAACCACTTCCACCAAAGAATCAATAGAAACATCATATAATTCCAATTTCTTTCTAAATTTTTCATCCAATCTCTGTAAATAAACTTTTCTTTCTTTCTTCCAGTTTCGTTTCATTTTACAAAATTTCGGAATTAAATACATTGGTAATTGCATAGATTCATCCGTTACTACTTTCAATTCCCACAATAACATGTCCATAATTTGATAAATCCTTATCGCAATATTAAAATCCTTTCTAATATTTAAAATTGTTTGTGTTTTTCCGCTTGAACTTCCGCCAACCATCATGAGAAACGAATCTATTCGAATTGTTTCTTGATCATTGTCGCCACCATGTTCGTCAATATCCTGTGTTGCTTGCTTGTTTCCCATTTTTTTTTATTGTAAAATTATGGAAAATCTAAAAAGGAAAAATTAATTTCACCTCTGAAGTTCAAAGAACTCTGCAAGAACTTTAAAAAATTCTCAATTTTACAAGATTTTCAAATATTGTAAAAATAATTGTCAAAAAAAATGCTTCCACACGCTACGGTTTTCACATCCAGTGGATCTTTTGCTTGTTTTGATACGGTTGTTTGTTCTCAAATTCTTCTCTTCATAAAACCAGAGGAATGGAAAGTTAGCAAGCCATTTCTGATCTCAAAAACATTTTATTCCTTTTCGAATAGTGAAACATTCGCTCGGGATTATTTGTGCGAATATTTTAATTTGTTAGAGGAAGAGGAGAAGAAATTGGAAGAATTAATTTATAATCCACCAATATTTCGTGAATCTTTATTGAATGGAGCTGTTGGTGAGAAGAGGAAACGAGACGAAACTACATTTGACAAGAAAAAAAAGAATATCAAACATTCTAAAAAGGGCACTCTCGACTTATCCAATCCACCAACGAGTTTTCAACAAGTTTTTCAATGGTATCTTCAATTGAATGATTCCAATCTCTATCAAAAATCCAAAGAAAAATTATCAAATTTAATTGATGACATTTACAGTGCAGACTTTCAATTTGACAATTTATATCAAATTTTGGATAGAATGAAAGCCAAACGATTTATCAATTCAAATTTTGGTTATTTTCTAGAAGGTTCTTATATTATCACTGAAGAATTGGGTAAAACTGAAATAAGCAAAGATGAAATTGAGTTAATTTTCACAAGTGGATCACGAGATGAATTTATTTTGGAATGGAAATTAGATAAAAGTATGGAAGGACATATACATTACAAAGTTAAATGTCTGATTTTCACCAATTGTGGATATCCACTGGTGGTGGAGGGAGAATATCAAAGAAATATCGACACGCTCAGAGGAATTTCCAATGCCAGTGAATCGTTCACTGTTTATGGCCAGGAGGTGTTTGGTGGGTTTATGTTTTCCTCTGCTACAGGTTATATGGATAGTAATAAGGAGAGGATCAATGAACCAGCTGTGGAGTTATTGAGTGAGATTCTTGGAAATGATTTTGAGAAGAATTTGAAAGAAATTGGAATATTGTCTGAGGAAAGAACAATTGTGAGATATCAACTCATTTATAATTACTTACAATGTACATTGGGAGAGCATGAGAAATCATTCCTGGCAAGTAATGAGCAATGGATACCTTTTGCTAAGTTTAAAGGGGAAACAACAGATTCAGATGAGGAAGATAATTCAATTTGAGGCAATAAATTTAATGGTTAGGCGGTTAATTTATACAATCAAACAAACAGTGTTAATAAATGTGAAATCGGGTGTGGTATAGTGGTAGCATTCCAGACTGTCACTCTGGCGACCCGGGTTCAATTCCCGGCACTCGAGATAAATTTTTAACACAATCACCAACCTTTGAGTTTTAACTTTTTCATTATATCAAGCCATTAATCTAATCTACCTAATTTTCAAATTTTACATGTTCATCTCTTGAAACCATCTAGAAATTAATCAAAGCTTTGCCACTTTCATTTTTTCATTTTTTTAACCTGCTTTTCCAAGTTCCTTGTCCATCAAATTGCAAAATTATATTTCCGATTATCCATCAAACTTGTTTTTAAAATCTATTGGATTGAACCTAAACTTTCATCAATTTGAAAGTCTTGAAGACTTTAATGGATGAAAGATGAGTGTCAATTAGAAGTTCGCATTTCACTTTAAAAAACTATTGGGCCACATTACAAGAAAATAATTAGAAAAAAAAAAGAAACAAGAACACTTGAATGAGGATTTATCCAACTCCTGTCGTTTCGTTCAGAAAACGAACAACAATAGAAGGTTCTGTTTCAGGTAAATTAAAAGAAACTTCCTATCCGAAATATAATGCAACCAAACGCAAAACTAAACTAGTTTCTTCTCCAACTGTAGGAGTTATTCTGGATATTCCTAATGATATTTGTCATGAAATAATGACATTTCTTGATTTTCGTTTTGTTCTTCAGACCTGTGCATTAATTTCAAAACAATGGTTATTCGAAACTAATCAGTTAAGACTTTCCTATAGAATTAAAAATCCATTTTCACCACAAAGAGTTTTAGATGTCATGCAAAAGTCCAATTCAAAATATATCGAGAATTTCACAAGCCTTCATTTATCAAAAACAAGTGAAAATGTCCAATTAGGATATTCTGGAATGGAATTGATTTCTAAACTTTCCAAAATTAGAAAGTTGGAAACTTTGGAAGTGGCACTCTCTAAAGTGAGCTCTTTCAGTTTTCAAAAGTTTTGCTCTCAAGATATTGTAAAGAATTTGACACATTTTAATGTGAGTGGAAATTACATTGCAGATGAGGGAATTTATGCGCTTTGTAACAGTGAAAAAATGAAGAATTTGAAAGTTTTGGATGTTTCCATGAATAAGCTGACAGATAAGTCTCTTGAATATATTTCAGAGAGTCCGTTCATTACTAATTTGACAATTTTGAGAATTTCCACAAATAGTATTACCAAAATTGGAATGGAATTTTTATGTAATTCTAAAAATATGACTAATTTAATTGAAATATCTATATTCAATACGAAAATAGGAGATGAAGGAATGATTTTCTTGTCAAAATGTGTAGGAATGCCTAATTTGACCTTTCTTGATGCTTGTGAATGTGAAATTTCAACTGTTGGTGCTTTAGCATTTGCTAAAAGTTCTCATTTCCCAAAATTGAAGAAACTATTCTGGAGTAGAAATCTTTTAATTGGAAGCGAACCAATTATAGAGTTGACCAGAAATCCACTCATGAGAAATTTAGAAAATTTAAATATTTGTGATATTGGCATTTGTGATCTTGCATTGAAAAGCATTGCAGAAAGCGAAAACATGCAAAATTTAACTAGTTTATCATTGAACAATAATGATATTCATGAAGAAGGAGTGCAATCCTTAATGTCAAGTGAGAAAATGTCAAGAGTGAAATTTCTTGATATTTGTTTGTCTCACATGAGTGAAAAAATAACTTCCCAGATAGTTTCTGGCAAGTTTATTAGAAATATTGTCAGATTAGGATTGTTTTTAAATGGAGAATCACAATTCAAGCAATTATTTACTTGCACAAATTTGGAAAGGTTGACAGCTTTGGAAACTCGTTTGTCATCAACTGGTTGTCAGCTATTATGCAAGAGCCCCTTTATAAACAACTTGACTCAATTGATATTGGATGATCATCCTATTGGTTCTGCAGGTGCCTGTCATATTTCAAATTGTGAAAATCTCCAAAATCTGACAGAGCTTGGTTTATCCAATTGTGAAATCAAAGATTTAGGTGTTAGACACATTGCATATAGCACCAATATGAATAACTTGAATAGCCTCTCATTGGTATCCAACCAAATTACTTTCACAGGAGTGGAACACATCCACAGAACTAGTGAACTAAAAAGTTTGAGAACTTTGATAATTAACAAGAATGAATTGGGTTATACTGCTCAGGGTTGGTTAGTATCCATAAAACGACTTGAAACATTGCTATACTAAATAAAGATAGTATTAAATAAAAATGGAAAAATCTTCTATTTAAAGAAATTGCTAATAATTTCTGATAATTTCCAAATATTATAAATATTATGATATTATAGGGTTTATTTACAGTTTATTCTTGATGGCGTTTGGTAACTTTCTTTGAACAGCCAAGTAATTTTCACATAATTTCAAACTTGTTTCCCATAATCTATCCTGAAGTTCTGAACTATTTCTCAATTTCAAATCTATCAATTTAGGTTTACAATCAGCATGATATTCACTTCTCAAAAGTTTGTCCTTTGGTGCTAATGCAGCATATAAACTTGTCTGAGCTCCGTAAAATGGTTTCTTGAGAAACATATTTCCAAAATGAAAGACATATTTCATAACAGTTCGATGAGTAAATAGATTAGTTTCGATTACACCTGGGTGGACACTCACAGCAAAACTCTGATCATTCTCTTTCAATAAAAATCTGTCAAGACATTTGGCATTGATTGCACATGCAAATTTGGAACGATTGTATAAATGGATGGATGGAGAGAAATTGCATGGTCCAGTAACACTGTTAATGGAGAAATTGGTAGTAGGATCTTTCCACTTGATAAATTCACCACAAATGGATGACAAGTTTACAATTCGTCCATTTGCATTCATTACCAAATCAAGTAATTCATGTGTCAATAAGAAATGACCCAAATGATTGATTCCAAATTGGATTTCTACACCTTGCTTGGTAACACCATGTGGTGTGAGCATGACACCTGCATTGTTAAGTAGGATGTCAATCTTGTCATATTTTGCTTTGAAGTTTTCTGTAAATTTCTTGACAGATGCCAAATCAGAAAGATCAACAACCATGACATCCAAACTTCCACTTCCGATCAAGTCTCTTCTTCCAAAACAAACAGCTTCCACTGAAGTATAGGCAGTTCTACTCTCATTCACTTCCTCTTGACTCTTTCTAACAATTTCACTCATCGATTCGTTTCCTTTCTTCTCATCCAAAACAGCCAAAACTACATGAGCCCCCAACTCGTACAATACTTTAGCAGTCTCAAATCCCAACCCACCTTTCAAAGCTCCAGTCACCACAACTGTCTTTCCTCTCAAATCAGCACTCTCTATAATCTCTTGTGAAACAATTCCACCATTGAAAAACCTTCTCATCTTTTCGTTTTGCATTTTTTTTTGATTTTGGTTTTAAATTTTGAAATTGTTTTCACACACTTTTTAAAACTGGATGCAGCATGGAAATGGTCTAAAATTCGTCAATGATGAACAATTAAGGTAAAATTTTGTAATAAATTTCATCGCAGTGTAGGAATGTTCGGAGGCGGATAGTTTCCGACAAGTCCTCCTTCTTGAAAAACAATCATCATCCATCGAGTACGAACGAACTTAATTGACTCACTGCCAGAACAACAAACAGTAAAATTACACAAATTAAAAAAATGATTAGACAAGGAGGAAACAACATGTTAAATATCATGAAGAGTCTTCATCATCCACTTCTCATCAATAATTCACAACAACAATTGGGTGGTTTGATGATGATGACCACAAAGATGATGATGATGAATTTTCACACTCATCAATTTCACTCACAAAATATTGTGCAAAAGGATTCACAAGTGGCCACGAGAGAGATCTTTGATTCTGGATTGAAGGGAGGAATTACCGAACGTCAAATTGCATTGGATTTCTATGATCAGTTGGAACCTGTGTCCACGGACTTTATGATCGGAAGATGGAAAGGAAGTGAATTCAGAACTAATCATCCTATGGATAACATGTTGGATATTTCTGGGTGGTATGGCAAGATGTTTCAAGATACAGAAAATGTCCATCCATTACTGTTTTATGAATCGAATAGCAGAGATTTGTTTGCAGTTAATCCTGATCGAGTAGTTGCTGGAATGACACTAACCAATGTTCCTAGAACTCCATTTGTTAAAAAGATCATGTTATGGTTGAAACCTTTCATTTCCATAAGAAAATCCAAAGCCAGATTGAGAATGACTGAATTTAGAGGAAAGGTCAGTGCAACCATGGTGTATGATACTCAACCAATTAATGATGTTTTTAGAAAGGTGGATGAGAATACAGTTTTGGGAGTGATGGATTTGAAAGGAATGAAGGAACCTTACTTTTTCGTATTGCAAAGGGATGATCATAATGTTGTAAAAGTAGATGTTGAATAAATTAATGTGTAATATAAAGATCTAGAAATTATTCAGATGTATTGTCATGTTCTGACTCATGCTCTGATTCCTCTTCTGTATCATCATCTGAATCATTCATTTCAAATAGTGAAGCCATTTTTAATAAAACCCTCTCAGCTTTAAGTTTCAAATATATAGAAAAGGAATTGTAAATCTCTGGTAGGTTTGTTGTCAAACTCATCTCTCTTGGTCCAATAGATATTATTTCATTGTCCATCAGATAGTCCAATAACTCCAAAACACGAGAGAAAAACACAGTGTATCCTTGTCTATCAAGAGTTGGCAAAACAATAACACTGAAAATGTTATCAAGGAAAAGGGCAAGTTTTGGAGCTAGTACTTCCATTCTTTTGCTGCTGATAATCAAGAGAGTCACCATAATTGACTCTATTAAACCGGTACATATTTTACCACCTAACATTACTAAAATATGAAATATGGTTTCTGCTACATTGTCATATTGAGAAAGTGACTTCTCTCCTCCATTTCGAAAAATGTCATTAAATATTATCCTTCCCATAACCCAAAACCATTTCTGATACTGTTCAATATGCTGTTCATCAGTATGCCTCATTACTTCGAGTCCAGTAAGAAAATAGAAACAATTCTCTATTTGGTTGGTAATTATTGGAAGGATAAAATCATACACCAAGTTATTTTCTACTTGAGGAGTTTCATTTTCATCAAAAGGACATTGATCCCATAATACGTCGGTATCACTCAAAAATCCAACTAGCATTATTCCTGTTTCCATGAAATCTGGGTCTGTAATTGTGCTACGAATTAATTTAGTTAAAAATGGATAATAATCAAGATTTCCAAAAACTCTTAATAGATGGCTTCTATTAGTGTATCTAACTATTTCAGTGATACAATCAATAAGTGATAATATCAATAAATTGTCCTCTTTGAAAGAATTATTTTCCAAAATAGTTTCTGTTTTTTTCTTAATAATGGAGAGAAAATTCTCCGTTAACAACAGATTAGTATCTCTAAGAAGAGAGTAAGTAGATTCAACTATTCTAAAGCATGCCGTTACGTTTTTGCTATGTATCTTTTCTTTTTCTCCTTCATTGACATACTCTGGATGGCTTGGGCTTGTTTGATAATATTCATTGACATCTTTCAAATATTCAAGAGAATCTCTAACAACAATAGTGTCGAATAAATTATTAACCATTTCTCGCAACTTTTCCAACATTGATTGATTAATACTTGTGTTCATATTTTGCTTCAAAATTCTTACAAATTCTTGTAACATTACAGAATAGTCTACAATATTGATTTTGTAATTTTCATAAGAATTGATAATTGCCTCTGCCAAATCATCAGGACAGTGATAATTGTTTCGGAAGTAAAGACATAACATAATCATTGCTGAATTCCTTAATGCATAATCATTTGAAAAAAGAAAACTTTTCCAAACTTGCAATATTTCATTTGACACCTCCTTAAACTGACCTGTGTCATTAATAACATTGATAAACGCTAATGAAGCAGAAATAGCTGTCTCGCTTAACTTTCCAAGAGGTCCACTTCCACTTTCTTTTAAGCATTGAAAAAGCAAATCTTTGTAATTACTAATTAATTTTGTACCCACAGAATATTGGAATACATATTCTTCAAACTCGGTATCCAATATCGAAGCAACATTATGTAATATTTTTTGTTTGACCCTCCAAACATACTTGAAACAATTTCTTTGAGATTGTTCCTCTGAAATGATTGCCACAGAATCCAGATTTTTCACTTCTAAATGATCAGCTTCAATTAAATTTCTATAAATTTTCCAAGATTGCTTCGAATGTGGCATTAGACTTATCAGTATTGATAAGGGCTCGCTTGGAATATCATCTGTGAAGTGTTCCTCTGTAAAACTATACATGTACTTTGTGAATAATGGTATCATATATCCAAAATGGTATCTGTAAAAGGACGCTAGACTATTGAGAGCTTTATCACCAAATTCTCTTTTCTCACTCACAAAAAGTGATGTAACGAGACCAATATTCAAAAACTTTGAATAAAATTTCCTTCTCCATTGGTAATTCCCAAACCTGTTGTTTGTTCTCTTTCAAGAATTTTTCCTTCTTTTCCAGAAAGTATTTCAACAATGTGAAAAAGAGAAAACAAGAATTTACAGAACATCCATTCTCTCCAAATTCAGTAATAGATCTAGATGTAGTTATCCCACATTGTAATTGAACATATAATTGTAAAATAAATTGTTGCCAATTTTCCAAACTTTCCACTCCAGTTTCGAATGCTTCCATATCTTGTCCAACATTTGATCTTTCTGCCACTCGTTTTGCACAATCAAAAAAACCAGGGAATATCTTCTCCTCCAAATAACAAAAGTATGGATGAAATGCCTCATAACCAAATTCTCTCTTTGCCTCCTCCAAACAACACATCAAATAATGATAAATTAAAATCATCAGCTCGATACATAAATTCTCATCACTAATTTCCTTATCGTGATGAATCTTTCCGGAAAATAATCCCTCCTCTCCTATAAAATAACTAGCATCAAATCCGTAATATTCCAGCCTCTGCTTGACTCTACTCATCCCTTTATGATGTTTAATTTCATCTTCGGAAAGCTTGGATTCTATCAAAATTTTGATGTTTTTATGAAAGTGATGTAAATCGGCACTACATGTGATTCGTTTGTTTTTAAAGTTCTCGTGCAGGAAGAATAATCGAGGACGAACGAACCGAACGATCAGCGACATTTTTTTTTTCCATTAATTTTGTAATAATTATCAGAAAAGTTAAAGATTTGTAAACTTTGTGAAAAAGGTTGATTGGAGGGACAAATTGGTTTAAAAATATCTGAAACGTGATCAAAGAATTAAAGAGATTATTGCCTGTGGTGAAGTATTCGAAACGTGACAGAGAGCCACTTTCGAATAAAAAAATGTTTAATCTATTCAATAAGAATGTCCAGGTGATTATTGTGGAAGAAAACACAGTAGAACGCCTGTTGGTCGTTGAGATTTCAACAAACACTCGAACAATCAAGGAATTGAAGAAAATTGTATCAAAAACCATTTCACTCGAGAATCGTTCTCTAAAATACAAATTCGATTCGGAGGAATTCTGCTTGTCGAAAGATATTGATGTCGAAACCATGATCACCAAGTTTAGAGGGAGTGCAAAGATTGAACACAAATTGATTTGTTACAAATCGTTTCGTCCTTCCATTTCAAGCAAGGAAAAGGCAGAAAAATTAAAGAAGAAACTAGCCGAAAAGTACAATGTTGACCAGAACTCTATTTCCTTGCTAGGTAAGGGTGGTTTTGGTTTTGTGTTTGGTCTTCCTCCAATTGAAAATTCAATACCAATTGCTGTCAAAGTTCTAATTGACGATAATGGAAATGATCTATTGAATGAAGTGAAAACTACTCTCTCAATGAATCATCCACATATTGTTGAGGCAGGTAACTTTTTCACACTAAATAATGTTAGCTATTTCAAATCTGTGGTGTGCTATGAAATGGAGAGAATGCTTGGAACTTTGAAAAACTTCTTCTTGGACGATGATGGTAAGAAAAAATTGAGAAATATTACAGAGCACATTGCTGTGATGATTATTAATCAAGTTAGCCAGGCATTTCAGGCTTGTGTTGATAGAAAGGTTTGTCATAGAGATGTGAAACCAGATAATATACTTGTCAAGTCAATTTCAGATGATAGCATCCATGTTGTGTTGAGTGATTTTGGAAGTGCCTTTACCTCTTCCAAATTCAATAGACAAGTCAATATTGAAATGGAAGGAACTGTAAGATATTTGGCACCAGAAGTTGTTGAAGATTGTAAGAATTTCTCAATTCAAAGTGATATCTTTAGTTTGGGAATTACATTGTATTATTTAATGATTGGAAGGTTCGGGGCAACTGGAGAAATTCTATGTGAGAAACCTGAACAAGTTGAAAGACATTTGGTTGAGTTGAGTATTTCACCATTTGTTAGTCAACTCATTCTTGGAATGATTAAAAAAGATCCAGCTCAAAGAATGTCTCTCAATGTGTTGCTTCAGTTGACCAATGACTATTTAAATACCAAAAAGCAACTTTTCACTTTACAAGCAGATGGTGAAGCATATCGTATCGAATTACCATTCTATCCTAAATACGATGAATTGGTTAAACTAATTGAAAAGAAATTAGGGCACAATGACTTTAACTTGACTCATAATCAAGAAATCGTAACCAATGATTCAGAATGTTATCAAATGATCACTTCCCTCCTATCAAAAGATCCAAAGCAAAGAGTGATTACTCTGAAACTCAGTCCAATTAATGAGGTTTTGCAAAATGCTTCTAAAAATTATGAGAATGGAAATTATGAGATTGCTCTCAAATTTTGTGATCAATATCTTAAAAGATCCAGTGCAAGTTTAACAATTCTTACGAAAGCAGCCAATTGTTGCTTTTACTTGAAAAATTATGAGAAGGCAATCGAATATTTCAGTAAGGCATATTCTGTTAAAGAATGGAAATCAAGACTAGATGTCAAATTCTATGAAAGGTTCGCCTATTGCTATTTTAATATTAGAAAGTACGAGAATGCCTATTCTTTATATGAAAAAGCTCTTTCAAAGGAGAATTACAAAACTTTCTACCTTGCTGGACTATGTGCCTTGAAAACTAATCTATTCGAAAGAAGTGTTGCTTTACTTTCAAAGTCATATTCCTTGAAAAGAAATATAGAAGCTATCGATGCAATTGTTCAAGTCTTACAACAATTATCTTCACCTCTAAATATCTACTCATGGACTGATGAAGGAATTGCCTTATTTGCTCATGGAATTTATATGAAAAAATTGAATGAATTGGACGAATCGAGAAAATTACTTGAGAGAGCTTTGGATAAATTACCAAATGATGATGAATTTATTGTAGAAGCATTGAGATCCATTCAACCTTAAATGATTCGAATAATTATTGAATAAAATTTTTGTAAATATCAACATAAACCATTTTAAGAAGATCACGTTTTGTTTGTCAATAAAATATCTTACAGAAGAGCGTGATCACGTTTCACGTTTGAGATTGTCTATTATTAACCTTTTCACTCAAATAAATGCTGTTCGAAACTTTTTCAAATTCTTCTCAATTCAAAAAAAACAACATGACAATACCTGTAATTCTCAAACTCGAAAAGAGGGAAGTAGAACTTCAGGTCGACAACTCCTTTTTCCAAAGTATTTCTCAAATCCAACAAAAAGCAAGAGCAGTATTCGAAATTGCAAACGAAAGTCTAGTCGAAATTAAATTCCACGACGATTTAGAACGAAAACTTCTTACCAACAATGATCTCCCTTCACTGGTAACCAGATTCTCCAATAGCACCACCAAAAACTATTTGTACATTACAACAACGATTGCAAAATCTTCCACTTTCGATTCTTCATCCTATCCGAAAGAAGTGCCGAAACTGATTTCTCCTACACAATCAATGAATTCATTTTCAAGAATTGGATCATTCACTACAAGTGCCTCCTTTCAAATGGATTTACAACCTAAAAAGTTTGAATTCAAACTTGAAATTCAATTGAAATCAAATGAAAATTTGTTGAAATTTTCATCAAGTTTGAAATCAGGTGAAGGTTATGAAGATTTGATGAAATTGGTTAGAAAGTATGCAGAATTACCAAATGCTGAGTTTGAAATTAGCTATTTCGAATTGGAGGATAAACTTACCCTCAACAAGGTATCATTCGAATCAATGATGGAATTTTACGAAACTCTGGACAAGTCCAATAGAATTATTCATGCCATTGAGAAATCATCTTCTAGAAGCAGTATTTCTTCCATCTCTATCAGTCAAAACTCAACATCCAGCACTTCATTGCCAAGTAGCACTTCATCCACTCAAGGCACAGAACTAAACATTATTTTAGAGGAAACTCTCTCTTCCCAATCATCCACCAAAGAGGAAAATATCCACAAAATATTTCTCAAAGAATTGGATACCTTCTCTGATCTCACCAAACGAATCAAATCAAAGATCAAATGCGACAATTTTGATTTGAAATATTTGGAAGATGGAGCTTGGTATAAGATTTCAGATGATGATAGTGTTGGCTTAATGTTCAAGTATTTAAATACGGTTGAATCTGGTAAGAGAAGGATGAGAGCCATTGTCACAGGAGCCAGAAGTTCTATTAATGTTGGAGCTCAGTTTAGGCCAAGTTTTTCCAAAAATGGTGTTTCTGATGGTTTAGTCCATCCAGAAGCAAAGAAAGCTCAGTTGAAAGTTAGTGAAGAAGAGTTTTGTAGTATTGTTGAGAGGAGTTTACAGCAAAAGTTTCAAAATGTAGCTTGTTTGGGAGAAGGAGGATTTTCGTTCGTATTCAAAGTTTCTGATAATGGAAAAACTAAAGTTGTAAAGGTTATTCTCAATTCTAGCAAATCAAGTGATGAATCAACACTCAATCAAGCATTACAAGAAGCCATGAGGGCTAATTCCCTTTCTCATCCCAATATAGTCAAAATTGAATATGCCCGTATCAACAATGATCCAACATATCTATATATGGTTATGGAATACTTTCCCCTGGGTGATTTACTCAAACTCATGAACCAAGGAACACAGCTCCCCGAAACTGAAGTCTGGAGATTCATCAAACAAGGTGCACTCGCCTTAGAATACCTTAAACAAAATAAGGTAGTCCATCGAGACATTAAGCCAGAGAATTTCCTCCAAAAAGATGGAACAGAAGGAAAAATTTATGTGTTGAGCGATTTTGGCTTGGCTAAAGAATTAGAAAATATGAGAACACACACAAAAACCAACTGTTCAGGAACTTTGGGATATATTGCTCCAGAATTATTGACACAAGGATCAAAGGACTATTCGTATGCGAGTGATATGTTTGCATTTGGTACTACTCTATTTAGAATATTGTCGTTAAATATGAGTACTGATATTGGAACTATTGCAGAAACGAATAGAGAAGAAACGAAACTATTCGAAAGAATTCAGGAAAAGATTAGGAATCGAACTGGAGTGTATTCGAAACGATTGATTGAATTGATCACAAAGATGGTTTTGTATGAACCAAAAGATAGAATTACTCCAGAAGAAGTTTTAAAGATTTGTGACAATACTACAAAATGTTCAAAATGCAACAAGTGCAAAGATTCGACTTGTTATTCGAAAGGTTTCAGTAATTGCTCCTGTAACAATTCAGTCTGTAGGGATTGTTTAGAATTTTACATGGAAGATTCCATCTCCAAGATGAATTCAAGCACTGTAATCAGGTGTATGACTTGTTCCCAATCTTTGAGTGAATCAGATATTCGAAAGATGGTTCAACCAACTACATTCGAAACTTATTTGAGAATTAAGAATCCTCCACAATCCACTACCCAAAAACCTCAACAAAACAACCCACCACAAGAACCAAGATTGACCCAATCACCACCTTTACTTTCCAATTCGAATACTTCTTCAAGAATCAAACATGAAAATATCATTTGTGATGGATGTAAACAAAGTGATTTTACAGGAATTCGTTGGAAGTGCCTCGATTGTCCAAATTATGATCTCTGCAATTCTTGTTACCAAAAAAAGAACACTTCATCTCACAAAAATCACAAATTTGCCAAATTGGAAATTTTGGATGAGAAATTTGAGGCTGATCTTGCAGCTGCTGGAATCAACATGATAGTCAATGATTTCCAAGAAGCCGTTCAACATTTAGACAAGGCCCTTCGTAAATATCCACTCTGTGAAAAGGCACTGATTATGAAAGCTAGATGTGAGGAAAAGATTGGAAATGCTAAAACTTCCAAAGAAGTGTGTGAAAAGATTTTGCGAGAGTGTAATGCCTTCTGTCATGAAGCTTGTGAATTGTTGGGAATAATCTATCTCAAACATAAGAATCCAACAGCTGCCATTCCATATTTGGAAAGAGCCAATAATATTGACTCTAATTCTGAACTATGTCAATATTACTTAGCAATGGCCTATAAACTTACTGATAGGTATGTGAAGGCTCTCCATCATGCTCGAATTGCCTTCAACTTGAAAAGTGATCAATCCAATTCTGCACTATTAGTTGAACTCTTAATCCAAAATGAGGAATGGACTGAGGGAAAGCTTGTTACCTCCCTTCTCCTCATGAAAGATCCCACAAATGCCGAATTATTGTATACTTTAGGTTTGTGTGAAGAGAAATTGGGAGAATATGTCGAAAGTTACCAGAGTTTCAAAGCAGCTCTTTCAAGAAAACCATTCGAACTCAAGTATAAACTCGCAGCTGCTAGATTAAGCAAATTGGTTACAGTTGGTCTATTGGGAGCCCTATTACAATAATAGTGAAAGTAAATCTTTCAATAAAGTTTACAAAAAAAAAATGTCTTATGGAATTAGATTTGATGCTTTCTTCTCTCTAAATAAAAAAGAAGAAATTGCAATACAATACCATGAACCATCGTAAAAGGGAGTTTTATTGGAGAAGAAAATTCTGTTTATTGAGAGTTGGATTGAAATTCTGTTATTGAAGGAAGTGAAACAACAACAAGTAATGGAGGGCAATTCTTCCAATAATCCGATCAATGATCATCAATTTAATAATATTAATAATAATTATTTAAATAATGGCACTGATGTTTATAATCAACGTGATGATGATAAGGAAAAAATTGAAAAACGAGTTGAATATTACTCGGAACAGATGCGGATGGTTAAATGCTACTTGGAAACAAAGAATGAGAAGGAATTTTGTGATTCGATTGAGGTGGAGAGAGATTTGGAGTCATTGAAACACAGGATTATTGACTTGATGGAGCATTGAAAAAAACAATAAAGTTTCTATGATTATGAATTATCAAATTTGTAATACTATTATTATGAACAAGATTCCCGTGTAGTCCAATGGCTAGGATACCTGGCTTTCACCCAGGAGGTCCGGGTTCAATTCCCGGCATGGGAGAATGATTTTGCTTTGTCCTTGTGATTGAAATTGTCTAATTTTGTCATTGAACCTAATCGTTTTTCAGTGTGTTTCAGATGGGTCATTTCATTAATATTCACAACAAATTCAACATATTCAAAAAAAAATACTTTAAACACGAATGTGTTCGTTTACTATTTGCAACTTTGCCTTCGTTTGATCACTCAGACAGAAGAAATCCCAACTCGATGGCAAGAACACATTTCTTCCATGAAATCCAAGCAGTCCCATCATTCCGATATCGGATGGGTCGATTTCCAACACTCTCAAGATGAGTTCTAATTGAGGGAATATTAATTCCTGAAGCTTACTCTTGGAAAATTGTTTGGCATTATCAATGGTTGCGAGATTGTTCTTCAAATCTGTATTATATGAAATTGGTTTGTGAAAATTACATAATTATATTATTATATATTTGTATATTAATATAGTATTTAATTACTTACCTTCATCATTATCATCATCTTGTTGTTGATCATTATAATAGTAAATATAATCATCATCATCTTGTGGAGACGACAACAATTCTTCTTCATCTAACAATAATGTGTAATAATCATCATCACCTTCTGTTGTGCTATCATCACTAAGTAAATCAATATTTACTTGCTCTGTGGTAATTTAATAATGGAATTGATCATCATTTGTTAGCAATCAAAAGATATATAAAAATAATACTCACCAGGTATTGGATTACCAATTAGTTGATCACCAAAATCAACAACCGATGAAATAGGATTGCTTGGTTGAGTGTCGAAGAGAGGGGTGATATCTTCAATTCTTCGATGTTGTACTCCATCGTCATTACGAATATTATTGGTATTCGTGATGCAAATATTGGACCGTTCTGCTTGTTGTTGTTGTTGCAATGCTTGCACGTTCATTGGTAAATTGTGGGCAAGTTGTTGTCTTGCCCTTTTCAAATCAGCAAGCCTATAAGATTTTAGTGCCTTTTCTATTGTTTGATCTGTACAGTCTTTAAACGTATAAAGACGGTGTGGTTTATCATTATTGTTTCTAGGAGGCATATTTTTTAAGGTCTAAATATAAAAAACCATCGACGGGAATGAAATCGATACCGATTTTTTTCTCTTTTCAAAATTTTTTGACTCATACCCAAAGGTTTTTCTATTGCCACTCACCATTTTCTTGAGATTTTGTTGTGTGTGACTTGGTAATGTTGCCAAGTATATCGTTAAATATTCAGATGGTTTACACTCGTATATTTGTATCATTAAATCCTTCCTATGATAAGAACAATCAACAAAGCCTGACGAATCTTGTATGCTGTTTTGAATCACGTGTACTTTTTGGAATCGTCGATGCATTTTTAATTGAGAAAAAATAGGGCCAAAGCCGAGGACTCTTTCTCGATAAATATAGTGAATGGAATAGAAATTTTTGAACCACGTGTACTAATTAATGTCTTGTTTAAGCGATAAAAAGTTGAAAAACAATGGAACTAAAATGGTTGAGAGAAAAAGAAATGTCTGCGTCGACCGGGAATTGAACCCGGGTCACGGCGATGGCAACGCCGTATTCTACCACTAAACCATCGACGCTTCACATTCATAATGAAAATAACCCTAACTTGAAATGTCTATACCACTTCATCTAACAAAAAATTATTTATTTTAATCACGAAGATAAATAGAATCCATAGAAGCAACACCACTTGCAACACCTCCATCTTGGAATTTAGCCAACTTGGTTCTCAATAAATATCCAGCACTTCCATTAGTCAATTCTTGTGAACCATTTCCAAGATAGATACCATAAATACCAAGCTCACTAATACATTCACCACCTGCAACTTGTCCTTGTCTAATAATGTCCTTATTGTGTAATTGTGGTTTGATCTTTTTCATTAAAATGTAAGTATACTTGATTGAGGCATATTCAGTGTGTGACTTGTCGTGTAAAATAATGTCCAAATATTCCTTTAATTTTTCTCCATAAACCAAATTGCCTCCTCCTTCTCTTTGAGGTTTTAAAACATAATCGTCTGGATTTTCAAAAGCTTCCCTCATGTATTGCAAGGATTCTGATTCTTCCAATGAATAAATTCCAGTGAATGCTTCCTTAACTGATTGAGCCTCTTCCTTGGTCAAATACTTTTGTAAAACAGCATCTTCAAACATGATTTGTTGAATCTTCTTTGTACCAACCAATTGAACACCAATAGTTGGACATTTAATTGCCGTACAAGTCTCCAAAACACTTCTTACTTCCCATTCATTTTCAGTAGGGAAATCATCTGGTGTGTAACCTGATCTAAAGTAAACAACACTGACAGGATATTGCTTTTCAATCACCAAGTGTTGTCTATTTGACTTTTCATCCTTTACAAGTTCAACATTTCCAATCAATTCCTTCATACTTCTTCTCAAAACGAAAATTCCATACTTTTGTAAGAGTAAATGCTCATATGGTTTTTGATCACCGACATTACGTTCTCCATCCTGAACAACAAAAAGCATAAAGTAAGGCATGCTACCAAAATTGCTTGGATTTTCCTGAACAAAAGTTTCATGACTCTGTCTCATCACATTGACAATGTTTTCCAATGAATTATTTGGTTCCAATTCTTGTTCTGGATATTCGGGAACAAGCCATGATCTATATTGTTGCAAATAGGAGTGCAATTTGTGTGTTGTTGCTCCCAAAGCACCAAAAGCAGATGAAACTGTATTCAATTCAACTTGTTGAGGAATTTCCTGTCCACTCTTTCCATCCACATGGATCATATAATCGGAACGATGAACAGCTAATTGATAGTCATTCTTATTCCTCTCGTAGGTTTCATTATAAATGTCCAATAAACGTTTCACAAAATCATCATACTTGGCAACACTTTCCAGGGATTGATTGATAAAGGTAGAATCTCTACTCATACGATCAACGAGTGTATTCAACAATGGAGCAATGGAAACAACCTTTTCGTAGGCTTTTCTATTGATTCCTGTTGGAGTGAGAGTGAATGGTATTGGATCGGATTGGAAGGATTGTCCACGTTGGCTCTTCAAGATAAATCCATTGCAGATGGCCCAACTTTGTGCAAGTTCTATCAGGGCTGCTTTGTTTTTCATCATCATGTTGTTATGTTGTTCTAATTTTTTGATATGAGAGACTGAAGATGACAGCAGCACTTTATCTTGATTCGATAAAAGAACGGACGCATTATTGTTCTTGCATCTCCTTCTTCTCAATTATTAATATAATATTGAATACAATATTCATCAATGTTTTACCAATAATAATATAATTAATATATGTAATTAATCATGGTTGTTCTAATTTTAAAAAGCTAACATTAAGAATTTTGTTTTATGTGAGTGCTATGGATAAAAATCCCTTTTAAATACAAATAGCAATTGTTTGTGAGAGGAGAGACCTATTAAATAATTATTAAACTCGGGAAATGATGATGTAGTGATAATGTTCCAATAAATTGATTTACTTCAACTTTAAAATGTCGAATTTCTTATCAAAGTTGGATTCTGGCTTGCTCAAGTGATATTCAATCTTGAGGTCGAGAGATTCTTCATCTTCTTGAAGAGCATTTTCAAAGTATTCATCATCTCTGTCAGATTCATCATCTTCCATAGCATGTTCCCAGTGCGGCTTTTCCAAACCAAATACGATCAAACCATCTTGTCTCATTTTGTACAAAATCCAGAACATTGCTGATGCACCGGCAATCTTTGCCAAGAGGACTTCTCTCTTTGGTGGTTCTGGTAACACATCATCTAATTCTTCAAATTCGGTTTTTTTAGTGTGTTGTTTATGTTCTTGTTCGTGATGACCGGATGATCCTCTGTTGGTGTTATTTTGTGAGAAATTACGTCTTTGATTCATTTGTTGAATGACAGAACTGAGAGACATTCTTTCAGTCTTGACCACCATGTTTTTGGCTACAAAGTGGCTGTGAACGAGACCGATTGGTCTGAGGAAGGTTGATGATTTCAGCATTTTTTATTGCATTAAAAATAAATTTTAATTATTTTTTTTTCATTTTGTGATGAGATTATTTTGCAAAGTAAAACCACAGAATTAAACAACGTTTTATTGAGTGCAAAATATTAAATATTAGTGCAGATTTGATTGGTTTCATTAAGCTTGAAGTCAAGCATCTTTCATGAATGTGTTTGACATTTTGTATCTCCTTGGTTCAGGATAAACTTCAGAGTTGCCATTTTCCGCAAACTTTCTTGCTGAGATGTTCTAATCAAATGAATTGTTAAGATGTTATGCTGCTTATCAAGTTTTGAGCTTCTTAAAAAGGTGAAGAATGAATTGGGTGTTGGATACTATCTCAAAACTAAGAATCATGCTATTGAGGTGCAATGATAATTAACGAATAGAATATCCAGTACATTATTAAACATTTTGATTTACGATTCACATTAAAATCTCTCTTTCTTTGAATTTTAAAAAACTTCCCGCCGAAATTGTAACCCATTAAAAAATATTAAGCCGTTAAGTTTAAAAAAATGCACTCTACAACCTCAACGTCGGTACGTGAGGGCGACGATAGGAATGTTCAACTCTCACTTCAGCGATTAAGAACAGAGAATGATACCTACCAAAGAAATTTTGATAATGTAAGTTGTATTAGGCAGCATCACGGAAGTTGTTTACATCATCATGACTTTGGCAAATTATTAATTTATTATTATTATAATTATTAAAATTATCATCATCACAACAATAATAATAGTTAAAAAGAGAATATCTGGATTTGTACAATCAAAACAATGAACAACACTTGAGATGGAAAAATCAATTGGAAAAGAAAACTAAGGAATTCGAGTCCTTACGAAATCAATTTGATCGGGATACTCAAGAGCTTCAACAAATGAAAATGAAATTAATGGAAGAATTGGAGTTGAGACATCGTCTGGAGAGGGAAATCGATGAGAATGATAAATTTCGTGAAATGTATTCGGATCTGAGAAGAGAATACGAACTAACCAAGAATGAATTAACACAAAAACTCAAAATGGCAGAGAAGAGATTTGATGAAATGAAGGGTGACTATGAAGATCGTGTTCAAGAGCTCATCATGCAATTAAACGATCAGAACATTCAGATGAAAACATCTAAGGAGATTCTCCAAGTAAAACGCCTTGAAGAAGAAAAGGAAGAAATGTCAATAAGCATCAAAAAACTACTTTCCGAACTACATGAAGTAAGAGAAGAAAAAGCGCAAGCTGTTTCATCCAGAGAACAATCCAACCTCATGAATAATCAGAAACATGCCGAGTTGGTCTCCAAAGTTAGAACAGCAGAGACACAGCACGAAAGACTCCAAAAGAAATGTGAAAGACTTCAAGCAGAACTTGAAGAAATTACCAGAAGTAATGACAAGATGCACGATCAAATTTTAAAACTCGAAAAGGAATTAACCACAACAAAGAGCAAATTGGATGAAACAGAAAAACAGTTTGCCTCAGAACGAACATCCTACAAGGCCAATCAACTTCAAAGAGAAAGAGAATACGAGAGAGATAGAAACATTTGGGCAAATAAGGTTTCTGAATTGAACAAGAGGGTGGAAGATCTCCAACAAGCCAAGCAAGAATTGGTAACACAATCCTACGAGATTCACATTAAGGAAAACGAGAGACTTCATGAAGCACTTAGAAAGGAAACTGAAAAGTATTTACAACTTGAAGTTGAAAAGAATGAGTTAAAACAAGATTTACTCTCAAAGGAAAAGAGAAGTCAACACGATGTTCAAGAACTCACTAATGAAATTGCCAGACTGAGGAAAGAATCTGAAAGCGTAAGAGCTGAAGCACAGGCATTTAGAGAAGAACGAGACTATCAACTCGATAAGAATAATCACTTGTTAAAGGTCATTGCCGATATTAAACTAGATATGGATACGCTGAAACACAAACACACAGATTCTAATGTTAGGGTGGAAAAATTATTGAAAGATCTGCTGGCTGCTAAAGAGATTGCTAAAAGGTATGCTGCCAAAGCAAAGAAAATTAAGGAAGCCTATCGATCAAAGGTTTATTCTGTCCAGAGACAAGTTGAAGATTTGAATGAACAATTGCTACAAGCAGAGACAGGCATGTCTTCCATCCAACAAGCTTCCATAACTGAGAAGCAACAATTACAACGAAGAATTTTCGAATTGGAAAGAGAACGTGATAGATTTAAAATTCTCTCATCCCAACCACAGCAACACGAATTGATTCTGTAGAGCGATATCCCTAAATTACAAAGAGTTCAATTTTGATATTTATTTTTCATCTAAGGACACTAGGTTGTATAGTAGTTTATAAAGTCATTGTCAAGATTTTAATTATTCCTTTATTGTAATTGAATTTGAATCATTCAAAATATCATAATATAGATAATATACACTTTAATATTTATTAAAAATCATCGTCATCGTCTTGATTAATTTGAGAATATTGAGCTGATTCGTCTTCCTTTTCAGACAACCAAGCAGGTTCTATTCCTCTTAGATATAATAAGCAAATATAAGCAAGACCAACTAATAACCCTCCCAATCCAGGCAGTGCTGAAATTACAGTAAAGCACACAAAAATACTCATTACAATAACGACAATTCCCCTAACAAGAAAATTCTTGTGATAAATATTGAGAATTGGAACCTTCCTTTGAAAATATGGGATTGGAACTTCCAATATTGGTAGAACGAATGCATAGAGTGCACAATAAATTGCTTTCCAAATTTGATCATTAAATTTTGATTCAAAAACCTACCAACATATAAATTGAAAATATTGTTATCCAAAAAATCAGCTCCAGATTTTAAAAAGTAAATCAAAAACAATCCGACAGAAGCCATCAGTGCCACTATTTCAAATTATTCGAATGTAATTATTGTATAATAATTTTCAATCCAATTTCCAAATAATAACAATTATCAATGAACATCAAATATCACAATTTCAATCCTTTGTTGATAATTTAATTTGTATTAGAAACATACAAACACTAACTCCAAGAGAAATAAATCTCATATATGGTTCAACATTTGGAATAAATTTAGTCCATTCTCCAACTCTATTTCTTGCTCTCTTCCACATCAATCCAATGGCTCTATCAGCCACCTTTTCAACGAGAGCGTCACTCATGCCTCCTAACATTTTTTTAATTAATTATTTCATCAGTGTTGTCAAACGTCAAGCCATATTGTAAAAAGGAAAATTTATTTCAGAACTTTCTGAATATCAAAAATTGGGGACTCTATTCGAAACCTCTTAATTATATTATACGATAGTAAAAATATTTACACTAATAAGGCAGCCATTATTGGAAGGTGATCTGAGGCATTTCTTTGTGTTGTCTGACATTTAATATCAGTGATAACTTTGAAATCTAATACTTTTACATTGGGAGAGACGAATATGTAGTCAGTACACTTTCCTTGGACTTTCTTTGGGAATACACCTGCCTCAATTTCAATTGTAACACTGTCACCCACAACAGATTCCTTCTTAGATGGAGATTTGGATTGAGGTGATGAGGAGGATGATGATGGAGGACCATTTCCATCCAAACCAACAAATGTTGGATGATGTGTTGGATCAGAATTAACAAGTGTAAATAAATCCTCTTCATCTGATTCATAATTGGAAGCATCACTCGCAGTATCTTCATCAGATCCTGATTCTTCCATAGATTTGGCGCCCAAATCAATTCCAGTTTCTAATAAATGTATAGCATTAGAATCTGGTAATGCATTCAAGTTACCCATAACAATACATGGTCTTGTATGAATGGTATTATCCTCTTCTCTCTGACAACATAAATTTTCAATATATTCTCTAATTAAATAGGCACTATTTCTTCTTGCTTCAACACCAATATCCCAATGTGTATTGAAAACGTGAAAACTATTGCCCTTCTTGACTTTAACATTTCTAAATTTACACCACGTACATAGTCTTGGAGCTACAGAATCCCAACCTCTACTTCCTTTCGTTGAAGGAGTGTAGCTGTACCAGAAACATCCTTGATCCAATAGTTCAATTTTATCCGTATTGTAAAATATTGTTACATATTCTCCACTGTATTCGTTTGTATTTTGATTAAAACTTTGTCCTAGACCAAACCATAAATATTGAGAACGTTCTTGTTTTTCATTTAACATGGTAAATAAATCGAGTATTTGATGTTGAAGTGCATCTTGAATACAAATAATATCAGCATTACTTTCTAATATGATATTTGCAACAGCATCTTTTCTATTTCTCCACTGATCCATTCCATCAAATACAGAATCTCGTCTAATACTAAAATTCATGACTGTTATTTCATTAGGAACTTCTGTTTGACTCTCGAGTGATTCATCTATTAATGCTTCTTTATCTGTCTTGTTAGGTTGATACACAGAAGCACCAACAGGTGAACTGTTAATACTATTATTCATACTATTATTTGGAGGTGGATAGGTAGCGCCAACAACATTACCATTCATTACTAAATTTAAATGTAATGCAGAAGGTTGATTGGCATTGTTATTATTTGATATGGTAGAGGATGATTTTCTATGTGAAGAAGAAGAAGAAGAAGAACGATTAGCCTTTGGAAGGGTTCCTATATGAGCATCATTAGAAGGATTATTTCCCATTGTGTATTCAAAAACTTGTTATGTTGGTTGCTATTTTACTCTATACGTTACAATTTTAAAAGTGAATATTAAATAAATATATTATATGCAATATATATGAATTATATAATATTTAGAAAATAAATAATGATGATGGTGATGGAAGAAAATTTTGTCTCGGGGAAGATACTAGCGCTAATGATGATCCGAAGACGAACGTGAGAGCAACACACTCAATACTAGTATATTATTATATGTATTCAATAAACTCTCCACGCGCTATATATGACACTTAATCACACACAAAATATACAAAAAATTCAAAATGAAAAAGCAGCAACAACTGTTGTGCAAATTTTTTTTAATATTTTTTTATTATTAAAATTTGTGAGTGAACGAATCAGCATGATGCAGGCGAATTTTTGTGATAATTATGGAGAGGAGATGATGGGATTGATTTTCATGAGGAGATGATGAGGAAGGAGATGAGGAATTTGCACCGTTAAAAGTTTATTTGTAATAGTTAAATATTCTTTACAAAAAAGTCGGGTCTATGACATTAGGCCTAGAGAAAAGATCTTGTAAAAGTTTAGTCAATTGGTTTTTGATCAAAAAAAAATGAAAAACACCTTTAGAAGATACTTTAAACACCAACTTTCACTTTCAACAAGTGAACAAGAGCAATCATCATCCAACAGTATTGCACAGCAAATATTAAATAGTGAATTTTATACTAAATGCACTCATGTCTGTTGTTATATTCCAATGCAAGGTCGCAATGAAGTTGATACCATGGATATTATTCACAATGCTCTCAAAAGAGGAAAACAGCTATTCATTCCCATTGTAATTAATGATATAATGACAATGGTTTCGCTGAAGGATGAATTGGATTTTTCAACATTTAAAATTCATACCAAATATAAGTTATTGGAACCTCCAATTGAAAGCTTACCTAATAGAGAAAATTTACTAGATTCTTTAAATGGGGATAGTAAATTATTAGTGATAGTTCCTGGATTGGCCTTTGATTATTCAAATAGGAGATTGGGAAGAGGAAAGGGTCATTATGATACTTTCTTTGAAAAATTGGATGATTTGCAAGGTAGGATTCAGTTTGAGACAAATCATGTTGGAGTTTGTTTTTCATGTCAATTTATTGATGAAAATTTCAAACTTCCCGATGAGTACAAACAACAATTAATTGAGAAACAATTAATTGAAAGTGAAGAGACTCAATTTGTCATTCCAACTGAGAAACATGACAAAACTATGGACTCTGTCGTCCATTTCTAATATTAAACAATATTACTGAACTGTGTTGGTAGTATTTTAGATTGTTAGAGTTCAATTATTCATTCCCAACAAAAAAGGCACGTGCCATTTTTATTGGACTATTTCAATGTGAAAAACAACTTTGTTGAGACGATGTGAAGCAGGGGTTCCCGAGTGGTCAAAGGGGGTAGACTCAAGTTCTACTGCGCAAGCTTCGTGGGTTCAAATCCCACCTTCTGCAGCTTTTGATTCATTTTCCTTCATCTATTTTTCTTTTGCCACTCTCGAGATATCAATACCTTTAATATCATGTCTAGTATCTGCTCTGAAAAGATTGTCCAATGATTTTATTTATTACATAAAGAAAATCAACAATGATGAGGGGAATGTAAAAAATTAATGCTCGATTAGGTTTTCTTTGCAAAACATCCTGTAATTTGAAACATTTCACAACAGTGATATCTGCACAAGGATTTTTGGTGAGCTTCAATAAGTTTATTTACTGCGAAAATAATAATCCACTTATTGCCATCAACCAAGGTCAAATAATAAGTTATTTGATAGATTTTCAAAGTGGTCAAATTGATTGGAACCCACTTCCAGTAGATATTCGAAGTAGATGAGCTTCCACTACCAATAAGAAGTGTCAAATTAGTAAATCCACAATCAATCCATTTCCATCAAAATATCTTTTTTCAAATTAAAAAAATGTCTCAACTCGCACAACCAGCAGAGCTTATTACCTTCCGTGAGGATCAATTCTATCTGAGTGTCTCCAGACAATCAGTTAGTGTCATTACTCCTGAATTTACCAATTGGATTAAACAAACTCATGAAATGGCATTGAAATTAGTTGGTGAACAATCAAGAATGTATCCAGCTACGTTTTACAATCGTTTCGATTCTGTGGAAGATGTAGATTTGGAGAATGCTGTTTTTCTCACAGCAGAAACTGTTGAAAAATTCAATCTTCCTTCAAAGAGAGAAGAATTTGAAGAAAGTATAAAGAAAGTGAACGAAACTTGTTCGTATTCTCTTCCTATTCAACTTAAAACCATTCCAAAAGGAGTTTATTTGAAGAAACACTATGTTGGACCTTATATGCATTTAGGAAGAGTTTGGGAAGAGTTGAAGACTGAGTTGAGTGAAAAGTTTGGTGAAATTTATGAAGAAGCTCCATATCCAAGTTGGGAAGAACATCCAAATCATGAAATTTTAATGAAAGAGGTACCTAAGGATGAAGAATTGATTAGTGACTTGTTTACTAGATTAATTGAAAAGAAATAAAAATCCTTATGTCAATTAGGTAACAGAAAAAAATTAATTTGCCAGCGGTGGGGTTCGAACCCACGAACCCATTCGGGATAAGATCTTAAGTCTTACGCATTTGACCACTCTGCTACGCGGGCCGTTGTTTGATTTCACAAAATTCTTATTAAATTTCATAATAGCCCTTTTGAGACAACATCTTGCTTTCACAAGAACGTTACACAATTTTTAAATTTTTTACCGTTACACCAGAAAAAAATGTTTGAAAGTCAACGCTTGCGATTCCCTCCTACTCTCCCTTCTTCAATCAATCAACAGCAAGCTTCATCAAACAATAAACCGCCTCCAGCATCACTGATCAGACCATCCTCCTTTCAACGCCTAGGAACTCCCACCATCACACTCCCCACTAATTCCGTCTCGTTTCCATCATCCAACAATGGCTTGAGATTATCAAAGCCTTCCTCCTCCAGTGTTAATCCATCACCAACTAATACTATTAGCAATGTTGGATCATCATTGACGAGTTGTAGTTCTGCCCCTGGTCTCTTGATGAATCGTCCGAGTAGAAGTTTATCAAAGCCTAATCTTGTTTTTCCTTCATCATCTTTTAATACAATTAATAATAATACAATTAATACAAATGAATTAGGTTTTAGTAGTGGAAATCAAATGCTCATGATGCCTACTAATGGGAATAACTTGCTAGATATTCCAAGTACTAATAATAATAATCAAATTGGTTCATTGTCATCCTCACCACAACAATCCTTTGGTTTGAGTTCTTCACCTACTGTGAATAGTATGACCTTTTCGGTGTATTCATCACCATCGACTAGTTGCTCTCCTTCCTCAATTATTACCTCCTCCAATAATCAGGGTTTTCCATCTTTGAGTGTTTCACCTTCTAATAGTTTCCAATCTCCAATTGCCATTAATACTCATAATAATAACAATCAAAGTGGAATTCAAGATTCAACACAACAACCAACATCAACAGAGGAAAGGGTCATTGTTGATTTTGAGGAATTTGAAGCTGCAAAGGAGAATATCATTCCTCTGAAAGGTGGTAGAAAGGCCACTGATTTGAGGAGAATATTTGGTAAACAACCTTTACAGGAAATTAAGCCACTCCAGCCAATCATGCTACCTGGAAGTGGTTCTGTGTCTACATCACTCCAGAGTCCACCAACCCTTTGTACATCATTTAATGGTAGCAGTAGCTCTACATCTTTCAATCCACTCATGACTGCTTCGAATAATGTGAATGCTTGCTCGACTCCAATGTCTCCTACTGGAATGTTTTCACCAACCTCGTGTATGAATAGTAGTTTTAATGGATTTAACACAATTGTGGCATTATCAGCACCTGGGGAGGATGATTGTGCCATGACAGATGCCAGTCCAATACCACAACAAGGAAAGCCACATTTCAATTTTTCCAATCTCACCAAATCAAAGGTGTGCTTTGATAATCACAATATGAAACCAAAACTTTCAGTGGAGAGAAAACAATTTGAGAAGAGAATTGCATCCTTGTCGAATCATTTAGATCCAATCACTGTTTGGTTGGAATATGTAGAGTGGATTGAAAAGAGTTATCCAACACTTAGTAAGGCTTCTCAATACGTTCCAACTCTGCAAGCATGTACAAAGTTTATTCTCTCCAATCAACAATTATTGGAAAGATATAGGAATGATGAACGATATCTGGGAGTTTGGCTCAAATATGCAGACCAGTGTTTGGACCCAATTGATGTCTTTACATTTTTGGAGTCTAAAAAGATTTGTCTCAATCATTCTGAACTGTACATTAGATGGGCCACCCTATTGGAAGATCGAAAGGATTTGAAAGCAGCTGATGCTGTTCTTGAACAGGGTATCAATAGAGGAGCTCAACCTGCAAAATCTCTACAAACTTTCCACACTGGTGTGAAGGCTCGTTTCATGAAGAGTATTCTAAACAGGACTGCCTCATCCACTTCCTCAACAACCATGGCAAGCTCAACAATTCAAACAGCACCACCAATGATTGGAGGACACAACCCGCAGAGTGCTACTGATTCCAACAACCAGAGATTACCTTTCAATAGCCTAGCCAAGAAACCAACCTCAATAAGACCAACAACTGCCATACCCAGTGGACCCCTAAGATCAGGACCTCCAATTCCTTCCATGAAACCAACTAAAATGAAAAATAGCAATGCCAGTCTCTCTCAGAAGAATTCACCAATTAATAACTTTGTGATTTATGATGAATCGAATGGAAGTGCTGAAAAGATTGCCCATGCCGCCACAACTAGAACTCTACCTTTCCAAATTCCAAAAGAACTAACATCTATGGGACCTCGATTCTTGACAAGTGAACAAGAGCAAGAAAAGGAAAATAATGAGAAACCTGACAAGTGGACAAATTACTCACTACCACAACAAAACGATGACATGATGTTGGGGATGTTGCAACCAATTGGTGCTTCAATTTCAAAACCTGCTAGCCACTTTTCTATATTCGTTGACGAAGAGTTCAAATGAATTGAGAAAGTGTCAGTAAAATTAAAATAAATTCTTAAACTGTCAATAAGTAACCATGTAAAATAGTAAATTGAACTTGAAAACTAGTTTAATTAGTGTGAACTTCCTTTGGCTTTTCCGATTTTGTTGAAGAAGGAAGCTCTGTTGTTGGTGTTGGAGGAGCTGAATCTGAAGCAGTAATAACATTCTTTGGTTTCTGAACAAACAAGTGTGTGCCATAAAAGACCAAGAAGGTACTGAAGGTATGGAGAAGGGTAAAGGTATTTCCAAAGTAAAAGATACTAAACAACAAGCTGACAAACTTTCTCACAGTAATGGTCAAAGTAGTGGCCAAAGAGTTGGTTTGAGCAGTCAATTTGTAGACACCCTTAATACACACAATTTGAGTTAGTACACTCAAAAACATGTACCAATACAAAATTGGATGTTGTTGCATGGAGTAGTAATTTTCAATCAGTGATGGAGCGAAGAATATGAAACATGGAATGGACAATACGTGTGAATAGAAAATATTCTCATTCTCATCGTTGGTTCCATATTTTTGATAGGCATACGATTGTAAATTTCCCAATAACCCAGTCATGAATTGACTTGCTGTTAAGAGCATTAATCCAACAAACCATTCAGATCCATTAATTTCCTGTCCAAAAACTGTTGATTCACTCTTATTGGAGGCAACCACAGCCAAGAAAATTCCAACAGTAATCAACACAACAGAGTAAATCTTTTCCTTTGAATGAGTTTTTCCAAACATTAAAATTCCGATAGCTAAATTCATCAACAATGAGCTGGATCTAAATATTGTGTGAAGTACAATCGAAATGTGATACGAAAATACTAAATTATTTACAACGGATTGGAAAAAGAACAAGAATACTAAAATACAATAAAACCACAACGGAATGGCTCTCTTCTTCAAAGACTTTGTCTCCCAATCAATATTATGTCTTATAGACTCCAAAGCAATAAAAATAAATTGTATCAATGTAATGAGTGGTCCTAATTTTGAGTCAATATTTAAAATCATTTCCAAAACTACAACGTTCAGCACACATCCGACCATAATCATTGCAACACTCGACACTGGACTGTTCGTATCAAATACCAATGCGAGATTATTGATGAGTAGTTGGAGCGACATTTTTTTAATTTCAATTTTTCCAATTTGATGTGATTTTATCACAACAACAATTTGTGTATTTTTCCAACAACGCACACACACACCTATTGCACTCAATAATATCAGTTAGGAACATCATATAGAGAACCAGCCCACCAAGTTTTATATCTTTAATATAAGAAATAGAAGAAGAAGGATAGGATTTAGTATGATTGATTGAAAGCCATGAATCCAAATGGAGGAGAAAAACTCATTCTTAAATTTTGGATAGATACTGGAGTTATTCTATTTCCACAAACAGCAAGAGATCTCAATTGTGGTAATTTGCCAATGTATTGAGCTCCATCATCCCCTATTTTGTTGTTGTCAAGAATTAGCCTTTTTAACTGGTTCATAGTTGCAATTGCTTTTGCTCCTTCATCACCAATATCATTTCGAGCCATATCAAGATCTGTCACATGTTTCAATCCACTGATAGATTTGGCACCTTCATCAGATATGTTATTTCCAGTAAGGTCTAGGAATCTCAAGTGTTTCAATTCAGAAATGAATCTTGCTCCTTCATCTTCAATCATAGTCCCATCCATCCTTAAACTAGTCAGATTATACAATGAGCTGATTAGTTTTGCTCCCTGAGGTCCACCAATATCACTACTATTACCAATATTTAGTGATTTCAATTGTTTCATTTCACTCAGAGCTTCAACTCCTTTCAAGCATTTTTGATAAAATACAAAGGTAATGGTTAAACTCTCCAGATTATTCAATTGTCTGATGTATTGAGCTGCTTCATTGGTAATTCCACAATTAGTAACATCGAGACTTTTCAATTGTTGTAAATTTTCACCAATTATTTTCAATCCTTCCAATCCAATAGGAATATGATTAATATTTAAACATGTCAAATCTTTCAATTGACCCAATGGTGCTATATCTTCTACAGAACAATATCCAATATTCAAACTATTTAATTGCTTCAATTGACAGATCATTGCAAGTTTTTTTTCATTCAATTCTCTTGCTTTCCAAGCAGATCCACTAAAATTGAAAAATTGTAAGTTTGTAAATTTCCAAAGATTTCGCCAAAATTCATCACACGGATCATGTAAATATATTATCATTCCAATAATTCTGTCCAAGAATGAACTTTCGAATAATAATTTAACTCTTTCCTCGGTCAAATCTTTTCTAAATTCTGCATAAAGTTTTGCATAATTCTTGATCGCATTCAACCATTGTTTCGAAATCAATGTGCAATTATTCAAAATAAACCACGTATCGTCAATGTATGAAATAATCTCTCCACAAACATCACTCACAAATTGGTCTATAATTCGAAACCATCCGATAAATATAATATAATAATATCGATGATTTTGATCACCTACCACCTGAGGCCACTATTTCACCTTTAATCATTTTTTTATTATTATTATTTTAAATATTTTAAATATTATTTACAACATAATTAAACACTAACATGTTACAACAACATTCCGAAGATATGAAATTAATTGATTGAAAATTAATTTTTATTAAATATTATCATTTGATTATAATTTCTGCAGAAGAAGAAATTCTTTAAAAAATGTTTCATCATTACATTCCAGCTGCCTCTCTTCTTCTTTCGGGTATTGTCCACTTGTTGCCACTATCTGGCCTTCTAGGATCAAGGCAATTAGAGAAATTATATGGAATTCCAATCAATGAGGAGAATCTTGAAATTTTAATGAGACATAGAGCTGTACTATTTGGATTACTTGGAACTTTTCATTGTTATGGAGCATTTAGACCAGAATTGTATGGATTGGCATTTGGATCTGGTATTGTTAGTGTGGCATCCTTTATTTGGTTGAGTAGATTATCAAAAAAACAGTCAATGGTAAATAGACAGATTGTAAGAGTTTGTAATGTTGATATTGTTGTGTTGATGGCATTGTCTCTTGGAATGATTACCTCAATATATTTCAATGAATAACTAAGCAAGCAGAATTCTCTAGAATAATCTGATAATCGTTAATCAATGATACTATTATTATTGATTATTGTTAAATTCTTCATTGAATAAATGGATTTCTTAATTTCTTCATTAAATTCTCTAAAACTAATATCGAGAATTGTAAGATTTTCTAGTTTAGTAGTGATTGATTCGGCTCCCTTATCACCAATATTATTACTATGAATATTGAGTGAAGTCAATTGGGTAAGCTAGCTTATTTCTAGTCTCTTCCATTCCAATATTACAGTCTTGCAAGACGAGTGTTTTTAATTGAGCCATTTCACTAAGGACTTTGGCTCCTTCATGTCGAATATTGCATGAAGAAACATCCAGGTCAGTCAATTGTTCCAATTTAGTGAGGTATTTCAATCCTTCAGCAGTTACTTTTGTAATGATCAATCACTTTTTAATTTGCTTATAATTAATCAATATGTTATTTTGACAATGTTTTCCTAATAAATTATTTATAAAAAGAAAATTTTATCATGTTGCAACATGTTTCAAAGTCAACCAACCACACTTCCTTTCGTATTTTTCATAATTGCATATATCCATTCACAAAGTTCATCCTCCCCACAACCATAACCTTCAAATTCATATTTAAACCACATCAGGGGGATGAACTTTGGTCAATCAAGAATCAACAAAAAAAAACAAATTAAAAAAAAAACAAACACAATGTCCTCCTCCAAACAATCAGATAATAATAATATTGAAACTCGTCAATATGAAATTGATGATAGCATAACTTGTCTTCAATTTGATCTCATTTCGAATATTCAGAGGAAGGAAAAGCAAATTGTAATTGCATTGGATGTTTCTGGATCGATGCGTGGTCAAGGAATTGATCAAGCAAAGATTGCAATTTCGAATTTATTTGAACAAGTTGTCGATATACCAGATGTTGTATTGATTGCCTATGATACCTCTGCAGAGTTGTATGATTTGAGGAAGAAACCAGCCGAAACTAGACAATCAACTCTTGAACAGATTCAAGCTGGTGGAGGAACTGATTTTACCTGTGTATTTGAGGCCATTTCAAAATTAGACATGTTTAATAGTCAATCTGAGGTTGCAATCTTGTTTTTCACCGATGGACAAGATGGATCCAGTCATAAGAGAGAAAAAGCCATTGAACAGATGAAGAAAGTTCTCGAAACTAAAACTCAAAGTTTCGAATTTCACACCATTGGTTTCACCTCTAGTCACGATGTTGCATTATTGACCCAAATTACTCAATTGGGTTCAGTTCAAGGAACTTTCCAATATGTGAAAGATGCCAATGAAATTAATCAATCGATGGAAAATCTCATTGGATTATTGACCTCTAATTCAAGTGTTGGAATCTTGTCAATTAAGGATGATGGAAATCAAGTTGAGAAAACCATGAGAGTTTCCTTCACTTCTCAAGAGCAAGAAGGCAGATATAGAGGATATGCGTTCATTGAGAAGAAACCAGAGGATTCGTTTACTTATTCGATTGAACTTTTTTCAAAAGTGGTGAACATTGTGCCATTAGCGAATCAAAATGATCAATCGGATAAAAACGATCCAACTCTAATTAAGATTATCATCAAATACATTGAAAAATCCTTATTGGAAATTACTACCAACATTTCTTCCAATACTCCAAAAGAAACCCTTAATGAATTCTTTAATAAGGGAAAGAAATTGCAAGACAAGTTGGCAATCATTACTTTGAATATTCAGAGAATGAAGAATCGAATTTTGAGGAGAGATTTGTACGATTTCAGAAATACTATTCATGAAACTTTGGTGAAATTTAATGAAATTCTTTCAAGTGCCATGATTGGAAATTTTTCCAATGACAAACTTGCAACCTTGAATGATATTGCTTATCGTTCTGTCACTAATCAATGCTTGAAAAAGAAATTGGACATGAGAAAGCAAGAAAATGCTTCAATTTTCAAAGATTCTGAAACTGTAATTGAGCAATACGTTAATGAAATGAATTTTGAAGAATTGAATGAAAAGTACAATGAATCAATAGAGAAATACGGAACTTGCATCATTTCCTGTCAAAATTGGTTGGAAGCATTGCAAGATCGTGATTGCTTGTGTTTGGCTCTTGATGTCATTCGTCCAGAAAATGCAATCAAAGATCCTTCTCTTGTAGAAATCAAATCTGTCAGTGCAACCATGATGACAGCTGAATCATTCTTGGATTCTGTCTTGTTTTCATTGGAAAATACCAATGACCAAATTAGTGTCCACGGAGGATTTTCTGGTCAATCAGGAACTGTATTGACTGGAACTGCAAAAGAGAATATTTCTGGAGTGTTGCCATTGTATATTAATGAAGAGCACTGGAAAGTTGCAAAGGAAAAGATGAAGAGTATTTTGGGATATGTTGCAACCTTGGAGCCATTAGGATATATGAAGGAACAATTGGAAACTATTCCATTTTTGGTATTGGTGAAGGCAGTTCTTTCGTATAGTCAAGGAAAAAGTGAATTCTCCAAACATCAATTGCAAATTATTTTGGAAACTTGTTCTAAAGTTTTGGAAGAATTGAACGAATACGACTCAATTAATCAAAAGTTATTGAACTATAATCAAGATGTCAATGTTAGATTCCAAGATTCCATTCCAAAAAATCAAATCTTCCTCGCCACAGTCTTGTGTTCCATAATTGGTGGAAAGGTTTCTTCCACTTCCATTAATTGGAAACTATTCTTCCAAAATATTATGGAAGAGGATTTGAGAAGATCCAGCAGTATCCTTGAAAGAAATTCCTTCTCTGAAAAGGATATGTGTGAAATGTTGCAACTCGATGAAATTATAGATTCCCAAATTGAGATTGTTAAAAAGAAAATGTTCCAAAATAAGAAAGAAACTTCAGAAAATCAATACATTTCAAAAATGAAACAATTATTGGAAGCAACTGCTCAAGAAGAAGAACAAATTGTCAATTTCAGATGAGCCAGAGAAGAACAAACCACAAGCTTCAGAATTTAACACTAATGTGGAATTTTCTTCGGAAATATTCAAAGATTAGGTCAACTTGCAACTGGTCTTGTTTCGAAATTGGACGAATCCTTCCGTGTTAATATTTTACCATTCATTAAGGTAGCATCAGAGTATTTGAATGAAAAGGAGGATATTTCTGATATTCACTCAATGGTAAATAGCAAATCAGGACTCATTTGTTTATTGATTCAAACTGTCAACTTTCAAACTCCAAACAAGAAGAAAGTTGCCATTGAAAAGGGAGAATATTACTCTCCTTTCAATGAAGAAGAATCAATTAAATTTATGAAATCCATCACTCAACCAATAATTAGCAAAAAGATTAGTATTTCCATTAATCATTTGATTAACAATTCTGCATCCTATGAAACTGCTAATCTCTTTATTCAATCTGAGGATGAAATTGAAGCTGCTGGAATCTTGCATGGAAACTTGAAGGGATCTGTTCCATTCCACAATTTAGTCAACTCATTCCAATCCTCTAAAAATATTCCACTTGTGAAAGAAAAGGTCAAGATGTTAATTACTGGTTATTACAAACATGTGACCTTGGATAAGGATGGAGCTGAATGGAATGCAAGAAACAGATTCTGTTTCCGTGTTTGGAAGAATAATAGATCTGCCTTTGAAAGCAAGGAAGAAGTAATCTCTTTATTTGGAGAGAAATATCGTGACTATTTGGTTACTGTAATGAGAATTTTCAAAAACTAATAAATACATCAAACCGAGAATGTTACAAGGTTTTGATATTTGGAATGTATGTTTTGTAAATCTTTCTGAACATCTTAATAAGCATTCTCTTTGGCAATTTCATTAATTCTTCATCACTTGCTCCAATAATGAAGGGGTAATTGGCAGTTCCAATTTCTACCATAACATCCTCAAAAGCTTCCATGGTTTCGTCTTCGAAATGATCCTCTAGAGATTCGGCCACTTCGAAAAAGGAGAGCTTGTCCCTATTCACACACAAGTAGAGACACTCATCGAGAAGGCCCTGAATTCTATAGAAATGTGCAGCCTTAATGAGTGGAATTACTTGCTTGGAAGAAACCTTGATTGGTGCAAAAATTCCATAGGCATACTCGATAATAAATTCCATTACACTTGGATCTGAGGCAACTTCAATGAGATGTTCAACATTGATGATGGCTCTTCCGTCTTCATCCTCTTCATTGCTCCAATTGGGTCCAAAATTTACTTCCAACATTTCAGAAGCACTGGAGAGCACAGTCTTGTGACAATATATGGTTTTGACTCCTCCCAGAGAATCAGGAATTTTCACCACAGCATCACTGTCCTCTTTAAAGTTATAGATAATGTTAATGCCTCCAATGACGACTGGTGTTTGAAAAGGTGGCACAATATCACGGGTCACATGCTTATATCTGTAGAATTCCAATACATAATCTTTCACTCTTGGATCTTGATTGTAATCAAATTCTTTGCACGACGAATTGGCTCCAATATACTCCAAGCAAGTGATTCTGACTTGATCTAAAAATTTAAGAGAAATATCCTCTGTGAACAGTTCGTTTCTTAATGCAATGTACTTGTCAGTTCCCACTAGAATGTCCACAGCGTTTTTGGTATTCAAATAAACAAAGCCAAGTTGACTAATAAAGTAGCTCTTCTGTTGCAGAAAATCTTCCTTACTCACGTCCATTAAAAACACCAAAAATGGTAAGCTTGGAAACAAGCTGAAATTTGTAAAGGATGATTTCGAATAGATCATGTATATGAAGAAATTCAATGTTTCAATCTCCTTACTTTCCAATCTATGCAATAATGGTTCATTACAAATGACATTCTTACAAAAATTAGGAGCAACAATTTTCAATAGTGGCTTAAATGCATAAACTTGCAACATTCCACCTTCCAATATTAAATCTCTTGGATAGGATTTGATTTGATATTTTCTCGGTTCCTTTCTTGATTTGAGTTCAGATATTTTAGTGGTAACTCCCTTCACTTTAGCCATTCTCAAAATACTATACAAGGACTGACTCATCTCTGATAAAGAATCACCAGTGGTACTATCTTTTTGATCAACTGCTTGTTGATAACCAAAAGTAGGAGGTTTTGGCAATGAATTGAATATGTTATCAATATTTTCATTCCTATTCTTGGATGCAACATTTATGCCTCTTCTATGCATTGTCTTTGTTGGTGAGTGGCTTAATGAAGTGGATGAGGATGATGGAACACTTCCAAAGACAAATAATTTCTCTTCCGATGCTGCCAATGATGAAGTGGATGATGCATTATTAGTATTTGAACTATTTGAATTGTTAGTAGCTTGATGATCATCACCACTATTAGTACCAAAAGGCTGAGAAGTATTAAAAGAACCAAATATTGGTTTTTGTTGACTAAACAGGACTTTAGAAGTATCATCAAACTTGAAACCACCACACGGAGTTGAATTTGATGAAGAAAAACTATTTGAATTTGATGAGGAAATTAGAGTTTGATCACCACCACCAAGACCACCACCAGAAATTCCAAACGGTTGTCCCGATGCAGTAAATGTAAATGCAGCTGCTCCATTCTTCTTATCACCACCACTGATACTACTACTACTTCTTCTATTAGCAGTAGTATTAAGAAAAAAACCATAATTTAGATCAGAATCAGGATAAATATAATGATGATCATTAAAATTGCTTTGAATAAAATTCATATTGCTGCTACTGCTATTGCTGGTGACATTTAGGTTTTTTCTCTTTGGATTATTACCCTCCGCTCTCACATATCGATCATCTGTTGATTCTTCTTCTTCGTCTCCAGAAGAGGATGATGATGGTGATGATGGTGATGAGGAGGAAAAAGGTTCTTCTTCTTGATAATCTTCTTCAGATGAGTAGGACATTTTTTTTTTGAGTTTTGTAAATTCTCGAATAATTGAACCTTTGTAAAGTTTTTTTATGAGAATTGTTTGATCAAAATGTCATTAATCATTGTGAATTTGACATGTTAATAATGATGAAAAGTGAAACAAAGACAGCCACTACAATTTGATTGTATGCATTACACCACAAGCACAAATTTTTTACATTTATCCATTCCAAATAAGCTTTTTTGACAAAGCTGTAGTGAGAAGGCGCCTTTATTCTCCCTTCTATTCTCTTTATTTCACCTTTGATATTCAATACTAATAAATAACAGAGAATAAAGCAATTTGATTGTAAAACAATGTTAAACATCTTCCCGCCAAAAGTGTGCGACTTTTCAAAAGAAAAAAAAATGTCGACACTAACCAAACAGCAATTCTATGATACATTGGTGCATACGTGGTGGCCAGAGGATAAAATCACAACCTTCAATAAGTGTAGAGTGTTGGTGTGTGGAATGGGAGGACTTGGATTGGAAGTGGCAAAGAATTTACTCCAAAATGGAATTGAACAATTAACACTGATGGATTCAAAGATGGTTTCGTATGAGGATTTGGCAGATTTTTATTCGATTGTTGCCGATTCGAAGGAGGTAGAAGTGATTGGAAGAAATAGAGCGGAGAGAGCAATGATTGTGTTGAATGGATTGAATCCATTTGCACAAATTAATGTGAAAGATGGTCAAGTTGACAGCTTGGCAGGTGATGTGCAGTTTTTGAAAGAGTTTGATTTTATTATTTGTACTGAACATTCTCTTTCATCACTGATTGATTTGGCTCAAACCTGTCACGATAATAATATTAAATTCGTGGCATCCGACATGAAGGGCTTATCATGTTTAATATTCTATGATATGGGCGAACACAAAATCAAAGATCTGAACCCTGGCTTCAAAGAAGGTTGTTCAATTAAGGATATCATCAATGGAAACCCAACAAAAATTGATCTTTTAGATGATGAATTTAATAAGGAAGAGGGAATGAATGTTCATCAAAATATTGTCTTTAGAAATGTTAGGGGAATGACGGAATTGAATGAACACAAGGCGGTTAGAATCAAATCAAAGATTGGAAATCGAGTGGTTGTAGATTTGGATTCTACTAATTTTGGAAAATTCGAATTGGGGGATGGCTCAGCTTATTTCATGAAATGTAATGTTACTGGTCTAGATATAAGATCTCACAAGCTTAAATCACTTAAAGAAGAGTTGGATAATCCAACATTTAAAGATTCGGATTCAAGGACGAAGGTAGAGAAGAGACATGCTTTCACTCAACTTGAACTATTCGAAAGGGAGAATGGAAAAATTCCAAAACCTTACCATGAGCAAGATGCTTTAGAATTTGTGCAATTTGCAAAAGATAGAATTCCAAACCAATTCTTCAATCAAGAAATTTGCAAAACCCTTGCTTTCACATGTCAAGGAAGGTCAGCTCCATTCACAAGCATCACGGGAGCTTTCATTGTGATGGAAATTCTCAAGAATTTGAGTATGTATTACTTTCCAATAATTGATCAATGGGAATGTTTAGATGCATGGGATTGCCTGCCAAGTCCTCTTCCAACTCACGAAGATTGTGTTAACATTCCACACAAAATGAAAAGATTTCAACAACAAATTAACTTGATTGGTAAAACATTACAATCAAAAATAATGAAATCTAATGAGGTAATATTTGGAATGGGTGGATTAGGATGGGAATGTTTGAAGAATTATGCCCTGATGGGTCTCAGTTCTCATGAAGAAGCTCCATCCACAACTCTTGTCGATGCCAAGGAGGCCATCTTACCAAATCTCATAACACATCCATTCATTATAGAGGAGGATATAAGTAAGTTTGCCAATATCAAGTCCATGCTCGCAATAGACTACGTGAAAAATCACATTAATCCTCAAATGAAAATTGACATGGTTGAAGAATATGCGAGAGCAAGACCAGTGAATGAAGAAGAGGAACAATTTTCTTGGAATAATTTGGATCAATATAGTGGATATACGTGCACAGTTCCTGGAAAACCAATTGCTGATTTAATTGTTTCTCGTGTCATTAATTCTACCAAAAGAGCAATTTTTGCCACAAGTGAATGTATGAAAGGAAATGTCACTTTAATGATTCCACACTTGAGTGGAAAGCATGTTAGGGAGAGTAACGAAGTATCCTATCCACAAATAATCAATTATTATGGCTCCATGAAGGATATGATAAATTTCTCAATTGACTATCCTTTCAAAGAAATGTATAAGGATAATTTACTCATTCATTTAGGCCCATTTGGTGATTTCAGAGACAAGTACACTGATATTGTTCTATACAATCCTTGCCATTTTGAAAATAGCATAAGATGGGCAGTTGTCAAATTCAATGAATATTTCGATAAGGGAATTAGTGAAATATTAGAAACATATTTTGCTCCATTCATGAGGAATGGCACTTTACCTGAATATTTGGCTAGAATGAGAAGACCAGTTCCTGTTCCTTTCAATGCTATCAATGCCTCTCACTTGGATTTTGTTCTATATAGTGCTATTTTGAGATCCAAGGTTTATTCAGTTGATTTACCAAATATGGAAGAATTGAAAGAAATATTAGCCAAAGTTTTGAAAGAAGAAGATTTGGGAATGAAAAAAATTGATTCTGAACTTTCTGAAGAAACATTGAAAGAAAAAATTGAAACAATATTGAACCAATTGAATATTGAATTCATTACTTTTGATCCTTACAATGATTTACATTTGGATTTCGTTCAAGCATGTGCTCTAGTTAGAGCTCAATGCTATAAAATTCCACCAATAGTGGATAAACACTATATTAAGAGAGTGGTTGGATTGACTCCTAGCAATTCAATTAGTAATTCAATAACTGCTGGATATGCAACTTTACAATATTACAAGGTATGTGTTTGATTGTTACAATACTTTTAACAATTATTGGAAAGCTTGTACAAGAATCTCCTATGAAAGGTGAACAATTCCCCAGTTATTCAATAGATTGTAGTGGAAAGTATTCAACAGATTTTTTTAAATACTTACATTTGAGAACACAAAGCTTTTCCCTTAATACAGGAAATGAAACTATTTCTGTAACAGAATGGGATCTTTTAGAACTTAACAATGCAAATGAAAGACAAGACTTTACAATTAAGGATATTGTTGACATGATGAAGGAAAAATACTCATGTGAAACTCTTTCTATAGAATTGAAAGATTCCAATGCATCTGGCAATTCCTACTCAATCTATTCCAATTTTCAATTTGTATTCTCTACTGTATCTCCATTGAATCAGAGAATGAGCTCTAAATTGGTCCAACTTTGGGTGAATTTCAATGCTTTCAATTCAGATGACGATTTTGTACTCTTGCAAATTACTGGAAGATCCCTACTTGATAATTCATCAGTTACCATTCCTTCTCTGAAATTCTACCTACCATCCTCTCTCACATCCAAATAAAATTCTCTTATTCATATTTAGTTAATTGTCAACCATAAACAAGATTAATCCATATTCCACAAAAATTTAAAGCAAATTCAAAGTTTGTTGCAAATACAATTTATTCCTCATCTGAAAGATCATCATCATCATTGGAAGCTGGTGCAGCAACAGAGCAATCACATGCCTTATTTTGAGCTCCAGCAAATGCCTTACAATTCACATCAAAATCAGGTTTCAATCCCATGTTAATTCCCTTAGCTTTCAATTCACACCAACCTCTCTTGAGTCTTGATTGTTTCTTACAAACTTGCTTCATGCAACTATAAAGTTGACTATCACAAGTTGATCTAGAAACTCCACATGTTTCATAACAAACATCTTTTCCAAAATTAAATAGTCAATTAAAACATGCCAAACAAAATAAAATGGTCAATCCGATAATTTTTGAAAGAAGAAACATACCATGACCATTACAACATTCTTCAAAAGCTTTGAAAAGAACATTTCCTAACAAGTTCAAGATCTTTGAATGTCTAGGTCCGCAACCATTCACAGAAGGTTTGTGTCCAGCACGAGGAGTTGAACAAGTTGGAAGACCACTACATGATTGTTGAGAGTCAGCAATGAAGAATAACAATACAACAGCCAATAGGAGGGTGAAAACAAGTTTGCCGTTGATTTGCATTGTGAATTTTTTTAAAATGATGTAAATTTGAAATGTCAGAAAGATGAACTTGCATTTGGCAGGTGATGTCAGATCAACTGTGTTGAAATTAACAATGGTAGGTCATAATATTTTCAATACAATGATAAATTACACTATTATCCACTCAATGGCACACCAATCTCATCAAAATCCCTTAATCCTCTGCTCTCAATATCTTCAATTCAAATGGTGCTCCAAATCAAGTCAAACCTTCCTAAGAGTGCACTGAACGAATCACACAAAACTCGTCAAAAACCAAATCTCTCATAAATCCGAGCACAGGTGAACATTCGAAGTCATCGCGTACATGGTTCGATATTCATCATATCACCAACAACAGCCATCAAGCATAAAGACAATGCAGCATTCTCTTCATCATCAAATTTTAATAAAAAAGAGAGAAGAATTTTTTTCTTGGTTTTTTCTTGGGTGAGCGCGGAAGACTTTGATAATTAATTGTATTATTGTTGTGTTGTTATTAAATATTGTACTATAAAAGAGAAAATGCCAACAGCTAAACCAAGAGTGCTCGTTTTGGGAGGAACTGGATTTGTCGGTAGACATTTTGTTAAATACCTTGTGGATAAAGATTTGGCTAGTAAGATTAGAGTTGCTGATAAGCAATTGCCAAAGACTGGTATGTTTTGAATATTATTGTTGTTAATTAATTATTATTAATATTTAATGGTGATGCTTATGAATAATCATTTGAATCACCGTCGACTGTCATCATCATCTGTTCATCATCAATTTAAATTCATCATCATCAATAATATATTTCATAATTAAATTAATTTAAACAACAACAATAGCCTACTTGTCCGAAGAATTCCTCAACATTTATGAAAACAATCCAATTGTTGAATTCAAACAAGCTAACTTGTCTAATCCAACTCACATTAAAAAGGCTTTTGAAGATACCACTGGACCATATCAATTTGTTGTCAATTTGGCTGCTGAAACCAGATACGGACAAGAAGAAGCCACTTACAAGCAAATGATTTTCGACATTTCTATTAACTGTGCCAAGGAAGCTCTCAATTACTTGTCATCAATTGAAAAGTATGTTGAAGTTAGTACTGCTCAAGTCTATGACTCTGGTAGCAAGGCCAGTAAAGAAACTGACAAGATTGCTCCATGGACTAATCAAGCTAAGTTCAAGGCTCAAGCTGAAGATGAATTGAAAAAGCTTTCACCTGAACTCTCTCAAAAATTGGTCATTCTTCGTCCATCAATAATTTATGGACCTGCTGATTTGAATGGTCTTACTCCACGTATTACTTGTGCCTGTACTTATACTCTCACCAAGGATAAGATGAAATTCTTGTGGAGTGGTGATTTGTGTATTAATACTGTTCACGTTAGAGATGTTGCTCGTGCTCTCTGGCATGTCTACATGAATACCAAATCAACTGGAACTCTTGTCTATAATTTGAGTGATAAGAATCAAACAGATCAAAAGAAGATTAATGAAATTTTCGAACAAATTTTCGGAATTGAAACTGGATTCTTTGGAACACTTCTCTCACAAGCAGCCAAATTGAACATGAAGAGTGCTGCTGAAACTGCTAACGAAAATCACATGAATCCTTGGAGTGAAATGATCAAACAATCAGGAATCAAATTTACTCCTCTTTCACCTTACATTGATAAGGAATTATTGTACAATAACTCACTCTCTGTTGATGGATCATTGATTGAAAAGGATACTGGCTTCAATTATGAACATCCAAAGGTTACCAAGGATCTTATTGAAGAACAAATCAAATACTTTAAGAATTTGAATTTATTCCCTGATTTTACAAAGATTTCCAAGTAAAATAATTATCTTTTTCAATTTATTCCTAAATATTTAGTAAATTATGAAAATAATAATAATTGAATTAAAAGTAAAAAAATGCACAAATTAATTAGTAGAATAGGGTCATCATCAAAACAATTGCATCTTTTCAATCAATATTCAAAACAGCAACAAGTTTTTCAAACAATTACAAATCAACAATTTGTTATCAATTCCATTCTCAACAACACTACAACTTCATCCATTCAAAAACGATATTATTCCGATGATAAATTTTCATCATCAAATAATGATGATATTTTGATAGATGATGAAAATGAAATGGAAGAATCAACATCCATTGTCTCTTCCTTTGATCCTAAAACTCTAATGAAAAAGTACAAGTACACCTTTAATGGATTACCTGTTCCTTCTGCACCTGATTACATTTCTCCACCAATAATTCTCAACTCGGCACCTGATATTGTTACTACAAAACTTGAGGGAGAACTTCCAGTGACCTACTCTGATATTGAATATATTTTCAGTAGGGAACACTCAAAGATGGAATTTACTTGTGGAACAGTTGAGGAATTTCCAGAACCGAATGAGAAAATGCCACAAATTGCATTTGCTGGAAGAAGTAATGTTGGAAAATCGAGTTTATTGAATTCTATTGTGGATTCTGATAGATTGGCTAGAGTGTCATCGACGCCAGGTCACACGAAACGTATTAATTATTTCAATATGCATGACATGCTCTATGTTGTGGATTTACCTGGATATGGATACGCTGAAGGAAATAAGGAAAAAATCAAGGGTTGGAATACAGTACTGAGACAATACTGCACAGAAAATACAGTATTGAGAAGAGTTTTCATATTATTGGATGCAAGATATGGTATTTATGAACAGGATTGTGAATTTATGGACATGTTGGAGGAATCAGGAGTTCCCTATCAAATAATTCTCACCAAGTGTGATAAAGTATCTCATGAACACTTGTGTGAATTGATGCAAGTTACCTACGATGCTATGAAATCTGGAGAGGCCTTTAGAACATGTTTCCCATACATTATTCCAACCAGTTCTGAAAATATGCTTGGTATTCAAGAGGTGAGGGCTGCCATCATTAGATCGAGTGGAGTTCTCGAAAGTATGGCACTCTATACAAGTAAACAAAGGGCTGAAATTTCTTCCAAAATTGAGGAAAAATTGAGAGAATCCAATCCAGAACATCCCTATTTCGCTAAGGTCAATCAAGCATTGAAAAAATTCGTATCCAATGATAATGAAACTAAGGCCACAAATGAGAATATACAACAAAAAGTAGTGCCACCACCTACACCAAAGAAAGATGATAAGATAGCCAAACAGGCCACCACAACTGAGGATAAAACCAAATCCTCCACCTCTAAAAAGAAGAACAAAACCTCAGAAGAAATAGAACAAGAAATGTTGGCAAAGAAAAAGAAGAAGAAGGTGAATATTGTTGGATTGTGAGCATTGGATTATAATCTTATAACAGATGCTGTTTGAGAGGACTGAAACAATTATTTCCCTCAATTCAAATATTATTCTAATAACCATACAATCGTTGTAAATCAATGTGAAGCTAACAAGATATCTTTAACGTTTGGATTTGGTTGGAAGGGAAGTGGCTACCTTATTAAAAAAACAATTGTCAATGTTGTTTACTGATCTATTGTTAAAGTTCCTAATTCCTTCTGTTTTGATAGAACTGGAAAGAGTAACACCAGATTCATTTGGTTATTGATTATAATTACTGTATTTAAGTTTGTTAATGTCATTTGATAAACAGTCAATACATGTCACATCATGTTTTATTCCTTCTTTTTACAGATTAAAACCCGAGCGGTTCCTGTAAGTTCTTCCTTTTTACTAAGACAAACTGCAAGTAAACCATTCATCATGCATGAGATAATAAAGCAAGATGATTTCAAAATATATTCTAAGCGCATTTAACTATTGTGAATCTCAATTCCATGCACATATAGTTAATTATTGTTGAATTCTTTGAAATAACGAAACTGGCAAAAACAACAAGTAAAACTGTAACCCCTCCACAATTTGTCCAACACATAAAATAAGTTAAATAACAATATAATGTTAGAACGCGTATCAACATCACCAGCTAAATCCATCATCTGACCATATTTGACAACAAGTCCACATTTTAAAAAGTTTGGCATAATACCCCAACAAGATGAAAATACGCTACTGTCATTTCACGTCAGTTCTAGTTGAGGCCTTCGGTAGGGCATGACTGTAAAACGTCGAAAAGTCCTGCAATAGGCGTAAAGTTTTACCTCAAACAATTCGGTAAGAGGCCAAACAATAAAGAGTGAGAAATACGACTAATCAATAATGAATGCTCTTTCGCACTGTTTAACTTCATTGTTGGCATGCTGACACCAAGTTATTATCACAACCAAACAACAATATCTTCATCATTATGATTATGTGTGAACAAATCACCTCCATTGTTGTTTCGAATTGCAAAAAAACAACAACTAATCATGAAACAAACAGAATATCCAACAAGTAATTCATCAACACCTTCTTGTGGAATTAGTAATGCTACCACCACTAGTCAACTCAATCAAGTAGCAGATAATATGACATCAACATCTCCATCCATAAATAAAACCTTGCAAGATACTCCAGGTTTTAGAATGAGAAAATTCAATAAGAATAAGCGTTTCAAAGAGAATTACTTTGAGATGAGAATGATGGATACCTCAGCAAGTACATGTTCTTCCTTTGAGAGTAGTTTCAATGGTAATATTTACAATAAGGTCAATCATCAAACAATAACAAACAAGAGAAAGACAACAACAAACAATTCCTCTGCAACATCTCAATCAACTAGTAGTAAGAAGAGGAAAAAGTCTGCAAGCATCTGCAGCAGCAGCAACAATAACATGGAGGTAGCAACAACACCTTTTACATCAATGAGTAGTGGAACAATTACAAATTCATTCCCAATTGTTTCCTTTGATTCGGATTCAAACATGATGATTAAATCATCAACACTTCCATCATTTGCACTCTCCCCTAATATTATTAATCAAGAATTTCCCAATTTAAATGATAACTTTTTCAGCACGAATCCATCTACCACAACTCAACCTGTACTAGTAGCTGAGAAACCAACCATTATCGAAAATACTTCAAGTTTAGTAGAATTGTTAATGAGCAATAACAATGACAATGGATATAGTGGCACACTCCAACAACATGAACAAGCATCTGTTGCTCAACAGAATTCTGTGATTTCTCACGCTACTCCGAATAGTGTAAATAATAATTCGGAGCAAGCACAACAACATGTGATACCAAGCACTTCTTCGGGTGTATTGAAACCTTTGGTAATCGGAGAGGGTATTACTTCATCTTGCAACAATTCGATAGCTTCACCATCTGCTTCCTCTTCATTGTCCAACTCTACTGTATGTAATCATTTGATGATTAATGATCAGCATCAAACAACAACATTAGCAAACTGTGCTCCATCCATGTGGGGTAGTATTCTTCCATTGAGACCTGTTTGTATTGATGAGATTTGTAGTGAATGGGAGCAATTATTGTCCTCCAACTCCAATTCTACTGCTGTTATTGTTGACTCTCTTAAACAACAACCACAATCTTTGGAGGCTATTAACATGTAAGATTGTTTGTGATGATACAATGTCAACCACCTTCCTAGCTTCTTAAAAACATCATCTATTGCCTTCGGGGAACACAAACCGATTTGGAATAGGCTTATTATCATCCACACATGGATCCCTCATCAGAAAGTGAGGGATCAAACACGATTTATCCATTAACCCATTCTACCCTCGTGGAGAAAAATCAACCATCAACAAGAGAGTTCTTCCTCGCCTAATAAATAGTGCTCTTAACAAAATAATCTCATTCTTTAAAAAATCATTTCATTACCATCTAAATCTACAGAATGAAACTGTAGATGACCATAAATTTAAAATTTAAAATTTAAAAATTAAATCAAATACAAAAAATCAAGATGAAAAATGAATGAGAGTTCCTTCCCTCGACTGAGAAGAATCATCTCTCCTATTGATTCATTCTTTTCTTGTGGGAGTATTCCACCCTCTTTTCTTGATTCTACCATCATGGCTCATGATTCTAATTTAATAATATCGGAAGAAGATTTTAGTGATGAGGAAATTAATTATCAGGAAGAAGGATTTAATTGTGAATTATGTGGACAATATGTTGGAAATAATTTTGAATATGAACATCATTTGGAAACTCTCCATAAACATGTTTGTACAGAGTGTAGTAGAGTATTTCCGAGTGCATTTCTCTTATCAGTACATTTGGAGGAGAAGCATGATTCATTCTTTAGTGTGATGACTCTCAAAAAGGATTGTTATCAATGCTTGGTTGAAGATAAATCCATTTGTAATGCCAAATTCAGAACAAGTGAAGAGAGAGACGAGCACATGAGGAATGTGCATTTATACAAGAATGATTTTAGTTTTGAAAATATTGGATTTATTGTAAACTATGAGGAGGATTAGATGTTGGGAGTTTTTTGGGTTGTTTATTCATATATATCCAATTTGATTGTAATTGAACTTGCATTATAGGGTTGTCCAAAAAAGATATAATTATATATTTTCTATTTTCATAATTACTAAATCAGTCAATTGGTCAAAAAAGTAATGCTAGCAAAACCTTCAAATCTGAAAAGAGAAACGAACTCATATTTACTCAATCAAAAACAATACAACAAAATGCAACCACAAAAGACAAGTACCACAGGAGGAGGAACCTTACATAACATTGCTGAAAAGATTAAACATCCATTCACCCACGATACTGACACCAACATTACCTATCAAACCAGAGAACAAAAGAAGCTAGCAGAAACCGATCCACACTTGGCTCAAGAGCTTGGAGCTAAAGATGTTGGAGTACCTCCAGTCACAACAAATCCTCTCTCAAGTACTAGAACCACAACTACAGTTCCAACAAAGGATGCCATGTTAAATCAATCTAGTGTGCCATCCACTCACTCTACAATTTCAAGAGAGGAATACCATGAAAAGAAGTGGTAAAAATATGAATGAAATTTAATTTCCTTTTAATTGTTGTGAGATTAACATTGTAATCTTTGTAAATATTTAAATAATAAATAATAGCGTGAAAAAAATAGTTCCAAAATTATGAGGAATTGCTATGCAGACTTACACACGTAAATGCAAGTGGAGATGTCACTTTTCATTCGACTAAATAAATCTGAGGAATACCATTGATTCTTAATACTTTCTTCCCTATCCAATTTTCCCTTAATTAATTAAATATTGACCTGCTGGTATTGAATGGCTGTGAGGTGAAAAGTCGTTTTATCGCTAAAATATTGTAGTGCTGGATTTCTATTTATTAAGCTTGTCCAATGTCCTGTTGAAAGCATAATCTTGATGTTAACTGAGGTTTTGTTTTAAATTTAAAAAAAAAAGCGGCAAATCGTAAACCTAAGCAATTAAAATCATCAAAAGAGATGGCTTCATCTGAGGAATATTTGGAATTGAAAAAACACAAAATATCAACGGAGCATGAAGTGAGAATACCTCCACTTAATATTGGTTCATTAAATAGTAATAGAACATTTGCACCCTCATCAAAACATTTACATTTACATAATATAACAACAGAGAATATCAAACACTCTCTATGCAACAAATCCAAATCTAAACCAATTGTATTATCTCGGAATAATGAAAATACATTTTCTACCATCATTCAATCGAAGAAGGAACCAAACCATCATCAACAATCATCATCACAAATGAATCAAAAGGATGGATCTATTTCCCTAGATGAATTACAGGAAACTGAGGTTAAAAACATTTTCAAAAGATTCTTTCCAAGAGGAACCAAAGTTTCTCATGCTCGTTGTGGTTGTGGATATCTGCATCCTTATATTTCCCTCCCAACAGACTCTAATGGAAATGTGACCTTGGAGAGTGAATTGAACAAGTCTAACAAAACTCCTACCAATCTTCATGGCTCAACTAAAATAGTAATCAGGAGAAATGTATCACCAACAACAGAACCATCAAATAATCGAGTAACAAACTCAAACAGTCCATTTTTCTATCATTCTGAAAGGAGGTCAAAACCATTGGATTTCATTCTAGGTTCTTCCTCTATTTCACAAACTCCTATTCATATCGATATCCCAAATATTAATGATGGAGATTTTTCAGATGAAGAAGAGTTGACAAAACTCTTGAATTTCACTTCTAACATTACACCAAACAAACTCACATCTCCATCCAACCATGGGGAATCATACACTAATGAATCTCTACAGGAATTACCTTCAAAAGATTTTATGTTCGATGAAAATGTACATATTAGTGAGGAAGAGGAAAAGGAAGAGGAGCAGATTTGCAACATTGTCGAAAAATGTTCTCAGTTGAAGGAAAAGCTTAAGGAAATGGAGAGCGAATTAAAATCAAAGGAGGAAAAATTATCAATTATAGAGGAGGAAAACAAAGAGAAACTTAGGGAATTGGAAAATGAGTTGAAATCAAAAGAAGAAACAATCACAAATCTGGAGGAGGAAAAACAACAATTTGAAAATGAAAAGATATCGTTTGAGGAAAAAATCAATGGCTTGAACGATAAAATTGTTGAGTTGGTGTATTGTGTACCTCCTATACCTCCATTAAATTCAAGTTTTTCTTCAAGTCATCCAGTGGCAGATTCTAAAGAAGAGGATGTTCCACAATCTAAAGAAGAATCCGTGCAAGCAGATCATAACCTTTTAAATCTTACCAATGATGAGAGTACAAATACAGACTTGGAGGTCAAAGAAGCGAGCACACAAGTACAAACCAGCACCAATGAAGCTCCAACCCAAACCTATATCCCTGTTTCAAATACTTCTGAAAATAGCACCAACACAGAAACAGAACAAAAAACAATTGCAGAAACACCTGTTCAATGCTCAATATTCGAAGAGGAGAAACCACTTGTCGACGAAGAATTGTTAAAAGAGAGAGATGGGCAGATACAGCAATTGCTTGACAAGCTTGCCGAAAAAGAGGAAGCTGTGGAAAAGCTCATAACTGAAAATCAAACTTTAGTGGAGGAGAGGGATTTCATTTCTCAGAACATTTCCTATGGAATTGATGCCAATAAGAAAGTGCTCGAACTGTTGGAGAAGGAGCTGGAAAGAATCAAGAATGAAATGCAAACTCAGAGCGACGACTTTGAAAGGGAAAGAAAGATTCTAGAGAATGAAATTGAAACCCTTCAAAATCAAGATACAAAGAACCAAGAGGCAACAACAAACAAAATAACAGATTTAGAGAAGGAATTGAACGAGGCTAGGACTGTTGTTGAACTAATGACAGCAGAAGTGAACAAGGCAAACGAATCATCCACCAAACTGACTAAAGATTTGGAAGAAATTCCAATTCATAAACAAAATCTAGAGGATGATTTGGAAGCTGAACGAAAAAAGTATGAGGAATTGCTGGAAACACTGCAAGAGAGAATCGATGAGGATAACAATAACAAGAATGTGATTGCAAATACCTCTCAACAAGTGAAATTGATGAATTCAGAATTGGAGGCATTGAAGAAAATGCTTGAAGAAAAGGAAGAAATTGTTGAAGATTTAGAAGGAAAATTGACAGAATCCCAGCAGAATGTGGAAGACCTCCTTTCAACCAAGCAAGAAGCAGCAGAGTCAACTTTCGAACAGCTGGAAGGACAAAATGCTCAAATAGAATCTCTTCTCGATGAAGTTAAGGATAAGGATGATGAGATTTATTCTTTGCGAGCTGAACTCGTGCAGCAACAAAAGCAGTTGAATGGTGTGGAAGAAAAACTACAAGATAAGGAGAAACAGTTCAATATTAAATGCAAGGAGATTACGCAATTAGGAAGAGATATTGATATTTTGAAAGATACATTAAATGGAAAGAGCGATTCCGAAAATGAACAAATCAAAAGGTTGGAAGAAAGAAATTTAGATCTAGAGAATAGTCTAAATGAAATGGAAGAAGAGCTAAAACAAATTGAGGAAAGAAAGGAACTTGAGAAGCAAGAATTTGATGAGGAAAGAAGTAGACTTGAGGAATTACTAGAAAATTACTCTCACGAAATCAAAAATAAGGAATCCATCATGGCAGATTTGGAGAAGGAAAATACAGAGGTGAAATCATTGTTGGACATTAAGGATTCCACCATTGATGAGTATTCTTCTCGATTGGAACAACTAGATGAAGAAAATGAAAAATTAAAGGAACAATTGAAAGCCATTGAGAAAGATTTGGAGCAAATACAAAGAAAAAATAATGACCTTCAAAATCAATTAAGCTCTGGGGATGACGAGATAAATTCAAAGTTGGAAAGATCACTGGATGGCTGTGAAAGATATAAGGCACTTCTTGATGAGTCAAATCAAGAAGTAGAGTCACTCAATAATGAAATACTAGTTCTAAAAATTCAAGTTGAGGATTATAAGCTTACAATTGATACAATTAGGGAAGACCTCAAATCTCAAGGAGATAATCAAGAACTCTTAAACCAAATTGATCAACTAGAGAAGAATATAGAAAAGAAGGAAAACACTATTTCTGAAAAGGAAAGGGAAATTCAAAAATCAAAGGAGGAATTGGACAGATTCATGGAAACTTACAATATTTACAAGGAGAGAGCCGAGACGGAAATCACTCACTTCCAAGAACAAATTTCCTCATCATTCAATGAATTACAAGAAAAGAACGACTTGATTTCAAACTTGCAAAGTCTTTTAGCAAAACAGCAATTGGAACACGATAGAGAAATGCAAAATGCTAACCAAGTGCTCAACTCTCTCCAAGAAAGTCTTTCCAATAATGCTCTTAATATCGAAAGGTTAAATAAGGAGAAGGAAGCACTTGAGAAGAGTTTGATGACAAAATCTCAAAACTCTGCTGTCGAGAGCAGAGAATTGAACGATCTGAGAAGGGAAAACTATGACCTGAAACGCCAATTCGATGAAAATAGACAATCTAATGAAAAGATGCAACAAGAAGTGGAAAGACTTTTAGAACAATTGACCAAGGGTGGAGGTCCTCCTTCAAGTGTTGAAGGATCTCCTGAGATGGCTTCTAAAACTCCAACTCACAGAAATGGTAAATTCTCAGCAATTATTCAAACCACTCCACTCTCACCAAATACCACGGTTGACTTGTGGAAACAATTAAGATCTGAAATTTTGAGACTCAAACAAAAGAACGTTGAGCTTGCCCAACAAATCATGCAAGTTAACAAGAGTAAGGAGGAAACCATATCAAAATATGAAAAGGAGCTTAGAAAAACTCAATTGGATATTTCTAAATATCGTAAGATTGAAGTGGACTTTGAAAAACAAAAGACCCAACTCATGCAAGTCGAAGAATATGGACGAAAGCTTGAGGAAAACAATACCCTTCTTAACAATCACCTCAAACAACTAGAATACGAAAAATCCAATCTATTACGATTGCAAGAACAAACCAAGTCCGAGCTACAACAACTGAAAGACAATTTAGAAACCTTAACAGCAGAAAATCAAAGACTGATTAAAGCTGAAAAGAAACGAAATCTAGGAGATAAGGTTCAGCCACCTACATCACTCTTACCAACCACCAACTCAATTTCCAATAAAAAAAAGTAAGAGTGAAATATTTAGTTTATTTAAGCTTCGGCAACTTGACCATTAACACAGCAAACATATCTCTTCAAAAAGTCTCCAATCTTTTGAAGAATAGGATGTGAACAACCTGGATCAGAGGTTTCAGCTTGTTTCCAACTTCTGAAAAGACCTACTGAGATCATGACTGTAAGCGAAATCAAAGCACAACCAAAATAGAGCATTAAAAATCCCAAACCAAATCCAGTGTAATCGACAAAGTTAGTAAATGTTGGGAAATTTGATGAGGCTGTGGAAATAACAGCAACTAATCCAGCAATACAATAATAAAAACCAATAATAGAGTATGGAACGGTAAAGATTACTGAAATGATAAATGTTCTCCTCTTTTGAACAATAGTCTTTTGATCGTATACTGGGGTTGATGTCATTCCTTCACCTGCTCCATACTGTTCCTTTGATGTACCTTCATGAATGTAATTCCATTGGGTAGCCAAAACAGCCAAAATAAATCCAACAATCATCAAAGTAAGGGCCATTAAGAATAATCCAACCAATAAGCAAACAACAACATCTAATAAATGTGATGGTCCGCTATAGGAACGATATAATCCATCACCAATAAACCAACCAGAGATTGGAACAGCAACAACACCAATAACTCCCATTATTAAGCAAAATGTTGCCAATTGAAAGTAAGGATGATAGACAATTTCGGCAGACAATCCAGGTGCTTCTGTTGTTCCTGTGGCAACATCATCATATCCGGCATAGGCATCTTCTACTTGAGGTGGCTGCTCTTCGTTGTTAAAGATTGCCGTTTCACTTTGGTTGTACATGATGTTTGGATAATATTTTTTTAAAATATTTGAGAGATTTTTTCCTTGATATCCTTAACATTGTTTGGACTCCTTTATGAATTTCCATTTCAAAAACTCAATGATGTGAAATAGGTTTAAATTAATAGTTTTGGATTGAGGGTATTGAAATTTGAAAGAAAAATATGTTTATTGAGAAACACTTGGTTCTTCAACCTGCTTTTCGGCTTGATTTTTAGCTATAGCTGCTACAAAGTATTCCCACATGTCAAACCATGTTTGACACTCAATTATTGATTTGGCTTCAAAATCTAAATACCTCTCTGGGAGACAGAAGGAAAAGAGAACAGTTGAATCGACTTTCATTTCCTCCTTCTTGATACCTAATAAGGTACTTGCAATACCACCCTTAATTTCCAATAGTCTTCTCTTCTTAACAAGTTCTCCCTTTTGGAGATATCTGATCGAAGATACTGGGAATTTGGATTTAATTTCATAGAGAGGGACAATATTTCTCGACTCTGGTTTCACATAGCAAACAAAGTTCTCGTCTGCAGAGAGGAATAGGTGGACAAGTTTCTTCTTAGAGGTTCCACTCGATGAGTGTTTATATATGGTCACACCAGTTTTGAGAGTTTTAATTACTTGAATAATCTTACTTGGTGAACCAGATTTGACTTGAACAAGTTTGGCATTTCTTCGTTCAGCTCTCGAAGGGGTTATTGAAGGACTTGTTTTAGGAGGTGGAGAAGTTAACTTTTTGGAAAGAGATTTGGAAACAATACTAGAAAATACAGTGCTTGGAGAGTTTGGAGAGGTTAGCTCTCTAAGTTTGGCCAAGTTTGAGGATGGCTTGGTTGGTGTAAAGAGTGGTTTTTGAGAAATATCAGTCATGTTCAATGCCGATTGATTATTGAATGTAATGTCGAGTTGTGGTTTCGATGAATCAAAGGCATAGGCAGAGTCGTCGAGCATGACGTGTTCTTGAGTGGCATTCAGGAGTCTATTCATCTCGTAATCAATTTCTATAAGTTGTTTCTTATTGTCTTGGGGGACTAGTGTTTTTGTTGGTTCGATTTTTTGGGTGGAAAGTGTCTTTCTGAAATGATCCAGAATGGATCTAGCATCATAATTCGAGTAGTTTGTACTTATTGGTTCAAGAGTAATAGTTGTTTGATTTGGAGTTTTTTCAGTGGATTTTGGTGGAGTACTATCCCTTGATGGTTGTCTGTCAGGAGAAACATAAATTTCCTCATCAATAACTGACGAAGCCAATTGCTCAATGGTCATTGGATTTTCAGTGTTGGCAGAAGAAATGAGAGCATCAAGAGAGGAGACATTGTTTGGAGTTTTAAAATTTGGTGAGACAATATCACTGATAATCTGGTCTTCCTCCTCTTCCATGTTGTTAAATTCTTCTTTTGGTTGCTCCTCAATCATAGATGTTTGTTCGATTTTCTCTTCAAGACTTTCTTCCAATACTATCGGTGTTGTTGTTTCTTCACATTCTTGACCAAGTTTTGATAAAGTCTCGGCAATGGATTTCATGAGTTTTTCAGAGGTTGAAGGCTCTGTTACCTTTTCACCCCATAATAAAGAATTCTTCCAATCCTTTTCCCATTCTTGACAAAAATCCTCCAATTTCAAATCCACAATAATTATCTGGTCAGGTGTTTCTTGTCCAAGTTGCTTGAATATTCTACTCATTACTAAATTCTTGAGAGGAACATCGTCTCCAATTGCTGCTTTGGCACTCTTGTTAATATGTTGCTCGATTATGTTGATGACATGTTCTAGTTTCATGAGGAATTGTTCAGATATTGAGTGCCTGTAATAGACCATATCTCTAATCTTTTCCCTATTGATTCTAATCTTGGGTTGGAATGTTGTTTTTTGATCTTTGGTTACATCTAACTTTTGACACTTGTCCTTGAAACAAGGTGGCATCTTGAGTGGCTTTTGTTGAAGCATGATTCCTCTTTCAATAGATGCCAACCATTCCATTTGTTCCTTCTTCGAGGAAAACTCCAAATAAATATTGCATACTTTTTGTGGAGCAGTCAGATAGTCAGCAGCACCTATTGGGGTAGAAAGGGAGTCACTTTGGAAGATAAGCTCACTAGTCTCTGGACTTATTTGAATTGTCTCTGTTGGAATGTCACTGATGGTTTCATTTTCATTCTTTTCAAATCCCTTAACGGCAAATCTTGAAACGACTGTATGCAAAGTTTTTTCATCCAATATTTTCCCTTCAATAGAAATGTACCTCCAAACTAACTCTCCTGATTTGAGATCATCAAATATATTTGTTGATTCAATTGGTATATGATGGGCTGCGATCTTTGTCTCTTTCATTTGATCTTCAATAGAATCAAAATTGAAAATATCAAAACTAAATGGATCCATAAAAGTTTGCTTTAAATTAGCCAAATTATCACAATCCAATTTTTGAGTTCCTAGCAATACACTCTTGATGGATGTCTGTTGAGTTTGACTCATCAAATAAATAATATCTTTACAAAGAGTATGTTGAGGAAGATCTAACAATTCAAAATCATCAATTAGAATATAAAGATCAGATCTATTCGATAGCCCAATGTTGGAGAGAGTTTCAGATGATGGATTTGTCAGGAGAGTATGACATTGCAATAATAAATCTGTAAAATCCAAACTCTTACTTTGCATTTTCAGATTTTCATATTCACTGTAAATATTTTGCAGCAACATTAACTTTCTTCTCTCTCCATTGACTGAATCTCTTTGGTGTTGTGAAATGATTTCGCGGAGGAGCATGTCTGGAGTTTTCATTTCCAGTTTGAGAGCTTCAATAAAATTCTGAATACCCTCCACATCCATTGATAATTCCTTAAGAGAGTTGGTTTTATCATTATGTTCCAATACCTTACTCAAACAAAATCTAGTATCCTCATTGGAAATGATCTTAAATCCAGAATTTCCATATGGTTTTCCTGCCTTTTTAAGGATGGTACTGGAGAAGGTGTGAAATGACATGACTTTAATATCCTTCATCTGGTCAGGAACTTGTTGGAGTAGGATATCCTTGATAATACGAGAGTCCATATTGGATCTTGTTAAAAAGAGAAAGGTTCCTTTCTTTGAGTTTCCAATAATTTTTAAAACCTTTTCCAACATTAAATTGACTGTGGAAAATGTACTATCCTTTGGATGTGCACAAGATTTAATTACGAGAGGTCTTTTGGGGGATGTTTTTTGAGAGAATAATTTCTCCCTCGTCAATTCTTTGAACATTATTTGAGGAGAGGAATATTGTTGCTCGGAGAGGGAAGTGTTTTCAGCGGCTGATAATTCTGGTCGGGATGGTTGTTGACTAATTTCTTCATTGTTTCGGAAGGAAATTATGCTCTCACTCTCCTCTACCTCTTGCTCATCCTCATCATCATTGAAAATTGTTGGCAATTTTGGCGCCGAAGATCCACTCTTATTCAGAATGGAAAATAAAGAAACTTGAACCAGAGGTGTTGGTACTGTTGATGGAGTTGTGGTTAGAATAGAGTCTTGAACATTTTTTTGAAGAGTTGAAGAAGCAAGACTAAAATCATCAAGAGAAGCTGCCACAAGCACAGGAGCTTGACTTGTATTTTGTGATTTTCTTCTTTTGGGTGTTGTTTTTTCTGGTTGTTGATGGAGGGTGGATATTGTACTCGATGATAAAGATTTGCTCATTGAGCGTTGTTGCTGTTCCCTTTTGGATTTATTGTTACTAATCGATTTCATCATGATGATTGTTGTGCAGAGGAAGTGATGGGATGATGAGGGAAGATGGTCATTAAGGATTTTTTTTTGAATAATAAAACTGTTTTTTTATTGGCGGGAAAAAATCTCAACGCTCCTAATTTCTAGACCAAAACAGATGCAGTAATATAATAGTAATAATAGATGGATAAATAATATGAAACAAAACATATTCAGAGTTTATGGTTCAACATTGGCAAAAAGTGAAGAAACATCAGCCAAACCAAAATCATTAATCTTTTTCAGACGAGTATTGTCTAGAACCTTATCTTGTTTCCAGACCTTTGCAAATTCAAATTCATTTTCACCGCCAAAATCTTTTAAAACAAGATCAGGTGTAAAGTAAGGTTCCATAAATTTCATCATTTCTTCCTTATTAGAAGTGTTACAGAATTTAATCTTTTCCTTTGTGGCAGCTGGAATAAATGGACTAATGAGCTTCCAGAACCAACTGAAAACTCTTGGTGGATTCATAATTAAGGCAACTCCCAATCTTTCAGGGAAATGACTACTCAAAATTTCAACTGTTTGTTTACAGACAGATAAACTTGGTGCATTCTTCATTGAATATCCCGAATAATCACAAATCCAAACCTATTAACATTATTCCAAATGAATTATTATTCATAATTAAATAATTTGGTAATGAGTTAAAAACAAATGAAACAAACCATTTGGGTATGACCATCATCCATTCTATCAACAGCAGTCCACAACGTATAAACCAACAATTCAATATTAGCAACATTATCATAGGTATTCTCTCTTGCAGGAACAAGATAGACAACAGGTCTTCCGAATTTATCATGTCCATGAACAAACATCTTTCCTGTAGACCCTTCATGGTCGATTTTTGTTGCATTAATCATGTGTGGCTTGTATGATTCAATCCATTCCAATGAATGTTTCAACAAGTTAAAAGCCTTATGCACATCAAAATCTCTAGCACGTAAATATCTAACTAAACAATGATGATCAGCATCAGCATAATAAATGTAATATTTCTGATAAGGTGTCAAACCATTTGTTTCCTCATATTCCCTTGTTAATCTAACCATTTCTAAAAAGGCTTTATGTTGTTCCTCCTTCAAACAAGGTGGCATTGAAATTTTATCATATTCAATCGGAGCCTTGATATCAAACTCTGTTGGACGTGATGATATTTGAGAAGGAAGTTTACTCTTGCTTGCCTCGGTACTCTCTGATGGATTGGCTGCTAATTTTTCTTCCATGATGCTTTAATGATGATGAAAAAAGGTAACGGTTTTTTTTACAACAAGATGATGTGAAGAATTTCTAAACCAAAAGTGAAAAATCCTGTTGTTGATTTTTTTTGAACAACAATGAAAGCGCATATATAACGGAAAGCAATTGCGTGCTAGTGCGGACTGTTTTTGTCCCCAATAGCGAGGGCTGAAATTTTAATATTTATTGAAATATTGTAAATATTATTTCAAATAAATACAAAGCCAATATGCATTTCCATTTTCCTCACCCCAACCAATAATTTGAACAGCATGAGCTGCAACAACAGTGTCAGAATTGACTGAATAAATACCCATTGATAATTTACAAAATCTCTGTTGTAATATTTCACATGATCTCCAGAATTGACTCCAGAAGCTGCTGAAGATTTCTTTGGTTTCTTAGCGAGAGTAACAACACCACCAGAATTGACTCTTCTCTTGAGAGTTTTTGAGGTTTTCTTTGAAGATTTTAACGACCTCTTTTTTGATTGTTGTTTTTTCTTCCACTTTTTTGTAAATTATTTCCACCAACTTTTCCATTTTTAGAAGTCTTTGATTTTCTTGATGAAGATACAGATCTGCTTGATGATTTACCAGATTTTACCTTTCCACTACTATTAGAAACAGTGGATGAAGCAAATTTCTTTGGTGTCAAGTCAAAAATTCAACACGGAATCATCAACAATAATTCCTGATATCTTGCAAACTTCTACCATCAAATATTTTGTGCTTTTCCAATGTTATTGATACGAGCAAGAGGTTTGGACTGTTGGTTTTGGTTGACATTGTATTTGTCAAGTGGTATGTTGCTGATAACAAGATGAGGAAGGTTGATAGTACAAGAAGGAAAGAGTATCTTGCCATTTTTTAGTTGATGTTTAAAGATGAATTGACTGATGAAAGGTGACTTGAAAGACTTCTTAATACGAAACTAAGCACTATTGGGGAATAGATCGGAAAATTTGGTTAGCCAACAGAGACGTAATGTTATCTTTGCATACAACGAGAATCTTTGTGGTTGTGTTAAGAATTTTTGTAAACAACTATAGTCTGGTTTCGAATGAGATTAATTAACCATTTTGTTAAATTGTTGCAGGCATATTTTGTTTCTTTCCTTTCTGCATTTTCTATCAATTTTCAGTGTCACTCTTAGAGATCTTGTTTCACTTTTTCGCAACTCGATTAATGACATGAGAACATCTCGCTAAAAAATGACAAAACCGCTTGTGTTGGTATTTTCCATCCTTCTTCTCACAATCCTTGCTGCTTCTTTCACATTGGCAGCTGATGGTTTGGCCAAAACTCAAGAAAACGTTTCTGTTGTGGTCAATTTGAATTTGGCTGCAAAAGGCAAAACCAATTCACCAGCAGTTGCAACTCCTCAACCTGAACAAACAAGTCAACCAGAGGAAAAGAAAGAAACTCCACAACCTGAACCACAAAATAATCAAGTTCCTTCTCAACCTGTTGAACCAGTCAAGGAAGAAAAGCCAGCAACACACGAAAGGTTAACTAATCAAGACGAATCTTCATCAAGTGTTAATTTTGAAGCTGCTGATGAAAAAACTAAAGCTGGAACTCTTTCTGAAGCATTGAAGAGTACTATTACCCCATTTGATGAAAGAGTTATTGCTGGAAATTTGTTGTATTTTGCTGAAGATTTGAATGCTGTATGTTATTTTACAATTTTTGTAAAATTTATTGGATTTGATGGAATATTGATTATATTGGAATTTTAAAATGTGTGTGGTTGGATCATTTTAGATTGTGGAAGCCATTCCAACTCAAACTTCTGAACAAAAACAAGTCAAATCTCAACTCATGTTAATTGTTTCCAATTTACTTTCCAAAACTTCACATCCAGGAGCTGATCTCTTAAAGAATACCCTATCTGCAACAGTTGCATCTGCTTCTGCTGCATCATCCTCCTCAGGTGGTGCTCAAACTTTGGAAAATGATGAAACAGCATCTGAAACTTCATTGGAATCCACTGAACATGTTGGACACTATTCCAATTCCATTTCTTCTGCTGCCAATTATGTTGCTGGACCAATTGCCAAGACTCTAGCTCATATTGGTTTGGGTAACATGTCAAGACGTGCTCAACAATTGGGAATGAATCTTAATAGATTTTCAGAGACTCATGTTGCAACTATTGAAAATACTATTGCCAGAAATATTGCTCCAGTTCTCAAGACTAAATCTCTTTCTGAAATTAGAGGAACATTGAAAAAGGTTCAATCTGCCATTAGCTCTGGAAAGGGTTTCACTGCTCTTGGTTTGAATAAGAGAATTTACATGCCATCCACTGCTAATGGTATCAAAGCATATATTAAAAAGCACAATGATAAGGTCAGAAAGCAAGTTGGTGTCAAGAGTTTGAAAGATGCCAATTCCAGACTCAACAATTACAAGAAGGTCTTTGTTAATAAGAAATTGGTTACTAAATTCAAGGGTGCTGACAAGAAGATTAGAACTGCTGGAAAGTCAAGCAAGAAGAGCAGCTCAAAGAGCTCATTGAAATCTTCCACATCATCAAAGAGAGGTGTTAAGGGAGCAAAGAAGGCAAGTAAGGGAGTTGGTGGTAGACCTTCATCAAAAAGTGCCGCTGTGAAGAGAGGAGGTAAGAAATCATCTTCCTCATCATCCTCTCGTTCAAGAGGAAGTGTTAAGAGATCTTCAGCATCCTCTTCATCATCTAGACAAGTTAAAAAGAAGAAGACTTCTTCCTATTAAAATAGTTTTAATTTGTCAATGTTAGGTGAAAGAACATGTTGTTGTTTTGTTTTATTAATTAGTTGATAAATTATATTTACAAAGGGAGAGGACATTGTGTTAGGGAAGTATTTACAGTTAGTATTAGGAAGCTTAGGATGATACTTAGGATAGATTAATTAAATAATTATTAAATCATCACAGAGACAATTAAATAATTATTAGTATTAGGGCTTAAAGTATCTCTTTAGAGAGCTTCCAGAAGATCGCATCACAGAATTTCTTCCTCCCTTATTTTCTGAATGATTTTCTATTGAGGGAGATTGATGAAACCTTTGAGGCTGTATTCAATTCAACTGAAGAGTTTGATGGAGGTAAGGATTGAACCACCTTTACAACACAATGCATTTGATCAGCTAATTGGCTTGTTGATTTGTGAGGTAAACTTCTCAAGTGATTCATCTCTGCATGATATTCACTCTTGGTTTTCAAATTTACATGTGAATGAACAACGTATGGATATTCTTGATTGTCACGATAATGGTGTGGTGTGAAGGTACTCATACTTGCGATATTTAGACTCTTGATGAATGTTTGTCTGTTAGTAGAGAGATTGGATAATGAAATAACGGTTTTGTTCTTAATAGCTACTGGATAACTCAACCAAAAAACGAAGAATAATTCAGAGCTGAAAGTGATGAGATTTTGTTTTTTAATAAAAATCCAACAACAATTTTGACTTCCTTAATGAACCCCTATTAGTCATTGGCCCTAATAAAGTTGCCATCATGTTCTTGTTTGAACATTGGGCGCAATCTTGATAGACGTTACAGAACTGAGGCAAAATAATATATTACTGTTATTTATATTAATAGAATTTTCCTAGCATGATGTATTTATTTATATATTTACAAATAACTCTTAGTAATTATTTACATATTGTTGAGGGAGATCTTAGAGAATATTTTCTTCTTAGGTGATAATGATGTATCCGGAATAAAATCAATGCTTCCTTGCGGAATCCACTGAAGACGATACATTCGAACGACTTGAACTCATTCTACTACTGCTATCACCCTTTCCCTCACCATTCGAACTCGGAAGATTGACCACATTGAGCACACAATGCATCTGGTCACTCAATTGTTGTGTAGTTTTATGTTTGACTGATCTGAGCATTTCCATCTCAGTCTGATCACCCGAGTGATGCGAGCTGCCACTATTAGCAGCATACCCCTTAACAACATAGGGATATTCATTGTTATCGTGATGGTAGGAATGTACAGACATTTTTTTGATTTGAATAACAGCCACTTTAACGGTTTTTCAATTTATTTCAATTATGACCATTGTGGGAAAAAACGTTGCTGGGAGAGATTTGGGAGTGAGGATTAAAGAAGGTTTTTAAAGGATTTGGATGGAGGTACTGACCTCAGTTAATAAGATCTTTGACAGTTTTGAATGAAGAGAGATATACGATTGCTAGTGATGGGTGTTGAAATTTTCGAGTCCTCAAAAGATTGTTTCCTTGAAAGAACAAAATCTTACCATTGGATCTTTCTAAAATTGAATAAAACTGTGTTGTAAACTTGGTGTAATATCAAGGTTTGAATTATATTGACTTTTTATTTAGGCATGAACAGATCCATCGTTAATACCCAAAATTCTTGTAGTATCAGCTTCATCATCCACAAGTTCAGTATGAGTTTGAAATTTAGTCTTGTTATTTTTCAAAATCAAGAAATTAACAAGAGCAATAGCAATTACAACTCCAATCAATAAAATTCCAGCTCCAACACTAGAAAAGATGATAATTTCCATTGTCAATTCATTTCCTTCCTTTTCTCCATGGTAAATTTCTCCAGTTTGATTTTGAGCAATATCATTGTCTGGCTCAATAGTTGTAGAATCTTTTGGTGGAGCTGTGGACGTGGTGGTCTTTGTCCTGAATGTTTTGGTCCTGGTGGACGAGGTTTTGGTCCAGAAGGTCTTGGACGAGCATAAGATGGACGTGGTCTCATTCCTGAAGGTCTTGGCTGTGGATGGAGTTTGTGTCCTCCAGATGGTCTTGGTCTTATTCCAGAGTGTTCAGGATGAGGTCTTGGTGGTCTTTCTCCTGAATGAATTGGACGTGGTGGTCTTGGTCTCATTCCTGAAGGTTGTGGATGTTGTCTTCCTGCTTGTTGTTCTTCTTGTGCATGAATGAAAGAAGTCGAGCTGCAAAATGCAATCAAGAGCAGTAGTCCCAACAAGACAGTAAGAATTGCTCTCCTCGATACACTTAATGATGTTGGGTATTTATTCATCTCTCCTATATCAAACAAATTGTTGTTGTTTGTTTTTTTAAGGTTGTTGAGCACTAAGGCATCGTCCTTATCGCTTTTTTTAAAGATTGGAGTGAAGGACACAGAGTTGGAGAGGTGTTGGAATGAGGAGGATGAAAATAATATTGCGAGAGTTCCAATTAACTATCATATGATTTTTGTCAGGCGCCCACTAAGGCTTATCTGATCTAGAACATCCTTTTGGTATATTAGAATGTAAAGCCCAGTGTTTGAAGACTTGGCTGTAAATGCAAATCCTATTTCACTCTGGCATTATTGTTTTGAATGAACCTGAGCAAACAGATCCAGGAGAATTAAGCATCTTTAAAAGTAGAATAATCACCATTTAAACAAAAGATTCTCTTGTATTATAAAAGTTTACACTATTACTTGTGTTTACTGTGCCTTAACAAAGTCTACTTCAACCTAAATCCAAAAATTCTTCCTTATTTGAACTTATTTCTATATCCTTTTTGATTTTTTGAACACTCCTAATGGTCTAACTGTTCTTGAACCAGTTTCCCTCCAAAAAAAAACAACTCAAAGTAAAAAACGTTGCATATTCTTGTTGTGTTGTTAAATTGGCCATTTCAAGAAGTAATAAGGCTTGTTTTTTTAATCATTGAATAGAGAGAGTTGCATCAAACATTTAGAAGATTTGAAATTAAAAACTAGAATTTGTGATTTATATATTAAGGAAGAATTATACTTCTCGCGTTTTTTAGATATTATACTAACGGTTATATTATAAACTTATATTCAATATTATTATTACCCCTTCATCATCATCCACGTTAATATACATTTAAACAACAACAACAATACAATATGGTAGTAACGAATAGGGTGGTTCCTCAACAATCAACAACATCAGAAACTGAACTCTCCTTCTCAAAATCAGCAAAATATGTGCAGAATAATAATTTACAGAACATGTTCCCTGAAGATGATTCGGGAGGGCAGGATTATGATGATGGCTACTCATCATCAGATAGGGGGTGTTGTCTCAGATTTCTACTCAGTGTAAGATTATTCCTCATTGTCATGATCATGATGGTTGTGGTGACGACAGCATTGACTATCTGGATCACTTCCTATACAATGAATGAACAGGCCTCTTTGGATCAAGTTAAGGTAATTATTGAAAATATGAATGAAAAGATTGGTGGCTTTGTCAATTCACAACTGTTACCAGCCAAATATGTTGCCGATTCCATAGCTGAGGATTACCATAATGGATTTGTGGATATGGCTGAATCGATACAATACTATCTCTTTACACGAGTGAAACAATTTGGAGTCACAGTGACAAATCTGTGTTTTGGAGAGGATGGAAACAATGCTCTTTATGCCTACAGTGTCAATGCAGATGGTTCATTGGTGTATGTGAGAAAACCAGAGGGTTCACGATTTATCATGTACAAGGCAAACATGACCACAGGAGAATACTATCCAGATAAGGTCACTACTAATATTACCTATGTAGTAGCCAATACAGATTACTATAAGGAATCAATGATTGTTCATAGTCAATATGTGAATGGTGGTTTTGGAGCTCCTTATAAGGGTATGTGTTTTCTCTCATATTCTAACCGTATTAACTCTAATTCTTATTATTATTCAACCTAATTTAAATAGTAATTAATGGACCAATTTCGAGTTTTTGGAGTACACCAATTTATAGGAGATCAGATCCAACCTCATCAACTAACAAGACAAGAATTGGATTTGCCAAGATCAACATTTCACTGGCAGCAATCGCCAAGTTTTTATCATCTGTAAAAGTCATGCAAAAAGGATTTGTGATCATTTCAGAGTATGGCAATGATTATATTATTGGATCTTCTCTAGCTGTGGATGGAGTTGATTCAAAGAGAGTCAAAACAACTGAAATTGTCTCACAAAATGCAGGTAAAATGATGGAGAAACTGTTCAAACATCAACAAGAGAATAATATTGCAAATTTGACCTCTTTCCAAACAAGTTTGGATAATGGTTTGGGAAATTCATTCCTCATCTCTTCTGCACCTTATACATTCCACAATTTAAAGTGGAGAATGACTCTCTTCTTTGATGAATCTGAAATTAAGAAGGGAATTATTGAAAGTAGTTGGGTTATTCTTGGAGTTTCTATTGCTGTGGCCATTTTGGGAATTCTTGTGAGCATTCTTGTTGGTTGGGTAGTAACAAGCCCATTTGCAAAACTTCAGCAAGATTTTAAGAATATTGAAACCTTGCACTTGTCTGAAATTCAAAGAAGAAGTTCAATTTTTAGCGAGCCCAAAGCAATCTATGCCTCTCTGAGTGAAACAATAAGATGGCTTTCTGAAATTAGAGCATTCATTCCAGATTCCATTTTGAATCAATTGGATGAAGCCAAGCAAGATACCGAAACCAATACTGATAATGCTAATTCATTTACAGCAGCAGCCAAGAATTCCAACAATAATTTTGATACAATTTCGAGAAGAAGTTCAAACGGTGCCTCAGATGTAATTTCTATTCATCAACATCAATCCCATCACAGAAATTCCAATCACAAGTCCAGTCATTTATTCAAACTTGGTCTGGGAATGAAAGAGTGTTCCATCATGTATTTGACCATTCCAAATCTGAATCAGAATAACTTTGATTACGAATCTGGATTGTTACAGAACTTGATTTCTAAATGTCTGACCGCAATTTCACAAATGTGTAAGACCTGTAAGGCAGATTTACAAATCAAAGCCTACAATGAATATGTCATTATATTTTCACCTTCAGATAAGAGTCCTTCAAGTACTGCCATTGAAACAGCCCTAAAGATACAAACCTTTTTCAATTCCATTAATGATCAAATTCAAAAAGATGATCAAATAGCTCTGAAATCATGCATCTCCATTTCATCAGGTCAAATGATTCAAGGTAATGTTGGTAATAAGCAAATGCGTTACATGGCTCTGGTTGGAGAGGTTATTGAAAGAGCCAAACTATTGAATGACTTTTCATGGTATCTTAATGTGGCAATCATTTGTGATTCAAGGACATTTACACAAACACAGGAGTCTTTTATTACTAGGCCAACAGAAAGAATCTGGAATAAGGAGAAGGGACAAATAGATACAGTATATGAAATTCTTAGAAAGAATATTGTGCAAGATGATGAATGGCTTTATGAATTGGAGCAAAAGAAGGCCAACTCTAAATTTGATGCATTTTCTTCATACTTTTCAAAATTATTTGTGGATGATGAATTCGATCAAGATGATTTGACCAAGATGAGAAAGGAACTTGCAGAAGCCAAAAGATTGGATCCTAACGATGTTGTTGTAATGAGATTAGAACATTTAATATCAACAGTGCAAGAATCAACAACAAATCCAAATCTGTTATATTACCATTCGGCTGTAGCCAAGGAATTTGTGAGTTTTATCAAACCAGGTGAGAGATTACCTTCAGCACTGTTGTATTCCACACCCGAAGAATAAACAGTTGTCAACTAATCTACAATAGAAACCAAGTTCCAAACTCAAAGAATAAAACTTCTTCCCACACAACAAGTTAATAAAATGTTCCACTTTAAACAACCAAACTTCAAGGAGACAAAGAGTACAACACTTCCTCGAATACACAAAGATCAAATGTTAACAACCAGTTTAAAAACCAAATAAAAGAATAAGAACCATAACATGGTTTAAAAGATAAAAAGACTACAGCACCACAGGTTCCCAAGTTGTCTCCAACCTCAGTACTGATGTAGCTCGACGATGCTTAACTTCTCAAATCGGACGGGATGAGGTGCATTCATCGTGATATGGCCGTAGCCATTCATTCTATAAAAGTTATGATATTGAACGAGTACAGATTGTCTAGGCTCCTTTATAAGTTTTATAGTTGCTTTCTTTTTTTTGAAATAGATGGAGAATGATACTATTTCTTTCCAGTATTATTGAGAATTGATATTCTTCAAATAGGTCAATTCCATTTCTGTTGATGCTCTTCCCAAATACTTATTTCTTTCAGGAATTCTTCCAAACAATTCCATTCTATCGTTGTGATTTTTAAATATGAGCTTGAGATTCTTCAGCACATTATACTTGGCATACTTAATTTCCAATGCTTCAATAAACTGTTTGGCTTGTTTCAAATCCTCCAATTCCTCTGAATGTACAAATGACATGATAATACTAATATTAAACTGAATAGGCAGCTTATCCATGTAAGGAACTAGAGAACGAGCCAAATCCAATGCCTTTCTATCTGTCTCGTATGCTTTTGCACTATTCCTAAATATATTTCTCGGAACTTGATCATAAAGCACAATCAATGCAATATATTCATACAGATATTTAGGTTCATAATTCATATATTGTTCATAAAAAGGTTCAAACTTTTTCAATTCTTTATCCATGAATTTTTGGGAATCTTCCTTTGCAAACCAAACATTAGTCCACAAATCATTCATTCCAATCTCATCCAAATCCCTATACAAATGACTAATATGACTCATCTTGTATTGATTGAACCACAACATGATCACCTCAATTAAATCTGTATTAAAATCCTCCCGAACATCTTTCATCATTTCCGATAATTTTCCATCAAATGGAATAAATGATGATGACTCTTCCACTACTGTCTTCATCTGCTCTGCATGCATTGATCAGAGTTCTTCTTCTATTTTTTTTCAATTTGTTGATTTTATAATTGAAATTGGCGCAACAGGTTTACAACAACAGTTCATACAGGTTCATGAATATTATGAACTCATTCTTTCTTCAAGAATCCAATTACAAATTGTAACAATTACATTGTAAACAAATTGAATATCTTCTTCTAAGGACAATTTTTTCTTCGGAGAATTGGAGAAAAAATTAGTAAGCAATTCTCCTTCCTGAATAAAAAACGTTTAATTATTAATAAAAAAATGGAACAAAAGCAATTCTACTTGGATGAGAAAGTATCTTCGGAAGATGATACAGTTGGAGGAGAATCAAAATCTTCATCATCAAACGGAGAAATTACTAAGAGTAAGGTAGTTTTTCCATCGAGAGAAGACTCCTATCCAATCATTGGATACATTTGGAGTGATGAAAAGTACATGAAAAAGACAATGAGTTCTTCATCATCTGAATTTGGTAATTCTCAAAAAGAGGAAAATAAGAAAATTGTCTATGTTGTAATTAGTGTTGCAACTGGTATGCATCAGGATTATCACTTTCTATTTGCTGAATATTTGGTTGCGTATGGAATGGAAAGAAATCAGCCAGTGATTGTTCTGACATATGATTATAGAGGAATGGGAGAATCGAGAGATGGAGAAAAGCCAACTGTTAATTGTACCTTTTTTGATTGGGCTAAGGATTATGGAGGTGCTTTGGATTTTGTTAATTTCTATCATTCGGATAATTATAAAGGAATTCCAATGGAAGTGAGTGTTGTTGGAAATTCAATTGGAGCTTATTTAATGATGCTCACACCTAAAGATGTTTCACCTATAGTACAGAGAGGATTCATGCTATCAGCATTCAATGGATATAATGGATATATTAATTTATTTAGAAATAAGGATAGATTTCAACATTATTTGAGAACACGAATGTTTTTTGAAAGTGTTCCTTTATTGACATTGCTGTATGGCTATTTCCCATCCAGAACTTTTTGGAATGCAATGGAAGATTTACCAACTGGAGTTGCAAAGCAGTGGAGACATTTTGGAACCCTACCTGAATACATGACAGATCCAAAAACCAATCAAGTGGTGTTACCTTCGACAGTCAACCATACAACATTCCTGAACTGGGTCTTTGAAGATGATGTGTTTACCAATCAAGTTTCCACTGAAAAATTCAATTGTAAATTTTTATATAGATGCAAGGAGTTTTACACTGAGGTGATTCCTCGACCTCTCATGAAAAACAAATCACCTCCAAAATATTTACCTATTGGACATGTTGGTTTCTTCTCAAAGCATACGAAAAATTTCAGTGACTTGTGGAGTGATGCAAGTGAATTTATAATTTTTGGAAATTTCAAAAGAAGCACTACTAAGCGATACTATCCATCACCAGAGATTCCAATGACAAGACCTTCCAAATTGTAAATTAATGAGATTATAGCAGTAAAAGAGTAATAATTGAAAGAAACATTTATTGTCTAATTGGAAGAAAAAGAGAAAACTCGATTTTGCTTCTTCAAATGCCAGTTTAAAAGTTGTCATACTCAATTGTAATAGATGCAACAAAAATAAGAAAGACATAACCATGATGAATTGGAGATACTATTTCGTCTACTTTCTTGTCACGTTAATAATTCTCTACCTCTTCAATAACATTTATCAAAATGTAAATTTTGGAAATGATTATCAAGAATCCTATAATAACACAATGACGATGAACCATACCAACCTATCAACTACATCACAAAAAAAGAAACACCATAATACCAATAACATGATGAATAACAATAACAACCTCAAGGAAAGAAGTCATAAAGTACAACAACATCAAAGGAATAACAACAACAACCAAAGGAATAGGAAGCAACATTTCGCGCCATCAGCAATTTCTCCAGAAGAAAAAAACAAAATCACAAAACTCTTCACTACCTACCCGCTCACGTCATGCATGGGAAGGAAATGGCTGTACAACCATCATGACGAGAAGGCAGTCATCACTGATGCTAAAGTGGAGGAGGAGAATGGAAGCAAGTAGTAGTAGAGAAAAGGTTGGATTTACAATTTTGACGTATAATATTCTAGCACAAATGTATGCTAAAAGATTGGATATGGAACCTTTTAGTAATATTGAAAATTATGAAATGATTACTAGCTGGTCATATAGAAGGAAACGTTTGTTCCGTGAAATTAAAAGTTATGGAATGGCTAATGATAAACAACAACATCAGGAAATGCCAGAAATTATTTGTTTTCAAGAATGCGATAATTATCAAAAGTATTGGAGAAAGAAGATGAATAACAAATTGAACATGTATTCTACTTACACTGAAAAGAGAGGAAAACGTAATGGTTGTGCTACCTTTTGGAGGACTGACCGATTTGTGGAGATTGCTCACCTAGACTTGGATTTGGCCAATTTGTCTGACTTGATAGACAAGGGAAAGGAGACTAATTACATGTATGGGAGAAGGGATACTGCCAATCTGACATTGTTGCAATGTAAACTCTCATCAAAATACCTTCTAATCATCAATAACCATCTTGCTTGGGATCCAGAATATCCACAAGTGAAACTTTCACAAATGTTCTACATTCTTCAACAAGCTTACAACATGATACAGCCATACAACTCTTCATCAACAGTATCTGTGGTATTGGCTGGAGATTTCAACTCTTTACCTAATAGTGAAGTTTACAACTTGATTGTGGAAGGGCAAGCTGTGGTTCCTACAGCCAAACCATTGTCGTTCAATTCTGACTGCAACATCTTTACAGAAGCATCAGTTGTTACTAGTGGGAAGACTTCACAACAGCATGGAAATTCAAAGAAGGGAGTGGAACAAGTCATGTTTAACCCATTCGGAAAATTCAAGTCTTGCTACCGTGAAGTGAGAGGAAATGAACCATCATTCACAAACTATAATAATGGTTTTTCTGGTACATTGGATTACATATTCACTGTGGACTTGGGTCAGCAACAGGATAAATCTGGTCAACTTGTATGTACAAGAGTGTTGGACACAATAACAGAGGAACAAGCTAGCGAACACAAGTGTCTACCATCTCTTACCTTTCCATCTGACCATATACCTTTGGTGGCAAGTTTGACATGGTGAAGCTTTTTTTTCAAATAATTTATTTTTCAAATAAATTCAATTTTTAAAAATTTCAAACTTTAACGGCTTGAAAATAAAATCACCCGCCACTTCTCGAAGAAAACTTTTAAAAACAAAATGATGTTCTTGTCTATCTCGCTCATTTGAAGGGAATTTACGTAACAAGATTGGCTTTGATGGTTTTCATCATGCTTATCCGTTTCAAAGAATCAAAAAAGAATGGACCTTTCTCATCCCATTAATCATGAACATTGGCTGTTCCCAACAAGCACTTCCTCATCATTCCGTTATTATAATTCTAATTCATCAACAACAAATACATCATGTCCTGATTGGATTCTCCAAATGCCACAGGTTCCTCTCTCCAATGCCGACCAGTGGTCCTTCACTGAGGAGTGTCCAGATATTATTTCTGTACCAATCACTTCTGGATTATTTCTCATGTTTTACAGCTTGCTAATTCTTCTCTGCTCTCTCGGGTTGTGTTGGAAACGAAATAATGGACACATCAAGGCTAGAACACTCACTGGAATGCTCTTTACCATGTCGAGTAGTTTTCTATTTGTTTTTGGATTTGGATTGAGATATGTGGTCGGGAGGGAATACTATCCGTGCTTCTTCTTTAGTATGGTATTTATTGTGTTACCTCCCTGTTTGACATTGCCTTCAACTTTAAGAACATTGAGATTGTTCATCAAGTATAAGGTCAATATGTATAAAAAGCAACATTTCGAACAGAATCAAACCTTATTGGAGAGGAGAGGTTTGACACCAGTAGTAGTTGGAGGGATTGACAATATTTCATCACTATTCAAAGATTCATCAACACAGAAACAACCACAACAGACCAAGTCAGTCGCGCTATTTCAAAACTCTGTGGCCACAGATGATGGCAACACCATTACTAGGAGAATTTCAGTGATTGAAACAACAGGACTCGACAATGTTCAAGAATTTCTTAGTGTTCACAAATTGGGAAGGAGAGAACAATTCCTTTTCAAAATGAATTCACTCATTTCGAGTAATAGATTTTCCGTGGATGTTTTTATTGGATTCTTATTGATACATTTGATAATTTGGATTGTTTTGGCTTCCATTGAGGATACATTCTTTGTAAATAGTAGATTCCTAATGAAAGAAACATCCATGATTAGTCTGAAAGGATGTTATGCCAACATGACACCCTCCATCATTTCAGTTATGCTGTACATTTTCTATTTGGGAATGGAATTTATTTGTGTAATGCTTTGCTTCAAAACCGAAGATACATGGTTCATTAAGAAGGAAGCAATTATTCTTGTCATTTTACAAGTACTATTTGTCATTACACATATTGTCATTTCTACAAACAATTACATGTCACTCTTTCTAGATCATGTTGTGCCTCAAGGATTAATCATGATGACCTTCTCTACTCTAGAAGTTTTCATTACCATTCTCTTGCCAATTTGCTACTCAATTGCAAAAGATTATAGAGGACATTTGGAATTGTACAATTCAGAAGTTGAGTTTTGTTTACACAATAAGGAAGCTTTTGAAATTCTCACAGATTTCAGTCGAAAAAGTTATTGTATTGAGGGTGTTTTATTTTTCAAGGATGTGGAAACTTTTAAAGTCAACCGAAATAGAGAGATGGCTCTCCACATTGTTCAGAGCTATTTGAATGAAGGAAGTACCTATGAATTGAATATTCCCAATATTGCAACTCACAGAGAGGAAATACTTTACAAAATTAACACCTCTCACACTGATAATCTGCCACAGAATTTATTTTCTCAACTCGAATTTCTTTCCATGCATACTCTATTGGATGTTTATGATAGATTGAAGAGAACTAATCCTCGAATTTGTGAATTGGCAATTGAATGGCAACGACAAATTCACAAACCAACTAACTTGCCAACTGTTGGAAATGCATCTAATGTTGTTTGATTCTTGTTGTGGATTCAAACAACTGTTCGGATTAGTATTCGATACGACGTATGGAAAGCACAACCAAAACCAAGAGACCATCAAATGTCCTTTATTACAACAATAACATCAACTACAGGAAATGGATTACAAATTATTCAACGTCCTTTTTTCCCTTTTACGATCAAGCACCAAATTCGTCCAATTTCGTCTCTGTCACTGTAAAGATTTTCTTTTGTTTGGGTAAACTTGCACTTATTGGAATGTCTGATAAGAACGAAGCGAAAATGCAACGAAACCATGAAGATAGGAGGTCTTAGCGAAAAAATGATTGAGGAATCCATTTTGCCAATTTACCTAATCTTATTGTTTCATTCTGTAGTCTTATCTCTTGTTGTTTAAATGCAAACAAAGAGCTTGTGGCAGGAATCTTTTCATAACCCATTTAGACACCAGTTTCTTTAAATTGAATCACCTGCCGAAACAATCAACACAATTAAAAAAAATGTCTTCAAGCTCAATCATTAGACTCCCACTATGTGCCATTCTCCTGCCAAACAGAGACCTCTCTTTCCAATCAGTCCAAAACCACAGAAAACTGTTCGAAAAGAAGTATCTCTCAGAGCCACCTGTTGATGTTTCGTACAATGAAGCTCTCGAAGTCAATAGTACCAACGATACGTTATCATTTATACATGAGGAAAACCAAACAACACATACCACTACTGAGGACAATGATGACAATACGAGTAATATCCTTGAAGATGATATTGATGCTGCTTCTGAAGGAATATTCCTTGATAATGTCCAATCTCTTAGTTACAAAATATTCAAGAAATGGTAAATCAGTATCTATTGACAATGACTTGGTGCTTGACATTATCTTATTGATTATACCAATGAGAAATCAAGGTAGAGCTTATAGATGGTTTCATCATGTAAGATTGGGTCAATTCTTGGAAAAGATTTACAAAATTCACAAAACTGGCCAATCATTCATTTTCAAAACTGAATCATGTGATGAAACAAGCTCAATCAATAACCAATCGAATGAAACAAGTCAAGCTTCACTCATGGATGAAGTACAATTAATATGTGACATGTTACACACTATATTGGAGGATACATTTGTTGCCTTCCAACACAAACATTATAAATTTGTGAAAAAGTGGACTGAAAAGGGAATTAAGCAGAATACTCTTCCAAGATTCCTAATTGAGTGCTACAAGAAGAAGAATGAATATAATCAAGAAATGCAATCTTCAGCAAACAAGCTCACCGTTGATGACTTGTCAATGAAATATGTCATTGACAGAGATTGGAAATTATCCAAATATTTAGCAAAGGAATATTCATCTGATTGGTTCATGACCTATTTTGATAAAGGAAGAGTTGTACAATGGGCATCTGATAAGGACTATTCTGATGGGTTGCAATTAAGATTAACAAAGAATGTTGGAGTTTTTGAATATCCAATTGAGAATATTGTCAAAGCTCTCCATTATGACAACCACTTGGATTACACTTTTTCCAACCTCAGATATCACACCTATTCGTCCATAGATGCAAGTAATTCAATGAAAAAGTATCCAAGTGTCTTGTTGAATGCTGATTTATTGCTGGGTCCTCTCTTTTCGACTCGTAGTTTCAATGTTATCTGTTCCACTCAGGCAAAATTTGTTGGTGATGAATTGACTGAAACTTACATTCTATTCAAATCATGTGATATGAATTCTTCCAATAACTCTGAAAAAGTTAAATTTCCATACGTTGGCCTTAGAGTCCTGACTAAAATTGACAATCACAGAACAAGATATGTGGAATTGAGAATGGGAAATGCAGGAGGATTTGCCAGTGCCAAGAAAATTACATTCAGTTCACTCATGGCCAAGAAATTAACTTCGGAAAATTACAATGGACTGCTGAATTGTATCAAGAGATGTGAAAAGACTAATTTCCAAGCACCTAAACCATCCGAGAATACCTTGGCAAAAAACTTGGCTGAATATTGTAAAAAGTATTGTAATATTGATCTGGAATCACGATGGAAAAAATTAAAAATTGAGTTTACTGAATTTTTTAATATTATGAAAAGGCACTGGTTCCAATTAAAGACCAAATCTTGCTCCTATTCACTTAAGCTTTACAATAAACTTTTTGTGCGTCCAATGTATGCCTCCTCACTTGGCGCGGTGTATGGAAAATATTAAACACTCGAATATTCAAACAAAAAGATTCTTCCCTTTTGCTTGCTCTGCTGCTATTGTATTTTTCCATTTTAAAAATACATCAAAAAAACAACTCAACACACAAACTTGTTTTTGATTTCGCTGAACGCGCTTAACTAGTCGTACAATTAAAGATGTGTTGGTCAATGACAAGTTCTTTCGTATTTTCGTGCCTTGGCTTGGTGATGACTTTGGATCAAACTAGACGATACCTTTCTCTTCCAAAGAATGCCACTTTTGCACAAAAAGGTTCTCTATTTTCACTCATTTTCCTCTATTTGACATACTTTCTAATGGAAAGTTTGCAATTCTTACAATATTACTTTGGATTAACCGATTCTTGTAATACAGATAGTAACAAATATTTGACAATTGTTGCCCATTTGCTAATTTGGGGACAACCAATTTCACACAATTACTATTGCTTGAGAAATACTTTAAAAGGAAAGACACTCTATCGATTCACACTCGTAGCTTGTTACATTTGTTTAATAGTTTCTTCTATTTCATTATTCATGGGATATTATGGATTGGGAGGACACACCATGGCCACAAACAATCAATCAGCTCATTCTCTATTGCAATCCACTGGACAAGACACTTCAAATTTGGAAATCACTCCAAATGCTTATGGAACTGAGGCCAAACTCTTTGGTGTTCCATTACAAAACATTGGCACCTCCATGTGTTCCTATCAAGGACCAAACCATCTCTACTGGATGTTCCCTTATCATAGTTTATATGGATATGCACCTCATTGGTTCACTTGGTTATTACTCACTGTCTTGCCACACTTTTTCAGATATCAAGGAAGTGACGATTGGTTCATGTCTGGTAAAATTCTTGGCGTTGGACTTTTCTCTGGCTGGCTTTTGAGTGTTGCAATTTCTGTGAATTTTGGCGTTTTTCATGAGATTTGGTCGTATTGGTGTTTGGAATCAGTGCCTTATTTAACACTGCCTTATTTATATAGAATTATATGGAGAGGAATTTTGGGCTTGAAAGATCCTGAGCATGCCTTGGAAAATGCTGAAATTGAAAAGAAGAAATTGGCAACCAAGCAAGAATAAAACAAATTTCCATCTCTGTGTGTGTAAATCTATTTTAAAAATTGCAATTTTCAATTTGAAAAATTATTAAAAAAAATTTGTGTGTGATGACGCAACAGAAAGGTTCCCGTGTGTTTTTCTATGGAGAGAAGAGTAGGTTTGTTTGATGATCAATCACATGATGATGATACAAATAATATTTAATATTTTGATGATCAAATATTTAATAGAAGAGGGAGAAAATTTAGGCTTTGAATGCAAAGCGAATGAAATCTCAGAGTTGGTAAAATTGGAGGCTTTTGATGAAAGTTGGGCTAGGAGTGATGTTACTGGTGTGGATAAACCGAGAGGACTTTATCATGGTTCGGTTACTTTGGGAAAGGTTGAATATGAGGAAATAATTAATAGAATTAAATATATGGTTAGTGGAAGATCGCATGTATTCTTGGTTACTACGGAAGATGAATTATATGTTTGTGGATACAATGCTTATCTTCAGGTAGGTTTTGATCTTCATCACGATTTTAATTTAAATAATAGTGTGGATGTGGTGAGGATACTTCAGCAATTCCGTATTTCAAAAGGATTGATGTTCTAAGAATGATGGAACCTTTAATACTAATGGGAAAAATTGATCATGATTTCAGAGTTACTAAAATCGCTTGTGGTATGTTTTCAAGTGAATTAAATGTTGACAAGGATCGTTGTTTGATTGAAATCTTTAATAGGATGGGTTCATTCGGTGTTAGTAATTAATGACAAGTACTTGTTTGGAGCTGGTCACAATTATTTCTATCAAACTGGGATTACACAGTCTGGAACATTTGGAGATTTTACACATATTCCGTTGGATCATCTAGATTTACCTTCCAATTACAAAATCACTCACATTGATGGAGGAACTTTCTTTACTGTTTTTGCTGTGAATAATAGGAAAATTTATGGAGCTGGATCAGCTTCATTATGTAATTTCGGAATCAAACAAAATGATAATGTCAACAAGTATACATTTTCTTATGAGTTTGATTGTGACATTTCTAAAATACAAACAGGATATGATCATACGTTGATATTATTAAAAGATAATAGAATTTTCATGTCTGGAAAGATGGAAGGTGGTTCTGGAGATAGTGCTACAATCAGTAGTTTCCAACAAGTCGAACTAAATGCTAGTATTCATGATTGGATTGATGTTGGAGTTTGTAAATTCAATTACCGATCATATGTGTTGAGTATGTATGCAAAATATTTCACTATTTACAATGACAATTTATAATAGAAAATGATAGTCTCTATCAGCTCTCAAAGGGCGAGCCAGAACTTATAAAGCAAGATAAGAAGTATGCAGGATCATCTCTTTGCACCTCCAATTTATCACTCATGATTGTTTCCCCAAATAGACAATATATTGAATCTAGAGGTAATACAGGAGACACATTATTTGAATTGGACATTCCAAGTGGATTTAAACTGGACCACGTATCAGCAGGATATACAGCAATTTATATTATTGTGAAACCAAAGTCAAGTCTAATTCACTTTTTCACCAAGCTCAAAGAAGCCACCCAAATTGGAAAATTATCTGATATTACAATCATTTTTGACTGAATCTTAACTGTATTAAATACTTTCTTAATTTGAGAATCTTTTCATCAACTGTTGCATGTCGCACAGACATTTCATTAGTATTCAAAAAAATTTCACACAACATAATGAAGTTGTCGTTTACAGTTTTGTTACTGTTGTTGATTGTCTTGTGGGTTGTGTGTCAAATTGAAACTACAACAGCATCAACACTGACAGTAGTAGCACCAACAGGAACAACAACAACAACTTTTCATCACGAATATTCATCAACAAGATTGGTTTCGGAATGGAGCACAAGTCCAAATCAAAGAACTCCTTACACTTTTAACAATAATACCAACTACAAACTCATCAATAATCGAGAGGCTCAATTTACAATACCATCACTATCTATGGAAAATGTAGAATTTTATAAAACAAATGGTGGCAATTCGAAACCTCACCACCATCGGGGTGTCAAATCCAACAATCAGCGCTGGATCAATTCACAGGCCTACAAGGTTTTTACACAACAATTAGCCGTCTATCAAAATTCTAATTTATTGATTACATTCTATGTCGATTCAAAACTTGAAAAAAGTGCCAAAGAGGAGGTTTGTGGTCGTTCAGTGGATACTCCATGTGCAACTATTCAACATGCTCTCGATTCTTTGGATTACATTCTTCATCAGAACTATTCTTCTTTTTTGGAAAATACTGGATTGAGTAGAGCTGTTTCTGTTAAATTTGTTTTACTGAATGATGTGTTTGAATGCTATTCATCAATTGTTACACCAACTAAACAGAATCTAGTGTACATTGTAACGTTTCAATCTATGGATAATGTTAATGTGCTTTCAGCATTATTTTGTGAAGAAAAGGGTGGATTTCCAATTATAGGAGAAACACAGAGAGCTGATCTACAACTTGTTGTGTTCAATGGACTTTCACTTTATATGAATATTAGAGGATGTAGAGCTTACAATTACATCTTTTTTGATGTTTCATTCTTTAGTATTCTAATGGCTGTCAATATCCAACAAAATTGTTTGGGAACTCAAGTCAAGGGAGATTACATGTTAATTGAAAATGCTGCATATGAGAAAGCTGTCAATACCAATTCAGGATTTCTGGTCTATCGATATACTTCACTACTTTTGCTTAAAAGTATTGTAAATGGTGTGGGAAGTGGAATGTTATTTTCTGAAATGGACAAGATTACAATTTTTCAAACCAAATTTGAAGAAACACAACTATTTCTTGCTTCATCTAAAGAGTTGCAAGTTTATGGATGTTTATTAATCAATTCAAAGATTGGAATTACAAATATTGTTAAAATTACATTCAATACTAATGAATTTACACAATATAGTGGAGATTCTGCAATTATGGCTGATTTTGGTACCAGTATTGAGATTTTAAATACACATGGCTATGACGGAGAGTCATTTGCTTCAATTCAAGGATTTTCTTCAGTGAAACTTGATCAAATTACGTTGACAAACAATAGCAACTCTTATTATCCAGATCTGAAAAATCTTGTAATCATTGAACAAAGCTATGAAGTCACAATTACAAATTCTCAATTTCTAAACAACAGAGGGATCAATGGATCTTGTCTTTACATTAGTAGAATATTCAAGTTGGTAATTGACAAGTCTTCATTCTTTGGTAACGAGGCAAGGGAAAGTGGAGGAGCCATTTTCGTTCCAATATTTTCTAGAAGTTACCTTAATGCTATTGGAATAATATCTAATTGTCAATTCGAAAATAATACCTCAGTGGGTGGTGCAGGAGGTGCCATATTTATAGATTTAGCCTACTCTCTTAATATTATTTCATGTACTTTTAGAAATAATATTGCACTGATTTCAGGTGGTGCACTCTATATTGGTTCATTAGTAATTCAATTCCAATATTCTGGATCTCTATTCGATAGCAATAGAGTAATAGGTCGGGATAACTATTCCAATATGGGTGGTGCTATTTTCCTATGTACTGATGCCTCAGTTAACAGAGTAGATGATTATATATGGAAATCAGCAACATTTATTAATAATTATGCCAAAAAAGGTGGAGCAATAGCTTACATTCCACGGTACTTGGTTGGCTATGGACGTTTTATCAATACCAAGTTTATTAACAATCAAGCATTGTTTATGGGTGCTGCTGTATATATTTTAGGTCCAGAAAGTGTAGATCCAAGTAATGAATTTATTGGAAATCTAATTATTGGAAATGAAATAATTGGAACCAATATACCAAATAATTTTTCATATGCATTGAGTGAATTGGAAATTATATCAGACACCAACAAGTCAGCTAACATTCTTAAACCTGGATCAGAATTTACCTTTAATGTGAAAGGTACAGACAATATTGGAAATCTAATTCCACTCTATTATGAGAGAATACGTGTCGGGTCTATGCACTCAAAGGTTGTATTCAACATTACAGAGATTGGAAACTTTACCATTAAGGTAATTCCATATCTAATTGCAAATGACGTATTTTCTGCTGTCAATATTCCACAGAGTATTATTACTAATTCAAATGGTGAAAATTCTTCTCTAGTGGAAGTATCCATGTATTTCAAGGCCGATATACTCGTCCAGAAGTTCTATTACACAGCTTACATGGCAAATTGTGATAAAGGATATCACATTGAAAAAGTTCCAGGAACCATTATTGAATTTAAAGATGTGAATTATTTGTACGCTTGTGTGAAAAACCCTGAGGATTATACATGGCTTATCGTATCAATTGTGGTGCCAGTTACAATATTGGCTTTTGTCATGGGCTTACTAATTTCATTACTGATCTATTTCATCTTGAGGAAAGTTGTCAATAGTTTAAGAAGATTGAAGGAAAAGGATAGAGCAGAAGCGGAATTGGAAAGAAAACTAAATGATAAGAAGGTTATCTTTGATATGAGTGATGATGAAGAGGAAACAAAACAACATTCAAAAGCTTCTAAGAAGAGCGCATCGACATCTGCTAGTGCAGGTAATGGGGATTTATTTATTCCATTATTGGATAATGAGGATCAAAGCTTTATCATTCCAATTGAGGATTTACATATAGAGAAAAAGATTGGAGAAGGAGGAAATGGAGGTAAGTCACTTGTTGATTTTTAGTTTTCAAACATTTTAGTTGTCTATTTGGGTAAATGGAGAAATATCAAAGTTGCTATCAAATCCATAAAATCATTAGAAATGACCAATGAAGTTGATGAATTCGACAAGGAAGCAGCTATTTTAAGTAGACTCCACCATTTAAACATTGTCCAATTCTATGGTGTGGCCATTACTAGACAAAACAAGTACATGGTCACTGAATATTTAACAAAAGGAAGTTTGGATCAAGTAATTTATCAATGTAAGAATGGAACTCTCAGATTACAATTTTCTATGAGAATTTCCATTCTGTTGGATGTTGCAAATGGAATGGATTATTTGCATAATATGAAACCTGGAATTATTCACAGAGATTTGGTACGTTTTTTTTATTTTAACATAATTGGATTAATATTAATCCTTTTATAGAAACCTGGAAATATTCTTTTGAATGATCATTTTCAAGGAAAAGTATGTGATTTTGGATTGGTGAGATTGGTAAGAAATTCTGTTCAGTCAACCATGACAATGAACGTGGGTACTTTGATGTATCTAGCTCCAGAATCAGTTGACGATTCAATTGTTCCAAAAGACGAAAAGAAATCACTCAAAATTGCTACAAAATTAGATGTTTACAGTTTTTCAATCATTATGTATGAATTACTATACTGTATTGTTCCGTTCATTGAAAATCCTCTTACTAAGGAAGTTCAAAAAGATGCTTCACCTTATCGAATTCCTTATCTTGTCTCCCTGGGAAATCGTCCAATAATATTAAAGTCCAGAGAGGAAATTAATGAATGGATTATCAATCAGGATTCACAAATTTTCAATATCAGAAAGGATAGTAATCAATTGGATGGAAGTGGGATTATTTCACTAGTGGAAAGATATCAAAATTTAATGGTGAAATGTTGGAATCAGGCACCACTGGAAAGACCTTCGTTTAATGATATTATTAATGAGCTATCAGTATTGGCAAAATTATTTTAAATGTGAATATTGTGGATTTCTAATATTTGATATTTGCCACGTTTAAATCCTACTATTTTTGATAATGAAGAACATCATTAAATCATGATAATGTTCATTTCTATCATCAATAGGTAGGTAATGAATTCTCTTGAAAGTAATAGAATAATAGATTCTTTATTCTATTTTTAGTTTTAAGGTGAACCTTGTAAATTAAACATTTGATTGTTGAAGTGGTTTATTTTTTTACAATTAAAAAAAAATGATTGATTTGAAAAGAGAACGTGAAAAGGTTCTGGGCAATTTAGGTGCAAATAATTTAGGTCAATTAGGTCCGTTTGGTCCAGTTGACCAAGGTTTTTCTGCATTTAATGTTGGATCTGCCTCCACTCAATCTGCCAATCCTTTCTTTCCAACAGAAATTAATTCATCAACAAACAATTTCCCAAATAATTTTGGTCAATTTAATACAAACCAAGTTCCTCAACCTTCTTTTGGTGGATTTACTTTTGGTGCTTTTTCACCACCAACATGTGGTGGATTAGTGCAACAACAATCGAATCAGATTGGTGGATGTAATTTTCTACCTCCTCCACCAACTCAATCAGTACAAAATGGATTTAGTTTAGGTTCTGAATTCTCTCAACTACCAAAGGCAACAAGTGGATTTAGTTTTGGATCTACAAGTGAGCTGGAGCAACAACAGAAATTACAAGAAGAACTGTTGAAAACTTTCCTACGACAGCAACAAGGGGAATACATGACAAACATGTTTAATGAAATGATGGGGAATTCATGTAATTTATCAAATTCTGATCCTTTTAGTTTTGGATCTACTAACCAAGTTCCTCGATCTCCTCAAGCTCAAACCGCTGCATTTAGTTTTGACATACCAAATTCACTGGAAAATGTTGAAACTGATAGTCAACTAGAAAATATTGAAACAGAAAAAGCAAACATTGAAATTGAATCCTCACCACCAAAGAAGAATTTCTTCAATTCTCTCGATGGAATGGATATTTTGAGCATTGTCCTTAGTATTGCATTGGTATTCTTTGCAATTTTTGTATTTTATTCATAAATATGTCAACAAAGACTTTGTTTAAATGTGTATATTCTCTTGTTGTCATGATAGTCATAATTATCACATGATGACAATTTTATTCCTTTCCATAAAAGTCAATAAACAAAGTTTAGAAATAACCATCAGAAATCCATATTTCTCAAGATTTCAAAATCTCGAATACACCATAAAACAGCAAACAATGACTAGCTGTTCAACCATCTAGTTCTGTTCAGTGTTTGGACGAGTTTAGGATTCAGAGTTGATTTATTTGGGCTATTTAAGAGATTACTTAGTGAAGATTTATATCATTGATTATATTTCTTATAATCTATTAATGATGTAAATTTGATGTTTTCATTTCTTATATTGATAGATATATAAAGGTCAGGTCAGTATCAACTTTTGAATTATGGACTTTGAGAAGTCAAATGTTTGGGACGTGAATCTACTCATTAGATTGAATAGGTATTGCTAATAAAGGAACATTTCATTGATTTATTGATTATAACGGTCAAATTGAGTTGAATGGAAGTGAATCACATGTTGATTGATTGTGGATGGGTAGTTTCGCCACGAAGTGGTGCAACTACCAACCTTTGTAGATTGAATCACGTTGATTTGCATCAATCTTCAATATGTAGCATTATAAAGAGAGTGATTATTTACCAATTCAATGATCAATATTAAATAATCGGTTTGATTTTCAATCAATAGTTTGATCATCATACCTTCAAAAACAAAATTTGAATCAAGATTCCAGTAATCAACGGCAGTCTATTTTTAAATTTAATCAAAGACCATATATAGTAGCTTGACTTTTATGATCTGGAAACTATCTAGATGTGTTCTATATTGAATAATCTATTTGAAAATGAGAAGAATTAACTCTTCTATTGAGTTTTATTGGTATTGTAAGGTATTACGATTATAATAATCTACACAG